CACGCAGCCCGTCCTTATCCAGTGATTCCAGAGCTTCGTCTACAGCCACGAGCTGAGCCCCAAATCATCCTCCAACTGTTCGGCGCCACTGCTTGTTCATGGATGATAGGACGTTCCGGGCACGTTGCCACAAGCTACAACGGTCTAGGAGCGGAGGAAGCTGTCAGTGTGTCACTCATTATCATCACGGAGCAACCCCAGCCATCGACCGCACACCCTCACTGTCCCAACCTTTCCACTCTTTCCCCATAAAAGTCTTTGAAGAGTCCGTTTTCCTTGCAAAGGGCTTCGACTAATGACAGGGGATGCTTAAAACAAAGCAAGCGATGCATCCGCGAAACGCTGTCACCAACGCAGCAAATCGCAAGCCACTCCCTCAAGTTGGACAGCATCCTCACAAGTTCAATGTTGGTAATAGTAATACGTTTGGGCGGCGCAAATAAGGGGACCAACAAGTGTCGGTGAAGACGCAGGGGCCCTTATTAGAGCACCTGTCGGTAATTGCATAGAATGAATGCCCTGCTCTCTTGTGTGATGAGTCGTGCAGACTGAGAAGTCCATGTCTCTCTCAGTGAACGGTCCGACGAACTCAGGAAACTGGGACAAAGTGCCCTCCGTTTGTTTTCCGCTTGCTGCTGGCCCCCGCCCTCCTTTGGGCACACTTTTGCCACACATCTCAACTCGGATGCTGTCGATGGCGTACAGTACCCCATCTTATCAACGTGGGCGGCGGCATGGGCTTTGGGCATCCATCTGCGCACCCTTTCGCCATCTCCAACGTCGATCTCGTGGGGAGTAAGACCGAGCTCGACCGAAACGGAGCAAAGTGGTGGCTGTCTCCTATTCAGGCCCATTCGCCGCCACGGTGACTCCATTGAAACCATGTAGGCGGGAAATATGTAATGAATGTATCATCGACGCATCTGCCTCTTGCGCGTATGTTAGACACGGCATGAGCCTCATTCAACAAGCTGATAGCTAACTTCTGGATGCCACATCGACACCGGCTATTCAGCCCTTGCATGCATGTACGGATAGACATCGCGCACACCACGTTTTCGTCTTTCTCTTTCAAGATCAATTGCGTCAGACAGGTAACAAACGTCTCGGCATGTAGTGACTGGCGCTCATTGTCCTTTTGTTTTTGACACTGCTGTCTCACCCAGCCACGATGGCCACAGACCTAGCTGCCGGCCACCATAGCACACCTTACTATGCTATTCGCCCATGGTCTGAATCTTACTGTCTCACTGTAAACTGGTAAGCAGCTGGACTAGAGGAAGACATGCACAAGTTACGCAATATCTGCCACACATCTGCCAACGCAGATGTCTCACGCGGCGGACGCAAGTCTGGATGCATGAAGATTGTCGGTGTGCGGACGACACAGTGTGTTAGTTCCGCCGCCGGGATTTTGCAAGAGCATTCCCAAGGCAGCTGGGGGGGAAGTGCTTGCTTCTAGGAGTTGGCCAAGGAAAGGGGTCGTTGAGTATAACCCAACACGAGGCTGAGGTCGACCATCGTCAACGTACGACCGGCGGCAACATGATAAATGTATTCATCCCTCAGGCGACTTACAAGAAGCCATTCAACATAACGAGATAGCTGCTTCGAACCAAATATATGTCCAATGTGTACTATACAAGAAAATAACTCCTTTTCCCATCCATTTCGTCCAAGTCCGCTCAAAAGAATATGCGTTGTTTCCAAATGTCGAGGGAATATACAACTGATCGCCATGAAATGAAAATCAAATATGCCAAAAAAGGAAGGCTTGTCCCTCCACACAATTCTCTCGCTATGCTTCCACCGATCCCTTCTCTCGCTCACGGTGCGATGATCGCCCGTAGTGGTGGTCCGCAGGCCGACGACTGTACTCGTCCTCCTCCTCGTCCCGATGGCGCCTGCGCCGGTCGGAGTCACGGTCTCGGTTGCGATCCCGGTCCTCTGGCTCATACTTGTCCTCGTCCCCGTGGCGACGGCGACGACGGCGTCGATCCTCGTCCTCGCGGTCCGGATCTTCGCTCCGCTCCGCATCTTCATCATTGGTCTCACGGCCACGGCGGCGCTCTGAGGGGTGAAAGTCAGTATATCTGTCTTATCTGCTCGAGCACGGCTCGCACAACGGGGGATCCATACCTCTAAGCACTTGGGTCGCCGCAGCGTACGCCTGAATCTCCTCCTTGTCGAGCACACGAAGCACAATGACGAAATCGTCGCGGACCTCGAATCTCTCCTTGCCGACGGTCAGTGCCTCGGGGTTGACGACCTTTCTGCTGATCTTTGTCCACTTTGCACCCGGCGGCACGTCCTTGGCCTTCTTGTCGTCCTTGTGAGGGGCCGCGCCCTCGCGCACAAAGTTCTGCTCCTCGGGGAACTTGGGTCTGGGTTGCTTGAGGATACCCTTCAGAGGCTTGCCCTCGCCCTTCTCACGTGGCGGGGAAACGACACGGACGGCCTTCTCTTCGCTGTTTACGAGAGCAACTTCACGTCCTCGAGATTCGTCAGTTGACTCTGAGCGACGTGGCTTGGGCGACGGAGAGCGGGATGGTCGTGCTGGGCGAGTCGTCTCCGCGGCGGCGGGCCTCGACTCTATTTCTTTGGGTTTCTCGTTTGTTGAAGTGTCGCCTCTGGGGCGGTCAGACGTATCCATGGTGGCGAGCTGCTCGCGAAGCTTGCTGATATCGCCCGCATCGTTGGGGTTGAAGGACTGAGACGCCCGGTTGCGACGGGCCGAACGCTTGACGGCATCTGAATCCGAGCCAGAGGCAGCAGCCTCGCCTGCCAACTTGCCTTCAGCATCTCGGCGATGCTGGTCTCTGAGCTCCTCTTCGCGGTGGCCGCCCTGACGCTCGCGGTCACGGGTGCGATCCCAGTCACGCTCACGCTCACGGTCGCGTTCGCGCTCGCGTTCACGTACATACTCATGCTCAGGCTCCTGAAGGCGATCTCGGGGCCTGTCTGCAAACCTATCACGGTCTTCGACACGAGGCGAGCGCTCATATTCCTCATTCCGCTCGCGCTCGATGGTCGGGCTACGCCGGCGTCGCGGCTCTTTCTCCGGCACGTCCTTCCCCTTCTCTTTCTCATCGCCCTTGAGCAAGGGACCTAGGCCAACAGCGGCCGCCGCCACACCAACGCCAGATGTGATCTTGTCGCGAATACGCGAGCGCTCCTCGTCACTGCCGCGGCGGCTGTCGCGACGCTCACGAGGCTCAGGCTTCTCTTCGAGCCTACTACGACGACGGCGATCCGCATCGGAATCTCGATGAAGACTCTCATCTGACCTTCTGCGAGGTTCTTCCCTCTCGTCCATGCGGCTGCGTCGTCGACGGTCGACGTCCGAATCACGCTGCAGTGACTCGTCCGACCTCTTGCGAGGCTCTTCCCTCTCTTCGAGACGACTGCGCCGCCGATGATCAATATCGGCTCCGACCTCTTCATCCGAGCGCTTCCACGGCTCTTCGCGCCAAGACTCTCTTCTTCGTCGTGAATCGTCGAGACCGTCGACCGGCCCCGTGCGGATGCCAAAGCCACGGGTGGTGATGCTGTCATCCTGAAACTTGGGGGATTGGTGCACGCGCTCGGACTCTCGGTCACGATCGCGCAGTTCTCTCATGTTGCGCTCATCCTCACGACTTCGATAGTAATCATCGTGGTGAGATGATCGAGGTGGCTCCCGGTCCTGGTACAGCGATACTGGCCGGCCCCGTTTGCTGTCACTGCTGCCTTCGGTCTGCCTGATGATTGGAGACGGGGGCACGGGAGCTGAGGGAGGTGCGGACTCGAAGCTGCTGTTTATCTTGTCAAAGCCCCGAGTCGAGGGCGGAGGTCCACCTCGCGTGCTGGAAGAGCTTTCGTATGGGCGGCTCGTGTTCATGGAGTAGTTGCGGCTCAGATCGGCGCTGGTATTGACGTTGAAGCTGCGGCTGTCCGAGTTGTAGTTGACGTTTGGTCGGTAGTAGCCACGATCCACACTCTCCCTGCGCCGGTGGCGCGAGGCAGGCCTGCTGTGATCCAAGTCGTACCGGGCGAGCTCGCCTGCGTTGGTGTACTGGTAGCCGTCGTCGCCATAGTCTACCGGTGCCGCGGTGCCGCCCTGGCGAGCCTCGCTGGGGTACAGCACGGTAGGGCGAGAGCTTCGATAGGCGTCCGCGCTTGGCGCCTCGAGACGCTCACGATCCCGGCTGCTGGTGAAATCTTCGCTCTCATGATGACGGTGGTATGGGGCCGTGCTTCGGGAGCGAGGGGCCGAGGACGCTGGAAGCGCGGAGAGGTGTCCCTCGGAGACTCGAGAGCTGTGCCCACTGTGGCCAGTGTGACCGCTGTGACCATGACGTACAGGACTGTGGCTCGAGTAGTGTGTCGTATGTGTGCTAGCTTGTGGTGCTTCTGACTGCTTGGTCGTGATGATCACGGGCGGTCTCGAGTTCGAATCGAGAGTAGAGCGTCGGGCGCGGCTGGCGTCGCGTGAAGTTGGGACCCCGGCTCGACTGACGGCATATGTTCGAGTGGTAGTAGGGACGCCGCCGGTCGAAGTGGTTGTGACGTAGCCTCTGGGTGTGGTGATGGGCTGCCTTTGAGTGGACGAGGGCAGGACGTGCATGTCGCCCGCGTAGTGTGAGCTATAGCCAACGCTGGATGGCATGGATGATCGAGCCGGGTTGAAGGTTTGGGACCGGCTGGTGGGAGCGTAGCCTCCATGGTACCGGTCCGTCATTGTGGGCAATCGGTCGGTCGGTCGGTCGAATAGAGAAGATGTCGAGAGAAGCTTCGTTGAAAAATCGGGGGATAGTATGAGTTCGATGATTCGAGAGACCCCAAGGTTGGCTGGTGTAGCCAAGTCAGAGAGGGGGAGGGGCGGAGGGTCGTTGGTCATCCGCGGGGATGGGCGAATTCAAATTGGTCAGGCAAGTTACAGTCCAGAGGTCGACCAGTCTTCAGGCGTGAGGAGAGGCCCTTCTAGGTGGACGAGTACTTGAGAAGTAAGCCCCTTGGAGTTTTGTACCAGCCGCCACGCGTACGTTGTCTCGACAGGTGCCCAGAGCGCTTGGCAGTACCCAAATCGTGGGTTTTCTTAATCGATGTCTCGGATGGCGAATACTTTTGGTGATCTGCTGCTCATGCGATGGCGCTGCAGCAGTGCGTATGCACGAGGGGACCACACGGACCAGCGCAGCCCAAAGAAAGTCCAGTCGGATGGAGCCAATCCAACGGTGGGGTTGTGGTTATGTACGTAGCCCGCTGAACACGAGCACTGCTAAGAAGGCGTCAGGAATAATGGTCTAATTATATCTGCCGACAATATCACCTTGAAGACTTGCCTCTGTGAAAGGAGTGGTGTCGACTGGAAACTGTCGTAGGGTAAGGTAGGGAGAGACTCGGGTCGTGGAGGTGACGATGATGTAGATGAGTCGGGCGACGGGCGATGACTTCAGAGGCGCTGCTGGTCCAGCATGGTTCACGAATGACTCGACTCGACTGGTGGACAGGAGGAAAAGTAGGTAGGAAGAAACACGAGGGAGTTCGCAGACAATTTGAGAGGGAAGACGAAATGCCAGCCCAAGGGGAGACGGAGTCGAGAAGTTGGGTCCTCGCCCAGTTCCAGAACTGAATGGATAGCGCCGTCTCAGTCTGATATGGCAGATCCCTGGCCGATTGCAGCTTTTCTTTGCCCATGCCTCCATTCTCTTCTGGACCTTCACTCATCAGGCTATTAAGGTAAGGAACCCCCTGGCGACCTGGAGCCCACGCTAAGACGGGCAGCGACAGGCTGCCTGCCTGCCTGGTTGCCTGCCTCTCTTCACTAGCGCCAGCCATTGGAGCCCGACGTCACTTTGTCTGACGCCCATTGCCAATTGCTCGCCTTGCTCCAGTCGCTTCAGAAAGAGGGTTGCAGTTGGAATGGTCGGTCCCTGGCGGTGCCGCTGATCCCCGGAAAGGGGCCTGTACGTATCCAAGTTTAATCAAGTCGCAGCAATTGACGCAAGTCGTGCCACATTCCGCCGTCACCCTCACAGGCTCAGGTACGTACGTGCTGTGCAAGCCAACGTCATCTCCCGTGGCCCGATCCGAGCTCATCCTGACAACCCTGGACCTGGACCCTGATTGGGAAGCCTTGCCCGGTCTGGCTTGGTCTGGCCGACAAGGCAAGGCTACACCTGCTTCGCTAGCTTCTGGCCTGCTTTTCGAGAACATCGTCAAACATGCAACACGAAGTCTTAGCGCTGGGTCTCCGTGCCAGACTCGCTACTAGTTTCGGGCACAACAGTTCGCCACCCGCAGCGCCCCAGCAACGTTAGGCTTTGTCACGAGGAACCACTTGTTGGCTTGCAGACTACGTACATACAGGGCGCTGGTTCATCTGCTCATGCTGCAGCGTAGCTCACTGATCCATCTATAGCAGCGCCTTGGTATGAAGCGACACCCCTGCTGACTTGGATCATCCTAGTATCTCCTCTACAAAGTTGCGATTGGCAGACTTTTCCCGCTATCCTAACATCGATACGTAGACTCCAAGTCGGAAAGGGTGGTAAGTGTAGTGGAGTCTGGATTCGGAAAACATATCACCGCCACCAACTAAGTCTCACTCACCGGCCGGGGCATCCCTAATTGTCAGATGCCCAAATGCCTCTTGTGGTTCATTGGCGCCCAACCAACCTGTCAGCCACATTCACTGAGCGTTACACACATTAGGATCCCGAGGTCAAGGGAGACCATCGTCCGGGTCATGCCGACCGAAACGCGGCAAGTTGGCGCCTGGTCCTTAGGGAATGGCCTATTAGCCATTGTCAGAATGTCTGGCAACTAATAGGCGCCGGTATTGTTTGTACTCCCATGGCCAGCGCGAGTGCGCGGCTGGCATAAATGTGGCCTTCTTCTCGAGGCGCTCGGGTCGTTTAGCCATTGTCCGGAGCGTGTAGATGCCCAATCGCTTTCGTTGAGAAAACTAACAAATACATTGTCAGTTTTCACATCGGTCCAGCTCTGCGGCTATGTTGACGATCTCCGCGCGGGGCTGTCGTTGGAGACTCACCGAGGCCATGTATAGGTGCCCAAGGGACAGGACTCACTGCTACGTATACATGTGCGTGCGCTGGTGGGGTCATGGCCGTTGGAATCACTACTATCGCCGGTGTAGAAGGGTTCCGTAACTTCAGTTGGTGTTTTTGACCTAACTTGAACGGTCTTGAAAGGAGCTGTGCCCGCAAGCCACTCCATCAGTCACCCGCTGCCTTGAACCCCTGAACCATGTCAGCGTGGCTGTCTACCGTAACTTCACTAACGAAAGGGCTTAATCGTCCTGTACTGTACCAAGAACACACAAAGAGGGGTAATACAAAAAAAATCGTCGGACAAGCGACAACTAGACCGAGCGAGCACAAGGGCTTGCTGTCCGAGGGGCAAAGTTTCTCGCATCAAAGGCTGGAGGGGTGTTCTTTGACAACGCACGGATACATGAAGGAAGTGACTGTACCTCCGTGTATACTTGTACACACAGTTTTGAGCGCACTGGATATAGGTTGGGCGTACCGACTCGTGTGCTTGAGTCGGTCACGCGACGGACGTGCTATGCAGGGCCTCACGTGACTGTCTGCCGGTGTATCTCGCCAGGCAGTCTACACATAATGGTCCTATCTACACAAACCAATGTTCGAGGCTTGAAGCATATAGAAGTGGGGTGATGGGATGGTCAATGTAGTCTTACTGTATAGGACAGATGTAGAAGTGGCCGCAGGAAGACCTATCAATCACCAACGCCTCAAAGGGCTGGTCCATCTCCTCGCCAATGCCAGCCACAAACATGCCACGACTAGAAATGGGATCATAGCTACCGCGTACGAGGATTGCGTTCATGTTTGCAGCCCCTGGATCATGATAGTGGTCATCACGTGGCTCTATGCTCGTCAACACTAGCTTTAATCACAAGAAAGAGGGCCAAAATTGCATGATTGTTCTCTAAATTGATTGTGACACGACATATGCGGCGATGAGTTGCCTGAGCAATGCTCAATACCCATATACATCATATATCGCTCAAGCCAGCGCACCCATCGGGTCCCAGATGGGCAGGACGGTCGGCTCCTGTCCCAGCACGTCCCTGACCTCCTTGCCGACAAACTTGGGATCGATCACGGCCTGGTACACAAACTCGTCCATCCACGCATCACTCATGACGAACCAGCCCTTCTCGCCCGCCGCCTCGCCCCATGAGTTCTGCACGCGCCAGCGCACCGGCTGGCCCGTCTTCTCGTCCACGTGCACGGCCGTGAGGACCATGGCGTGCGTCATCTGGGACTCGCACGCGCGCAGGCGCTGGGCCTTGGACAGGCCGCGGACCAGGGACGTGTTGAGGCCGAGGTCGTAGTTGAAGAGGTCGAGGTCCATGACGCCCGAGGCCGTGTCGCTGAACTTGCCCACGTCGCTGCCAAAGAAGATGGGCAGACCGGCCTTGAGGGTGCGCACGCACGCCTGCTTGAGCGTCGCCATGTCGACGTTGACGTACGTCACGCCCCGGCCGCCGACAATGTTGCCGAGGCGGGACACGCTGAGCAGCGTCAGGGGCTCGTGGCGCGGGTCGTGGACCAGAGAGATCATGCGCGCAATGGTGCTGGACGTGACGCGGAACTCGGGGCTGGCAATGTCCTTGGCAAAGGCGGTCGGCTTGGTGCGCAGCTCGTGCGTCTTGCCGTCCTTGTCGGCGTACTGCCACGTGAACGTGTCCTTGGGCGCGGGCGGGGGTCCGAGCAGGAGCGTCATGATGAGGGAGATCTCCTTCATCATCTTGGCCTTGACGTCGGACAGGGACTCGGCCGAGATGCCCTGCTCGCGACGGCAGAGGGCGCGCAGCTTGAGGGCGAACTCTCGGAGCTTCGTCTTGACGATGCTGTTGAGGACGCCCGAGTTCATGGCGCTCCAGTTGTCCGGGTACAGCGCCTGCGGGACGAGGCCGTACTTGTCGACGAGGTTGTACACCATGTCCCACTGGCCGCCGTCGCTGACAATGTCGCCGAGGAGGTGCTGCACCAGCCGGCCGTCGAGGTCTTCCGCGGCCGTGTCGATAATCTGCTCCAGGAACCAGTTGCTCTTCTCCAGCTTGTCCCAGAAGAAGAGGTACGCCTGCGACAGCTCAAACGACTCGAGGTTGTACTTCTTCATGAGCGCCACGCGGAACACATTGGTCGAGGCAAAGAGCCAGCAGCGGCCGCTGGAGCGCTGGTTGGTGATGGGGCTGCCCTCGAACGGGATCTTGATGTTGAAGACATGCTGGTCGGCGACCTTTGTGGGGAGCGAGATGAGAACCTTTCGGGGGTTCTCGGTGCCCAAGGCTGTGAGGGCGAGTCTGCACGTCGTGGGTTGATTAGACAACGAACTGGAGCAAGGGTAGAGGTCTGCTAGTGATACTCACCTGTTCTTGGGATCTTCCAGGATGGAGCTCTGCCACGACTCGAGCGTCTGTAGCTCCAGACCTTGTGGCTTCCATTCGCGAAGAATGTTACCACATTTCTCGTCGGTGATCTCAATGTATTCATCGTCCTCAACCCGCATGTTCTGCAGACGGTCCACGACGGCCTTCTCATGGGCTGTGGGTCCGTTGGATGTGCTCTGTGCGCCGCCCATGGTGATGGTGGAGTGTGTGGTGTTGATTCTACGACGATTGATGAATGGTAGATGCGAGGCAGAAGAAAGAAAAGAATCTAGAAAAACGGATGATATTTGTAGTGTAGATGTAAGGTTTCAATGTACTGCGCTTGGGAACCTTTGCGATGCGGAATGTAGAAGCTTATCTAGGACCTTGTCGCAGCTGGTCACACGCCATCGGAATGGAGGCGTCCCCTCATTGTCTATTTCCCCCAGGATAGTAGATCCAGGGTCGGCGGGTAGTCCCGCGCCAGCTTCTTTCATGTCTTGCTCTTCAATGTGCTGGAATGTGTAAGTTGATGGTACTCGGTATTCTTCGTTCATTTTGTTCAGCTGTAGCTGCTCCTGTTGCGCTCATATACATGGCATGCACGAAAAGCCTCGGTGCGAGAAGCGACAAAGGGGCTTATGCTGATGGAGGCGGTGCACCTTGATGGTCAAAGCTATCTATCTACCCTACTGCCAGCAGCTTGAGCGAGATTGACGCACCCGCTAAATCTGGGACAGCAAAAGCGACGTCGAGCGAGGCTAGCAACATCAATCACCACAAGAGAAAGCATATATCACAAATCGATTACATCTTGCCATGTACACTGCACCTATCTACTAAGACTCCACACAATTTTCCAAGATATCTTTCCAAGATGTATACACCATTCTCATGCCCAGCTAACCTATATACTGCGCCCCCAGCAGCGCTGCTGATGCAACACTGCCTAAGACGGCAGATCAAGCTAACTGCTGATAAACAGCAAAGAACAAAGGAAAGGATGTCATTGCAACATTGGGTTGATAAATTTAGAGGCGGGAGCCGTGCATGACCTTCATGTCGACGGCGAGCTCCTGGCCGTTGTCGTTGAGGACCAGGACGCGGACGGAGCCACGGCCAGACTCAAAAGCGTTCGCGAGGCGGCCAGAGAGGTTGGACTGGTCAATGACGGGGAGCCCGTGCTTGACGTCGCCAGTCTCGGTCATGGCAACGACCAGACCGTCCTGGAGGTCGAGGACACGGTACTGCTTGAAGACGGGGCCGAGCATGGTCTGGACAACGACGCTGGGAGCAGGGTTGCTGACAAAGGAGGACTCCTCGTGCAGTTGCTTGGTGAACAGGTCGACACCGAGGTAGCGGTACTGGCCGGTGGCGGACGAGGTCGAGATGCGGATGACCTGGCAAGGGCGGCCCTGCAGCATCAGGAAGTCACCAAGGCGGATGTGGTGGCAGGGGATGGTGACGGTGTTGGGCAGGTAGGACTCGGCGCTGTCACCGGGGCGGGGACGACCAGCCGACTGGTGAACGTCGACATCAACGTGGTGGTGGTGCTCATGGCCACGGGGGTGGACAATGCGGTCCGCGAGCTTGTGGACGCCCTGGCGGAAGGAGTGGTAGTGACCTGCAGGGGGCGACTTGTCAGTGCGTGTCCGAGAGAGAGAGACTAGGAATGGATGGATGGCTTACCGTCCTCGTCGTAGTAACCCATCTTGGATTTCTGGTGGGCGGTGGAGTAGCGGGCAGGCTCAACTGTCTCGTCAGAGATAAACTTGGAGTCGACCTTGGGGGCGGAGCCGGGAACACGGGCGTCAACGGTGAAGTTGTTGACGTTGGTGGTGGTGCCGGACTGGTAGGTGGCGCGACCTGGACCGTCGACAGTTACGTTGAACTGGGGACGGGTGTAGCGTTCGCGGTATTGACGTTCAGCAACGTCAATAGGGCTGGTGAAGGCTTGGGCGGCAGCGGGTGCAGCGGCGTCAACCTCGATGTGAGTGTTGGTGTAGTTGGTGCGAGGGGCGGCAGGACTGGAGGAGGATGTTGTCAGTCGTTGTCGATACGATGATGGATGGTGAAGATGTAGACGGAGAAGGGAAAGGAGGAAAAGATGGAGAGGACAGGATGATGATGAGACGCGGTTTGGAGGTGTTTCTCCGTCAACGACGGACCGCAGCTGGAGCTAGTCAGACCCCTGGACCATTGGCCGGGCTGGGATCGGCCAGCCAGGGGGTGCAACAAGCGGTGACTGCGGCGGACCCGTAGAAAAAGCAATGCATGCGCTGTTGTCCTTTGCTGCTGCTGCTTATGCTGCCGATGCACAACTGGGTGTGATTTGGGCTGTGTTTGGCTTGTCCGTCGCCTTCCCACGCCTCGCGCGCAGCAGCCCAATGGCAAGCAATTGGGCGCTTTGCTCGGCGGCGCAGAGAAAATATGAATAGGAATAGGAAACATCAAATTGACTTACCGGCGCTCTTCGTAGGCAAAGTGCTCGTGCTGGGTACCGGGACGGTGGTAATGCTCCTCTTGACGATAATGGACCTCTTCGTTGCCGAAACGGTGCTCCTGCTGCTCAGGCTGCTGCGGGAGGTCGACGTTGGCAGTGAACGACGAAGAGTGCTGACCTTCCCGTCCGGCTTTGGGTTCGGGAAGCTTGACTTCGACCTCTTGGTGAGTCTCGACGGTAGCGGTCTGGGCCTCGGAGTCCTTGTAGGTCGAGGGGAAGATGCTGAAGGGGACGGGGACGCGGGCTTCAAAGTCCAGATTGACGGCGGGGGGCGGCGCGAGAGAATCGGCTTCTCATTCAACCTCTCGTAACGACACGAAAGGAAGACAAGAAGATGATCCTCAAGCTTTCGTTTCTAAAGAAACAAAAGAAGGAAGAAGCGGAGAAGAATGGGAGGCACGAGGTCCTTATTCTTCTGGCTGATTCCGACAAGAGGGCAACGAGGTGATTCCAAGCTGTGTGGTGATGTGGTTCGAGGTAATTGGAGGAGGAGAAAAGAGGCTGGGAGGCAGAAGTCGACGCAAGAAGGGGGTTTTGAGGACCAGGCAGCGTGTCGAGGCCGTCGTCGGTCTCTGGCGAGGGGGGCGTGGCTGCAGCAGAGGTGTGTTTACCACGGGAAGACTGGGGTGTCCTGTTGTTTACTTCTGAGACTGTTTCGGCTTAGCTTGTGAGACCTGCCCGCTGAGCATCCACTGGACTCTGGAGCACCCTGACAGGCGCCACGCGTGTGTCTCGTCGCCCTCTGGATCAGCCTTTCATTCATCAATGTTTTCACAAATTGACTGATCATCTTGCACAACGCCTCATTGATGATGAGCGGTCAGTCTCCTAGCTGCAACAGCAGACACTGGTGGTCTCTGCAGCGATGAGCCCGACTTCAATCAAGCTAACCCAACCACTCGAATTGTCCTCCACTCCGCGTAGGCGGGAGTCAAGCGCAGCTGCGCAGGACTAGACCCTCTGGTCGATCCATGGGCTTTCGTGGACCATGTCCATTGGCTGCAGTCCTCGATTACCGCCTCGCCTCGCTCTCCGCCAGGCGTCCTGCGTCGAGCGCGGTGGATATTGATCGTCTGCAGGTCCGGTCCAGCTCCAGTCCTGAGCTGCTCCAGCCTCCTCCAGGCATTGATGCCGGACGCGAAGCCCAATTGCCGTCGCTTCTCAACCCAATTGCTTCTGTGCTTCTGCCGCTGAGCTCTCCTTAGCCAACTCGAGCTCGTGATCCTACATCATCCACTTCTGGTTGTAAATCATGTTAGAATTTGCACAATATTATGCTACGCAATCTCGTCTTAGCGCCGTTGCTATGCACCAATTCTGTGCTGCTGCAGCTGCACAGCTGAATAAATCTGGCCCGAGGCCTAGGTGCGTCGTTAGCGGCCCCATTGGCGGTTGCCACAACGACAGCCAATCACAGTCGATCCTGGTCCCCCTTGACGCGTCCCTGACACGAGGGCGTGTTCTAATCGTCTCCAAGTCCTCTTTATCACCGCGCGTTCGTTCGTCTGTCTCCTTATTTTAGCCTGGCCTTCATCTCCCCCAGGTTGCCGAGCTCGATCGACATCTGATTTACCTCGGATGTTGCAATCGGATGCCGCTCGCGGCGGGGCTTCTGATTCACTCGCGGTGAACTGACTTCACACATGTAAGCACGCCCTAATAATGCCTGCGAAGCTTCACCAGGCCGCAGACGACTGTGTCGTGCGGTGCGTATAAGAAGCCATGCTGAACGCTAGCCATATCCTTAATTTACCCCCAATTACACAACGTGATGCTCGCCTTCAGCACCCAGGCAGACGGCTAGCCTGCTCAAGTATGAGCGTTGACAAATAAGCCCCCTGAGCCGACGCTTGAGGCCTCGAAAGCCGATCAATGATCGGCATTCAATACTATCAAACCTCCGGTCCCCAGACAGTCGCAACATCAACTCAGTGGGCTGCTTGATCAATTCCCGAGACTTGGCTTTGACTGAACTGGCCCGCTGTCACAGAACATGCTTATCTCATTATACCTGCGCTTTGAGCACTCCTCTGCTGTCGGGCCCATCTCAGTTTGAATCGCCCACCAGCGTTCTGACCTTCAGCCGACAACCACAAGAGTGATGCTCAGGATCTCGCGTCGCTCTTCACTAGTCTGGGCGAGAGAAAAGCCCTGATGCTGTATACGATCAAACAGGATTGGCTGTTGCTGTGGGCATTAGGAGGCTTCTAAGTCAATGTATACGCGGACGTGCATGATTCGTGAAAGCTACTACCAACCGGGAGTTCTTCTTTTCGAAGCTCAAAAGTTGTTCAGTATACTCTACGAGTCAATGTAAAGCAATATCACAACGGCAGCTCTGGCCGCGCAAAACTGATACTCTTTTGCTGGGGCCAACAGAAGTACGATGTCAGAGCTCGGCAGCTCATCTGATGGCATCCCAGGTCTCGAACGTGCCTTTGCTGCCACTCTTACAAGAGCATCAAAGGCGTCACCGAGACAGACCCAGAAGGCTTCCGCGAACACTAGACGTGTTACACGATTAGTCCCGTGAGACGTTTCCAAGCTCTCTGGCCATCGTTAGCCAAGAGCTAGACAAACAACGTCGTTTTCATCTCAAGCATGCTGGGCAGTTTCAACCTGTTGGGGATGGATGTGGTAATGCCCGCTGTGTTACACTTCGCCAGCAAAGTGGCCGATGGAGAAGCAGTGGAGTGGCTAATCCGCAGCAATTGGTTTGATACAGACATGGGATTTTGGCGAGCTGAAAGGATGGGCGTGGCGGACAACGCGGAAAATCGAGGACAATATTCTCAGTACACTGAAGAATGGAAGATCATGGCACAGAGGGTAAAACTATATGAGCCTGGCTGACGCTGAGTATTCCTAGTTTGATGAAGTCTCTGAGCCTTTGAGGCAACGCTGGGTCATTTCACGAAATTTGACTGCACGGCACTTGGCTAGGCAAAATCGATTGATTGATGGTAGATTTGTCGATTTCTACTTTATCGTAGAGCTGACTTGCCACTCTGATGAAAGATTCATGACTTTCGAGCAAGTCCCACGTGATGTCATGAGTGTCGAGTTTGTCTGCCCCGCCATGACACATGCCGATGCCCCACGTCGATGTCGACGGTTGACGGCGTCAAAAGCGTCAGACCTGTCCTCGACAGTCGCACAAGCTACACCAAGTCTCCTACCGACAACATGAAGCAGAGATTCTCCTCGTTGGATGTCAAGGTGCGATCCCAGTCCCCTCCCTGGCCAATCTGCAGCTCCTCACCATCAACAGGTCATCGCGCACGAGCTCCAACAGTGCTTGGTCAGCTTGCGCCTGTCCAACATATACGATCTCTCCTCCAAAATCCTCCTTCTAAAATTTGCGAAGCCCGACAACAAGAAGCAGCTCGTTGTCGATACCGGTTTCCGCACCCATCTGACCGAGTTTGGACGCACAACTGCCGCAGCACCCTCGGCATTTGTCGCTCGGTTGCGAAAATGTCTAAAGACGAGGCGGTTGACGTCAGTGTCGCAAGTGGGCACTGATCGTATCTTGGAATTCACGTTCAGCGATGGGCAATATCGGTTGTTCCTGGAGTTCTTTGCGGTAAGTCCAATCGACGTCGCTTGGAGGGAAGCATAGCCGCTGATGACTGCGGCAGAGCGGCAACATTATTCTCACCGACGCCGAACTCAACATCCTCGCTCTCTCGCGCAATGTTGCCGAGAATGAGGGTGGCCAAGAACCACAGCGCGTTGGCCTCAAGTACTCGCTCGAGAATCGGCAAAACTACGAGGGTATCCCGGACCTTACAAAGGAGCGAGTGCGTACTGGGCTTGAGAAAGCCGCCGAACGAACAAAGGCTGCCTCTGCGGTTGCCAAGAAGGGGAAACCCAAGACGGGTGCTGATTTGAGGAAGGGTCTGGCCTCCTTCATCTCCGAGACACCGCCAGTCCTCATCGAGTATACGCTGTTGGCGAATGGATTCGAAATGGCGAAGCCTATATCCGAGATCTTGGCAAGCGAGTCCATTTTTGACGAGCTATTCAAGTCTCTGGAAGAGGCGCGCAAGACTGTCGAGAACATCACCTCGGGGGACAAGTGCAAGGGGTATATCTTTGCAAAGTACCGCGCGGCACCATCAGGGGACAGCACCGAAGCATCAGACAGGTCGAACCTCTTATACGAGGACTTCCATCCGTTCTTGCCCCAGAAGCTAGCCAACGATCCTGAAATAAAGGTCCTGGAGTACCCCGATTACAACCAGACGGTCGATGAGTTCTTCTCCTCATTGGAGGGACAGAAGCTTGAATCGCGCCTCAGCGACCGGGAAGCGACCGCAAAGCGGCGGATGGAGATGGCCAAGCAAGAACAGGCTAAACGCATCGAAGATCTTCAAGAAGCGCAGGCGTCAAATTTCCGAAAGGCAGAGGCCATCGAGACGAATGTGCAGAGAGTCCAGGAAGCGATGGATGCCGTGAACGGGCTCATCGCGCAGGGGATGGACTGGGTTGACATCAGCAAGTTGGTGGAACGCGAGAAGAAGAAGCAGAACCCTGTGGCTGCTATCATCAAGACACCCCTCAAGCTTGATGAGAATGTGATTACTCTTTCACTGGCTGAGGAAGATTTCGAAGAGGAAGAAGAGGAGGATCCGTTTGAGACCGACGACGAGGACGATGAAAATGGCACGCCTGAAAAGGCCAAGCCTGCCGCATCCGCCAAAGCTATTGAAGTCGACATCAACCTATCACTGAGCCCTTGGAGCAATGCCCGCGAATACTACGAAGAGAGGCGAACGTATGCGGTGAAAGAAGAGAAGACACAGGCTTCCTCTGGAAAGGCTCTGAAAAACACAGAGGCCAAGATTCAGGACGATCTGAGGAAAGGCTTGAAGCAGGAAAAGGCGTTGCTGCAACCAATCCGTAAGATGATGTGGTTCGAGAAGTTTATTTGGTTCATCTCCTCGGATGGATATCTCGTACTCGGCGGCAAAGACGCGACCCAGAACGACATGCTGTACAAGCGCTATCTCCGTAAGGGCGACATCTACTGTCACGCCGATCTGCACGGCGCGTCGAGCGTGATCGTCAAGAACAACCCAAAGACACCCGATGCGCCAATACCGCCCCAGACCCTCTCACAGGCCGGCTCCTTGTCCGTCTGCACGTCGAACGCCTGGGATTCCAAGGCGGGAATGGGGGCTTGGTGGGTCAACGCGGATCAGGTGTCCAAGTCCGCGCCTACGGGAGAGTTCCTACCACAAGGTAGCTTCATGATCCGCGGAACCAAGAACTTCCTCCCACCGACGCAGCTTCTGATGGGCCTGGGTTTCGTGTTCCGCATCAGCGAGGAGAGCAAGGCGAAGCATGTCAAGCACAGGTTGAACGGGGTCGATGATGGCGATGCCAACGCCGGTACTAGCCGCAAGAAAGCTGACACCGAAGTTGCCGCTCTGGAGCAGCCTGTCGAGCCCCAGAGTGTGGACGATGATGCCTCAGACATGGGCGATAAGACCGCCGACGAGTCTGACAATGGCGAAGAGGCGTACGAGAAGCGCGATAACCCCTTGCAAGGGGTTAGCAGCAAGCGTGACGAGGAGGCGGATGACGAGGACGTCGAAGAAGCAGAAAAAGGCGTTCATAATCTGCAGATTGATACAGACAAGCAAGAGGCAGATGGACCCAAAGACGAAGCTGAGGATGACGGCGAGGCCAGCAGTCCTGAAGATGCCGCTACCCCATCGGTTGCAGAGACGTCGGAAGAACCCACCCAAGCATCAGGGAAGCAGCAAGCCGGCAACAAGCCCAAGCAGCCACAGCAACCAGTCCGCAAACGTGGGCAAAAGGCGAAAGCCAAGAAGGTTGCCGCCAAATACAAGTACCAAGACGAGGAGGACCGTCTGGCGGCTGAAGCCCTCATCGGCGCCAAGGCAGGACAGGAAAAGGCACAGGCCGAGGCCGAGGCGAAAGCCAAACGCGAGGCGGAAATCGCGTTTCAGAGGGAGAGGCGGAGAGCTCAGCACCGAAAGACGCAGAAGGAAACGGCCGAGCATGAGGAAATCCGAAAGGTCATGATGGAAGAGGGCGTCGAGCTCCTGGACGATGACGAGGCACAGAAGACGACTTCTCTGGACGAGCTCGTCGGCACACCCTTGCCCGGAGACGAGATCTTGGAGGTGATTCCTGTGTGTGCGCCGTGGGGTGCCCTGGGTCGATACAAATACAAGGCCAAACTGCAGCCGGGCTCGACGAAGAAGGGCAAGGCCGTCAAGGAGATTCTAGAGCGCATCAAATTCGAGAGCGGCAAGAAGGGCGCCGTCGATCCGCAGGGCAAGGACTCGGACAAGATGTGGCCCCGCGAGGTCGAACTTCTCAAGGGCATGAAGGCCGAGGAGGTCGTCAACAGCATCCCGGTGGGCAAGGTCAGGGTGATGCTCCCCGGCGCCACGGGAGGAGGAAGAGGAGGCAGCAATGCCAAGGCGAAGAAAAGAGGCGGCAAGAAATAGAGCAAGCACAGATCACCGTCTCTTGGAAAATATGCAAAAATCACGCTCATTTTGGGTCTAGGTATTGTCTACTGCTCTCATCGACGTATTGTTTACTGCTCTCATCGACGCGAGGAGATCCTTTCCACGCGCCTTACATCGTTGGGCACCCTCGCGATGCAGAGCTCCTCACAAAAGGCACCCCATTGCCCGCTCGTGGACTCTGCGACGGCCTCCTGTAGCTCCCTCTCGTAGCGCGACCGGTAGGCCTTGCGCACCGCAGACATGTGCGCGGCATCCCAGTGAATCCGCACAAGCCGCGAAGTCAACAGCTCGTGACGCAGCTCATCCTTGCGTGACGTGGTGATAGCGTGGTGGAGGAGTAAAGCGTCGCGGACGGGGCGATTGATGACGCCGTTGAGGATGTGTGCCAGGAGTTCACCCTGCAAAGGTCAGCTTCTGTCGGTACACCTCTGAGTGCTAATGATGGAATAGACTTACAACCAAGTTTGTGCTCTTCTTCAGAGAGTCCCGAGCAAAGTTGGCGCGATACACATGATCGTACTCCTTCAACACTTCACGTAGATGGTTGTCGCTGCGTTGCACAACAATGGAGATCATCAGACTCTCGCCTCCCTTTTCAGCCTTGATGGCTTGGCGCAGGCTGTCAACGTCTTGGTCCACCAGCTTGTAGTCAAGAGGAATCTTGCGACCGTTGTGGTCGTAATCGTCCATCCTGCGCTCCTCCAGCACCATGAGGACGGCCTTTTTGAACTTGTCTTCCTTGAGTTCGGTTTTCATGCACTTTGTGAGACTGTTGTCGTATTTCTTGTCCGTAAAGGCGCTCTTGATCTGTCGAATCTCCTCGTTTGTGCGACCCATCAACGACTCGATGAGAAGCTCACGGCGAGTCTTGTCGCCTTGATACCAGAAATTGGCCCAGTAGCTCTCACTCTCCCACATACCTAGTGCGACAGAGTAGCATGCCTTCATAAGGTTGGGGTTCTCATCCTTGAGACGGGCCCGAATGTGTTTCGCAATGTTGACGCCCTTGCGGTGAGAACCGGTCTTGACAAGGCTCTTGTAGTCTGCTCGCAAGTCCATGACCTGCTCGTGCGTCAGGCTTGGCAAGATCTCGGTGAGCACGCGCTTGTCAGGCGGGCCATCACCTTTCAGAGCATTGGCCAAGCGGGTTGTGATGTCTTCAGGGTCGTGGAATCGGGCGCGTCTGCTACGCTTCTTGCCATCGAGCTCGCTGTCAGATCCGATGGGCGAGATGGCTTCCAAGATCCGGGGGTCGTCGCTCGGGTGGCCCGAGGGGAGTAGCAGAGGCGAGGGCATGGGCGAACAGTCCTGGTACGTGCCTTGGTATGACTCCAGAAGCGGCGAGGGAGGAGCAGCGGTGAGTGACATGTTTGACGGTCTGCCCGTATCGACAGACAGAGTGGACATGCGGTCTGTCGGCGGTTGAGGCGATCTGTCGCGTGTACCTCGCCGTTCCCTGGATCTTTCACGCTCATGGTGGCCAGTGTCCACTGTTAGGCCGGCAGGATTGGGGGACTTGTCTCGGCGACGGTCGCGAGATGACCCCCTATTCCTGTCGCTTGGGTCGACCGTGAGAACATCAGGTCGTGATCGGCGAGGGTCTTGCTCGCGGTAGTCCTCAAAGCGAGCCGACCGCCTAGGATCTTCAACAGCAGGGCTGACTGGGCGTGGACTCAGCGTCCGTCGCCGCGGGTCATCCTCAGGATACTTGGAAGAAGGTCGATCTTCCCACTGGGATCCTGACAAGTAGCTCCCATATGTTTGGGGCGAACCCGTCCTTTCAGACCGTGACGGGCCCGGAGGCTTGCCGTAGGCCAGGTCGTCCTCATCGCGCTCCTTCTTGCGCCTCCGCCGCTCGAGCTTGTCCTCGCGATCAGACGAATGAGAATCCTCATCATCCTTTTTGCCACTGTACTTGAATGGCAGGAACCTGAACTTGTCATCGTCGAGATCTTGTCTGCCGGGCCTGTCCCTTGGCTTGTCGTTGGCGGGGCTCAACGGCGCACTGTACTTGGCGGGCAGAAACTTGAGCTTCTCGTCATCCGAGCCTTTCAGGCCATGAGAACCATCATGTCGAGGCTCTCTGATCTCAGGGCGGCGGCTGGCGTACTTCTGCGGCAGAGACTTGAGTCTTTCGTCTTCGGAGACTCGCTCATCCTTCGCCTCGGTGTACCGACTTCGTCGCCCGCTGTCGTCTTCTTGCTCTCGCGCCTTCCGCTCTCGTTTCTCCCGCTTGGACTCCCGTGGCTCGGCCGTGACGATGCTGGGTGGTCCCTGGTCGTCGTCCGGGAAAGCTCCTGGGTATGAAGCCGTCGATTTGCCTCCTTCCTTTTCGCGGGAGCTTCGGTGCGGCGATGCGGCGCGTTTCGCGGGCGGATAGTCTTCGTAGTTGTACAGCCTGTCTTCCCCAGGCAACATTTGGTGAATGCCACCCTCTACCGGGTAAGGCACGCCACCACCCTGGTTCGTTTCACGCGGTTGGTATCGGCTGTCGAGATCGTCCTCCGGGTAGACATATGAAGGCTCCCTGACATCGCCGTACGGAGGTCTCTCCGGGGGATCGTTGCGGGAACGACGGTCACGCGAGCGCGACCTGTCGCGTCGGCGGTCGTCATCGACGTAGAGAGACATATCGAAATCGTCAGCTTGCTGGGCCAGTCGAAACGAGCCAAATTGGCCCTCTTAGCAAAAAGGTGAAGGCCGGATATGTCCCAGGCGCTTTCAATGAATTCCTTCTGAGCAACTTGAAGCTCCGGTCGTGACTCCCCTCGTAAATAATGATGTGGGGTAAGCTCAGCTTGACGGAAGGTGCAATGCGAGGGGGACTGGAAGGCGTCGGTCAGTCAAACAGACAGATTGTCAGACTGTCAGACTGTCAGACAGCGAGGGTCGCGGAACGAAGAATTTTCAGTCAGCGAGCAACCTCGATCTCTGTACTAAACTCATCGGAGAACCTGCATCAAGCACCCGCCACAGCATTTGCCGTGATGCATAGCACATGCAGCGCAATTGGTGTCTCGCTGCCGTCCTGCGACCTGCAGAGCGCGCTAATACGGTGGGATATTAGATCACAAGGTGCCAACGGTATCAATGACCAATTGCACAACCACCACACAACACATATACGCACCCTCGTCATTATAGCCTCACCTAAAGAGCTACGCACGCCATAGAATTTAATTCTATAATAAATAAATTAATTTACTATGATCTAGCGATAGCAGACTTCGTGATGATAGTATTTATTTTTTATATAAGGCGTGTGGTGGTTATTACGGAGGCGCTGAAGTTCTTAAGCAAGACATATGTTCGTATTCAATTAGTTATAAAGTAAGGCTATAAGTAAGGTTATAAATAGCTGTAAATTTGATCACGACCGCCGCGCCCGGGCGGTTGGCCTAGCTTCACGCCGTGAACGGCGAGGTCGCACCTCTTTATTAACGCTGCCCGCTATAGGCGCCCTTGGCCTCTTCCTGACTACCTTATAAGGTGCCTTAGCGGGTGCCTTATCGGCTGCTTTATCGGGTGCCTTAGCGGGTTCTTTATCGGCTGCTTCATCGGGTGCCTTAGCGAGTGCCTTATCGGCTGCTTCGTCGGGTGCCTTAAGGGCGCCGATCTTAGTTAGCAAGAGGTCTATATTATCCGATGCTTTAGACAGGGCCGTCTCGCTATATGTCCCACCCGCTAGGTCTTGTGGGAAGGCTTTGAGGTTGATCGGCTCGTAGGGTGCTGGATTTAGCTCTGATTTAACCCGAATTAAAGCTGGCGTTAATTCCCTTTGCGACCGTTCGCCTAGCGCTATAGACTTGGCCCTCGACCGCGGCTTCCGTGGCTTTGAGGTAGGCTTTTTGGGGCTATCTTCGATAAATTAAAGCTTAATCCATACGATAACCCGGCTGTCACTAATAGCCTACTAGAAATTATTATCTTAGCCTAGTATATCCTAAAGGCTATTATTTTTTAAGGAAACCGATATAAACTACCTAGGCTCTTATTTGCTATTCTTCTAGAAGGACGTGCCGATATATATTATCGACTTATCGAGTATTTTAAGGGTATTATAAAGAATAGAAGGTTTAAGGTATATAGTTAGAAAATCGGCTTTTATAAGGAATCCGAGGTCGGCCTATGAGATAAGTAGTAAATCTATTCTACCTACGGCGAATTAGCTATATTTTAGAATATCTAAATTAGCTTACTTATTAATAAAGAGCTCGAGGCTTTAAAGATACTACCTTAGAGCCTGCGACCGGTGGAATAGACTGGCTAGACCCGGATTTTAAGGCTATAGGGATTTTTAAACGGCGAGATAGGCTTGGCCGGCCTTATGGCGATAATAGCCTGCCTTGTGTGGCTACGTAGGTTATTAAGGCGATCGCCACGCGTTGAAGATAACGAGGATGATCGGGGTAGCGCTTGTTTAGCGATACTACGACCTTCCGACGACGCGTAGCCGTTGATTAACGGCGATCTATATATAGTTATAGGCGTTAGAGGGTCGCTAAACGTATCTAGGGCGTCGATCTCGACTGGCTTAGGCTATCGCCGGCTATAGAAGGGGTAGAGTAGCCCGACGGAGGTAGCGCGTATTTTATTATATTTTTCGCGTTGTAGGTGCGTATCGTAGACCGTGGGAATCGATAGCGGTGGCTCGGGTATTTCTACTACTAAAATAGACGTTAAAATATATAGCCGAAAGTAAGAGATTGATTAGACCTGCTATTTAATATAATACCGCTAGTTAGTAGGGAAAGAACGTAGGAAAGGGCTATATTCGCGGATGTTATATAGTGTTATAGGGGGGAAATTACAGTGGGTCTAGTAGTATAAGGATTATATATATATATATAGGCCCGTCGCGTAAGGCTTTAAATACTACCTTATATAGCGGTGAAATAAAGCTTTTCGCGATCTATTTTATATTATCCCCTTCCTCGATAGCCTAGCTTATTTATGCCTAAAATTCGGGCGGTATCGCGTTACTATAGAGGCCTAGATCGTCGAGGTAATTCTACTATAATAGACGTTAGTATTCGGCAGCGCTACTAGTGTGAACTTATGAGATAGCTAAGATAGGCTATACGCTGGAATTTTAGTGCTTTTCGATAATCTCGCGAAGCTTTAAATATAAGCTAATAAACGGCCTTTTAAGGTTATCCTCTTCTACTAGGTTAGCCTCGAAGCTAAGCCCTTAGAGCTATGCCTTGTACTAAGCCTCTATCTCGGCGGGTAGTAGACTATCGATATCTATCGTCTCGAGAGGCTCCTATATTTCGCGAAGAAGCTACTACTATAGGCTATCGTCGTTATTATCGAAAGGAACGCTCTAGTCCGGGTTAGCGGTTATATAATATAAATCCCTTAGTATGCTAGATCTAATATTAGGTCGGTTCTTCTAGTTACGGATAATATACCTATTCTATAGATAAATAAAGTTAGTAAGTTTATCGCGGATTATCTCGCCGTAGATAGCGTAGACGGCTACCTAATCGACGAGGCTATCTTCGCGGAAGAGGCTATAGCCGATTAATTCGTTAAAGAAGATAATCCAGCGGTCTATGACGCTACGCCGTAGCTACCGCCACTAAGACTCGATCCTTACGTTCCTTATGCTTAGGCTATATAAATGATAGCTATCTAGCCGATTGCCTTGGGTATAATAATAAATATTTCTATCTTTATCGGTATATTTGACTTTCTTAGGGCTAGCTTTAGCGAGTGACGCCTACGCCGCTACCTATAGCGGCGTCTCTGTGCCGTGGTTAGATCTCGTGAAAAAGGGCCGCTTTTATAGGCGCCGGACGGCCTTAAGATATTATTTTAACGTGCTAAGAGACGTTATTACTAATCGGCCTACGTAAAACTATATAATATAGCGGGAATAGGCGTCGATATAACTATAAATCTAGAAGCCGACCTTCCTAAGCTTTTTATAGCTATCGAGGGACTATAAGAAGTTCGGTCCGGGCACGCGAAAGTCGCCTCTTTACTTAAAGTTACTATCACGGCGGCTAGCGACTTCCTCTAGAAAAGCAGCCCGATAAATATCGTATAGACGGCGCTATAAGACTATAATTTGCCCCTTCTAACGAATATATTGGTATAGTAAGCCCTTGCTAAAGCTTAAGGCCGCGCCGCTCCTCTGGAGGTCTTAGTAGAGGAATTCGATAGCGTTATCGAGCCTCTCTTATTATTCTTTAACGGTCCTAACCCGGCGTTTTATACCGTGTTGCTAGCGGACCTTCTTTATAGCCGAGAGGTAGGCGTGGAAGCCTCCTTAATAAAGCTCCCGTAGAATCGATGTGTTGGATAGCCTGAAGTTAAAGAAGAGGTATTTAATCCGATCGATTAGGGCGTCCGAGATATCTAGCGCCTAGTATCTTATATCCAAGCCCCACGCCTTTAGCTAGCGTAGTAAGGTCCGTCTACTAATAATAGGATTACTAGCTTCTTATAGCCGTAAATTAATATCTTTAAGAATATTATTAATTAGGGTATTTAAGAAATAATAGCCGTAAATATAGTCTTCTAAGATAGTTAGGGTCTGGCGGGCTGTTAGACGAGGGGTAGTCTATAATACTAGCGCTCTTTTAAGCGTGATTTTTGATATAGCATTCCCACCGTTACTAACGATCGTATTATTTAGAAATTCAAGAATCTAAGTCGCTAAGAGGCCCTTATTGCGTGTATCTAAAATTAAGGCCTGATAATTTTCGATATTCGTTCGTGGCGGTATGTTAAAAAGTATGTAGGTTATAAAGTGTGGGAGGGGCCACCGGTGTGGTGTCGTTGCACTGCGGGGGTTGATACCGTTGGCACCTTGTGATCTAATATCCCGCCGTACGCTAAGGCGACGACAGACCCCATGACTCCAGTCCTGATGGCAACCCACTCGAAGTCAGCAATCACAGGCCCATCGTTGTAGCCCTACAGAACCCCCTACGCGTACATTCTGCAAGCTGCGTGAGCCTTGCGGATCGCCTGCTCGGTGTTGCGCAGGTCAGGTCCGCCACTCGGCCATCCCGGCCACGGCACCTGAAGTCGAGGAGCCGGAGGCGCAGCGCATCATTGGGGGGTTTGAGCGACAGACGGGACCGGCCGACTGTGTTGGTGCCCGTGAGTGCTCCACGCCTCCAGCCTGATGCTGACCGGAGACTCGGCATCGCGACGACTGCCAGCCTCGTCAGCTCACGCCGGCCGATATGTGCTGCGGTGTTGGTGCCAAGCATTGGCCAGTAAGGCGAGGGCTTCAGTGACCTTTGCGCACGGTAAATGTTACACAAATACTCTGACAGCCGGGGCCCAAGGTACGGCTTCGGGTGATGGCGTGTTGAGAGCCCTCAATCTCTCGCTTGCAGACGGCAAGTTTTGTACGATGATGAAAGCGAAGTGTACTAATAACAATAAGATGTGCACGCCAGGGTTATTTGTGATGCTATACCTGCATATATTGTACCGGCGATTCACTCGACGACTATATATGCCCTTCTTTATGCAAACGCAGCATTTGCGTGGCCATCGACATTCCCAACCAGATAGAAGTCCTCTGTGAGCTTGCACTTCGTTCCGAACTGCATACTCATCGGTTCCTCATGTTCTCGATCTGTTGAGCAACCATTCGTTCGACAAGGGATGCAACGTCCTCAGACACTCCAACGGGAGTCGGGGGTTCCTGGACACGCAGAGGCTCCAAGCACGCGTAGAGCTCTCTGTTTGCTTTGATCGCCTTCTCTTCTCGTGCCAAAGCATCCTTGGCGATCTTGACTTGGTTCTCCATGCGCCGGCGGAGTGAGTCGATCTCCGTTTCAAGGTCTTGAATGCGGGCATTGAGTTGAGATGTGCTTTCAGACTCATTTGCTGGCTGAGCTGCATCCTGCTCGGCCACGACTTGTCGTGAAACGGTTCGTTCATCAGCTGGGATCTGTGTATTCTCTGTCCCGTTGGCCGTGGAAGTGCTCTGCTTCTTGGCTTGAGCGGTCGGTGGTCTAAGAGACAGAGTAGTTGAAAGCTGGGAGCTCTTGGCTTCCAACTTGAGGTGGCCTTCTGGTTTGATTGATTCTTTTTTCGGCTTTGTCGGTGCTGCATTACAATCACCGCCAAGGTCCAATCCGGCAAAGAACTCCTTTGGGTCGTAGCTCACTCGGCGGTTTCCTGACTTCCTCTTTGGAAGCAGTCGCGCTCTAGCCGGCGCTTCTTCCTGGGACGGTATATCTGACTGTACTGGATATCCTGGTTCATCGTGGTGCTCGTCGTCGCTATCGGAAATCACTCGGTGCTTGCGCTTCTGTGATTTTTGCGGCGACACTGCTACAGAGACCAGTCAGCTATACGCCATAGATGGCTTGTGTCTGGCTCGACTTCTTACACTGGTTTTGAGAAATGTCCCACGACTCTGGGCGTGGTGGTGCAGGTCCAGGCCAGACTGCCTCTCTCAGATTGACATTGGGATATCTCTCTTTGATCTTGCGGGCCAGTGGGCTCTGCAACAACCTTTTTTCAGCAATCTGACGGTTGCCTACCTCAAAGTCGCCTGAGCCACGCAGCTCCGATCGCTTGTCGATGTATAGGAGGCGTAGCGCATAAAACACACCCCAGACAATATCACCATCTTTGTCAGTCATGTAGTGTTTCCAGATCGGGTGGAGGCTCAGATTTGGTTTCGGGGGGCCACTCGTAGTAGCCAGCTTCCTCAGTATGAAATGGCATTCATTGATCTCAGGTTGCTTCATCTCTAGCGCGTACTTGTTGAGCCAGTCCTGATATGCGCGGGCTACTGGAGGCAGCGTGCCCTCTGCAACATTGTTGTTCGGGTTCATGACGTGAAGACACCGCTTGTTGAAGCAAAAGTCAGAAGGCTGAATTCTTGAGTCTTCCAAGAAAGATGAAGCCGATTCTTTCACATCTGGAGATGAGCCAAGCCACGAGGTTGAGGTGGTGTGGTCGAGAAACGGTGAAGCCCATTTCTTTCACGTAGGTGGAAAGCATGTAATGAAAAGAAGGGCAAAGCAAGAATGCTGGACTCCACTGGCAACTCTCAAAACAATTCACTATTAGCGCGTGACGCGACCCTTCGTCTGATACAGAACGGTCCGGTGCATGCCTACCTTACTGCCCACTGACCGGAAGTTGATGTCCGAGTCACTCAGGACTAGAGCTGGCGTTAAGCGAGTGCACAGTGCAGTTCATAAAGCCGCACCTATCAGAAGCTAGGTACAGAGTATCAGGAAGTCCTATCAATGATGCAATTGGGTCTCCAAGGTCATGGAACTCGTTGGATTTAGGGTTGCGTGCACAATTTCAACTTGCTGTATGAAGCCCCTGACATAATAAACAAACCACTTACATGTATGAACCGTTTTACGAAACACAAGATCCAAGGCACAAAGCTTAGATACACAGACAACCTAGACCTGTATGTCAAAAGAACACCCATGGCACTCGCTCCTCCATACGTGCGTTTCATCAATACAAGACAGCCTCAAGAAAATGCATCTCATATAGAACATGTATGCGCCACAGAGTCACAATATAATGTATTTGTACATGTACCAAAAAGAGTACTTGGCTACTAGTATTGTACTACGCAAAATCTAGCAATCTAGGTTGCTTCAACTTCCCTGTTCGTCTCTTTGCCGTCCGCACTTCACGCAACCCACTTCAATCAACAAGTAGGCCGAACAGTTGTCCCCCCAAAAGATTGTATGTTTGTAGTGACATGGCTCAATCTTTCATTTCAGATCCGCTTTGTTTCCAAAGCCGCACGTGACGGTGGCTTTGAAGTGGGCTCTTGCAATCTTGACAATACCCCTTTTCCCTCTTCCGTTCTTAAGAAGTCGATTTCATGTCGTTGAACTGACCATTAATCTTACGCTTCATGCCGATCATAATCTTTTCTTGCGATTCCATATGCTGTATAAGTTCGGTCTGCTGCAAGGTGGTTTGTACAAGCAGTCGCTTCGCCCCAGCATGTGCCTGTTGAAGTTGAGATAGTTCACGCTGAAGCTCGGCAAACTGATCTTTTGCTGTTGCTGGAACCGGGTCGGTCACCGTTGTCGTTATTTCACTTGTTTCCACAGGCGTATGGCCAGGTTCCACGACGCTTTTGCTGCAGGCTTGTTGTATGGATGGCCCACAACAAGACGCTGAAGCAACAAAGGTCCTGGCACGCCTATCGGGCAGTCTTCGATCATTGACTGGGGGCGTGGAGTCTCGTTCAACCTGGTCATATGTTTCGTTCCTGTTCAAAAGGCTTGTCTGCTCTTCTTGGCTATTGATCTTCGACGGACTGACTGGTTGTATCGAGTTCGCGCGGTATTCCTTCTGTTCAGAGATGCTGCGATCGCTGGTCCTTGATGGGATCAATGTCTCCTAGTCATCATCCTCATTACGATCGAAGTTCGCTGAAGTACGTATGGTAATCTGCCACAGTTAGTTACGAATAAAGCCGTAGGTGAGCCAATTTGCCTCAAGAACAGACTTCATTGGCCTCAAGTGCTATGATCGGGTTCTTCACTCACAGTGTCGAACTTCTCATCGAATGTCGCTTGGCCAGAAGTTGGACCCTCATCTGCTTTGATTTCTTGGAGTCCCTCGCTCTCGATCTCATTCCAGGAAGAATTGCCGACGTCTTGCTGCTTGCTCTTGAAGGCATCAGGACCGTTAGACGCCGTAGTGTCAAGTTTCTTGGGGCTATTGTCCGAACCATCTCCTCGGATTTGCTTCTGTGGCACGCCAGAAATATTGCAAGTGCGCTTCCTCTTCTTGTCTTTGTGTTCCACGAAGCCAGCTACCTTGTTGAAGGCATGGAAGCGCTTCCCATCCCCAGGCGAGCCTGACCATCTCTCGCCTAGGATAGGCCACCAATGAGGACGAGCAGGAGCTCTTCCAGGCCAAGTGTTGTACTCAAGGTCTATTCCAGGGTATCTCTGCTTGATCAGAGTGGCAAGATCGGAGCGTAATAGCTTGGTGCCCACGTCGTCTTTCCACTTCCTCTTTGCGCTGCCTCGCAGTTCTTGGTATTGTCGTCGTTTGTCAATGTAGAGAAGTCGTAGGCCGTAGAAGACTCCCCAAACGACGTCGCGCTTGTTTGTCGTGTATCGGAGAAAGACCCAGTGTTGTGTCGGGTCGTTCTCTGACCTATCGTCGGGTCGGAGGTAGGCTGCCACGAACTTGCACTCTTCGAGCTCAGGCTTTCGCATTAAGCCTTTGTGGTGATCTAGCCATTCGTTGTATGCTTTATGAACCGGCGCCAGCGCGGAGGGGATGTGCATTCCTCCAGAAGGATTCATTGCTGGTATGTTTTAAGAGAGGTGGGAGCCAAAGCGCGAGAAGATGAAGTTGAGAAGAGGATGAACCCAAAGTAAGACACCTCCAATGAAACCAAGCCTACGCTTGTCTGTCCGAAGTAAGCAGATTCAGCTCGGTGCCACAGACAGGATCGGCATCCAGGCCCTTCCAGTGTCGGCTTTACCATAGATTTTCATGTTGCTGGTGTTTGTTGCATACATGTAGTCCTGCACGCAACCGCCAAGGTACCCATACCGGTCGAAGCAACATGAAGCACCAATACCTGGATAAACGCCAAGGCAATGGAGTCACCATGATTACTCCATCGAGCTTGCGCAACGACAGAATCCCATGGCAATGTTATTTTCGCAAACAGTCAAGACAAACGAGTAGCCAACGTTCACGCATTCTCCTGCGTTGAAGAGAAACACCTGTGTCCTTGTTGGGTAAGTTTGGCATATATATTCAGCAATAATATCCATAACATGGATTGCCAGAGACTGAACCCCAGCTCTTTGAATCTCCACGCCTATTTTGGCGCTCTGTCTCCCCTTTGAAAGACGAAAAGCGCCTCATCCTTGCCTCCAAAGCTAGGCAGGGGTATTTGGACGACCTTGGTCCAATCCTTATGTTCGTTCGCCATGTACTCAGACATGGTCCACTTCTTGAAGCCCGTGTAACCGTTGTGGTTTTGCGTGCCCACAACTGCTATCGTGTCGCCCTGGTACGCCTTGACGAGGTCGCGGGTGAAGCCACCTTCTGAGCCTCCCCCTATGCTCCCGCCTACCACGGGGTACACCAGCAGCAGTACCATGTCTTTCCCATTTTTGTGCTTCTTCAACCACTGAACGCCATCTGAGATGACAGTGTCGTCCACCCAGTTGACCCTCCACTCACTCTGCATGTTGTCGACGGGGTTAACCATCAGCCCATAACGACGCAGCATGTATGCCCAATAACCATTGCCAGAGCCAATGTCAGCCACAGTCCTCCCGTCCGCAAGTAGCCTGAGTATTTCCAAAGACTCATGCGAAGGTGTCGCGCAGCCAAAGTGGTGCATGAAAATAGGGAGCACATGGTGACTTCCGGTTCTTCTCTCCGCTGACGGCGACGGTCCACACCACTGTAGGGCCCGGCACGACCACGCCCAAAAGTCAAAGTAGGGATTCTGCGGCGCAGACTTTTTCACCTTTGGTATCGTGAGGGTTGTCTCCCTCGAAGGATGGATAAAGCGCTTTGAGAGTAGATTCTCTGCAACTTCGGCGCGCAATGACTCTTTTTTGGCATTCGTGCTGAAGTTCTTGAGCGCAGATGAGGTCAGTGTGCCAGGAGCAAAGATTGATACATAGGCGTCGATGTCTGCCTTGGAAGGATGCCCTTTCTTGAATAATGTCAACACAGCTCCTACAGTACGTTCCGTGCTTTGTAACCCACCGATGTTCCATCTTCGTTATGGTACCAATCATGCAGTCCTTTCTCATCCCCAAGCTCGACGATTCGTTGAACCTGTGCGAGCTTCACGCTGACCATCGCATGATATGTGTACTGATCAACCTCTGCCAGGTCAAAAATGACTCGGCTGGCATTGTACAGGTCATCTTTGAGAAGTAGTTCGTTGGCTTTCTTGAGACGTTCCGGGTTCTCGATGAGATCGTCCGGCTTGAATTTGGGACTGTCTACGCAGTGCACAAAACGACCTGCGCGCGACATCGTGTCTAGGAAGTGTCCGTGTTTTAGGATTTTGTCAGTGTGCTGATGTTAACCCATATTTTACATGTCATGACGATGGTGTTGACATGAATCCCGGAGATGCGGGGCATTCAAACACGCTCAAAAATGAGCGTTGATACACTCTTGCTCAATATCAATTATTCTTCCGAGTTCAATGAACTTCGAGACCAAGCATTGCAGAGAAATACCGCACGGTATTATCTGACAAGTAAGTTTAACATGCACTTCGTGCGATGACTTTGGGGATGCCTGCTCAAGTCTGCTGGATGTGCGCAGGGTAGGCAGGTGCTCCTCACGGTACCTGCCTCTAACGCAAATTGGATGTGGGTGCTTAACGCGCTCCCGCACTCACGCAACGCGTCTCCCCCACGAGGAAAGTTCACGGATCAAGAAACACACACCCACACACTCAATGCTGGTTGCATGATCGGGTCGAGGATTTCTGAACGGCGCTGCGCATTTATCTCAGACTTGTATCCACCTCAACGTCCCTTTATGCCATTCGAAGAGCGTTCCGATGTCGACCACCCGCCGCCGTTCGCGCAGCGCACTCGAGGAAGATGACAGCGACGTCGACACCGTCGATGGCACGGAGCCCGCATCGCCTAAGAGGATGCGAAGAACAGACTCCATCATCGACGATAATACACCCGAGCCGAGTGGATATGTGAATGGCGATCGCCAGCATGAAAAGATCGCCAAGGTGTCGGAAGATGACTACGCCCCTGGTGCCATTATCCGCGTCTCCGTCAAGAACTTTGTCACGTACGAGAAGGCCGACTTCTTTCCTGGTCCAAACTTGAACATGGTGATTGGACCAAACGGGACAGGCAAAAGCTCGCTCGTATGCGCTATCTGCCTGGGTCTAGGCTACGCACCAAAACACCTCGGGCGAGCAGGGTCCGTGAAAGAATTCGTGAAGCATGGCAAAGACATGGCCACCATCGAAATTGAACTTCGCAAGCGAGAGAAGGACCGACGGAACTATATCATCAAGGTGCAGATCAGGCGTGAGCAAAACTCGCAGAAGTGGTGGTTGAACGGCAAGGAGTCAAGCCATAAGAATATCCAGACCCTGATGCGCGAGCTCAAGATCCAGGTGGACAACCTCTGTCAGTTCCTGCCCCAAGATCGAGTCGTGGAATTTGCGGCTTGCACTCCTGTCGATCTGTTGCACGAAACACTCCGCGCTGCTGCCCCCGAGGAGATGCTTGAGTGGCAGTCTAAACTGCAGGGTCTACACGCGGAGAAGAAGGAGATGACGGCAACCAACGACGCCGACAAAGACTACCTCGCGAACCTCGAAAATCGCCAGCAAGGCTTGCAGGCGGATGTGGATAGGCTCCGGGAACGAGAGGAGATCCAGAAGAACGTTGAAAATCTCAAGTCGGCGCACAAGATGGCACTCTACCAAGACGCACGCCAGGCCCACGTGGCCGCGAAAGCGAAGCGCGACGAGGCGAAAAGGGCACTCAAGCGTCTCGAACACAATAGCGGTCCCTCGTTGCAAGCCGTGAAAGACAAGCAAGACTACGCCACGCGAGTGCAAGCTGTGATACCTCTCAGAGAGAAGGCGGCAGAACTGGCGAAAAAGGACATCGTGGCATTGGCTGCGAAGGTTTCCAGTGCCGCCTCAGAGGTGAAGGATGCCAATCACAGCATTGAAGCAGAGAGGAAAGGCTTCGCTAATCAAAGGAAGGAGATGGGCACAATCAAAGCTACGATCAACAATATCCAAGCCAAGCTGAGAAAAACCCCACCCCCAAGAGACTGGTCTGATGTCAACCACAAGATTGTAAGTAAGAACTGGATGATATAAGAGCCGACACGCTGACGATATCAAAGCGCAGCATGTCACACGAAGAGCGAGAGCTCGGTGCTGAAGATGATCGCCTCAAAGCCCAGATCCACAACATTTCAGAGGAAGGCAAGGCTAAGAGGCGGGAAATCCAAACGACGGAGAAGAACATTGAATCTTTCAACACCCAGCAAGGGCAGCAAATGGCACTCATGCAGAAAAACTTCCCCGAACACGCTAAGGGCTGGGAATGGGTACAGGAGCACCAGAATGAGTTTGAGAAGGAGATCTTTGGGCCGGCCATGGTCACTTGCTCGATCAAAGACGAGCGATACTCTGATCAAGTGCAGTCTGTACTTGGCCAAGAGGATTTCACGTGCTTCACCGCGCAAACGACCAACGACTTGACGAAACTCAACGACCAGCTCCTAAGAACCATGAGCTTGAGTGTCGCTACTCGCTCATGCGCAAATCCCCTCTCGTCTTTCAAGACGCCCGTGGCTTTGGAGGAGGCTAGGCGCCTGGGAATGGAAGGCTTCGCCATCGATTACGTGGATGGTCCTGAGCCCGTCCTGGCCATGCTCTGCGCCAGTTCCGGCTTACACAGAGCTGGCATATCATTGCAGGAGCACACGGACCAGCAGTACGAGGCGATTGTGCAGAGCGGTGCGATCAATTCGTGGTCTGCCGGAAAGACTGCGTACAATATTCGCCGCCGGCGCGAATACGGACCTGGCGCTGTGACGACGGTAACGAAACCAGTTAAGGGGGGTCGTTTTTGGAAATCACAGCCTCTCGATTCCGCCGAGCTGAACGAATACAAGCGTCGACTTGCTCAGGCATCAGAGGAGTTTGCAAGGCTCAAATCGCAATCAAACGACTCCAAAACCCGGAAGGGTGAGATAGAGGAAAAGCGAGCGAAACTGCGCACCGAAATCGTACGTGTGGGGAGGTGTCGTGCTTCTTGCTGTGGTCATCTAACAATCTCTCTAGGAAACATTACAAGCCGAGAAGAATGAGCTCCAAAGAGAGTGGCAGCGTTTCAACAGCTTGCCAGACCAGCTGGGTAACGATCACCACGGCGTCTCACACTGAACCAGCTAACGCATTGACCAGAGGCTGAGGAAACGAAGAAGAAGAATTGCGAGAATGAAATGAACGCGATCCGCGGTCGTATCAGCGAGTTGAATTTGAAGTACGACAAGGCCACCGTCAAACGTGCCGAATTGGCGTTGCAGCACGCAAACGCCCTTGAGCAGTGCCGAATCGCTCTAGATGCCCTCGTCGAGACAAAGATCTGGCATCTCGAGGCCGAGTCTGACCTAGAGGGCCTGACAGCTCGCAATGCTAGCATCATGCAGCAACTTGATGACCAGAAACGTGTCTTTGACGAAGCTGCCGCAGAGGCCGAGACAGCACGAACCATGGGCAAGGAGTATCGCGAAGCCGTGGAGATTATGATGGGAGAGAACCCGAGCGAGGAATGGCGTGCTACCATCACTGACCTCTGCCAGGACAAATCAGCACCCGATCTCGTGGTCGAGTACGAAGCTGAAGAATCCAAGCTCGAGCTCATACAAGCCGCTAACCCCAGCATCATGCGGGAGTTTGAGCGGCGAGCAGCCGACATTGATCGCCTGAAGCGGAAACAAGCCAACTCGCAGGAGAAGCTGCAGAGACTCAACGAAGGCATCGAGGCACTCATGGCCAAGTGGGAGCCAGAGCTGGACAAGCTGATTGACAAGATCGACAGGGCATTTGCCCATAACTTTGAGCAGATTCAGTGTGCTGGCGAGGTCCGCGTCCACAAGGCCGACGATTTTGACCTCTGGGCCATTGATATCCTGGTCAAATTCCGGTAAGCCCCCCTATCTTCTGCCCCTTTGTGAAAGACCCCTCAATGCTGACTGCCTCTAGTGAGAGCGAAGAACTACAACAACTGACCGCCCACCGTCAGTCAGGCGGTGAGCGTGCCGTGTCCACAATCTTCTACCTCATGGCCCTCCAGTCGATGGCGCAGTCCCCGTTCCGCGTCGTCGATGAGATCAACCAGGGTATGGATCCTCGGAATGAACGCATGGTCCACGAGCGCATGGTGGACATTGCGTGCAAAGAGCATTCGAGCCAGTATTTCCTCATCACGCCCAAGCTGCTGACGGGCCTCCGCTACGATTCGCGCATGAGGGTGTTGTGCATTGCCAGTGGAGAGCACATGCCGGAAGACGGAGAGAGGTGTGATTTCAGAGAGTGCCTCAAGGTGCAGAAGATGTTGCTCCGGGCGTAATCAGTAATGGAGAGCCTTCTTAAAACTGGGTTACACGTCACATTGACACACCCAAGGACGGAGATAGACGAGGTAAAACACAATTGTGAGCGATTTCATATCAACATTGGCCATTTCGTCCGCATTCCACGTTCAGAAAAGACTAGAGACGCTCTAATAAAAGTACCAACTTCCACATCCATCGCACAAATATCCCTGCCTCGAGGCAGCATGCTGCTGTACACCCTCTCTTCCTCCACTGATGAGGGCGCCAGCTATGTGGCGAACCGAGTTCCAACGCCCGTGAGGTCACGCAAAAAGAGTTGTATATATGGGTCATTAGGAAAGACCAAAGACAAGATCGAGAAACAAAAATTGAAGAGAGCAACGGAAAAAAACAAGAAGTACCGTGTTGTAGCTCAGACCTTGCTCAGCAAAGAATTAAGCATCGTTCGGGACGAACAACAGCACGAAGAGCATTCGTGAGTAATTGTACGAGCACAGGCTATGCTGGCCGAAAGAAAAAAATCCCAACTCCGCTTCGACCGATGACAATTGCTTTCAAAGTGTACAATTCGTGAGAGGTGCCAAGGACGAGACACCACCATCGCGGAGGTCCCGCGCATGTGGCATCGGGTATAATATGCATCAGGAAACGCTTTCGCGATATCCAAAAACTCAAGTGCCAACGTTATGGCAAAAGAAAGAAAGACTTAGACGTGGCGGACCTTGTCGACAGAGGCGGTGCTCTCCTCCGTGTCGAGTTTCTTCCGCCAGTCCGCGAGACTTTCGCTCAGCCCGTTGTCGTCTGCGTCTTTCCTGCCCGAGGCGGCATTCGGGTCGAGATCAAAGTTGGTGCTGAGCCGGTAGTTTTTGTTGGTGGCCTCCCAATGGGTTCGCAGGGTCTCGAGCTCGCTCGCCAGGCTGTCGAGCGCCGCGCTGTTCCTTGCGTTGGAAACCTCATTGCCAGCGTCGTGCAGCGACTCGAGCTCGGAGCTCTCGTTGCGGGCATGCCCCATGCTGTGGGCGCCATTGAGACCGGCGCCCAGCTCAGAGTTCATGCTGGGAGCTTGCTTGCTTTGGCGACGGTAGTTGTCGACCGAGTGCTCGACCTGGTCGAGGAGCAGGGAGACCTTTTGCTCTGCGTCATAAGCACGCTGCTCGAGAAGCGCGTTCTCAGACCGAAGCTGCTCAAACTGCGTCTTGTGCGAGCCGAAATCCTTGGTGACCTGCTCGCCGTGCGTCAAAGCCTCATCGCGTTGGCGCTGAACGGTCCTGAGCTCTGTGCGGACAGTCTCCAGCTCCTTCTCGAGATGGACACCAGACTCCCGAAGCTCAGCCTCCAGACCCTCGATTCTCTTCTGCAGGGCCACTCGCTCAGCCTCCCAATCAGCGGCTGCCGCATTCGCCTGCCCGTCAGACTGCAAGCGGTCCTCTAGCTCCTCAATGTCGGATTTGAGCTGTCCGTTCTCCGTTTTGTATCGGTTAAGCTGCTCTTTGAGCTGCTTTAGCATTTGTTCAGTACCCTTGACGTAATGGACAGCTGATCGGTAGTCGTTCTCGAGTTGCGATAGTTTCTCGCGGTACATGGTGTCCGCTTCTTGCTGCTGGACAGCGAAGGCCTGTTTAGACTCCTCGTGCGCTGCGTGAGCGCCAGCTAGCTGCGACTCGAGCTCCTTCAGTCGGCCCTGCTCAGGAGAGCTTGTGCGGGGGCTGGCGAGTCCTCGGGCTCGAACAGCGGCAGTCGGACTGATACCACGCTCACTGAGGATGTTCTTGAGCGCGCTGTGCTGCACCGTCATGGCATTGGTCTCCAACTGCTGAGCGGCCAGGCGATTCTTGAGATCCGTGTTGAGAGCCTGGAGCTGTTGCGTGTCCTTGAGAGCGGATTGTAGTTGACGGCGGATGCCCACTCCCTCGCGACTGGACTGCTCTTGGTACTGCTCCAGTCCAGCGATGCGCTCCTCCGCACTTCGTAGTTTGTCGGCTGCGGCATCGGCTTCCCGCTGGTACTGCTTGACCAAGTCATTGGATGTCTGGACCTGCTTTTGCAGTGCGAGCACACGGTCGCTCTCGGCCTTGCCAGACTTGCCTTCATCGCGAAGAGAAATCTTGTCAAGGCCGGTGATGACCGCCTCGCGATGCGTTTTGGCCTCGTGGGCATGTCGCTCTGCCAGTTCCTCGGCATCCTTGAGGCGCTGGGTGACTGTAGCCAACTCTGCAGTGCGAGCTTCAAGCTCCACTTTAAGCTGGTTATACTTGCTCTCCAACACTTCGCGCTGCGCTCGCTCCTCATTCAACTTGGTCTGTAGGTGGGCCTTGCCGTCCTCCGAGGATGCGATGGCGGCTCGAAGAGAGACAAAGGTGGCATCGTGGTCCTCCGAAGAGCCCTTGGCGTTCTCATATTTCGAAACGACGTCGTCCTTCTCAGCCTTGAGCAGCTCCAACGAGGCAATGGCTTCGGCGGAGGCAACGGACTTCTCGCGCGCCTCTCGCTGAGCCGCATGCAGTTCAGCCTTCAGGCGCTCCACCTCGGTAGACGTTTGCTGCTTGTAGGTCTCTAGAGCCGTCATTCTCTTCTCGGCAGCACTCGTCGTGTCGTCGGCCAATTTCCTCGCCTTCTTCTCGTTATTCAAATCAGCGCGAGCTTGAGCCAGCTGGCTCTGTAGATCCTTCTGATATTGAAGCGCTGCGCCAAGCTTCCTCTCCATCTCTCCCGTTCTGAAGCTGGCATCTGCCGGGGTGAATGTTTGGTCCGCACTCGCATCACCCAGCTGGGAGGCTAGCTTGGCCTTGGCGTACAGTGCTTCTTGAACAGCGGCATCCCGTTGCCTTTCCACCTCGGCGATTTGCTTTGAAGCAACGGTCGCTTGCTGGTCTATGGCACCCTGTACCTTGGCGAGCTCGGTCCTCATGGCCAACAGAGCTTCGATCAATGGTCGATCTTCATCATCAAAAGTTTCCGGAATCTTGCCGTCTAGTACGGGGCTCGACGTGTTAGGAACGAACCCAGCTTTTCGGGCGAGCTCCAACTCCGAAGCATACCAAGCATTTCGATTCCGAGCAGAGTCCAGCTCTTTGAGCAGAACAACGGTTTGCGAATTGCGGCCCGATGACCTTCTTGATAGAGGGTTACTCGGTTGGCGGGTAGGCGGAGGAGGAGATGCAGGTGGCTGCATAGCCTTGAGGCCAGGCTCGATGGCGCTGTCGACAGATGCTTTGCTACCAGCCTGGCGGGTCTGAGACTTGGAGATATCGGAGCTCTCCAGTCTTGGAGCACTCTTGGGTTGTTGCGCTTGCGATTGCTGTGTCGGCGTGCTGCGCCCGTTCATACCGACACCAACCGCGGGCGGAATGACTGGTTCATTCTCCATGATAGGTTCCCTGGTGATAGGCGAGTTCTGGTTGGAGCCGATCAATGGCGATCCGGCCGGTCCAGCACGGTCCGCAGATGGCCCGCGTACTCTTCCAATTGCCGATGCTTGCTCGCCAGGGCGCATAGGTACAGGACCAGATGGAGGTGGACCAGCTGCGCTCGGTGCAATCCGCGGTAGTTTGGAGCCTGGCCCACCAACGACCCCTTGGAACCCCTGAACGGCAGCTTCCGCACCATTTGGTGGCGGTGAACGATGACCGTTTGGCGGCGTTCCTGCGTTGTTGGTAACTCCAATAAGCCTGCGCTGGTCAGGCCCATTAGAGCCGTCGCGAGTCGAGCCGATGCGAGCGGCATTCGGACCGTCAGATACGCTCGGGCGCCTTCCTTGACCCTGTGGCAGGCGTTGTTGCTGCGACTGCTGGTTGTCGGATGGGTACCTGATCTTGGTGGTGTCGAGGACGTAGAGGATTCCCAAGTCATTGGCGGACGAGGTCGCTGAGCTGGGCTCGCCTCCGACTGTAACGATCGACTTGCCCACAGTGGTCATGCTGTGGCCGGAGCGCGGCGAGGGCGAGGGGCCCATGTTCTGGAACGTATACCACCTGCGGGTCGAGATTCGGAAGGCCGCGAGGTCACCAAGATCGGTACCCTCCTCAGTTCGCCCGCCAAAGATGTACATGACGTCGTCCACCAAGGCTGCCGCATGCCCTTCGCGAGCAGCTGGGATATAACCTATACAGTCAAGCTGGGCCCACTGGTTGAAGGCCGGATCATAGCACCAAACATCGTTGAACCACTGGATGCCGTTTGTGCCGCCAAACCTGCGATGTACATGTCAGATCAGATGGTCGACGTGGATCGAGTGTAGTTTGGAGTTCTACTCACAGGTACATCTTGTCGTTATATGTGATCACTGAGTGATTTGTCCTAGCAGCCGGGGTGTTCGAGGAGCTGTCGCCATGCAGCAAGATTTCCCAGCGGTTGTTGGGCAACTGGAGCTGGTTCAAGTCGAACGCCGACATGTCGTTCATGAACTCATTCTCGACCTGGCCGCCAAAGATGTAAATTTTTGAACCGATGATATTCAGAGAATGGCCATAGCGACCAGACGGACGGGGTCCGGCAGGTAGAGCTCGCGACCATTGACGTGTAGCTAGAGCATGTTAGCGTGGCGCCCCAGAATGCTACTTCATGCGACTCACAAGTGTTCAACAAGTATAGGGTCTCATCCAGGACGTCTGACTCGTCGATCTTCGTGTCACCGCCATAGACAATAAAGGCATTGCCCACCAACAAGCTCGAGTGGCCAACTCTGGGGCCGGGACCCTCGGCTGTGGTAGCAAGTGGGTAGCAGGCCATGTTACCGCCAGCCTCGATCATCCACAGATCGCCTTTGACGGTCGAACTGTTGATCAAGCCGCCCATCATGTATATGTCACCTTCTTTTGACGATATCGAGTTGACGGCTGCGCCATAGCGAGGGAACGGCGAAGGGTGCGACGAGGTGTATGTGAGTCGGCGCTGAGACCAAGGGTACAGAGACGCATTGTTCATGGCGGGCGGAGGTGGCCCATTGCGAAGCTGCACGTTAAACAAGACAGTCAGAAACAAATGCTAAATCACCTCGTCTTGTGAAGATGACTTACCGGTAGATCGCTTTGCGGTTGAGCTTGTCGCTGCTGCTGGACTAGCGGCTGAGCTAATTGCTGTGGCAGCTTCGGGTTGTCTATGCTCCCGCCCCTGCGTTCGTGTGCTCCCCGGTCGGGACTGTTGGGCATGCCTTCCGTGTCGATTGAGTTCTTCTCAATCGAGTTGAGGCTCCCTGTAGGCGTTGCGCGATGTTGCGATGAGCTCTTCTCGGACGCCGGTCCGCGACCGGCGGCATTCTGTGGTGATCCTTGTCCTGCACTGCCATCGCGACTCGCTAATGATCGGTCCTGGTTCTTTTTCGATTTGGAGAAGAGAAACGCCATGGCTGACGACAGCCGCGGTGCGGCGCTCGTAGATCAACTATCAAGGCTATGCACGTCGTTGTTGGGCGATGCGCTTGGTGCTTGTCGCTGCGGGTACGGAAGGTAAGTTTGTACGGAGTAGCAGACGGTCGGTCGCACGGTCGAAGGCGGAAAAGGAGTGCAGCAACGGGACGGACGGTGGATGGAACGCTCGACCGACGATGGACTTGCTGAAAGAGGGCTGGTAGCAAAGACGACTGGAGTCGGTAAGGCAATGAGGGAGTGGTGTTCTTGGTCCAAGCCTGGAGATGGCTGGGAGTTCTGCTGGTGCTGGTGGAGGCTTCAGGGGTGATCGTCCCGAAATTTCTGGCAAGGTCAGCCTCCCATCCTTTTAGGGGATCCAGCCAGGTCTACGCTACCAGGATGACGACGGCCGTTTGGCAGAAGAGTCGCTTGGTACTTTTAAACGGAGCAGAGGAATACACAAAGCCTGGGTAAACACGCAGTGCTAAGAACGGCGCCGCTGCGAGCAGGGCAGAAAGTGAGGCGCATCGACTCGCGATGTTGGTGAAGAATGGGCGAACGGACAGATGGTGGATGAACGGACCACGAAGCGCAATAATTACCAGGTATCCGTACCTACATGAATTATTACAGCATCGGGGTTGCAGCACAAGGGGCTGCCAGTGCACAGATTACCTTACTGCGTAGTAGTGCTTTACCCAACATGGCAATGTTCAGGAGTCCTTGGTGGGCAGGCTTGAAGCCGGCCCGGAAGGCCAGGCAGCCTATTCTAGGTCACTTGGAGGGTCCGGCAGGTGCTGCGCTCACTGTGATGTGACGACTGGACGCACTGGATCGCAAAGGCCAGGCACCAATCGCCCCAAGACTTCCAGGTTGGGCTAGCGTGCAGCCGTGCGCTGTGGTCCCAGCCAATGGAAGCCAGGCGCAGTAATGTCAGGGGGCGGGACCCGCCCAGTCTGCGAATCGAGGTGTCCAATGACCTCCAGTCGCTCGTGGCTGGACCCACCCAGTCAACCACTGGCACTGCACTCATCAGCTATCACTCGGGCCAATTTGGCTGAGCTGGGATGCTCACATTGTCTCATTGACCGGCCTCACCAGGTTTGGGAATGCACACCAGCCACGTTGACTATACGAGTACAGCGGACAGGCTGCAGGGGCAGAATGAAGTGGCCTTGGCAAACAGCGGTTTCATAATTCCATCCATTGATATACCCGGGCTGCCATTGCAGAGAGCAAGCAAGGGGTTGGAGGTCATTTGCGTGTGTGCCTTCATGTCTGTAGCTAGCCAACTCGAATAATCGAATACTAATACATAAACGATTATTCGCTGCTAAATGGATGACCATCGTCCCCTTTGCCTGCTTGTATTCGCAATGCTTGCCCATCAGAAGCGCGCATTTAGATAGTGTTTACAACAATATTACAATAAGTTTGAGCGTGATATCGGTCAGGTGTCGCATGTGCCTCACTCGACTACCAAGTACTGACCAGTTAGCCACGACAAACATGCTTTCCCAAGGCCAAATAGTGTACGGTAACGAAATGTCGATACCTTGAAAATATCTCCAAGTCTACTGCTCAATATCACTAGCCATAATTGTGCCATTGTTCATGATTAATGTACCTCATGAGCTCGCTGACGAATGAGGGTCCCGCCAGCCGCCAGTCGTCATAGTAAGTAATCGGGCTTGGGCTGGACCAGAAACTCAACTTCTTTCTTCGGCCCAAAGTTAACGCTCTGCAGCCGCGCACCGACTTTTGACTTTCACGATATTCGTCGCATGCTTCTTCATTCTCACACCTCTGCTTTTCCTGGTTGATCGCATGCGCTTGATTCCCCGCAGCAGGCGAGCCATTCGTTCTTGCGACATGCATGCATTGTGCGACTGAGCTCACATCATGACGACCGCGTCTGCGCAGACGCCTCCAGCTCCGCAGCCACAGCACTCCTCCCCTCGCAACGCCGCCGGCTCATCAAAACCCCAAATGCTGGACCACACACTACGCTCCTCCTTCGCCTCGCAAGCGGACACGATACGAGATGCAAGCTCTGGCCAAGGTGGCGCCACGAGGAGGACGTCTCGCCAGGATATGAACGGGACATCTTCTCAGGGCAATGGCTCGATCAACGGAGAGACATCGCGGTTTCGCACGGGACCTCTCGGCAGCTATGGCGACGACAATGGATCGAACGACGAGGACGAGCGGAGACCGACGAGCGCCCCTGGACGAGAGAACGATAATGCCATTTCACGCGAGGCGCGGGACGATTCAGGCTCCGCGCGCCCTGCTCGACCGGGCAAGCCTCAACTGTCAAGATCGAAGAGTGAATTTGGACCTCGGCCGGTTCCGCGAGACGACACGCAGTCTGAGCAAGACCTGTCGGACTGGGGCGCGCGGCATGGCTTCGAAGATCACTATCAATCGGAGCAGATCATATCCCAGCTTGCTAATGTACGTACTTGAGACATATCGGTGGTCATAGTACTGACTTGGTGTATCAGAATTGGTGCATGTACTTTGCCGAGAAACGACACGAAACGACTGGCAAGCCCGGAGCGCTACCATACGAGCTGCAGGAATGGCGGCAGCGCGATCGGCTCAAGACTGTATCGGCTGCTTTGGCAGTCTGTCTTAACATTGGCGTCGATCCCCCGGATCAGCTCAAGACCAATCCGGGAGCAAAGCTGGAGGCGTGGACGGATCCCACCCTACCCCCAGCCCAGAAGGCTCTAGAGAACATAGGAAAGGCCTTGCAGGCTCAGTATGAGAACCTGGCCATCAGAGCGCGTTACAAGCAGTACCTGGACCCCTCGGTGGAGGAAACCAAGAGGTTCTGCATTTCTTTGCGCCGCAATGCCAAGGAGGAGCGAGTTCTGCTACATTACAACGGACACGGCGTGCCGAAACCCACGGCATCGGGGGAAATTTGGGTCTTTAACAAAACCTACACCCAGTACATTCCGGTGTCGCTGTTCGACTTGCAGCATTGGCTGCAAGCCCCGACGATATTTGTGTGGGATTGCTCCGAGGCTGGGAACATTCTCAACAACTATCACCGGTTCATCGACAAGCATGAGGAAGAGGAAGAGAAAGCTCACGAGGAGAATCCAGCCCACGAAAAGATCAACTTCAGGCCCTACATCCACCTGGCTGCCTGTTCCGTCAAAGAGCAGCTGCCGACCAACCCTCGCCTACCGGCTGACTTGTTCACAGCGTGTCTCACGACGCCTATCGAGATGGCTCTATGGTTCTTTGTACTGCAAAACCCCCTCAAGACCAACATTACCCCCGAGAGAGCCAAGGAATTGCCGGGCCGTCTGCAGGAAAGACGCACACCGCTGGGGGAGCTTAACTGGATCTTCACTGCCATCACCGACAGCATTGCTTGGACATCGCTTCCTCGGGATGTATTTCGAAAGTTCTTTCGCCAGGACCTCATGGTAGCAGCGTTGTTCCGCAACTTTTTGCTGGCCCAGCGAGTCATGATCGTCTACGGCTGCCATCCGCAGTCGTACCCCGTGTTACCAGATACCCACCAACATCCCTTATGGCAGACATGGGATGTGGCCGTGGATATGGCCTTGGCCCAACTCCCCATGCTTGAAAAGAAGGAATCGGACGGTATTGAATACGAGTATCAACCCTCGACTTTCTTCACTGAGCAGTTGACTGCCTTTGATGTCTATCTCGCAAGAGGTGACGCTCTGGCGCAACGGCCCCCTGATCAGCTGCCCGTCGTTCTCCAGGTGCTGTTGAGTCAGCAACACCGAGTGCGCGCACTCGTGCTCTTGGGAAGATTCCTAGACTTGGGGCCCTGGTCTGTCCAGTTGGCTTTGAGCATAGGCATCTTCCCGTACGTCCTGAAACTTCTCACGTCAGGCGCCAACGAGTTGAAGGCTGTCATGGTCTTCATCTGGTCAAGGCTCATAGCCGTCGACATTTCCTGCCAGGCCGACTTGATCAAAGACAATGGCTACAACTACTTTGCCCAGATCCTCAAACCATCGGAGCACCTGCCCGTGGTTGACGATTCAGAACACAAGGCAATGTGTGCTTTCGTGCTTGCAATGCTGTGCAAGGACTACAAAAGCGGACAGGTCGTGTGCAACCAGACTGACATTATGACATACTGCTTGGAGCATCTCCATAATCAGCAGAACCACCTGGTCAGGCGGTGGGCATGTCTTTGCCTCAGCCAACTTTGGCGAGACCTCCCAGAGGCCAAGTGGAGGGGAATCCGCGAGAACGCCCACGTCAAGTTAGCATACCTGGCCAAAGATCCCAACACTGAGGTGCGAGCCGCCATGATTCACGCGTTGACGACGTTCCTCGGCATTCCCGATTTGACGGAAGAGGTGGCAAGAATTGAAGAGGCGGTTGCGTGGACGATTCTCGACATTGGCAACGATGGCTGTCCCATTGTGCGTAAAGAGTTCCTGGTCTTCCTGTCGCACTTTGTCGTTCGCTTCGAAAGCAAATTTGTTGTCGCAGCCTACGAGCAGCTCCTTGAGGAGAAGGACTATCTGCAGTACCCTGCTCAAAGCAGTGACTTTGACCACAAGCCAGGTCTGCACTATGCTCGTCCCGAGAACCGCGACGAGACCGGCGGCGTCAAGCCTGACGCACAAGGCTTCTCCTACAACACGGTGTACATGGCCTGCTGGAAACACGCACTCATTCTGAGCGTCGATCCTCACCCGGAAGTGCAAAAGTCAGCATCCTTAATCGTCGACTACGTCCATCACGCGATCGCGCAGTCTGCTGTGGGCTCTGCCGCCTCTAGCCTCATGACTGACATTCAGCGCCGGGCGCAGCGGCAGGCCAGCCGGAATGCTGCCAGCTACAGCCAGAAAACAAGCATGACCAACGGGAGCAACACCCCACCGCTGCCGTCTCCAGGCATCCTGCGTCGTACGGCGAGCCTGCTGTTTCCTTCTCTTGTCGGTGTCGACGAGAAGCCAAGCACGGGGATCACGTCTTCCACGCCCAGGTCACCCAATCCCAAGGCCGTACATCCCTCGCAGGCAGCTGCACCGCCTGAGCAGAACGACGGGTCCAGCTCGTTGGGGCCGTATCATGTGTGCCGGGAACCCATGTCTGGTGCCTTTGAGGAGCGAGACCTCTCGTTAGCGCCCTCATTGCCACTGACAAGCGGCTTCTTGGACTGGTCCACGGAGTACTTTAGGGAGCCGCAAATGAAACCGACGGAAGCTGACGAGCCGGGAAGCACAGAGTACAACGAACGATTATGGAGGCGATCACGGAACGAGGCGATCCTTCGCGACACCCAGCCACTCAAGCAGTTTGCTGGCACGCATCGCTGGAACAACCAACTCGGCATCGTCAACAATGGTTCGCAGCCGTCAAGGATGACGTTCCATCAATTCGAGGATCACCTGGCCGTGTCCGACAACGGCAACACCGTCAACGTGTGGGACTGGAAGAAGCAGAACCGGCTGAGCCGCTTCAGCAACGGCAACCCAGAGGGCTCCAGAATCAGCGACATGAAGTTCATCAACGAGGACGACCAGGCCATGTTGCTCATGACAGGATCTTCAGATGGTGTGGTCCGGGTCTATCGCGATTACAACTCGGATAGCAAGATTGAGCTGGCGACTGCATGGAGGGCCTTGACCGATATGGTGCCCAGCAACGTCAACTCAGGCATGGTGTTTGACTGGCAACAAGTGACAGGCCGCGTGCTGGTCGCTGGAGATGTGCGCGTCATCCGTGTATGGCATGCTGCCCACGAGATGTGTCTGATGGATATCCCCGCTCGCTCGGGATCATGCGTCACGTCGCTCACATCGGACCAGATGACGGGTCACTTATTCGTCGCTGGGTTTGGCGACGGTGCCGTGCGGGTCTTTGACACCCGTGCTCGACCTCAAGACTCCATGGTGCGCAAGTGGAAGGACAACTCGGATCGCCAATGGATCAAGAGCGTACACATGCAGCGAGGTGGCCAGCGAGAGCTCCTGAGCGCGAGCCGCAATGGCAAGGTCAAGGTCTGGGACATTCGTATGGACTCTCCCTTGCATACGTTTCAGACAACGCGGGACACTCTCCGCACGGCCAGTGTCCACGAGCATCTTCCTGTCTTTGCTGTGTAAGTCAACATTGTGTGCGTTTGTAAGCGCAAGCTAACAGTCTACCAGGGGAACATCGGCGCATGCCGTCAAGGTGTTCAATCTCGACGGGATGGAGCTCTCTCGCCTGGAGCCGTACTCGAGCTTCCTGCAGCAGAGTCGCGGCTCGCCGATCTCGTCGACCGCATTCCACCCCCATCGCCCGATTCTCGGCTGTGCCGCCCGTGGCGATCATCACATCAACCTGTTCACATGCGACCAGGCGGAACCCCTGACGAGGTAGAGCCCCTTCAGGACCAGACCGTCCTCCTCGCTGAAGACGATCACCGACACGGAGGAGGAGCAGAGCAGTTTTGTCATGCTTTGAGATTGGCTTGATCTTATACAATTGTAATTTAGGGGCATTGATGCATAGTCACGTTTAGCGACGGAGAGACGTGACAGATGGTGGCATGGCGTTATTTGGCAACCTTTTTTTTTTCTCGATGTGGCTCTGGATACACTGGGTTCTAGCGGGTGGGAGTGGCATTGATTCCCCTTGCTTAGATATTTACCTTAATTAATTCGCACTTGGATGACAGCACATGTTGGCATTTTCTTTGACCTACCCACATGATGAAGCTATTTCAATGTTAGCGTCTGAATGCAAAACGAGTGTGCGCGCTAACAGACGCCACCCCTCCATGGCGGTTTGGCGGGGTCAATTTTGCACCCGCACCTGCCCCGCCATGACATGGTTTTTTGTACTGATGCAGTCAGTTCCATCTATCGGCCAAAGAGTCATTCCTTTTCTCACCTCGACCTCGATCTGCTCTCGTGACTCGACTACCTCTCAACACGGGTCAGCCTTTCCAATCGGCTCTTCCAATCACCCCTACTTCGAACGCAGCATCAAAACAAAACAAAACCGCAACCATGGCCGACAAACCGACTGAACCCGCCCCCGAGAACCCTCCCGCTGCTGCTGCTGCTGCTGCCCCTGCCGGCGGCGAAGAGGGCGGCGAGGCTGGTCCCTCCAAGAAGGCTCTCAAGAAGGCCGAGGCCAAGGCAAAGAAGGAGGCTGAAAAGGCCAAGCGCGCTGCTGAGCACGCCGCCAACCAGGCCGCTGCCAAGGCTGCCGCTGGCAACACCGAAGATCTCGCCAAGGACAACTACGGCCCCGAGACGAAGACGACAAAGGTCGATGCCGAGCGCGTACACCTCAAGGACGTGGGCGAGCAGCACCTCGGCAAGACCATCAAGCTGCGGGGATGGATCCAGAACTCGAGAATGCAGGGTGCCAAGATGTGTTTCGTGGAGATTCGAGAGGAGAGGAACTGGGCAATCCAGGGTGTCCTCGCCGCCAGCCCCGAGGGCAAGCCCGTAAGTAAACAGATGGTCAAGTGGGCCGGCGGTCTCAACCTCGAGGGGTTCGTGCTGCTCGAGGGCCGCGTCGAGAAGCCCCTCGACCCCGTCAAGAGCGTGCGCGTGAGCGGCTACGAGCTGCACATTACAAAGTGTTACCTGATCTCCCCCGGCCCCGAGGTTCTGGGCATGACCTTTGCCGTGGCCAACAAGGCCGTCACCAACTTTGACGACGAAGACGCCGCGCCCGCCGCCACGGGTGTCGAGGAGGTCAAGGACGGCGTGGCGAACCTGAGCGTCGAGGGCGTGGCGGGCGCCAGCATGATCACGCACCTGAACAACCCGGCCATGCACAAGCGCGCTCCTGTGCAGCAGGCCATTGCTGATATCCGCATGGTGACTCGCAAGCTGTTCGCCGAGTACCTCGAGGCCCGCGGCTTCAACCAGTTCGAGCCCCCGTGCCTCATTGGCGCTGCGTCCGAGGGCGGTTCCAACGTCTTTGGCATGACCTACTTTGACAAGCAGGCATACCTTGCACAGTCGCCCCAGTTCTACAAGCAGTACGAGATTGCTGGCGGAAGGAAGCGCGTGTTCTCTATCGGACCTGTATTCCGTGCCGAGGTAGGCTTCTTTTCCTCTATACCCCCCTAAACGCAATAGGAAAGACAGACTAAAGAGTACTAGAACTCGAACACACCCAGGCACATGACCGAGTTCACCGGTCTCGATCTAGAGATGGAGATTGAGGAGTCCTACACCGAGGTCATTGACATGCTCGAGGGCGTCCTGCTCTTCATCCTGCGCAACCTGCGCGAAAAGTGCGCCGACCAAATCGCCATTGTCCGTTCCGTATACCCATCGGAGGACTTTGCGTTCCCCGAGCCCGGGAAGGAGGTCCGCCTGACCTTTGCCGAGGGCCAAGCTCTCCTCCGCGCCGAGGGCCCCGAGGAGTTCCGCAACGTGACCGACCACGAGGACATGTCGACGGCCCAGGAGAAGGCCCTCGGCGCCCTCGTCCGCAAGAAGTACGGCACCGACTTTTACGTCCTGGACAAATTCCCCCAGGAGGCACGACCCTTCTACGCCCTCGAGGACCCGGAGAACCCCGAGATCACCAGGTCTTTTGACTTTATGATGCGCAACCAGGAGATCCTGTCCGGCGGCCAGCGTATACACGACCCCAAGGTGCTGGAGGCCCGCATCCGCAGGAAGGGCATCGACCCCAACTCGCCCGGCATCAAGGAGTACGTCGATGTGTTCCGTAGCTGTGGCGTCCCTCCTCACGGTGGCGGCGGCATCGGCTTGGACCGTGTGGTCGCTTGGTTCTTGAACTTGCCCAGTGTGCACCTGGCGAGCTTCTATCCCCGTACCCCCAAGAGACTGGCGCCATAGATGATGTGTGTAGACATTGATAGACGCACTGTAATGACAAATGCAAGAGATGACGGACCCTCGCTCACGAATTCTAAGTTTCGAGAACTCTGGCTCTCAAAGTACGCCGTGCTGTTGTGAGCATGGATTGTGTCCTGGGCTAAGGGGTCAGTGCTCTACGAGGAGCTACTTTTTGTATCGTGGCTCTTGTTAACAAGTGAAAACCTTCTCTAGTGGAAGTGCCATTTCCTTCACCATCTGCCTGGCCATTTCGACAGGTGAAGTTGTCCCAGTGTACACAGGCACGGAGTCCGTGAGCCCGCATATGACAATCCACGGGGCCGAGGCCAGGCTTCGTTCGAGAGAGCCTGGTCTCTCTTGTCCGCCCTTTGCGTCTCATTCGTGCCTCTGCTTTGACAACGGAGCCCCTTAGCAGCTTTAGGTTGGGCTAGCGGAACCCCGGATATTAAGCTCCTGTTTACCTGGTAATATTAGAGGGTCTACGAGGAAGGTTGAGAAACGCCACAGGGATCAGCTCAACTTGGAGGGCCGACAAGGCATCACATGCATCAATATCAGCCGATTGAGCGTGGCCATAGATAAATGCTGCCAGCTCTTGAGCATTGTTATACATGTGACTGGTGACCCGCCATCCATAAAAGGGTATCGCGAGCGTGGTTGCCGCGTCCGAGCCATCGTCGTACGGTGTGTGCCGCATGTCAGATGTGTAGAGGAAGTCTAGGCGGCGGGCTCGTCAGCGCCAGGAGCAGTATAGAGTTTACAGTTTCGTCTATCTGCCAATCAGGCCTGGCAGCAAGGACAAAAATGAGTCGTGGCCAGCGCTCCGTACGCGTACCGCATTTTTGCCTTTGACACCTCCGACGGTGATATGTCTCGAAGAGGCTGAAGCTCTACCCCCCTCGCAACTGTCTCCTACGGCGGTTTGATGCGCCACTCCTTGTGGCGGCACTCTTGCACTAATCAGGACATCGGCTCGCTTCGGAGAGTAAGCGAAGAACCTCCGCACAACGGTCTCCAAGCAGGTGTGTGTTGCCCGCGCGCTTGTTGCCGGTAGTTATCGGAGCTGGTCGAAACAATTGCCTCTGTGGACGTTGGGGTTTGAACGTTTAGAGCTGGAGCTAGAGACCAGCAGCATAGCCCATCAGCCTCATTGATTTCGAATAGAAACAAATGCCTACCAAGCCTTGGGCCATCGTGTGAAGGAGTAGCAACAGATAAGCCCAAGAAATGTGCAAGCTCATTTGGAAGAAGCCAACCATGAATTTGTTGATAACTTGTTGAGCTGTAGGTAGTTGCACCTACTTGTACGAAGTCGTTTCAGCTACATTGCTAACAAGGGTCCAGGGTAAGGGAAGTAAGGAACATGAACCATTGTGTAAGTAGTTCAGGTAACCCAGCAAATATGCTCGTAAATAGTACGCACGTCGTCAAAGTCAAGCTGCTACAGTGATTAATAATGCTCCGAGTACTTGTAAGTCGTGCTGTCATCACTTGCACCTTATTTGCTTTCAACAAATGCTGCTTAACGATGTAGACCCTCTCCCGATGGAATTTGAGTTTCACGCGCGCGCGTGCATTTTTAGCCTGAGCTCGAGGCGGCATGCGCTGTGGGGGATCCATGTCCCCGTAGTGGAACATGCAGTGATGGCCATGGAACGGTCGTCGGTAGCATGCAGTAGCCGGCACATCACGGGCGGGCGGGTACATACGGAGTAATACTGCGAAGACCGTAACTGTTGTCGAATGATCCGAGCCTGGTGCAACAATCTTGTTCATGCCAGCGTGTACGAAGTACCGTCGATGACTGGACCGGCAGGTTGTGCACATCTGCCACCTCACATGCAGCGGCCCAGCCTCAATGCGCTCCATGTCCCAGTGCATTAGCCCTGTCCGCTACCCGCCTGCCCGCCTGGAAGGCTACTACATGTACCTTTAGCTGCTGGCAGCTGCCCGCCTACAGTGACTGGCAGGCATGTCCCGCCCCATCCACCCAGCCATCCACACCAGGCACTCCGCCAGTCATCCCTCCCTCCATCGCTTCGGACCCCTTCCCCCCCCGACCACGCCAGACCAGGCATCGTCCATCAATCCCAGAGTCCCAAACTGTGGTACGCTACCTCAAATGCGCCTGGTCTGGCCTGGCCTCAAACTATCAACACATCCTCTGACAGATAATCTGATCTGATCGGAGCCCCCTTAAAACCGCAACAGACCCCAGGCTTCACCGCTGCCGCAGACGTTGCGACAGCCCTCACCGTCGCTCTTCCACCAACGGAGCAGCTCCATTGTATCCGTATACGTAGCAGCATTTTCTCCCTCGGATCTCTCGTCTGGGCCTCTCGCATTGACCGACCGACCAGCCAGCCAGCCAGCCAGCCAGTCAGCCAAGTCGCCATCATCACCATGGACTTCACAGGCAACTTTCACTTCACGGCCGCCCAGCCATACCACCAGTTCATGCCCATTCCACCGCTGACCCCGTCACACTCGCATTCTGCACCATCCGACGATTTCAATTCGTCCTCACCTGTGAGTCGAGACATATTCATGATCGACATTCGCGCGCTCTGCCCTGACTCCTCCCCACCCTTCCACGTCAAGGAGGAGAGCTTACTTCCTTGTCCCCCCGCCTTACCTGAGCATTACCATAGCAATACAATCATGCAGACCAGCCATGTGCGTACGTACGTAGCGGATGACTGACAACGACTGGACCTTGCAGGACAACTTTGATGGTCCTCACCCCAATGACCAGCGATACAACGGCTTCGACTTTTCGCAGCAGGGCTTCTCTCAGCCGCCTCCACAACAGGCCTCGTCCAGCTTCACGGCAAGAGCCGGAGGGCCTCCAACGCCTCCTGGCCAAGCTATCTTTGCACAACCGCGGCCGTCAGTATCAGGGGCTCCTCTCACAAGCAATGGCATCAACGGAGCGAGCGAGTATGGGAGCATTGAGCAGGCGGCCAGCGAGTTTGTCGCGCGGGCCAAGTCCGAGGTGGACGACCTCAGCAACGGGCGTGCAGGCAGCGAGGAGGAGAACATGACGCCCGCGCAGCAGAAGCGCAAGGCCCAGAACAGAGCTGCGTAGGTCGACACCAAACTGCCCCCTACCTACGACGCATACCCGCGTGACGACTGGAGACTAACGTACGGCCGGGCAGTCAGCGAGCGTTTCGCGAGCGAAAAGAGAAGCACGTCAAGGATCTCGAGGTCAAACTCGCCGAGCTCGAAAACAACCAGCAGCGATCCTCCGCCGAGAACGAGCGTCTACGACGCGACCTGCACAGGATGATGACGGAGAACGAGATCCTACGTGCGACAACAGGCAGCGCCACCGGGTCACAGGCCCCCTCGCAACCCCCAGACCCCACGACAACGGGCCCCATGCGGTACAGCCCGACCGACTTTGCCTCGAATCTACTGTCCGGCCACAACAACCAGACCTTCTCCCATCGCATCGTGCAGACCGCCGATGGGCAGCGGTTACTTGCGGCCGGGGCGTCGTGGGACTACATCATCTCGCACGAGCTCTTCCAGAAGGGGGTGATTGACATTGGGAACGTGAGTGAATATCTCAAGGCGCGCGCCATGTGTGACGGCCAGGGACCTGTCTTCTCCGAAAGGGACGTTGTCGATGCCATCCAGGCAAGCGTGTCTTGGGGGTCCGATGACCTCTTGTGATGGGCGAAGCATCTTCTATACGTACAGCGGGGGGCGCATGGTCGAGATACGCTGGGTCAAGAAATTGCAAAGGCTCCGGCGTTTAGCATTGGTAGAATTAGGGCTTGGATATCAGCCCATGGTGGGCTTATCTGTCTGTGACTTGGGAGTTCTTTGGGATGGGTACATTATCATCAGGGGTATATTTGTATGCGCAGCAACTCTGTGATATAGGCGAGCCCTTCACATTTTGATTCAAGTGTTCGGAGTGTGCGCAAGTAACAGCATCAATGCGTAACGTGTCGTTAATCATGAAAATACGAAATCTTCTAGGTCATACCAACGCCAGGCCCCCTCAAAACAACTCTCTATCTATGTACTCAAGCCCACGCAGCGAGTATTAGGGGCAGCAAAGTTCTTCAGTGCCGGTGTTCTCGTCTAACTGCCGCCCGGCGGTCTACCCAATCCGCGTCCTGGTCCGTGGACCCGCGTCCCCTACCACACGCCAGCCTAGCTTACTGGGCCTTCTTGCTGGCCTCGTCCTGCCCCTCGACGTAAGGATGCTTGATGGTCAGACACCAAATGTCCAAGTAATCGCAGATTGTCACAATCACGTCCACGACGAAGCTGCCATACACACCAACCGCCAGGCCCAGCATCATGAACATAAAGGCCACCTGATACACGCCGTCGCCGAGTGCACTCGGCCAGCCAAAGCCGAGGTGCTCCTGCAGGAACGGACCCAGCGAGTCAAAGACGCCAAAGGTGAGCGGGATGCCGAGCACGTTCCAGAACGGGAACGGGAGGTGGACGAGATGCGCCGTGATCATCTGCCCGACGCTGTAGGCGTTGACGACGCCGGCGAAGACGGCGAAGGGCACGAGGTGGTTGTGCAGGATGTTGGGCTGCAGGTACAGGTACGACACGATCATGGCCCAGACGCTGAAAAAGGGCACGAGGCCAAAGAGTGCGTAGCGTGAGCGGTCCCCCCTGGCGCGGCGCGCACGAATCACGTTGAGCGAGGACTCGTACGTGTTGAACGCGCAGACAATCGTGCCCTGCACCATGTTCCAGTCCACAAAGGACAGGTTGTAGAGGGCGGACGGGATGCCGAGGTCGTCGGGCACGCCAAACGTCCGCAGCATGGACTGCTGCCAGATGTGGCCGCCGCCAAAGTAGCCGGTCATGGCGTAGACGCCAACGAGGATGAGGACGCCCTCGACGGGTCCGTTGACGATGCCCAGCGTGAGGGTCTTGGTGTGATACTCCTCCCACGTCTGCACGTAAAAGGTGAAGAGAGCTATACTACCCGTCAGCGACCGTGTGCCAAAGGGAAAGGAGAGACTTCTCCTCTCGCGCAGATAGACTTACATGCAAAGAGGGTCGCGACCGTTCGCCAGCCCTGGCCCATGTTCTGCGACGCAGCAAAGATAAGAACACCCAGTCCAGTATTCAGCGCATCCACTCCGTGATCAAAGAGCTCTCCCAAGGGACCGGATTGTTTCGTCCTCCGTCTGCGATACTCGTCAGCCATGCGTCTCTTCTATATAGTTTCGCGCTTCCGACTCACGCTTGCGATCCATCTACCGCGTCAAACGTCTGGTAGAGAAACAGCCCAATAGCCCAGCTATAGTACACCCAGCTCGGGCAGTCCTGGTCGAGCGTCGGGTTGTACCACAGCACCGTCATCAAGTTGGCCACCACAAACATGAACCCCGTCAGGGTGATCAGGTTGGGCGCCATGCTCATCGGGAAGCACTTGATGACAACATTGGTGTAGAACGGCTTGAGGATATACTTGGACGTGAGCGAGCGGTCGACGGCCGAGTACTTGTATTCCTTGAGAGCAGGAAGCTCCCGTTGTCGGACGTACACCATCGTGTTCGGTGTTGGGTTGGGCGCGAGCGAAGGTTCTCTTCCAAGCAGGTGTCGTCTGCCTTGTGGTCGTCGGGTCACTCGTGTCTCGCCAGGACGTGCAGTACGCAACGCAACGCAACGTGGCTGGCTTTGGCGATGCTTTTGGTGAAGGGTGGCCGGGCGTTGATGGGTGCGTGTGCTGGCTTCTCTGGAAAATTCCACCACGCGCCAAACTGGGTTCCAGGGACCGACCCCGACTCGACTCACGCCCAACGTCATGGCTAGGACGTCATTGGCTCGGCAGCCACAGCCGACCACCACCACGAGACAACCCTCATTCATCCTGGGACGCTAATAACAGGGTCTTTCTAAGTTAATTCACATCAAACCTCGGACTAGACCTGACAACAGAATCAAGAATGCTTTTTGTTTTATCTCACTATGGCATCTCCCCTACTCTTAATCACCGCCACGGTCCCTGTTCCTAGACCCCCATCCAACCCCGCTTCTCACGATAGAGCGACTCGCGACATAAGTATACAGCTCTCCCACGTATCGAGAAATCAAAATACAATGACCCAAGCTGAACTCTGCATGCAAGGCTCAAATACCCCAGACTCCTTCAGTTCGCCTGACCAGCGTTATAATGTAATGGTTCCTGCCGATATCATCTTGCTGGCATCCCCCGAAATTCTTGCTATGCCAAAGGCTAGGTGTACTGTACAGTCTATGAGCTGTTCTCATGTTGTTCCGGGCGAGCAGACTGTTGGTTGCTGCATTGGTGCTCGCGCCACTCCAGCAACGTCTGGAAGGCGGCGTTGAGAAGCGGCTGCGCGTGATCAGAAACTGGCATCTTGTTGGCCTCATCAACGCTGATGGGGAGATGCTGGTTCTCAGCTTTACCAGGTCGTCTATCGCCAATCACTCCAAAGGAGTGCTCAAGTCGACGGAAGCGGGCGTCGACGACTGCCTCTGCGGTGGACTTGCTCATGAAGCCAGATCCAGCATACCAGTAGGTGTCCGTCAGCTCTTTGCGCGCCTGGATACTTGTGACACTGGGGTAACTCGTGGCGGATACCAGTCGAGAGTCGCCAATGATAGGTGTCTCTGGATAAGACAGCGTCTGGTCAGCTTCTCCGTGTGCTGCCATGATCTGTCTATGGTTTTCGAGGTGGTGAGTAGGGTTCAAGCTGTAGCCATACTCAGGCTTGTGCAACGAATAATCATAGAGCGTGCTGGTGGCTACTGATTGCACAGTCGGGCTCTTTGAATCAAAGACAGGGCATGGCGTAACGGAACGGCCCGTGGAAGGATCCCAATCATCTTCGGTATCCCGCAGGAGGCTGGAGGGACGGTGACTATTGTTGCCGCTGTCCCACTCAACACCGAGAGTTTGCCTCTGTGCCCGGGTTTGGAGAGCCTTGAGAGTGGACTCAAACGTGGAAGCGCGATACTGACGTTGACCAGGAGGCCCGGCAGTCAGAGGTCGAGGAACTCCGGAGCCTTCTTGGAACCCTGACGTGGATTGTTTGTGGTTGTAACTGTTTGCGACATCGTCCGGGCCGTCAAAGGGACACGGCTCCGCCATGTTGTTTGCCTGGCTGCTGTTAGTTCTTCCTGCGGCTGCAGCGGCTAATTGCCTCGCAGTAGCATTGCCAACCTTTTTGGGCGATCCAATTGAGCCCAAGTCAGCCTTTTTGGGAGACGAATTGAGATGACCCTGCGCGCCAATGTTGAGGCTGGCTGGCTTCACGCCCTGCAGCGCCTTGCGAGCTCTCTTCTGGCTAGGATTGGGATAGGAAGCCAGATTCTGGAGAGACTTGAATGTCATGCCAGCCAAGGGATCCATGTTGATAAACTCGTCATCAGTGTTACTCTCGTCACTCTCGTACAGAAGCGTAGATCTCTCGCCGCCGTCATCGCTCACTTCGACGTCGCGAGATGGTGCAGTGACCGAGGGTAGCTCGCAGTCAAAGGACAGCTTCTGCGGATAGACCTTGGCCATGGTATGGTCTGTGTCATTGAACAGAGTCGGGTTGACAGCGCGGTCGTAATTTTGCTGCAAGGGCGAGTACTGCTCGGGGTTTGTTCTGATGGGAGAGCAGTTGGGCAGCGGCAGAGCGGCTAAGAATGACTTGGGGAGCAGACTCAGGTCGGTCTGGTAGCCGCCCGCAGGCCACTTGGACAATCGGCCGCGGCGAAAAGGAGCTTGAAGCGGTTGCGCGGTGCTTGGGTTGTAGATAGTCCCGGCTGTGGTATATGTGGGTTGTGTTTTTGCGACATTGCCAGTATTGACGGTCGAAAGGCACGTCGCAGTGGAAGAGCGCAGTGTTTCCATCATGATGCTGCGGAAGGAAGAAACTGGTCGGAATGGCAACGAAATGGCGGATGAGCTGTGGAAGGTCCAAATCAGCTGTTTGCTTTGTAGGTGAAGGAGTGTTCGGTAGCTGCCCATGGGCTCTTGAAAGAGTGGTGAGAAGGAATGTCAGGGAACGATGAAGGCAGATCTCCCGTTAACAAATGGTCAGAATGAGAAAAGGCGAAGAGAAGGTTGAAGGTAGTAGAAGCTTCTCAGCTCATATATCTCAGCCGAGAGTGAAGTGAGCCAAGACGCAGGGGAAACCAGACGAGCGTGAATTGAGGGCCACGAGAAAACGACTCGAGTCTGGCCCCAAGACTTTGATGCAGGTGCAGCTTGGTTTGACACTTTCCATATCAGGTACAAAGAAAGAGCCAGTCACTTCAGCACTCAACCCATGCGGAAAGAGCAACCAACCTCGATCCGGGTCCTCGGCCACAGAACATGCAGAACACTGGCATTCGCTCTCTTGCAGACTCTTTCTCCACCAAAGGTCTCTCTCGAGTTTCCTAGACTCCAGTCTAGTCCCTGATCTCCATGTTGTTTCTTCTCTTGAACGGTGCGACTGCGAAGCAGACTCCTGCGAGAGTCGTGGCAGGGCTCCGCGCAACGACCGTTGAGGTTTGCGAAGTGGCTCGCAGGTGAGAAAGTGCGTTCAGCAAGGTGGCACCAGTAAGTCGGATGAAGAGTTCGCGTCACCAGACTAAAGTTCAGCTGAGTTTGTTGCCAAATAGAAATGATGTATGATCTGATGACGTAGAAGTAGACAGATGTATACCTTACTGAGATGCAAGGCCAGAGTATTCGCCAGTTGATCGCGGTCATTAATGCCCTCGGCGTGTTTATTGAAGACATGAGAACTGCACAGAACGAACGCTGATGTCCGTTCCAGCTGTATACTACCTTGACGTCGGTCCGGCCCCTATAACCCATCGTCCAACTCTTTCGTCTCCGCATTGCTGATCAACGGTATACGCCGCAAAGTACGACAAGTCCTTTTGGCCCAAGAATCCCCGAGAGAGCAAGTTCGCCCGTTCCACGCATGTCCATATAACACACAGCATGTCCCAGCAGTCATCCAGCTCTATCAACGCAAACAAAAATGTGAAAAGAGAAGAAAGTGAAGCGTACCCATCCGGAAAAGGAGAAAAAGAGAGGGCCCAAGACTCAATGTGAGGTGAGAAGAGTCTGAACGTAGAGTACTCGTAAAGGATGAGGCCAAGTAAGTGACAATGTCTCGCGGCGAAATGACACTCCCGTACTGGCGAAAGTTTCGGTAAAGGAACGTAGCGAAGGGAAGCCAGCTGGTGCAGTTTGCTGCAGACTGGCAGCGTTATATTTGATCAAAATTGGGAGGACCTGTACACGCGCGAACGAAAAAAATAGGAGGCCAGCAATGCACAATCAACTTCCAGGCTCTAGAGCGGCCCAGTTGGGTAGGCACTGCCTGGGATCATGCCAGGAGCTCCTCCAGCCGTGGCGCTGGGTCCTCCACTACGAGGTCCACGAATCTGGAAGTCGGGGTTGTCGAGGATCATGTCCTGACGCTGCTGTTGCTGGCGATGTGGGGGAGGCCCTCGGTGTTGGGGCATTGGAGGAGCCGGGTTCCATTGCGGGTTCACACCTCGTTGGGAGATCGACGTGAAGGTAGATCTCTCGGACTCGGCTGGACTGCGCGCGCCGCTGTTTTGCGCGTGCACATCCTCGTATATGGGCTCATTGCCATGAGGGTGCAGGAACCCCTGCTGCGGGCCTTGTGTGGGCGCAGCGAACCGAGGATCAATGTCTTCATAGTAGTCTGCTTGGTCGTGTTGCGGCAAGGGCTGCGCGTGAAGAGGGGAATGTGTCCGTGGCGAGCTCCGCCCCTGGTCATTCCACGCTTGACGAGCTGGGACGAACTGTTGTTGCCTGGGTAGCGTTAGTACCAGGTTGTATTGACATGAACGGCAAACTTACTCATCATTGCTGTACACGCTGCCGCTCATGTACGTGTCGTGTCTGTCGGGAGATCGACCCTGCTGCAGTCCTACCATACCGGCAACATCTGAATCGTTGTCCCGCAACTGGCCGTTGTAGGGCTGGTACCCCTGGTTGGGATCGGCAGGGACAGATGTCGCATCCATCTCAACAGCCTGACCCGATCGCCCATCATTTGACATTGGGGGCGGAGACTCAGCACGTGGCAAGTTGTAACCCTCGGCACTGTTCCCTTGGTACCCTTCATAACCACCGGCGAGGTTCTGTGCCGACGACTCCGCACTTGGGTCGGTATAGCCGTTGGACATGCGGCGGCCATGCTGCCCGTAGCCATCAGCAGGAGATGGACGCCGGTCATAGTGACCAGCGAAGCCTGGACCAGGCGGTGGCGGGTTTCGGCCACCTCGCATAGGGCCTGGTCCATATCCTCCACGATGAGGTGGGGGAGGCCCATAACCGCCACGGCCTCCACGGCCACCACGAGGGCCATATCCGCCTCGACCTGGTGGGCCGTGGCCGCCTCTGCCTCTCACCGGTGCACCGTACATATCGAAACCACCGCGGCCTGGGCCATGTCCACCCCGGCCTCCACGGTAGGCATGTTGAGAGCCTCTAGAGCGCATACTTTCCATAGAAGGACCTCTGGCCACGCCGTATGCATCGGTCGGTCCATTGACGGGTGTCCCGAACCTGTCGCGCGAAGCAGACCTCATAGGAGCGTTGATCCGAGTTGCTGAGTCGCTCAGTGTGGCAGCGTCACCCGGCCGGCTCCCGTGAGGGCCAGCCGAAGGGCTCCGTTGCGTCAATGGAATCTGTTCGTCGCTGACTTGGTCGTCCTTTTTGTGTTGTTCAAACGTGGCGAATGTGGGCAACGAGTCGGTGCCGCCGTTGGCGCCGCTGGATGCAGAGACAGCAGGTGCCACGTTGAAGCCCATGGGCTTGGTGGGTTCGCGGTTGTAGTAGTTCTCGCCACTCATTTCCGCGTTCTCGGCAATCTTCTTTCTACGCGTCTTGCGGCTGATGAGCGAGCGACGCATCATGCAAGTGACCACGCCGCTGAGGGCCACCATGATGGTCGAGGCAAGCACAATGTAGGTGCCCCAGGCCATGTGCGGCATGAACATAAGGGCATCGACCACAAAGGCTGCCGCACAGACTAGGAAAGTAATAATGGTGAAGACGAACGAGGCGAGTAGGTATCGCGAGGAGTGAGAAGGCGCATGAAAGTGCGACGTGACAGCGAGTATGAACATGACCAGGACCAGCAGAGCTGCAACCGGGTGAAGAATGAGAACCATGGACAGGGTGTCCCGCACACTGTTGGGCATGTCGAAAGCACTGTTGTTATCCTTCAACTTGCTGTCTGCAAGGGATTAGCATCTATCCAGGTGGAACGCTAGGAGGGAGGCTTGCCCGTGTCATAGCCAATGCCCAGACTCGTGCACGAGCCGTCAGGTTTGCAGTACCCGAGGACGCCAAATGTGTAGCCCTCGAATGAGCCGAGTGGGATGGAAGTGATAATGGGCGCTGAGAGCACAGCGAGGAGAAGCAACGCGAACGCTGCTGCCAGCACCACTGACAGCGGCGTGGAGGGTCGCAATCTCATGGCGATGGAGGCCCGTCAGGGCTGCGCGCGTCGTCGAGGCGACAGCAGGCCGGATGCTGTGTGGCGATGAATGGGAAGAGGATTCGTAGTGAGTGAGAGGAATTATTGTCGTATCGTTTGCCGCGTCGTCCTCATGTCGATCTGTGCTGCCCTCCTTGTACCAATCGTGCAAAGCGATCCGTGCGACCTGTGGCAGAAGTGTCGCGCTTCCTTGAGCCTGCGACCGAGCGAGCGTTGACTGGTACAACGCAGCGTCGCTCAAGGGAGATGAAATGAGCGGAACGGTGATCGACACCTTGTGACGCCTCTGTCGCGATGAAGTCGTCGTCGTCGTAAACGTGGAATAGGCGACAGTTCAAGCGCCAGGAGCCTGACTGGAGGTGGAGGAGATGGGTCGATGGGCGACGGAAGACTGGACTGGAGTCGGGCGGCACAGGGCCACAGACAGGCACAGCGACCAACTGGCTGGCTAGCGACTCTTGGCCCTGGCACGCTGATGCAAGAGCTCAGAAGGGGAGCGAATGGAGATCCCCCATAAGTGGATCGGGAAAGTAAAAACGGGTCAGGAACCCGACTCTTGGTGCGGGGGTCTAAGCCTCTTCAGGCTAGCCTCCACCCCTAGAGATGCACCACTGACGCTGTAGACGCCAATCAGCCAGGTGCCACTGCATCCTATGCGATAACGTGGACGACGGCGTTGAGAAACTGGGAAACTAGGAAACTTTCTTAGAATTGCGTGTCAAGGTGAAGATAGCTTATACAGTCCGGCGCAGCCTTCATGTTCATTGCGACGCGTCTTATCATCCGTAGGAAATCAGCTGTCATATCGTGTACTTAAGCGAAGGTACTGCTGTAACCGTCACACAATCAGGCTTCATGTCCATGCGCAATGCGATCCCTGCGAAGTCCTAGACTAGTCTAGATATTATTAGTGACAACTCAGCCAATGTCCTCCAACGCCACCAAGTCGACTTCTCTGCTTAATTGTTACTATGTAATACAACGAACATATCACGCTCAGGAGAAAATGCATACATGTGGCTGGTGAACAAGCCGAGACAATGATGTCAAGACCCAAGTGAGGGCAGGATCCTGATTCCTACTTTCCCTGTCTTGCAATTTCGGGCCAATTCCAGATAAGAAGAGGGGTCAGATCTCTCTACGTTGCCAGGTACTAGCCACCAACAAGGCATCCGTCAGATGTGCAAGCTTGTAACTGTGCTGCTGTCTCAACCCGTCGCCCTGCAATTCATTCTCTTCTTTTTCCTGGCCTCTGCGCTCATCATGGCGTGGTTCGACTCGTTTCGAGACGTTGATGCGACGACACAGCCATCGGGAATGGCAGCCATGGCCCATTTGATGAGAAGCGGAAACAAAAGTGGCACTGCCAATGCTTTGGAGCTTGGCGGACCTGCGGGCCGGCATAACGCACTCTGCATTCGTGACCGGTCGGCTGGAGCCTGGCTCTCGCAAGTCGCGACTCGCAAAGTCGCAACCACGCGGCGGCTTCCTGATCATCAAGCACGTGATACATACGGAGATCACAGTTGGAAACCAGCAATAAGCATAATCATTACTTGAAACTCGGCACAGACCAAAGATCGATACCTTCAAGCACACCTCGAACACTGCCATGTCCTCATTCCACGCCACCCTTCGCAACATGGACGCACCAATCTTCCGCCATCAAACAAAGGCTTGCCTTTGTGAATGAGCACCGCTCACGGCGCTGATTGCTCGATCTTGATGAGGACTTTTGCAAAGTGCCTCTTCTCCTTCAGCCGGCAGTATGCATCCTTGGCATCTGCAAGGTCGAACACGACATCATCGACAGCCGGCTGGATCTTCTTTTCATCAATGAAGCGGTTGAGGTCCTGAAACTGACGTCTCGTGCCGGCGATAAAGCCTCGCACGATGCACGTGTGAGGCAACGCCAGGACCATGGGCACCGTCTCGGCGGACGCTGCCCCAACGGCGCCTATCAGGGATATGACACCCTCCGCGCGCACAGCTTTCAGCGAGTGCGTCAAGGTCTCGTTGCCTCCGACATCTAGAATGTGATCGAACCCCCGCCCGTTCGGGGTCAGCTCACGTGCCTTTTGGCCCCAGATCTCGGCATAGGTGCGGTAGTTGATCACAGCGACGGCGCCCAGGGCCTTCAGTCGGGATGCCCTCTCCTCCGTTGACGTGGTTGCCACGACATTGGCGCCGAACGCGACGGCGATCTGTGCCGCCGCCACGCTCACGCCACCTGTCCCCTGGATCAAAACCCACGACTCGGGTGTGAGCTTGCGGCTTTCGAGGCCAAAGTATGCGTTCCACGCCGTGACCCAGGTGGTGGTCAGGGTCGAAGCCGCAAGAAAGTCCAGCGTCTTGGGGGCATGGACCACCGCGTTGTGGTGAAAGACACCATGCGTTCGCAAAGTACCGTCTGCGCCTTGGCCCATTGCCACAATAGCCTCAGCGAACGTGAACACCTTATCGTCGCCATCCCTGTCCACATCCGCATCGTTGTGGGTGACGACTCGATCGCCCACTTGGAAGTTGACCACATCGGAACCGACTGCCTTGATGATTCCCGCGCCGTCGCAGCCAGGGACGACCGGAGGCTTGATGGGGCCGTTGACGCCCTGGAGATATCAGTCAGATGCCACTGCATTAGGCGGTCTTTGGCACATACGATAGGTCCGGCAATGACCAGCTCCCGGTAGTTCAGGCTAGCAGCACGTAGCTCCACGAGCACCTCCTTTGGCCCGAGGTCTGCAGCAGTAGGAATCGGGATGTTTTGCTGAAACTCAAGTGCGGTCTCGAAGCCGTCTTGATTTGCGAGGATCCACTGAGAAGCCATGTTCAAGGATTACAAGGTGCTGTAAATAAGCGTTGTTGCAAGCTGATGATTGTGTAGATGTCACCATGCATCAACAACCGGAACGGACAACTCCTTTATGTACATTCTTCTCGTGGGAAGCATCATGGCGAGGTGCAATGTCGTGTTGGCGGCCGCCTGATCAAGTCTCTACAATCGGCTTGCCCATTGTCGTCTGGCAAGATTACACAATCATGTACATGAAGGAATCTCAATCTGAATATACAAGAATGGCTAGTCGATGTATTGATACGTATGTAGACTGCATAAGCAGCAGCTTGGCATGCAGCTCGACGGCGCGTCCCACCGAAAGTTGATTTTCCTATTCGAGTATGACGCTCCTCGCTGATCCCGATAGTGAACTCCATCGCTTACATACACTTCGCCCTCCCACTGCCGTGGGCTTTGAGTGGCCGAGAAACTCATTATCCAAAAGCAGTCACTCAGAATGGCTCCGGAAGGGTTTGTCTTCCTCAACACGACAGGGGCGCCAAGTCTGTCGAAACGGGCGGCCAAGCGAGTGAGGGGCCATGTCACAAAGACGAACTTTGCGAATCGAAGGCAACGCAAGGCCGAAGCAGATGCTGACAAACGTGACAAATCAACACGCGAGGCGCAGAAGCTGAACTCGCCATGCTCACTCAGAACCCAGCTGTCAAGTAGCAGTCTGGCGATGGCGCTGTCCATCGCGACATCCAGGGCTGACAAGCAGCACGCCGCCGAACTGCGTGGGTGCTGTCCCATGTGGATGTCCCTGTCCATCGGTGAGCTAATCGAGTTGTCCAGTCAACGAATTTTGGTCCGTCATATTCCTTCACGATAGGGTTCTGCCAGGGGGCGAGAACGACCAGCTATGGCTGGACACGATGGCATCGGAGCCAGCCTTTGTCGAGGCCACCATGGCCGCAGCCGTTCGGTATTGGTCACCCGACTTGGCGTGTAAGTTGAGGTCAGAGATGCATTTACATAAAGCAACAGCCATGGTGATCAGTCGGGTCTCGTCCGATGACACCTATTCTGATGGATTCTTTGGCGCTGTGCTGACCATGGCCCTGGGCGAGCGCATGGTGCGAAACGACGCAGCATGGGAGATCCACATGAATGGCCTCGTACAGACGATCAAAGCGCGGCAGGCTCGTGGGATGGCCAGCTTACCGGCCTTGTTCACGGATCTCATGATTCTGTAGGCCACACCTAGACCGGACTTTGCATGCAAAACTGTGGGCAGCTAATCCTGGAGCAGCGACACCGTCAACGATGTCATCGGCTTCCCCCGAGTATACCACCCCAAACTCGTTGAACTCCTCGAGGACCATGCCGACGGGATCATCACCACTACGTCGGCATTGGCGTACCGCGTGGTGCTGCTCCGGGGAATGGTCCACTTGCACCGGCAGAACGGCTATAGACGGGACGAGGTCGAAGCGATAGCAGAGGTCTCTGAGATTATCCAACAGCGCACCCTTGTACTGGAAGCACACAGCAATCCGTACGTGAGATGCACTACCAAGGCCAATCGGTTACTATCCACCTTATCGTGGCCTCTTGAGGTGGATGAGAGCGCATGTGCCTCGCTGGCAGATGAGCTGAAGGCAGAGATGGAGAGTCTGCCCGGCAGATCATGCCTTTACATGGATTTGACTTCATGCCAGATCATTGTGGGAGCTATTGCGTCGGCGCCAGGTTCGGCTTCAAGAGCTTGGTTTATAGACAAGTTGAGTCGTGGTGTGCGAGGGATGCAGCGGAGAGGATGGAACAACGCGTATGAGCTGTTGGAGACGGCGTTGGGGAATGACGAGGATCTGCTTGAGCGATTTGCAACTTTGTGGGCAGAGATTTAATGGCTTTATTTTTCTAGCACGAAAACGGTATAATAAGACATGAAAATGGTCGTCATATCAATAAGTAATCACCAGCAGCAGCGTCCAAGTACCTTGGGGTCCCGGGTAGCCAACCATTATCAAAAGACCGACATGGACCGGCTTCGGGGTTAATAGGCGGGCAATTCCAACGCCGACTCGGGCCGTGTCGTCATGGACCGGAAGTTCTCACGCGACCTGGACCTGGACCTGAACCCTTACTAATGAATCAATTTTAGCTTTGCCTCTAGACCACTCCCTCAACCACCACCATCCCTTTCCCGCTTATGACGAAGAAGCCCAACGGCAGCCAGACATGTTCCGCCAGAACATCTTAGGTGCCTCGCGAGGCCTCGCGCGCGCCATCCCTCGGCGGTGTCGCGCGCAACCCAGCCCCATCACCATCATCCCACGGCGATTCCAATCCGGCGGTCCCTTCCAGCCCCTCCGACCACCGTCGCCCAGTGAGCTGGGCGCCCCCAAGGCAGCGAAAGAGTACAAGAAGGGGCGGCGATGGGGGCGGAGACTGGTCCTCCTGGCCGCAGTCGGCGGCCTGGTCTACGTTGTGGACGGGCAGCTCTTCTCCTTTGGGCTGCTGCGCTCCGCGCGGACATTCTCGACGGGCCTGATCGTGGCGCTCGACTACAAGATGAACTTTCGGCCCAACCCCTGGGTCGGCGGCGACATCCAGGACCTGCACGCGCGAAGCGCCCGGCGCGTCTTCCACCTCCTGCAGGACAACGGCGGCCTCTACCTCAAGGTCGGCCAGGCGATTGCGATGCAGAGCGCGGTGCTGCCCCCGGAGTTCCAGAAGATGTTTGCGCAAATGTTTGACGATGCGCCGCAGGACGATTGGAAGGATGTAGAGGCGGTCATCCGAGAGGACTTTGGCAAGAGTGTCGAGGAGGTCTTTGGCGTCAGCTTCACCGGCAAGGAGGGATACGGCGTGATGGAGCGCAAGGCCAAGGCCAGCGCCAGCGTCGCGCAGGTGCACTGGGCGAAACTCACGGACGGCCGAGAGATTGCGATCAAGGTGCAGAAGCGTGAGATTAGCAAGCAAAGATCGATGGATCTTTGGTCTTTCAAGTAAGTTGTGACTCGGCTGTCCTCTGGTTGGAAGTGTGCTTACATGCGTCTAGGACTGTGACGTGGATCTACTCCAAGTGGTTTGACATTCCTTACTACAAGCTTGTTCCCTTTATCATCGAGCGTCTAGAGCTAGAGATGGACTTTGAGAACGAGGCACAGAACTCGGAGACGATGCGCGTGTTGATTCAGCAAGAGAAAAAGCTCAAGGGCCGGGTGTACATTCCGACCGTCTACCCCGAGCTCACCTCGAAGAGAGTCTTGACGACGGAGTGGATAGAAGGTGTCAGGCTGTGGGATAAGCAGACCATGACCTCAAGGTGGCTAGGAGGGTATGGAAAGGGGTCACCAGGCGCTGGCGAGCCGCTTCCACCCGCTGATATGGATGCCCTGCGGAGGGAAGCGCGCACAAAGGCGTTCAACGAGAGCCTCAAGCCCAACCGTGACAGCTGGAAGGGACCGCGCGGCAAAGGTGGTCTCGGGGTCTCGACCAAGGAGGTCATGACGACCATGGTCGACCTCTTCTCGGCGCAGATCTACAAGTGGGGTGTGGTACACTGCGACCCCCATCCAGGCAACATCTTCATCCGACGCCTCCCCAGCGGCAAGGCAGAGCTGGTACTAATCGACCACGGCCTGTATGTCTATCTGACGGACGAATTCCGCCATCAGTACAGCGTTCTCTGGAAGGCGCTCATGACGTTTGACAACAAGACGATTGCCGACGTGACGGAGAAATGGGGCATCAAATCGCCCGACCTGTTCTCCACGGCCACTCTCCTACGCCCGTATGAGGGAGGCGAGAAGATTGACGCCGGCATGGAGAACATGACACCCTCGGAACGGTCCTACGCCATCCAGCAGAAGATGAAGCAGGGTGTCCGGGACATGCTGGCGGACGAGGACAAGTGGCCCAAGGAACTCCTCTTCCTGGGACGCAACATGCGCATCGTCCAAGGCAACAACCAGTACATGGGCTCGCCCGTGAACCGGCTGAAGATGATGGGGGAGTGGGCGAGCTCGAGTCTCTACCAGGACCCCAAGCTGTCCTGGGATCACCGTCTCAGCAATGCCTTTCGACACTTGATCTTCAAGGTGGTCATGACGGCGTCCGACGTCGCTTTTTACTTCTACATGGCCAGGTCGTGGCTCGGTCTTGGCAGCAACATGGAAGACGCGATGGAGCAGCGCATGCGGGAGATGGCATCCGAGTACGGCGTTGAATTGCAAGGCGATGTCTTTGAGGGATGATTAGACTGTAGAGAGAGGGAATCCGCGCATACATCTCCTCAGGCTTTTTTCTTTTTTTTTTTTTTTTTTTTTTTCAGCTGGGCGTTTGGGGCATTGGGTCCCTGGCAGGGGCTGTAGATAGCATACTGTATCTAGACATATTATATCCACTCTGAGTCTCTGGCAGTCTTCGACAAGGCGCTTTGGTCTTCTTCTCTACTGTAGTCTGGTATAATTGCATATATCATAGCCCAGAGCACTTATGATATAACCAGTCACATATCATTGGCCGACCATCGAAGAAGAATAGTGTGTGCTACGAGCCTCCGGCAAAGGCCACCACCACGCGGACGGCTAGTGTTTCAGCATCTCATCATTAACGAGGTGCGAGGCCCCTCTTCGGCATATGGACTTTATGGACCACGCGAGGTGTCAATATTGTCAAAGAGCAATACCCCGAGTGCAGATTGATTCGACGGGTGTAGACGCGCCCGGGTGGGCCCAATCTGCAATGTAAAGGGGCATCAGATTCCAGCTGCAGACGCCAGGGGGGCATGATTGGCGGGCGGATGTGTTTCATGTTGGCGGCCAGCTTGTGTCGCTTGTGGACGCTATAGCGGCTATGCTATAATAACACAGGTGCCCAGCTCGTCGTAGGCACATTTGTTTGAGCAGCACTTGAAATGTTTCTTGGTCACTTGAAACAAATTTGCCTGCGGAGCATGCGCCAACCCGATGGCAGGCAAGAAGATGTCCGATGCCGATTTCGTGCCCAACACGACGTTGCACAAGTAATTACACCGCGGGAGGCTGCAGTGAGCCTACGTCGGTCCAGTGCTTGGGTACGTATCTCAAATCGACAGAATTCACCGGGCACCTGGTTCTCTGAAGCGCATGGCACCAGATCGCTGGAGATTGTTAGTGTTGCCGACTTTATCAATAGACAAGATGAGATAAAATTAAAGCCTAGGATAGAGGGTCGAATCGTGTAAGATTGGTTCTGTACTTGGAAGCCATAGAGATCGCCCGAGTCATTCCCCAGACGCTACCGCGCAACTAGTGAGACAGGTTTGACGCTGTGTCTGTCTGAGACAGCCACGCGGTTGCGCTCTGTAGCAATCCACAGCGCACTCCTTGGACGGCACTTGTAAACTGGGACTGTGGATTGCAATCGCGGACCTCAACTAGTTCCCATATGTCTTCCAGCGACGACGAAACCACTGGAGCTTCAACAGGTTATCAGGTTAATGTTGACAGTGGAAAGCTTGGTTGGACCCTGCAGCCTGTCGCCCATGCGAGCGACGCCAGAAACAGCTAGGCCCCGGCCTGTCGTGGCCCCCCGCTGGGCCGGGTTTGGACTGGCGCCGGAGCCATTGGAGACTGGAAGTGGAAGCTGGTCTGGGGCCGTTTTTATTGTTGCCCAGGCCCAGGAGGCGCTGATCCTCTGCCTTACCTCCCGTCGTGGACATTTCGACAGCCAACTAACTCACCGTGTCCCTCTCCGTCGAGTCCAGTCCTTCTCTTCATTCGTCCTGTCCAACAGCTGGCTGACGTCTCCTTTGCATACGGGGCTCTGTCGCTTGTGCGATTGACGACCTCTTTCCTTCTTCACATTACTCGTTCATTGTCGCTCGCTACCTCTTGCTCAGGTCTCCTCCGCGCAAGCAATAGGGGCTACTTACCAATTCCACGTCACCGCGACTGCGACTCCAGGACGAACGCGACCCAGGCCAGCGCGCGATATCTGCGCTTGACAATTGCGCCTCCCCTCGTTCAGAGCCTCAGCAGAGAACAAACCAGCGCCTACACGTTTTCTCCACGACCGACGGCCAGCCCTCGGCTACCTTACCATTTCACGACAAGAACAAATGAGCGAGTCCCAAGAACCTCGTCGATCTAGTTTCGGAATGTTGCTCAAACGCAGCAAGAGCGGCGAGTTTGGCAGCAAGGGCAGGAAGGCTCAGGCCCTTAGAGAGGCTGAGCTCGAGAGGCAGCGCGCCGCTGCTTCTCGCATTCCCCCCAAGCTGCCCGAGTTCGCCAACCACACTGAGCAACTCTCAAAATCCTTCGGCTCAGAGCTGCGTCCCGAATCTTCCAACGATCACTCGACCCATGCGCAAGCCGTGGCCGCGGCGGTCCCAATCCCACCCATCCCAGCCAACGCCTTCGACCCCTATGCTCGTACGGAGAGCATGGCCCATCGTGGCCGATACAGCTACGCGAGCAGCGCAGTCAGCACCATCAACAGCCCCAGACGGGTCCGACGCAGGAAGGACCCCACGCCTTTCAAGTATGTCACATTTCCCAACCTGTCGCACACGACTGACTGACGCCCTGCAGCGTCCTGATTCTTGGCACTCGTGACTCGGGCAAGACGTCTTTCCTTGAGTTTCTGAAGACAGCTCTGGCCTTACCCGCCAAGAAGCGAACACACAAGGCAGAGGAGGATGATTTCAAAATGCCAGCCCCCAGCTCTGGTAACTTCATCCCTCACTTTTTGGAAACTGAAATGGACGGAGAACGGATTGGTCTGACTCTGTGGGACTCGGAGGGCCTGGAGAAGAACGTCGTCGATTTGCAGCTCCGAGAGCTCAACTCGTTCCTCGAGAGCAAGTTCGAAGAGACCTTTGCCGAGGAGATGAAGGTTGTGCGGTCCCCAGGCATCCAAGACACCCATATCCATGCAGCCTTCCTCGTTCTGGACCCCAGCAGGTTGGACAGAAATGTCGCCGCCAGTCGAAGTCTCGCCGGTCTCACAAACGGCCATGCGCCACACATGCGCGTCGTCGGCTGCCTCGATGAGGACCTGGACATGCAGCTATTGCGTCTGCTTCAGGGCAAAACAACGGTCATTCCGGTCATTTCAAAAGCAGACACTGTGGCGACAAAGCATATGAACGTGCTGAAGAAGGCTGTATGGGAGACCTTCAAGCAATGCAACCTGGACCCACTTGAGTCTCTTGGATTAGACGAGGACACTGATAGTGTGACTTCGAGTCGCATTGCGGAGGAGGATGAAGACGATGTCAGTAACGAGAGCAATCAGGCGCCAAAGTCCTCACCCCCTTCGTCGCCCAACTCCAAGCGACAGTCAACCCAGTCTATCCGCCGCCACAAGGCAAACGAGGACTCGAAAGTGGACGAGACTCCTTTCCTGCCACTCTCGATTATCAGTCCTGATCTGTACGAGCCTAGTGTCGTCGGCCGACAATTTCCCTGGGGTTTCGCGGACCCGTACAACGAGGACCATTGTGACTTTACTCGCCTCAAGGAGGCCGTCTTCAGCGAGTGGCGTTCCGAGCTCCGTGAAGCCAGCAGGGAGCAGTGGTATGAGGGCTGGAGGACGAGTCGCCTCAAGCTGAATCAGCTACCCCATCGCCGACGCTGAGCCAGGCATGCAGCACTGTCGACCTGTTGATACGGCCACTTTGAGACGTTCCTTCGGTACCTGTTGCCGCGACTTGGACCCCCCCCCTTTTTTCTGGCGTGCACTGCGCGTCTTACTTTTTTTACAGCTATGATCAGCTCGCGGCATACCCCCTTTTTCATGAAGTTCTTGCATTTTCTTTTCCAAAAATGGCCGGCTCGGCTTGGCGTCCGGCTTTCGCAAACGTCGTGGCGCACCACTGCTCACGCTCTCACTTCAGCCCGGCGTGCCTTGACTTCAGTCAAAACTCAAGCTTGCCTAGAGGCCACGGACCCCCTCGCGGGGTCCGGCGAGTATCTGGACATTCTTTGCATCACACAATCCTTTCCAAATTTTCTCTTCTTTACTACGTTTGGCGAGGCGAGTCCCGAATTCTTTACATCAACTGCCACGGGGAAATCTGGCAGGGTCCAGGAGTATGCGGCCAAGATCCGTGTTCAATGTGGCATTTACATTTGTCCAGCGGGCCAAGACATTTGATACCCATATGGGGAACATACCTTTTTCCAGCTGTAGAGTAGTGCAGAATGGGATGTTTGACCAAAAGAAAATATACTCAATCATTTCCGGCAGCCGTTTGAACATCGCAATTGCGGTGTTGCATTTGCAGCCACTTGACTATTACCTAAATACTACTAACAAAGAAAACAATCCTCCCTATACACAATCTCTTCCCGTTCGCAAAGTTCCAGCTATTCAAATTGTCCAAAATTACCTACCTACGACCACCCAATCGTTCTCCGCACGCGCGCGAGCATCAGACTGCTGCAAGATCCGTGTCGATGGGGTTACCGTCCCCATCAACATCCACCTCCCGGCGATATGGATTTTTGCCCTCACTCACGATCTTATCGACATCCCTCTGCCTCAAGGCAACCTGATCAAATCCGGGTGGCAGGGGCGTATCCGCCAAGAGATACTCGACCTTCAAGTTGCGGGCCTTGTCACGATAGGCCTGCTGATTCCGGGGGTGCTGGAATTTATCCTGGTCTCTCTGCTCTATGGTCGCCCACCCAGCCTGTCGTGTCGCCACCAGCCTGACGAGGGTGGCCGTGTCTTCTTCGCTCCACGGAGTACGCTGGCGAAAGAGCGCGGATGCGGAACTGGAGGGGAATGACCGTGGTGGTGCTGGTGGTGGTGGGCGCTGGGAGGGCAGAGGCGGAGGAGGCATTGACGACGATACCACAGGGGCCGACCTCAGCTGGGTCTTGACGATGGCGGATCGATCCGGATCTGGTTGACGGCTATCCGTCTCGAACGGATTCTCGTCGTCATCGTCCACTACACTTGCTGGGGGCCGCCCGATAATGTCCACGTCCGTTAGGACATCCACAGCGCGTCTGGGAGAAGGGCCACTGTCTCCTGCTGTTCGAACTGGAGATGAAAGGATGTTCGAAGTCTGGGCTTGCGTGTCGAATAACGTCGGTCTGTTGCAGGTAGTTCGTCAGCCCACCGTTGTAGTAAAGCAGGTCGCATTGTAAATCACCTACCGTTCATCACCCACATCGCGCCATTGGCGGAGCGAGACTGTTATTTCCGACTGCGAATCAAGTTTCTCAGCTTCATCTAGGATGCGGTCCTCTGTTGGTCGACTTTGCAATCTGGATAGGTCGTATGTATCGAGTACCCATTTGCGGATCTCCGGGATGAGCTTGTTCTTGTCGTATTTGGCCCTCAAAGCCTCTGCGCGGTCCTGATTGGTGTTGTCCGCCTCCTCTACTGTAGAAATGATATCCGCAATCCTGGGGCTCACCAGCTTCATTATCGTGTCGGTCGTATCCCCGTACTTAGAGGACAGGTCTTTGAGACGGCTGCCTGTGAGCCGGCTGGCGTAGTTGTCCTGGGTCAGGGGAGTGGCATCCTCCTCTACATCGAAGAAGAACTCGGCGATGAGCTGTATAACATTGTCGTTGGGCCTGTTGGCCAATTCTTCCACGACGAGCATTGTGCGGATGTTGAGGTGCAGCAGAGTATTCTCCCTCTCGAGGTCCCCAAAGGGTTGGAATAGGCTCGCAAAGAAGTCGTCGACTTGAGCGAGATAAAAGTTGATGTACGGATGGTCCTCCTCTGGCTCTGCGCTTAGTACTTCGTACTGGATCGTGTGGAGCAGATCAAGTGTGGACGCGAGATTGGCCCTGGCCAGTTCCGCAGCAACAGTGCTCGGGTTCAGACCCAGGTCCCCGACCTTGTCGATGTTAACGAAGGACGACAGGCGACCGCAGAACTGCTCCCGAACAATGCCAAATAGCTTTCGCCTCAGCGCAATAGTCTTGGGCTGGCCGTCATTGTCGGAGCTGCGAAGTACCTCCACCAACTTGTGACACTGGATCGCGAGCTCCTCAAGCGCCACTTGCTTGCTCTCTTTGTCGGACTCGTTGGACTCTTGCGTGTCGCCTGTCTCCTCGTCGCCAAGTCCGTCTTCCGTGTCGACAGCGGGCGATGACTGTTGCTCGTCGTCGACAAACAAACCTTCCTCGTCTTGCCGAGCGGTGTTCACTTGGATCTCGGACTCGTCCCCTGAAACCTGCGTGACAAATGCCTCTGCCGGATCGGCGAGTGTTGTCTGCGTTGGCTCAGGGGTGGAATTATCAGCCTCAGAGGTCGCTGGAGCAAAGGTCGAGAAGGGGTTCGAAGCGCGTGGTGCGTTGCGGCGATGCTCGAGGTAGGTCATGGTGACATTGCTGTCCCCGTCGTCCTCGGGCTGGACTGAAGGCTGAGTTTTGGTGCGCTTTTGTTGATTGACATAGACGTTCTTCTGCGCCGCCGCCCTGCGCTTCCGAGGTTGATCTGACATTGTCAGGTTTGACGAGTTTATGTCGAGGCTTGTCCCAACGGACGCGACATCTCCTGACTTAGGTTCCGTCAAATCTCAGCGTGACCACTGCCCCACATATCCATGATAAGAAGGCCTCTGCTCTCTAACAGATTCACACTAAGCAAGACTGGATTTCAGATACTGCTGCATGTCGCGACAAATACTGCCTACGGGGGTGGGGGAGAGGGTGCTGGGGTCTGTTTTTGCACAAATAAACAACGCACCACAGAGCTCAGGAAAAAGGCCACGTAAATGATCAATTTCCCGCAAAGGTAGTCCCAATTCATTTGTCGCGAGCAAAGTCTGAGGTTTTACGGCAATCTGGGCGAGTCAGCGAGGTCTACCCCTAACCCTAACCCTACACTTCGGGTAGCGACTGGGATTCATTGGCCGTTTGCGCAGACCCGCCTTCCCCGGACGCGACGCATCCCTGGCCAGACGTAGGTTTGAACTTTGGGCCTTGGCTGGTCCGGCGCTAGTACGTATTCAATCACTTTCGCCCCCGGGGGTGAAATACGCTACCACTACTTCCGCCACTACTACCACTTTCGCCCCTGGGGGTGAAATGTGAGCGGTCATCGACTCATCGTCATATGCCATCAAGTTATCATATGTAACATAGGTATGTAACACATAACTATATGAATTTATGAATAATTTATTCTACAATTTCTAGGAAAGGCGTGTATCATTGCGGGATTGGCCGAACTTAACATTCTGTATCGCTTTGGACTTCAATGCGCCTTCTTCGTCACAGGGGCAGGGCGATCCGGGCCAAACATTCCGAGAAAGTAAGCTGAACGCACAGCAAACAAGAATACCTGGTGTCTTGTGAGTATATGTTCCTGTGATAACAGGCTCGCCATTCCCTGCAGAGATACTCACCGTGAATGTGATGTTGCCGCGTGTCATGGCATTCCACTCCTGAGGCCTCATGAGCGTTTCCAGTCCCAAACCATACGCAGTGAAAGCGACATGGCCAACGTCGCCCAACCACAAGGCAGTCAGATAGCCCCTGACCACCTTGGCTTCGGATGTTGTGTATAAGATTCCAATGCCCATGAAAGCCATGAGGAGGTACAGGTTCCCAAGCTGCCACGCGACGAGGATGCTGTTATCGTTGACCGGCACCACTCCCGCATTGGGGATTTGCTCGGCGATGAACCATGCTGGATCGATCACGACTCCTAAGAAACCTGCGACGCTGTACGTTCTCTTGTCAGAGAGCTCTCGGCACAGACTGCATAGGGACATACAGCGAAATTGGCTCAATGACGGAGAAGACAAGTCGCGGAAAGGTCGGGAGCAGCGAAGCCATGGTGTGAAGCAGCACAGGGCAGACAATGGGTTCCGAGGCAAAGGCAATGCTTTTCAATGACGGCCAATTGATGGTCCCACGGGTGGTTCCTGAGGTCGATTGTTAGACGCTGACTGTTGACACGTCGATTCCTACACCCCGCTCCGCCTATCGCGCGATAGGGCCAGGGACGCGCCGCAAAACGAGAGCGCAGATTGTCGACAGCTTAATCGCCAGATAAAAAATGTTGCGCCGAGGCTCAAGTGAATGATCAAAAGTTCGTTCGGCCAGTTCTGAGACGCGAGTGCTTCCGTCGTAGATCATGGACAGGGGGTGGAGGAGTGTTAGAGTTGTATGCTCAAAGTCGCGCAAAACACTAACAGCTTAGCAGGGGTCACCGGATCACATGCGTGTGCGCTTCCGTCGCGGCTTCGGTCCCTTGACACTTTCATTAATTGACACTCATGCCACCGGCGTCAGAGATTGCTCGTCGCGTACCTTAGGGTCTCTCTCCCAACCTCTACATGGCTTGACGCTCATATTTTAGTAGAGGCTGGTCTGCAAGGCCTGCCTGCATTGCCCTCTTCTCTTTTCTTTCAAATGTTCGCCTGTCACATGGGAGCCTACCATGGCTTCGGCAAGTACAATCGAGCCACGGCTGATGCACATCCTGAACCAGCCCTCAGACGACGTAGACATCTCTAGGACGTCACGCCTCTCTTCTCAAGGGGGCATCCGACCAGATCCGTCCGAATGCCCACCGCGATTACCCAAGCTCGACGACATCGTCGACACCACCCAGCCAAGCTCTCGCGATGCCCCGAACGAGCTCCTCCCCAGACCAAGCGAACTCCTAGCCCTCGACAACGCAAGCTATCGGGCAGATAACAATCGACCGCGTCATGCGCATGACCTATTCCAGGACACGCTGCCTATCAAGCAGACTCTGGAAGAGATACCGCAGGAGGGCTCTCTGCCGTGGCTGCTGGGGAACGATGCTACGCATACTCTTCCGTCGCTCGACAGCAATGGCGACGGGTCATTCCATCCGAATCGCCAGCACGATGACTGGTTTGAACGGCCCGCCAGCAAGCGCATACACTCCGGTCAACGGCCGCCATGGCCTCAGCTGCCTGTATTGCAAAACTTCCCGCCCAGCCAGAAGCAACCAAGTGGCCAGGATTCCAGTTTCCCGCCGATGATCGTGGGCATTGACTACAATCCGCCGCCTCAGAGCTCTGCGACGCTGCCTCGCATTCAATCTTTTCCCTTGGATGATGCTGGCCCATTGCATTCCACGTCACATCCCCCATCACATCCCCCGTCTCGACCAACCTCACGCCATGGCCACGAACCAGCGGCGTTGTCGGATCCCGACGGCGGCAAGGCGAGAAAACGCGTCACAAGAAGAAGGCGGCAATGGACCAAAGAGGAGACTGACGACTTGCTACGCGGCATCTACAAACATGGCATGGGAAAGTGGACCGATATTAAGAACGATCCTGATTTCACCTTCAATGATCGATCAGCCGGTGACTTGAAGGACAGGTGTCGCACAGTGTGGCCTCGGAGTCATGACGATGATACCTCCGCAGGCGATGTCCCCTCGGGCACTCCGGTGCCCGAAAGACCAAGAAAGGGACTCTACGCAGAGAACATCCTCCATGATTCCGATACACCTAATTCACCAGGCGCGATCACGCCGCCACGAGAACAGGATGCGGCAGTCCGAGTGAAAAAGAAGAGATCCCACCGGAGAGAACCGAAGGATCTCGAAGCACTAGAGCTTCGTGGGCCTTTGAAACACGGGAATCGTCGACCTCGACGGCCATTCACCGATCAAGAAGACTCTGACATCAAGACGGGCTTGTTGAAGCATGGGTCACAGTGGACCAAGATCCGGAATGACCCAGAACTGCATCTCCAGTCGCGGGCGCCGACAGACCTCAGAGACCGAGTCCGCAACATGAGCAAGACCGTCTTCAAGGACTTTGACGAGAAGACGTTTGAGCACAAGCCTTCGATGACGATCGGCGGTAGTACCCTGGAACCTACCATTGCGTTACCGATCAACACGTCGTTCCCGAAGAGGTAACACGGGCGGCGGTCACGTTGCCTCAGGGGCAGCCTTGTGGCCTGCATTGTAAGAGTTTAGACTGCCTTATGCAGTGTGTTTAGATACCCATGGAGCAAGATCTCCCCCGGATTTGAGGCGAATGCAGATCGGTGCATGCGCTTCACCTGGAATTGTACAAGTAATATCCTCGCTCAGACTTATATGTTTGTGGCTTCGGCCTTCATATGGTGACAGTAACCCATTTCCAAGACCACTGCACTAGCAAGATTTGATACGACGTAGTAAAGACTTCTTAGCTGCCGTGGCCGTCGCACAACGTACAGCTCGGCTTACTTAGTGCGAAGTCCATTTAATTTGACTGACATGCTCTCTGCAACGAGCATGACCATTGACTATGATGTGAAAACGCAACGGTATCGCCAATTCCGATTCCACTGCGAGGCTGAGAATGGAGCCAACGTGACCTCGGGGAGGTGGGGCGGATGGCCGAGCTCACAATCTTATCTGCACGTGACTCTCTATGCACATCTTGGAAATTCAGCGTGCTAGGGCAGAACCCCCACCGAGTTCAACTCTGCTCTCACGAAAAAAGTTGTGGATTGCATTTCGCACCTCATTCTCACGACAACCGCCCAACACCTCACCAACCCGCCGACAAAGTAGCCCGTCGACACCATGGCCCGCGGAATGTACGTGCAACCATTGAACGATGGCATTGCAGACGATTTGATCAGCTGCGAACCGGCTGCCGTCGTGGCAATGCCGCCTCGTCGATTCCCCAAAGTCATCACGATGCTAACCTCTCCTCCAGCAAGAAGCACCAGAAGCGCCTTAGTGCCCCCTCGCACTGGCTGCTGGACAAGCTGTCCGGTACCTACGCCCCCAAGGCGTCTGCCGGTCCCCACAAGCTGCGCGACTGCATGCCCCTGATCGTCTTCATCCGCAACCGCCTGAAGTACGCCCTCAACTACCGCGAGACCAAGTCGATCCTCACCCAGCGCCTGATCAAGGTCGACGGCAAGGTCCGCACCGACATGACCTACCCCGCCGGCTTCATGGACGTCATCACCATTGACAAGACGGGCGAGAACTTCCGTCTCGTCTACGACACCAAGGGCCGCTTCACCGTCCACCGCATCCAGAATGAGGAGGCCGAGTACAAGCTCGGCAAGGTCAAGCGCGTCCAGCTCGGCCGTGGTGGAATCCCATTCTTGGTCACGCACGATGCGAGAACGTGAGTTCTGTCAGACATCATTCAGTCGTTGGATCAAGCTTTGGTCGATTCGGAGTCGAGTCCTATTTTTTCTTCTTCTTTTCTCCTTCTTCTTCTAATTTCACTGCACTCCAAGAGAAGGGAAAGAAGAATGAGAAGAGGAGAGGGAAAAACAGACTATACATCGATGGAAGAGCGAAGCTGCATCCCAACGGCTGTATGTACCCCTCAACCGACCCCCTTGCTGACTTGTGTGTTCTCTAGCATCCGCTACCCCGACCCTCTGATCAAGGTCAACGACACCGTCAAGATCGACCTCGCCACTGGCAAGATCTCTGACTTCATCAAGTTCGACACTGGCGCCATTGCCATGGCCACCGGTGGTCGCAACATGGGTCGTGTCGGTGTCATCACCCACCGTGAGCGCCACGACGGAGGCTTCAACATTGTCCACATCAAGGACGCCATTGACAACTCGTTCGCCACCCGTGAGAGCAACGTTTTCGTCATCGGCCAGGAGAAGCCCTGGATCTCCCTGCCCAAAGGCAAGGGTGTCAAGCTCTCCATTGCCGAGGAGCGTGACCGCCGCCGTGCCTACGCCATTGCCAACTAAAATATGTCACTTGGTCTTTGGGTCTGTTTAGGGAACGGGGGGGTTTCACAAAAGAAATTCAATTAGGCATGAGGAAACCGGAGTCTCGGATTTGATGTTCACTTTTGATAGCCCTGACTAGTCGTAGAGATATGGTCAGCCTCACGAGGCATGAGAAAAGATACCTTGAACCACTTCCGACTCATCTTGGCCGTAGACAGTTTAAAGCTTTGTCGTGATGTCTTGTGTGTGCAGGATGGGAAGGCTTGCCTGCCTGGGCCTTTGATTCCCATCACCTTCGCTCAGCATCCCAGTCCTCAGCAGCCCCAAGACACCTGTCTCTCTCATAGCGACCGCGAACACGGTGGTCCAGTTTCCGGGCACCTGTGAATTGCTACATTAACGGCAAACCGGTGTGCCACGATGATCTGATCAAGCTGCTTCGATGACTTGGAATTCGCCGTAGATTTTCCAATCTGGGAAGGCATATTGCGTTAGCGCCGCCGGCGTCGCTGCACGATCGAAATCATTGACATCTCACCCTGGGGAACAACCCCCCCGCAGCTGTCCCCCAATGCGTGATGTACGTATACAGCAGAATGCAAAGGAACCCTACGGTTCACTTCGAATCGACAGATTGGCATTCCAGCATTGAACAATGGCGCCGATGGACCGGAGGGCTGGCACGCGCTACGTGAGACGCATGGGGTCCCCTACCGCATATGCGACCTGCCAACTGCAGCACGAGCCTCCCAAAAGGAAGCAATTGGGAAAAGGCTTGACTAATGCTAATGCAGGAGAAGCCGAATAGAAAATGGCGGAGGCGGATTGAGTGGCATCCCACGCACGCACGTCCTGCGCGTCACTCGCGTCGGCTGCGACGCCTGCCCATGACTGGACGCCTGCTCGCGACTGGACGCCGACAACGAGGGCTTGACATCATCCTCTCACGCGACACACCTCTGTTTTGGTCAGAGTGGTGTAGATGCGCGTGTCGGTGAGCGCCAATGGGTGACCGATCATCATCCTCCGTGAGTGAAGACTCGTAGGTAGGGGGCGGCCGATGTTCGCAATGGCCGCTTTCTGGCAAAGCTCAGCACGGAGCGAACCCGCTCTTTTCCACTACCGCTAACGGGCACTTGTTGGTGTTAGTGATGAGGGCCCGCCCGAACGGACTCAACTCGTATTGTTGTTCACCAGTATTGTCCGTCGGGATGCTGCTAGCATTCCTCTTTCGAGATCGACAAACCGAGCCTTGACCATTTCTCATCTCGGAGGGCGGCATTGCGTCGATAGGATGGCTTGCAGTGTGGCAGGCACCGCATCGCGGGAATCCATTGTCGGCGGCCTTGTCATCGACTCGTGACCGGCTTCACCCCACGCCGTATCCACATCCATGGCGTGCTCTGGGCTCCTCTAACCGAATCCTCATGAAGCTTGTCCGGTTGCATTCTTCCTTTGTTCAATTTTTTTTCTCTCACGCCGTTTGCGTTGTTCCATCTGACCTTGCCTCAACTGTGAGGCTGTCATCAGACTCATCTACCTGGATTCAACCCCGACGAGAGCTCGGCTAGCACCGGGGCTAGACACCAGGTCATGAGGGGTCGCACCGGACTTGGGGCGCTGCTCCGGCAGTCGTCTAGACACCAAGGTACTTGGCGGCCGTTCTCTTCAAGTTCGGCGCGTCTCGCCACAAAGCCGGGCGACATTGGTGCGCGGCCGGATGGCGCAAGCAGGTCATGGTCAACACGAGGAGTGCTGGCAGTGGCCGGAGCCGCTGGTGTCCTTGGCTGGGGCATTGCACAAGTTTCGAAGAATGGTGAGGTGAATGGCAAGCCCGCCGTGGTACGAAAGCCTCGCTATGCGACTGTCAAGGAGATGGAAAAGGTGAGCCCATCTGCTGCCAAATTCGCACGCCACTACCAGTACTGACTTGCTGCCCAGGCCATCCAGAAGATAGCCTTCGAGTTGGGGGACGAGGACATCATCTCAACTGATCCAGAGGATCTGCACCGCCATGGATACTCAGAATGGTCGACAGTGAACCCCGACACGTTGCCTGTGGCCGTAGCGTATCCTCACACCACGGAGCAAGTGTCCACGATTGCCAGGATCTGCCATGAGCACCACATCCCCATCATCCCCTACTCGGGTGGCACGAGCCTTGAGGGCAACTTTACTGCACCGTATGGCGGCGTCAGTGTCGATTTTGCGTTTATGGACAAGATTGTCGAGTTCAACAAGGACGATATGGATGTTGTGGTGCAGCCTAGCATAGGCTGGCAAGATCTGAACCAGCAGCTGGCGGACATGGACAGTGGACTCTTCTTTCCTGTGGACCCTGGTGAGTGATGATGGTGCAAAAGAATAGTGAGATCATGACTTAACATCGACAGGTCCGACGGCCAAGATTGGCGGCATGATTGGTACCAACTGCTCGGGAACTAACGCTGTGCGCTATGGTACCATGAAAGATTGGGTCATCAACTTGACAGTTGTGCTTGCCGATGGGCGGGTCATCAAGACTCGTCGCAGGCCACGCAAGTGTTCTGCCGGCTACAACCTCAACAGCCTCTTTGTCGGTTCCGAGGGTACTCTGGGCTTGGTGACAGAGGCAACCCTCAAGCTGGCCATTGTTCCCGAGGACTATGCTGTTGCGGTCGTCAGCTTCCCATCCATTCGCGACGCTGCATCGGCTGCTGCCGGCGTGATGCAAGCCGGCATACCCGTTGCTGCGATGGAAGTGATGGACGAGGTGCAGATGATGGTGATTAACAAGAGCGGCGCTACGGCGCCCCTGACGTGGGATGAGCTGCCCACGCTGTTCTTCAAATTTTCGGGCACAAAGGCGGCCGTGAAGGAACACATCTCCCTGGTCGACACCATCACAAAATCCAACAAGGGTGGCAATTTTCAGTTCGCAAAGGACGCGGCGGAGCAGAAGCTTCTGTGGTCAGCCCGGAAAGAGTCTCTCTGGTCCATGTTGTCTCTGAGGCAGGGCGACGAGGACGTCTGGAGCACGGATGTCGCAGTGCCCTTTAGCCGTCTCGCCGATATAATCGAAGTGAGCAAGAAGGAGATGGACGACCTCGGTCTTTTCGCCAGCATCCTCGGCCACATTGGCGATGGCAATTTCCACGAGAGCATCATGTATAACAAGAAGGATCCCGCGGAGCGCGCCAAAGTCGAGGCATGTGTCAAGAACATGGTGAAGCGCGCGCTCAACATGGAGGGCACGTGTACTGGCGAGCACGGTATTGGCTGGGGCAAAAAGGAGTCCCTGTTCTGGGAAGTTGGGCCGGAGGTGCTCGGCGTCATGGGCGCGATCAAGGGCGCCCTCGATCCTCTCTGGCTTATGAATCCGGGCAAGATCATGGACGTCCCTGGGATGGAGAACAGCTACAACCGCAATCATGGGGTCATGCCTGTTCGCGCGACGGCCAAGCCCGCTGGTATCGAGACGTCCCTGGTGGAGGAGGAGCTCAAGGAACAGCTGGTCGAGGTCAATGGCGGGACTGCGGTCGCCGTGAGCAAAAGCATATAAGAGAAAGGGTCGTTTCTATTGTGACCCCAGGCTCTTATCTTGGGGATACTGGTGTTGTGCGATGGACAAAAAGCTTTTTAAGAGATAAGGTGGCCTTCCGGCGTTTGAGAGCAGGCAAACAACGAAGGAAGATACTGGTAATGCAAACAAACAGCTTGATCTTGCTCTGTGCTACCCTCATTCTGCCGAAACGAAAACACCAAACACCATTTGGGCATTGTCATCCGAAAAGATTGGTCTGATTCTGATCCCATTGCTACATATCAGCCGGTTTCTTGTTACTGGAGACACCGATTTCATGCTATTGCTCTGCTCAGGCTGCTTTTCTCCTGCGTTCCTCGCCCAACCTCCCTGAAGGCAGCGCTCCTTCCTACCTCATGTTCCTGCTCTTCCTTCTTCTTCTCCTCCTCCTCTTCTTCTTCAATCAAGATTGTTCTCTCGTCAAATCTCTACACTGCCTTACTCTTTATCCCAGCCGACAGATCTTCTCATGCTATCAATACAGTAAGACCCGAAGGTAGAATTCCTTCATCAACGGCCCGACGCTCGACGCTGTCACTCGTCTGCTTCATCTCCAACGGCATCACTCGCGAACAGAAGTCTTCTCCTCAAGCCGATCGCAAGGTGAACATGTCCATGTCCACTATGGGTCAGTATCTTCAATTATGGCGAGAACGACCGGGCTAACACGCGTTGAAGAGATCCCCACACAACCTCAGAACGGCCACATTGCCACCAGCAAAGACGAACAACATACTGAAACGATATGCCAGAAGGCTGAAGATCCCGTTCCTCTGTGTCCTGAGCCACCTCCAAGGCAAGGAGGCTCTCTGCCGTGGCAGAAATGGCCCAGTCTCACCCTCGAACTCACAAGGCTGCCCAAGAACACCGAGACGCGCCATCTCTGGAAGTGGTTCAGCCGGGAGGGCAACATTGTTCATCTGCAGGTCATGCAGCAAGACGAACGTCGCTCCAGCAGTCGCGCACCCGAGGCCAGCGTCCGGTTCGAGCCGCCACCATCGAGAAACTTTTGGAACAATGGGGAGTATACTGTCACACATCCTCAAGAGGACACGGCTGTCAGGATCAAGATTCTCCCTCCTCGTCAAGATGCACAGGAATGGTCGTATGGCCCCTTCAGCCTTGATCCAGCAGGCAACATTATCAGAATGACGGGTGTACGGGGCCAACAACGCCCAATGCTCATTGCGCTCAAACCGACGGGTATGGACTTTGGTGTCATGACAGGCCCAAACACTATGAGCGCCATGAAGCGGGCTGCCCCAATGGAAGAGGAGCCTCTAGTCCTTGAGCTCAACAGTCGACACAGAAGGCTGTGCATACAATTTCCGCACAAAGCACGATTTCCGGCCAAGAGCAGGAGTACTCCCATTGGACCAATAATCTTCCGTATCGAGGTGAACTTGGTCCAGATCAAGACAGTCTATCAGCTCAAAGACCAGAATGGGACATTTACATCACTTGTTCTCCCTCTGACCCAGCCTCCGCAGTACTTCTGGAGGAATGACGATGTGGGAACCACCATGGCAGATGCAAACGAGAGTCGCTGGGGGAGGCAGGATATCTGGTATCGCGCAACCCACATTGCTGGAGACATGACCATCAACAATTGGTACCCGATCTCTGTCAATGAAGCCATCCCTGATCCCGAACACATCGACATTGGTCGGTGGACTTGTTTCCGTTTTCAGCTTGACACAGACGATGCCACCAATAAGTTGACAAAGCAGTTCAAGTCAGCCTTGGAAGACTTCAACGTCCAGTATGTCGAGCACTTGGATCTCGAGGTGAAGTCCGGCATCGAAGCTCCCATGTGGGCGCAGGTAGATCATCCACCCTCCCACGCAGCAACCTCTCACAGCGAAGCGCTGGCGTCCCTCAGCTTGCAACACGTTTTCGACATTGACTTTGCCGTCCGTTACCAGCTCGAAGTGTGCATCTCCAAGGGCCTCATCAGCGACCACAATATCACTGAGGAGTTCCTCCAAAAGCTCGCCATTGAGTATAGAAGTCCAGACGAGTCACCAAACTGTGACCCCAACAGAGCAAGGCAACGTCTGGAATGGCTAGTTGATCAGAAAATCCGTTTGGATGACCCAATGACGCTCTTCACCAACCCAGACGCAGGAGCCTTCTACACCAGCAATAGACTGCCTCACTATTGTACGCTGGTTCGCAAAGCCGTCGTGACTCCCACCACGATTCATTTCAGCACACCTGTCGCCGAAACATCGAATCGAGTCATGCGCAAGTATGACCTTATTCAGGATCGCTTTCTGCGCGTGCAATTCCTGGATGAGGGCGAGCAGGGTAGAATTGGCATTTACAAGCCGCAGAACAAGGCTCTGTACACTCGGCTGGAACGCACCCTATACCAGGGCATTCAGATCGGCGATCGTCGCTACGAGTTCCTAGCATTCGGCAGCTCTCAGCTTCGAGAGTGTGGCGCCTACTTCTTCTGCCCCACGGAGAGCGTTTCGTGCGACGATATCCGGAGATGGATGGGCAGCTTTGACCACATCAAGATCGTTGCCAAATACGCCGCGAGACTGGGCCAGTGTTTTTCGACAACCAGAGAGATCAAGGGGATTCAGGTCCCACATATCGTCCGCGTTCCCGACATTGAAAGAAATGGCTACTGCTTCAGCGATGGTGTCGGCATCATCTCGCCTTTCCTGGCTCGCCTGATCGTTCAGGAGATGGATACGGATGCCTTCTCTGCCAATTGCTCGGCGTTCCAATTTCGCATGGGGGGCTGCAAGGGCGTGCTCACCGTTTGGCCCGAAGCAAAGGGGATGGAAGTGCACATACGCAACTCGCAGGAGAAGTTTACCACCAGCTTCCATGGCCTCGAAATTATCCGCTGTGCTAGATTGGCGACTGCCACCTTGAATCGACAGACAATTTCGATACTTGAGTGTCTTGGTGTGCCGACAGGGGCTTTCATGAACCTTCTTGATGATCAACTCCGGAAGTTCGAGGCAGCTCTGGGCGACAAGCAGGAAAACAAGCAGCAGGCGCTCAGTCTTTTGACTCAGTTTGTCGACGAGAACCAGACCACTCTGATCATGGCCGAGCTTTTAAAGGCAGATTTCATCGGCGATGGTATCCGAGAGCCGTTCGTGGCCAGCATCCTGAACCTGTGGAGGGCTTGGTCTTTGAAGCTTCTCAAAGAGAAGGCCCGTATCCATGTACCACAAAGCGCATTCGTTCTTGGCTGCCTCGACGAGACAGGTACGCTGCGCGGGCATCGAACTGCTTGGGAGAAACCGTTCGTGAACCAACAAGCAAGGTCGTACCCGAAGCAGGAGCGCGCCCATCTCCCCGAGATTTTCCTGCAGCTGTCTGATCCCAAGATCCATAACAAATCGACGGTTGTGGAAGGAATCTGCATCGTGGGCCGGAATCCGTCACTTCACCCAGGAGATATCAGAGTTGTGCGAGCCGTCAACGTAGAGAAGCTGCAGCATCTCAAAGACGTTGTGGTTTTTCCCAGTACCGGCGATCGACCCCTGCCCAACATGCTGTCGGGAGGAGACCTTGACGGAGACGATTACTTTGTCATTTGGGACCAGTCTTTGATCCCTAAAGAGTGGCATGCCAGCCCGATGAGCTTCGAAACTTCAGAGCCCAAGGTGGAAGACAAGGTGACCGTGGACGACCTTCGCGATTTCTTTGTCTCCTACATCCAGAACGATGTACTTCCTCTGGTGGCCGTGGCCCATCTCGGCCAGTCTGATGTGCAGAAGGAAGGACCCAAAAGTGCGAGATGCCTAAGTCTCGCCGAGAAGCATTCGTTGGCTGTCGACTTTCCCAAAACCGGCGTGCCTGTCGGCTGGAGCACGGAACTTCAGCCCAAGCAGTGGCCACATTTCATGGAAAAGAGAAGCCGATATCAATCGCAGAAAACCCTGGGAAAGATTTACGACGAGGTTCAGGCACATGCTGTCCACTTTCAGCCAGATTGGGAGGACGACTTTGACCAGAGGATCTTGGGTCGCTACGAATTCGAGGAAGAGACCCTCGACACAGCACGCAAAATCAAGAAGCAGTATGACACAGCAGTTCGCCGCGTGTTGGTCCAGCACAAGGTCGGGACAGAATTTGAACTGTGGACCGGCTTTGCCATGTCGAGGCCGGTGATCGGCAGCGACTACAAGCGCCAGGAGCACCTCGGGAAGGAGTATGACACGTTGCGGCAGAGGTTTCGAGAAATGTGCTACAATGCAGCTGGTGGGCATGGGCCTGAGAAAATCGATCCCTTTGTGGCTACCATGTACAAGGTGACGGAGATGGAGCTCAAGCAGACACTCGAGAAACACCGCGAGAGCCTGAGCGATGACTTGGCGAACGGCACGCTGTTTGTCAACACCTTGGACGCCCATGCGATGCCTTTGGTGACATTCCCATGGATTTTCCCTCATGTCATGATCCGCATTGCGCAGGGAACCGCCAAGTCCAAGATGCATAGCAAGGCTGGCACGCACAGGGAATCTCAACAGCCAGTGTACAAGAAAGGCAACACAAAGACTGGCAATGGACAAGCACCGACCGCAACAAACGACGAGTGCAAGCCTTCTGAGGCGTTGGAGATTGCAGCCGGACATGTAGACGCCAAGTCGCCCGTCGCAGTCCCGCCGCCGCTTGGGCCAGGGACCGCTGTGGTTGAGGTGAACGAAGAAATGCCTTCTAACACCGCTGCCAATAGCGACGAAGATGGCAGCTCAGCTCACAAGGGGAAGCCCATGTCCGCATACACGACAAGCGCTTCGTCCACTGTCGACAGTTGGCATGACGCAATGAACGGGGAGGCCAGTCCATCCGACAGTGAATCTGACAGCGAGCCTGAGTGCGAGGAGGGAAAGGCATCGGCGATGGACAAGCTTGTTGCGATGGGAAACGATAGTTGATAGCCCCCGGGCGGCGCATGGGGTAGATCTGGTGGGTGCGAAATCAAGGGGTTTCCATAGACAGAAGAGAGAATCATCAATGATGACGTTGCCATACGCCCAGGTCGTTCATTGTCTGCGCACGCAAATATCGGTGCGCAGGACCCATTTCTCCCCCTCAAGAACCTCCCGTCCTTCATGCTGCGGCGGTGCGTTAGCCTGTGTTCTGGCAGCAAGGTGAGGTCTGACAAACCAGTAAGCAGTCATCGCCATGCTTATGCAGTAGCAGCATGCCGGTCTCCAACGGCACAGCGATCTCCTCCGAGGGCGTCTGTCGGTCATGGGTGTAGAACACCGTCTCGCCGCCTTTGCAGCCCTCGGCAGCTGACGTCAAGTACAGCAAGAGTGTCCACGTCGTCTTTGTCGATAGAGGTGGCCCTTCACGCTGCGGCAGTGTGATCATGTTTGAGTCGTCGTCTTATCGATGTCAGTAACGCGCTGTACATGAGCGGGTGGTGTATCCTATACGTACAGTGACAGTCAAAGTACTGCCCTTTTGAGTACCGATAGATGCGAATATTGGGACTAAGTCCTACGACCTCGCCGCCCCTGCAAGCACGCTCTGGTCAGCTCACGCGTGGCAGGAAAAGAAATCCAGGACGTACCACTCATCTTTCCAGTCGCCGTCGGCCACAACGTTCTTCAACCCCGTGTCCTCCCACAGCCTGCGCGCAAACTCGGGGTCCTCCACCTGGAAGCGATCATTGACCCGGACGGCCTCGCCGCGCTTGGGCTTTCCGGGGGTCGTGACCAGCGGCAGGGTGCGCAGGAAGCTGACGTAGTCTCTGCACAGGGAGCGGGGGAAGAAGGAGGATATCAGGGCGATCTTTTGGGTTTGGGGGTGATACTCTGGTTGTAGGTAGGCGACAGGGAGGGGAGGCTTGAAGGGCGGCCATGAGGGTGGTTTGGCCGACGGCTGTTGCTGCACTGGGGGTTTTGACTTGCTAGACTTGGAGGGTTTGGGCATGATGGGGAGTTGGTTGCTTCAGGCTCTGCTCGAGTCTTGTCTGGATGGTGGAAGAGTCGTATGTCAGTATGTTGTGTGGGTAGGCGTCTAGAAGCGGCCTCCGAAGTTCGTGGTCCTTTCTCAGTTTTGAGTCGTCAATTTTGTACCACTTGTATGTGTCGGTCGGTTCGATTCTGCTGTGTGTGGTAATCACTACTGAAGGTGCTGAGAGGGAGCGGCCATGGATTGACGTTGGGTGGTCACGATTATGCTTATATCCGAACGAGATGCGACGTCGACCTCCAGCCACGTATACTTGGTGCTTGCTTCAAGAGAAGAAATACTTGGGTGAATCTGAGTAATATCAAATGAGAGGACATATATTGTTGAGAATTTTGCCCTCTTTGCAGTCTTTGGCCTTCAGATATACATAAACCACCTTCAACAACAAGACATATGCACATATCCAGTAGCGCGACCGCGCGTTGAAAGAATCTCAAGTGAAATTGAGCATCACATCGCACCCCCACGACATCCAACAGCCGAGCCCCAGCCTGGGCTCTCTTTCCAAAAGATGGTACTGGCACAGCTGATCCGCAGTGTCATTGACCCCGAGGGCAAACTCGATGCCAAACCGGCAGAGTCGCCCTCATCATCACCGCCTTCACAATCACCACCCCCCTCATCGTCTTCATCGGCATCTCCCTCCCAGACCGCGAAACCACAGATACAACAACCATTGCACTCGTACCGAGAGGACACCTACACACCGGGACAAAGACACTTTCGCCAACTATCCCTCCTCGTTCTGGGATCCGCCTTCCTCTCCGCCTCCATCTTCATCTCCCGACGGTCCGTGGTACGCCTCCAAAAGTCGTCCTTCCCGCACTTCTTCCTCTCCAACCGGACGCCGGCGTCGCGTCTGCCGACGGACGACAAGTACCCCATCGCCGCGCGCGCACTGGGCCTGGCGACGCTCAACGTCACGAGCTTTGGCGTCCTGCTCGTCGGCGGCATCAGCTGGGCGTTTGACCTGTGCAGCGTCACGGAGCTGCGGAACAGGACGCAGATGAGGCTGCAGAAGGGCAGAGAAATCGCCAGGGCCGGTATGGCGGACGAGGAGAAGATGGTGGAGGACAAGGTGGAGGAAGAGATGGAGAAGCTGCTTGGGCAGTGGTATGACAAGTTTGGGATCCAAAGGCCAGGCGCCGAGGATGGCAAGACAGCGAACGAGGAGAAGAAGGATGCTTAGAGAATAGGCTCCGGTGCTTCACATGTATAACAAGCGATATTTGCGTTTTTATATCCGCGGCATCATGGCCAAGTCACATATTTGGCTTCGCCATTGGATGAATGTAACACGACTTCCAAGTACAATCGGACGTCCCCCCGAACAAGCACATATGTACGCCCTCGCTCCCAATGGTATATGTACACACACGATGCACGCGCCTCGCCAATGATATAGTCAGCCCGCCCGATGCAAAGAACGCCAGATCCAAAGCCCCAAGTTATGCCCAGTCAGTCAGTCAGTCAAACATGGAATCCGTGTCCCGCTCTCATGCCTTGCTCTCCCACGTCTTCTTCTCCTCCTTGTCTTTGATGTCGGGCGGCTCCATGCCCTCCAGACTTGCGCGCCGGCCCCAGTTCCGGGGCTGTCTCTTGAGGAACGCGCCAACGGAGCCCAGATAGCCCTCGTGCCGTAAGAAATACGCCTGCTTGGAGCCCTGACTCCAGAATTTGATCGCGTAGCTCAGTGTGTTCATTGTCTGACGGTGTCCCCGGATGAAGGACCCGCCAAAGTAGATGTCGGACAGATTGTGGATCTGCGACTGTAGATAGGCGATCTGCCCAATATTGTTGGATATGGCGTACAGCAGCGACCGCGAGATATCCGCGCTGGAGAACGGTGCGTTGGAGTGAGCGTCGGCTCTGGGCCTGTCCTCGTCGTCGGGATGCTCCGAGTGGTCGGAGCAGATGGAGCCCATGTCTTCCGTCATGGCCTCGGCCTCGCGCTTCATGCGAAAGACCTTGCCAAAGGAGGAGGCAATGGTCGTGCTCTTGAGGCCAATCTTGCCATAGTCGGTGCCGTAAATGTCACCGACGAGCATGTCCACCTTTGCATTGTCGCCGTGCTCCGCCTGCGAGAGCATGTCGTCGAAGCTGCGCGCCCCGGTCAGCAGCGACAGCAGCCCCCACAGGGTGCCGCCGCCGAGCGACGTGCCTCCGACGCGCTGGTACGAGCGCGGGCCCGTCACCTTGAGCATGGACACGCCGGAGCCGATGTTGACCAGCAGGTAGGGGTATATGTTGTCGTGGGGGTCGACAAAGTGCATCGGCTCCGTGTCCGAGTAGGTGAAGACTTCGCGGGGAATCTCGGTGATGAAGAAGTCGAGGCCGATGATGAGGCACTCCATCTCGTCCTCGCGCAGGACGTCGACGCCGAGCGCGTCGCGGATCATGTCGTAGAACTTGTAGGCGCCGCCGCCGGTGGCCATGACGCAGAGCTCGCTGGGCGCGGAGCCGTTGAGGGCGAGCTGCTTGTCGCGCAGGTGGCGCATGAACTCGACGCAGTCGGCTATCCGGTCGGTCTCAAAGTTCTGGAAGTTGAGGCGGCCGCCTGGGTCGGTCGAGTCGACCTCGCGGGAGAAGTAGACGAGTTTGATGAGGGAGCCTCCAATCTAAGCGCGCATTGTTAGCCACGAACGAGGAAGAAGGTATTGGTGGTCTGGGAGAGATGTACATCGACAGCTATGTGGCTGACAACGGCAGTATGGTTCGGCAGTCGAATGTCGCTCGTCTCGTGGTGCGAGGGACTATGTCGCCCGTTGATGTATCCATTGGCGGTGCTGTTGGTGGGCGCAGGGGTCGAGGTGTCCGGGTCGACGATGAAGGCGCCCTTGACGTTGATCTTGACGCTGCCGGGGCGGGTGATGGTGTTGTCAATCTCCTCAGTGGAAGTCATTGTCCTCGGCCTGCGACGCACAGGTCGTTCTTGGGGCGTGTCCATGATGGCGAGCTCGTTGTCGGCCGAGGGGGTCATGGTATTCTTTCTCGGAGGGGTGCCACCAGGCTGCGGGGTGGTAGCTTGCCGGAGGACAAGACGTGAGCTCTGGGGTTGCGCGACGTGGGCGAGCGAACCATCAGAGAGTCCAGGCGAGGGTCGGGTGGAATTGAAGTGGATTGGATTGAATCGTAGCACAGAAGCAAAATTGATTGATTGAGAGATTGGGGGGTTGATTGAGGGTCTCCCCAGGTTAGAGCCGGGAGAGACTGACTGGAGAACTGAGGACTGGAGACTGGAGCCCCTCTTGCCCTCCCAAAGTCGAGCCCTTTGCTCCTTCCCGCCGACGAGACAAGTCCCTGAATTGGACTCCGTATCGATAAGGGGCTTTTTACACCGAGGCACCTCTGGCGGTCGGATGTTTTCCCTTCGGCGACATCATTCTCGTCAATTGGCGTTCCTTTGCTCCGGCTCAGATGAGACTTGACAGATGAAATTACATGTCCTCAATACAGCTACGTCATGAACTAAATTGACTATCAAAACAGCTTCGGCCCAGGCACAAGAACAAACACCAGAGTCAACAGGCCACCGCCAAGTGCCCCCGACAGCAACGCCTGCACAAAGATGGTATCCTGAATCTGTCGCAGCGCCGGCTCCTGGACCCAAATCTCCCGGTCAAAGATCTTCCTCACCACATTCCTCTTCTGGTACTTGACCACCCACGGCTCGTCCTCGTAGCTATTGCTGGACCCAAACGACTCAAAGCTCCCCTTGGACAGCTTCTCCTCCGCCGCCATGGACGCGTCGTCCTGCTCAAACAGCTCCCACGGACGAATGTGTCGGTGATGCAGCCCGTGCAGGACGACACACATGCCCTTCCATGCAGCCATGAGGGTACTGATGCCCAGGACCCATGCAATGGCCGCGAGGGCCCGGTAGCCGCGCCCGAGGCTGCTCAGCGTCAGCACGACGGCCATGGCGAAGCCCGCCACGATGAGGAACAGGCCCAGCCCACGGGCAAAGGTGACGCGCGCCGGGTTGCCGTTGCAGATGCTCCAGCGGACAAAGTTGGGGTGCGACTGGCCGCGGAGGCTGCTCTCCACGCTCTTGACCAGGCCGCGCAGCGCGGTCGGGTGCGTCGTCTGCGACAGGGCCTGCACGGTCGCCTTTTGCTCCCACGACGAGAGGTTGAGCTGCCGCGGGCTGCTGTACATGATGTACGTCGCGATCACGCGGTTGATCTCGTCGCGGAACGGCTGGATGGTAAAGGGCTGCCGCGCGCCGGCAGAGTGGAACGCATCCGAGGCCTGCGCCTTGTAGTCGGTGGTGCCGGTCCCCGCGGTGCTCGAGGGCGCGTAGCACGTCGTCTGCTCCGAGTGCCTGCTATCAGGTGGCGTGTGGAAGGGCTGGTGGTCCGCCATGTTGAGGTGAGACGGGGGCGACAAGGCCTCGCCCGCCTGCTTGTCAAAATCGGTGCCCTTGAAGATCTGCTGTGCGACCTCGACCTCGGGGCGACGCTTGTCGACCGTGACCTTGCGGATCTTGGCGACCGTGTCCTCGTGCATGGCGAGCGTCCACTCGGGGGCGAGCGCCTTCTCGCTCGCGGGGATGGCCTCGAAGCGACGGCAGTAGTCCTTGTACCAGAGGAAGAACTGGAGGTTCTCGGCCGAGTGCTCAATGTACACGAGGTAGTTCATAAAGTCACGAAGCGTCATGGGCTGTTGCAATCGCGTCCGTCAGCCTTGCGTCGGATTTTTCTGAGGGGACGTCCCTTGCCAGAGACGGATCAGGGTACTGGTACGAACCGGACAAGTGCCGCCATTTATGATACGGTCAAAGGTGAGGGAGTCGGGGATGCCTGACTGGCCCGACTGGCCGGAGCGGACGGAGCCATCACTGCGAGGCAAGGTCTCCTTGTCGCTGCCGCCATCGTCGGTCGTGACGATGCTGACCATGCTGAAGGATTCCTGCGGGACGTGCTTGGGACGTGTATACGTGAGTGGGAGGAGACCCATGGTGAAGGCTAAGCGTATGTACTGCGTATGAGAAGATGGCTGTACGAGTGTGGGCTTGGGCTCACGATGCCTTCACAGTCTAGGGGACACCCTACAGTCTATATACGTCTGGTGTGTGCAACAAGGCATATGGACTACGTATTGGACTATGAGCCCGGCGCTCAGGCTCCAGTCACAGTGCCTAAGCGCAATGACAGGCAGGCAGGCCGCGCCAGAGTCAGGCTAAAACAGGCGCCGCTCGTCTTGTCAAAGGTAGGGACGAGGTGTGCAGCGCAGGGTTTTCTCGACACGCCGAGGGGATACCGAGGCCAGAGGCACTTGGGAAGTCCATGTTCCCCATCCATGCCATGTAGGCAAGCACCGAGATTGGCTGTTTCGTGCCGCTGGGCGCTCTGGGCCTTTGGCCAGTGGCAGGCTCCATGTACGTGCTGTACTCATCAATCGCAAGACGTGCCTATCCGACTTGGCACGATCTAGTACCCGGCCGCCTTGCAAGGAGATCGCTGCCACGATATGTGGACTAGCTGTCAGTCTTCGAGTCATGTCACGCGTGGCATTCTCCATACCCTGCCCACTGTACTACGTCTCCCGTCTAGGTGCTTGTCCTCGTCGTCTCTTGCTGGAATGCTCGTCTTCTTTGTCTGCGGACACAAAGCTATTTGATCCCCTCTTCACGCACGCGAGGCCACCCTCACTTACAAGCGTCGAGCGCCAACAAAAGCCACCCCCTGCCGCTCAGACATCGTGGAGTCTCGACGTCGACCAGAAGCAAGGGCGGCGTGTGACTGGACATGTGGATCCAGCACTACGCTGCTTGTGTCTTGACTCGAGGGTCAGCTCGTGGCTGCTGGTGTTCAGGCACAGAGCTAAGCGTCTTGCAGCTGTTCGTCCGTCCGGTGCAGTGGCTGAAAAGATTTCGCGCTATTGCAGGTCCTAATCGTGGTCCAACGAGCAGTCAGATGGCACTATCGAAGCTTATCATGGTGATAATAGTATGGTCTACGTACGAGACTTGTTCCCTCATCTCCGCATCTCCGCGAAATGAAAAGGTGCGATCAATTACGCGCACTGATGAATCGAAACAGCATGGCAATGCAAGCTCGTGATATATGGTATACCTAAGGTATGTAGCATTGAAGCGCTCAGACACACTCTATCTTGGCGGCTGGCCTTTCGCATCGATAGCTCGACGCAAGGACTCATCACCATGCATGGGCGCGGATTCGGGATAATATTGAGACAGGCATATCGGCTGGGAGTCTGGGACTTGGGCGGTCGGGGCGAGCCGAGAGGAGCATTTCCCAGTTCTCATTGATTCATTTAGGCTTTCGCAGCTGTTCTGGGTGTCTCAACCTGTCACATGAGTGCGTCCCTTTTTTTCTCTGCCGCTGAGGCGCGACACCAGACTGGAGCTTATTAATTGCTTTTCTTGTGCTCGGTGATGCCATCCTGGCTGTCCACGTCGGGGATCGCCTTGCCAAAGCAGATCACTTCCTGTCTGTGTATGTTTCTTCGTTAGCGCAGGCTCTCGGATCTATTGCCGACGTCGAGAAGCATTTCGAGTTTCCCCCCGGATCGACCTACCCTGCAAATACCTTGATCCCGCGGCTGGTGTCCATGAAATACTTGCAGTCGTCGGCCAATTGACGGTAACTCGGCGCCGCAAAGAACTTTTCAGCATCGTCCCAGTTGGCGAACCACATGGTCGAGCAGCCGTCGTAGTCGAGCGGCGACATGCCCAGCGCAATGGCCTTGTCCTTCATGGACGGGGACTGGTGTTGCTGCGTACTCATCAGCCTTTGCTCACCAGACCAACAAGTCTAAAGAGGACGCAACCAACCTGTGTGTAGCGTCGCACGTTGAACGCCCCAAACGCCTCGGCCGCCACGGTCATGTCCGCGTGCACGTGCGCATAGTGCTTGGAAAAGTGCTCCCACGACACGTCGCCGAGCTTGGAGAAGAAGAACTGGATCTTGATGGCGGCTGGACAGAAGGTTCACATCAGTCAATGAATGAACCCAAGTTTCATCAGACGGCCCGGGGAGGAAGAGCGGCTCACGCTGAAAGAGAATGCCAGGGGCATCGTAGTCGAACTGCGGAAAGTTGAACGTGTGGTCGATGCGCTCGTGGCCTGTTCTGCGGTCGCCGGATGCCATGTTTGCGGTGTTCTTGCTGCTGGATATCGATGCGAGACGATGGAACGAGCTGGACAAGTGGCTGACTGGCATCACGTTGGCTACATGTACCAGACATGTACGTGACGTCTCGAGGCTTCACCAAGGGGCTGAAGCTGGGTGACCTTAGCCGACAGCCCCTTGTTTTGCCACACTGGGAAGAGGAGAAGAAGAGGAGACGAGGACGATCACGGACAGATTATTCCGTGAGCTGAGCTTACGAATGATCTTGGCTTCTGATGCTAGCGCACCGACTGGAGAGCCGGCCTTGCTGCATGTATCACGATGCTCCATCAGATGACAGGAGCAGAGCACGCGCCAGTTCAAGGACTCGAGGAGGCTATATTCACCTCATGCTATGCTACTATGTGTGGAACTTGACAACCTGCCTGTACTTGGACTTGCCGGCCTGCATGTCCTCAACCATCTGCGGCAGCTCCTCGAGCTTCCTAAACTCCACCTGGGGCTGGATCTTGTGCTTGGCCGTGAACTCGACCGCCTTGGGCATCCTCTGCGGGATGCTGGTGCTGTCCGCCTTGATCCGGTACCGGCCGGTGGTGAGGTCAAAGGTGGACACCTGGAGGTCCTTGGCCGCGATCCCAATGACCATGAGCAAGCCGTTGGTGCGCAGCAGCTCAATGGCGGACGCGTAGGCGGCGTTGGCGCCCGAGAAGACGGCCGCCGCGTGCGCGCCCTTGCCCGTGATCTTCTTGACCTCGTCGACCGCCTGGGCGTTTGTCCGCGAGTTGACGACGGCGTCGGCGCCCAGTGCGGTCACGGTCTCGAGGACGTCGTCGCTAATGTCGACGCCGACCACCTTGAGGCCCATGGCCTTGGCGTACTGCGTCGCGTACTGGCCCAGGCCACCGCAGCCGACGACGGCGATCCACTCGCCCGGCTGGAGCTCGCAGCTGTCGACGGCGTGGTAGGCGGTGATGCCGGCGCAGAAGAGGGGCGCGCTGCGGTCCATGTCCAGCTCGGGCGGCACAATCACCGCGTTGCGGTAGTCGACGATGCAGTACTCCTGGAAGTAGCCGTCGGCCACGAACCCCTGGAGGATGGGCTGCTGCCTCTCGCACCGCAGGTTGTGCACCTGGCAGCCATCGCACTCGAAGCAGCAGCCGATAAAGTAGTCCCAGCCGATCGGGTCGCCGACCTGGAAGCCCTTGCCCTCGGCGGACGGGTGGATCTTTTCAATGTAGCCGACGCCCTCGTGGCCGATGGTGATGGACCCCTCGGGACGAAGCTCGAGGTGAAGGTCAGAGTGGCAGAGGGACGCCGCGTGCGTCTTGACGAGGAACTGGTTCTCTGCCGGCTCCGGTATGGGGATGTCTTTTATGACAATCTTCTTTTGCGCCTGACGGGGGAGCTGTGAGCGGCGCGTGGGCGCGTGGGTCTGGGTATCACTTACACTGTCATATTGGCCGGCCTTCATCTTGAGTGATGTGATTTGGGTGGGCTGACTATGTTTCGTGATCGTGATAGAACTATCAGGGTTCCCAGAGTTGATGCTGTATAGGATGTAGAAGAATCAGCCATCCCGTATAAAAGCTCCGACCCCTCAAACTCGGCCCACGCTTCCACGCGGGAACTCCTCGGCCACAATGGGTCCCTTTGCACTCAAACGACGTATTGTCGGAATTAAGGTCTCCCAAGAGCCACTACAGCTGCACAAGCTCTCCAGTAGCTCCAGCCTTGCGATGGGGACCAGGCAAAAGGGGGCGATCGCGGGTGAGTAGATCCGGGGTAGGACTTGGGGAAGTGTGGGGGATCATGTGTGGAGGAGGTAAGCCTCAGGCCCTCAACGCGCGTTTCCCCCTTTCAATTGAACACTCGATCCATCTCGGGTGTCCTTACCCAGCGAGCAGCTTGCCCTGAAGCAGTCCGGCTCCACGGATCCAACGTCTTGGCCTTTCAGCGATAGCCGCAGCATTGAAGGCTGATAGTGGGCGATATGGCCATCGACGCGATACGAGGACGCCGCGAGACAGGATGGCAGACTGGTCACCGTACAGGCATCTTGCACGCCTTGCCAGCGGCGCTGTGAAGGGCTCGTCTGGCTCAGCTCTGTCTGTCAGTCGAGCTCACGTACATGTGCGTGGCATGGCGGTGGCCCAGAGGCCAGGATTCAGACCGCCACTGATGACAAGTCTCGCCACAATTTGAGGCCAGACCTGAAAGATCGGCCAGCCTAGCATAATTTTGCATCCCATATTGGAGGTAGTTGGAATGGCTCGGCCAGCGTCTTCCGCTTCGAGGTCCAGGCCCTGCTATCTGGTTCCGCTAGCCCCTATCTACCTTTCAGGCATGGGCCTCTGGATGCTGGGAGGTCTATACATGACCATCGTGCCCCTTTGGACTGAACTTGGGCATACTGGTACTTCATGACCTTGAAGATCTCCAGTCTGACCAAAGATAGCCGCCTCTTCACAGATCGACATCGGTCAACAATGGCAGCCCACCAGGATTCCCTGGCTCACGAGCCCCATGACGACCTCGAGGTCAAGCATGATGCCACCGACCATCAGGTCGAGCATGTACGAAACTCTGGCGACCAGACGCCATCCATTCATGTGGAAACGGAGGGCATCACGCTCAAGACATGGGTCGTCATCTTTGTGAGCAGCACACCGTCAACCATGTACCACTACGACCAACTCTGACAGCCCTAGATCCTCTCCGCCACGTTTGGTCTCAGCTTCTGGCCGGTCCCAACGACGGCTGCGATGCAAGCTGGCCTGGCCGCCCAGTTCGGGGAGCCACAGTCCCTCGTTTGGTTCGGTGAGAGGCCTTCCTCCCCACTGCCATTAGCTTGATTCAGCCTGGTCACTAACACCTGAGCAAGTCCCTACCTACACGACGGCCACCTCCATCGGCTTCATTCTCGCCGGCACCAACAGCGATCTGTTTGGCCGCCGCATCTTTCTCATCTTTGGCAACGCCGTCTGCAGCGTGGGCTTCATCGTCACTGCGACCGCGCGCTCCTCGACGCACTTTATGGCCGGCCTGGGCGTCACCGGGTTTGGCGCCGGCTTCTGCCAGATGGCCATGTGCGCCCTGCCCGAGCTCATGCCCAACAAGTACCGCCACATTGGCATCTGTCTGTCGGACGGCTTCGTCTTTGCCATTGTGGTCATTGGGCCCATTGTCGGCCGGTACGCCATCGACGCCGGAGAGAGAAACTGGCAGTACGTGTTCTGGGCTGGCTTCGTCCTCCAGTTCGTCACCATGGGCGGCTCCATTTGGATGTACCACCCACCAAAGCACCCGCGTGGTGTGCCGTGGGCAGAGGCCCTCAGGGGACTCGACTATGTGGGCGCTGCCTTGATCGTGCCCGGTATATGCCTGACACTCGTCGGCATTATCAACACGACAGTAAGTCCACAGTGCACACAGCACCCTCCTATGCCCACTGATTGCTCACAACCACGCAGTACAAAGCCGGCAGCGACGTGACCGTCATCGCCCCCCTCTGCACCGGCCTGGGTCTCCTTGTCCTGTTCGCGCTGTGGGAGAACTTTGGCAACGTCAAGTATCCTCTGTGCCCGCCCGAGATCTTCCGCACGCACAATGGGCGCGAGTTCACCGCCCCCTTCATCCTGGCCTTCATCGTCACCATGTTCTACTATGGCATCAACATCATCTACCCAACCATGATCAACACCTTCTACGTGGGCCCAAACACGTCACGCAGCGAGGAGATGCTCCTCACGCTACCAAACAACCTGGGCTTGGTCTTTGGTGCCGTTCTACTCAGCTGCTTTGGCAATCTACTCGGGCACTGGAAGATCACCCTGACGGTCGCCTGGGTCGGCATGTCCCTCTTTGGAGGGCTCCTTGCTCTCGTGACACCCTTCAACAAGGGCACCATGATCGCCTTTGCCTTTTTGGAGCAAATGTTCTTTGGTTGGGCACAGTACGAGAGTATCGCCTTCACACAGCTCGGCGTCAAGCAGGTCGATCTGGGCATCTCCGGTGGTCTGGCCGGCGTGGCCCGTTATGCCGGCGGCTCGCTGGCCCAGGCCATTTACACCACCATTCTCACCAACGAGCAAACATCAAGGGCGGCGCGTACCGTGCCTGCGGCAGCCGAGGCTTTGGGTCTGGGGCCACAGGAGGCACAGCAGCTGCTGGCCGCCATATCGACGGGGGCAACAGACGCCATTGCCGAGATTCCAGGCATCGTGAGTAGCTGCACTTCCCACATTGTGACGAGATCCCACTGACATTTGATTACTAGACGGACGAGATTGTTGCGGCTGCCTCGACGGCCTTCAAGTGGGCGGTCGCCCACGGTCTCAAGATCACGGCCCTTTCCTCGTTGGCGTTTGCGGGTGTTGGCCTGGTCTGCTGTCTTTTGCTGGAGAATATTGACCACAAGATGAACAACAAGACAGAGGTGTTCCTCGAGAATGACGTGAATGCGGAGAAGAATGTGTACCACTGAGCAGTTCGAAAGAGGCTAGAAAAGGGGCTGGGCAAGGGGCATCAAAGAAACAGGCTTATCTTATTTAATCATGAATGAAACTGCGCGACTTGCAGCATCTTGGGATCTGGCATGTTCTTCCATAGACTTGTATCCGTAGACGATAGTCCTTCAACTTCATGTTGCGAGAGACGAGTCCAGCTGCATCACCAGTAACCAACATGAAGGCACCAACTCCATGACCCAATGATCTGCTCAGCACCTCATTATGTAATTTCAATCCTCCCGATCAATTGATCTCATCATTCAATCTTCCACGACAGTCCATCAAGGTCACCAATCCTCCGTAGCTCCGCTAAAAGCGGGCCTCCTCCGCTCCGTGCTTCGGAATGCCTCACGACATCATCCTCCACGACGACGACAAATCACCTCGTTCCGTTCCTCACTGTACATCTTCACAGACAAATCAAGCCTTCCTCACCCTCAATTCATCGTCCAAGCAAGCCTCAGCTCGCACACGCACTCTCCTCCACCATCTCCCGCAGCTACCCCTCATCAACCACCCCCGCCATGTCTGAGCTCAAGGTTGGCGATACCTTCCCCGAGGGCGTGTCCTTCAGCTACGCGCCCCTCACGCCCGAGAACAGCGAGATCACCGCCTGCGGCATCCCCCAGAAGTTCGATGCCAGCAAGGGTATGTGCAGACCCGTCCTATGACTCAAGTGCAAGACTCACGTTTCTGGCCACAACAGAGTTCAAGAACAAGAAGGTTGTCCTCGTCTCGGTCCCCGGTGCCTTCACCCCGACCTGCCAGGTCTCCCACGTCCCCTCCTACATCAAGAACGCCGACGCGCTCAAGGCCAAGGGCATCGACCAGGTCGTCTTCATTGCCTTCAACGACGCCTGGGTCATGTCTGCCTGGGGCAAGGCCAACAACATCAAGGATGACTTCATTGTAAGTGGCATGACGACGAGGCACGCATGATGAAACGGAAGCTAACGTCGTAGATCTTTGCCTCGGATACCGGTGCTGCCTTCAGCAAGAGCATCGGCTGGACCGCCGGTGAGCGCACCGCCCGCTATGCCCTTGTGATCGACCACGGCAAGGTCGTCTACGCCGCGAAGGAGGCTGGCGGTGGCATCGACGTCTCTGGTGCCGAAGGTGTTCTCGCCAAGCTGTAAGCAGGGCAGCCAGCCTAAATAAATAGAGTGAAGGACGCCATAGACTATCAATAGAAGGTCGTTGCGAATCAGGACATGTATCACGGCACACGCAAAGCCAGCCAGCAGCCAGTCATGGACACTTGCACCGGTTGTCATTTGCTCAACTACCAATGCACCCTATGGCACGCCATGCACCCGAGTTGTGTCGAAGAACCGGTCCCGGAACCAAAACACACAAAGTAGAAAACCGCGAGACTCCCAGAATTTCCCTTTATTCTTTCATCCTCGACGTCCCGTCCTGCGCTTTCGCCTTGCCACCCCTCTTTCTTCTCTCTCTCTCTCTCAATCGTTCATGGTTTCGTTAAGGAAGGAGTGTAGACAACAAAAGGGGAAGGCCGCTTAGCGAGTGCGGGCGGCGGGCTTGGGAGCTGCGCCCTTGGCGCCCTGCTTGCTGACGTTCCTCACGGTCTGGCCCTTGGCGGCGACGGCGGCGTTCTTGGCCTTCTCCGCCTTCTTGGCGGCCTGGGCGGCGTTCTTCTTGTCCTTGGAGGCCTTGATGGCCTCGGCGCGGGCGGCGGTGCGGGCCTCGGGGCGCTGCGTGCGCTTCTCCTTGATCACGTCCAGGGAAGCACCCTCGATGCCACGCTGCGACTTGACGGTGCGGCGGGTGCGCTTCTTGGCGACCTCCTATAGCGGGTGTTAGTCCATCGTGTGTCTCCCCTTCCCAGGTATGCATGTCCCAGGCGTCATCGGGGTCGGATCGTACCTCAGAGATGCCCTTGCGGTGCTGGCGACGGTAGAGGACAGTCCATGCGATGCGGCGGGGGTTCTTTCGTTGCAGGAAAAGCGACTCGGACTTGCCGTTCTGGAAGCGGAAGACCTTGCTGTCGCCACGGACGTAGATTTTACCCTGTAGAAACGGACCAACGTCAGCATTCTGACTCTGGGAAACTTGTGCAAAACGACCACCACGCCACAGCTGCCCCGGTAGCCCCGTCACGTCCTCCCCATCTCAATCTGATCATCGTTCGGACCTGTCGTCGACGTCGCGGGGCAGCAGCAGCAGGGCCAGGATGGACGGTCTTGCACGCAATGCACTGGGAAGTCGTACCTTGCCAGGGTAAATCCTCTGGCCCGAGAAGGAGTCGTCGTAGGTTCGCATCTTGTCGCTGTTGTGCTGTTGTCGGGCGACTTGACGGGGGGGGTTAGTAGTGAGGTTTCGTAAGGCGAATGGGGCGAGAAGTTCTGGTTCCAGGGCGCCGCGATACGCTCAAAATTCTCGGAAACTGGTGGTGTGCGGTGGTGACTAAGCGAGGTAGGGCAACGACTGGGTGGGCGGCTGGTTTTGCGGAGTGGATGGGCACGTGATTGGTGGGGTCTTGACGACATCGCGATGCCGACGACTGTTAGTGTCGCGGACTCTTGAACCAACCACCAGTCTGATCAGCGAGGACAGGGCCCCTGGACAGGTATCGAAGCGTTCCGGCAATGGGCATTCTTACTGCTCTGTCCGATGGCGTCAAAAGCCGATCTCATTGCCAACTCTGTGCTCGCTGAGTTTGACAAGCTTCCGCCTAAGCGCAAGCCGTCGCACCGAGGAAACGGACATCAGGAATGGGTGCCCCTGAGCGGCATCGTCGTCGAACATGGTGACCATGTGCGTTGTGTAGCATTGGCGTAAGACACGGACCCAGCCTCGTATTGTCGAATGACTCCTTCTAAGACCTCGTAGAACGGGCATGAAGTGTCTGCCAGCCAGCAAGATCCCCCACGCCAATGGCATCGTCCTCCATGATTGGCATGCTGAGATCCTCGCCATCAGGACATTCAACCGTTTCTTACTAGAAGAGTGTGCCTCTCTGATCAGAGGAGACGATTCGCACATCGTTGACTTCAACACTGGTGCGGAGCAACCTTTCAAGATCAAGGATGGGATCAAGTTTCACATGTACTGCTCTGAAGCTCCGTGTATGTAACGATCCGCGGGACAGAGTTCCTTCATTGACAGGCAGTAGGCGGCGATGCGAGCATGGAACTCTCCATGTCTTCACAAACCGATGCAACACCTTGGACCGACCCAGGACCCGGGCCCATTCCCTTATTACCAGGGCGTGCCGACTTCTCACAGCTGGGCATTGTCCGGCGAAAGCCAAGTCGAAGAGATGCACCGGCGACGCTGTCAAAGTCGTGCTCCGACAAGTTGGCCTTGAAGCAGTGTACTTCACTCATATCAGGCTTAGTATCGCTGTTGGTTAGTCCACGCGGCGCATACATTGATACCCTCACCGTGCCCGAGTCACAACATACTGAAAGCGGATTTCGTCGGGCCTTCTCAAAGGATGGGAGGATGAAGAACTTGCAGAACAACATTTGGTCTGACGACTATGCATTCAGGCCTTTTCAAATAGGGACAACGAGTGTCGAGTTCGCGTATTCAAAGCGCAGTGTCACCCACACAGCCGAGAAGATATCGCCTAGTCCGTTGGCGACGGCGTGGTCAGCATCGGGGATAGCCGAGAACATTGTCAACGGCGTCATACAAGGGCGAAAGGTGGGTGATCCCAAGGGGGCCAGTCGCATGTGCCGTCAGCAGATGTGGTTACTGGCACAGAGCCTTGCGGATCAGTGCAATAATAGGCCCTCACTAACTGCTGCGCTCCACGGCGCAACCTATACGCACGTCAAGGCGGATGCACTCCTGCAGTCAAGAGGCCAGGTCATCGCCATAACGCAGCTCGTCGCCCTCAAGGGATGGATCAAGAATAGCGGAGATACGGGCTTCCAGTTGGGCCAAGCACAGAGAATGGAAACATCATGAGATGGCATTTCTCGATCTGATGCAAGATGTGTACAAATCCGGCAAAGCCAATGTAGCTCGCGGATCAGTGAGTTACTTTTTTGTCATTCCGCCCGTAAGCCGTCCGTTGCCCTCCAACCGCGCGAGCCGTTACCCTGTGCGTTGACGCCCGAAATCAAGTCGTTGAATTGATACCTTCCAGAGGAACGTTGTCACCTTCTTCGCGCACCCTCTTCAACAGGAGCAACAACGTCCCTTTCCCTTATTTCGCTTGGCTAGGAGAGGAGGTGCTTTATTCGACCTTACTCTCAAAGTTCTCACCCTCCACCAGGTCGGGGATCTCGCCATCGTCCTCCTCACCCTTCTCGCCCTTCTGCATGTTCTGGTAGCTCTCGGCGAGCTTGCGGAGCGAGGCCAGGGAGTCGGGGCCAAGCTGGTTCAGGATACCGGGGACGAGCTCGGTCAGCTCCTTGTCCTCGCCGTTGCCGTAGATGGCAAAGGTGTTGCTGGGGACAGCAGCGTGAACTATCCCCCGTTAGCCGTCTTGTCCAGTCTCCAATCTCCTGTGGAAGCGCGTACCCTTGGGAGCGGCAAAGTGGATCACGTTGCCGTCCGACTTGAACATGTTGACCTCCTCAATCTGCTGGATGGGCTGGGTGCCCAGCTTCTTCAGGTTCTGCTGGAGCTTCTTGTCGTCGGCGCCAGAGCGAGGAGGCGCACGCTTCATCTTCCTGCGGGGAGTACCCTTTCCACTGGCGTATGTTGTTAGCAGTCGTCCGGTGCGTTTGTGACAGTCTGGTTCGGTGCTTACCCTATGAATTGTTAGCGCGAGAGTTACAGCCAAAAATTCACCAGAGCTTCAACGTACCGATGCGGGCGCTCGCGCCGAGCTTCCTGAGGCGCTCCTGAATCTCGTCCGACATGTTGGCTGATTTGTCGTGTGGGAGGTGGGTTGAAGCTGCGGGGGTTCCGAGGGACACTTCAAAAACTGGTAGAGTCTAGTGTTAGCTGACGCTCCTGGACAGGGACAATGAGGCGTCATGCCAGATTCGCCATAGACGGCAGAATTTTGGCATTATTCCGGACTGTACGCACCAATGGGACTGAGTCGCTGGCTATGGGCTTTCGACGTCGTCTGCCTTGATGCTGGCGGTGATGGTGGTATAGTGGGAGATTTTGTGCGTGCCAAGACTTTGGAGGGGTGGGAAGAACTTTGTGCCGGTTTCCTCGGTTCAACGTGGGGTATCGCCAGCTTCGATGTAGGGTCTGAGATTCTGAGCCGCCAGACTCTGGCGCCCATCCACCATCACATCTGTCGCCCACGCTCCCGAGCGAACGATCTCATCACGTCTCTGTATGCTTATTTATGAGTGGATTTCAGTATGCCCGTGTGTCGTTATTCGCAGGCGCGTTCTTGAGTGTCATAAGCTTGCCCCCTATCTACTCTGCCTTCACGAGGGATACAGAATAGTATCTATCATTTCACGTTGTTGCTGCCGAGATATCTTCTGTGTAAAGGGTCGAGTCACCGACTGCACCTAAACGCAATGCCTCAGAATGACCATTGCACAGATTCCCATTTTGAAAGCGCATTCCATGGGCTCATCAAGGTGTAATTGAACAATGATATAAGTACATGACGCAAAGATAGCCGTCCATACAATGCCGTAATTACAACCGCGGATTCCATTAGGCCACATCATTTCCCACCCCAACTAAACCAGGAAGATGATTTGGGCTGCTCTGCCGGCGTAGGTTGTAAAGCTTCCCTTCTCATCTCAGCTTTGCGAGCCTCTGCCTCTTTCTCCCGGTTCTTCGCATCAGCAATGGCCTTCTTCTTCATCCTCTCCTCTTCCTCCTTTACAACAATCCAGACTGCTTGTCGTTAGCACCGAAATACGACCACACTGTCGTCGGCAAGGGCGTACTTGGTTTGTCCGACTTGCTGTATTCCTTGAGTCTTGTCACAAACTCGTCAAACTCTTGTTCGCGCTGCGCTTTGCCCTCGATACTTCTTCGTCGGAGATCAGGGTTGTATTTGGCTCGAATTTCTTCTTCAGACGGGGACAGCCAGGCTGTGAACGCCGGGCCACCGACGGCGACGATTACGCTCCTGGAGTGGTCTTAGCAGTCTGTAGTGCCTTCTCTGTCATGGAACTTACACAACGGCTACCTTGCCCCATAACCGCCAGTTTGTCGGTTTCTTTCCCATTGCGGCGACTGTATTGCGACAAGGGTCGGGGAATCGCACACGAGATGGGGGCGTCGCGCGTGATGTCTTCTGTCTGTCGCGAATCCCGACTATCCGTCATTGACTTTGAAGGGTCCAAGCTCTCTGGTCTGGTCCCTCCGTTCAGTGGCTGGTGCTGTGGCTGGTGCACAGCAGCAACAAGCCAATGACGCACTGTGTTGACTTGATGGCTGAGACCTCGAATCAACCTGGTCAGGGAGAGCCACGTCTGCATGTTTCATCTTCGCTCAGTGACGCAAGGCGGCTGTTCAGGTTATGCTGCTACGTACGTATGATGATTGAAGGTCATGAATTACGGCCTTGGAAGCAAGTTGCGGGTGAATTGTTGATCAACGATCACTCCGCCCTGTTGCTTCGACATGAGCCGAACTAGGTACCCTACAAACCTCAACGTCTGCAAAGACCAGATACAAACTGGCGAGCTGTGGGCAAGAACCTCGCTGGTAGTCCAGCCATGCGGATTTGGGTCAATTACCAGGAGCTTAGAGTTCAAGTGTCAGCTATCTTGAGGCCGCCGGCTGGTAGATGTGCCGGGGATCAGCAGGGGATCATTCCGTCGAGAGGTGAGCAATCATAGGTTGGCTCTACTAGTCAGCATCATGCGGCACACCTGAGACTCAAAGAGATGTCAAGCACTTGAGCTACGAAGTAATTGCAAGCCTTGAGGCTCTTGAAACCTAGGAGGTTATAATATCATTGGCCAAAGCCCACCGCTTACCACAAGGTTCAAGGTTACACATACGCCAGCCTGCCAGGTACCTTTACGTACTGTCTCCGTCAAACATGGTTGCATTGGGTGTCCAGAAATTGAGCCTATCCGCATCGCTGCATGGCATTGTAATTTCGACTGTAGTCCTCGACTGTACTGTACGGGGTAGGGCAGGTCGAGCACTCATCCGCCAGCTGGGTTGAAGCGTGCTCACTCCCCTCGCCAGACACTTCCTCACCTTCGAAATATCTTTGCTTCGTGTCGTTTGCCGAGCCAAGACCGTTGCAAATTCTTCTTGTGCTCCAGTCTTTCTGCTCTTCGCGTGTCGCCACCACGCACCAAGCGACCTGCCTTGTCCAATTCCGGCCATCTCGAGCCGGCGGCTAGTAGTTCTCACGCCGTCAGAGCGGCAGAGCCTCTCGTCGGCACGCCTGGCGAGCGCGGCGCTTCCACTCCCCGTACTGTCGGAGCCTTGTACACGAAGACAGGGAAACCTGCCAAGTCATTCCGACAAACCAACCTGCACGCGCTGCCTCACGGTTTCACACCAAATATCCTCGTTATGGAGTCTTAGCCCACCGAGCCAAGTCCGAACGAGCAACGACACGAACGATACGAACCCCGCCAAGACATGGGGCCTGCCTTGCCAGTCCCTTGCGCCGACTTGAATAACGACTGAAGTCCCACGTCTCTGGTACCGCGACTCAGTCTCTGTACTTGAACTTGCCCACCCGACAATGGCGTATAATGGAGGATATGGGGTTGATCCCTACGGTGGCAGGCCACCTCCGCGACGAGAAGGCCACCGGGGTCCTCCCGCACCACAGCAGTATGGAGCACCACAGCATTATGATGGCTATGGCGATGGCTACGATTACGAAGGCAACGCTGGTGGCTACTCTGGACCGGATTATGGGGGCTCCTATGCCCAGCAACCCGACTACGGACGAGGTCAACCCCCACCACAACAATATCCTCAAGATCCCTATGCGCCAGCGCCTGCGCGGGGAGCACGAGTGCCAGACGGCAGAGGCGGGCAGTATCCTCCCAGAGGAAGGGGAGGTCCAGCCCCCAATCGTGGCGGGCGTCCACCGGTGCCTCATGGCCAGCCAGGCCCAGGCGGTCGCCGTAACCACGAGCCACCCATCAATACCCGAGGTGCCGACTATGGAGACCCCTACGGCCGGAGACCCGATATGGAGCAGCAAATGGCTGCCCAGATGTCGAGTATGGATCTGAATGGACGGCACCCGAGTCTCTCTCAAGCACCACGTCAAAGCGGCGAGAGCCAAAGAAGCCAAGGTAGCTACGGGCGAGGCCAAGACCCTCGCGGTCAGGCATTCGAAGGGCGGAGAGGGCCGCCTGTTGCGCCTGAGCAAAATGGCTACTCGGGATATGATGATGGGCACGGTAGACGACCGCCGCCCCAAAGGCCTGGGCATGAGTTCGCCCCTCCCGCGCGAAGTATGACGATGCCTAACGATAGTGGCCCGAGATACGACCTTTCCCCGCAAAGGATGAATTCAATGACTTACGATGACCGCCCTTCAACAGCTGCAGGGCCTCACAACCCTCACCAGATGTATCCGCAGGACAATCAAGGGTACGACTACAACTCATACAGTGGAGGCGGGGGTTATGACGGCAATCAAGGATACGCGCAGCAGCCTTCCAGGGCCTCCTTTGGTGATGCTCATGATGAGTACCAACGCAATGGTGGGCAACAGGGGTACCAGGCCTATGGAGCCCACGCAAAAGGACCAAGTGAGTCCAGTCTTCCGAATTTCGAAATGATCGCACCGGCAACTCGAGGTTCGTTTGAGCAAACCATGAGGCCGGGACCTGAGCCTATGCGACCAGTCCCTGAGAACATACGCCCTGGTCCCGAGATGCCACAGCCGGGCGCCCATCAGACAGCCAAACTCAACCATGCAAAGTCCCAGCCTGACCTGCGTCAACCACAGACGGCCATCTTCGAGATGGCTGGCGACATCCCTTCGGTGCCTCCAATACCACCTACAAATGCGCTGCCACCACAAGTACAGCCGCATCAAGGCTACGGCGCTGCTCCAATGGGGCATGAGCGGATGCCTCGACGGGGCCCGAGTGCACCTCCCGGGCCAGTGAATATACCGGCACCGAAGCAGATGGGCCCATCGCCAGCTAGGTCGGAGCCTCCAATCCCCCCGCCTGCAAGCCAGAATCCAGACGCTCTGCCATCGCATCCTACGCCAGTCCGAGCTGGGCTCATGGCGAACTCCATGGTATCCCTGAATGAGAAACCGCCTCCTGTGCGAAACTACGCCGGTGTGCCGCAGGCGCAACCTCAGCTTCAGCAGCGGCCGCAGCCTCAACAGGAGCAGGGGCAAGCCCAGGCCCCGGCGCCTCTAAGTACGAGACCCGTTGAGCCACCTGTGACGCCGCAAGAGCTCGAGCATCTCCGTATGGTAATCAAGAACAATCCGAACGATCAAGCCTCCGCTCTTCGCTTGGCCAAGAAGCTGATCGAGGCGGCTGATGTACTCCTGCCGAACGTGCCAGACCCAAAGGCTAGGGGAAGGGCCCGCGAGCGCTACGTTATGGACGCGCACAAGATCCTGAAGAAGCTGTCTAATGCACAGAACGTGGACGCCATGTTCACAATGGCAGACGCCTACGGGCGAGGCCTCTTTGGAGGCGACTCCGACGCCAAGGAAGCATTCACGCTATACCAATCGGCAGCCAAGCTGGGCCATGCCTCGGCCGCATACCGTACAGCGGTATGCTGTGAGATTGGCCACGAGGAAGGCGGCGGTACACGGAAGGACCCTATGAAGGCCATTCAGTGGTACAAGCGCGCCGCCTCACTGGGCGACACTCCTGCGATGTACAAGGTTGGAATGATTCAGCTCAATGGACTGCTGGGTCAGCCTAGGAACCCGCGGGAGGCGGTGGGCTGGTTGAAGCGTGCGGCTGAGCGAGCGGACTCGGAGAATCCCCACGCACTGCACGAGCTGGGTCTCCTGTACGAATCGGCTCGGCCCAACGATACCATCATCCGAGACGAGCGATACGCCGCCAGCCTCTTTCAGCAAGCAGCCGATCTGGGATACAAGTTCTCGCAGTTCCGCCTCGGGCAGGCGTACGAGTATGGATCCATGGGGTTCCCGGTCGATGCGCGCATGTCTATCATGTGGTACTCCAAGGCGGCGCAGCGGGAGGAGCACCAGGCTGAGCTTGCTCTTAGTGGCTGGTACCTGACGGGCAGCGATGGCGTTCTCAAACAAAGTGATCAGGAGGCCTATCTTTGGGCGCGCAAGGCGGCCGTCGCGGGCTTGGCCAAGGCCGAGTATGCTATGGGCTACTTTACCGAGGTGGGCATTGGAGTTCCTGCGAACCTGGAGGACGCTAAGCGCTGGTACTGGCGAGCAGCTGGTGAGTTCTCAACGTATACGCAGCGGCAAGACACAAGCTAATTATTGCATAGCCCAGGACTTCCCCAAAGCCCGCGAGCGGCTCGAAGATCTAAAGCGTGGCGGCAACAGAGCAGGCCCCCGACGAGAGCAGATCTCTCGAAGTCGGATTGAGAAACAAGGGGAGGGTGAATGTAGCATCATGTGAGAGTACTGTCAACCTATATATGGGACGGGCAAGAAGATCAAGGGCTATAGCAGGAGAGGATCTTTGATGGCGCTGCAGAGCAGGACATGTACTGAGGCATGGCGGATGATACCTATGACTATGAGGCCAACATATGGTCGGAGCATGAGCATGGGCCGAGCAACACATGATGACTTGCATGTCGACTCTCAATCTATAAAGATCACACATCCTACATCTACATCAGCCTGGAAAGCATTCCCTATTTGTTGTACACATATATCTCCCAGGTCTCATTACGACTTCCAGCTCCCAAACAGCCCCCCAAACAAACCCTTCTCACCGCTGCTTCCTCCACCACCACCTCCGCCTCCTCGTTTGGCCAGCTCCCAGATCCACTCTTCCAGGAACTGCTTGTCCGCCAGCTTGCGCCCATCCACCAGCCGCGCCACCACCTCTTCCCGTCGTCCATCGAAGCCCAGAAGCGTGGGCAGGCTGGTGATCATGTAGCGCTGCCCTAGCTCCATGTTGTCCGGCGCATCAAACTCGACCTCGGCAAAGTTGACGCCATTGGTGGTTGCATCGTCACCGACGCCCGAGGAAACAAGCTGTTTCACCAGGGGAAGGACATGGCGGCACGTCGGGCAATAACCCGCCGTGAAGAGAGTGAGAAGGGGTGTGGAGGACTTGGCCGAGAGAGAGAGATACGTGCTGAGAGATGCTGGGTCGCGAACACTTTGGTTCGAGTTTAGTATCGGCTGATCATGTCGGGGTGGAGGGTACTTCATGTTCATACCGGTCAAATACTTGGTTGCGAGTCTGGCGGGTGGTGGACGCTGAGAAATGGGCTGCAGACGTGCGCAACTTGGGCGCCATGCATACTGACCTCCTCAATGAAGGTGCTAGAGATGAAAAGTGCATATTGTCCACAGGTCTGTAGGTCTGCACTAATCCTGGATGAAATGAGGTCGACTGAGATGGGAATTGATGTTTGTTTGGCACTTGAGGCTGGTGGCTTATGACGTTAAGTCGTGTTAAGCACAAGTAGCGTTTGACGCCGACGACGCTAACAGTGGATCTTGCTAACGTCCTGGGATTGGAATCAAGGCCACGGTCAGCCAGCGTCGAAAACAACTGCACCCTTTGCTGAAGTAGCAAGGAAAATCATAAATCAGTAGACAGTATGGCTGGGGTATACTCAATTTTGAAGTCAGGATAGTCTAGACTGGAAAGTTCTTCACGTTCTATCTATACCATACTGCCTAGTACGATTAGTTTCATCTACCAGACAGTGTTAGCCTGGAGCTGGCTGTTAGTTAACGCATTAAGCTGAAATTAAGGCACCGTGATTTTTATGTACCGGTATAAATAGCAGAAAGTAGGTTCAGAGATTAGATCAGCTTCTCCTTATTTGGGAGGGATCCGGCTGGAATTCGACTCAGCTACCTCGTTAGAAAACCTCATCATCAATGGGAACCCCACATGAAAGGGTTTCCCACCTAGAATCAGATTTTGGCATCTCGTCCATTCGATACAGCATTACAAGCGAGGAGATACCCTGAACCAGCCCAGAGTTAACCTACAATCTGTACAAAATGTCTACCCGTATTCCACCTTTGCTCGAGTCATATCTCGCTCTACCGCCAGAGGCCTCTCTCATTCTTCTCACCAGTGTGCTCGGCGCGAGTGCAAACTGGTTAACTCTACGGCATCTGTACTCCTATCTACGAGGAACGACCGGTGAACCGGGAGCCGAGAAGCCAAATGTCGGCGTTGTCCTAGTCAGCTTCATGAGAGACGGCGCCTTCTGGCGTGAGGGAGCGGGTAAGATGGTGAGTCTCGCCCACATCGTTGAATAATCTCCACTGAATATCGATCTTTTCAAAGGGGCTGGACCTCGACGCAATGAGCAAACAAGGGAAATTCTGTTTCGTAGATGGCCTGACAGGACTATTCACGGGCGAGACACAACCCAAAGACAGGACGCTGAAAAGTGCAGACGTGGGGGACATGCAGCGTGAGATCGAGGCAGCCCTGGGGGATCTACGCGCAGCAACCAAGATACTCATTCTGGATGCTCCGGATGCCGTGCTAGCGGCTACGGAAACGACGAGCACATCGTTCTCGAACTTTTTGCTCAATCTTCGCGCGGTGAGTGAGCTTCCTGTGCTGATATGTACAACACCAGACTGACGAGTCCCAGCGGTGTCATGCTACGGTTGTGAGCCTCGCTGCGGATGCGCCGCTCATACAGGCCCAGCAGACCACCTTGGAGAAGGAGCATGCAGCGCTGGTTCTGGGGCAGGCACACGCTGCAGACCGGGTGTTTGCACTGAGAATGTTGGACACGGGCACCGCGAAGGATGTAAGCGGCGTGGTGAGAATCAATGGGCGTGAGGAAGAGACAAGGGAGTTTCTCTACTATGTTGCGGGAGATGGTGGGGTGAAGGTATTTGCAAGGGGAACATGAGAAGATGTGGGTTCACGATAGGGAATCGCACATCAACATGCACCGCGTCAGACGTCTGAGTAGACCCTGACCACCAAGGTCTGGTGGTACTTCATCCCACAGGCAAGCATCACAGTCCGATCCAGTACACAGCCAGGTTGAGACGCAAAGTCAAGGTCTTATTCTCTCAAACCCTGCCTCGCAAAATAGATTACCGAATCCCATGCTCCAGCCCTTTTTGATACCAAGGGAAAAACGTTTCCTTCCATCCGCCGCCGCTGCTCACCTCCCATCATCACCATGTGTCAAAAACCAAAGAGTGCCCATGTTCCTCCCCCGTGTGGATGGTTCCCCCGCAGCTGTGCATGCCAACGCTCTCGGTCCTTGCCAACGTTCCAATTCGTGTCATTCCATCATCCGTGGGGGGTGTTTTTCTTTTTCTTGTTGGCGGGGGTTTATGTTCGTGAGTTGTCGGAGAAGTCAGAGGTCCAAAGGCATGGGACACGCTTAGTCCTTGTTGGTCTTGGCCATGATGGTGTTGTGGCGGGCGTTCTTGGGCTCGCCGTTCTGGAAGCCGTTCTTGAAGCGCCGCGAGACGTCCTTGAGGTGGCGCATGCGGCCGGTGCCGGTGGTCTTCCTGCGCTTGGCCTTCTCACCCCAGTTGACTGTGCATCCTCCAGGTCAGCTTTGTTCCGATATCTACATAACTTTTTGTCGTGGGCGAGGCAGAGCAACGTACACTTGCGGGTCTTGGCAGCGGGGAAGCCGCAAGAAGAGCACTCGTGCTTCTGGATGTGCAGAGAGCGGCGACCTGTTGATAGTATCCGTCAGCCATGGCGTTCTTGGTTCCCTGTCCTTCATACGATCCCGACCCCGCGCGAAACAGTCCATTCCGTCGTCATTCTTTCGCAGTGTCCCGGTCGTGTTTCCGTTTCGCGTAGGGTATCAAGTCGTCTCGAAGGAGGAGGAGGAGGTAGACTAACCGCATCGACGGCACAGAGTGTGCGTCTTGTTGTGACGCTTACCGAAGCTGGAGGTACCCTTCGCTGCAAGCCAGTCAGTTCATCTTGCCCAGGCAAAATCAACCCTGCGAATAATCTCCATCTATCGATTCGCATTGAGGGGTCGCGGCAGGGCACGTACTCATCTTGGCTGTTGTGCTGTATCGTTAGTCGTGGGATGGCGATCGTGAAATTGTCTTGATGGAGTGCTTTTTTGGTGGACTGCGAATGGTTCCGGATCGCAAGCCCTAATTTCGTGCGAGCCTGATTTTCGGTGGGTGGGGCGTCGAAGAATGTGTCATGTGATTGGACGACACAGAGGTGCCCTTGAAATCACGTGACCAGACATGGCGCTCGGAGCGCTGGTAGGGGAGTGTGCGAGCAACAGATGCGTGCTCATTCACTGTGAGGAATTTCACGGTGTAAAATGCCAGATTGAACAGTCATTGCATTGTCATTCATTGAAACAATCCTATCCTGCGTAAACATTCAATAACCCAAAAAAGTTCCGCCAACGCCAAGCCCGCAGATGGCAAGGTACATGATACAGCCAGTACACCCAAATCCAGAAAAGAGCATAAACCCCCTACGGCCAAACAGATGGACCAAAGGTTTCGCCTGGTGGTAGCACAGACTTGACAGCATTGTTCGTAAAGTCCACTGTCTGTGTTGCGCCCTCGTTGCCCCACCAATTCAGTTGCGGCACCTCGGTCATGTACAGCGTGAAGAAGATGACCAATGTCGACATGATGAGCCCACAATCCAGCGCCGCGGAGACAATGTAGTTGTACTGCAGCCACCATCCAGTAAAGCGGCGCCTGATGTGGTAGTTGAACACCACGCCCACCAGACCCCAGCAGAGGTAGTTGTAAACACTGGCAGGAGGGAGCAGGCCAGGACCTCCGAAGATGACAGGCGTGTTGACGTAGCGCCAGAGCGACTTGGGCCAGCGACGGGCGAGGAGCCAGGTGATCATGGGCGCCACGGCGCCAACGAGCCAGAACCACTGAAGGGCGGAATACAAGGCTCCGTTGCTGAAGATTCGTGCCGGGCCGATGGCTCCCCAGATGATGGAGGCCGTGAAGAAGACGCGGCTACCGGGGCAGGTCCAGTTGTTGGGGTGGTATGCGTCGCACACGTCGGGGATGTTGGCCAGCGCCCAGTTCATGACGGCAATCTGGACAATGGCAGACCAGATGGAGGCAATGAGCTGCGACGAGAACATGACGCGTGGGGGCACCTTCATGTAATGGCCAAGCTTGAGATCCTGCGCAAAGTACAAGGCCTGCGACATGCAGATGTAGCCGTAGTTCTTGAACATCATCATGGCAAGGGGCCGTCCGGGTACCATGTAGCCGATGATAAACTCGGTGAGCACGTTCAGACCGAGCTGCTGGTTGGTGATGGCCTGGATCAGGCCGATCGGAATGAGCCACACAATGGGGATGAGCATACAGATGACATAGGCCCAGGCAGGGAAACCGGTTGGCCATCCTGCCACAACGCCGAAAGAGATGGCAACCATGACGATAAAGAGGGCTAGAATGAAATCAGCGGTGAGCAAGAGGGATGAGCTCGTCGAACTTACCAGCGTACCACCAATCTTCCGCATCACGGTACTTCTTCATCAAGCGCATGTGAACATCATCCTCCTGGTGACGGGCCATGCGGAACTGGTTCCACAAGTCCTTGCCATGGTACAAGCCGACATGGATGAGCACGGCGGACACGGCAGCGAACGAAACGCCATAGGCCAGGGCGAACTGCGTGGGAAGGTACAGTGGCGAGTACTCGTTGTAGGCTGTTTCGTTGAAGTGCCCGTTGGCATCCAGGATGCGGGTGACATTGTAGACGTGTCCCTGGTTGTCGTACGACTCGGTGGACTGGATCGGTAGGTAATCTGCGTACCACGTGCCGCTGAAGTGAAGGCCCATGGACAAAATGATGAAGACCGAAACAATGCCAGCCAGGACGTTCATGATGGCATGGAACGGCGGGATGAGGGGAGAGCCCAGAAAACCGCTGATCACGGTCCAGTCGAAGGAGATGGGCATCAGTCCGTACCCAGAATGGGCGCCAAACAGCTTGTTGACGACAATATTGTTCGGGGCCACCCAGCAAACCCAGGTGAAGTATGACAATCCCTTGAAGAGCCAGCCGGGTACCCAGTACCAGATGAAGCCAGCTGATCCAATGATTAGGAACAGCTTGTATCGCCCAATCGTCCAGCCGTTGGTCTTGGACGGGTCAGATCGCGAGTGATCGTGAAGTGTGTAGAAGAGAGCGCAGTTGACTAGGTCAGCAGGCCAGATCATGGCAGCCGGCCAGACCAAGAACCGACGGGCAAGGCCGGCGAGGCCATACCCCGTGCAGAGCGTGGTGATGCCGAACAGCATCTGGAAAGCCCATCCAAAATCCTGGCCGTAAAACAGGCGCTGAGCCAGCAGGACGTCGGTAGCGTAAAGAGACCCGCCGCCATAGGCTGCCTAATCAATCATTAGCCTTTGCTTACATCAGAGCCTAATGTATTCAACGTTTGGACTTACATTTGACATGGCAACGATGACCACGTGCTCCTTGAAATTGAATTTGCCAGGCTTCAAGTTAAACTTGAAGCCAAAGACATCCCACTCCCGATCTGGCATGACCAGATCCCAAGCAAGGCCAATGGGGTAGGCAATCAGCTGAATGACATAGGTTGTGATGGCCACACTGGGATTGCGTAGCGAGAGGAGCATGTTGACGCCGGATCCAATGGTGCATAAGATCAGCCCAATGACCCAGGCACGGATGGTGTTCGCGGGGACATCGACGTCGTAGTTGCGCACGACAGCCCTGACTTCGGGATAGGGACTGTTGTCCTCCATGAGCGCATGCTCAATCTCGATGCCCTTCTCGGCATTGCCCGTGGCAATGGCCGCGTCCACGTCGTTCAACTCGTCGAGAGGCATGTTGGGATCCAGCTTGTGGGCCTTTTCGAACGCCGCCAAGTGCTGCAACTTGTCGACGCTGGAGGACTCGCCCTCCATGGGGCCCGTGATGGGCGTGATCTCTTCAATGTCATGGCGCTTGCGGAAGATGGCTGGGACGACCATGGTGGGCGCTGGTGCTGCGACGCCGGTGATCGGCGTCGGTCGTGGGGATGGCGAGACAGGTGGTGCTGTGTGTGAGTTGAGTCCGTCGCGGCGGGACGTGGACTCGTCAAAAGACGCAGGCTCACGACGTTGACGGCGTCGTCTCTGTCTGTTCGCTTCTCTCCGGTTGCCGAGCGAGTGAGTTGAGGAACCGACATGGCATGGGTCGTAGAGGGGGGGCTGCGACGGGCATCTTTCTTCGTCTGGGCGAGAGCATATCCGCACAGTGTAGTGGGTACGGATGTGCTCGTGATTTGGGCGCTCCAACACGGTGCCAAGAGACGCCTGGACCTCGAACATAATTGGCACCACCACACTTGCGTTAGCGTCGTCGACCTTCCTAACCGAGTGCAGATAACGCCCCCATGGCACGCACCCGACCCTTTCAGCTCGCGGCTTTTTGTTCTGGCAGCGTGGCAGCCACGGCACTTTTGTTGCGCGATCCCATTTCTTTTGAGGAAAGAAAATTATATTATTATGCCATTTCGCTCGGATGACATGAGAGGGTTGCAAAGGCGCTGTTCAGTCAACGTCTGCGAATCTTCCAACTCTCGCAATATCTAACTTATCATCCCCGCCGTGGCTGCGTTGAGGCTTGGTTGGTATCGATCAGTCAACCAATGAGCACCTGTCCAGGTCTCCGAGCTGCGGGCGTTAATTATCTCGTCAACATGTCCGGGGATTCGTGAGATGGTAAACCTGATGGGCTGCTCGCGCTGGTACGTACAGTAGCCGTCTGAATGCACACCCAACGTGTGAACCGCCATAAAGGCGCCAACGCCACTGATCACAGCGGTTGGCAAAGCAAGTCCACTCTTTGTCTCCCGAGACCAAGTCCACAAACGCCTGTCGCTTCTGTATTTACTCAGCTTAATAAATTAGACGACCGTCGACCCCGGGACGATATCCGTCCATTCCCTCGTTTGCCTTATGGCGTTGTGGTAACGTATCAGCGTGTCTGTCAGCAAGTTCGTCCGACCGATGTCCATCAAGCGTGCCAAGAGTGACACGGCGACAGCGTCGAGAACCGTTGGCGACCCCCCGTAAAGATAGATTCCGTCTCCGGCCCTCTTGTCCAAGATTTCCGCCACTGCGTCGAGGAAGAGCCTGGCTTGACTCTCAACCTCACGCACGGTGTCCGGGTCTTGGGAGCCGCTGTGGAGGGTGTCATGGCTGGTCCACCTATTAATATCGTCGCGCCTCGAGATGCCATTCCACAAGGGCAGTTCTGTAGTACTTACAATATGCTTTTGACCTCCAGGCACCGCCGATGGGCGTCTGTGATGTCGGGGTTCTCCAGCATGGCCGCTGCGTGGTTCACAATGCCACCACTCTTCTCCTCGGGTCTGATGGTCAAGGGCTTCGCATGGAAGCTGTAAAACAAGTGCAGTGCCCGTTGGATCTCTTCTTGGTGTGCCTCGGGCATCAACTCTGGCTGCTTGCTACAGAGCCAACGAAGGATATCTTGGCTTTCTGCCAGAACTTCCACTTCGGGCAGGCCTGGCGATATTGTCTTCAGCACCGGGACCTAGACTTGAGTCAGAGCCATTTTTTTTATTTCACATTCAGTATAGTCTTGTTTTCTTACCTGGCCTTTGGGTGTCAAGGTGAGATACTCATGTGTGAGGTTATCACCTTGCTGGACATTTACCAACTGCAAACGGACCTCTGGCGCGGTGTCGGGGTTCAACTTGCGGCCCATTCCCAAGGCTACCCGCACCAGAATTGAATATAGTGAGTATGGAGAGTAATGGAGGATGGAGTGATTCTCTTCCTGCGGCTTCTTCCCCTGCAGAATCGAGGCATTGTGCATGGCGAGACTCTGACTGAGCGTCGACATGATCTTGCAACGTCGAGGATGATGCGCTTGCGTAGCAGTCTACCAAGTGTCGGCCAATTGGTACTTGAAGGGAAGGATGTTGGTGGTTGAGGTGAGTGGTTCTGTGCATGTGCTCTCGAGGTTCACTTTGCGAATATGAATGTTGAGTTTCTCCAGGGCCAGAGTCTAGAGCCGGCACCCGCCAAGTAAAAGCAAGTCCAGTTCAGCCTAGTTCGCCTAGCACATGAAATAAACGGCCAAAAGTGGAGTGGAACCCTTCTTGCTTCCTCGCCTGTCGAGCGATGTAGCGAGCGACTGGAGGCCCAGCGAGCGACTTGCGTCTGGCCCTAACGCTCGCGTCGTCGCGACAAGTTTCCCACAGCCAAGCGGCGACAGTGTACATCCGGGGGGGCTCTCCTCGACGACAGGCAGACTGCGCCTTGGGCAACCGAACGCATGCAAGGGAAAACTGATTATCCAGCAACGGGGGAAACAACAATTGTCTGGAACGCTCGCAAGCATGGCTGAGCCTCAAAATCCCCGTCGGCGACGCCGAGCCCCGCGCCGATCGACACTGCTGTGCGGGCGGCATGTGGCCGGGAAAAGGGTCCTGGATCTATCCGATCTGGAGATCCCAGCTGGCCTCGGGATTCCCACCTCTCACAAGACAAACCTGTATGATTGATCCGCATCAAAGGCCGAGTTTCTCACATCCCGTTCTTCGAGTGAGTCAAGGTTAATGGGCAACGCTTCTTGTCCAATTGCTCCAGTCGATGTGATGTCACGCTACAGTGGTGTGTGTACTGTACGCACAAAAGCTAGGGCCTATCAGAACGTGACCGCTGCGACGACGACGCCCAGGGCCTGCACCTGGATTACCCTACCCTACGCAGCCTTCGTTCTCCGCCTCTCTAGTCCAACATGGCATTATTATATTAGGCTTAAACAATGTTTCAATTTTCATCTTTGAGGGGACGACGCGGAGATTGGCTGCATTCTTCAAGCTCTACTCGCGTCGTATTAAAGGTCGCTAAACCTCACTTGGGAGTATTTGTTTTCAACCAGATGCAAATGCCATTCATTGATTGGCAAAATGTTGATCACAACCAGCTGTCATTGTCACAATTCAAGAAAACATGGTGATACAGAGAAAGGCTGTTGTCGCTCGTACGTAAGAATTCGCTCAAGAGGCCACGCCTTGCACAACTCTAAAGTACTGATAGCTAGGCGTTAGCACAGCTTGGCCATCGCATCGAATGATAGCACCGCTTGTCTTTTAAATGGATGTTTGTTCACGCCTCTGTCGCCGTAACAGGTACTCGTCTCTTGAAAGGTCCAGGAGCACCAATACCGCAAAGATGCTCATCATAGACTCGAGAACCTTCGCAACCACCCTAGATGACGGCGTGGCCGCGGCACAACGTCTGATGCCAGATTTCCACGCCCAATCCCATGCTCAACTATTTAATAGGTATCTTGACAAGTCCGATATACGGCATTGTGATGTTACATGGTTAGTCTATCCTGCCAATGCCTCGCTCCTAACTCGTCCAGGATCAATGAGTGAACCCAACATCATCGCCGCCAGGTCAAGGAGGCGAGCTCGATATCCATTGCTCCGGTGTTCACGTCGTGGACTCGTATGTCGGCGAGGGCAAGGGGGTTGATTGTTGTCACGTCCGAGACTAAAGTACATTTTCTGTTTGCGGGTGTTTGTTAATCAAGTAATTGGCTACCCCCTGCGTCCACGTTGTCAACGGGTTGGCGCCACAAAGTCAGGGGAAGAAAAGCAATACCGACACGCGGGGTGAGCATCAGCCAATGGAAAAGAAGATCCCACGCCCTTGAAATATTGATCCGACTAACTTAGTACCTCGAAGTAATACACCGGCATCGTCAGATTCTTCACCGGGGACTATTCGCCGGTAGGTCTTGCTGTGGACATTGTTGCAGTCGCAGGCTAGCAGCAGGACGCATCTCGGCCGCAGCCATCCTCCGGCTTTTCACATGTCGGGCAGTGCAGCCTGATCAAAGCGTCAAATCACTTCCGCACAGCCTCCAGCTGGCGGATTACCGATGAACCACAATAACTACTAACAGAACAGTTAATACAGACGCTGAGTGCACCATTGATTGAGTTCAATTGGTCATCGACAGGCTTGAAAGAACATTCTTGGTGCCCAAAGGCGATTGATCTGTAATCACTAATCAACAACCGATGACCTCCGTAGACTCCGTGCCTTTTATGACATGGGCATACGCATCACTGATCACCAAAGCTGTGATACGTACGGAGCTACGTATGCACGATTTCTGAAGTCGTCACTCATGTGGCGCAGGCTTCCCGGTCAATGGTAATTTCCTTGCCAAGTTTTGTTGGCTTTTGATCATCGAGAGATTTGGGCCTGATGGACATGATGGAGAAAGACCTTAATTCGGTATGTAGCACGCATTTTGGGCGGATGTGCCAAGTGCGCTTGCTCGACGATTAGTAGGATGCTTCTCCGTGTCTTTCCCGAGCAGGCTTTCGTGGCCAACCTGGTGCGATTGTTCATCATCCTGGTGTTGCTCGAAGAGCTAAAAACCGAGCACAAGTTCATACATATCGGGCTTTGCAACGCCTCCGAAAGAAGTAATTAATTATAATTACGAGAGAGCTGATGCCGCTCGGGTTCTGGAAAGCAGCCGTTGTCCGAGCCCCGAATCCAGGTACGTACACCTAGCGCGCGTCGCGGGCGTGGAGTATGGAGCCGGCACCGGGTGGATGGGGGCGGGCATTCTTGTTCTGGACTGGTCCATGCCCCTGGTTAAGTCCGGCTGCCGGATGGAAATTGGCAGGGATCGCGAGCAGAGGGATTCGCTGATCGCCAATCTGCATTTTCTTCACATGGGAAATTGTTTCCACGTCTTAAGAATCCCGTGGCTTCCGTATGGCTCGTGCCGTCGTTCGCGTGGGCTGTCTGTCAAGTTGTCAACAACCAAGTGCTGCACCTCATTATGAGAATAGTACGTACGTACGCTGTGACACTTATTGCAGCTGCCCACGCGACACTACTACGTATAATTAGTACCTATAGTTGCACCAGTGCCGGCAGGCATTCAAGGGACTGGACTCCTGGCTGGAATGCTCGCGCGCGATCCACCGCGTCTTGTTGGAGAATCTGGCCCATTCCACCTCGGACGTGCCAAAACCTCGTGGATGTCAGCAAGAATTTTGCAACCAAACAACTTTGAAGGGCCCGGCATGTAGCTCGGTCCAAAGTCGCTTCTCTGCACCCCTTGTTTCCTTTGGTCTTTTCCAGCTCCAGAAGTATTGCTCTCCTTGATCGCACTTTGCTGCCAAGGGTTAAGAGCATCAAATGTTATATGCACCGCAAAGTACGTAGTGGTAGCACAGTACAAACCGCTGCCAGAGGCTCTCGCGCAGATGGCAAAAGTGCCATGCCATGACGTCTGGTCTAGCGTTATTAGGGACTAAAACACGCCCCATGCGAGTATCCCGAGCTGAACAATTAATGTTATTCTGACAATTCTGCACTATTGCCTATGGGCTCGTACTTGGCGGGTCGACACTCTCGGTCCCTGACATGATTACTAGTGGCTTGCGGTTTTTCTTTATTAGCTGGCTGCCTCCGTTGGGTTGTCTCCACGCCGAGTGAGGTCATATTGCCTCTGCAGCGCTTTGGGTCCGTGGAAAACGGTCTCTGTTATGCCTCCCTCGCGAAGGGCACGGGGCAGCGAGGCTTTCATGTGCGCAAAATATAGCCTGATAGGAGGTAGGTACTACGTAGTAGAGTGTAATTAATTGATTAGGTTGCAAAGGATTTCACCAAGGCAGGTGTTTCTGTTTATTAAAGTAATACTCCGTACCTAAGTTTTGTGCGTGGGCGATAGAGCAATCAATACGAAGCTCATCGCGCAGCCGTGTGTGTGGGGTGTCGATACATTCCTATTTGAACGCCGTGGCTCAGTCGCATGAACCGTGCCCGGCCAAGAGAAAACAAACACGGCGTTGGAGCCGTTGTTAACTTGTTATAAGGGCACAGCAAGCGTACGGTACTATAGGTAAATGATGGCATGGGCAACAGTGCTGCTCGGAAATACCGTAATCAAAGCTATGCGTCCTTGGAAGCAATTGATGACACCTGGGGCAGTGCTTCGCTGACTGGAGTCCTGTATCCATACAAGTATTAGATGCAGGCGGTGTTACAGAGCATACCACCTAGGTACGGAAGCCGACATTTCTGAAGCCAAGAAGGAAGTAATCAAGTTGGTGGACCTTCAAGAAGAAACAAAGTTTGGCACATTATTATAAGGTACCTTGTTAAAGCAAACATGATCTGGCACGGTTCCTTTCTCGTCTGTTGGCACCATGTGGTGACTGACGAACGGAGTAGGGAAACTGCACAGCCTTGCTCGGAGTTTGCTGGTACATCTGATTGGAGATTGGAGCCCAATATTCCTTCCTGCTGAAGACATCTGGAGAACATTTATTTTATACTCCCTACAGCGTTCGAAACATGCCCACTGCGGCACTGCCTGCCAGCGCATTTGAGAGATGAACAAACCCCTTTTATTCACTACGTGTTCGCCTTGTCACCAACCAAATAATCGCAGCTTCTCCATGCGGTTTGCGAGATAAGGATTGCGAAACAGCCAATGCGAACATGTCGGCAGTATCCTAATAATATACCTTATTTGAGAGCGGTTCTGTCACCTGTGTGTCTAACGAGGGTTGACTTCGTCCACACCCAGGCGTGTCTACACTAGCCGGCGAAATCGGATCAGCATGGAGACTGGAAAGAAAAAAAAAAGGAAGTAGCCTGGCACTGCAGGCTGCAGCGGCCTGATGTGCCCGATACAGGGCAGTCACGGGCCAGCAGTGGCACCAGAGCCTGAGCCTCAGCGACTGGAGCCCACCTCCCGCCATTACCGTTCCTGACCAACCAGCAATCACGAAAAGGCTCCCACTATTCCTTACCTTAGGTACCAGGCCTTGCCTATCCCATCTGATGCCAGGCCTTCCACGTTCATGGGCTCCAGTCCTGTCGCCGCCATCCTCTGCCCTTAGATTCGACTTTTTGGCTTCAGTCTGAAGAGTGGACGATATACGACCTAGACATACTGGCAGAGGCCTGGCCTTTCGTGACGACGTCGCACCCATCAGTCCATTATCCATCCATCTGTTTACATCTACCTTTAGTCCTCCCCAATCCGACCGAGGGAGAACGACTCTTCATACCACAGTCACGAACACTTCGCTCGAGTCAATCGCCTGGCCCCGATCACGAATACGCAACCGCTCGACCTCCTGTCGCTCGCTTCCCCTTTCAACTTTGTCGGTCGAACCATATGCACGAAAGGGCGCTATACTCGTTGGAACCAATTTCCCTTCGCTGCATCCTGGCTACTGGCGCTCACAACTTGGCTTATCCCACATTAATCACGGTTCGCCTAGACTCCGGCATCCAACAACATTCGCTGCATCACCCTCGAGGTCACGGACTAGCACGCGGGAGCGATTAGGCATTCTACTCCGTCCGACCCTATCAACTCTTGCCAATCACAAGTATCACACGCAGGAAACACTTCCGACTTGCTCACGTTGCACCACGACGTCTCCTCGGCCATTGAGAGAGGCCCTCTCCACAGCTTCTCGCAAGCCTCACTCACTTTGCTCCGCTATTTACCCTACCTGTGGCTCCTAGTGCTGGCTCCTAGTGCTTCAGGATCATGGCACCAACTCCGCCCAGGCTGAAGATTCTCTCAGGTTTGTCATTCCGTTTCCCACCTCCCGTTCTTAAAGCCAAGTCCAGCCCCACCCTGCGCCTCGACAACAATTGTCTCCCCCAACCCAAGCCTCTTGAGTGTTACGGCCTGCCTGCTCTTGCCAAAAAGCTCGATCGGCGGCTTCCATGTACAAGTTGTACAGACACGATCACTTTTCCGAAACCGACCTCGCCGCTCGTTTGGCTGCCCCCATCGACCTTGGACCCTGACTCGGCGGATTACGGCCTGGCCCGTTTTGGTCTTGCTTGGAGCGCTTTCACACTTGCCACAGCAAATGGAGGACACTGAGCTAATGCGGATTTGTGCAGTCGGTGGGAATCCAGTATCAGCATTCTTGTCATGGAGGTTGCAAGCGACTTTCGCGTGCGATGTTTCCTTGGTATGGAAGTCAGGCTATGAACATGTTGCCCAATACGGTATATCATTCAAGTAAGTTTGGCGTCGAACTACTGAAGCGTATTCTCTGACTTCTGGTTTAAGATCTCAGTCTTTCGGAAACGAGCGGTTTAAACCTCGACGCGGTAAGTGCCACGCATTGGCTTTGGCGTCCCGTCCAGGGTCACTCGGCATGTACTCAACACTAACTACGTATCTTAGTCGTTCGAACTCCCGAAGACGCAGCAAGTCCACGCGAAGGCCCATTTGACTATGTCGTCCTGTGTGTCAAAGCGCTACCCGACGTATACGATCTCGCATCCGTCATCGACTCCGTCGTGACCCCCCAGCACACTTGCATCCTTGTCAATACCACACATACACTGGGCATCGAGTCTGCCATCGAGGAGCGTTTCCCGGCAAATGTCGTGCTTTCGCTTGTATCTGGTGCTGAGCTGACACAGCTCGGCCCAAGCGAGTTCGAACACAAGGGATCAACAGACATGTGGATTGGACCTGCGAATAAGAATAGCGAGATCCCCCGAGCGATCCAAGAAGATATGGCACAGGCTTTGGTCATGACTTTGAGAACAGGCCAGGTGGACTCCAAGATGTCGACCAACATTCGCCAGGAGCAATTCGAGCGCGTCATTGGCCCGGTGGCCTTCCATCCCGCAAGCGTCATTTTCGAAACACCCAACCATGCCCTCCTGTTCGAGAAGGTGGGTGTCAAAGATATGGTTCATGGTGTCTTGGACGAGATGATGAGGCTTGCTGAGGCCAATGGCTGCACCTTTGGACCCGACTTCAGACAGAAGATCATCGACGACATGACCAAGCAAGGCGCTCCGGAGAGCATCATGTGGCAAGATTATATCAATCGCCGGCCAATGGAGGTCGAGACCTGTCTGGGCTCGCCGATCAAGCTTGCGAAGGACTCTTCTGTTTCCATACCGCGAATCGAGACTCTGTACGCTGTTCTGCACAACCTTAACACCGTCAATCGCAACCGACCACGAGGTCCCGATGGCAATCCGTCCTTGACGCCCTCATCTCCGGTGGTGCCCTCCCCACACCCCCCTCGCGGTCCATCACAGCAGGGTCACCGTCCCATGGGGGGCATGCCCCCGGGCAATGGTCCCATGCCTCCTCGCCAGCCACGCCCCAGGAACTCTTCCGGCTTCAACCAGGGCCCGGGTATGCGGCGCGGACCGCCCCCCGGGAACGGACCACCACCGAATGGCTATGCGCGGCCGCCGTCTCACATGAACGGGGCCGAACGCGGTTCGCGCGCCCCGTCACGTCGGGGATCTATGGATGGCAACGACCTAGAAGAGTTCTCTCACCTGGTATTGTACGATGACATCCCTGAAGGTCAAGAGCCGTCCATCGCTGGAGACCACCCCGAAAGGGGCCTTCGAGATCGCGAGCTCCAGTTGCGACAGCGAGAGATGACTCTGCGGGAGCGTGAAATGCGCGGCGGACGTGGTCCTCCTCCCGGGCCCCAGCGCCGCGGCCCTCACCCCATGCGCAACAGTCAGCAGGTGTTCGACGACGACGACGACGATGACGACTACATTGACGACCTGCCAACTGGTAATCCGACTATTGATCCGGACAACTTCGACATGATGAGCGTGACGTCGCGCAAGAACCGCAGTAGGCAAGCTCCACCATCGGCAGCCCAGATACGACAGAATCCTGAGCTAGGTGGCCCTCCTGGGGCTGGTGGTAGGTTTCGGCCAAGCTTTGGTCGGAATCGTTCAAGCCAGCACCCACCAGGCGCACCAGTCATGGCCGACAATATCCTGGACGATCCCTTGTCTAACTATGCATCTAATCGATACGGAGCTGTCGACAGAGGAGCGATGGGAATGGGGTCAAGAACGAACTCCTTGACTGCAGCTAGAGTCGATGAGATGCATCTCGGCCCAGCACAAGGGGGTCCGCCGAACATGAATGGCGCATACCCCAGGCGAGCTAGTCAGTCTCCCGGGGGAAACTACCCACCGTCAATGCGTGGCGGTCGCCCTTCGCCGCCTAATGGCTACGGCGGACCACCGATGAATGGGCGCCCCTCGCCACCTGACGGCATGCGGCAACCTGTTCCACAACATCCGGCCGGTCGAGGGAACGTAATGGGCCCTCCTGGAGTTGAGCCGCAAGTAGGGGTGAGCAGCCTCCATCCACCGAAACAACGAAATGTACGAAGTCTGACGGGCAGTGCGAGCGCTAGCATGGGCAGTGGTGAAGCTGAATCAGAGCAGTCAGCGCATAGCAGCCAAAGCAGTTTTCAGCAGCAGCAGCCCCCGACGGGCCCTCGATGAATTACCGTCATGACACAACTCGCATGACCAGAGGTATTTTTGACCATTCTTCGATAAGACGGCGCCTCCTCTTCCAGCTTTTGTCTAGCGGGCCTCGTACATCTTGAGAAGACACGAAAAGCAAAAGGGGGGCTCGAGCGAAAGCACTTGACGATTTCTCATTTTCTAATTGCATTGGGTCTCGGATACATGGTTTGCCGCACATGGTATATAGCCCAGTCCACGATCGGCTTGTTTGAGCCTGAAGACGGGGCTTGCGGTACGGGCGGGTTACAAGAAGGTCAGCGGATGGGTTAGGCACGTATGAACACGCACGAGCACGGCAGCACGCATTGGTCACTTTCATTTTGTTCATCTTCCGGCGGTGGTACTTAACGCAAACACAACATTAGACTACGGAGGCATTCTTTTTTTTTCGGTTCGGATGGCAGCACACTCCTTGTACTTCCGTTCTTGCTGTTGTTGGCATAGATCGATGTATTAACAGTCAGTGGAGAGAGTTGACCGGACGGAAAGTGTATTTACGTACTATAATGGCATGGTCGTCGGAGACGTGCGAGGACTGGGGGGTCCAGTCTGCGGCGCAAATGGCATCAAAATGATTGGGAATGATGCGCGACCCGAAACAGCTCCAAAAGCTTGAATACTTAATTTTTTTGCTGTACGATGCGGTCGTCATGCGGGTGAGTGTCGGGGACGTTGTCTCTTAACGGTGATTACCAGTTTAATGTTGTCCTCGGACTAATAGCTCCTTCGTGTTGATGCCGATTGACCTGTTGATGGGCGGCTCCTTGTTGGTGTAGGAGTAATTTGTATCCAACATATTACTAAGAGGAACAGCCTTTTCATTGAATTCATCTCCAAGCAATCTCAAAAGCGCTGCTGATTCACGCCAACTTGGGAAATCTCTAAGCGCAGCGCCACGAAACGCCCCCACATCTGGTCTTCCGTCCGAGTTCGAGTCGTAAACATCACGGCCCCTCCGCCAACACTTGGTCAGACACCGTGCGATCAAGAACAAGGAAAGGCAAGAAAGCTGGCTCAACCTCCTTTCACGACCTAGCACATTCCGGTCTGAAAGCATGAACCGTCAAGGTTCCCAAGCATCGAGCGGTAACGCCTTTAAGGCGCGTCAACTTGTACGTGTTTCTGCACGTGCATCCAAGGCCCCGGCTGACAACACGGGCACAGTCACAGCTTCATACACAACTGGCGCAATTATCAAACAACCTAGCTGATACGGAGAATCTTCTACGTATGACGAGCGTGCAGGCGGAGGCCATGCGCGGGCTGGGAAGTTGGCATGGTGGGCTGTAAGTTGTTCTCACATTTGACAGATACGGCAGCTGAGACTAAACCTGGCAGATTCATGGCTGCAAGTAAGGTACTTGGGGAGGAGAGTGTGAAGGAGGCTGGGAATTGAATGGGTGGATGCGCTCTGTAGAGCTGATTATTCCGCGACTATGGCATTGGAGCTGCGGAAACTATCATGGTCGTTGCTGTCCACGGCTACAGAAGCCTCGACAATCTATCTTCGATTGACCACCAAGGCAACCTCTGTCTTTGCCTCGTTTGAAATCCGCGCCAATTCCACTATTCCCTTGGCAGCCGTTGAATCAATCCGGGAGCATGCTCATCAGCCCGGGTGCTTGTACAGGACTTGTGCAGTATCCTGCATGTCGCCTCGGTTGAGGGATCGGCGTGTTGGATGTGCAGAGCAGGTCATCTGCCGCATAGACCATTGGCTATGCACCAGAAGTCGTGCCATGGGGCATCCTCAATGTGAGTAGCGCGGCGCATCTTCTCCTTGATGGCGTATTGGCAATACTGATACAACATCTACAAGTAGACTGTTGAAACAATATGAATTCTCCGAAACTCTCAATCTGCAGCTGGCGGTTTGGTCACCTCGTTGGGTAATGCGGGCATGTCTTGCTTCCCAGGTTTGACACTCGTATAGGGCTGCGCCTTGCTTGATCGAAGATGTCTCCTTTTTTGCCGCAATGCGCTGACGGGAAAGCGCTTCACATTCTTGCAAATCTGACATTCAATGACCAGGACGTCTGCCCAAGGTTTTCTGCCGCCTTTACTGGCATTCTCGATATAAGAGCGACTGGTCTGACCCTCGACAAGTTTGGAGTCGCAATACTTGCAAACAGTTCTCTTCATGTCCGGGCTTTGTCGCACTTGTGCCTTCAAAGTCATGGACCTCATTTCTGCCAGCATCTGCCTGGCTGTATTTGAGCTTGCTCTTCGCCACAGTTGGGCTGAATCAGACACGCTGGATTCATGTTGGCACTCGGCTGCTTTGGTTGGCTCGTCCTGACTGATGGTCGACCCCTGATTCTGACATTTGACGAGATAATCAGCAGCTTGGTACAGATATGACGCCCTGGTGTAGATGTGACGGTTCACTACAGTAGGTGTCTTTGATTTTGCCATGGTGATTGACTGTACGGATGTGTTCGTGAATGTTCTTTGACCTTTATGTTCATGACTAAGCCAGAGAAGCTACTGAAGCTTAATGTGACACGGCCACTACGACTCAGCCACGCGATCACGTGCACTGGTGTGCACGGTCCAGGTTTTCTATACGGCCCAGCTCCCGCTGACTGAACCTCCTCCCTACCCAACCATAGATCACCCAAGCTCGTCTCCCTTGCAGCTTGGTCAATCATTGTTCTTCAACCTCGCCTCTACTACTTTGATCCGCCCTTTCGTTGCGGCGTTCAAACACATTTCTTTCCTACGCGCGGTGCATACTCAACTTGCGCGCTACACAACATTCGACGCGACGTTTGACCAACTTCGAGAAAACAAGCTCAACTTTCACCATGTCTCACGAGGAGGATCTCATCGACTACTCCGACGAGGAGGTCGGCGGCAACGAGCCCGCGGTCGCCTCCAACGGCAAGAAGAACGCTGAGCCTGCGGCAGCGACCAATGTCGACAAGAAGGGCAGCTACGTTGGCATCCACTCGACCGGTTTCCGCGACTTCATGCTTCACCCACCGCTGGTTCGCGCCATCGGTGATTGCGGTTTCGAGCATCCTTCGGAGGGTCAGTCCTGCATTCTATAAACCTAAGTCCACCAAAATCCCCTCCTTTCAAGCGTCCGTCCATCTCGCAAGCAAAACCGGTATCGTGTCGATTTCACACGCGCTGCATTCGCCGTGGTGGAGGCTCATTGAACTGGCGTGCTCCTCTCAGGAGGGTTTTGCACAATACAAGCAAGCCTTCCCGGGCAGCAACTTGCGCATTGCGCAGTTCTCTTCCGATCCCGGCATCAGAGCTTGCCGAAAGGTCTCACAGCTCGAAGGCCATGACGCTGTTTTGTCGATTCGACTGCGCTTGCTCGCATTCATTGCGAAATCAGCGCGGGCGCAAACCTTACAGCGCCGAACCGTTGCTCTGGCAGCGTACTTCTAACCAACACCAGCTTGTGTGGTAACAGTGGTGGAGCTGCGACGATGGACGGACGGACACTTGCGCGCATCACTTCATTGTTCGTTACACGTTTCGGAACCCTATCTAACGTTCTCTCGACCGACAGTCCAACAAAAGTGCATTCCCCAAGCCATGCTGGGTGGCGACATCATCTGCCAGGCCAAGTCTGGTCTGGGTAAGACTGCTGTCTTTGTTCTGGCGACTCTTCAGCAGATCGAGCCTGTCGACGGCGAGGTTTCCGTTGTCGTCATGTGCCACACCCGTGAGCTGGCATACCAGATTCGTGATGAGTACAATCGCTTCAGCAAGTACCTTCCCAACATCAGGACTGGCGTCTTCTACGGTGGAACACCCATCAAGACCGACCAGGAGGTCATCAAGAACAAGGATACTTGCCCACACATCATCGTCGGAACCCCTGGCCGCCTGAAGGCCCTTGTGCGCGACAAGATTCTGCGTCTCGGCAGTGTGCGCATGTTCGTTCTGGACGAGTGCGACAAGATGCTTGACCAGCCAGGTAGGCTCTCCCCACTCAGCGACATCACGACACTTCTGACAACGCAGATATGCGCGGCGACGTCCAGGATGTCTTCCGTGCCACTCCTCCTCAGAAGCAGGTGATGATGTTCTCGGCCACTCTGTCCGAGGAGATCAAGCCCATTTGCCGCAAGTTCATGCAGAACCCCACGGAGCACTACGTGGACGAGGACACCAAGCTCACGCTGCACGGTCTTCAACAATACTACATCAAGCTCGAGGAGAAGGAGAAGAACAGGAAGCTCAACGACCTTTTGGACGAGCTCTCCTTCAACCAGGCCATTGTCTTCGTGAAGAGCACGTCCCGTGCCACCGAGTTGAACAAGTTGTTGGTGGAGTGCAACTTCCCTTCCACTTGTGTCCACTCCGGTATTTCTCAAGAGGAGCGGTATGTTGCCCATGACCATTTCTCCCGTAACAAATACTGACATCTATAGTATTCGCCGCTACAAGGAGTTCAAGGACTTCAAGAAGCGTATCTGCGTCGCCACCGATGTCTTTGGTCGTGGTATCGACATTGAGCGCATCAACTTGGCTATCAACTACGATTTGTCGAATGATGCGAGCTCGTATCTGCACCGTGTCGGTCGCGCTGGCCGTTTCGGAACCAAGGGTCTCGCTGTCTCCTTTGTCAGCACCGAGCAGGACCAGGAAGTCCTCAAGGAGATCGAGAAGCGTTTCGAGGTCGCTCTTCCGTAAGTCATGGCCTCTTCATATTCACGATAACTACTAACATTCATGTCCAGTGAGTTTCCCAAGGAGGGCGTTGCCCCTGAGACGTACATGGCTACCTAAGGAATCCGCGTACTCGTCTCGCGCAGGACGTCAGCCTGAGGGGTTCTTAGGCGTCCCAGGAGAAATGGCAGGGTTCCATGGGGCTGGGAATGAAATTATGCGCTCTGGGTTCCCGTGTAGTTCAATTTGATTTACTCGGTAAAATGCAATTATTACAACGTTGTCTGCCAAATCCTCCTGTGTCATATCGCGTTATTCAAAGCCTTCATATGCTCGTCGCCTATTTTGGTTCTCTACACAGCGCAAGAATTGGGCACGCTTGCGCCTGATCCTAAGCCTCGCCTCATGACTCACAAGTAGCCGAGATCCTTAGACCCTATCAGGCCTTCACACCATCGCCATGCGCAGACCCAAGCAAATTTTGCCGGACAATGTGTGCGAATGGAAGGCCCATCTGACCAGTAGTGAACTGGGCCCAAGGCTACAGCCTCACAGCCTGCCCAGCAATAGAACGCCGGCTTGCGCGCCCCCAATGGTGTTGGAGCGCGGTCCTTCGGAAGGCAACGATTTGTCTGCGTACTTCATCAGGCGGCGTGAGAATTTTCACGTCCCCTTGTTCGACAACCACCGCCCAACGTGACTCATCTGGGTGGCGTTATTGTCCGGACAACGTGTTAGTGAGCAGCGGCGCTTATGGGAGTGGACCATAATATCTCAGCGTGATCGATGATGGTCTGGATTGGGGTTCGGCCCGAGAGGATACTCGTGAAGCCATCGTTACTTGTGATCCGCTGACTGGTCTTGGCTTGGCTACCTGGCGAGGACGTTGGGTGACAGCTATGGTCACGAATCGTGCCTGACGCACAGTTCCAGACCTTCTGCAGCCCCGGGTTCGAAATCAGGGCGATCTGTTTGGCGGAAATAGATGGATGCAATTGTTGACACAATATCGTTACATGGCGAGCTACCTCTCGTACACATCGATGCCTTTTCCCTACCCTAAAGCAGACACTCTTTCTCTGTTGCACGAAGCAATGACGGAAGTACAGCAAATTGATATCAAAAGTGCAAAACGGCAGTCTAAGTTTATCCAGCACAAGCCCCTTATGCCGGCAGTAGCTACGTCGTGGCGCTTGTGGTTCGTGATGTGAGATATCGTGCGATTATCGTTACACGACATGGTGTTCTGCAGCACCAAGGCGCGTGAGTCCGTTGAAGCTGGAAAGACACGTCGCCTTGTCTGCTGGTACACTGCATATTCCAAGCAAGAGAGAACCCAACGGAACATCCGCCAAGGTCGGCTCGAGGACTTCACGTACGTAGGGTACTAACTTGCAAACTCCCATGCTGATCTTACGTGGACACACATGCGTTAGCACTTAGCAGCCGAGTCTTTCTATCCTCACCGCCGGTCGGACAAGGCATGTCGGCAGAACCACATGTGAACCAGTCGTTTGCTGCCTTCGCTACGCAGCTGCAGGAACTCCTGGTTTGGTCGCTGCACAATGATGGCCCATGCCTCTTCCGGCGTCGTCTTTGGCTACTGAGGGGCGGGGCCACGAGACGATGAGCATGCCAGCACAAAGTTAACAAGGCTGCACTCTTCAGCACAGCGGGGATCCAATTAGGCCATCATGTGATGCTTGATGATATGTTCGCTCTGGTACTATGCGTGTCCATGGGGCGGGTGGTCGTGGGCTGGGAGGTGTCGGTGTGCGTTGTCGCTGCAGGTTCTCACATTGTGCATGAGGCCTAATATTGATAGGAGGAACGGGTGGTTGGCTGGCTCGAGCGAACAAGGTCACGGTGCGACGGCAACTGCAGCAGCTGACACCACCGTCGAGAAAATTCGTGCACAAATGGTTTGCAGTGATTTGTTGTTGCATCAGAGAGCCATGCAGATAGTGGTAAAGAAGATTAATGACTTTGGACAGACGTTACGTTCCGTACAACAGGCGCAAAAGGTGCTTGTGCCAATCGCATTAGCAGGAGTGGGAATTGGCCACCAATCAATATTACGCCGGAGGCAAAAGCCATGTTGAGGTAAAGGCAAAAAGCATCCCGATTGTAGAATCGGACCAGTTCAAGGTGGCGATAGGATGCGACCCCTTCGCCCGATGGCAATTTCCCAGTGGACAGATATGAATCCTCTTGGCGACGGCGCGCGCGAACGACAATACCACTTTACGCGTCGAACGAAATGAGGTCATTCACGAGGGTCATGCTAACAATGCACGAAATGGGCTCTGGACGAATCCTGTCCATCCGAGGATTGGCCTCTGCCGTCCCTGAAAGTTGAGGGCTCATTCGCCATCCCTGTGATGATACAGAACTCATGTGAGACGATTATGGAGTCAGCTTGTGTCACAAGTCATCGCCATGCCATGACAGATCTATCGACAACAGCCGCAACCGGCCAGCTGATGGATATTATTATTAGCTAGACTAGCATTGATGGATGAGGCTGTGAATGAGCTGGCAGCGCTCCGAGGTTCGGTCAAGGCGACTGGAACCTTGGGCTAGGCAGCCTCGAACAGACAGCGCCAGCAGCGATGCGTGACCCAGAAAGGTGCGTCAACGAATCACGCGGAAGACAATCGGAACCGCGACACATGTGGACGCGGCGAAGGCGATGGCGAAGAAGGGGATGAGCCCCAGGGGCCAGATCTGATGGATGACTGTCCCATCGCTCAGCAGCAGTCCAGTCATGCCTTGGTTGGCTGGCCGCGCTAAGTTAGACCCGCACGGAGTCATCGCCAGCGGAGCCTTTCGGGCTGTCTTGACTGCACTGCCAGCGCTGCGACTGACTCCGTGAGGCGTGTCCGCCCGATGATCAGGTAGCCACCGGCAAAAGGCGTCATGTGCTGTCGAGCAAGCTCTGAGTCTCAGAAATTTTCTTGACCGCGTAGAATCAGTCTTTACCAAGGGCTGAAAACATCATCATCTCACCAAACATTGCTGCAAAAGACGAAGACGCATCTTTGAGGGTGGGAGGGAGGGGGCCCAATCACGACAATAGGGTGGCTGGCCACTCAGAGAGCGCCTCCTGGCAGCGAGGGGGGCTAGCCCACCACCTCCAGTGACTGCAGCGAATTGCGGAGGGGTTTTCAGAGCAACTGCATGTAGTATGATTGGTCGACTGCACCCAGAGTGGATCACTGGTCATGGGCATAGCGCGAAGTTTGTGCAGGCTGCTCGATACGATATGCTGTGCTGTGCTATACTGTGCAAGTTATGCCTACGTTGCTGCCGCTGCGACGAAACTCCAGATCCCTCAAAACAGCCTGCCTGCGCCAGTCGGCCTCCCACCTCGATCTCCCTTTCCCTCCCCTAACGAACCATCGTCGCAATGAAGTTCGAATACGGCCTCATCTAACGGACAGCACGTCGAGAAATCGCTTGCTGTCTGGTCTGGTCTCTTTCCTCTCCACTCCCGGCGCAATCAAACAGGATCTTTGTCTTTTTTCCCATCACCCTATTTGCCTTAATTCTTCCCTCTAGGCAGTGACTCGCAGCGGCATTCACTTGTACCTTGCGGTTCCAGCCCAGTCATCCGTCTTCTCGAAAGAAAAGTCACCACGACAGACTGGAATAGACTCATCACACGACTCCTCGTCAATCTGTGATTGTGTCTATTGCTCCTTGTTCTTTTTTTTACCCTCCCTTTTACTCTCCCTCCTGACATTCTTGCCACTGCCGCAGCAGTACCGACCGGTCTAGGTCCGTTCTCGTCCCTCTGCGCAGCCCAGGCCAAGCCAGGCTACCAGGCCCATCGGTCAGTCCCGCACTCGGGGCCCAACGCACGCGGCGGCAACACTCGGATCGCCACCTCGCCAAAGAGTCACACCACCAGCACACCAGGCCATTACCTCGTCTGTCGCCTTGCCTCGACTTTCAGGCCACTCTCACGAAGAGTCACTTTCCGGGTCCAGTACATCCTCGCGATAAGTACTACCGTGAATTCTCTTCGCCCTCCTCCCCATACGTCTTGTTGACTATCGTCAACCTCTCCATCCCGCCCTACCTCATCGTCTTCTACTCCGACCCACACTCTCTGTTGTCGACCTCTCGACCTCCGATGGTAGTGTACTAGACTACCATCTCAAGAACACGCATCTGTTTGAGACGCATTATCGCAATGCCTCTTGAACCCCACGTCTATTCTCCAGTCGCCGTCTCAGTCCTGTCTACCGGATTCCGTGTTTGTAAAAAGTTGGCCGTCTTCGACTCGCTCGTCTAAACCGACCGACTCTCGATATCTCGCCCGCCTTCTTACATCCCGAACAAGGCTCCGCACCCCACCGCCGAGCCCTCTTCGACACGGTTTCTCCTGATACGATCAAGGTAACGCAATCGCCTCATTGGTCCGCTTGACCTGGGACGGCGACTGGAAGGTAACTTCCAACCTATCCGCACATATATCAAAATGAATTACGAACACGACGCCTCCCCTGGCTTCGTCCAACCTGTCCGAAACAACATTTACAACTCCTCTATATCTTCTGCAGCCTCCGCCTCTACCGCCTCTATCTGGTCCACCGCCTCTGCGTCTTCTCAGGGTTCCGATGATTCTTCGATCTTCGATGGTCCTGTGACAAGCCAGGCTTCGGATAGCGACAGCTGTGATTCCTTTCTCTCAAGAAAAGGTATCAACCAGCCCAGTGTCGTTCCTACAGAGCTCCGACAGAATCCCCGCAGGAGCGCTGCTGGACGCGCTGCCCCCCCTTTACTGGTTCGTCAGTCAGATCGCAAGGTTGACTTTGTTGATAACCTTGTTGGTAAGTCTCATTGCTTGGTCTCACTCGCATGGACATGTCGCTTATTCTCCTCTTTTCAGACTCTTCGACACAAATTGTAGAGGCTATCTGGCCCACTTCGTCGTCGCTATGCCGTCGCGAACAGGGCAGCAAGGGTGTGCTTCCCTTGCGAACATTCATCCAAGAGACTCTGCGCCGCTCGCGTACAAGCTTCTCCACACTGCAGGTGGCCCTGTATTATTTGCTTCTCATCAAGCCTCGTGTTCCCTCGCACCGTTTCATCATGGAACAATTCGATGACCGCGCGGCTACACAGTCATTGCTGTGCGGACGCCGTATGTTCCTGGCAGCTCTGATCCTGGCATCCAAGTACCTCCAGGATCGCAACTACTCGGCGCGCGCCTGGAGTAAGATCTCTGGGTTGAACACACAAGAAATCAATCAAAATGAGATTGCATTCTTACAGGCTGTTGACTGGAAGCTGCACATTTGCAAGGATGTCTACCAGGCATGGGCGGACATCGTGCACAAGTTTACACCACCTTCTGGTCCGTCCTCACCTGGTGGCTGCTCTCAGCTTGTCTCACAGCAGCATGAAGTGTGGAGGCACATAATTTTGGGACTCGATGCTGACTTGAGCAACATCGAGGCTCTGGTAATCTCGGCACACTCTAGCCTCAAGGCTAGTGACTTGTCCCTGGCCTCGCCTCGCAGCATTCTGAACATGGCCCAAGAAGCCCCCACGTCTACCCCTGCCCCACGGAGCACGCCTGCGCCCATGGAGCCAACGCCTTTTGGCGCGCGTGCGACCGGCCGCATGGGTCCGACTACTACGCAGCTGCCGACGCCGCGTTTGACACCGCAGAGTAATGGACTCAGCACCCCTGCTGCGGGAGCTGCTCCATCTACACTCTCAAGGTCAAACGCAATGGCTTCAGCCATGTCGCAGGCCACCGTTTGCAACACTGCGCACTATCTTGATCGTCTTCCTACCCCGGCGTCGTCATCGCCCCAGAGCTACAGCTCGATCCGTCGCTCCTCGCTGGCCAACTCGGTGTCGACCGCATCGTCTCCCGAGTCCATGATCTCCGACTCTTCACGACTTTCGCGCTCATCCTCCTTCTCGTCTGTTTCCTCCTCTGCTAGCGCGACGCTCCCGTCGCGATTCAGAACCACGAAACCGGGTAATGAGAGATTGAGCCGAAAGCCGTCATTCCCGTCTGTGCCCGAGCAGGACTGCGATATCCAGGAATCAGCATCGCCTGGTTCATATACTGGTCCAGTCGGACACGTCGGGGATTGGTCGGTGCCAGTGGACCACAACTTGACCGGCCGCAAGCGGCAGCTTGGCGATATGATGAACGATGCTGCGTCAAATGCTGCGCGCACCCTCCAGGAGCTTCGGAGATCCCGTGGTGCCGTTGGGACCCACACGACGAATGACGATACTCCCTTGCAGTCTAACGTTCGCGATCTTCTGAACGTATCGTATGGGCAGTCGGGATGGCCTGCATCCATGTTGGAGACACGTTACCGCCCAGAGTACCCGGACAGGAAACGTGTTTGCTGCTCCACCGAAGCCAGTCGTGTGTACAACGCGACTCCTGCTTTTCATGTGCGGGCCCTTGGCATGTGGCAGGGTATTTTGAACTGAAGCTGTAGGCTTGTGCCCAGCAAACGCAAAGTCAACACTAGGCAAACTATTTCCTTTGTCTCCCAGCGGCAGTCTTTGGAGCCGGCTAGCGCAGCATGCTTGCTGCATGGATGCGCTGCCTCAAATGTCTTTCTCGGAAAAGCGAAGCATTACCCATGCGAGGTGTACCGAACAGGCGCAAGAGCGGATGAGGCATCATGGTTCAGGAGAAGCGATGATTTACTTCTGTTGAATTTGTACGACTACACGTATCATCTGGGGTCTTGTAAAGATCGGCGAAAGCCACGCGCAGGTGTGATGCACATAGGTAATGACTTGTCCATAAGATCCAACTAAACTTGATTTGACGCGCACCAACTTTCCGAGTCCACGAGTTGTGAAGTGAATGAACGCAGTTGCCTGAGCAGAGCTGGCGCTACGAGTCTGTAATCATGGAAGTATCTGCTCCTTCGTAATCCTGGATCACCACGACAGAGCGGGAAGTCCAAGCAATCTGTAGACACTGAGATGATCATCACCACTCAAGCAAGGCCATTGGAGTACACGCGATTGCCATCGCCGGCGACGGCAAGAAGCTAACCCAGCCTTCCAGGAGACAGTGAGACTAGCAGACAATGTTAGAGAACAGGAGCCAACAAACACTGCTGCTCCACCTCAGTCGAGGAAACCTTGTGTTTCGGTATTCAATAAACGCTATGCATAGTACAGTCATGGCCATCGTAGTCTTCGTAGCTCATCATGAAAATAGCCCCTTTCTCCTTGATATCCACCGTCTCCCGAGTCAACACATGCTCATACAGAGCTGCGGCGCATCTGACGATAGTCTTGGAATGTGCTCATGACGTTGCGTGTCCGCTGCAAGATGGTCCTCATGAGATCAGTGTCGTCGCCCCATTTGATACGACGGTCGAGATCATTCAGCTCCTTGCGCACAACCTCACCTGGCAGATCCTGGAATACCCAGGCGCCGATGAGACAGTTGATGACAATCATGTTGGGTTTTGTGCAATTGAGGACGGCGTTGCGCAAGAGCTCAATCTTCATCTCCCAGGGCGGCATGTCAAAGTCCTGGCTAGCAATGAGCATGCCACCTCGCGCCAGCCAGAAAAGACGTTTTGTTTGCTCCTCGTCCCACGGGCCGGTGATGAGATCCTCGGGAATGCGTGTCTTGGGGTGTATGTCTTGCGTACCCCACGCCATGGACTCGACGCGGAAGGGTGACCAGTTTGTCGCCTGGCTATAGTCGACGTCGAAACATTTGTGTGCGTTGTAGTGCGACGGTCCGCCGTGGTGGGAGTGCCCGAGCTCATCTGGTTCGTCGTTCCACGGTATTGAGTGTTGGAACCACCGACCGTACGCATTGTTATCAGCCCAGGTCTGTTGGGCTTGGAGGAGGTAGTCGATCTTCGCCCAAGGCTGCTTGAGCACGGCAGTCTACAGCGTCCAGGTCAGTCACAGATTAATTGGTGGTTACACCGGTCAGCTCACCTGTAGAACATGGTCGCCGTGACATTTTGTCTGCGGCTTACCCATCACTGGAGGACCGTGAAGCAAAGTCGTGCTCGTCGGCACGCCAAACCATTGATCCCATGTCTCGTGGAATGCCCAGATGAGAAGTCGAATCAGAGTGGCTCTCTCCGAAAGCTTGGCCCCGATGACAAGACTGGCGTGGGGTAGCGACAGGTTCTGGCTGTACAGTAGAATCTTTTCCAGGATCTCGGAAGGCAGTGTGTCTAGATTCGAGCGCTCCTTGCTAGAATGTGCTGCCATCACGTCGGACATGGACCGCTTCGCCTTTTTGCGCGTGTGCTGCTGCTCGTGGGGTTGCAGGGCCTTTGGAGGTTTACTGAATTTAGATGAGCTGGATTTCCGCTTCCCTCGAACGTGCACTGCGGTCAAGCCCATGGCCCCGCGCTTTCTCGTACGAATAAGCTGGGCTCGTGCGGTTGACAAGGCCAGAGGCGTTTCCCGTTGGGTCTCGGACAGTCGGGCTGGACCTTGCGGCTGGGAGGGGACAAGGTAGAGGGACGCCGTTGGTGGGGGTTGCCAGGAATCGCAGCTGTAGAGGTCTGGCCTGGCGTAAATCCTTCAAGAATGGCGCGTGGAGTATTGGTAGCTGATTTTCGTCAAAGTGAAGAATTGTGTGTCTGTGTTTGCTAGATGGAATGGAGTTGGAGGATCGGAATGGCGACGCTAGCCAGATATACTGGATGAAATTGGACCTTGACAATTAGACACGGGAAGGCCGTCGCCATATACGTCGTGAGGATCCTAAAGAAGATACCATAGAAGATATCTGAGGCGACGATCAGCACTTGCAAGCCACGGTTGTCGTAAGTGAGAATTATGAAGGCAAAAGTTGTCGGCGATCACCGCTTGACGTCGCAGTCGTTTGAGGGCGTCTTTGTCGCCGCGTCGAACTACTAGTCTACAGCTGCTCTTTTGCTCGATTTCGTTACCGCAGCGCTCAAAAGGTTACAATTTTTGATATTACCCTCACAGTCGGTTTGACGCGGAGGATTCACTTGACAAGGATGCTGGCGGGACGGTCACGATGATGGACTGCAGTGACGCAGGCCTTATCTTCTATCGATAGGCTGATTGTGCAGTGCCAGAGGACTCCGTCCTCGTCGGGCTTGGACGGCGCCCCCCCCCCGATTTCAGTGGTCTGTGCAGCAGGCCGTTCGGTCATCGCGCGGCTGCTGGACATTTTTCTCATGTCCCTTGCCCGATACATTCACGTCGTTGCGAACTCCTCGGCCACGACCGTCATTGAGATTTGCTGATCCCACCGGATTTGATTGGTGCCTCGACATCAGTAGCACCTTGGCCACAGCGCACTAACGTCGAATCTCGAAACATTTCCCCGAGAGCTTCCACGAATAGACCGAGCCTCTGGGTCCTAGAGCTACGCTGCGCTCATGACGTGCTGACACTTCCTGGGGGAAATATCACCGTGCAGGAGCAGGAGACATACGAGCTATCGAAGCATTGATGTTGACAGCTTCGGCTGCTGCTGCTGCGTGTCGGCCTGTCCCTTCACGCAGCCTGCTCCGCTTCTTGCGGCTGCAGACAGATGGTGTCCATGTCGGTCAAGGGTTTCTCTTCGGTGATGGATGCGAGTCTCGGGGCAGGAGATATGGCACAAGCTCTTCGAAACGAGTAGTGACAGCGCGATCCCCGTCCATGGGCTTTCGTGGCTGCAAGAGAGCATTGGGAACGACCAACACACTGTGCAAGACCGAAACCAAGCCGGCATTTGCGAAGACATCCTCAAAAACCACATCATCACCAACATGGCAAGAGAGACTGTGGGGGAGTTCCGCCAAAGCTGGAGGAAAGCCTCTGCATCCAGATGACCTACCGGCGCATGACTGTCCTGATCCCGGCTCAACGGTGTTTGCGAATAGGCGAACGTTGGCTGCCAAAGCCGCCATGGAGCCACGACTGCGATGTACCGAGGTTGATGAGAACGGAGAAGTGATCTTGGTCGATGGAGAATTTAAGAAAACGGAATTGATTGCCAAGGTACGTACGGTGGATGGGAATAGCTGCTCGACATTGGGGACTAATTGATTGTAGTACGGGCTGCTACCACGAGATCTCCGCAAGATCGATTCTTCAACCCTGCCGCATATCCTCATCCGACCTTCAGCCATCCTTCTGAATCTGTTGCATCTCAAGGTCCTTATCAAGCATGACCGCGTACTGCTTTTCGACGTCTATGGGTCCAAGACCTCCTATTCACAGTCGGCTTTCATGTACGACTTGCAAGGCAAATTGCAGCAGAAGAATGCGCCTCAGCAAAATGGCATCCCGTTGCCCTACGAATTCCGCGCCCTCGAAACCGTGTTGACATCGGTCACATCCGAGCTCGAAGCGGATTTCGAAGCTGTCCGAGACCCTGTCATGCGCGTCCTCAGCGAGTTGGAGGACGATATCGACCGACAAAAATTACGTGTGCTTCTTATTCTCTCGAAGCGCGTGAGCACTTTCGAGCAAAAGGTCAAGTTGGTGCGAGACGCCATCGAAGATCTCCTGGAAGCCGACGACGACTTATCCTCCATGTACTTGACCGAGAAGGCGCACGACATACGCCGACAGCTAGACGACCACACGGAAGTCGAGATGCTGCTTGAATCGTACTACAACTTGACGGACGAAATTGTGCAAGAGGCCGGTAACCTGGTGTCGGGCATCAGGAACACCGAAGAGATGTGAGTTTTTTTCTTTATTTGGTCCTGCGAGCAACTTTGACTGACATATTCAGCGTCCGCGCGATCCTCGATGCCAATCGGAACGCCCTGATGCTTCTCGATCTCAAATTCAGTGTCGGCACCTTGGGCCTCGCCATGGGAACTTTCATTGCTGGTCTCTACGGCATGAACCTCGAAAACTTCATCGAGGAAACAAACTGGGGATTCGGTGGCGTTACCGGTGCCTCTGTCTTGTTCTCGCTCATCGTCTGCTGGTACGGGCTGGGCAAGTTGCGCAAGGTCCAGCGTATCAAGATGGGGAGCAATGAGCGTCCACATTTCCCCCGGCGAACACAGTTCTCTCACGAGGACGATGCGCTGGGTCTGCTCGACTCGCGCCATCGTGAGCAGCTGAGGAGGTTGCACATGCAGAAGACCTCGAATGCAGCTGCGCAGAGGAGATGGTGGGACTTGCGACGATCTTGAGCAATGTTATGCAAGCACACGAACGGGCGTTTTCTCGTCGCGTACTGGGGGAGAGCGGAAAGGGCGCACACTCTGCTCTCTGATTCTCTGTAACTGTAGTTGTAAGCATAGCCTATCGCTTTGTTAATACCCATGTCTCGCGCTGTACAATTTTATTGGAAACTTGATGTTTTGTGGCGTATGTGACAGCCACTATGGCTGAGACACGAAATGCTGTCACGCCGCTGTGATAATGATCTCGTCATTGTGGAGGGGTGTGGTGGGCTGGCAGGCACAGACAACTTGAAGGCAGGACGTTGGTAACCCACTTCTGGGGCCCCATTTGAGATCTGTCAGTGGTCTAGGCGTGTTTCTCACGAGATGCGAGATGCACATCATGAGGCGCCAGGACGTGTCGTCAAAATCTGCGTTGGATAGCAACTGACGTCACTGCGAAAGATAAGGTACGGGACTCGCGACTTTGGCCAAACCGAAGTCCGGACTGCTTGTCCATCTTTCATTACTAAGTAGTCAGAACACATGGTTTTCTCGAAGCCAAGTAAGCACCGTCCATTCGAAGAAGCTAAGAAAAGACAAGCCTTTTGGGGGGTTGGCCGTTGAGCAATGGTCGGCTGTCAAATTGCTTACCGGCAGGCGGCTCAATGCGCAACCCCCGCCGAAGAAGCTAGAGCCGCAGATCAAGCCTACGTCACTGACCAGAATGACGCTAGGGATGCACCCTTTCCATGCGCGCGCAGGCGCGACTACGTACTACGTAGGGGTCTGAGAAAAAAAACAGGGCAGATGACCAAGGGTACCTACTTCCCTTCCGACGCGCTTGCTCATGAATGCAATTTAGGTACCACTATAGAAGCAGGTGACCGAAATTGGAGGGCGCCATGGACATCACGGAGGAAATGCACCGTGCCTGCCAACCGATCGGGAGATCGAACAGACTTTGACGTCAGGCGCAGTCTCGTAGCTCTCGTCTTTCCTGTTGAGTTCGCGCGTCTCCTGTAACCATAGAAGCGCCGTCACTTCTGAACGACCCAACAAACAACATATATATCTCAGCTCGCGACTGTCCTCGACTCTGAATTCTTTCTCTTCTCTCATCCACACACAAGAACTACTTCGAACTATCCAAACCTCAAAACAAACTACTCTACTATCCGTCAATATGGGTGCCGTCGTTAGCTGCGTACGTTTATTTGCTGGAGACTCTCACGTGACGAGAGGCTAACAACCACTAGATCAAGAGTGTCTTCCAGACCATTGGCTCCGCCATCATGGCCGTGATTTCTGGTATCGGTGGTATCATCAAGGCCATTATTAATGCCATCGGTCAGTCTTCTCCCTCCACTCCGCGCCTCTGGGCTATTCACTGACAATATGTAGTGTCATTCTTCGGTATCATCGTAAACTGCCTCACCTGCCGCGGAGGCGGTGGCCGCAAAACAACGACAAGGAGTAGAGTCTAACGAGACCCATCTGCCGCGCGACAAGGAAATACAGTGAAACAAATGATTCCTTTGGCGGATGGGTGATCGACTCACAAGACGGGGAGGGGGAGAGAGACCAGAAGAGCCGTAATGACCTCGGTGGGAGGGCTGCGCACACCTTTACGCTTTGAGATACCCCAGTGCTCAGTGCGATGCATAGAATACCCTATTTGTTCATTTCCCTATGTTCATAATTGGCAAGACCATAATATGAATTGACGGCCACAAATACCTAATCATCTGCTTCCTCCATGACGTTGCGATTGAAGAACCCGTGAATCTTTCTGCCTGCTGTCTGCCCTACAAGAGGTTCGAGTTCCTTCTCGGACATATTGGCCACCTCTCGTATGTTTTCTGTCTCCAAGACAATGTTTTTGATGTTCTGAGGGGTCACCCCAGGCACTATGCCTAGCATCTCCTGTGGCTCTTGGTTGAACGCCTGGTCCTCGGCGCTTTGGTCCTTTTCCAGCCCTGCGCGAACCGCCGTGATGGGATCCGGCTCTGGCTCTTGGGCTTTGAGGGACTCGAAGATCTCGGCTGTCTGGTAAGGCGAAGATGACCAAATAATGCGCAACTTGGGGAATGCGAGCGTGAGAAGCACAATCTTCGACTGCAAGTCGTTCGACACATTGCCGGGGTTGACGCTGCTGATACTACCAGACAGATCGGCAAACGGTTCCAGAGTGAAAGACTTGTTCTGGTCAAACTCGATGAGGAGCATGGGGCTCTTGTAGTGCTGGAACATGGTTTCGGCCTGGTTGTACAGTCGGCCATCTTTGAAGGAGGAAATGAGATCGTTGACCGACTTTCGTTCCACGCAGATGTTGGGCGACAGGATGTAGTCGCCTACTGTCAGCATACAGGGGACAATGACTATCGAACGGCCGTGGAGAAGGGAGGGTAGCGAGGACCGGAACTCGCGCACGTCTACCACCACACGGGGCGGCTCGGCCGTAGCTGCGAGTCGTCCACCTCCCGCGATTCTAGTGTTGACCGTCCGGAGAAAGGCTTCTTGGGGGTCCTCCGCCCCGTGACTGTCGACAGTCATGACAACGGACATGGTAGCTCGCTCCTTGATGACCTTGGTGAAAGCGTCTTTCTCGCGACGGACGGTCGACAGGTACCTTTGCTCCTCGACAGAACCACCATAGTACATAAAGTACACTCGCACGTTGCGATCATTATGCGACGAGCGGTAGACCTCCACACGTCGAATGAAAGCAGCGTCGGGCTCGTACATGATGATGTATCGGGGCTTGATCTCTTCGAGAACGTGCTCATCTTGGTCGCCGTCATAGGCGTGAACGACGACCAGATCCTGCATCTCGAACAGTTGATAGTAATCGTCCATGTTGTCTAATGGGTCGGCGACGATATCGGGCTTCTGCTGTGCCTCCTCCTCGGTGATTTGGACCTCCGCCATCAGGTCTGCTACTTCGCCCGGTTTCTCGAAATACTGCTGGATACTGCCATTGTCCGCGCGGCCCATCATGGCCCCAACATTGCCGCCGCCTCGCACGCGACGCCTCTTGTTCGGAGGTTTCCCGCCGCGGCTAGGACGGGTATCAGCCGCGCCGCGCAGGGCTTGCTGGTTCTCGGCAAAGAGCGTCTGGCTGACTTGCGCAAACTGACTCTTCCATCTGAGGTAGTTTCGGAGCTTCCGCCTCATGATGAACGTGGCTGAGGGTTTGTCCTCATCACCCATGTCTTCAGCCTCCTCCGGGTTCGAATTTCCCTTCTTTGGCTTGATGTGCATGTGCTGCAGATAGTCGCGCAGCTGCCTACACGTGTCGTGGCTTGAGCACATGATCAAGATGGTGCCGTTGGAATCATCTCGCGGCACAGGATCGAAATAGAGGTCGCGGTCTATTTCTTCGAGAACCTCGGCAAGTTGTGCCCACTTTGGGAGCTCTTCCAGGACAGGTTCCAAAGCATCAATGTTAGACTCTTCGCTGATCTTCTTGGTGGGCCTCGCCGCATAGACTCGTCGACGGGCTGTGTCGAAGATTGTCTGCGCAGCATCAAGGAACAACCACGGTGACTGATTCTGTCGTGTTGACCCGGGCGGAGGCGAATGCGCTGCATGGATGGTATCGAGGTGCTGCAGGAAGGACACGGCGTCGTACGTGAGGATGCTGTTGAGGAGACCTCGAAGGACGGTCAAGTCGTTGACAATCTGCCGCGTCTTCCAGCTTACGCGATGCCAATTAGGTTCGAGTTGCCGCCGAACCATGGTATCAAAGTTCTTGAGCAAGGCGCTGTCCAGATTCCAATCTTCCATCTCGAGTCCCGTATTGCCTTTCTTCAGCTCGTGGATGCTGACCTCTACGCACTCCATGATTGCCGTCTGCATTTCCTTCATATGGTCAGTCATTGGCACCTCCAGCTCGATGACCTCGGCCTTCTTCCTGCCCTCTAACGATCTCGCCACAGTGACCTGGAATCGTGGCCAAAGGGATGCTTTCTTGAGGAAGAGGTTCCGCAGCATCGCGGACAACGGGGAGAACCCAATGGTGAAGGGGTCCGGATTGTCGGAAAAAGCCTTCAAAAAGCCAGCCTTGTTCTTCTGTCGATAGACTCGTAAGATGAACGCCTCTAGGGATGTCGCAATGACCCGGTCCGCATGAAGGACCACGAGACCTGTGATACTCTCGGGAGCCAGGAGTCCCGTCAACAAATCAACAACCAGAATTCTCGAGGTAATGCTGAATATGCCGCCGACAGCGTACATCTTCTCCCTCGCGCCTACGCTCTGGAAGTCCGTGTTCACCACGGTCAGACCTCGCGCTTTGGCTGCAGCACTGATGGCTGCATGCTCAGCCAGCGCCTCACCAATCCATCCATTTTCGCGATCCTCTGCGCCGACCACCACGATCAAGTTGTTTCCGGCGGCATCATATGAGTGGAGCAGGTTGGTGATGATGCGCATCAGCCCCAGGCCGCGTGCAAGGATGACCACTTCATCTTCGGCGCGGAGTTCCTGGAACAAATCTTGCTGATATTCCAGAGGAAGTGATAGCTTCACTGGCTGGGGCGCATCGCTCGTCGACATCCGGGGCGCGCAGAGACTTGCGTCCAGTCCATGTGCAGTGTCGACGAAGGGTTGACGAGGCGTTGATCTTGAGTCTACTACGTAGTCTCAGTTGTTCACGGTTGCACATGGACCGCCTGCGGTGGGTCGGTATAGGGTAGTCATTTTGTGGCAGGATGGGCCGACCAGACTGGACTTTCGACACTATTTGACTAAGGTAATAAGTGAAACGATCGCAGGATGTGGATGATGATGTGTTCTAGAATAACCACACCGAATAGCTGTGCCGAGGCATTATAGCACCAGCAAATCTTTGAAGCATGTTCAGGACCCCAAAGTCCGAGGACGTTTACAGTGGCAGGCAGGCGGGTCGAGCATGTATTCTAACAACATCTGCTCTGTCGCCATAGACCTACCTGCCCAAGTAACATGGATGTAGATTGACCCTGTTTTCCATAAGGTACCAAAATCAGGCAACAGCATGGTATTCTAGCATCTGACACAGCGTCAACATGTTTGCAATAGCGTGGCAGATGAGGGGTCTAGTCGTGATTGCCCCTCGATCATGTGGTTGCCTCATCCAGGTGGGACGTCATATCATCGGCTTAAGACATCAGGTTTCCTGATCGCTTCTGAGAGTGCGGTTCTTAGCGCAGCTATTAAATATGCTTTATTCCCCGTCACCCAAGGCGACCCTTCACTTACATCCAACAAAATAGTAACCTTATATCCAACCTACATCAAACATCATGCCTTCCAACCAAGACCAGAAGAACGAGGTATGTAGCCAATACCTTCTCCCCGATGTGCTTGTATCATGCTAACGCCAAATCAAGGGCGAGAAGGAGTTCAGCATCCAGCCCATCAAGGAGCAGGGTCAGGACCCCAAGTTCGCTCCATTCAACGCCCACCCCGGCCCTGCCAAGCCCCAGAACATGCCCGAGCAGGAGGGCTCAAAGGAGGACCGTCAGGCCAAGAAGGAAGCCTTGAACAAATAAACTGGTCGTCATGGGCTTAACGTCTTAATTGTAAACATCAGGGCAGCGTGCTCAAGTTAATGCGACTTTCTCAAACCTCATGGCTGTGCGTGACCAAGATCTCATTGTCTTTCTGATTGAAAGCTCCTATACGGAGTAGCAATTTAGTTAATTGAATAGACAACAACAAGTCTACAGGGCAATAATTAGTTGCTCTTTTGGTCGCAAGACGACTGGAGGACATCTTCCACACAACAACAGTGCGTCATCATGTGCGGTGCAGACGCGTGGCGCTGCCTCCACCCTCTTGTGGCTGGTGTTGCCTGCCTGGTGGACGCTCGAGGTAAGATGCACGTCTTGAATGACGGCCTGCATATGGCATGCTGTAGAACCACAGAGACAAGTCTCTCCAACGTCAGCTTTATTTCCCCTCGTCGAACAGACGGCTGAAGCTACCTGCGCGCTGGTCGTCGTCACTCGCTATCAATTCCTCGCCAGCCGTCACGGCCATTGCGCGAACGTTCCCAATACCACTTACCCAGTACCTTGCCTACCCTTACAGTGGCTTTATTGCTGCCCCAAGAGGGCCGACCCGAGTGACGCCCGGCTGCCTCGTGAGCGCCAAGAACGCAGACCACCGCCAGACGAACGGGAGGGTAATTACTCAATCCCAACCATACACCATCTCGACTCCGACACAACACCTTCCCCCGGGACCCTTTGACTAGGCACCCCTCCGCGCGACGACAATGCCTTCCATCCTCAGCGACGACGACAAAGACACAGTCAAGCGCTTCGTGCCCAAGCAGACCAACAAGATCCAAGCCGTCGCTGTCGCCAGGCTGTACATTGCGTACCCCAATCGCTCGAAATGGACATACACCGGTCTTCAAGGTGCCGTCGTGCTGGCAAATGACCTCGTGGGCAACACGTACTGGCTCAAGATGGTCGACATCTCACCGTCAAGCCGCGGTGTCATTTGGGACCAGGAGATATTCGACACCTGGAGCTACAACCAGGACCGCACATTCTTCCACACCTTTGAGCTTGAAGAGTGCCTAGCCGCACTGAGCTTTGTCGACGAGAAAGAGGCCAAGCAATTCAAGAAGAAGATGGACGATCGAGAGAAGAACGCCAGTAAGGCCACCCGCTCGACACCCTTCGGCGGCGGCTCTCAACCCAAGGAGAAGCACAGCCTGTTGGGAGGACTGTTTGGTTCACGTCACTCGTCTGCGCCTACACCTCCCGAGTCGCCGCGCCAGACGCTCCCACCGCCGCCTCCGAATCCGGCCTCGATCTCGTCCATGACTCTCAACGGCGGTCGGCCAGCATCCGAATTCCCACTCTTGGACGCCTTCGACCCCCTCTGGAGGGAGCACTTTGGGCAAGATCTGAAGGAGAAAGGCCTGACAGACGATTTCATCAAGGACAACCAGGAGTTTATTGTGGACTTTTTGCGAGAACAGCAGCAGAACAACGCCAGCGAGGACCAGCCAGCCTCGCCGCGTCCTCCACCCCCAGCACCTCCGGCGGCTACGACGAATGGCACCGATGCAAGAGGCTCACGAGCACCTCCTCCGCCTCCTCCTGGTGGTGCAAAGGCTCCCCCACCACCCGCACCTCGACGATCCAACAAGGCGGAATCGCCCGTGAACGAACCCCCGGAGTCCCCCCCTGGACCACCTCGACCAAAGTTCAATGCGCCGCCCCCTCTAGCAGATGCTGGCAAGTTCGCGCGGAAGGAGGTTCCCAAGTCAGCGCCGGCGCCGCCTCCCAGGTCCAACGCTGGTCCGGCGCCGCCACCACCTCCTCGTCAAGCGGCGAGAGCGCCTGCGTTGGAAACGGACCACAAGTTTGGCGTACCACCGCCATTTCAAGGGGCTCGCAACCCGGCGCTACCACCTACACCAAGCCGAGGCCCTGTGCCACCGCCTCCTCCTCCGCGGTCTGGAGGGGATGCCCCGGCGGCGGCGCTTGGCCCTCCTCCACCTCTTCCGCCAAAGGTACCTGCTGGAGGACCTCCACCACTACCACCATCCAGCTCTCGGCCCGTGCCTCCTCCCCCAGCGGCTGGCAACCCATCCCGCGTGCCACCACCTCCTTCGTCGAACAACCTACCTCCACCGCCGCCTCCTCTGCCCCCTACGCGCGACAGCGGAGCACCGCCGCCACCTCCCCTACCTCCAACCTCAGCAGGCGGTCCTCCTCCCCCTCCTCCTCTGCCATCCACGGGCGCAGGAGGAGCACCACCACCACCACCGCCTCCTCCCCCGAACCGCGACGCAGGAGACTCATCGGGCCTGCCACCTCCTCCATCTCTGCCCCAAGCCGGTGGAGGGCGAGCGGCCATGTTGGGCGACATCCAGAAGGCCGGCGGCATCGGCGCGTTGAAGAAGGTCGACAGGACGCAGATTCGCGACCGAAGCGCTGCGCAGGTAGCCGGGGGTGATTCTGGCGGTGCTGGCCCCCCTCCGCCTGGTGCACCTCCAGGCGCTGGAGGAGGTGGTATGGCCGATGCGCTCGCGGCTGCTCTGCAGAAGCGCAAGGAGAAGGTCAGCAAGAGCGGTAAGTTACTTCTTACGCAATATGCTGAAAGCACAGCTGACATGTCCTAGATGACGAAGACGATGACGACGAGTGGTGATGTCCACGATGGAAGAACAGTGTTACTACAGTTAACGTAGAAGCTGCCGACCACTTGGCGGATTTTTCGACATGGTCATGCGAGTGTCTGGCCGCAAGGTGTCTGGCGTTGTGAGTTACATGATCGGGCAACGGCAAATAAAGAGAAGAAGAAAAAAAAAAGACAAAATGAGTCGCAAACATATTTTCATTCTTATGCTAGTCTGATAAGACGTAGAATGACCTTGGCGAGCCGTGGCGTCCCTCCCACCACGGCTGCCGGCATCGTCCTTGCTCTGCATGACTGTCGTGGGTCCCCTGGTACTAGCACCAGAGGGTTTGAGAGAGAAGACAGTACTGGTGAGGTGTTGTTGACATTGAACGGACAAATTTTCCTTCTTTTTCTTTAAATGTCGTCAATGTCAACCTCCTTCTTACCACCGGGCGCCGCGTCGTCCGACTCCTCGTCCGAGTCGGCGTCGCCGAACTCAAAGTAGGCCTCGCCATCCTCGCCCTGGTTGAAGGTATCCGTCTCGTTGATCTTGGCATTCTCGGGCAGCTCGCCGTACGACTTGAGGGTACGGGCCTCGTCGGCCGTGTACTTGAGGATCACGTCGCCCTTGCCGTCCTGGAAGTCACGGAGGGAGAGGAGGATGATGTCACCCTGGTTGATCCAGACCTTCTTGCGCATCTTGCCACGGATCTACAACGTTGTCAGTAACAAGAGATGACCAGGGGAGAGGGGGAAGGGGGAAGTCATCGTACGTTGGCGAGTCGCTTTGACCCGTCGAAGCAGAGCGCCTCGAGGCGGCCGTTGCCGAGCATCTTTACAACCTGGGCGTACTCCTGGCCGTCCTCCTTAAAGGTCAGCTCACGACGCTGATCGTCGTTCTCCTTGGTACCCCTTCTGCGGTTCTTGCCACCCTATTGTGCGAGTATGATTAGCCTGTGCTCCCCCGGGGGTTGAGTTCGATTGTTGTCGCGCGCGCACCGCATGGTGGGGGCGGGGTTCGACGGCGCCGTCATCATTCGACTTGTTTTCTTGTGCAAAATCGTACCTTGCCCTTGTTCTTCGGCATAGCGACGGTTAAGACTTCTTGTCGTGTCGAAAAAAAAAGGTTGGTTTGTCTGGGTGTTCTGCGCGCAGAGGCAGTGGCGAGTTGGGGAGGGTTGGTTTCGTTTGATGGAGGGTATTAAATGGGAGTGGAGGCTGGAGTGGGATTTTATTATATTCGGGCAGGCTTTTGGGCTGCGGCAAGGTTCGTCACTGTTTTGGGTGGCACATGCGTTTGCATTATGCTATGAGTCAAGGGGTGTCATGGCGTTTCCTGACGATTCCCATGGGCGAACCTGATTTTTTCCTTAAAAGTTAATTTCTGCTATCGGTCGCCCATATGTCCAGAGGCATCCTCGTGAATGACTTTTATGCTAGTATTGAGAAGCAGGTCCCCATCCCAAAAGCGCACACGGCGCAAATTCTGTGTGCAGGGCGAGAGACCAAGACCCCTCGATGTTTAACTTGGCGTATAATTATCTCTCATGCCATGAATTGGCCTCGTTCGAGAACACAGACTCATATTCTTACTTTCAAGCTGCTCATAAGCGCATCCACCAACATTATGCGCTGATCTACAATGTTGAGGCTTGATCGTATTTCTGAGTTGTGGGCGCCAAGACAATACACGCAGAGCGCTGACATAATCATGTTTCCGGCATTGCAGGGATCTATCGACGCTAGCGTTCCCGAAATCCGCAAGCTCAGAATGCTATCTTCGTAGAATCGTAGCTATCGCACTTAATTCTTCGCGTCGCATTTCAGGTGGACGGGCAACGATGCTCGTAGGCCTTGCTCCAGAACCTATACTATGGCGGTAGCGCGAGGGCTGATCCGTCAGAAGCTCTGCGCAGCACCTATCATCGCCGTCAGACACGCACCAGCCTTCGCTCCTCTGGGAGCACGGTTCGCCTCGAGCTCCCCCGGGCCAAAACGCTTGCGACCCAGCGATGCAGACAATTTCTACAATGACAGAACGGGCGACCTGATGACGACCCCCGAGAACAAGGCGTGGTTCGAAAAGTACCCGTCGATTCATCACGACAATGGCATTGCATCGCCGTTGCGCATGAACAACGAGGAGAAGGGCGTCATGATCGATTATCGCGTGACGCTGCGGTTCACCCCGAAGCACCTGATCCATCCGTACCAGCTTGGATTTCTGGACCCAAAAGGCCACCCCAAGGCGTTGGCGCAGCGACTACGATACGCCGAGAAGACGCTGAAGGAGCCGCTGTGGATAGTCTGCACTGGCTACGGCCAAGTCATCCCGGTTGTCAAGAGCATGGCAAAGAGGCGCGTACACGCTGCGATCTGTGCCGCCCTACAGAGAAGGGGATACGATGCCCATGGCAAGAAGGCAGATGGGAAGCACATCAGGGGGACATTGTGGCTGACCCTCAAGGAGCCCTTGAGGACAGTTGATCGACGAAACCTGGATGAATTCGGAGAAAGGGCCGTGGACATGCTGTTGCGAGGGCTGGACCAGGGCTCCCAGCAACGTTCGATGCCAACGCACCAAAGAAAACCAGCACCGAAACAGCGAAAGACGCAAAATAGGAAGACGCAGGATCCGTTTGAGATGAAATTTGGGCATGCAAGGCGGGATCATTGAGCATGGTGTGTACATGTAGAATCATTGTATTCCAGGTTACATTAGTGTATCACTCGGCATTCAGATAGAGCATATAGCGTAGCGGCGCAAGCATGTCATGTATATCTACTAACGTTAGACTTGAAAGAATTAAAAGCTATATGATAAATGACTAATTACATGTAGTGCGTCAACTTTTGTGAATGAGCGCCATCTTTGTTTCCCTTGGTACCTTAACGCTTTGTCGCTGTCGCGGTTGCACGTGACTTCATCAGGAGCGGCACCTGTCGCAACACGCTGTGCTGTGGCCAAGCTCAATAGCGTGGGCCAGGGGAGCTCCCAACACCTTGAATAGCCCGCCCCCCTTGCAGCTTCATGACGGCGCATTGAACCACTTTGTCTCTCGCACGGCATCGACATCGAATTGGCAGCTTCCCAACCGACGTCCTACCACCATCTCGTTGACTTGAGATCTGATTGCGCAACATTGGCATCATGCTGGTCTCCCTGACCGTCGGCAAGGTCGACGCAGGCGTCACTGTACTGCTGACGCCTGACAAACGCCTGGTACGTCTCGCTTGAATGTGACGTGGGATAGATGGCTGACCATGGATAGATTGAGTTCCCGTCCATCCTCCTGCCGCCTGACATTTCGTCTGGCTCCATAGTAGACATCACCGTTGGCCAGAACACCGCCAAAGAGTCCGCCGCGCAAGCTTCCTTCCGCGCCCTCCAAGACCAGATCTACGCCGCCTTTGGCGCGACCGAGCCGTCCGTCCCCGTCCTGCGCTGCCGCAATGCCACACAGACCTCTGTTGTCCTGGAATGGGACCCCATACAGCTGGCGACAGCCGACCTCATCTCGCTCAGCCTGCATCGCAACGGGCAGAAGGCGGGCAACATCCCGAGGCCCATGGAGATGCACAGCACCAAGATCAGCGGACTCGCCGTCGACACGGAGTACGTCTTCCACCTGGTACTGAGAACAACGGCCGGCACGTCCTCGAGCGAGAAGGTACATGTGCGGACGCACAAGATGACTGATCTAAGCGGCATCACTATCACTACAGGCGTCATGCCTGCCTCCACGAAGGAGAAGCTGCAGGGCGCCGTGGAGCGCATGGGCGCCAAGATTGTGGACGGGGTGCGCATTGATACTACGCATTTCGTCACGACAGAGGGCAGGGGGCAGGCGTGGGAGAAGGCTGTCGAAACGAATATCCCAGTCGTCAGGCCCGAGTGGGTGGACGCCTGCGAGAAGAATGGGAGAATTCTGGGTGTCACGAAATTCTACCTGGACGCGATGAGGCCTGGACCCCCAAGCGACGACACCCCAGCAGCCGCGACACCACCACCTCCTCCCGCGCCGGAAACTGTGGAGGAGAAACGCGAGCCTGAAGCCGAGCCACCGACACCGACGGAGCAGTTACCGAATCCGAATGTGGAGGAGAAGCCTCTCCCCGCAACCAAGGACGACGATGACTCGGAGGAAGATGACGACGCAGACGCCACGGAGGAAGCACAGCCAGAGCAGAAGACCAAGGCCGCCGAGCCGGAGCCGAAATCGCGGACAGAGCCAGAACAGGAGGAGCAGAAGGTGCGGTTAGAAGACAAAGAAGAGCACCAGGTCGCGATGCGGCCGAAAGCGACGGAGAAGGACGAGGGGGCCAGCGCGAAAGGCGAGGCGGCTGAGAATGGCGTGGAGGACACCGAGGAGAAAGAGGACGGCGACAGCGCAGCAAAGCCTGCCACGACGCCAGATGGCGCCTCGTTCCAGGAGATTTCATTGTAGATAACGGCCTGACTGTACTAGACACACGGGGTTCAGGCGTTCTCGGGGTGTGTGTGGAATGAACGGGTAGACATGTACATTGTAATCGGCGGGACCAAAGACTTGCTTGGTCCAAGCTAGCTAGCGCTTCTACGTATTGACCTTAGGGAGGGACCTCCTCGTTCTTGTAATCCCAGCATTTCCCCCTCTGGCTCAGCTCGAGACCCTTGATAACGTCCACCATCTTGGCGGCCGCATCGTCGGGCGTGAAGAGCTTGTCCTGTGGCACGCTGTCCCAGAAGCCCTTGCTGAGATCCGTCTTGACGGTGCCGGGGTGGTAGCCGACGGCGAGGGCCTTGTCCCCGCTCCGGGCCTGGAGGAAGTTGTCAAAGCTCTTGGAGATGCTGCTGACGGCGGTCTTGGAGGCGCGGTACGAGTACCACCCGCCGGCCCTGTTGTCCGAGATGGAGCCCACGCGGGCGGACATACTCAGCCACGTGCCCCTCTGGGGGAGGCGGACCTCGTCGTCGGCGGGGGACGCGCTGATCTCCGCCGTGGTCTTGGGGAGGAACTCGGAGAAGTGCTTGATGAGGAGGAGGGGACCCAGGGTGTTGACGCGGAACTGGTCGAGGGCCTTGTCGTAGTCGATCTGCTTGGGGTTCTTCTCTGGGTGTAGGATGCCCGGGATGGCACATGCCAGGCCCAGATGGTGCGTCTTGGCGGGGAAGAGCTCCCTCGCGCGCGCGGCGGCGGCCTGGACGGATGACTCGTCCGTGACGTCCAGGTTGACGATGCTCAGCCGGGGCGCGAGGTCGCTGGCGGAGGGGAGGTCGGCCAGTAGAGAGGACTTTGTGGACGACGGATCGCGACGGCTGGTCGCGAGGATGGGCAGCGAGGTCGTGAGCAGGAGACGGCGCGTGAGGGCGTGGCCGATGCCCCTGCTCGAGGGGCAGAGGAAGATCCAAGGCGAGCTCATGCTGGCCAGTGAGCTGAATATCGCAACGATGTGTAGGCGAGACTAGCTGGCTAGCTGGCTATGGGTGAGTATTGAGTATTGAGCAATTGAGAGGTGACTAGATGAGTTCCTCAACGTAGACACCACCGGGGAGATGTCATGTTAAGAGTCTCAGCTCCATGGCAATACACAGATGAGGTCAACGACTCAATACATCATGCAATCGTCGTCGTTGTTCGAGGTGGAATGTCGATGATGCGTGCACGTCGCTAGTCAGGAACCTGCATCGGGAGCGGTGGAGACGCTAGACCCTGGGATCGTGTAAGCCTAAAGCTTGAACTACAGCAAGAGGATTCAGAATTGCAGAAATACAGAGTTCTTTGACATATTGTGTCAATTCAGAGAGGGGATGATAGGTTCAGTGTGATGTGCAGTTCTGAGCCCTGAGGCCAGCCTCACCTCACCCTCAGCTCAAGGCCTCCAGCTCTTCCAGATCATCTACAAGTACATGATCACCACTCACAGCTCATCGGGGTCTTATCAACGCATAATCTTGAACAAAAAGCCCTGGACTCTCGATACTAAGATCACGACCGCCATTATGCCTTCTGGACCGACCTCCCCGACGAACCAGGATGCGCCAGCCACGGTAAGTTCAAGGCTCAGCCTTACTGAACCAATGCTAACTGGTCAAGGGCGAAGCCTCTGAGCTTGTAATCCCCCAGGAAGCCTTCGCAAACCTAGTGAACGAACTCGTCCAGAACATCGCGTCCGACAAGGAGCTGACTTTCGACGAGTCAGCCATGCACGCCCTACAGTTGACCGCCGAACGCGCCCTGCGTCAGTGGTTTGAAGGTACTTCTTCACCCCCATCCAACTCGCGACGTGATCTGACCGGTGCAATAGCCTCATCCATTCTCGCCGAGGCCGCGTCACGGGAGACTCTTGAACTCGAGGATGTTGAAGTGATGAGAGAAATAGCAAAGATCTTTGGCTATAAGACTCTGTGAGATGCGCTCGGCAATGTGAATCAGCGACAATATGTCAAAGCTGGTCGTGAGACTTCAATACAGGATGGTAGAAACAAGAGATGGTAGCTGATACCGACGTCGAGCTTTGGGCTCTCTCTCCTTGCCGCCAAGGACAAACATGGTCTACAAAATTTCAAACGCTCGCTTGACCGACAAACTGAAATACGTCCAGTTGGACAAGAGACAATCCCCACCGTGAATCCTCAAACCCTTGCCGCCCTCATCTGCCTTGCCCTCGCCGCTCCCGCCAGCTCCCGCATCAGGGGCTCAACAGTGTCCAGCCCATCCGTGGTGCCATCGACACTATCCTCACTGTCCGCCCTGACCATGCCGCCATCCCTGGGCGGCCTGTGGGAGCTCTGGGCCCGACGAAGTGCGACGGAAGCTGGTCTGGCTCTTGGCATCTCCTCCTCCGACATGTATCCTCGATTGGGGTCGCGGGCGTTTAGGCCTTTGAGAACGGGCAGGAGCGCCCTCAGCCAGACATCGCCATTGCGCTCCAACAGCCTGACACGGCGCTCCATATCATTGAAGCGGTGTTCCCGGTACGCCTCGTACAGCCGAAGAATTTCCCTGTCGAGCGCTTGTGTCGACGTATCCGCCGCATCGGCAGTGATGAGTTCCTGGGCACGGGCACGCACGGCGGCTCGCGATTCGCTTGATAGACGACGAACTTGACGCGTTTCCTTCCACTCGCGACGACGATGGAGTGAGGTCCGATCCAGGGCGACAGGCTTTGCGACCGGTGAGCGGGGAGGTGTCAGCTGGCTGTCACGAGCCGCGTTCAACTGTTCGTCATGGTAGGCATCGGTCGACGGTGATGCGATGAGAGTCGTCTCCTCCTGTTCCGGATCTTCAGGCTCTATGCCTATGCCACGAATCGGGCTAAAGCTGAGCTGGCCAGACGAGCACCCCTCGTCACCCTTCTTCTTGGAGCTGACCAAGGCCTCCATGTCACGCTTCTTCCTGTCGCGGACCTTGTCTCGTCGGCTTTGAGTCCTGTTGATTTCAGGCGTGGCCGATTGACGAGATCCAAGGGGATTCTCCATCTTCTGCGCGGTCCTGGCCACCGGTTCATCATTCTTGTCGTCTCCCGTGTCAACGTCTCCATCATTGATAACCACTGGCGTTGGCTCAACCTTGACCACTTTGGCACTGCTTGCCTCATTCCGGGCGTTCGACTGGTCAGATCTCCGTGTCGTACCTGCATGTCCCGCCCGAGAAAGCAATCCGTCGATCGAGATGGGTTGGTGTAGTGTCTGGTTCGCCCTGGAAGACGCTCTGGTGGGGAATGAAGGATCGCTGCTTTGTGTCGTCGCTGGCCGCCGTGGCTCGTCATGCCCACGACTGGGTGGCGCACTCAAACCTCCCCTGATAGTGGACCTGTCGCCTCTGGAGGAGGGTGTCCGAGGTAATGGCCTCGATGGGCCATACATCCATGCTGACGACTCGCCGGCGCTCTCATTGACCGTCTTCAGAACTGTCACCACACCCTTGTCATTCGTCACAGTCCTCGGGAGCCTTGTGCCGTCGTGATACACAGGGTACTGCGATCGCGGCCTCTCACCCATGGGAAGAGCATCAAAGGGAATTGTGATGGCAATGTGCCTATGACCGCCAATAGTCTTCCCCGACACGGCCGTGTCTGGCAGTCTGATCGGAGGAGGCTTCGGCCCTGAGCGGCTCTTCTTCACCCACTTCAGCCATCTGCGCTTCTCGTCGTCATCGTAATCAGGAATGGACATGAAGTTGTCTGCTGGCGGCGCGTGGTTCTTTAAGAAATCCACCAGCTCGCCGAGGCCAGTCTGCGTCGGCTTTGTGCGTTGAAGGTGCGGCGCGAGGATGGGGTCGTACAAGCGCCTGTTGAATTCATCCGTCGAGGTGTCAAGTATATTGGAGGCTGAGCGAGCGCGAGCGACGTGACCTGGATTCCTAAAGGTCCTGTCCAGCGATGTGTGCCTTCGAGGGCGAGTCGAGACGAAGTTGCCGTCAGCCATGATTAACCAAGGGCGACCCTCAATTTCCCTTGCATCAGTGACACCGGTGACCTCGAGGTCCAGCACAGGCGACGCGAAGACGGACGAGACGTGTCTCTGGATGGCTAGAACTTGGGATCCTCAAAGTCTCACTCGAGGCGAACGCAGGACATGGACTGAAAAGACTGTAAGGACATGGAGCGTGAAGGAGGAAAGGTGGAACAGAACGCCAGAACACACAAGACGGGGCCAAGCCATGGACGGAAGAAGAAAGGAAGATCATCACCTGGGACTAAGACTGAGAAGAGAGGGTCCTCAAAGTCTTCTGCCAACCAAGTTGATGTGATGTGGTTCCATGGTCTAATTCCACAGACAGGGATCATTCCGCTTCGGTTCATCCGTTCGTTCAAGATCCTTGGTGCACCCTGGACGGCATTACGATTCGCTCGAGTCTTCCCCAGCTGCCTCTCGCTCAAGCCTCCTCCCGATGGCTCGAGGCGTTTTGGGCGCGCTCAGACCGTCAGACGTCAGTCACTCTTGAGACTTGGAGCGAGCGCGCCCCGTTCTGCATCGATAGCGTGACCTAGGTGCCGGGAGCGACGAGAGGGACGAGGCGAGCGCAAGTCCCGGCATTCGAGGACAGACGAACCCTTGGCATGCAGGGATTCTTTTTCGGCGCTGGAGCAGGTCAGGGATCCTGATCACCGGTGCGTTGCGCAGCGCAGCCCAACTTGGTTGGGGCGGGATCGGCGCGGCCCAGAAGAGGCGGCACAATTAATCAAATCAAATTGGTCGAGGCCTGCCTAGACCGCCGCGCGCAGGGGCATTAACAAGTGTGAGGGCAGAAGGGCCAGCACGCTCGAGTTTGCCAAAGCGATTGGACCAGATCAGGTTGAATGCTGATGAATTGATGACTGGACTCGAGCAATTCATCAGTTGTAACTTGTGTGGGGTGACAATCAAGTGCCACTGACGAAAAACGTGACCCGTTAAATTGGGTGATTTGCGACCCCTGTCGGCTGTACCTTCCTTCCCCTGCGTCGGGCTGCGCGCGCCTGCCAAGTTACATCACCAGCGTTGATCGTATGGCTCGGGATTTCGACGAGGACAGACAAGAAGACGATGAACATCACTACATGTAATACGCAAGGTCCAGCAAATAGCATCTCTCACGCTCAAAAGCCATGCAGCAAATGGCCTCATGTACGTAGTAGATCTAGCACCAACCCAAAATCACGCCTGTATCCAGTGAGTGAGTAAGTGGCCCAGACGACCACCCATCTGATAGCCCTTGACTCCTCGATGCAAAATGTTTCCTTGAACCACCATGCAAATGCCAAATCATGTAGCAGCACTATACACCCGACGCCCTAAAATGCTAAAACGATCATCATCACCTGTTTACCTCTTCCGTGGTACGAACAGGTTCGGTTTGGTCTTTGGTCTTGGTCGGGGCGGTCCTGTGCTCGGATCTGATGGTACCCCATTGCTCGGTCTTGCGCTCTAATAGTCATGTTGTGTAAGTATACCAATGCTCGCGAGTCCACCTGTGATTCAAGGTGACTTACAAACTGCCCGTTCTGCGGCGGCGTGGGGTTCGTCCTCGGCGCCATCGTCGACGATGATGATGGCATCTCGTCCCGGTCTTGGGGCATCAGGCCGAGGGTGATCTTGGCCGACGGGTCTTCCGGCGCAGAGGGCTGACGTGGGTATGGCTTGCTCGCTGACGGCTTCGGGCCAAACTTGGCCCTCATGCCGCCTGGGCGAGGCCCATCGCTCGCTTTCTGTTGCTGTGTTAGAGAACGTAGTGGACTTTGGTGTGTTGTAGCTGCTGCTAGTGTTGCTTCTGGGGCTGCTTGTTGAAGGTGGGGAAGATGCACATACTCTCTTCGCGTTGGACTCCCCCGAGTCAGAGGCGTCCAACGGTCGCTTCTTGCTTTCTCCAGGCCCAGATGGAGGTGGCTTGGAAGTGTGGATGACGGGCAGCCCGCCAGAACGAGGAGCGTGCTCTGGCGCTGATGCTGGTGCTGGACGCATCGCAATGTCGCCGTCGCCGTCCTTTCGTGGCGTTGAAGCTCGGCTCGGCGGTGGATAGGCTGGCGCATTGGGGTTCAGCTCCAGCGTCTTCCGGAACTTGCTCAGCACGTCTCCGTCCGTGTAGCGATCGCGGGCACGGGAGTCTTCAATAAGTTTCTTCCAGAACTCACCCTGGACCAGGGCCCGCGAGTCTCCGAGAATCCAGAGCGAGGACTTGGCGCGGGTCAGGCCGACGTTCATACGACGAATGTCCGTCATGAAGCCGATGCCGCCCGTCGACGAGGCTCGCACGCAGGAGAAGATGATGATTTCACACTCTCGACCCTGGAAAGCGTCCGTCGTGTTGAATTCGATGATATCGGAAATGCCCTCGCCGTATCGGTTCCGGAAACGGTTGCGCAGTTCAAAGAGCTGCGCCTTGTATGGCGTGATGATGCCAATCTTCTGCTTCAGGTCGAGATCTCGATAATCGCTGCTGAACCGCTCGTACATTTGCAGCGCAACTTCAATTTCGCGGTTGTTGACGAGGGACTGCCCCTTGTGGCCGCGCTCTTGAACACCCTGCACGTCAAAGAATCGATAAGGACTGAGGAGGGTCGTCCTGTGCCACGGTTGCTGTCGGAGGGGGGCCATGTCCTGGCCATCCTTGAGCTGTCCTTCGTAGAACTCCCGACTGGGGAACGCACTGATTTCGGGATGCATACGGTACTGCATATCCAGCAAGTGTACGGACTTGGGGTGGTTCTGCTGCATGCGGACAAACAGACTCTGGTCGTAGCCGAAGCGAGCAGCGGATTGGGAGAGCACGGTAGGCGGCAGTTGCTTCGGGTCTCCGACCAGGATGCATTTGCAGCAGCCATACTTGAGGGGGATGAGAGCGCTCAGCTCGACGCACTGCGCCGCCTCGTCGATGATGACCGTCTCAAACTCCACGTCCAGGTTTCGGAACATCTCGTGCCCACTGCCGCTGAGCGTGGCGCAGATCACATGCGCACCGTTCAGGATCTCCTGCTGCACCTGGCGGCGGCGCATCTCCATCTCACGGGCGACCGAGTTGCCGCTGTCCTTGTTGGCGTCGATCTGGCGTCCAATCTGCATTTGCTGCCCCTTGAGCTCGTCGAAGCGACGTGATAGCTTGTCGTAGTTGGCCTTGTCGCCCCCCCTGGCGGCATCGAGCATGGGGCGCAGCTCGGAGAGTTCCTCCTTGATCTTGCCGGCATCGGCGTGCAGCTTGTCGCGGTCTGCCACGGCCTTGTCCTTGGTGCCGTCGCCTTCCAGGCGATTCTTCACCAACTCGTCCAGCGTGACATCCCGGACAGCAGCATTGATGGCATCGCTGCGGCCCAGGCGCAGCACGTTGATCTTACTGTGCTTGCCGCTGACTCCCTTGACGCCATTCTTGAGACGAAGCACTAACTCATCCACAGCTGCGTTGGACGGCGCGCACACGAGAAGTTTCTTTGGCAGCGTGCCGTTGGCATGCTGGGCAGTCCCTGGCCCTGGGCGGGCAATGGCTGTTCCGGATGTTTGATTGCTTAGTTGCTCCGATAGCAACGCGCCGACCATGGCAACAATTGTCTTGGTCTTGCCCGTTCCAGGCGGGCCTTGGATCAGGGTGAAACCGTCATTGTCTTGCGCGCCCATCACGGCCATAGCTTGACCGCGATTCAGTTCCCAATTGCTGGACCACTTTTGGATCTTCTCCTCGCCATAGCGGAGGACAGGAGACGGCTCAGCCTTCAAGATCTCGTCCATCAGGTCGTAATACTGCAAACTCTCCAGGGCGGCGTATTCACGTTCGATTGTCGTCATATTCGTGATCTTGACGCCGTGCACGCTGACGCCAGGGTTCAGCAACTGCGACAGCTGATTATTCCGTGAGGCGACCCGGAACGTAGCTTCAATGAGGTCTTTCTTGTACTTGATCCTGTGGACGCGAGCCAGGCAGTGCTTCACGTGAGGGTCGGTCAGGGGATTCTCGGCTTCAGACACTAGCAGTATATCACCCTCGAACACACCACGCTCCTTGTTTTGTGACACGGGCATCGTGAACGTGACCTCAAGGAAGCTATCCACACTAGCTCGGCTGGCCACCTTGATGCCAAAGGGTCGATTCGTTATCTCGTCCTTGGCCGTGACAAAGGAGCGCCAAGCTTCAGACGCAAGTAGAGGAAAGAATGTCTGCTGGTATGATGCCGGATCAGTGTACGACGTCGCTACTTTGCTACCCGAAGGCCCGCTGGGGGGATCGTTGCCGTTATGAAAGATCTCCCACGCGAGAATGGTGTTGTGTAGCTTTTCCATCGGGGGCACCAGCCGTGCGCGCATTTCCTTGACGGATCGTTGCTGCTTGACCTTCTTCACAGGACGACGGGCTCTGTCCCGGAGCGCCTGAAGTCGAGCCTTCTCTGCTTCGTCCACAGTCTTCTTCGTGCCAGTGCTGAGCATGGCTAGCTGATCATCACCGTCATCGGAATCTTCTTCGCCCTCCGATTCTTCCTCGGAGCTGTTGACCATGATTTCACTCTTAGAGTGATCCTTGCCAAGCACACCACCTGCCTCGCCTCGCACGCGCTTCGCTTCAGCAATGGCCATTTGCTTCCGCTTCTCCAGCTCAGCCTTCTCTCGCTTTCGGCTCTCCTTCAGGGCGGTGATGGCCCGCTGGTCGGGCTTCTTAGCCACAGGCTTGAGCGATTTGGCCTTGGCCTCGTTTATTCTCCGCGCCTCGAGCTGCTTAAGAATGGGACTGTCAATAGATTTGCTAAACTCCATGACATCGTCCCTGTTGGACCGCGAGGCGCCGGGAGCTGGACCAGACTTGGACCAGGCATCTAGTTTGCTCTGTTTCTTCTCCGCCTGCGCAATCGCCTCGGGCTTCACCTCCTCCTCGACGTGGCCGAGCGCCTGCAGGAGCTCGGCACGCTGCTGATCTGTCATGTTGGTAGGTCGTGCATAGCGGCCACGTTCCTTGGGAACACAGGCGTCTATGATAAACTGCCTCGATTTGCCGGGGATTTCGAGTTTGATCTCCCGCAAGCGGGACACAATCTTGCAGAGAACCCGGACGGTCACGTCCACGAGCCATTTGTCTTTGAGTCTGATCATGTTCTCCAGACCCTGGAAGTGCTCCCGCACGGGTTGCAGTACGCGCTCCGCCATGGCACCCTCGCTCTTGTTGTTTGCTTTCGATACAACTGAAATGAGCAGTCCGTCCTCTGCTACTAACGCCTCGGCGAGTTCCATGATCTCACGACAGAACTCTTGCATGACGCTGTTGGCAATGTACAGCGACCAGAGCTCGATATTGGAGCAGGCTCGCTGGACAAAATGCCACTGTGCTTGCCACCACCGGAGCAGCAATGCAATCGTTCGGGGCTCCAGAGTTTTGGTACGAAGCACGCCAGTCGTCATATCGCAGAGCCCGCGCAGGACGTCACGGCTCATGTGTAGAATCGGTCGGATGGGATCCCACGGGAACTTTGTCTTAGCAGCGTACGAAGGCCCTCTGAAGACATGGTCGAGCGCGAAGAGGGTCGCACCGAGGATCTTCTCTGGGTGGTCTTGGGCAACGTGTTCCAAAGCCTGTCCGCGAGATATCTCTTGCGTCCACTCCTTTAGCAATTCTGCAGCTGCCTCTGCCACATCTGAGTCGCCGCGCATGGCGACACCCACAGTGACTTGGAAGGCTTTGTTGTTGTCAAAGACAGCCGTAAGGTCCATCTCATCGAGATTGGATATTCTCGTAAAGATTCTTGACAGTATGTCTGTGGTCGACTTCAAGGCGTCGTTGAATTTCTTCCTGGCATCGTCGAGAGCAGGATCTTTCTTGCGAGGGCGAATTTGTTCGAGTCGGATGAGTGGTTCGAGAGCCACCAAGAAGTCCTTGGCTAGATTGACCTTGTCGGTGGACGCCTCGTAAACGTCGATAACATCCTTCCAGAAACCTGCCGAGTCTCGAGAAAATGCTGATTGAATCTGCCCACCATCTTCAAACGTATGGAAGTCAACGGAGAAGAGCTTCATGTCGAGCTCCATGGCTGCCTTGACGACACCGTACGCAGACTGGCCGACCTTGAACGCATCCCAGCCAACGTGCTCTCCAAGAGGTTGCTGCAGATTGCTCAACAGCACAGCCTTGTGCTTCATTACGAGATTGAGAGTGCAATTAGAATGGACATGTGTCGTGCCTGTACCGGAGATATCCTGGGTGACGAAAGCTTGCATAGTGAACGTGAGCGCATCAAGGCCAGCTTTCGTACAAGCGGTTTGACCAGGCTCGCCGATCCCAGGGTCGGCCACCTTCTGGAAGAGAGTGTGAAGGAGGACCTCACATGCATCATATCGTCTATCTTGGCCCATGGACTTAAGCCATGGGGCAATCCATTGCACAGGAAAGGGCACATCCCCGGGACACGCATCAAAGTCCTCCAACGACTGTCGGAGCAGCGAGCTGTATACGGGGTTGGTGAAGATAATGTCAGTGACGACGTTGGGCCGCGTGCTGCCCACGTGATTCCAAAAGGCTGTCGGCGACTTTTGGAGGAACTTAGTCAGAACCCTAAGCGCCACGACCAGCACACCCTCGTGCTGAGTGAACGGGATCGTCTGGCGGAGGAGCAAGTCGTAGATGGGCGGACAATTAGCCTTGAGATCCATACTGCCCAGGCTGCCTAGAATCAGAGATTCGTTCAAGGCTTGGAGGACGCTCTCGAATCCCAGCCAGAAGCGCTCGACTTCTAGATACGTCTCGGGACTCGGATTGGTTTGCAACGTCTGCAACTTGCGATGCACATCATCCATGGCGTTGACTAGACCACCGCTGATGGCCCAATCAAACTGCTCTTCAGTCATCGTCTCTGCCTCAACGTTCTTCCAGTTCTCAAATGCCCAATTGCGGCGATCTTCGTTCTTCTGGTCGAACAAGAAATAAGTCATGCCAGGCAGAGGGTCTTTTGCCCCAAGCTTCAGGTAGCTCTTCTTGCCCTGCAGTCGAGCAAAGACATATTGAAAGGTCTCTCGCTGTTCGGGGTCGGAGAGGTAGGCGACGCAGCAGAGGGCTTCGTAGACTGCAATGAGGACTTCGGTGATGCGATCTCCAAACATGGTCTTCTTAAAAGTCACGCCCTCTGACTCGATCTTCTCAATACAATTCTTGGCCCAGGTAAGGTTGTGGTTGATGCGAAGAACGTCGCGGCTGTCGAGCATGTCACGAATATGGGACTCTGTTTCTTCGCCCCAGCGCCTCCGAAGGTTAGCGTCGTACGAGTCTCAAAACTGCAGGATTGCATACTCGTAGAATTTCAGTAGATGGGCTTTTCGCTTCATGTGCCAGTTCAGAGCACACTCGGAGCACAGCTGCATGCAGCCCTCCAAGCGAGTGGTGAAGCTCTCCAGCCATTTCCCAGCATCTTTCTTGTCGAAGCCAAAGATAAGGCAGTTCCAGTATGTAATTTCAATTCGTACGAGCCCGTCTCGTATGCGCTTTTGTTTCTCTTCTGGTGTGATCTGCGACGTAGGATCGTTCGGGACACGGTAGTCTTCGGGATCGTCGTCGGACACCTTGGGGCAAAGCAGGTGGTGGTTTTCGTCGAGCTCCTGCAGCTTCTCGAACCACTTCTCGAGCTCCTCATTAATGCTCGTCATAGTGATGGGATAAGTCCTTCGGGGACATTGCGAGTGCTCGTAGCGTGCGGAGCGACGGTAGATTGGGCGGAAGGGTGGTGGACAACGGTCGTTATCTTGACTTCAGGCGTCACGAAATGCGTGCTGAAGAGCAGGAGGTGTGTGAAGGATGAAAGGAAGGGTCGCGGGCTTTTTCTTAACGCGCCTTTGCCGGTGCTGGGTGGAAGCGCAGGAAAGATAGCGACCGGCAGTTGAGGTTCTGAACGATGATAGAAATTCAATTTGAGACGCGCCGCGCTTTGTTTAAAATGGAGTGGACCCAAAGGTGCAGGGTACTAAATAACTGCCCGGAGGTCACAGTGCGCCGGTGCACGTACAGTGGGCAGTTGTAGGCTAGTGGCCCTGAACCGCCACTAGCTCGCCAGATGTACGGATATCATTCAAATATCTACTGTACCGGTTTAACTTTTAGGATTGTAGTATCATCATATAATTGACTGTTTGTCTAATGAAGCTAGGACTGTCTGCAAGTATTGAAACATCCTTCAAGCCGATGCAGATGGTGCTCGATGAAGACTGACATATGCCGCGGTACCCGACATCTTTTTCCCCATCACGCGGATGGCAATTTGTTCTATCTTGGAGCGAACAATTCTATTTGAGAACTCGACCCGAAGAGAGGTTGACGCCGCATGGCTGTGCTAAATGCGTGATCGATAGTAGGCTACGTACTACCCGGGCAAGTCTCTTTCGGAGTTGCATCGAGTCTTGCATTTTCGTGTTGCTCCCGGGTAGGGAGGGAGGGGCAAGGGGGAAGCTGGTTGACGTGGGCGGTGGACAGGTTTCAGAGCCATTATATGCTGGATTCGGTCGTGGTCAAGGTAAGGTAGAGTGCATGGAAGCTTCGAATCATATACGGCTCAGATTTGCTTACTTACCTTACTTACTTACTTACCAAGTAGGTACTCAGGTATCTGAGTTACACTCGAGCTGTGGCTCCGTCAAACACAACGCAAAGTGAGCAGCAAACACATGCGGTGGAACTCTGTCGCTGCGCGCAAAGTACCCCAGCCACGCGCAGACTAACTAGTTGGCTACGATCAAACAGCTGCGGCAAATGAGCCTCGAGACGAACAGAAATCACAATTTTTAATTGCAGTAATTTCTTCATTGCGAAGAGGTCGACTCTCGCTGCTGGGGTGCACCTAATCTCAGGAGCGCTCGTTGACCCGGTTACACAATCAAAATACTGACCCCTTTTCCACTTACACCTTCACCACCAAGGTACGCGAGCTGCTCTGGTTGAGCTTCGGGGATAATTCAAGGCTTTCAGGTCATGCGAAAGTTGACCCTCTGTGCGTGTGCGTGGTAACTTCAACTGCCAGCTCTCTCGATATGTCTATCCTACCGAGAACCGCTCTCGAGTCAGCAACCCCATTACACATGTCTTATGTCACTCGACATCACGTTCGCCTTCATCTCGAGTCTCGGATTTGAGGAAAAAAATATAGCTGGAGCTCAAAAGTCGCTCAGGGTAGTGCACGTGCGAGTGAGAAGCGAGTCACTTGTCATCTTCAGAGTATCCTCGCTTTCACCTCATCTTGCATTTAAATATAGCCATATTTTCGGCTCACTCTCGGTTTTTTTTTCTTATTCTCGCCAACTCAGATTCACCGCTTGGTCCTTTCTGAGCCTCTCATTCTAGATTCGTCTTTGCTTTTGCACCAACCCTTCTACTAGCACTGAGTAAGTATAAGAGGCACCTCTCCTCTGGATTCTCGAAGACTACAACGAACATCACCGCGAGCCGCCCCCGGCACTTTCTTACTATTCCTTTCCGACTTATACTGTCTTCCGGTAAGCTACCTTTTGGATATCTTGTGTTATAAAGAATCTTTCATCAGATACCTATATCTCGGCCTCCGTATCGGAGCCAGATCGTTCCTCAAAAGATGCACTCTAACACCTTCTCTAGGCTCAATCGCTCAACACTAGATTGAATCACATTCGTTCGACATGCCACGTCAAAACCGTGGCCTGGTATCCAGCCGACGTGCCTACCGCCGCTGGGAAGGCATCGGTCTTATGATTAATCGGCACCATCGAAGAAGCACTTCTGTATCCAGCCTGTCGTCAACTTCAACAGTCGGGCGATTCGCGAATGGCTCGTCTTCACCAGCCTCGTGCCTTGAAACAATTGTGATCGATGACGTCGATGTCATTGACCTAACAATTGATGATGAGACTGAGAGCCCTAATCTATCCGAAGAAAGAAGCGTCGCCTCAATTCGTCATAACAACGAAACCCTGCACGTGGGAAATTTAGTTGAGGTTTGGGAAAAGAAAGTTGGCGACTACGAAGTGGACTTCCTTCAGATTGATCGTGTCATTCAATCCCGAGACCAACAACAAAAAACGTGGCTACAAGGGATCCCATTCATCAGAAATCGCAACATGCGCGGCATGTTGCCGAACAAGCCCAACGAAGTTTGTCGGATAGAGCATATCGTTGCGGGCGGACTAGATCCAAGTCCTATACTAATGGATGTCCCGCTGAACAAGGTTGGCAAAGTTCGGTCCCTCATCTTCACCAATGCTCTCTGGCCACAGTTCAGGTCGAGCGAACTCGCCAACACCCGCCGTCACGCGGAATATCGCCCAACTCCTAATGATAGCACTTTGGTCTGCCGGTGGAAGTTTAAGATCTACTCAATTCCACAGGGAAGATCGAAGAAGCCGGTCGAAGAGGTCTTCGAGACGATCAGCGTCACCGAAGTCGACAATCCGCGCCATCGCGTGGAAGACTACCATCTCTCGCAACAGTGGCGAGGCGGAGTCACTCCTGGTGGTGCCTGGGCTGCTGGCGACACACTGCCCAAAAGCGCCGAGCACGTCGATATAACTCCTCGTCGACGCGGACAAAAGTACACTGTCCTCGATGCGTTCTCCGGCGCTGGTGGTCTTTCCCGAGGTGCCCAATCCGCTGGGTTCAAAATCACACATGCTATCGACAAGAGCGACGAGGTCTGGGAGACCTACCGTACCAACTTCCCGAACGTGAAGCTTTAGGAGACTTCCGTTCACGATTTCATCAGGTATGCAGAGGGCCAGCATATCCGCGTCGATATTCTACACCTCTCCCCGCCGTGCCAATACTTCTCTCCTGCGCACACGCACCCAAGCATCCATGACGATGAGAATATCTTTGCCCTCTACTCATGCAACGCCCTCATCGACAAGGTTCGCCCACGGATCATTACAGTTGAGCAGACATTTGGTCTTCCAATGAAGCGCCATGAAGTATACTTCCATGGCTTCCTTAACGACTTCACCCAGTATGGGTACTCTGTCCGTTGGAAGATAGTACGCCTTTGCACATGGGGCTTGGCACAAGATCGACGACGACTCATTATGATCGCAGCTGCCCCTGGGGAGAAGTTACCACCTTTTCCGAAGCCCACCCATTCCGATGTCGGCGGACAAGACCTGAAGAGGTACAATACCATCAAGAAGGCAATCGCCGGTCTCCGTCCCACGGACGACTTACATGACCTCGCTCGGGTCAAGCGATTCTACCCACCCAAGGGGCGGTATGACCCCAACAAGCTAAGTCGCACTATCACGACTGGAGGTGCTGATTTTGTCTACTTTGACGGCACGCGGGACTTCACCCTACGCGAGTTTGCTTGCTTGCAAGGCTTTCCGATGAATCACGAATTCATCGGTGGTCGTACCGCTGTGAAGCGCCAGATTGGAAATGCCTTTGCTCCAAATACCGTCAAGGTGCTTTACCAACACATTGAGAAGTGGCTTCTGAAGGAGGACAAAAAGATCGAGTACCAGCCAGCCCTGCCGGACATTGTATTGCTTGACGATGACCTGGACAGCGACTCGTCTCACACGAGCTATCAAAGCAGCTCGTCTCCAGAACCGGAGATGATGGACCTCACTGAGGATGTCATGATCATCGACACGGAAGAGACACACAGGAGCCAGGCATCAAGCCGACGCGTTCGTTCAGCGCGATCTCGCATTTGGGATAATGAAGACGATGTTGATGCTGTCATGATCGACCTCACATGAACCACAATGCACAAACTTGGCTGTCACAAGAGCAGTGTATGGAACACAGCTGCGCGGTTGCTGGAGGGAAGACAAAGAATGATGCAGGGAAAACGTTTCGTTATATATGTATTGATATGTAATAGCTGAGGGAGCTGTGGATAGATGATAGGGATATCTGTGCCAGGCGAGGTTAATTGTACACTGCCGATTTGACTACTACACAAGGCCGTCTCATGTTCGTGACAGGAAACTTTGCAACTTCATTGTCGTTGTGTAGCCAGATTAATGCTTGTGGGAGAGTTCTTATGCTGCGAGCTGAAGCTGGCTAGGGGAGTCGGGACACCTTTGCTCAAAGGACGTCTGAGCTCATTATCGTAAAAGCTGGATCTGAACGCGGGGGGCTGACATTGTTCATAATATTGTCTCATCAACTTTTCCTCGTCTATCCTTCGTAGCGTCTATGAAGCGTGCACTGTAAAAACATCAAATCTAGATCTGGCCCCTGACACCGCCCTTGGCGCCCACTTCCCTCGCGGTCACCGTGACACCCAGGTCGGCTGCCACGTTGATCGTCACCTCGACCTTGCCGCCCTTCTTGACACCGCGGATGGCCGCCTCGGCGAGCTCACCGCCAATCTTCCAGATCTTTTCCCTCTTCTCCTCCTCTTCCTCCTCGTCCGAGTCAAAGTCCGAGTCGTCCTCGTCATCCTCCTTGTCGTCGCTGGCCTCCTTGGCGGGCTTGGGCTCGGGCTTGGTGACCTTGATGTGGGTGCCGCCCTCGACGACACGGACCAGGACATCGCCGCCCTCGGCGGGTGTGGGGATCTGGACGGTGCGGCGCGCGGGGACTGCGGTCTCGGCGGGCATGATGGGGAGGAACACGTCGCCGTTCTCGCCGGTGACGACGCCGATGGCGTTCGCAATGTGCTTGACGGTGGTGACGGCCGGGTGCGTCGACTGCTCAATGTCGGCGGCCTCGTACTCCTGGATCAGCGAGGCCTGGAGGGCGGCACCACGCGCCTGGAGCTCGGAGGGGTTGATGGCCGTCGTCGAGGTCGCGGGGGCCTGGATGGTGGTGGTCTCGGGGAAGATGCCGCGCAGGTTGTTGGCGATGCGGGGAGTGTGCGAGGTGCCGCCGCACATGACGACCTCGTCGACGTCCAGCACGTCGAGGCCAGCCTTCTTGACGGCGCCCTCGACCAGACGGTTGAAGCCGTCAAAGACCTTGCGACCGACCATCTCGTAGCGTATCCTGTTGATCGAGACGGAGAAGTCGTAGCCGTCCGCCAAGCTCTCCACGCTGAACTGGGCGTTGCTACCCAGGGACAGAGCCTTCTTGGTGGCCTCGGCCTCCAGGCGCAGCTTGGCCAGCGACTTGGGGTTGGAACGGGGGTCAGTGTTGTGCTTCTTCATAAACTCCTTGGCAAAGTGCTCCATGAGCGCGTTGTCGAGGTGGACGCCGGCAAAGTCAAAGTCATGGGCGGTGGCGAGGATGGTGTACATGCCACCGCGCGAGGCGACGACGGTCACATCAGAGCGAGTGCCGCCCAGGTCGGCAACCACAACGATCTTGTCGGAAATATCCGCCTCGGGCCGGGCATCGTAAGCCAGGATCGCGGCAACAGGGTCGGCAATCAGCTGGAGGATCTCGAGGCCGGCGTCGTTGGCAGCCTTGATGAGGGCCTCGCGCTGCTTCTCGGTGTAGCTGGTGGGCACGGTGATGACGGCCGATGTGACCTTCTTTCCGAGGTAGTCAGAGGCAGCCGAGACCAGGCGGCGCATGAAGCGCGTCGAGACTTCGGAGACGGAGAGCGTGGATGATTCCTCCTCCTTGTCCTTGACGCTGAAGGAGACGGTGCCGGATGTGTCCTCGGGGTGGGCGGCGGCGTGGCAGTGGGTGGGGTCAATGGACTTGAAGTCCTGGCCTAGGAAGTCGCGGAAGTAGGCGATGGTGATCTTGGGCTGGCGGACGAGGAAGGCCTTTGCTTGGCCACCGTAGTACTCGTCGCCATCGTTGTATGAGAGGACAGTGGGGATCTGGCGGTCTACAGAGAGTCAGCTATCATTCCTTGCCGCAGCGCAGCGGTTGTACGTACCACCTGCCTCATCGGCAATGACCTCAGCTTTCGAGTCCGTGGTGTAGGCGATGGAACTGTTCGAGTTACCAAAGGTGATACCGATGGTGACCCTCGACCCAGGCTCGGGCCCCGCGTTGCTCGCGTTCTCAGCCATTGTGTGTTTCGTTTCTGCCTCTATAGGGCGTCTTTGAGAGTCTCGGCCAAGTATGTATTCTGTACGAGGGCGAGAGGTTGTCGACTCGATTGGCAGAGGGTTGGATGATTTTGGTGATGGTGGTTCAACTGCAAGTAGAACCTGCCTGGCCTTGGTGGGGGGTACCTGGAAAGATCCCGCCCAAAAAATTCGCAGTCCATGCAAGCAATCGATAAGACAAGGCCAGCAGTACGTACCTCTTGGCTCAAACGCCCCACCTTTGGGAGAGAGACTGATGAAATCCAGAAATCGCAGAAACATTCTACGTACTTACACTGCCATTCACATAGCTTTGCGCCATGGCCTCACAACCAATGTTCGTCCTGCCGGGCGACAGGATAGATCCAAGCCTCATCCCCTCACATCCCAAGAAAGCGCTGCGTCTCGGACCAGGCCTACAGCATGCACCGCCAAACGACATAATCCCAACGCTTGCCGGTCGACTCGTCACAGACCACCAGAAGAATGCCATTCGAATAGAGACAGCGACGGGAAGAGTATGTCTCTCTCTTTTTATTGTCTTCCCCTCTCCATTGCCTCCACGAGATCACAGCTAACAATGACCAGTACGTACCCCGGGTTGGCGAACTCGTCATTGGCACAGTCCAGCGCTCAGCTGCCGAATCTTTCTTCGTCACCTTGTCAGACTACACCGCGCCCGCCCTCCTCCCTCACCTCTCGTTCGAATCCGCCACCAAAAAGACCCGTCCACAGCTCGCCCCGGGCAGTCTGGTCTACGCGCGCGTCACCATGGCCAACAAACACATGGACGCGGAGCTGGAGTGCGTACACCCCTCCACGGGAAAAAGCGAGGGGCTCGGACCCTTGACGGGCGGCATGGTCTACGACATATCGCTGGGTTTTGCGCGGAGGCTGATGATGTCCAAGGGTGGCATTGTCGTGCTCGATGAGATGGAGAGCGTCGGCTTGCAGTTCGAAACGGCGACAGGGCGCAATGGCAAGTTCTGGGTGAACAGTGAAAACACCAAGACCGTCATTGCCGTGGGGAGGGCCATCACAGAATCAGATACCCAGAGCTTAGGCGCGGAAGAACAGCGGAAGCTGGTCCGCAAGAGACTCAAGGAAATGAGCTAAGCGCAATTGCGACACATGCGCGAGTGTCATAGTGTCATCGTACGTGTGTAAAAAGTAGTTGCTCAGATGGTATTCAATGTGCTCTAACAATCGACCCTGTCAAAACGCCTTCTGCCGTCCCACAATGGATCTTTGGCTGTTGTATTGCCCAGCTTTGTCAAAGATCATACCCTAACGCCATATGAGTGTGTCCCCCGGGCCTGCAGGCGCCAAAACGAGGATTGGACAAGTCGATGCAGGCCCGCCGAATCGACCGGCCCAACCAAAAGAAGAAAAAGACAAGTTGTGTCATGCACGTCATTCCAATTGTTCGTCGGGTCGCGTGTGACCGTCCGGTATGTTTAATCGCGGCAACTCCTGAGCCATGATCCTGCCTGCCTGCCTGTCCAGGTTCTCTGGGGAAACATTCACCACCAACTCCAGCTATGCCAATATGCTCATAGTCAAAAACTCTCTAGACCCCTGTATCCGACCAATATGGACGATGCGGGGTAGGTATCAGCTCTCGGGCTTCAAGCCCGTCATTTCCGAGTCAACCTCGACGGGCTCGGGCAATCCACGATGGTCCATGCCGTGAATCTTCGTCATGTGTCGTTTCCAATTGTCCTTGCGGGGGAACGCCTTGCCGCCGGCTCTCGAGTAATCACAGCCCTGTATCGAGCAATGGAACTTCTTCTTCTTCTCGTGGCGATCATTAATGTGCCGCTGCAAATGGGTCTTTGTGCCGAACCCCTTTCCACAGGCCGGATACGGGCACTTGTGGTCCTTGCTATGGTATCTTTGATGATGCTTCAGCTTGTGTGGCTGGTCAAAGACTTGGTTGCAGCCAGGCTCGTCGCACGCAAAAACACCTCCGCGTGGCGATGGAACGCCATTGCCGTGAGGTGAGCCGCCTTGGTGGCCGTAGTCGGAGCTATGGAGTGATTCGGGAGAGGGACTGTCGACGTGGGTGGAAGGGGTGCTCTGCGTCGTAGTCGAGGCTGTGCCTTGAGCGGAGCTCGATAGTTCAGAGTGCGCCGCTGTGTTGGAAGCCTTGAGTGACAGGGGAATCATGCCCATACGGGATGCGCTGTCGCTTTGCGAGGCAATGCTGTCGGCCCGGCTTTGCTTCTGTGACACCGCCTGCTGAATCGGGGCCGCTGGCGGCGCGGACTGCGGTGGTGGGGGAGGCGGTAGGTACTGGGGAGGCTGGGGTATCGGGAGATTTGACGCCATCTGCATCTGCGTGTAGTCGTTTGGGAGGCTTTGGAATTGCACTGGGTACGTCGCGAACATCTGCTGTGGGTTGTAAGGTGTCGTGAAGAGCTGATAGTCGGTGCGGTGCCACATTTCCGACTCCGTTGAAGGCGCCATGATATCCATTGGGTTCACAGTGCCCATGACAGACTGAGTTGGTTGCGACGACGAGTAGACTTGCGAGCCATTCTGCTGCATAAATTCATCCGGTGGAAGCCCGCGGCTGGACATCTCGGCAGGGGCCTCGGTGGTAGGTTGCTGTTGAACATATTGCTGTATCGGTACGCCACGTTCCACCTGGGCCATGTCCTTCGGCGTCGAATGGTCTGGGACTTGCGAAGGCTGCGGGCTCGTTGCCGGGTCGCCAACCGTTTTGCGACGAAAGATCTGCTTCATGTTGTACCGTAACGAATTGCCTCGCGACGCGGCCACCGCGGGCTGTGGCGGAGGCGCAACAGGTTCGGGATCCGGGAACATGCCAAACGCTTCGGAAGGGATGTAAGGGCTGTAGTAGTCCTCGTTCGTACCCTTGAGAACATACTGGTGAGGCGCCAACGGGCCCTGCACAACGTGGCCCTCATAGTAGGGGAAGGGACTTTGGTAGAAGGGCTGGTCTTGGTTGTTGGTGACTGGATCAATGGGGATGTTCGGGTCCAAGTTGGCGTTGCCGTAGTGAAGGGGTGGCGCTTGAGGCACGCCGGTGTAGCGGTACGAGTCGTAGGGATGAGTGTCGTACTCGCGCGGTAACGAGCTGCGCTTGTAAGAATCGCTCGAGGACAGACGGCGCACCGAGAGGGCAGGCATGCCTCGGATCCCCACCTCGGAGTCGAAGTTGAGGCGCTTGTGCTTTTTGAGCTGGCGAACGATGAGAGCTTACACTGTTAGTGATCCGCATAGTGAGAGTGAACCTGGCAAAGCAGCATACGATAGAGGCAACAGATCACAAGAGCGACACCCAGGACAGCTCCCACTGCAGTACCCGCGATGGCCTCCTCGTCCATCTTCTCGCGGGTCATGGGAGCACCGGCGAGCCGGGCATGAAGACCGTTAGCCATGGCGACATGGTCCCGACGGCTCAGCGCGTGCAGAGCCTCTTCCTCCAGTGTGCCGTCGAGCTGGTGTTTGACTGGGACAGTTGCCAATGAATGATCGTCCGGCTCGAGATCAAGAGCGTCACTAGGTTCCGAAGGGGTGTTGGCCAGACCGCCGTCGTGGTTGTTGTTGTGAGCGATGGCAGGAGGCACGGAAGCCATGACACTGAGAGCTTGGTAGAGCCAGCGACAAGCAGGGGGGGTCGAAAGAGGCCGCCAACGCCAGGGAATGGAGATTTCCCCCGTCGAAGACGCCGCAGTCAACGAACGCGTTGCAAGAGTACCGAAGCGCGCTCCCAGACGATCAGAACAATGTGAGAGGCAATAGTGTGTGTTAGGCGGTTTTCGGCACTATGTGAGAAGGGAGAGAGAGTTTAGGCAAGTGCGCTGACTGGGAAAGTCAATTCGATTCAATCCTTGAAGGAACCTTCAAAGTCCAGTCGACGAGCGCTGGCCGGGGGGGAACGTGCAGCGGGCGGGTGGGAGATCCACCAGACTGCGACCGCGTGAGAGTGCAGTACGTAGCCCCAGTCACAGAGCGAATCAGAAGTGCCGTATGAAGCATGTCCGCCCCCACACTCGATTCGCAGTCGGCGTCCTGCGGCGAATTTACTTGCTGTACATCTGGACCCCAGCGAAGCGAACAAGTGAAGGAAACTGCGTCCTGCGTTGAGCAGGATTTTAACTCGCCCAAGGTAGGAACAGGTGACATGACTTTGAATTGGAACTTGCACTCATGAGGAAGTATTGAGCTTGGTCAGTGGGGTTCCCTTGATTGTCTCTATTAATTATCAGCCCGTCATCGTTGTCAAGCGCGCTTCTTCACATCGACGACCAAGCATAACGCTTGTCACCTTTGTTAACCATATATAAGTGCTACTCCTTGAAATTCAAGCATTGGCATATACACGGTTACTGTAGTCTAGGTGTAATAATGAGTACTTCACGGTTCTGGGGCGATTCTAGGCCTATGTTCAACCCTCAGATATATCATGCCACCTAAGTACTTACCATAGACTCCCTCGGGAGCCTCTCGCTATTCCACTGCACACATCACTGGCAGTCAGGACCGAGATTCGATGCCATTCCCATGCGGCAATTTGCCACAAAATGAAAATGCCTCCCATCAACGAGCGAGTGGTACGGGAGGGGATGAGCCATCCCACAAGCACTAGCGCTCTCCCCACATCGCGCGTCCGAGTCCGTTGGAACACTTACTTGTATCCGTACTCCGTACTCCGTACTATCTCAGCGGCCGCAAGACGCTCAGTAGTACGTACGCGTGACCATGTTCACTAGGTCGGTATTTGACCGGACGCATCCGAGAATCCAATCGACAAGGACGGGCCGGCTCTAAGCGAGTAAGCTCAAAATCTTTGCTAGAAAGGATGTTGGAACTTTCTTCTACCATCGGAGAAGCCCCTCGCTTACAGCCCCTCCTCTCGTGAGCCAAAGGTCGGCCTGCTATACAACCAACCTCGCGTCCGCCCGAAGACAGGAATGGGACATATGAAATGGTGATGGGGTTGCGTGCTAATTTGTTGGACAGGACAGCGGGCAACTTTCAGAGATCTCGGCCACATGCTTAGTTGATACATCTCGACCCAGGACATCTAGACTAGGAGGTTCACGTCCATTGGCAACCACTTTCTGAATTCGAGAAGTCCGGATGAGACCTTTCATCGTTGCAAACTGCGACAGAAAGCGACATGCCCCTCGGTTACCTGCCGCCCCACCCCCAGGTTGGTTCGCGGCTGACTGCTTCACACGTTAACTTTAATGGAAACCTTATCACACTGTGTGTCAAGATCATGCTTGGCACCCCTTGCAGTCATTTCTCTGCCATTTTGTTGCGGCTCTGCAATGACTGGGTCTATCATGATAATGCTAGTATAATTACACATGAGTCGGTTAGGAGTTTTCAGCAGCAATGTATTCCAGTGCGCGCTGGGCATTGTAATTCTGAAGGGTGTAGTCCAACGAGTATTTTATGGTTCTGAGGCGATGTCAGGACCGTCCCTCCACGTATATCATGCCACCTATCTATAGACGTCCATCGGACACCTCTGGTTATTCCACTCCACACCCCTCAACAATTCACATGCCAGATCAGAAGCTATGCAGGGTTCGCTCCAAGGGGGGCTACCGCCCAGCGTCGACTCTACACCCGTGAGAGGTCGAGGCCGTTATGGTCATACGGTTACTCATCAGACCTACGCGTAGGTTCTGGGCCTAGTTCCCACTAACCTCCATGGTCTCCAGTCACCCGGTGACCCGATGAGTTGGCGGAGGCTGGTTCTTGCTGTTGTTCGCCTGTCTCCTTGGGAGTCAACTGCCGGGCAGGACGCTGGCACATGTCGGTCGCATTCTTGATATCCTGGTGGTCATTGGACTTTGCAGAAGGTCACTTCGACGCCCATGTATATCGAGAGATTCGAGAGCGTGTTCCTTTGCCTGTTTCCTGGGTCTTAGTCACTGGCTGGTGTTCGATGCCCTACTCTCACGCTCTCGTGGTTTTGGGCCGCCCGAGCCCTTTCGGCCGGCACAGAGGTGTGACTGAGGGGCTGAGAGCTTGCATCGTTTGGATGGTCTCCATCAGGACGACTGGTCAACTTTGACTGCTTGTCTGTATGGTGGCTGGTCGGGCTCGACGAAGATCATGGCATGTGCAATGTTCACAACGTCACCTAGTTAGTTCGCCGGGCTTAATGGTGCTGTTGTTCACGACCATAGCACAGGAGCCGCCTCCGCTCTGGCTCCCCCTCTAACCAGAGTCTTTAGTGGAAACAGGTACGTTATTCTTCTTGGCAACATCGAAGTTATTCTCGTGGTGAATTAAAGTAGCGGATGAGAATAGGAAGCCGAGAGTACGCTACTGGACATGGAGCCGTTACCGCTCGCACTTCTGAGTGGCATCGCGGAAGGCAGGTTCTTCTCAAGGCAGCAGTCGCACCCATGTGCCTCGCCGATACCAATGCCTCATTTCTGGATCTATAAAGCTCAGGGTTATTACCATTTAGCGACCGCTTCTCGTTTTGGCCTCGAAATGGAAGCGTCCGGAACGATATATCGCATACCCATCGGCGTCATCCGGGGGGGGACGGTAACTATGGGGAGTCGGGACAAGCCCAAAAATAATGAATGGCAGCCCCACGCCGCAGCAATGGCTGCGGCGTATGCTAAGGCTGTCTTTCACGAGATCCTCCGGAGCACTTTCCGGCAACAGGCTCACAACCTATGTCTATCGCTGAGGCCGCGACAAGATGAATGAGACTGCAGAGCCGCCTGCTGGTAGTTCTGCGCCCGATATTGCCTCCAGCGATACTGCCCCTGGGATTGTGTTTAGGTCTGGAGTGGCCGGTGCAGATGGTGCAATATCCGAATCTGGCGTCGCCTGTGCGTCCGATGGTGCTGCCTGTCGGCCTCCACATCTATCGGACGGCCTGTTGATGGAGCTGCTGGCTCCGGGCTGGGCTCCTGGGATCCTAGACGGTTCACTGACTGCGATGCTGCCCCCAGTTGCGTTAAACTTGGCCGTGTTGTTTCTGGGCTTGCGTCTGGGGAGGCTCCCTTGGCGTCCGCTGGACGTTTGCCTTGTGGCGATGTCGGGACCTTTGTTGTTGGCGGTGCTGCCTCCAGGGTTGTTGGTAATGAATGGCGCTACTTCCGGAGATGCTCTTGGCGGTGCTTCTGCTTCTGGGTCTACTGGAGCTCAGCAGCCAGCGTCAGGGCTGCGGGTCAATCAGACCATCTTCCTCGTTCGCAAACAACAGTCCGAAGATCAGGCATTTTGAGGCCTTCAATCAATCAATCTGTAGGCTGCCGCTCGTTTGAGTGTTTGATCAGACCAATTAAACAACGCGGAAGGGTGCATAGACCCATTTTTATAGGCTCTCCACCAATAAGAATACGCATCCCCCCACCCACGGGACCTCCCCCCTAGGCCTCGGTCCCTAGGTACGTACCTCCTAGCGACTCGGGCCTATTAGGGTCATCACCTTCCTCATAACAACACATCGCTGCCAACCGTGCATCACCAAAAGCCTCATTCCTTTCACATCGACCTAGAAGGGCTTATTTTTGGTCACGCACGAAGTCCATCAAATCTGATCCATATCTATCAGTATTAGATCAAATAGTCGACATTTGTGCAGAATTCGTGCATGTGTCAATCAGTCAGATAGACCCCCTGGATCTGGCCTGATTGATTGACCCGCAGCCCTGGCCAGCGAGGCATACAGCCCCTCAAACTAATCAACATCATTTGTTGTGTTGTCGGCTCGACCGTGTTCTTTAACCTCGTCGGCTGTTCGATCGTCTCTGTCGTGGGGTATGCGACCTCCTCGTTCGAGCTCCTGGTGCTGAGGGAGGTATTTCGATTTTATCGTGTCCACAACGTTGCGGAGTTAATTGAGCCTCACCTCAAGACTCTCAAGGCGCTTCATTGTGGTAGCTGTCGTTGGAGTTAGATGGATGGGCGGCGGATGTTCGTAATGCGACGGGATAGAACAGGGGATTCGCGCGCTGTGTGCAGCGCATATCGCCCTCGGTGCTGGAAGGTTTCGCGGTGCGCTGGAGCTATTCCATGCCCTGCCCACATGGCGCGAAGGAGGTCCGTATAGATTCCCTCAGGATAAATATACTCTGGGAGACTAGGGAAAGGTACTGTGGACCTATGTTCACACTGTTGCCTTGGAGTAGGCCTGTAGTTTGGGTGTCACGCCCACGGGTTAGGAGCAGGGAAACAATGGCTCTTGGTCTATTTAACGAGTGACTGAAGGTCAGCTTCCTATAGCCATTGCGGTGTCCCATCTCTTGATCCTGCAACGGGTATGGAACGCATGGACGATGACCTGACTGATCCGACAAATTCCTGCGACATGTATAACCCCCACCATGCGTCGCTTGAACTCATTTCTTCTGCTTGCGTCTAATTGTGCTAGCATTGGCTGCCTCCATCATGAGTTGTAGTTCGGCCGCAGGAATGTTGCCAAGGGCCTCCTTGGTCTTGACGAGCTCCCGCAGGTCCTTCTTAAGCTCCTCAGTTTGCTCGGCCGATGGTACCACGCTAGAACGTAGACCTATTTGGATATCTCTGCTCGTATCGCTAAGGAAAGAGGGGGCCCGCTCTAGCGTATCTTTGTTGGCTTCGTAGAACGAGTAGATAGAAGACAGAGTGTCCCGCGCCTTCTTGGTAGTGTCGCTCATCTTTTGTTCGTGGTAAAAGGGAGAGCGGTTGTTTGTTGTGCGCCGGCAAGAAAGACAAGAGGAGTCGATATTCAATACAAATATTCGTCTTGTGAACTCGATTTCTGTCGGAGGTACAGGATAAAGGTGCTGGCGGACGTTGTTAGGCCAAAGTTCAAAGACCTATAGTTATATACTTAACGGGAAGCCTGACCATCAAAACCCACTAATTATAGCCTGCCCATCTCATTTCACCATCTAAGCATCTGGTCTGTGGCCCTAGGATTATAGTACAGCCTGGCTAAGTTTCATCATGCGCCTGATGGCCGATGGTTATTAGCCCAGTCAGTCATGCATCTGTTTGTTGGCGGCTGTCGCATAATATTGGCGCTCACTCATAGCCGCCCGGCCTCGCCACGAATCATGGTTAGCTTGACTCCTGGTGCATCACCCCCACAACATGATAGGCAAATATTAACTGTGGTTATGGGGCTGTGTCTAACAGTATTTCCATTCTGGAACGGTTGGCGGCAAGAATGCTTGTGTGATACTGTCCGTGTGTTTATTGGTCCGCTCTGGTGAGGGTGAGGCTCCACAGAACAACCGTCACGGTTGCCGACTGTGGAAGGATGAAGATCTCATGTGTCTGTTGGTAACGGACGCCATGAGTGGGGCAGTGTTGCAGCCTCAGGCTACACACCATTGCGATTTGCCAACCATGCGTCCGATTGCTCGTTCGTCTCCCAATAACTTCCATTCCCTGGGACTGCTTAGTTTCCATCGCACGCCCAACCGCAGTTCATACTACCCGGGAATTTCATTCTATTCATATCTGCTGTTTCACTCACTATGGAGTGGGACGAGCTGGCCGAGGAAGAGTCCCAAAAGTTGTTCGCTGGCTGGGTTAAGCTCTTGATGCGCCAGTCTCCAGAACTACCGTTGAAACTCGCCGGTCGCCACTGTCCGGGTAAGCATCCAGTCGAGGCATCCAGATACACCACCGGCTCCTACAATATCGTCTGTACCGTTACCTTTGATGATGGCTCCAAAGCGGTCGTCCGGTTCCCCATTTTTGGCCGAAGCCGATTGCGCAAAGAGAAAACAAACGATGAGCTGATCGCCATGGATTGGGTTTCCCGGCACACAGTACTCCCTATACCCAGAGTCCTAGGGAGCGGCTTGTGGGCCTGCGGTCCATACACGGTCATATCCTTTGTCGAGGGGACTTTACTTTCAACGCACGTGCGAGATCCCTCCGTACAATCCCCCAGCTTGGATCCCAACGTCTCGACTGTGGAGCTGGAAAGGGCCTATCGATCAATGGCCACGGTCGTCCTCGAGCTCTCTAAGCTCGAGTTCCCCATTATCGGTGCCATTGGTTTTGATTCAGGGACATGGAGAGTTGCCAAACGTCCGTTGACTTTGAATATGAACGAGCTTGTTCGGGTGGGCAACCTACCACCAGGCATTTTTACCGAGGAGTCTTTTCAAAATGCCTCAGACTACTTCCAGGAGCTGGCATCACATCAACTTCTTCATCTCAGATACCAGCGGAACAATGCCGTCAAGGACGAGCAAGACTGCAGGAAGAAGTACATTGCGCGCTGCCTCTTCCGAAGGATCGCTCGAGAAATGCCGACAAAACCGCGGCCATTTCACCTCTACTGCGACGACTTGCGCCCGTCCAATGTTCTTGTCAACGACACGGGGTCGGATTTTGAGGTCACGGGAGTCATTGACTGGGAATTCACATATGTCGCGCCCGTCGAATTTACACATGTTGCGCCGTGGTGGCTTCTCTTTGAGAGCCCAGAGGCCTGGGAGTCCGATCTGAGGCAGTTTCTTGCGCGGTTTAAGCCACGCCTAGAGCTATTTCTCAAGTGTTTAAGAGCCATAGAGGACGACCAGCTGCAGCAGGGAACTCTCAGGGGGTCCCAGCGTCTATCCGAGCATATGGCACCGTCTATGGATAATGGGCGCTTCTGGTTCTGCCTTGCCGCACGGAAGAGCTTCATGTTCGACGACATATATTGGCAGATGATTGATGAGCAGTACTTTGGCAAGTTTACGACGCTTGAAAGCAGACTTGCTCTTTTAACCCAAGAAGAGCGGGATGGGTTAGATGGGTTTGTCCAGGAGAAGCTGAAGCAGGCGGCAGAGAAGACACTGGATGAGCATCTGACATTTGACGAGGTCTTGGAACTTTGATGGAAATTCTGCACGCGAATCCCTGATATTCTGACGCCAGACGTGACGGAACATTAACTCGTTGCTTTAACTCATTCTGTGACTCCAGCCAAGTCGTGATGACGCTCGAGCAGTACGCTCAGGCCTCGGACGTCACCTCGGAGCTGTATTCTATACTATGGCCATCTAACTTAGCGTTTCCCACTTGCTCTTCAATGCTGCAGGATGGATGAACGGCGATAATATAGTTGCCCACGGCGTTCCTTTGCACTGGAAGGCTGCATAATCTCGGAGAGCCGGACGACGCTCAGGCTGACCTCGGGATAGATGCGGTAGTAGACGAGGAACCAGTACTGCTCCCGTGAGTTCTCGCCACCGAATTCGTACGTGTAGATGTAGTCACCGGTGGGAAGCTCGGTGATGACCGGTATGCCTGGGCGATCGTAGCAGTCCTCGCCGTGCGTCGCGTCAACCACGACGTCCCCCCAGTCTTTGAGGTCGGTCGTGGTCTGATGGACGAGCTTCTGAGAGTAGGTCGTGATTGGGTTCGTCAATTTGCTGTTGGTCGTAAGTTGCGGCTCTGCAATGACTAAATCAGTCATGAGAATACAAGCATGGGTATACCAATTACTCCGCAGTAGGTAAGACAGCAATGAAGCGAAGACCGCGGAATCAGTGCAAATGTGTTCCATGCCATTAATTATCAAAGCCATCCACATCATGAACCAAGTCGGAAAATCTAGATACATCAAGCAGTCGGTCGTACAATCTGATCACAGCTCGACAACCCTGTTTCCCGCCTTGACACAATCCCAAAGCCTCGTCAATGCGGTCCGGCGGCCCATGGCCATGGCTGGATGCATGACGATGATCTCCGCCTGTCGAGCGCGCGTGATGGCAACGTTAAGACGGTGCTCGCTCGTCATGAATCCAGGCCTGTCCGTCCTGACCATGTCCAGGACCACGATGTCTGCCTGCCTCCCCTGGGCCTTGTCTACCGTCAAGACCTGGACACGATTCTGCCATTCAAACGGCCATTTTTTGACGATCGAATCGTACTTGCGTACCGCAGCGGAGTACGGCGTCATGATGATGATAGAAACGGGACGATCCGGATCGTCCATGGATGTGAGGCCCGGGAGATCCATGAGCTTCTCAACCTGCTCAATGACCCATCTTTGGTGTTCTGGGTTCCAGAAGCTTGATCTCTGTGTGCGTTGTTGTGACATTTTGAGCCGGGCAATGATGCGATTCTGGCTGACATCTTGTGTCGTCTCATTGTTGTTCAAGTCTTGCAGGAATTCCTTCAAGTTCCATACCGACGAGGGGTACATGTCTTCGGGTGCGTGGTCTGATATCATCTGTTCTCCGTAAAACAGCTTCGATGGTAGGAGGTGGAGGTTGCCGTACGCTCGCTTGTTGACCAGCAGCCGAGCATCTAGAGCATCGACTTGCTCAGCGCGGGCCATCGTCGACACCTGGGGGAGACTCTGTTAGTTATGTTCACATACGAGATGGATGACTTACCTTGAGCTGCTCTGCAAATCGGTTGAATGTCAGACCATCGCGCGCCGCGTCGCGCCTGTCACCGCCCTTGACGAACGGAAGGGTCTGCTTGACGTCTCCTGTGAAGATCCACACCCTCGGAGAGTAGAAAGCTATGGTGATCAGTGTAGTCAACTCCCTCGCGTGAGGAGCTTCGTCAACAAAGATGACTTCGGGCCGGAACACATCGGCGAAACGCCCAGCGGCCGGAACAGGTGTGGTAAACACAATGTCCGTCAGCCCTAGGACGACTCTGTACAGATTCGAGATACAATCGCGCAGGGACTTCTATTCCTTGCCGCCCAGTGCCTCTTTGTGTACTTGAATCCTCGTCAAAAAGCTCCCAAGGTTTTTCCATTCTGAATCAGTCGAATGGTTGTCAAAGTATTCCCACGCCGCCTCGTCCAGCGTTGGCACTGCATTCGAATTTCGCTTTCCGGTGCGCGACAGGCCCGCCGTTGCGAGGAATCTCTCGGTGAAAGCACCGAAGCCCCTGTCCTTGTCACTGTCCTTCTTGCTGTCTTTGTCGACGTTCAGTCGGGTGCTGCTGTTCATCTCGGATGGCCACCCATGCATGCGCACCGCAAGTGAGCTGACGCCAACCTCCTGGCACAGTCGGTGATATCGGGCTGCTGCATCATCGACGGTTTTGTTGATGTCCACGATGTACAGTATGCGTGGTACTGGCCGGCAGCTGGCACTGCGCCGAGTAGCTTGGATCATCGCGGCGACGATCATGTTCCATTCGGTCTTTCCCGAGCCTGGACACCCATTGACCAAGAAGAGATGGTTCTTGATACTCTTTAGCCCAGAGTAAGCCTTTTGATGGTCAAGGTTAAAGCTGTCGAACTTTTGAAGAAGCTTCGCTGGGATTTTCCACTCCGGGTCATGTGGACTTTCAAGCTGCGGATATGCACGCATGAGATTTGTCCTCGTAACTGTAGCTCCTTGAAAATCGAGGATCATCTTGAATGTATTGAGTGATTGTGTGGTTGGGCCTGTCTCCTTGTCCTCTCCCTTCTTCTTGGTTAGATAGCGAAGCGCAGCCAGCTCGGCCTCGAATGTTGGGGACTCGAGGTCCCATAGAATGGTGAGGCTTTGTTTCTTGGACTCTGATAAGTCTGAGGACTCAGTCCAGGTAACGTCGTCCAGAGAGTCGGTTATAGCGAAACAACTCATTTTCTCCCACTCCGTAACCTGGCCATCGGCGTCCTCCCAGCTCCGTGGGGCGTCGACCTTGAACGCGGCCGCATTGCGCATACGCTTGTCGATAGTCGGCGAATCTTCGTAAGGGTTGACAATCCTTGTTGACTTCATGCCACACAAGCCAAAGACCTTGCCATCACGTTTCACCTTTTCAACCATGCTGACCTGGAAGCAGTCGCCTACCACAGGGAAGAGGGCATCGTTGGGTGGCAATGGGGACTCCACAAGTAGTAGCCATGACCTTGTACGCACGGTCTTGGTGCCGGGCAGAGGCGCAACAACCCAGCAGCCGAATTGCTGTTCTTTCTGGTTAAAGTTTTGGAGTAACTTTATTTCGTTCTCCATCTCTATTATCGTTCCCTCTTCGTGGATGCGAATAAAGTCATCTTGGTTAGGGAATGACAGCAGCGGCCTCGATGACTAGAGTGATTGTTAGAGAAGTTTCCGAGGAAAGGGTGCCAGAAGCTCACAGAGATGTGGAGGGATGCTATCCCGACCAAGCTCGACATTGAGTACATGGCGAGATATTCAAAGAACGGACAGCCTTGGTATGGTACATGTGCGTTGAGCGGCAGCTCTGCGTAGGCAAGAGGTGAATGAAAAGAGCATGAAGGAGAGAGAATGTCATGACTGGGGAGTCAGTTTTCAAAAAGCTGTGCGTGCTAGGGCTGTTGCCTAGATAGGTAATGAACGAGCCAGCATATACGTCCCTCTGTAGGCAGGAGCCAACTAGTAATTGCAGGGCGAGGTGAGCCGAAATGAAAGTGAAGTGACCAAGGCGTATACTTGGGACGATCCACCTCGTGTGCACCGTGACTCTCCTTGAATCACACACCAGAGTCCACACGGACTCAAGCAAGACAATGGTACAGATAATCTAACACAGTAAGTTTCTCAATTTCAAGACTAGCAACGTTGAGGGCTTCAGAATCTCACAGAAGTTTGAACGTGACTTCCAAAGCGTGCAAACACCTGTGTGACAAGCAATCCGCCGTACTACACGGCCTTGTCTGGAGTGCGATTTCTAACACAACTAACGACAGCTTGGATGGACTAAGACGCCACCCCGTTCGGTAGCTTCCAGGCAATCAGATCATCTCGTACATCCGACTCCCCCATCTCCCTCATGTACCTCGCGTGGACACCCTCGATCTTGGATGACGAGCGTGGGCGGTCGCTATCCATGGTTGGCGTCTGACTGTCACTCCGATCCATCCCCAGCTCCGCCTCCGCTGCATCCACAGCAGCGCGTGGTAACCGGATAACCTTGGCGGGTCCTCCATGAACGCCATTCTGTTGTGCGGTCACTGTCACCGTGCTCTTATCACTGGCGGCGCTGCCATGTCGTCGATGAGAGTGGAAAGGGTTGTGGGGCCGGTGAGACGTCGCGTTGGTACCGGGTGTTGTCGTCTTCAGACCACGATGCCTCCCAAAACGTCTCAGATCGCTTGGCCGGAGTGTGCCTTGGCCGCCGTCCCCTTCCTCATCCGAATTGGAGTTGGAGTTGGAATTGGACGTTGAAATTTGCTGGTTCTGGTGGGTTCGCCAGCCATTACCTCCAGTAAAGATATCTTCGATACACTCATCGGCTGGTAGTTCTGACGGCAGTCTGCTCCAAGATGCCGCCAATGTTTTCCTGTACAGATCGTGAATATCGGCAGCGTCTCTAGGTTTCGCTATGTTCGGCGAAGCTGCGTGTGTCAGTACGCAAATCCCAGGAAACAAAGGAGGCAGTATACGCACGTCCAATGTCCTCAGCAACCTGCGGCTCGTGGGCAACGACGCCTGCAATGCCGCCAAAGGTGGCAGTAGGTTTCAGTGAAGGCGTCGTGTAGTTACGTTCGCCATCCACCTGGACCATCAGAACGCTCATGCGCAGTGTGCTGTTGATCTTGCTCTCTTGCATGAGATACCTCCTCACGATCCCTTCCGGCGCGTCATCCCCATCCGTAACGGCCGGCGGGCTCACACTCACGCTGCCTGATCGGCCTCTCCTCGATGAGGGATTCTTCAGCAGAGCCTCGCTTTCCTCGACATACTCACTTAGGTTCAACTTAATTTCGCCCAGCGTCATCTTTTCCGTCACGGCAAACTCTTGGATGATTTCAAGCTCGATAGGACATTCGACCAGCTGGTTGTTCTTGTCGATGGCTATCCTGATGTGTGGAATTGTCTTGCTGAAGGCATAGTCGACGCGATGGTTCGCAATCGGACATTTCGCTGTGCGTCCTCGATGCTCAGCATGCATCGAGTGCGCCAGATGCCACTTGATGTACGAGGACCCCGAGACCAGGGGGACATTGTTGAGGTCGTAGATTTTGAGGTGAAGCTCAAACTTGGGCCTCTTGCCCTTGCCGACTGGATTGAGACGACGCATGTTAGTGATGTGAGCCACAGACTATGATGAGCCCCTTCCTTAAGTTGCAGGCACATGTCCTGTCTCAGATAGGCACGAAGCATAGCATGACAAGTTGGGCATCAAGGGAGGACGGCCAAAAGCGCTCAGTGTAACAATGATGGGGCAAGAGGAACAGGTGAGGTTGCTTACTTAGAGTCTCCATCTCTGTCCAGACCTAGTTGGCCCTATCAGGGCAAGCCGTCGGGGAGAACCAATCCTGTGAGGCTATTCGGATCTGACGGCGCCGGGGTGTGGGAGGTCTGCGACACGACGCGACAACACACGTGAGGCACTCGGGGCGTCCTCGTGAGCAGCTGTGACCTCGCTCTCCCTGGTGTGCGACGACTAATACCAGTTTACCCGTGATCGTGACCTATAAATAAGGCGCGCGCGAGCCTTGCGGCTCTTGGAGGGGTCGAGACTATTGCGCAGCAGCCGATGCGAGTCTGGACCAGGCACAATGACGAGCCTGTCAGCAAGTGATACAGGGCAGGGTTGCGCTGTGTATTCAGAAGTTCAGAAGAAACCGTGAATTAGGGATGAGTATAATTACAGGACAAATGCACTCAGAAAGAGACTTGCGACTAGGAGATGCTCATTGTGTAAAGTACTGTCCTTACCCACGCCCCGAATCGCGGATCATGTGCAACAACATCGTCATTCCACACTCACAGGCGTTGGAGGGCCGGGTGGATCCGAGGGAGGTCCCTGGAGTGAGGCTAACCCGACTCGGAAGCGCCCACTATCCAGAGCTTATCGATAACAGAGTACTTCTTTGAATCTCGACTTGTCCATCACGCGTTTGACTGCGTGGACCGTCAGAGTATCGCGAACTCCAGTCCCTGGTACCATGAGCTCCAGTAAGGGTGGAAGCTCACAGCCAAACAACCCACCCACGAAGAAGCGCAAGCTCGACAACAATGGCAACAAGAGCGCAGCCAGACGAGTTGCGCGGGCCATTCCTGCGCAGCTGCCCGAAGTTGCCTTTGAGAATGGCGAGCTCAATCTCCAGCCCTTTGTAGCGGCCCATGAGTTCGAAATACGCGCTCTCGAGCAGAGCATGGCGATTTCCAAGACGCAGGGCGCCACGCGAGCTTTCCAGAAAGTGCCACGGGGTCTGCGAAGACGAGCAGCCAGTCACAACCCTAAGCGCGTGCCCAAGAGGTTGAGAGCGAGGGCACAGAAGGAGAAGGCGGAGGACAACACACCACTGGTCACGGCCAGGAGGAGGAAACCGACGACGACGACGGCAAGGATACGGATGGAGACGGCGAAGAAACTTCGAACATTGGCGTTTCGCAAGAAGACATTTCGGGAGAAGCGAGCGAGGGCGGCTGGGGCCAGAGCAGAGACTCTGCCGGACAAAGCAAAGCAGCCCCAACGGGCGAGACGACCCAAGATCCGACGCAATGCTCTCAATGAGCCACCACGACCGCGGGGCAGATTTCGGAAACGGCAGAAAAACAAGATTTGGCTCCCCACGCACATGTGGCATGCGAAGCGAGCGCGCATGATGAGCCCGAAGGAACCCCTCTGGCGATTTGCGATGCCCCTCAGGCCCAACGAGAAGATATACCGTCCCACTCATCGCATGCAGGGCGATCGAGGGGCGGTCGTGTGGGACATGAGCTACATGAGTACAATCGGCCTCTACGGCCACCCAGCCGGGATGGAGCGGGTTCTGAAGCGTATCGGTGTCACACACGACTCATGCTGGAACGACAAGGGCAAGAAATGGCGGGCTGGCACACGCAGCTGGTCCGGCATGCTAAGTCGCGAGACCAAACAAGGCCGCAGGCAGTCGTGTCCCGCCACGATCTTCTGGAACCCAGCGCCGGCTGATCGCGTAGCGGTGGAAGACCTCAAGAAGGACAGACGTCAAGTGTTCCTCAGAGTTCACCCAGCCAGCTTCTCGGAATTGTTCAATGAGCTGCTACGATGGTGCAAATCAGAGACACCACAGCTATATATCGAGGATCTCCGCTTTGAGATTGGGAGCATCGAGCTGACGGGTCCGGCCTCGACAGAGGTGCTTCACTCGGTGCTTACTCCATATCCTGTGGCCGGCGAGCCTAAATCGAAACACGCTGAGCTTTTCGCGTCCCTAAAAGGCCTAACGAACCCTGCGGCGTTGCCACAGAACGTCATACTGGGATTCTCGATCCAAGATCCACGCCTACGCTATCCGCCTCGAAAGCAGTCCCCTGCTCAAGGTGAGGCTGCTGACATGAAGCTCCTGGAGACGGTTTCGGGGTGGCCGGCGGAAACTGCTCTCAAACCGTACGCACTCCTCGACCGTGAGGCCCGGCATGAAGCTTCCCAGTTGCCTACACAAGGGCTGGTCAATCGTAGAAGGAGTAAAATCACACCTGGTTCATTCCTCAAGCCGTCGCCGATCGACCCAGCTATCCCCATTGTGCTTCTAGCTTCCCGCTCGGGCTCTAGTACGCAGGCGCAAGGGAAGTGGACTCTTCTGGCGCCCTGGAAATGCATCCAACCGATATGGTACAGCATTGTCCACTGTCCCTTGTCGACTGGCGGCAACCCCCGGTTTGCAGGTCTCGAGCAGACGCGCCAGGTTGCCTTTGAGCGTGGGCTCCCTTGGTTCCCGGCGGATTTTCCCACCACAGATGCTGGCGTTGCGTGGGAGCTGGATCAGCGAGCAGTCCGCACTCTTAAATGGTCCAGACGCCCCAAGAGCAAGCGCACAGAATGGAGTACAGTTGATCTGGGCGCTGGCAGGAAAGGTGAGCTCGGCGACGGGCTGGCCTGTGATTTCGAGTACCTTTTCGGACTCCCACGGCCAGACGACGCGGAGACGCAGTCAACAGAGGGCGCCATGGATGTTGAACAGGGGCAAGTCTCACAGACCACGGCTACCTCGTCTTCGGCCTTGAGTGCCCTTCATCACGTCAGCCGAAAAGCTTTCCTGGGACTGGCGCGGGCGGGAGAGGGTACTGCTCTCTCGATACCTTTGAACGCGCTTCTGACTGTGCGCATTCGACTAGTGACCCGAGGTACGGTTGGCCCTTGCGCGAGGATCTATCGCCTGCCCGCGACACCGCCGCCTGTGCCGGTAGCTTCCGACGCCGAGGTGCCAGCCACGATACCTCCATCAGCGTCGACTTCTTTCCCATCTGCGTTACCCCATGATTTACGCGCGCAGTGGCTGGCCAAGCTGCCTGACAGTACCGCCGCGGGAGCCAAGGATACCACACGGCAGCCTCGAGCAACCACTCCTGAGTCGCGCAGGCAGCGCATTGTGAGAGAGCTCACATCGAAGCCGACACCTTGGCCGTCTACGAAGTCAAACTTGAGGGATATTGGGGGCCAGCACCCCTTGTGCCCGAGCTCGAACGACCTCATTGGGTTCGTGACGACAGGCGAGTTCTGTCTCAGCGACGGCAGAGGATCGGCAATTGGCAGTATTGCTGTGGACATGGTCTTGGGCGGATTCAGAGCGGACGAGACAGAAGGCAGGCTGTGTATTGTAAGAAGCGCGGGAGAAAACGTGGGCTGGCTTGCCCGATGGGAAGCTGTGTGATGCAGTCAGCGGAAGTAGACAAGATGGCACATGGATGGGCCACATTGGGGGAATGCTACAATACGTCAATGATACCATTTGAGCTGCCTCGGTTCACATGAGCAGCATGCACACTGAGATCACTGCCGCTACGTGACTATGATCGCCAATGCGCAAGGGCGTGGATGACTTGCGGTTCGCCACGCTTCTGCTATAAAAGACCACGAGAGCTCGCCCACCCAAGTGCTGGCTGGCCAATTTAGAACATCCGCTTTCCAGAACTTGCAAATATGAACATGCCAGATAAGATTGTGGGCGGCTGCTTATGCGAAGCAGTCCGCTATCAGTTCGACGTGGGATCGAGCACAATACCTGTGAGTCCAGTGAACTGATGAGCATCACACTCAGCTCAGCATGCTGACCAACCGCGCGCAGCCGTCAACATGCAAATGTACTCAGTGTCGCAAGCAATCAGGCGCCCTCAACGTGCACTTCCTCAAGGTGCCCCTCTCCTCGCTGTCCTGGCTGCGGAACAAGGAGACGTGGTCGCGGGACGCCCCTCCTGACCTGACGATATTCCGGGCGTCGCCAGGCTCCCCGGAGATCACGCGTGGCTTCTGCGCAAAGTGTGGAGGTCTCGTCTACTGGCGCGATGGGAGAACCGACATGACAAGCATCACCCTGGGCACCTTTGATGAGGGCATGCTCCGGGGACGGAGTAGCGTGCTCGCGGATGCCAAGGCACGCCTCTAATGCAGCAGAAAATCAAGGAACAGAGGGCGAGAATGCTGTCCTATTGTCGTAGCCAGATGGTATCTATGTAAATTCGAGATCGCTGCTGTCCAACCCTTGAACGCCTGGAGAAAGAATAGTTGCTCAAAGCAAGTCCGCTGGGTGTCCAAGATGGTAGTTAGATCAGTCCTCCTCACTAATGTCGCTCTCGTCGTCCTGCTGGGGCTCAGCCTCACCGCTGCCCTCGGCCATCTCCATCTCAAAGGCTTCTTCAAGATCTTTCTCAAGCTCATCCTCCAGAGATTGCTGTGTGTCGCCCTCGGCGGCGCCCCCCTCCTCATGATGATCCGATGCGTACCCGCTCTGCTGGGGCTGCTTCACCGGACTAGGTAGCTTGAAGTCCTCCTCTTCATCCATGCTCTCGCCATCGGCGTCGTCGGCCTCACTTTCCCGTCGGTCCATGAACTCGTCAAATGGTCTGACGGACGTGACGGCCGGTGAGAAGCCACGGCCCTTGGCTTTGGGACCGCTGCCGTCCGGGTACTCGACCTGCAGCGGGTCGTCTTCTTCCTCTTCTTCGTCCTCGTCCTCCTCTGGCGCCTTCTTTCGTTTCGATTCTGCTGCTGCTGCTGCTGCTGCTGCTGCGGCCGGCGGTAGCGCAAGGTCAATGTTCTTGGCTTTGCGCTCCGGCTTCCTCGCAGCGGGCTCCTTCTTCCTGGGCGGCGGACTCTTGGCCCTGGGCTTCGCCTTCGCCTTGGGTTTGGCCTCTGGCTTCTTGGGCGCCGTGTCCGCGGCCTTGATCTGGGGATGTCGTCGTTCCAAGCTGCTTGCATCCGAGTTCCCAGGCATACGCGTCAGGTTCATGTGGAAAGTCGAGTCGAGCCTGTCGAGGACAAAGACCTCTCTCCTTGGGTCAAAGTACATGACATAGCGTCCGTCTCCGACGCTCCTCGTGCCTTGGTAGGCATATGTGCCGTCCGATTCGGATATGGTGAGGTCGTAGGACGATGTCTGTCCGGCGATCGACGGTTTGACGCGGGCGGTTGACGACTCGGAGATTCCACTCGGTTTGTGGTTATCTGGACACTTGTTAGAGACATGGTCAATCTTTCGCATCGAATGGAACGTACAGCGCACGCCTGTGAAGATTTCATTGTGTTCTTTGCCCAGAAGACGATCACTCAGTACGACGGGGTAGTTGCCCGTCTTTGTCGGGTCGATGAGGCCAGCCATTGTGGCGGCTTGTGGGGAGATCACGACTCCTGAAGCGTCGGCTGACTCTACGAGAAAGGCTTGTGCTGCTGAGTGTGACCCTGGACTCTGGACAGAGAGAGCTCTGTGTACCCGTAACAAGTTGAGGTTGGCAATCGTAATTAATTGACGGGGAGGTTTCAGGACCGAGACCGGGATGATGGCTGGATCGAGGGACCTGGTATGGTGGGGAACGGATTCGGCTGGGTCAGGTGGATAATGACGGATACTAATAGACGCAAGCTAGCAATGCTTCCCGCTGAGGGGCGTTCCTGGTCGCTGACGTTGAAGGGAACGATGAAGCGTGATTCAATGACTGGAGATACTTTACGAGGGGTGGCGCATGGGTTACTGGTCGTTGTCAGACAAGAGCAGGCGGACAAGGCGCTGATCAGTCCATGTCCATCGTCTCCGCTGCGCGTGGCGGCGCATCATTACCTGGTAAGGTACATGAAATGGCGTATTAGGCGGAGCATAATTGGCAGTGTGCTGCACTCGATACTTTCCTCTGCATCTACGGAGTGCTCGGGCCACGTTTTCATGAGGGAAGCCAAGCCAAGTAAGTACCAGTACTTTACCTGATCAATCATAGCACGCCAAGCAGGCCACTCAATCGAGAATGGCCTGGAGTCAATCATCCCGACTAGAGGCAGCTTCGCACTGCCTACCCGGGAGTGCACTACGTATCAGAATCCAACAAGCGGCAAAGACACCCTTTCATTCATTGAGGTAGTGTGAACATGAATTGACGATTTGATCGCTGCGGCATGAGACATCGCTCGACGGCGCTCGATACAGGGGGTCGTCGAAAGATCACCAGGGCCGCGCAGAAAGGCCTCTAGGAAGATAGCTGGGAAGACATGGTGAATTGGTGAGAACGGGCAGAATGCTGGATCCAAGAATACACACTCAGTGAGTTTGGTTCAATCATATATGTGTCGAGAGGTCATTCAACGTAAAGCACGAAAGACCCCTAATTACATCGAGTCAGGCCAGAGTCTGGTCTCACGCCCCTTTTCAAAGACAATATCAACAAACCCTAGGATCTGCCCCTGCCACGCCCCTTGGATGTCGCTACCTCATATCGCCAGAAAAGCTGACCGACGCGCTTGAGCGAGCGGGCAGCCAGCCGCTACAGATTGATAGAAGGTCGGCAACCTGCTAAGGAACCTCCAGGTGCAATTCTAGGCGTGGACGTGTTCGTGGTTACAAGAAACCTTATCCTGAGGTGGCAGCACATGGATATAATCTCTGTCCGGCAATGTCAAATTAACGTCTAGCCAAGATGGCATCCCTGCGGTGTCCGGCTGTGTGCTTGATTTCTGGATGACGATGCATGGAACAGTCACGGGCAGTCTCTGTTGATGGTATATGTGGGCTCACTCATCGTCTCCAGGTAATGGCAACAAGCCCGCCCTTGTATTCTTTCCACCTATTGGGTCTTCTTCCCAGCCTTGACCCCTTCCGCCCCCTTTGGTGTCTTGAGCCCCAGCAACACTGCCGCCGCGACAACCGCCATACCAGCAGCGCCCATGTTGTACGCCACCTCTCTACCCGCCCACCAGTACACGCTCGTGAACAAGATTGGGCCCAATCCTCGGCCGAGCTGGCCCCAGCTGCGAAGAATTCCGAGCTTGCCGCCCCTCTCGTCCTCGCTCGCCTCAAAACTGCTCAGGGTATTCAGTCCGGTGACCACGGTCGCCGAGGTCACGGCCAGACACGTCACGGCCGCATACAGGCCACCAATCGTCGACACCCTCCCCAGCAAGAAGAACGCGGCCAGGCACGAGATCACACCCGTGCGCACCGATGTGAGGGCGGGAAGGCGACGAGTGACGCCACCCTGGAGAAGAGAGGCCACCAAACCGACGAAGCCCAGCAGCCGCCCGTTCTTCGAGGATCCGAATGCGAATAACTCGTACGTCATGAACGACAGCGAGCTCTCCATGCCCGAGAAGAAGAGGAGGAACACAAAGTGCACCGCGTTCAGGAGGAAGTGAGAGTTTGTGCGCTCCAAGGAGACCTTGGGTTTCTTCTCCTCCTTCTTCTCGGGTGCGTTCCCGGTCAGTGCAGGGAGGGTCTCCGGTAGGCAGAAGTAGAGGTAGATCGTTTCCAGCACAATCAAACCAAGACTCACGCCAGCGGCCGTAGCAAATGGATTGGCAGCCACGGACGGAATGGTGCTCAGGTAGGCGCCCAGCCCAGGACCAAAGGTAAACGCAATGGAGAAGCAGGCGCCGATGATGGCCATGGTCGATCCACGCGAGGCCCCATCAGAGATGTCGGTAGCCATGGCCGTAGCCAGCTGCACGTTGCCCTCCGACAGACCGCCCACGATCCGGCTCAAGATGAAGGTTCGAAAGTCCACGGCGGCGACCCACAGCAGGACGCTGAGAATGTTGCCCGTCATGCTAGCCAGCAGCGCGGTGCGACGACCGTAGCGATCCGACAGCGCCCCGATCAAGGGCGACGCGATGGCCTGCAGGAGACTGAACAGCGAGCCCATGGCGCCGCCCAGCAGCACAATGTCATAGCGCGCCTCGATGGGTCGTTCAAATGCGGATTTGTAGCGGTTCAGTCCGCTGAGGAGCCATTGCAGTAGCGTGGCCTTGGGCGCATCGGCGGACAAGGGCGCCTCGCGGTCGCGATAGAACTCGAGGAGCTTGGGGAACAGCGGTAGGATGAATGTGAAGGAGAGCTATGGCCACGGGTTAGTCTTGCTCCATTGCGGTTCGTTTGAGAGGTGCACTTGCGAGGTCGAGGAGGAGGGACACGAAGATGACGCGAAGAACCCGCTTGCGGGTGGCGGGGTCGACAGCCATGATGAGGGCGGGCGCGATGGAGAGAACGGGTGAAAGGGAAGAAGAGGACGCGAGCTGAACAGGCTCCGAAAAGTGAAGAGGTGTCAGACAGTAATAGAGGACAGCTCGCCTGGAAGTAGATTTCTTGAAACGCCTAATGTTGGGGCCACCAGCAGTCCCGGACTCCAGCACCGTCAACGTGCGTCCGCCGGCAGGGAGCAGATCCGGCGGGCCGCATGTGGGGAACATGGCTTGGCGGGATAGAGCTCGCTGCTGAGCTGGAGCTGGAGCGCGATCTCATGATTCATTTCCGAGGGAACATGAAGGGAGCACAAATCACGACGCGCAGACGATGGAGCAATTGACATAAATCATCAATTCATGTTCTTTCATAGGTGTATATCATGAGACAAAGGAAACAGTCAAGTCGTCGCGCCCTCACAGCGTTTGTGGTGGAGGTGCAGGCGGGCCCAGCCAGCCAGCCACCGTATATCTGGTGACAGACAGCCAGCCAATCCCTCCTGCGAACACATCCAAACATCCTCGATACGGGCCAAGCACTAAAGCATGGCTTCCCCAGGTTTTGAAGAGTGCCCCGAAAGGCAATCCCTCGTTGTCAGATACTTCAGAGTACTGATGAGCCTCCTATCCGTGTTTCACGATGCCGCCCGCCATGTTGCTGGCAGGCGTGCACCATTACTAGACAGACAGAGGACGTCCCGTGTAGGCTTCCCGACTCGCCGTCGTCAACCTGTCCTTCCCAATCAGGGTCCCAGACGTGACGTTGTTCCCAAAGAACAAGCGTTGTCCTGGCGTGATGTTAGCCTCAGCCAATAGGTTGCACAATCGAGAAAGCGCACCAAGACTCTGCACGCGTGAGAGCGAGGCGGAGAGACGATCAACAGTCGCGAGATGAGCATGCCCAGTGAAGGGTTCATCTGTATGAGGTTAGTTTGGTCGATCATGACAACCTCGTCGTCACCATCACGTACCTTGACCAGAAATTCCAATGACATTCGAGAGCGCAAAGAGCGACTCCAAACCATGGGCCGTAGCGGAGGTACTGTGAGGGGCAACAAGAACAGACTGTTTCTTGCCAGACACCAGTTCCCGACGAGACCAAAGTCCATCGAACAGACCAGAAGGGCCCGCGCCGACCGCAGAGCGGTCGACGAGGACCATGGGGGCGAGCCAGATGCCTAGCAAGAGGCAAGTGGCCCACCACCAAGCCAGAAGGTCCTGCACCACCGACATGGTCGGTGGCCGGAGAGTTGCGTAGAGTAGTGGTTGTGTAGTTGTTTTTATCTTGTGACTGGCCAGAAGGCACAGCCTGCGGATAGCAGGAGATCAGAAACAAGAGCAAAAAAGGTCTGGGCCAGAGTCCTCTTTTGTAGACATGGCATGGCGATGTGTGGGGTCACAAACTGTCCAAGCATCTGGCGGTGAGGCCACCCCAGCATCACAACATTGTCGGCCCAGCGTTGAGTGGCTGCAATGAGGGCGAGCTCTGCTGGCATCGGTGCAGCGCCAGCAGTCGCAGGATCGCATATGCCCAGAAAGGGACCTTTGGCGAGTGGCGGGCCAATGGTCTTAGATGGAGACGTCCTGTGCTGCATGGGGCTTATGCATAGCAGAGGGGGTTGGGAACTTGGGCATCGTCGCGAACGGCCGCGGGACGGCCCTGGCAAGCCTTCAAAGGCCCACGATGGTTCTCGGCTGGCTGCTCTGAGCAAATGGACTTGAGTCGACGCGTTTCGTACTGCTGCACGCGACTCCCCGCTCGCTTCTGTTTCGCTCAGCGTGTCGTGGGTGCTCTTGGCTGTTGACAAGTCATAGAGCGGACAGCCCACCGACAAGTCACCCGATGCGTGTGTGCCTCGGGCACCTTGCAGGCATGAGGCATCAATGGATTGAACTTGAATGCCGGTGGCCTTTGATAACCATCGTCGGGTTTCCAGCGCAGCACGTTCCTCTCGACCTGACGTGGCGGGGTCACCTCGCTGTTCGAGCAGACGCTGCTCATAGACAGAGGCGCGCGGACCAATTCTAGTCTCGGAATACCGTCTGCCTGCATTGGCACGTCGAGGGACGCGCTTCTGTTGTCGATGACATTGACGCAAATGTGCAAAGCTGAAGGCACCGCGTCGAGTGCTGGTAGCGGCAGCTGTTGGATGACTGGGTGAAGCTTCACCGAGCAGCAGGCTGGGGGTCGTAGTCCGAGGTAGATGTCCTTCCACCTACCCTATCAATCATCATGTCCCCGACGAGCGGGTGACGATTCATTGCAGTCAATACAGTCACATGATAAAGCCAAGTTCAAAACAGAATTGAAGTTGGATGCATGAATCGCGAGTGTTATATTTAGACGTCTGACAAAGATAGCAATTGAAGGTGACACATCCACCCAATCACACAATGCATCGCTGATGGTCTTGCAACAACCTTCAACCGCCAACCCCGTCCTGTCAGCATCAATTCAAGCCGCCATTGTCACCAAAAATAAGCACGATATCCCAAAATGGCGCCAATAAACCAAGTGTTCACTGCGCATTTCGCTCCCTCGAAACGCCAGAGGCTGAGCGCAATGTCCTGCATGAAGGACATGGACCTGGACCGACAGGGCTGATGACGCCCATGTCCAATGTATGCTCACGCAAGGCCGGCCACGCTTGAGATTGCCCGTGAGAGTTGAAAGCATGCTTGCTTCTAGTGCTGACTGCCGTTTTTTGTTAAAGAACACGAGTTCTCCATCCCTCCGCGCTGGCCCAGCTGTGTCGATAGCCATCTAGCAAGCACCTCTCCTCTCATCATGTCCGAGATAACCACCATGCCCATCCGGCGCGAGCTGTTCGCCCGCGGCATCAGCGACAGCACATTTGGCAAACTCAAGACGTCACTCGAGATGGTCAAACGTGAGCGCACGTGGAAGTCAAAGTACCGCCACAAGAGCAAGTTCGCCCACAAGGGAAGCATCGCCCACTGGCCCATCTGGGCCAAGGTTCTGATCGCGCTGGCCATTGTCCTCGTCGTTCTCTTCATTGGAGGATTGGTCTTTTACGGCAAAAAGGGTATGCGCCGTCTCCTATGTCTGGTAAGGCCCGCATTCTGACTGACCACTGTAGAATACGACCGCTCCAGGCAGACAGGTCGCTCCATCCGATGGGGGAAGATCTTTCTAGGCGCCACCAAGATTGCCCTGTTCCTCTGGATCCCCATCGTGGCGTACCGCTTCATCCAGGCGCGCCGCAACAAGGGCAAATATGCTGATATCACAAAGGAATCGCAGCAGCTCCCCAACAACGGGGGCACCACCAAGCCGTGGTCCATGGCACAGGCGCCCGGCGATGTGGACAGCAAGTACGAGCCCATGGGATACAAAACGACCATATGTGACCCCTACTCTGCGTACGCTGGCGTGGAGCAGCCGATGACGGGCAGGGTGGCTGTGACGGGGCCTTTGAGTCGGGCGACCAGTCCTGCTGTGCCGGCGCTTGGTATTCACCAGCCGCCACCCGTGCACGAGTCGGGCGATCTGGGGACGAGGACGCCTTCGCCCAACCGAGGGTCGTTTCCTCCATCCCCTCAGCCTCCTCAGTATGGCTAGGGGTGTCGAGCGGTCGTACGGAGAGCTGAGATAGATGGTCGATTTCAGTATAAGGCGTCGGTCTTGGTTGGGTTTCAAGGTTCGGTCCCAGGGGTGGAGGAAATATATAATTATATATTTATGAATTCATGTGAATGATGGTAGTCTAAATGCTTTTCGTGGCGTCGTAAGACCGTGTGTGTATGTAGTAATCCTCCAGAACCCGTTGCCAGTCTATAGTCTTGTTCCCGAAAGCAGTGTTCCCATTCTCTCCCCTTTTTCGACCGAAACGCCATGTGAAAATTAAAAAAGCTGAATATGAAAGCGGATGTCGTCGTGGACGTGCAGGAAGCGAAGAGAAGAAGCGCGCTGTGGTATCGTAGTATGGTGGGTGTGCTGTCTCTGTGTTAGTCTCTGTGGACAGCAGTTGGTGTGGCGAGCGAGCATACCTCGACTGAGCTCCCAAATGTTCGTATCAAGGTCGATTTTGTATCATTTTGGGGGAGGCTTAGGCGCGCTGGGCTTGAGGACGCCAGTGGTGTCGTAGGGACCTCGAGGCATGATGGTGACTTTTGCGTAGAGGTGGTAGTGAGGTGTCGTGTTGTCTGGTTCCGTGCTTGGTGGTGGAAGAAGCAGCAGAGAGGTGGGCGACTGGTTGTGAGTGGCGAGCTTTTGGTGTGAAGAGGGTCTGCTCTCGGTGTGATGGAGGAACAGAGGCCGGATACTGGAGTAGGCAACAGAGCAAGCAAGGTGAGGTTCGGTGAAGATATTCAAAAGTCCAAGTTTGAAGATTCAGGACGAAGCTTGCTTAAATCATGCCGTTCTCTTAGGGCTCAAAGAAATAGGTTTTGCCGCCTTTGCTTTTTTTTTTTTTCCAAACTCCCTACCCTTTTCCGCTCCAGATCCCTGTCCAAAAAATAAAACTGCTTGCTTGCTCGCGTGGCTTTCCACCCGATGGCGGTGTGTCAAGTTGTTGGGATGACGACGGACGGGGGGCCGGGTGCCAGCCCAGGAGTCCAGGACAGCGTCAGAATGGGACTTGCTACGGGCGCACCCCTTGCTGGGGTTGGCTAATTGGGGCCCTGTTGATCGACAGGGGTTTGACAAGAGGTGAAGAAGAGGATGAATGGGTTCACTTTGGTGGAAGAAGGGGAATAATGTTGGAAAGGGGAGCTGGAACTGGCTGCTCACACCACAGACGGATGCGGACGGGGGCGTTGCAGGAATAGGGAGATCAAGGCGATACAGCATCGCGGCCGGCATCTCGCATGAACGAGCGCGAGCTCCGTGACACGAAAAAAAAAAAAAATATACGTAGGTGCCCAGAACCCATTCGCCCAGGGCCCGGCAAGCGAGCGCTCACAAACGCGGGACAGGGGGAAAAGCAAAGCTTCTAGAATGAGATGATGCGGTGCGGACACATGAGTCGTCGTTGTGAGACATGTCATGGCGCAGCGTTCGGTGACTGTCGGTGAGCGAGTGGCTGCTGAGCTCTTTGCTTCTGGCCATGATTGAATACTAGCCATAATTATGATCTCTTCTCTCACGAGACAAAGCGGGCTGGACACAGCCGGCAACGTGAGCAGCCTGCCGCGTCCAAATATTGTCACCACTATCTTATCAGTGGTTATCAACCACAAGCAAACAATTGTCTGGGGACTCTGGGCCAGAACCATGTGCACGGAACAGTCGCCAGATCAGCAAGACAGCCACAACAATGCCTTGCTGGCGCCCTGGATTGCGCGACCGACCTGAAGCACGCCGCAACTTGCAAACGAGTCGGTGTGCGCTTCAAAGTTCAACTCAAATGCACGGAGAGCGATCCGTATGGATTGGGAGTGGCCGCTATCCAATGTTTGTTGCCCCTATTCAACCTGGCCTGGCCTGACCTAGTCCAGTCCGGGACGGCGGATGTCGTCTGCTGGAGCCCGGACCATGGCGGCGGGCCTTGCGGGTTTCTTCCCCGGAATTGAGTCTCGTGGAGTCATCCGTCCGTCCCGTAAGCGCAAGCAATTCTCACTTGACACTGTGTCAGGTTGATAATAATTAATTTGGTACCGTATTCACCGTGCAGGGAGGTTTACTGTTTGGTATTCACCATGATACCAGGGGAAGCCGGCCTCTTCCGTTGCACCCAGGCACAAACAGCCCAGGCGAAGTGTTGTTGGACAGCCGCCGCAGCGTCACCATGGCTGTCGCGTACCTGCAATCGGTGTGACAGTCACATCTGGCCAACGCATCTCGCGTGGCAGCCCTGATTTATGCGCTTTCGATGCGGCACTGGCACTGCACTGATGCCCTCCGAAACCGCACTCTGAGCGATGTCTGGCAGAGCTCGCATGCCAATCAAAGGGGGCAGGGTCAGTATAATTAACATGCACAATCAATCTTACGGTGAGAACAATGAGGCAGAGATCGGCGAGACCTTGTTTTCTTTTATCCTGTAAATCCTGCCTTGTGATAACCAGAGCCCATCCATCGGCCCAGACTCATGTCCTGCCTCTCGCCTTCACAGACCTGCCCACTGCCGGAAACCCTGCGGCTCTTCTTTCTGCAGCCACCCTCCTCTGAAAACCCTTGTTCCTGACAGGTCCACCGTCACCAGTTTGCTGGGACTGGGGGTGACAGGTGGAGCAGCGCAGGACGAGTGTCATTAGTTGCCCGAGGGGGGCGGCTTGGGCCCAATGGGCTTGGGCCAGTCGTAGCCATCGCCACGACCCATGTTTGCGAGGGCTGCTTCCATGGAATGCCAAAGAGACATTGTCGTGACGTTCTTGGGGTGATGTTCTTGGTGGAAATTGTCTTTTGAATAATTTATTAGCTTGGCTGTAGTGTGTGTGTGTGTGTGTGCGTGCGTGTCTACAGAGTCCATCCATTGATGCCAGAACTCGGCTGTATATACTTCGTGAGCTGTCATGATTCACTCTCGTCGACGTGTCCCTCTTGTGGCTCTGGCCGTCCTTGCCTTGGAGTCCTGCCGCAACCAAATGTTGCTCGTGGAGCCATCACGCAGAGAATACGAGCCACTTCGCAGGCTTGTGTAATGGCAGGCAGGTAATCGGAACGCTGCTCCAGACAGAACAGACCAGACACACTGGCAAACTTCTCCGTCAAAAAGGGCGACAATCAAGGAATTCACTTGAACAACGGGCGAAAGGCTACACGGCCTGCCCGGGGGTGATACCCTCGTAGAGCCGACAGGCTCGGATACCTGGCTGGGTTTGGTTGTGCGCACAGCTACAGTTGCTCCTGAGGTGTTACATGGGCTGGAGTCCACGACGCGACACAGACAGTCGCTTCTGGCCAGATTACATGTACATGGCATTCAGTTTCGTTGCACATTGTTGCTGTACGCTGACGATGTTGCTGAGAGGGTGGTGTGAGCTTGATGCGAGGGTGGCATCTTGGGGACCACGAGGTGGAGTTGAAGGACGCTGGCATTTCACCATGGCGGCAGAGATCTTGATGTTGCTCCGCGATAGGACCCATTTAAGCTGACATAATCGTCGGGCCGCACATGAAGTCAAGACTACCCTAAGGTAAGGTGGGAATGTGTTTCCCTCACCACGTCGTACGGAATGCGAAAATCAAGTCTTGACGGAATACATGAAAAGACAATCACTCGATATGCATTACCAACCAGTGGAGAATGTGGGAGATGAATCCCACATCGTCCAAGGTCCTGTGCCACCACCCGCCACGGTAAACGACGCTTTTGACGATGTTTTCGGTGCTGATGAGGAGGAGCATCACCACATCACAACCCACTCAGACATTCATCGTGTGCAGGCGGAGCACTCCACAGCCGGCTACCGCGAGGGTGTCAACGTTGGAAAGCAAGATACGCTGCAGCAGGGATTCGACCAAGGTTACACCATCGGCGCAGCGATCGGACTCCAGGCCGGTCAAATTTTGGGCACCTTGGAGGGCATCGTCGAGGCGGTCCAGGGTGAAGACCTGACCCGGATGGAGACACTACTGCAAGAAGCGAGGCAGGACCTGAGCGTGGAGAAGCTCTTCAGCAGTGAATTTTGGAAGAGCGACGGACTGCCGGGTTATGAGATGCCCGACGAGCAGAAGCAGGCCAAGGACGGGGCTGCATGTCATCCCCTGGTGAAGAAATGGATCGACATTGCGCACGAGCAGACCCGGGCATGGGGCATCAATGTGTCCCTCCTCGATGAGAGTGCAGAAGACTTGGCGTCGGCCAAGAAGGCTGGCGGCGAGGTGCAGGATCTATCGGGCGAGGCCAAAGTGGAGGACTTGCTGGACTGGTGAAGTTGGCCAAGAGAGAACCTCTTCCCTCTCCTTAAGCCTTGGCCTGGAAACTTCATGCTGCGCCGGGCAAACGATCAGCATCCGAGAGAAGAGCTGCGTGAAGGGAGTTTGTCCGCAGGACCCTGGACGGTCAACGTGGTTCAACGTGGCCACCACACGCTGTCTCCCTTTGTGGGATCCGATGCTATGGTCTGCGTGGACCTTTCATTTCACAGTCTCGAGGTCCGAAAATGTGCCCGAGGCACTCAAGTGGAAAAAGCATCGATCCTCAGTCCTCCTCCACGTCGAAGCGCCTCATTAGACACTCGAGCAGTGGACTGCGCACCTCGACAATTACCGAGGACAAGCCTTCGGCAATAGGGACTAACTAACGAAAGATCGCTCTCCTGTGCCGGATTCCCATGGGACTCACCATGGATAACCGGCCTCTGCACAGCGGATTGCGTGTTCGCAATGCAGCCACGCGGTTGAAACAGAACACGATCCCCTACCTACATGATGGGCTTTGCACCAAAATAGCACACTGTTTCTCGCTCGTTGACTCAGTTTACAATGTGTTCCTGCATACGGCTCTTGGATGCGTATACGTAAGGCGGTGCTGCCAGACATCCAGCGGTGCGACATGCGCTAAGGCGCCGCCGCCCTGCATGAGCACCGTTCGTCCTCAAGCACCATGTCTTGAGAATTCATCTCACCCTGATTCACTTCTGCAAAAGCCATGGAGACGGTCGCCATAGACGCAATGTGCCAATACAGAAGACTCTGTGTATAAGAATCTGCTCCCAACGCCCTTCCTCCTCTCTCCTCAACTCACCATCCAAACCGCCTTCATCCAACCCACCCTTCCGGAGTCACTTTTTCGACCCAGCCACTCTTTACCAACAAGACACTCGTTTCACCACACATCCCCAAGATGAAGACCACCTTTGCCCTCCTCGGCGCGGCCTCCACCGCGACCGCCCTCCTCAACCTGGACGTCAACCTGCCCCTGGGCATCTCGGCCGACCTCAACCTCTTTGGCCCCCAGCAAGAGCCGTGCCACGAGTGCACCAACGTCTGGCACCCGCCCCACGACGGCGTCATCATCGACGACTGCGACAACACGCACGAGCACGGCTGGCACTGGGTCCACCCCTGCCCCGAGCCCAACGAGCCCTCCTTCACCTGGGGCACCGTGACCGCCACGCGCACCAACATCATCACCCAGTGTGATGTCTGTGCCGAGCCCACCACCGTGACCTACGTCGAGGAGACGACCGTCGGCCCGGTCCCCGTCGAGACGCCCGCGGTCCCCACCACCACCGTCGTCGTCCCCGTCGTCCCTACCACCACCACCGACCCCGCCATGGTTCCCACCACGGTTCCCGAGGTCGTCCAGCCCTCCGAGACGATGCCTCCCACCCAGGGTTTTCCCTCCGCCTCCTCCTCATCGACCCGGATGGAGATGCCTCCCAGCACCTTCACCTCCATCTACCAGACCAACACTGTCCCTGCTCCTCCCGCCCAGAGCACCCCCATGGTCCCTGGTGTCCCTGGTACGCCGGTCGTCCCCGGCACACCTGGTCTGCCCGCCACCCCCGGTCTGCCCGTGACCCCCGTCGCCCCGGGTCCTCCTGCCGAGAACACGCCCATCGTGCCCGGCCCCACGACAACCTACGGCAACAACGCCACCAACCCCATCGTCACGCCTCCCATTGTCACGCCTCCTCCCGCGGCCGGCGCTGCCCAGAACACCGTGGGTCTCGCCCTCGTCGCCGCCCTCGCCTTTGCGCTGTGGTAAACGCGCGCGTCGTAAGGCGACGACGACAATGAGAGAGGTAAGTGAGCGATGAACCTGAACGACTTTGGCATGGAGAAACGGGCGTCGGATCCTAGGGGTGGATCTGTTCTATTCTGGATGTACCTATTCAGCTTTCTTGTGTCGAAGCTTGTATTTAATGTCTACTGGTGTCAGCTTTGTTTAGAATCGAGAAGAGAACTATTGTACTTACTTTACCACACTGGGGTATATCTACAAGCCATTTTGCATAATGAATCATAAGTCGTGTCTCATGGAGCGGCCAGGCCTCATCCTTCCCTCGCGGCGTATTGCTGCAGCTGCCGAACGACATCCTCCATGGTGCTGTCGTCCGAGGCCAAGACCTCCCTCTCGAGCTCCCAGTCCCTGCCCTCGGCCCCCTGGACGACCATCTTGGTCACCTGTCCGTTGTCGTCCATGACCAGGCGTCCGATTCTACCGTCCGCCCAGGTCAAGGCGATCTGCTTTGCCTCCAGGTCGGCCATGTTGACTTCGACCACGTCGTCCGCGACGGGACCGCCCTCTTGGTGACGGCCGAACAACGTCCGCTTCAGGTCGGCCATGACACCAAGCCTGCTGTGATACCGCGCGACCTCTCGCCTGACCGCCCTAGCGAAGCGATCCAGGTCCTGCTGTGGCGGGGTCTCGCTGTCCGGTTTCGGGCTGGGCAGATAGCGGGCGGCAAAGCCAGCAAGGGGGATCGCGGGTGGGATCGTGTGCCGATGGACGCGTAGGTATTTGGAGTGGGGGTATGGCCTATTCAGCATCACGTAGTACTGGTGCAGATACCGGCCGTGGGTCATGGCCTCGAAGCGCAGGGCGAGGACATGGCCCCCGTCGACAGCGTGGGGATCGGGATCGATGACTTTGAACGAGGTGACGGGCGTGACGATGCGGTGGTAGTTTTGCTGGAGATGCGCGGCTTGTTTCTCGGCGTAGGTACGGAGAGTGGCGTCGTTGGCGAGTAGGGTCTGCCCGGCAGCTGTCGCGACGATGGTGGAGGTTTCGACGGCAAGCTGCTGGCGCGCTTTGGAGACTGGGGGGATTTAGTCGTGAGGTTGGGCAGAGAATGTGTAGATACTGACCGTCAGCCTTCAAGGCGGCAATCTCCTCATCCAGTCGCTCTGCTTCGGTAGACATGTCGCCCGACGCAATGTCAATAATGACGACGCGGGTCCTGTCGCGTCTGGGATCGTTGAAGATAAGGTGACGATCGGGAGCGATAAGCGCCTTATCCAGGCGGCCAGGCCCGCCAGCCTCAGGGGCGCCCACCTCGGAGCATCGGCCCTCGCATCCCACTTCGGCTTCCAAGCTCTTAATTACCTGGGTCCAGCCTAGACAGACAGTCTTCTCACTTCAAAAGCTTGTCGCGAACTGCAGTCACTGCCATGTCGCATTCTTCTTGACGACTGCCTGGCCCTCCTTTATCCAGCTCGTCGGCCTGTCGCTCTCTACGCCTTTCATCCTACCTAGTACATACCCGTTTGTCATCAAGTCCGCGATCCATCGATCCATTCTTCCATTCGCCTCCTGAGGCCCACGACGCGAAATCTGTCCTCCCGCCGTCACGCCCGACTCGACGACTCGACGACTCGAAACCGATGGCCCGTCGCCGCAAATCTCCCAACGGCAACGGCACCATGAGCAGCGGCGTCGAGATGCGCCGCAAGGCCCCGAACCCGGATGCCGACTCGGCCGGCACCTACGTCGCCCGCGACGACTTCACCCTCGACCGCGCACCACCCCCCAGCAGCAAGGAGCACGGGACGGCGGACCACGGCTTCTTTGAGCTGCCCAAGCAGGACCAGAAGAATTTCCTGCTCCTCGTCCTGCTGTACTTTCTGCAGGGCATCCCCATGGGCCTCGCCATGGGGTCCGTCCCGTTCCTGCTCAAGAACCACCTGTCCTACGGCGAGATTGGCACCTTTACCCTCGCGTCCTACCCGTATTCGCTCAAGCTCCTCTGGAGTCCCTTTGTCGACGCCGTCTGGAGCGCCAAGCTGGGCCGACGCAAGACGTGGATCGTGCCCATCCAGTTCCTGTCCGGCTTTGGCATGCTGTACCTGGGCTCCCACGTCGAGGAGATGATGGCCAACACGGGCAAGCCAGGCGGCACGACTGTCTGGCACTTTATGCTGTGGTGGTTCTTCCTGGTCCTCATGTGCGCCACGCAGGACATTGCCGTCGACGGGTGGGCGCTCACGCTCCTGTCGCCCGGCAACGTCTCGTACGCCTCGACGGCCCAGACGGTGGGCCTCACAGCCGGGCATTTCATGTCCTACACCGTCTTTCTCGCCCTCAACGCGTCCGACTTTGCCAACAAGTGGTTCCGCGCGGTGCCCTCGGACGAGGGCCTGGTCACGCTGGGCGGGTACCTCAAGCTCTGGGGCTGGGCCTACATTGTCATCACCATTGGGCTCGGATTCCTGAAGCGGGAGGAAAAGTCGCAGAACGAGGACGGCGTCTGGGATGTGTACCGTATCATGGCGGGCATCCTCAAGCTCAAGAACGTGCAGACTATTATCTTTGTGCACCTGATCGCCAAGATTGGGTTCCAGGCCAACGACGGCGTCACCAACCTCAAGCTGCTGGACAAGGGCTTCGGCAAGGACAACATGGCGCTGACCGTGCTCATTGACTTTCCGTTTGAGATTGGGCTGGGGTACTATGCAGGCATGTGGTCGCAAAAGTACACGCCGATGCGTCTGTGGTGCTGGGGCTTCATGGGCCGGCTGGCGGCCGCTGTGCTGGCGCAGGTGGTGGTCATCATCTTCCCCAAGGAGGGTGTCACGTCGTGGTACCTGCTGGTGGTCATCTTTGAGCACGTGTTCTCGACGTTTACCAACACCATCATGTTTGTGGCCGTCTCGGCATTCCACGCGCGCGTGTCCGACCCCGTGATTGGGGGTACCTACATGACGCTGCTGGCCACGTAAGTCAAGACTTTTATGAACCAGGACTTTTCAACTGACAGAGATAGGGTCTCGAATCTTGGCGGGACATTCCCGCGCTACTTTGTCCTCAAGCTTGTCGACTCATTCACCGTGGCTACGTGCCACCCACCCACGGACCTGAAGGAGGCGCCCTTTACGGCGCCCTTTTCCTGCGCCATGCAGGCGGACAAGGAGATGTGCGAAAAGGGAGGCGGCACGTGCGAGATGCTGCGCGACGGGTACTACACTGTGAACATTATGTGTGTCCTGTTTGGTGTGGTGACGTTTATGTGGTATATCCGGCCCAAGGTGCTGCAGTTGCAGGAGCTGCCCCTGCGCGCTTGGAGACTGGGGCCGAAGAAGTAGATAAGCTAGATATAGAGTAGATTTGTCAGAGGGACGTATTGATACATTGTGTTCAATAATTATCGACCATTGCGCCGTCTGTCTGGGGTTGGACGCCCCACCTCGAATCCGGGGTCGTCGATATGCTGAAGCCTCACTCACGTCAGCCCTCACTTACAAAGAGCAACAGTCGTACACCATACTGCTGACAGAGCTTATCTCGGGCGGAGCGCGAGTAACATCTATTTATCGCAAAATACGCCGAGGCGACGGCACGCGACCGCTATGCCGGCAGCCCCAGTCTGAGCCCCCCATCTCGGCTTCTCGAGGCTACTACCCTCAACCTCCAGATCTTGCCGAGGGACCGACCGACCACACTCCGATCTCCAGGGTCAAAAACATCCGCAGGTCCGATGAAAGCCTCATGTAGCTCTCAGAAAGAATGCTTTATCTTTATTTTGACGCTCACAGTACATGTAGCTTAAGTCTTGCTGACCTCAAGTCGTCCGCCGGGACCACAACTGCTCTGTAGACCTCATCACATCATCGTCCCACCACCCACAAAACCAAAATGTCGCAGCAGCAAGCCATCTCACTCGCCTTTTCCCTCTCCTCCTCCTCCTCCTCCTCCTCTTGTTCTTCAGCAGCAGCTTCCGACGCATCACGCCCCCCCTCACCCGCCTCCTCCATCATGTCCGCGCCCGTGGACGAAGACGCCTACTTCTCCACCCAGCCCCCGCCAGCCTCGCTCCCGGCGCAGATTGCGGCTTCAACCGACTTTGTGAACCGCCATGCCGCCGCCGGCCGGCGCGTGGTCCTCATCACCTCGGGCGGCACCACCGTTCCCCTCGAGAAGCAGACGGTCCGCTTCATTGACAACTTCTCCGCCGGCACGCGGGGCGCCACCAGCGCAGAGTACTTCCTCGAGGCCGGCTACGCCGTCATCTTCCTCCACCGCGAGTTCTCCCTCGTGCCCTACGCCCGCCACTTCTCCCACAGCACCACCGGCTCATTCCTGGACTTTCTCGAGGAGGACGGGCACGGCAACGTGAGGAGCAAGGACGCCCGCATGGGCGACGTCCTCCAGCGGTACACCCGCGCCCGGACAGAGGGTACCCTCCTCACCATCTCCTTTGTCACCATCACCGACTACCTCCACTCGCTGCGCGCCATCTCGCGCCTCATGGCGCCCCTCGGCCCCCGTGGGCTGCTCTACCTCGCCGCCGCCGTCTCAGACTTCTTCGTCCCCGAGTCCCGCATGGCCGAGCACAAGATCCAGTCCACCGACGTCGCCATGCCCGCCGACGAGGAGGAGTTTGACAACTTTGACAATGCGCCCCGGATCGCCCGCTCCAAGCGTCTTGTTATTGATCTGGACCCCGTCCCCAAGTTCCTCAAGAACCTCGTCGACGGCTGGGCCCCCGAGGGCATGATCACCTCGTACAAGCTCGAGACCGACCCGAGTCTGCTCGTCCACAAGGCCCGCCACTCGCTCGGCCGCTACCAGCACCACCTCGTCATCGGCAACCTCCTCGCCACGCGCAAGTGGGAGGTCTGCTTTGTCAGCCCCGGCCGCGAGGACCAGTGGCTGCGCGTTGGCAAGAAGGACGGCAGCACGTGGACTGAGGAACAGGTCAGGGCGCTGCAGGCGGGCCGGGTGCCCAAGGAGGAGCCCAGCGGTGAGATTGAGAGTTTAATTATTCCCGCGGTCAGGGACCTGCACGATGAGCACATCAAGACAAGTGAAGCCAGATCACATCAATAAAGTTGGTATTCATCTGTATGCCCTCTCTTTTTTTTGGGTTTAAAATCTAAAAAACAGCCGTCCAGTTCCTCCAGCCGACGACAGTCGCCTTGGCCCACACAAAGGCCGCCAGGGAGCCAACATATACCGTCCCCGTCAGGATGATCAGGCCCCAGTACTCGCCGTCGTTGGCCTGCACCACGCTGCCCGCAATCGGGATCCCGATGAGGCAGGCAAAGGACACCACCGTGTACGTCGTGGCGTAGTAGCGACCGTACTCCTGCGTCTTGCACAGCCGCCCGATGCACACGGGCGCAATGGCGATGCCCGTGCCCGAGGCGAAGCCAAAGAGCAGCGCGAACATGACAATCCCGGGCGTGGTGTGGCCAAAGGGGAGCCAGATCACCAAGCAGGCGAAGAGGGACAGGACGACGGACGAGATGCATGTGTTGAACGGGCCGATAATGTCGGCGTACCAGCCTGGCAGACCACGTCCCACCACAGAGCCCGCGTTCAAGATCGGGATCAGTTGGTAGGCAAAGGTGGGGTCGAAGCCCTTGTGCAGGGCATACGTCGTAATGTACCCCACGGGGATGAAGAGGCTAAATTCGAGCAAAAAGAGGCCGACGGTCGCCAGGGTAAACGTGACATGCTTGAAGATCTTAAACTCGGGCTTCGCGGTGGCGTTGGGCGCCGGAGGCAGTCGGGAGCGGACCAGCAGGTTGCCCATGATGCAGGAGACGAGGACAATGAGCGCTATGCAACGCGCCGTCCACCCGAACCCAATCTGCTCAAAGAGAGGGTTCGCCATGAGCGGGAAGATGATGCCACCAAAGCCGCCCGCCGTGGCCGCAATGCCCGTGGCCAGCCCGCGTCGGGCCTTGAACCAGTGGCCCACGGCCCCGACCGAGGGCGTGAACAGCAGCGACGTCCCCACGCCGCAGAGGATGCCGAACGCGATGATAAAGTGCCACAGCTCGGTGCAGAAACTCGTCGAGAGCATCCCGCCCACCGTCAGCACCGAGCCGGCCAGGATGAGATAGCGTGGGCCGTGCTTGTCAAAGATCGGCCCAATGTAGACGCCGCAGAAGAAGGCGAGAAATGTGTAGATGGAGAAGACCCAGCCGACGGTGCCCTCGCTCTGGCCCTTGAGCTGGTGGTCCAGCGTGTATGCCTGGAAGATGCCAATGGTGTTCATCAAGCCCAGGGACGAGAACATGGAGAACCAGGCGCCCAGCACCACCAGCCATGCCTTGGTGCCGCCCTCGGGGTAGGTTTCCTGGTAGGACGCGGTTGACGATGCGTGGGTGGCGCGCTTCTCAAGGTCGGTGCCCTCAGGCGGTTGCTCGTCCGGGACGACAATCTCGTCCTCGGGGCCATCATGGGCGGTGCGTGACGTGACCTGGCGGACGTCCATCTTGTCTCAGTCTTGGGCGCGAGAGGAAGAGCATGTTGTCGAGCAGACGAATGCTGGCGGAGAAGAGAGGCGGCAGATCGGGAATATATAAAGTTATCGGGCGCCAGCCGCTGGGCGACTTCGGAGTGGGTAGGCCGACCAGAAAAATCCTCTGCGACGCTGCAAAGTCATGGTCATTGAAACTGCTGGTTGGTCCACGGGCGCGTCATCCCCGGACTACCTCCACGGTGCCCGCACCCGCACCGCATCGGGGCCCAAAAGTGCATGCAGACCGAAGCCGAAGCCGAAGCCGACATGCTGCATATTGCCTCGATTAGTAGTTTATGACTTGCGTATTAGTCAAGCGGCTTTTTCTCAATCCTCGTCATCGGCCTCCTCGACTGTCACGGCCTTGGAGGGCGGCGGCTGTGGCTTGAGGTACCCCTCCTGCTCCAGTCGATCAGCCTCTTCCGGTTCCATCAAGCCACCTTGCCCCTGGCCCTTGTCCATCTTGAGCTTGACGACATTGGGCACAAAGGCGGCGACAGCTTCCTTGCGGAGGTCGCGTCGCACGGGCTCGGCGGAGTAGGTGACCTTGGCTTCCGCAGGCGGGGCGTCCTTCTTGGGCTCATTGTCCTTCTTGTGGGCTGCGGCGTTCTCAGCCTCGCGGCGCGCGCGCCGTCTGGCGTACCACGCGTCGAGGACGTCCTTGGGAATCGGCGGCGGCGTATCGCGCGGCATCGGTATCGATCGCACGTCCTCTGGCACGTCCTCCTCGCTCGTGGAGGCGTTGGACCCGCGTCGTCGTTTGCCCAGAACCGCGGGGCCGTCGTGATCCCTCGTCCAGCCTCGTCCGAACGTGGGTGCGCGGTCGCCTAGTGTGTCCCTGGCCTTCTTGACCGATCGGAGCTCATTCTCGAGGCCCTCGAGGACCTGCTCCTCATGCTTGCTGAGTTTTCCGCCGTTGGTCGTGATGGCCTTTAGATCGTCGATTTGCTTCTGGATGCGCTCGGGATTCTTCTTTGCCAGTTTCTCGTTTTTCCGGACCAGCGATTCGGCTTTGCCTGCGCGACGTTAGGGGATGGATGTAAATTTGACCTTCTCGTGTCACTGACCCTTCTTGATCGCCTTGGCCTTGTCAGCTTTGCGCTGGGCCTGCACGGGGTTGTAGTTGCGCTCTTTGGCCATTGTCGAAGCAGCGGCAAGAATTGCTCGCGAGGAGGAGGCACGTCGGGGCTGGGTTGTCGTGGTTGTAAGCTGCACAGGGGATCGTAATGGTTCGCGTAGAGAAAAGCCCCATGATGTCAAAGTCGATCTCGCGTGCTGGGGAAAATATGATTACTAAGCGCTTGGCGCGACATTACAAGCGCAGACCTCTGCATCATCCTCGAAGCACCCAGTCAACACCAATCTGTGCGCAGCCCCTTTGTCACGACCAACGGACATCCAACTTTAGACCTGAGCATGGCCTCCCGACCAAGCCTCTGCACGTGCCGCTGGCGACCATGATGCAGGGACTGCTAATAGGTATTCAATGATGCACGCATAGACCGCTCTGCCTCTGCCAAAGGCTCTTGTTTGTAAGTAGGGCGCGAATAGACGGAGGATATATGTCTTGCGTATTCCACAATCGACACGCGATGGCTTTCATATTCATAGGCTGCTTCAGCTAGGATGGTTGAGCCTGCTGGTAGTCATGATTCTTCCGATCCAGACGTCGCATTACTACAGACAGCATGGACAAGTCGCCTCTCCTGCAGCTCTCGTACGCAGAGCCTCGTCAGCGACAACCGTGGCGACGGGCATGGCCATTGCTGCTATCATTCTGGGCATGGGTATCATCCTCATGCTGGCGGTGGCATGCTACTTTTACCACAGGCGAATTACACAGCTCATGCAAGCATCATCACATAAGCCCAGCACATCGAGGAAGCTCCACCGTGAGCCTTTACTAAAACGCGTGCGCCAGCTGCTCAACCGAAAGAGAGAACATGAAGGGGGCGGCGAAACACAAGTCGTCAGTACAGGAGTGGAATGCCAACAGCAGCCGCCGATACAGTCTCACGAACCTCACCCTGCACAAGTCCCACCTCTGAACATTGTCAAAGCACCACGACCGGTATCACCGTTCAGACCACCAGTGCCTTTGCCACCGCTGAGGACCGTTTTCTCAAGCCTCGATGCCACTGTGGCGCAAGCCTTCAGCACGTCGGCACCTATGGCCAGCCCAGACCGACGATCACTGAGCACACTTGGCAAAGTCCTTCTCCAAGACACGATGCAAGCACCCGATCCCGAGCGATTCACCGCGGCCACAGCATCACCTGCCTCGCTCAACTGGACGGTGACGCCAGAAACGCCCTAGACAGTGGCAGGACGACAGGGAAACGGCAGGACGACGATGAGGGGGAATGTTGCGTGCACATTGCGGTAAAAGGGTCAGCTCGGTAAACAACAATGAAGCGAATTTGCAATACGCCAGGAGGATAAGCGCAAATGCATTCGCTTAACGTTCACTCATGCTGCTGACGCTTGCCGTTGGACCTGTCATCGGCTTCCCAGACGCTTGCGCCACGGTCAGCCTGATTCCTGCCAGGGACCAAGAAGGCTCACCAGCTGCAGCTTTCGCGAGCAAGGTCCCAGACGACTTGCTAACTCCCCAGTCCTGCGCGGACTAGACATGGTATCCAACCCAATGTGCTGTTGGATTCAAAGTGGAGGACGAGGCATAATCCAGCATGGCATGGGATATCAGCCAGCTCGACAGGAAAGTCGAAGAGTAGAATGAGTCGACAATGTCAGAAGCATATAATAAGCTGCATGTGTCAGCAGATCGTGATCGAGCACCCGTTCAAGCCAACAGTCTTGGAACAACATGCGTCTCTCCCAAGTACTATACTCACCGGCCTCGGCCTCTGGCGAGCAGTCTAGGCCAAGCCTGCCATTCTGAACGCTCTGTCGAAGTATACCACCGCTGGCTCGTGATCATCAAGCTCGAAGTCGCCTGCGCAGGTCCATATCACTACCCAGAGGGACACGACAACCTGTCCGACTGGCTGGCGTACTATCGAGACATGTTCAATGGCGTCGTGGACGGACATCTCGGGTACGGCTCCAAGGCATGGGCGCCTGGGTCGCGTGGCGAGGCCGCGAAGGGTGTTCCTCCCAAGTCCTTGATCCCCAAGAAGATCAAGCGCGAGGAGGAGACGGCTCTCGAGTACGGTCGTCGCGGGGAGCAGCCAACGTCTCTGGGGACGTCTGGGCTCAACTGTATTAACGTACGGGCTTGAGTCTGGGATACCGGACGCATGTTGTACTGGAGTTGGGTAGCATGGCGCGATGTACCTGGTTCCTGGAATCACATAGCAGGGGAATCGAATATTATTATCCGTAGATTCAGAGATTATGATGACTTGCCGCTCTTTCTTTCCCCGTCGCGATTTGATGACCGAATTGAAGCACGGTGGCAGCCAACGCGAGGCCAAGCATCCCATGCAGCTGCGGCCGGGATCCATCACATGCATGCATGCGAGAGACGCTGCGACTCGACCACTCGACGGCGTTGCCACGCTTATTTTGTCATCCGACATGTTCTCGACAACCATTCTGCCTGATGACTGGGTGCGCCTTTCAGACAGCCGGACGGACAACGCCCAGGCTGACGGAATGGAGGGACCCTCCTCGAGTTGGGTCTGGGATCCGTGGGCCCCTGCTAGCGCCAGCGATGCCATGACGATGAATCCCCGCAGCGCTGTTTGTGCGCCCGCTGAAGAGGCCCTAGTACCAATAGATATTATTCAAGACGAGGAAGCGCCACGAGACAGACAGCCCACGGGCTAAAGTATTTGCCATGTTGCCCGTGAAGAAAAGAAGTAAAGCTCATGTTTGCGCCAACTTCAAAACGTCCGAGGACTGGAGCTGTAGCTATACGCTCGACTGTCCAGACGACTTCTCGAACGCTAGGACGGGGAGCTGCACCGACATCCGCACGGATACTCCCATCGTTATAGCGCTCGACGCTCGTGGGCTCTCGTTTGGCGTGCCGCGTGAGGGTTCACCGCGACTCACGAGAGCTAATACTGTATGGAACACAGATGTCTCAGGGGTTCAGTGGGCCACGATGCGGAGCGGAGCTGAGCTTGCCTCTTTATGTATACGGTCCACGGCAAGAAGAGCCTTGGACGGTGCTGATGCGGCCAAATAACACTCCGGAAGGCTCAAGCAGAGGAATACTAGACTAGTACGTACGGAGTACTACGGACGTACTCCGTACTCATCATCCATAACAAGCATTCTGCCGCGAAGCTCGCTGAACTTTGAAGACCCCCCTGCAACCTCCCACGACCGGGTGGTGTGCAGTGTGGGGGTCACCGTGGCACGGAGCGTCTGGTCATGCAAGTGTTTCGGTCCTTCGTTCGCGTTATTGACCCGAGGGTGGGAAACTTTGAGCGGGAGGAAACGCGGCAACGTGAGATGGGCGCGCGGCCAGACTGCGTTAGCCGGCATCGCGCGTGCGCCTCCTCAAAGAAGCAACTTGTCAGTGTCGAGTATTCCCAGTCTAGGCACAGACTCGAGAAGTCAAGAAGCGTCGCGGCCGCCTGCGACTGGATGGACCCTCGGCCACACCTCGTGTGCCTGTGGGCGCGGGTGCATGCGCCGAGGGGACTGGACTGGACCCTGCCTGGCTTGGCCGGCAGCTGCACTTTTCCTGCCTTGCCTTACAACATTACCTGACCAAGCCAGCAACAAATACCTGATGGATTCTGCTAATGGAAATGCCCGGCCGCGATAGTTCATCAGTCCGGAACGTGAATATGCAGCAATGACGGAGGTGCATGAGGGGACTGGGCAGGTATTGGAGAACACCTGTATAGCAGCGTGGGGTGTTGTGGTTGACTGCGTCAACTGGCAACGAGGCACAGGACTAACTTAGAGTCCTATTTCAGCGTACTTGTCATCTGTCAGCTAGTGCTAATAAAGCCGAGTGTGAGGCATTACTGGTGATCGTGCCGTCGTAGTTGTTGGTCGCACGACAGCATGCTGTACTACCCGCTCCAAGGATCGCAGAGCCGAGATCGGATCCCCGAAACTCTATGCCATGAGGAATTCCGCTTGTCCATGTGCTGCGTGTCATCGAGCAACGATGCACTCTTCCAAAAGGTAGCAATCTGTTGATTACCACAACCACTTTCCCCTCCTCTGACTACCACGTAGGCTTTTTAAGACCTGTCACCCATGATGACGGCCCTTGCTAGCCGTTCGTGGTGTGCAAGCATCTATTAATTGCAGTCGATCTTCCAGGCATGTGATTGATCCGGCGCCATCGGCGGAGAGGGCGAGTGCCAGCTCCACCACGCCATAGTAAGGCATCGCCTGTCCCTCTCCCTCAGTGGCTCGTTTCCGTGTACCGCTGGGCGGGTCACGACCCTTCAAAGTCGAGAAAAGCCGGGACGTGAGCGACCGACCGGAGTTTGAGCGTTTTATGGAACGACAGCACCGTCGTAGCGTGTCGTGGTGTAGAGGTACCAGTAAGCAGGCTGCAGCTGAGCCGGCGTCAAGTTGGATCGCTGGCTCAAATTAGGATTGTAGTCATCGACGGGATAATAGAGCTATTGATGAATCCAGTGTCGACTTCGCCATTGACTTTAACCTTTACCACCAACGACTCATGTCTCGGACGACAAGTCGTATGTCATCGTACGCTGCCCATCTTGTCCCGTTTGAGGAGTGGACTGGTTGGGCGTTGACCGGGAACCTAAAGCGTTAGCGATGTACGGAGCCTCCACTCCACTGTATCCACTAGAGTCTCCCCATTGACGCCCGCCGCACAGGGCCCAAGGCTGTTCGCAGCGGCATCCACTGGCACTGACACCGCTGCCAGGCCAGGCTGCTCGCTGCAGCGCAACCGGTGGACGACAACTTCCGTGGCAAGTCCATCCGCGCTTAATTCCCTCGATCTTCCAGCCAGCCAGGCCTCAACCTAAATCAATTACTTTACCTTACCTTACCTGTACTCTTGCTCCCTGGCCTACCTACGTACACACTTCGCATCTGTTTCCGTGTGAATACCCTCACCTGCGCACACACTGCATTGGTCTGTCGCACCCACCGCACATTGCGCCAGTCTCCAGCCAGTCAAGTCAGCCCTCTTCGACGTGGGGCCTCACTCACATTGTTGACCTGGGGGGACACCGACCGACCGACCGACCGGTCTCGAAAAGACCAGATTTCTCCACGACGTATCGCTGTGGGAACCAGCTCGTCACAATTCATCTTCTACCTGGCCTCGTGTGGACACTATGGCCGCTGCCAGGCCCGCCGCGATGACGGGGACCGCCAGTCCGGCCTTCACAATGAATCCGACGTCGACAGAGCACGACTGGCGCTTCCCGCGACGACCTGCTGCCCAGCCCGGCGCTGCGCACCAGCGACTGCGAGGCGCCCAGACAAAGGGGACCGCGGCGCCGCAAGACGAGGCCATCCTCGGACCAGCTTTATTTCCTCTGCTGCAGAGCGCCAACGTCAGCGATGTCGACGGCATGCAGCAGGACGATCCGCTGGCGACCCAGGTGTGGAAGTTCTTTGCCAAGACGAAGCAGCAGCTCCCAAACCAGGACCGCATGGAGAATCTGACCTGGCGCATGATGGCCATTGGCATCAAGAAGCACAAGGAGAAGCGACAGAAAGCATACGAGAGGAGCATGCGGCCGGCGACGCTGAATGCCCCCAGTGGCATCGCGCAGCAGCTGCGCAAGTCGTCCGAGCACGTTACGGGCCTCAACGGGGACCATCACCAGCAGAATGACCCCATGAACATTGACGACTTCATCTTTTCCGAACACGCCGCGACGCCTGCCGCAGACATGTCACCCGACGTCGAGTTCCAAAAACCCAACGCCATCCCCATCAAGTCGCGCAAGGCCCAGATCCAGCAGCAGCATCAGCAGCAGCAGAGCCAGATGCTACAGCAGCAGCAACAGCAACAGCAACAGCATGCGTTTGTGCCCCAGTCTGTGCCCGAGCATCACCAGAATGCCGAGTTCAACTATGTCAAGCGTCATCATCGCAAGACGAGCATCGATGACCGCCGCGTGAGTTCCATCCACCCTCCATGGGCCCCCACGTCCAGTCCCTGCCCACCGCTGCCGCACTTTTTCTGTCCCCCATTCCAATCCGCCCATGCCGCCGCCGCTTTAACGTTTCGAGTCCCATGCTGATTGATGATCGATCCCCAGACAACTCGCAAGCGTCCTGCTGATTTCTCTCCGCATGTCGCTGCTGTCAACAGCCATGCCCACGAGTTGGAGCCGGATGCCAACCTGGGTGACTACTCCCTCGATACTCCCCACCAGGTGAACATGCAGCAGCATCACCAGCAGCAGCAGCCGCACCCCAGCCAACAGGGCGTCCCCTTTGCTCTGGACTCGTTCATGGAGAACGACCCAATCATCAGCTCGGCCGGTCCCTTCCAGCAGAACTTCTTCTCGCCGGGCACGTCGCCCATGGTCGCCAACGGAGGGTTCCCAAACCTGTACAATGGCAACTCGGGACCCTCGAATGACATGTATTCCCCGCCCGGTTCGGCTTATCAGTCCACCGTCTCGACGCCTCACCCCACGGGCGGCGACGGCGACGGCTTCTACTTTGGTGGTCAGCAGCAGGGCAACCATCCGCAGTCGTTCCGTCAGCAGCAGCAGCAGGCGCCGCCGCAGCAACAGCAGTTCATGTACAATGGGAACAACACACCTTTCCCAACCACGAGCGGGCCATCCGAGGGAGTGTCGCAATTCAGCACCACCGCACCCAGCTCGTTCGGTGGCCACATTGATCCGACCCAGGTGTTCCACGCGGATCACTCCATGACTTCGCCCGGCGTGGGCTTGCCGCAGGATAACATGTTTTCGTTTGGTGCCGACTCGGACGACGAGGACAACAATGCATTTGCCGACCGTAATCTGAGCATGCACCACGAGTTCAGCAGCTCTGTGGACGAAGCGAACGCAATGGGCTGGGATGCATCGTTACCCGGGCAGTTTAGCACGCAGGCGGCGAGGTTCCCGGGCGGGCCCCCGCGAAAGCAGGTCATGATTGGTGGCACTACGACGGACTATGTCGAGACCAATAATGGAGAGTGGCAGGGAGAAGGACTGGGGCGGTCTCAATCGTTCAGATCTGGGGGAGGGGATAAGAGGGGACAGAGGATTCCGCGAAATGCGTCGACACCGCACATGGCAGGTCAGCCCAATGGGTTTGAGCATCTGGCGCAGTCGCTGCCGACATCGCCGGCCGACGCACCTGGCACTATATCTGGCTTTTCATCGGTGGCCCCGAGCCGACCTTCGTCGCCTCCACTGTCGAAACCAGGCTCGAGTACAAACTTGGCGGGAGGTAATCAGTCCGAGAGCAGTGGGCCCACGACGTGCACAAACTGCTTCACGCAGACCACTCCATTGTGGAGGCGGAACCCCGAGGGTCAGCCACTGTGCAATGCGTGCGGCCTCTTCCTCAAGCTGCACGGCGTCGTTCGTCCCCTCAGCTTGAAGACGGACGTGATCAAGAAGCGGAACCGTGGATCAGGCGCCAACGTGCCCGCCAGTGGATCGACAGGCCGCATCAAGAAGAGTGCTTCAACGGCGGCCTCGCGCAAGAACTCGAGTTTGTCCCTCGCAGCCAGCGCGGCCAAGGAGGTCAAGGCCAACACCGTGACGCCGCCCTCGCACCCGCCCGCCGCGACACCTCCGTCCACCAACCGAGCGGGCAGCACCAACGAGGGCGAAAGCCCGGCGTCGACGGCCAACACACCGGGCACAGCGACGTCCTCGTCGTCCACCAACGCCCTGATGGGTGGGAAAGGGGTTGTGCCTATCGCTGCCGCGCCACCCAAGGCCACACCCGGACCCGGTGCCTCGGCCATTACCCTCGTGCCCAGGCCATCGACCTCGAAGCGTCAACGCAGGCATAGCAAGAGCGGCAACGGCGATGTCGAGATTGACTCGCCCAACACGTCGACCGGCTCCCCCAACGAGATGACCCGCATCCCACCGACGCAGATGCCCATCATGCCCGGTGGGATGATGCCCAACAGTTTCCACCAGCACCAGCACCCGCGACCGATGATGGGGAGCAGCAGTAATATGATTCATATGGGTGGCAACCCGCAGAAGCCGTCGTCCATGGGCGGCGCGGGCAGCGCGTCCGGACCGCAGGAGTGGGAGTGGTTGACGATGAGTTTGTGAGGGGGGCCGCCTGGGGCTATGGGCATCGGTAAGGGGGGGAGAGGCACTGTGGACTGACGACGACGATGACGACGAATTATACCTCTTGCACGATGACTTTTTTCACTTATCTTTTGGACACTGGGATGGATCAGCGTTTAGATTTCTTGGGCGGTGTTTTGTCTGTTCGCGAACGGCGTTTCGATCTAGATACCTGTCACACTTACCTACCTAGTACCTATCGAATATCAAATGCCAGGACTGGAAATATTAGGACTGAAGCTGAAGTACCTGAATCATAATTGTTGCATTTGCCTATCAAAACTCCTGTCACAATCCTGCCTGTCCATGTTCTGCTACCATTACTCTAAAACTCCGAAGCCACGCGTATGTATGCATCCATCCGTCCTACGAAATCAAAAGTGAACCCTCTCACAGCATCGTGCCAAACGTGTCCTCCTCCTGAAGGGTGGGGATCCTCTTGCGCGGGCTGCCCCCGTCTTCCGTCGCCGGCTTGCGATGGCGGAACGTGAAGCCGACAAAGAGACTCTTGCTCATCTCCTCCTCGCGATCGGCCATGGTCTCGAGGGCCTGCTGCTTGTCATGCACCTCCTTGTACTTGGCCATATCAGCCTCGTTGGAAAAGTCATCAAAGTAGCCCGCGTCTGTCTCCGAGTCCAGCTCGGGCACAAACGGCGCGCGCGTCTGACGCAGCGTCTTCCAGTCGACCTCGGCAAAGTACTGATGATTGTAAATGTCTTGGATATTGCTGAAGCGATGCCGGCGGGAGTTGATGGCGGTTGTGATAAAGTTCCAGGTGCGGTTGCTGAGGAAGTAGTTGGGATCCTCCCAGACAGGCCGCTTGAGCACGTCTTTCCAGTGCTTCAAGTTGCGCCACGTCTCGTCGGGCGAGGCGCCCGCAAAGGGCGGGAAGCCCGTGAGTGCTTCGAACAACATGCAGCCCAGACTCCAGTAGTCGACCGTGTAATCGTACTGCTCCCCTCTAAGGACTTCCGGCGCCATGTAGTCGGGCGAGCCCACAATGGACTTGGCATAGTTCACGTCGTTGTCGCGCATGTTGCGGTAGCTCTCACGGCGCTCCGCAACCGTTCGCTGCGCCATGGGCTTGCCAAACGGAACAGAGGTCTCGGAGGCTTCCTCCAGCTTGACGCGCATCGACTCGATCTTGGAGGGGGCGAGAACACCGGCCGCCAGGCCAAAGTCGGTCAGCTTGACGTGGCCGGTGGAATCGACCAGAAAGTTTTCCGGTTTCAGGTCACGATGAATGTAGCCCAGTTCATGCAGCGCGTTGACGCAGCAGAACATCTCGGCGATGTAAAAGCGGGCGTGGCGGTTGGATAGCACGCCTGTGTTGTTAAGCAGAGTACGAAAGTCGCCGCCAGGCACGTATTCCATGGCAAGATAGATACTCTTGTCGTCCTGGAAAGAGTACAGCAGCCGGACCAGCCAGTCGCTTTGGGCCGTGGTGAGAATGTCGCGCTCTGTCAGAACGTGACGGACCTCGTCGAGCTTGAAGAGCAGCTTCTTGCTCATGACTTTGAGGGCACACACCTCGCGCGTGTCCTTCTTCTGTGCCAGGAACACCTGGCCGTAGCCGCCCTGGCCAACCTGGGTGAGGATCTGGAAATCGCCTTGGCGGAGGCGGACGCGCCTCTTGCGCAGGTTGGCTCGTTCGCGGCCGGTGTATTGCCTCCACACCTGATTGAAGTCGGCCTCGTTTGTCTCGGGTGGTGGTGGGTATTCTTCCTTGAAGGCATTGAGGCGGTTCTGGCGCGCCCCAACGTAGGTGAGGAGGTCGAAGTAGTAGTCGAGAAAGTAGAGTTGGGTCACGTTGACCATGCGCTTGACGCCTGGTTTCTGGAGGATCTCGCGCTCCTCTGGCGTGAGTCCTCGTGAGGTATTGAATCTCTTGGTGGCTACAGACCGCTCTCGAGGCTCGTAGTGTTGCTGGCGCGACAGGGCTGCGTGGCTGTGCTGGACAGGCACGCGCGTTGTGGGCGGCGTGTTCTCCTGGCCTTGTTTGAGGGGACTGCCGGGCGAGGGGCCCTTGTGGATGACACTGTCGTCGACGTTGATGCTGTTCTCGTCCAAAGGCTGGGCCTTGCTCTGGCCCACTGAGAGAGGTGTTGTTATGACGCTCTGCGGTCGGGTGAGCTTGACGGGCGCCTCGATGGCGCTGGCCTTGAGGTTCATCGCATTGTCAAAGGTTGTCGAGAGGTCGTGGGCACCTGGCGGGACGGTCTTCTTGCTGGGGCTGCCCTGAGGCGTGCTCGTGGGCTCGACGAAGCTGTTGGGTCGATTGGGCGTGCCTGGCCGGGCAGACGTGGCGGTCGGCTTGTCCTTGCCAGGGAAGAAGTTGGACATGAAGCTGGCCATGGCGCGTCCAGGTCACCCCGTCGTCCAGATTGGCGCGGTTGCGTATGTGATGGGGAGGGATACTGGTGCAGTGGGATGGAAGAGAGGCACAGATCTGGAATGAATGTCGAGTACAAGCGAGTGAAGGTGCAGATTCATGTAGTCAAGGCAGGATGTAAGAGTGGTGGATCGGACCTTGCTTTTGGCAATCGAGCAGCGCGCGCAAGTCCAGCGAGCGTCAGAGGCGGGGCAGGCGAGCTGGAGTAAACAAATCGCCCGATGGGGTCAAGCGCTCCGCATGCATTCCACGATCTGAAATTGAGATCTCAATGTTAGCGCTCCTAGCTTTATTGGCTTTCCCAATGCGACGCAGAGTCAATTTAAAGGGCAGTGCGAGCACAGACTGCGCGACGCTCCATTCTTGGTGAATTCCTCCCCGTAGGTCTCGGGGAAGCCGACATGGAGGGAACAGCGCTAGCTTGGCCTTTGGGCTTCGAGCTGAAAGCCTGAAAGGTTGGGCAATGTGTCTAGGAATGCTGCATTGGTCTCCAAGGGAACCGAGCTCTTCGCCGCAATGAACAGCCATTGAGTACGCAAGTACGTCAGTTATTGGCAGTGCTCGTGGTTCGTTGTTAAAAATGACCCAGCGACGTCCCACGCCATCGATATCGGCAATGGAATCACCTTGATGTTTTTGAAATACCCTATACCTGGCCCATTTGCTGCAGTCAGGGCGGCATACTCAGGTACGTCTGGCAGGTTGAGTTTTGAGGAAGCAATGCTCCATTCGTCAAAGATTTGCCTTCGTTCTATGAGGCATATCAATAAAGCTCGACTACAGAGTGTTGAAAAAGATACGTAATAACGGCTTCTCACCACCCGTCCAGCTCCAGCCCAGTTGGGCCATCCGAGCCGCCTCATCAGACCACTCACGTAGACTTTGTCACCCGAAAGGCCTCAAACTGCGTGATTTCTTCCTCGAATGCCCAATTCAAGCTTGCCAAGGCGTTACTGACCCCAGCCGGCCGGTCATTGAGGGTCCTTCTTTAATCTTATCAATCAGTAGATGCGGTAGATCGGGGTGACTGCCCAGCAATCATGTGGTCATGCCGACGACCATCACCTGAGCGTCGTCGGGAGCCTTGACCCCTCCTCATCCCAGTAACTCGCCTCTGCGGCAACAGCATAACAACGTGATTACCGCCATATTTCTTGTCTTTACAATACAGATAGAGCCTTCCATCATGAAGCTGTCCGTCCTTGGTAGCCTAGCTGGTGCCTTTGCAGCCGTGGCGGCCGACGCCCACCACCCGTCGGCTCTGTTCCACAACGACGCCAATGCTGCTGCCCACCGAATTCCAACCAGCCATGAGTCGGCCGTCATGGGACGCCGCATCCTCGGCCTTTCCAAGCTAGGCGAGCTGTCCACCGTCTTTCCTACCAAAAGCCAGGATGACCTGGCGGGCGTCCCCATCGGCCTGATGGACTACGTTGGCGACTGCGAGGACGAGGGCAACCCTACGTTGCTAGCCATCAAGATCGCCACCAGTTTCAGAAACGTGGAAGCTGGCTCGAACATCTCCCTGTCTATGCGCTGGATCCCGCCGTACCCTCCCGCCCGACGCATCTCCTACTTTTCGCGGCTCACAGCCTTTCTGACCGGGGATGCGTCCTACAACGAGGCGGCCAACGCGACGCCCGATCCGGTGCCTTATTCGGCCGCCAACCTGCCTCGCTTCTCCCTGATGGGGTATCTAGAGCCCATCAACCCCGAGCCGGTCGAGGCAGTCCGCCTAGCTGCATGCTTCACGGGCCAGCACCGCGATGCAAAGTGGTGGCTGCCCGGCAACCCGATCCACGAGAGCTCCTGGGCGAGGCTGGTGGTGACGCACGTGTACTGGATTGGAGGCTTTGGCGACAGAGCCTACATTGGCCCTATTCCGCTGGAGCAATGGAAGAATGTTACCAAGGAGGAGTGGTCCAGCATCAAGCTTCCTGGTGAGGAGAAGGGCTGGAGCGAGTGGAGCGTCGGTGCCAGCGATGAGCTGTAGTCAGGCGTCCGGACGAGTGACCGATCATCCAACCGGACGGATGCTGTCCATAGTCTTGCAGTAATACCACAGTCGCCTTTCAAGACAGTCAGCTTGGCCACGGCCTGAACTTCTCCGTGATGCGGACCCAGAAAGCAATGTGGTGGCACGTCACTTGGCATGCATGGTTATCCACCACAGCACCTCGCTGTCGTGTCACGAGAGGTGCATAAAGGCTCACGAGTAATACTTGGGCATCAGATCACCGTAGTATCTGTCTATCATCACTCTATTTAGAGGTACCGTGCCAGCTATCACACGCCAGCTCGTTGAAACATAGGGCACATTTCGTTCTGGGTAGGGTTTAGCCGATAGGCGGAATGACGGACGCGGATAAGGTTCAACTTATTAGGCAATACCACGACTCGCGCTTCAATCTGGAAATTATCTATCGTCATGAATAAACCGAACCCCGAGCGCCAGTGGTGTTGCGCCAAAGGCGGAGAACCCTCGGGTCATACCTATGGGAGGCGTCTGGGCAAAAGTGAGGCCTCAGGTCAGCGATTGTCGCGGGGGAGGGAGGGCGAGTGCCACGCTTCAGCGTGGGTAGCACGCATCACAGTCAATAAATTCGCCTGCTTACAAAAGTACAAGTTATCATAGCATCCGACTGGAGACAGCGACGTTATCTCTTTGAGGCAGCCGATGATGCTTGTTCAACGGGGTGACAGTATTTTACCGTGCAAGCGCCAAGCGCGGACAGCAGTATCGGCCCGCCACGACGGGTGGGATTGGTCAAGTAAATTTGTCGCCAGGGCGTGGCTAGCTGCGTTAGCGTCCTGGACCCCCAGAGCCCCTGTCCAACCCGGGATAGCGAGCGGCCATCCCGCGATCGACTGGTGTGGACGAAGCGGCTGACTTGTTGATTACTGCCTCAACGCCCACAGTGACGCCTGCGAGGTCATCGTAAAGGCAGGAAGGAGCCAGGCGTCTTCGACCAAAGTACCTCACCTTACCAACAGCTTGAAGACTGGACACTGCATTCAGGCTTCACCAACGACCGGCAAGCACCACCGTCGGCGCCTTAATTACCCTGCCTGCGCACTGACTCGGGACCGATTCCGCCACCGCCAAGTTCACCACCATCCGACTGGACTCGCACAGTCGCGTGGTCTTACACTATCCAACACACTTATCGGACTGACACCCTACCCTCGGAATGGCGCCTCATCTGCTGCCTACAGCATGACCTCCCGCACACCATTGGGGGCCCAGCAGCGGCAGCCTCAACAAAGAACGTTGAGCAGCTCGTCGCTTGGCTCCCAGCGCCCAACGCCCCAGCCGCGCTCGATGCTGCACCCTTCGTCGCCGATACGTAGAGAGGCCGAGTCGAGCGAGGCGATGCAGCAAGGCGCCAACACACCGAAACGCGGCGGCTCCAGGCTACGGTTGGAGCTCACGACGGAGCAGGCAGTGGGCGCTGCTGTCGCGGTCGAATCGCCACAAAGCCTTGCGTCCGCACGGGCGCTGTCCACCCTCGACGGCCACGACATGGCACATAGCCCGGCACTGTCACGGGCGTCGCAGCAGGAGACAGACAACCCTCCGTTACCCATGCCGAAGCGAAAACAGCATACCGCGCAGACATCTCACGCTCGACAACCACCACAACCACCGCCACCCACAATGACCACAAGGAAGGATGGTCGACCGAAACCATATGCTATAACGACTCCCCCCGAAGCCCCTCGGCTAGCGACCCCATCGAATAGAAATACACATATTGCTGGAGACTTTTTTGGAAAGGGACTGTACTCGGGGCGCGCCGACTTCTTCCCTTGGACAGGCAAACACCTCGAAGATGAATGGACACACCAGTCGATCGCCAAGGGGGTGTTCGAGCGATACAGTGCCACCGAGTCCTCGTCGGGGAAGAACCCCATCTATACCGCCATCAAGGGCCAGAAGACCTCGCTCAACGCGCTCTCGACCATCTTTATGGGGGTGCTGAACCAGCGCCGGCAGCGGGGCCAAGTGACGGCGCCATCCACGTTCAAGCCGCCTCCCCGGGTCACTTTGACGGACACGAAGAGGGAGGTATGGCTAAAGGACCTCGCGAACCCTGCGACGTCATTGCGCCGACTCAGTAGGACGATTCCACACGGCATCAGGGGCCGAGCGCTTCTGGACCAGTGCTTGAACAAAAAGGTCCCGACAGAGAGAGCCGTGTGGCTGGCCAAGTGCGTGGGCGCGAACGAGATGAGAGCGTTCAAGAGAAAGGGCGTCAACGGAGCACTGGTCATCGGGAACGAGGTCAAGTGGATCAGAGACTGGACCATCTTCGTGGAGCAGTTCCTCGAGTGCACAATGCTGGCGGCCAGCGATGACGACTGGAAAGCCAAGACCCTCTACGCCGTCCGGCTGGCCACCGGCCTCTACGCAGAACACTTGGTCGACCGGGAGCATTACCTTGAGTGGATGATCAAGGGGCTGGAAAGCAGCGGACACGGGAAACTACCCATGTGGATGCTCATCTGCCGGATTCACTGGGATGATCTGCTGCGGGCGCGCAAGTCTGGCCAACGTCTTGTCGCCGCCTTTTTGCACCATGCGCACACCATCGATACCGACCCTGACAAGGACGTCATGGCGCAACTAGCGCACCAAATCTCCTCGACGCTCCTCGAACTGATGAGCACGGCCCCGGAGAGCTTTGTACAGCCGACAATCTGGCCCACGTACAGGGACAGTCTGAAGTCCCACCTGCCCGTGGACGATGAGCATCTCCAGAGAGTTTGGGGCAGCATCAACAGTCGCAACACACGACTCACCATATGCGGGAGCTCATACCCGCCCGCCGGTCGCCAGCGGCTGATCAAGTTGCTGGATGCCACACTGCACAACGTGTCGGTCTCGGACTTTGCGGCAAAATGCTGGGCGACAAGTGACGACAAGGCTCAGGTCTTCAAGACACTACTGGAGTGGGCTACGTCCGTCCACCGACCACATCTGAGCAAGAACTACGTCGCCACCACACTTATCAAAACCTTCAAAACTTGGCTGCCAAGGGCAGACTTTGACGTGACGACACCACTCCTCGACATACTGGACCGAGTCGAGAGCGAGGAACAACACCGCAAGCAAGGCATCTACCATCTCGTGGCCGAGCTCATTCGAGACCGGTCGTTTTCTGTTTCCCAATATTTCCAGTGGCTCATCGCCCGCGGCGGCGTTCGCAGCGATGCCGACCTCGACGCGCAGACCAGTCCCTGCGGCACGCGCCTGCTCATCGAGCTGCCTCTGGCGTGCATTTCGGACAAGCTCAGAAGGGAGCGAGTCAACTTGCTGCGAAAAGCCCGCAATCACACGGTCCCCGGCGAGGAAGAGGACATTGCGATTGGAGTGCGCTGCGTGCGGCTGATCCTGGGCTTGCCCGTGGGCGCCGACGTGAGCCGAAAGCTGATGACCTTGAAGAGGTTGACGAACAAGATCCGGGCGAGCAGCCGGACGCTCAAGTGCGCCGTCAGCGCTCACCTGAGGGATGTCATGGTCGAGATGAGCATGTCGAGCCACCCGGCCGCCGTGTCCACGTTTACGACTGTGCGGGCGATCCTCGAGGCGACCGAGGACTATGCCGTGCTGTCCGACGTTGTCAAGTCCTGTCTCAAGGCCACCGATGCGGAGCTGCTTGCGGCGTGTGCCAACACGATTAACGCCAATATCACCATCTTCTTGGCCCTGGCCTCCGCCCACGAGTGCTTCACCGTTCTCATGGAGCGCCTGCGAGCCCATGGGCAGCAGGGCGTTGTGCCGCGGCCGTTGCTGGCGGCTGTGTGCCACCTCGCTCAGCGTCTGCCGGGACGAACAGAACTGGCGAGTCAGCTGCGCCAGGATCTTCTCCAGAGCGACCGGAGCAATGCCATTGACGCGTGCTCGCCCGTGTCGGACAACATGATGGCGACCCAGGCTACGTCTGGCGAGGTCGACTTGTCCGACGAGATTGATCGACTGCTGGCGAGCGGGAATAGAATCGACCAGCCCACGATGAATCGGCTGTTCCGCACCATTGTGCCGCGACTCGAGGGCGGATGGCACAAGCAGGACGACACGCGACGGACATTTGCTTCGCTTCTGACCAAGATGCGCGTGTTCGATCCGCAGCACTTTGACAGGCTCATGTCCGACTGGATCAGTCACGTCCGGACGCTTCCGTCACGCGGGCCCTTGTTGGAGCTGCTGCCTCTTCTGGTGGTCATGGGCTGTGTGCCGTTGCCCGCGCTTCTTCAGACGGCCAATGCCTCGCCCCCAATGACCGCCGATGTATCGAGCCAGGGTGAGGGACCAGGCGCGGCGACCTATCTCCAGGAGCTTCTTCAGCTGCTTCTGTTGGCGTTGCCACGGTCGACCGTTCTCGACGCCGAGGAGGCGTACCAATTCAAGATCCACCAGGACTCAGCCAAGTCGGAGCATGGCAAGGCCCTCCTCCTACTCATACGCAACGCTATCGCCGAGTACGCGGCCTGTGTAGGTCATGCGAATGTGGCACTGCCGTTGGCAGATAAGACTATGGAAGCTCAGACCCTGAACGCACTGAGTTTGCTCGTGGTAGCAGACTCGCCAGGGGTGAGCGAGGCCCTATGCATCAAGAACATCCCAGGCGAAGCAGTACCCATGGTATCCGAACTCACGACCAAGCTGCTGCTGCCCGACCGTGCCCATGACAACACACAGGTCTCGTTTGACCAGATTCTTGGACTCGCCTCTGAGCTCACCCTGCCATTCTGCCAGCTGAAGCTCGAATTCGACCTGTCCAAGGGCGAGTCGCAACCTGTGGCGAGTGAGGACCCGGCGCCGTCGCGCTTTGACCTGTTCGCCAACGCCATGGACCGCGCCATTGAGGCCAACAACATCACCTGGACCAGCATGCTTCCCTGCCTGAGCAGTGACATCTCCCAGCATCTCAAGAGCTTGGCGCACACGCGGTTCCTGCGGCTACTGCCGTCGCTCAAAACCTCCGAGGCCAACACGAACGACCAGGTGCATCTGGCGGAGAACCTGCTCGGAGTGATTGAAGCGATCACGACAGGGCAGACGGGGCTCAAGGCGGGCCAGTTGACCAACAACATGGTCGAGAAGCTGTGCGATTTGTGCGAGATCATTGCCAGCAAGGACTCCCAGACCGAGAGCCTACGCCGCGACACGCTTGCGCATTGGCTGCCTGCGATGCTCCGCCTGATCACCCTCCAAGGCATGTCGGCCGAACCAGTCGTGACGCCGCCGCCCGCTACGACCGGGCCTCTCCGGGTGCCAATTGTGAATCACGAAGCGCGGGCGCGCACAGTTGTGGCCCTCGGCAGCCTGCTCCTCGCGCTCGACAACACCCGCCCTCTCGCGACCGCTCTATCGCAACACGTCTTTGACGTGGCCCTGTTGCTCGTCGACGCGCTGCCGGACGACCTCCGCCACCAGTGCGCCCGCCACCTCCTGCTGCTGCCTGGGTGCGCGGCCAGCAGCACACTGTCGTCCGACCCGCGACTCTACTACGTCCTGAGCACGCCGCGGCCCACAGCATCGGACAACCTCGTGCTCTCGCACCGTGAGAAGCCGACGACGCCGCAGAGCACGGGGGCGATGCACCGGGGTGCCATGGGCGCCATGTACGGGATTGGGCCGCCGGTGCCGGAGCGTCTCACGCCGTTTGTGATGCGTCGATGGGAGATGCTGAGCGAGTCGACGCCGCTGGTGGGGGAGAATGACACGTCTCTGAATTTGTGTCTTTTTGAGTCGATCAAGATTCAATGATTGTATGAGGAGGGATGGGCACGACTGCATACGGAGCTGTGTACTTTTGTTTTCCTTTCGTTTGTCTTATGAGCGGGTATTATGATCATTCACGGGGCATTGTATCGCATTAGCCATGGCGTCTTGGGCGTAGGTACGATTAGAGCAAATGAGGTATTACGTTTACATGTTCCATTCAAGTTGACGCTGCATCGGCTACCAGACAAATACAGTCTCGCCCACTAATCCTCATCAAAAATCTGGTACGTGTTCTGCAGCAGGGTATCGACGACCTTGATCTGCCAGCCCGCATCTTGAATGGCCTTGGCGGGATCCGTGCCCATGAGGGTGGGCCCAAAGATGAGGGCGAGGTTATGCGAGCTCATGCGGTTCACATGTGCATTCTCAACGACGCGGTGGAGGTGCAGACACAGCGCGCGGAGGGTGGCGTAGTTGGGGTCCGGGAGGGCGTTGATGATGGCGTGGATGGAGTCGCGACGCTGCGTGTCGTCGTCATGCTTGGCGGCGGCGACGAGGCCGTCGTGATTGTCGGCGGTGAGGACGGGATCCGGGAGGTCGCGGAAGAACTGCTTGAGCAGGCCGGTGACGCTGTTGACGTCGTGGAAGAAGTTGTCCGGGTCCTGGAAGTTGAGGGCGGGGCTCTGGCGCTCGCGGTCAAACATGGCGCGCAGCTTCTGGATGTGCGCCATGGAGCCGGACTGGCGGTAGATGCCCTCGGTGCCGAGGCCAAAGAGGTCGACGGCGCGGATGCACTGCTCGACGACGGCGGGGACGGGCACGCCGTCGCGCTCGTAGAGGTGCGCGAGGTGGACGCCGAAGACGGGGTTGAGGGCGGCCGAGGGGGTCGTGGTCGTCGGTGTGCCGGCGGCGGCGGCGCTGCCTTGGCGTTCGTGGGCGTTGAAGGGCGCGGAGGGAGGCAGTTGGCCGACGCCAGCGCCACCGCTGCCGCCTTGGAAGGGCAGGGCACCGAGTTGGGGGGCGTCCTGGCCGCTGAAGCTGCGTTGGTGCTGGTGCGGCGGCGGCTGGGCAAACGGTCGACGGGGCTCGTGGCCGCCTGGCGACATGCTCTGGCCCATGGGAGGCGGTGGAGGCGGTGCTGCTGCTGCTGAGGAGGAGGACGGCGGGGGGATGGCGACGGGGGCGGGCGGAGGAGGGCCGCCTTGGAAGTGTGAAGGGGGTTCGAGGGTCTGTCTGTTTGTCAGAGGATGGATGTCCAGAGGGGAGGATTCTAACGTACAGGGTGCCGCTCGTACTTGACGTCGCCTGCATGTGCAGGGACGCGGGCGTGGTGGCCCGCCAGGAAGTCGTCCAGGTCCCTCTCATTGTCAATCGACAGGACGGCGTGTCGCAGGCTGCGCGAGGCAGGATGGTTGTCGCCGCCGGGCCCTCGCAGCGGACTGACGCTCAGTCCGTTGCTGAGGAGCAGCTTCTCGTTAAAGGCGGCAAACTTTTGCATCTGCAGGCCCAGGCCGGCGTCGAGCTCGCGGACGTGGTTGCGGATCTGGTGGACGGCGTCGGGCCGCGTGGTGGTCTCGAGCAGCTGCTTCTCGCCGCGGTACGTCTCGACGGCCTGGCGGTAGTTCTGGTCGGCGTGCTCGACCTTTTTCTTGAGCTCCATCTCCTGGTCGGCGGCCGACTTGTTCTTGAAGGCGTTGAGGACCTTGCCCGTCTGGCGGCTCTCGCCGGTGCGGACGCGCTCATAGTCCTCGGCGAGGGTGTCGAGCTTGGACCGGCTCTTGCGCATGGCCTGCTCGAGGTCGGCCACCTTTTGCTCGGCGGCGAGGCCGTTTGTCTTCCAGGTCTTGCGGCTGCGCTCGGCGGCGGACGCGGCGTCGACGAGGTCGTCGTGCATCTGCTGGAGCGAGGCGGCAAAGTGGCTGCCATTCTCGGCCATGCGCTCGTGAATGTAGACCATTTCCTCGTAGGCCTGGGAGAAGGTGCCGGTGCGGTGCTCGGGGCGGCGGATGCTGTCCTGGGTGGCGCGGCAGACCTTTTTGAGGCCGGCGGCATTGTGCTCCTCAAGGTCGGCGCGCTTCTTGAGGAAGAGGGCGAATTCCTGGGCGGTCAGTTAGTGGAAAGTTCAATCCAGATTTAGGGGCCTCCCACCTTGGCCGACGCGATGCTCTGCTTGAGGCGGTTCAGGAGCGTCGCGATGCCAATCTCGGAGGACAGGACGCCCTCGACCTGCTTCTGCACCTCGGGTCGGGGGGCGCCTGATGCTGCTGATGCTGCTGGTGCTGCTGGTGCTGCTGGTGCTGCTGGTGGCTGGCCTGCCGGGCTGTGAAGTGATGCGGCGGCATCGCCCTCGCGCGCTGGTCCCTCGTTCGTCTCCGAGTCGGCGGTCGCTGTCGTCCGCGCGGCGTCGATGCTCCCAGCCGGGTCGCGCAGGTCGAGCGAGGGGGGGAGGCTGTCGTCGGCCATCGGGGGGTCTGTGGTCGGGGAGTTTTTTGCAGTCGAATAGCTGTCAAGTCGGGCAATTCGAGTTGGTCTGGCAGTGTTCGTCGATGTGTAGTGTGGTGGTCAGAGTGATGTGGCAATGGAAAGATAGTCGGACGTTGAGAGGATTGGAGCTGGTTCGACCTTGAGGCGCAGCGGCGTCGCGTCCAGCGTCAAAAAGTGAGGGCGCCCCTGTTAGGGACCCTGGCTGGCATGCAACTCTACGGCATTTTGGGCAGCAAAAGAACAAATAATTAATTACTCGGAGATCACTTCAAAGTATTCGTGCTTTTACTCAACCAGCATAGAACTCTCATGTTCGGGCGCTTCAGCAGAGCTCTATAATTAGACCCGACATCGGCAGATACTTGCAAGGGTAGAAGATCAATATCAAACAAGTCCGTCCTGTTAAAGATGATATGATACGAACCCCTCAACTAAGGTAAAAACACAGTAAGTATGAGGCCCAATTCGGCCAAAGCTGTCAGTCAAGACTTATTGATATAGATCCCTGATGATGAGAGCCGTCCGGTTGAAGATATAGTATAACTTCCTCGACTGTAGTAAAAAACCCCAGCAAATATGAGGCCTAATATCTAACTAAAGCTGTCAGCCAACAGTTGTTGGTATAGTTTATACGAATCTTTTGACTGCGGTAAAAAAGCAATATATATGAGGCCCAATATCCGCCTACAGCTATTAGTCAAGACTTGTTGATATGGTTCCCTGATACAAGAGCTGTCCTATTGAGAACATAATACGACTCTCTCAACTAGAGTAAGAAAGCGGCAGGCATGAGGCCCAATACTCGACTATAGCTGTTAGTCAACACTTGTTGATGCATGTATGCTTCTGTTCAATATTTGATCAAAGCTTTAGTCAATACTTATGGGTATGCGTTTGTTCTTGTATCCCAAGTGTCCTATCTGCTGCCGCTTGGCCACACTCGAGGACATGTGGTGGGCATCTCCAGGACATCAAGGGATCGAGAGCGGACATGGCGATCGACAAAGTTGGACAATCACGGCATCGACTCTGTTTGTAGATAAGCCGGTCCATCTGGGCGTGTTTGGCGAGCGCCACACGGCTGACAATGAAGCGTCATGACTGCGTCTTCTCGAGGACATGAGTTGGCCAGATCGCTTCAACTGCCCAGTCCTCTCGTATCAAGACAAGTCGATGCAGTGACATCTGGAGGTGTTGTTGTGCCCTCGGCGCCCCCTTTATCGATCCTTTGCGCTTTGCATGCTTGCTTCCAAGACGCAACTCTGCGCTCGTCCCTCCCCGGATAGTCACAGAGCCGGCCAGGCGCCGAAAGCCAACCAGCATGACCCCTTGCGTGCATCTGAGCACGGATCTGGCAGATCCGCCGACTTGGACTGGACGGCTGGCTGGACTAGCGTCGCAAGCGACATGATCGCGGGTGCAGGGGACCATGCAGTGCAGGAGTGGTTCATGTGAGGACGATCTCCAGTGGGAGGCGGGCCAGTATTGGGGCAGGCGGATGCTGTGAGAGACAAGTGTGCTGAGATCCAGCTGGTGCCATTTTGTCGAAACCTCGCTTTATCAGCGAACGAGGCGCATCTTTTGTGGAATTCTTCGTCATGAATGGTCTGAGCGCCCCGGCACTTTGTGGTGTTTGATGGTTCGTGAATCGTGACGAAGACTGGAGGCGAAGCCAGTCCACGGCAGGGATGGAGAAGACAGTGCGTCGCACCGTCCGACAGTAGGACCATGATGGAGGCGGCGCTTTCGGCAGCCGCCCTTGCTCGAATGCGCTTGTTGGTCGTAAGTAAAGAGGGCTCATGCGAGGGAACGCAGAATTGTTCTCCATGTCTTGCGTGAGGCTCGAAGTTCCCGTGTCCGTCGCTGCAGTGCTGAATGAACATTGTTTCTTGCTTCTTCCCCTCGGGCACTGGAGGGCCCTTGCCGGGCCTTGACTGTCTAGGCTAGACTAGAGCAGCGCTATCCGCGGGCCGCTGGGGCACAGTGCGGCTGGTGGCCTGCCACTTTCATCGCCTCCATCCAGTCGCGACTGCCGCTGCTTCAGTGCTTCACGGCCAAGTCGAATCAAACCGCACAATCTTGACGAAACGAATGCACGGTCAGCACAAACAAACCTGCTGGCGTGGACTGCCCACGATACACGACCGTTTCGACCACACACGATCGGGCGGGGGCCAGCCATGGTGGCTTGGGGAGCCAACTCATCACGCAACCCTGTCCGCCAGCAACTCCACGTCGATTGGGTGGATCTCCAGAGTCCGACTCCAGCATGATTGCTTCTCCCAGGTCATGCCATCCATGTCCTCTGCTGCCCACTGCCGGGCGGGGCCATACAGTGCATCCCATCCTCAATCAAACACGCCGCCGCCGCCCGTCCGTCGATACGGGAGTGCTTCTTTACTTACGATCGAGTCGGATCCATCTTTGACTCTCGAGGCTTGCTTCCCTTACGCGCGCCACTCCCGACACCCCATTAAAGACGCCCGTTGACTCAGTCACTCAACCTCGGAACGACCCAGACTGGCTGACGTCCGAGAGTCACTGTCTCAAAGTCCGCTCGCTTCCACTCTCGCTCTCCTGAGCCCCAAGTCCTAACACCACCAACGACCGTCCTCGAAAGACGCACCACGAAGCCCGTCCTCGACATGCGCGAGCCTTGACGCCAAACTTGAGAGCCGCCGACGGACCACACCATGGTGACGCTGGCCACACCACAGCCGATGGCGGAACGCCCCGAACTGAGCGACGCGGCGTACTACAACCAAGTCCTGCGCCTGCCGATCGAAAAGTCCGAAGACCACATTGACGACGAGCTCGTGGCCCGCGCGCAGGCCCTGGGCATCACAACTACCCTGGCCAGCCCGACCGACAAGCGCTACACATCGAGCGCCGAGTCCGCCTCGTCCACCGCTCCGACATACCATGCACGCACATTCTCGACGGGGTCGAGCGACTCGGCGGGCACCGCCCTGACAGCGCAGTCGTCCCTATCAAAACCAGACACGATCCTGGCGCCCGAGCGCAACGAGACAGCGCGACGCACCCTCAACTTTGCGCACTACGACAAGTACCTCGCCCAACTGGGCAACAACCTGGACCAGCCCAAGTTTCGCAAGCAAGCGCTGGTCGACACCTCGTCCAAGTCCCTCTTTAGCGTGTCTACGAAGCGCAGCCTGGCGAGCGTCAAGTCCAACATTAAGAACCGCATGCGGTGGCGGCGCCGGTCGATACAGCCCTTTGTGCCGCAGCTGTCCTGCGTGTGCTGCCGGGATGACTTTCAGCACACGAGCAAGGCGCCGGCCCTGCATACCCTGCCTTGCGGGCACACATACTGCGCGCACTGCCTGCGGGTGATGGTCAGCCAGGCCGCGCACGAGGAGGACAAGTTTCCGCCGCGGTGCTGCACGCAGCCGATCCCGGGGGCTATCGTCAAGGCCATTTTGACGCGCGACAACCAGCAGGCGTTTCTGAAAGCCGTCGTGCTCTTCTCCACGCCATGGGAAGCACGTATCTTCTGCCCCAAACCGGACTGCGGCGAGTTTATCCCACCCCGGCACAAGGTCGATCCGAAGCGCCCATTTGACGTGACCTGCCGCCAGTGCCGGACGCGGGTCTGCGTCATGTGCAAGCGAGACGCGCACCCGGTGGGCAAGACGTGCCCGGAGGACTATGAGCTCGAAAAGGTGCTGGAAATGGCCGAGCAGTCCAAGTGGATGCGTTGCTACAAGTGCCGGAACCTGGTGGAGCTCGCGCACGGGTGCACGCACATGACGTGCCGGTGCAAGGCGCAGTTCTGCTACATCTGCGGCGGGGTCTGGGATGCCACGCTGGGGTGTCCGAACGTCTGCAGCGGCGAGGAGGAGCTGGAGAGGCGGCGGGCGGAGGAGGAGGAGCGGTCGGCGGAACTTGAGGCGGAGAAGATTGCCCAGGAAGCCGCCACGGCGCAGCAGCTCGTGGAGCGAGAGGAGGCGGCTGAGAGGACCAGGGGAAACGCCTCGTACCAAAGCCTCCAGGCGTCACAAGTGAGCGAGCAGCGCCGGTTCATCGAGTTTGCGTCGAGCACGACGGCCAGTATACGGAAGCGCCACGAAGAGCGGCGGTGCGCCCTCCACGAGAAGCACGCGGCCGAGGAGGAGAAGATGCGGGACCGGCACGGCAAGACGGCCATCCACCTCGAGGACCGGCAGGTGGCGGCGGAGATGGAGCTGCGGGCGTCACTGGAGCAGAGCGAGCGCAGTGTGCGCATCCGTCTGAAGCACATGGAGGCGTACTGCGACGGGCTCGGACGGAACCCCAGCGCGCAGATGCCGCACCGGACGGTGACGGAGCGGGACCTGCGTGAGCTGGGGCAGCAGTATAACCTGCGGGACAACCTGGAGCGGCTGCACCAGTCCAAGATCAACGTGATGCGGGACCGGCAGGCGAAGCGGATGGAGGAGCTGCAGGAGCGGCAGCAGGCGGAGCTGGTGAAGCTGGGGGCGAAGCGGCAGGAGGAGGTGGAGGATCTGGCGGCGCAGTGCGCGCACGAGATGGATGCCGTGACGGCGCTGTTTGGGGTGCGGAGGGCGCGACTGCAGAAGAGGTGGGAGCTGGCGATGGAAGTGCTCTGCAAGGAGCTGACGGAGCGGGAAGGCCAGGCGTATGCGCAGCTGCCTACGCCGGCGTGGCCGGTGGATGTGGAGGAGGAGGTGGTGGTGACGCCCACGGGGTGATGGCGATGGTGATGGTGATGGTGATGTGGATGACGGTGTAGACGTTTCTTACTGTACACGGTTGAGCATGCATACCCTTTCGTTTGTCGACTATAGTCGTGGTGGAAATACCCACTGGGGAGGCCAGCACATCATGGGCATGGAGTTTTGTTTAGATAGTGGTTGAATAGGATAGAGCTGGTCAGCAATGTACGTTATAATGATTGTTATATGGTCTACCAAGATGCGGTCATCTAGCTGTCTCATGAATGATCGCGCTGTAGAATTATGATCCTGTCGAGTGAGTACGGTGGTATAGAGCTTGAATCTTGCGTTTGTCACCAGCATTCAGAACAACTCATTCACGCCATGGCACATGTATGACTCACACCAGACCTTTGCAATTTCTACAGTTCTTCTTTCGACCCCATATTCTCCGCGACGCTCTTCAGGATGCCCACGCGCTTTTTGGCGCCAAGCCACTTTAGCAAATCCTGCAACGGGCCGGTCACATTGGAAAAGGTGGCCTCGCCCGTTGCCGTGTACGACCGTTGTACCTTTCCGCCCCTCGCTTTGCCCCCCTTGCCCTTCGCCATGGGCTTCGGCGCATCCTCCACACCGTCCACAGCACCCATGACGTGAACGTCACCGACGAGAACCAGGCCGCACCGTTGCCTCGTACACATGACGTTGAGGCGGTTGCGGTTGGATGTGAATCCGGCCGTGCTCTGCCTGGTCGTCCCAAGCACAACACAGACCAGATCGCCCTCTTTACCCTGGTACGAGTCGACGGTGGCGGCAGGAGGCACGCCATCAAGGCAGCGGTATTTGGCCTGTTTGCGCAGCATTTCCAACACGCCCAGGTTTGCCTTGTAAGGGCAGATGATCACAAGCTGCGACCGCTCGATGGTCTTGCCCTGACCCTCAATCCATTGCACAAACTAGGCCCAGAAGTCGAGGGCACGCACGCACTGCTGGGAGTTTGATTTGCCGTGCGTGACCGGGTTTGTGTATGTCGACGTCTCGGGGCAGTGTAGAAAGGCTGGGTATAGGCGGTCGGCGGGCGCAGGCTGGATAGTATCGAACCTTTGGCGCAAAAACTGGTCCAGCAGGATGCCGAGTGCGTGTTGCTCTTGGTCAATGTCGCACGACGGGGCATAGACAAGGTCGACGTCTGGGTAGATGATAGGGCAGATGGCATCCATCATACCCTTCGCCATGCGGTACTGCTTGACCAAGACATAGACAGGCCAGCCATGGGCTTTGAACCACTGCATCGCTGACACTTTGCCGTCCTGGAAGTGGCGGTTGAGATAGCGCCCTTCGGCATCCTGGTTGCGCTCGGTCATCACCGTTGGCTCCAGTTGCTCATCTGCACAATAGTCAGCCTTCTCCATTCGTGTGTAAGCATAGACAGTTATGAACTCACCGTCACCTGCCATGACAATAGGAAGCGAGGAATTGCCCCAGACACGGGTCATATCGGCGCGCTTCATATTGGCCGCCTCATCAACAGCATAGCCTGCTGTGTTCAGCCGTTTCCAAGCCCAGTGCTCGCCCTTGTTGCTCATGGCCGGTGTTGAGAACACAATGTCGGCCTTTTTCAGCAGCATCTTCATGTACGTCTCCAAGGATTTTCCGGAGATGTTGTCGTCAGCCACAATGGCATCCCAATCTCGAGCCTTGATTGCGTCTACCATGGCCTGCCCACCGTGGACGGATACAAGCTGCGCCCGCAGTTCCCAGATAGCTTCAGGATCGGTTTCAACGAGTTCAGGAACGGCAGGGGACCCCAAGGCCTTGAGCACCCAGTACGCCAGGGACAAATGAAGCTGCCAGCGATTGTTGCGACCAACCTGCCAAGGGAAAAGCTCAGCCTCGGTAGCATCCGGGTTCTCGAGGAGTCGACGAGCAGCTCGGACATTGTCATCGGCCAGACGACCGCGGACGATAAAGCGACGCACGCGATTCTCGTCACCACATTCTCCCTCTCGGCAGTAAGCAACAGCCGCAACATCGACACGGTCGGTACGCTCGACAAAGTTGTTCACTGCAATGTGTGTTGGGCCGCTGGCGTAGACCTTCTTGACGCGGTCGGTCAGGCTGAGCGTGGCAACCGCCACACGAGTCGTCTTGCCGTATCCTGCTCCCTAGAAGTCATGTCAGTGGAAATCGATTTGAATGCATTGATTGATGATACTCACAGCCGAGATAATGGCTATGCCGAGGGGTACTTGAGCCATGTGGCGCTCAAACTGCGCCTGGTCATCCGCGTCGACCTCACACTGAAGAGCAGCCCAGTAGAGACTATCCTCAGGGAGGAGATCCGCTGTGGGGAGGCTCCATTCTCGCTCGCCAAGAGAAAGCGGCTTGAGCGACATGGAAGCGAGTTTCGCCTCCGGACTGGTGTCGAGCAGGGAAGGATTGGCAGCCGCCAGCTGAGTGCGCCAGAATCCACGGCCAGACCAGATTTCGCGATGCCGGGCCATGGCAAGCTTGAGCTCTGCAGTTGGCGCGTCGTGCTTGAACGTCTGGATCGGTGTCGGCATCCGTTTGTCGACAACACCGTAGGCCAGCGGGTTGGTCGGCATCCCGCCTTCGCGCAACTCCCAGACAGAGTTGACCAGCTGCTCCGCGTCCCCGAGTTGCGGATCCAGTGCGATGGTCACTGTGTTCCAAGACCCGCGATCTTTGTTGAGGGCGGCGTCAGCGACGGTTCGGGAGGCGAACTGCGCGAACTTCAAGGGGGGGTCCTTCTCCGTGAATCCCTGCGGACACCCCGTAATGTCCAACACGAAGTCATTCTCCTGGATGCCATGGTTCTTGAGGACTGGGATGGCATTGGGTGCCTCAATGACGCGGGCGCCTATGAAGTGTTTCCTGGCATCTGCGTCCTTGCCCCAATTCCAGACATTGAAGTCCAATGGGACAGTCAGATCCTCGGTGTTGTCGAAGAAGCAGAGACCGGCCTGGTCCGTGTCCTGGTTCTGCAGTCGTGACCACGACTCTGCGAACTTGGCTCTGAAGAGATTGTCGAGCTTGAAGAGACATAGAATTGCTCGCACTCGGGATACTCGGGGCCCTTGGGCACTGCATGAGCCGGGCGCTTCTGGCAGAAGATGTTGATGGCCTCTTCAGCAACCCAGTATTGATCTTGGACGACAGCTTGCGATATGGCGGATACATGTGCGTTGTCGTCGTCGAAGCGCATGCATAGTCCAAACTGCTCTCCCTTGATGTACTCGCTTGACTCTCGGTATCTGGCAATGCTCCAGAAGTGCTCCTCGCCGTAAGGGAACTGTTCGACCTTCTCAAGCTCCAGAGCTTGGGTACACTTTTTGAGGAAGCCATCAGCATTGTTCGATCTCTTGGCTGTGATGTAGAAGTCGGGCCCTTGCAAAAAGTCGAGCAAGCGGATATTGGCCACCGACTTGTCGCCGTTCAACCATGCTTCGCACTGGCTGTCCTTGTTCTTGTACGGCATCCCCCAGTTGTCGACCTCGACTTGAGCATCTCCCTGAAGCGAGAAACGGACGCGAAGATACTGGCCCTTGATGTAGCCCTCGAAATCCTTCTCTGACGCAGCCTCGGCCGAAATTGCCACATTGCCCATAGGCATTCGGACGTGTAGATCCAGGAATTCAGAAACGCGAGCCTTTCTCTGGGCGGTTTCGACTATTGACAAGATACTATTAGCATACTGTGCCATCGGGGTAATGAACCAGTCAGTAGGAGTCGAACTTACAACTGTGACATGTACCGAAGCCGTCTACCGCACTCCCACGAGGCAACCGCAGAGTGAAGCCAAGCCACGGCGACTGACTTGGGTTGTGCGCAGATACCAGCTTTGCTTCGATGCCGGCCGGACAGGGCTTGCCGAGATTGGCACCACCAATGATACGCCCGTCCTAAGAACCAACATGAATGATGCAGTTGTCGTTCCAGGACAAGAGCTTCTCCAGGTCCTTTTTGGTCAAGACCTTGGGGTTTTCTGGCCGAGTGGAAGCCTGGCTAGGGCCGTTTTTGCCGACGTTGTTTGATTGAGACATGACAGGTTGGGTCCAGAACTTCGTGTGGTGAAGACTGGCTGATCAAGACTCGACTCCAAGAACCCCTTCGAGGCAACAAGTTGCTTCAAAGATTGTCCCCCCGACTGGCAGGGTAGACTGGGTTCGAGGAAGTCAAACGCCGTGGAGAGTCCTCCGCAACCGAGCGCGCAGACGCGAGTCTGGCACAAGGTTTCAACTATGCCGCAACTGCGGACACAACCACTGCCAATGACGGGCTGCAAGCAGCGCAATCAAGACGTAATTGACGCCTCTACTGGAGAGGTTGTCTGTGGATGTGCCGAGCTTTGGCGCCCCTATCTAAGCATTAAAGAAATCACGCTGGAGTTCTCTAGTAAAAAGGGTCCACCTGACCCAAAGGCGCAAATCTGATCGTCAAGGGGAGGCTTGTCACCACGAGTAGTGACGCGCGACGCACAAGAAGTAGATTGAGTGTGAAGGTGTAAAAGAGGAGATTTCTCGGACCTGGCGCCATGACAACAAGGTAAACTGAATGTGAGAGGGCCTGGCGTTGCCCTGGTCACGAGGTCACCCCACTCATCTGGTCTATATCTTCCTAGAATTAGCCGGGCTCGAGTAAAAGAATCTCCGTGCCGGTAAACTCGTCTACACACAATGTGAGGTGAAGCCCTGGCTGTTCTAGGTATGTTGGTGGTGCGCGCGGAGCTAGCCATAGCAGGATGGATGGAGGCAAGCCGGCTTGTGTTTGTGAGTCTCGAGCTCCACACATGGACTTTGCAGGAAGGAATACATGAGCTGGATGGTAGATTTAGATGCAAAACAGAATAATTGGTGCAGTACTATAGCATGAGAGCTGCAGAGAGCTTGTAGCGAGCTATCAATATGAATTGCATGGGCCGGGGTTGACAGAAGTCCAAATAGTGTGGAAAAGCAAAAGGCAGAGGCCATCACCTTGAATTTCTTGTTCATTCATGTTCGATTGCATCGATCGGTCAATTCTCAACCTTACTAAATCAAATAGTCTGCCGTTACCGATGTGCAACATATGCTTTAAGAGCATATGCACTTGCAGTGGGAGGAAATTGGAGGGTTGGGTTACATGTCCATCTGTATTAACACCTAGCAAGTGTGCTCGATGTTTGTCTGGAGCTGCACAACATATTGGCCTTTCTGTAGGGACAATATTCACTAGTCAATACTCAACAGCGGAGCAGAATGAAATCTGTGGGTGATTGATATCGCTCCCTTAATGTGTTTCAGGGGACGCCGCCAGTGGCATTATTTACTTTGAGTGGCTACAGGGTAGTTTCGTGGACCATCTCAACACAGTAGTGGTAATGTTTGATTTGCCTCATGTCGCCGATGTCAATTCAAATGAGACCCGGTTCTGAAATGTCCTTCATTTATCAAGACATAGATACTCGGCGGTTTTACAGTCGACATCGGCGTTGGAAAACACTGGTGAGTGGTGACTTGGGCATAACAGCGTCGCGTGCTGCAACAACTGGAGCTCGTCTTCGGGATAGAATGCGGTCAACCAACAACTGATTAGTGATTACTGGGGCACACACCGGCACAATCTTATACGATCTCTGTCACGGACAGGCTCCGTATTTTGTACTCTGTACATATAGTCTGTGTTCTGTACCCGTTGCTGTTGCCCATACGCCAAGTACTACTAGACTGTGATCGCCAATGCAGTGAGAGTATCAGATCCACTCAAATGCATCGAGTCAGCCGCATCTCGAGAAATGACTGGCGTGCGATGGACTGGCGATCTTAGCCGCGCGATAATTGGCTCGAATCTAATACCCCCTGCCAAATGCGGCATGTTCAAGTTCCACTCTCAACTACACATCAACGAGGGTGGTGCCAGGCCGAACTGACAGTGGTACGCTCCAAGGACATACGCTGATTGCATAAAAGACACAGGGACCACAACTGCTGCACAAGCACGAGGGAATGGAAGTCCAATCTGCTTTGGGACAAGGCCTGAGACCGGGGTGCGAACTGGTGTGTGGGGCCCATCCCATGAATCTTGCTCATGAGCCAAATCCCACTCCTGGCAATAATGAAGAAGAATTGACTACCAAAAACAATGTCATAAGAAATACGGATCTCATAAAAATTCTGTCCAGTTTTCCACGTTCTGAAAGCTGCAAAACTGAGGGCGGTACAGCGGTTCAAAGTTTGGGAAATGTGAATTTCCCGAGTGCCAGGCCCAACGTACCTTCCCAAACCGTCGTGCCTTCCCAAGTTGTCGACTCTCAAAAACCTGGGTGATCAGAATGAATTGTATGTAAAAAAAAGTATAGAAACACGACGATGGTCTCATACTTGGTCTTGTTCCGACCATCTTCCCACCCTTCTGTCGTGTGCTGTCTCTGTGTCGTGCCTCCTGCGCCGCCATACTCGCTCTCGCCCTCGATCACCACCACGCTGCACCATAGTGGTGCATCTTCAGTCTCTTTCGCCGTGTCAGGTAGCCTCGCGGCCGCCCGACCCTTGTCTCCAGACGTGTCGTTGAGAGATCCAGCCTTGGTAAAGGACTTGTGGCTAGTTGACTCCTCTAGTAGGGGCAACTCTTTGATCTGTCGCGGGCAACCGCTTCGATCGGTCGCAGGTTCCGGACCCTCGGTCTGGTCCACTCAAAGCGAACGAACTAACCGTTGAACCTAGTTGACCTCTCCAGTAGAGGCAACATTGTTTCGTCGTGGGCAACCACTTCGCTTCGGGTTCTTCGGTGTTCTAGTAGCTAAGAGTCTCTCTCTCCGCCTCTCTCCCTCTCACCACCACCATCAACACCTCGAGAAGTCCGATACAATGGATTCAAGCAAGAGTACCCCTCCCGCCCCCCTGACCGACATGGTCAACGAAGCACGGACTCGTCGTCCAGCAGGAGCCGCGTTGCCGCAGACAACGCCCAAAGTGCCGTATCAGACACCACAGAGTAAGTTGTGGGCGGGCTGTTCGTGTTATCCAGAGACTGACATGTTTTGCAGCCGTCCTCAAGAGACCCCTGGACACCGACGACAACGACGACAACGATGAAGATAAGATGCCCGTTGTGCGTCGTCGTCGTCGCAACAGACGGATAGTGGTGGAGGATGACGACGATTCCTCAGAGGCGGCGCCTGTGCCCATGGATGACTCGTAGGTGGAGACACCAGCGGAACAAGGAGTTGTGGCACCCGTCCCATCGCCCACCGCCCACTGTAAGTCTTGTTGCATGGCTGATTTGAATATGTTTCTGACAATCCGACAGCTCCCGGCCGCTGCGAGTCGAAGGTCCGACAAAAGCTGGAAGGCCTCACCTTCGACAATTATGAGGAGACTTGTCGCCGCGAAGCCGAGCAAGCTGTGGCCAGGCCTGCCGCCGGTTCCACCACCCTCGAGGCTTTCGACAGCGAGCTCGCGGAAGATGCGGACTTCGGCCTAGCCGTAAACAATGGTCGTTTCGATCCATTCGCCTGCGTGTACGAGCTTCCTCGTCAGCCGGGTCGTGCTTTCGAGCCTGTCGTGGAGAATGGACCAGGTACCTCAGTACTGGCCGCCGGTACCTACTGGGTTTTCCACGCGCGGAACAGCCTCGCCCAGCCAAACGAGGTGGACCGACGATTCTGCGGCATCAGCCGAGAGAGTCTGTCCCACAGCGAGGCGATCCAAGTCTGCCGCAAGATGTGCGACGCTCTCGACCGCTGGCCCGACATGGATCGCATCTCCAAGCCCAAGGGCAGCCTCGGTGGACCCAGGATGCGAACGACCACCTCGCTGTACAACGCCGCCTTGGCAAGCGTCCTGCCCGACAAGCCTCTTCGTCTCGGCCTTACTCGGTACGAGGAGAGGAAAGACGGTAGCAAGAGCCTCCGGTCGTACGTTGACTTCTTTGATGCCAACCTCAAGCATCATAGGGCCAAATTCTGGCAGTCGAGGGTCAGCGAGGACAACCCTGTGCCAGTTGTCCCAGACACTCGTGCAGTGTTCGAGAAGGACCCGGCGCTGCAGAAGCCATCAACCGGGACACTTCTGGTTGACTTGTCGGAGGTGCCCGAGGCTGAGCACGCCCAGTTCAGGCAGGCTAAGAGCCGGCAGAACTTGGTCATCTCGACCTGGACGCGCACGCAGCCCGTGATCAACGTGGCCAAGGAGGTCACGGCGTTCCGCGAGCGCAAGATCAACGCGTACGAGAGAGGCCAGACGGCGCTGCAAGGTGTCGAATACATCGCCTGGTTCTCGAGATACCGGCGTCGAGATGGCAACGTCTGGTGGAACTGTCGCACTCACCTACGGCGCATAGTGTATGCGTCGCGCCTACTGTACAGCGATCAAAGCGTGGCGCCGGCGCACATGACCATCAAGTCGCCGCACTACGGATGGTGGCTGCGCGTGAATGAGGTCAAGGTCAAGACGTGGGCGGATACCAGAAGCGTCAAGGCCACACAGGTTGCCATGGCCGCTGAGATCGATCGGATCAATGCTCAGATCGAGACGGAAGGCCTCCTCCTCGACATCTGCACCGTGGACGGAGGATGTGCGTGCCAGCATATGTGTGGTCAGTGTGGCGAGCAGGTCAATTGCAGCGACCTTGCCATGTGCATCTACTCGGCCATGATGTCGTGTGGCCGTTGCATCTCAAAGCGGGCCGGGCACAGGGCAAATACGCCGTTTGTGATCAGAGCTGTCGCGCGAAGTGTCCTCGGAAGCGCGTACCATGATGGTGTCCGATTAGGCGCTAAGATCCCGTCTCGAGTGCGCGCAGATCTGAAGGCCTGGGCAAAGGATCGGGACTTTGCAGAAATCAAGTTCCATGATGGCGCAACGGGGAACACTCTTCCGTTTCCCATTCATGAGCTGCACAGTCCCTTCCGGCCAAGCGTCGACGCCGTCTTTCCGTTGGCTCTGCACGATCGACAACCCGGGACATACATCCATACTGTCGGTAATGTGCTGGTGATGCAGCTTGCGTTCAACTACCTCAAGCACACGCATCTGCCGATGCTGCTCACCAAGGTCGCTGAGCACTACCGACAGTACCTGGGATTGCGGTCGCTGGCTGACGCAGGCGACAATGACGCTCGTATTGGTCTGAGTTGCCTGGAGACGAGGACGATCAGGGACTGCCGGGAGCTCGCTGCGATCCGCCGGAAGCTGCCGTACAAAGGATCCGCGCGGATGAGGCTCGACATGAGCCATGAGCAGCTCGAGTATTTCCGGGAGGAATGGCGGTCTGGCAAGCTGCACCCTGGGACGCCGTCGCCCGTCCAGCTCCAGTGGATCCCTGCCCCCCGCTCCGCCGACATCAAGGCATTCACCGGTTCGTGGATCCAGAACAGGGAGAGCGTCAGGCGGATTGTGGCGGAGATCGAGTCTTGGACTGGCGTCAAGCTCCCTCGGTCGGACGATGGCTGCCCTTACTTCGGTCACATTGCGACAAAGCCCAAGAACTGGTCGTGGATGCAATGCTTCCGTCTCATCGTTTGCAGGTGGCGAAGGATGCACGACTGGTGCAATGGCTGCTGGGTCACCGTTGATACGGTCATCACCATCTTCCTCGAATGCATCTTCCAGGTATGCGTTCGGAAAATGACCATCCTCGACGGTGACCTGCTGGTCGATATGAAGCGCAGCCGTAAAGCCAAGTACGCCGAGTTCCTGGGGCTGCCGCTGAACGTTGAGATCCGCGACCCGCTCAACTTCGTCGTGGCGCACCGAGTCCACGGTAGTCAAATGCGCACTGGATGGCCCGCCGACCCTCAGCACCTGGGCGACCGCGTCGATGAGGATAACAACATCCTCATCGAGACGCAGACGTCCAACTACTTCAAGATGGACTTTGACGAGTCGTACTACGACGTCATGCGCGAGGAGTTGGCCAAGATCCAGATGGGCCGTGAGTGGGTGGACGATCGGGTGCAGCCAAGGCAGTACGATGCTCGCCTGGAGAAGCTCGTGTACCGGAGCGGCCGCCCCGTCGAGGTCAAGGACGATGAGCTAGTGGAGGAGGACGTGGCCGAGTTCATGGAGTACGAGCTCGACGAAGAGGAGGAGAACGAAATGCTGCGGGAAAATGGCTTGGAAGAGGAGGGTCCAGAAAGCGACGATGAAAGCGCTTGAATTTTGCTCCGAATTTCTTTTTGCTGAATTTTTTTGAAAGTGGCTCCAAACTTTGCAATAAAGAACAAGTTTCAAAATAAAACACTGCTCCCTTTGCCTTCAAGTGCTGCCCATTAGATCATTCAGGCGAAGGGATAGAAGTGAAAGTCGAACCGGTCGATCATGTAATTTCCAGTCGGGATGTTGGAATCGTGACTTCAAATCGTCCGCAAGGGTAATGATTAATTGCGTATCGGTAGTTCGATATCGCCGTTTACGTCAAAGACTTTGGCAAAGATCTCACAACCGCTTCGAATAATCACTATTCAATCTTAGTTGTTGCGCAATAAGTAAAAGTCGAAAGGTAACCGTCTCACGTTCAGGAGGGTGTCATCGGTCAGCGTCCGTCGCATCAGCCATGGAGCAATTCCACGTGAGTGCTCTTGGTGCAGCGCAGCATTGGATGCATGAAATGTGGCGTGACCCTAAGGTAGCTCACAAGGCAGAGGTGCGGCCTGGTTCTTGTGGGGGACGTGCACATCATGGGTGCTGTGGATAGCGTGGAGGATGTGCCCAAGGCCGTCAAGATGAAGGGTGTAAAGGGGCATGTTATGCGGTCATAGCTGGCGAGGCCGTCTTCTCCAACGTCAACGGGCCATTGCAGAAGTTGTTGAACTGGCTTGGTGCTGTGGATGGCGTGGAGGATGCGCCCAAGGCCTTCAAGATGAAGGGCGCAAAGGGCCATGTTAAGCGATCATATATGGCGACAGGCGATACCGCCTTCTTCAACGTCAACGGGCCATTGCAGAAGTTGTTGAACTGGCTGGGTGCCAAGGAACGCGTGGGCATCCTGGCTGTGCAGATATACCATCTGTCGGATATCTCGTAGGCCCCTATGAGTCGGCTCTTTAGCAGAATTGGAACGCGCAACGGCACACAACACTGTCCATTGTATGCCAGGTTGAGCAGTAGACGGGTTCTGCCCTCTCACGGAGCCATGGTGCCACTACATTGCGCATCCAGATACAATGCCTGTCAATTGGTCAAAACAAAAGTGCTTTTGCGAAAGGTGTTGGTAGTTGACAGCACTGACATGGTGGATGCTCAAAAGCGCACGAGTCCTGCCCAGGGCAAGGATTTGTTTACATAGGGAGAACGAATTGCTTTTGTCGGTCACGTGATTGTAATGACCATGAAACAGGGTCACGTGGGGCAAATTGAGGACAGAATACCGTAACGCAGAGGTTTAGCCGCAATGTCACGGGTGGCCGTCAATGTAGCAAATCGCGTCGGGCTGAGAAATATCTGCGTTGCCATCTAATAATTGCCATGGGTCTCCTTCCGTCGGCTGGTGCTTTGCATCGTGAATTCAAGGCGGTGGTCCAGGGTAGGATTGCCAGGAACTAGATATGTGGGATTCCGGCCCGGCCGTCTAAACTTGTGGGGCGCATGTCGTCGGGCGGCAAGGAGGGGGCGGGGCATTGGCGATGATGATGCAGGTCAGTAACAGGTTACAGCTGTCTGTGCGCAAACTTCAAAGCCTCCATTGAGCACGGGGGATTATACTTGAGGCTGAGATAAAATGATACCTCCAGCCTCCAGCTCAAGCCACATATGAGGGGCCAGTGAAGCCTTGGGCGATCTGGGTGGGGACCAGCCTACTAGTCACCGCAGCCAGCTCACGGTCAACATCGGGCATCAACAAAATCAGCCTGAGCATTGCAAGCAGCAAAGTTTCCACTTGTTCGACGTCGAGGCGCGTGACTCACACCGGCAAGTACAGTTAGAGTGCCACAAAGCAGCACGCAGAAGTGCGCACACAGCCATAGCCGGAAGTAGATGGCGATGATGTAAATTTTTTTTCGACGACCCCACATGCATTGCGCCGTCAATAGAAGGAGGGGTAAAATTTGCTCCCTCGACTGGCAATCGTGCGTGTCAGTGTTGTGCATTGGTTGAAGCATTAGCAATTTTCTGGTCAGAGAGCAGGTAGCAGTCTTGATGATATGGTAGACATGATAGAAGATCAGGAGACTTTGTTGGTTGATATGACCTTTGCTGTAACGGCGCGCAAGTCATTGGGAGCTGGAGGGGTCGTGGTCACCATCGCGACACAATCCTTAATTAAGCAGCCGTGAAAATGAAAAGCAGTTGGACTGATAGCCTACTACAAATCTCGCATCTCGCCGCGTTGGCAGTCGGCGCGTAGTCGAAAGGCTGCTATCTCTTCACCTGCCGCTGACATTCCTAGGCCGCCTGGAATACCTCACTTCCTCATCGAGCACCAATCACTCTTAAATCTGCGTGAAAAGCTAGTGGAGTGCGCGAAAATTCTCTGCAGCCCACCCAACAACAGCCTGGTCCTGTTAGGGTCTGCTGGCCCCGGCTGCAGGCAGGCTGGCACAAAGGTTGATTGCCCCTCATCAACATACGCCACCTCGAGTGGCCCACCCTCTCGAGATACAAAACCTTTCACTCCTCTTCCCCCCCCTCTTTCTGATTTTTTCTCTCCTTGTCCCGCATACCGAAGATACAAGCTATCACATCTGCGACACGTATGTCCTTCTTCCATCGTCGTGGATAAGCCCAGCGTCGTCGCGAGCATCATCTTTATGGTTGACGCTTGACGGCTCGCTGCGCTCCCGTCCGCGATCCCACATTACCGGCCTTGCGCTGACTTTTCAACACAGACCTACAAACAAACCAAACAATCTACGATCCAACACCGCAATCATGGGCAAGGACGACAAGACTCACATCAACGTCGTGGTCATCGGCCACGTCGACTCTGGAAAGTCGACCACCGTACGTCTCTTGCGCACCGCCCTTCCGGCGCCGCCACGACCTCAAAAACATCACAACTAACTTCATAATAGACTGGTCACTTGATCTACCAATGCGGCGGAATGTACCAAGCGATTGCCGTCCTTTTCCTGTGAATTCTGCTGACTTTTCTCTAGTGACAAGCGAAGTGAGCATCCTGGCGATGATTTATGAGAATTGCATGACTGACGCTAGGTTTCTTCAACAGCCATTGAGAAGTTCGAGAAGTAAGTGTCCCTGCACCATCAAGCATGGTTTCCACCACCTCCCAAGCCTTCCGTCAACCACCGGCGCTTTGTCGTTGATCTGGTCGTCGACCGTCGATGCCACTTGGGGCTCCTTCCCTCCGTGTGCACCGGCACCACCGGCCAATGGCGAGCCGTCCCAATTGCCTTTTTGGGATTGCCTCATCAACCTCATCACCACCACCTTGATTTCAACATTCTCTTCGCGTTTTTGCGCCCTCACAGTTGGAATAATTACTAATCGAATTCTAGAGAGGCAGCTGAGCTCGGAAAAGGAAGTTTCAAGTATGCCTGGGTTCTGGACAAGCTGAAGGCCGAGCGTGAGCGTGGTATCACCATTGATATCGCCCTCTGGAAGTTCGAGACCCCCAAGTACCACGTCACTGTCATTGACGCTCCCGGTCACCGTGATTTCATCAAGAACATGATCACTGGTACTTCCCAGGCCGACTGCGGTATCCTGATTATCGCTGCCGGTACTGGTGAGTTCGAGGCTGGTATCTCCAAGGATGGCCAGACCCGTGAGCACGCTCTGCTCGCCTACACCCTCGGTGTCCGCCAGATCATCGTTGCTATCAACAAGATGGACACGGCCAAGTGGGCTGAGGCTCGTTACCTTGAGATCGTCAAGGAGACCTCCACCTTCATCAAGAAGGTCGGCTACAACCCCAAGACCGTCCCCTTTGTCCCCATCTCCGGCTTCAACGGTGACAACATGTTGGCTGCCTCCACCAACTGCCCCTGGTACAAGGGTTGGGAGAAGGAGACCAAGGCCGGCAAGTCCACTGGCAAGACCCTCCTCGAGGCCATTGACGCCATCGAGCCCCCCAAGCGTCCCTCCGACAAGCCCCTCCGCCTTCCCCTCCAGGATGTGTACAAGATCGGTGGTATTGGCACGGTTCCCGTCGGCCGTATCGAGACTGGTACCCTGAAGCCCGGCATGGTCGTCACCTTCGCCCCCGCTGGTGTCACCACTGAAGTCAAGTCCGTCGAGATGCACCACGAGCAGCTCACCGAGGGCCTCCCCGGTGACAACGTTGGTTTCAACGTCAAGAACGTGTCCGTCAAGGACATTCGCCGTGGCAACGTCGCCTCTGACTCCAAGAACGACCCCGCCATGGGTGCCGCCTCTTTCGATGCCCAGGTCATCGTTCTCAACCACCCTGGTCAGGTCGGTGCCGGTTACGCTCCCGTCCTCGACTGCCACACCGCCCACATTGCCTGCAAGTTCGCTGAGCTCAAGGAGAAGATCGACCGCCGTACCGGCAAGTCGACCGAGGAGGCCCCCAAGTTCATCAAGTCTGGTGACTCTGCCATCGTCAAGATGATTCCCTCCAAGCCCATGTGCGTTGAGGCTTTCACTGACTACCCCCCTCTGGGCCGCTTCGCCGTCCGTGACATGCGCCAGACCGTCGCCGTCGGTGTCATCAAGTCCGTCGAGAAGGCCGCTGCTGGTGCCGGTAAGGTCACCAAGTCCGCTGCCAAGGCCGCCAAGAAATAAGTGTGTTGAGACAATCTTGTCCTGAAAAAGAACATCACTTTGCTCTACGACGAAATGAATTTTAACGTTTTGGGGGCACATAATGAGGAAATGATGGCTGGGTTATACCGGTGTCGCGCTCATCGTGTGCTGGGAGCAAAAGATACTCTAGAGTAGAGGTCAAAATGAATTCCCTTTGTCACACAATTGAAGTCTCTTGGTATGTCTTGATTATACAATGCCCATGTTGCTGATGTCGTCGTCGCGCTCCTTCCACGCAAGGCCGCATCTAGATGGTGGTACATGATTCCTTCTTCATACACAGTAGCGCTCTTTCTACTTTGACGCCGCATCTTCCTGCCCTCCTCGCATCAGCTGATGCAGCTGCAAAGCTTCCTCGACCTCCTCGCTCAGCTTCTGTCCCCTTTCCAAAGCCTCATTTCCTGACGTCGCCACATCATCGCTGGGCATCACGAGCGTGCTTGTCTCTCCCAGTGCGTGATGATCTGACACAGCTTCGTCGATGACAGCCGTATCCTCTTCATCCGCCAGTGTTTCCAAAGGAACGTCGTCCGTCTCTGCCGCACCGTCGATTTCGTATTCGCTCGTCTCGTTATCCCGAGCCATTTCACTCTCGAGCCATTCGTTCCACTCCTCTCCTCCCTCCTCCGGCAGCTCCTTGACATAGTCGCTGCCGTTGTTCCAGTCCCAGAACTTGCCACTGACAGCTTGGTCCAACAACGCCAGCCACGCCTTGCTCGGTTCCTCGAACTCAGTTCCGACCTCCCCCACATCTGCAATGATACTGAGCTCCTGCTTCTCGCCGTTGAATGTTGACGTTGATGACGTGTACTGCAAGGTATGTGACTTCCATGCGAGAGATACTGTGTGAACAGATTCGATCGAGGAAAGCGTATATGGTGTCGCGTGCTCGGCGGTCGCTTTCGGGGCCAGACGATGTGGGAGAATGATGGATGTCGAGGAGGGAGCTAGGAGTTGCTCAGGATCGGAAGCTTGCAAGAATTCCTGCAGGGCAGCTTGTTCAGACATGTCGATTTCGAATTCGCGCTGCTGCACCAATCGTAAGTCGACCACATCGTCTGGAATCATGACATCTTTCAGGAACCACGGCTGGATACACTTCAGGGTGGCCTGCTCAATGTTGCCGTCGGGCAAGGTCAACCGAAGGTCTGGCGCATGGGTGCCTGGCTGACCAGCCAAGGTGATCACCACAGCCGAGCTCGATGCAGGTTCTTCGGAGCCCTCGACGCTGCTGAAAGCGGCAGGATGTGGCATGACGGGCGCCAGCGCCCTCCGCCTTCTGTCATCCTTTTTTCTTGCCTCGCCCTCCTCAGAATGTATAATGTGGCCAAAAGTCGCAGACATCTTGTTTGTGGCGCCGTCCTTAAAGTCTTTAACCTTGGGCGCAGGTAGCTCAATTCGCTCGTCTAGCTTCAAGAAGCGCTTCTTGTCCGCCACGGCGGTGGGCAGGACAAGACGAGACCATGAACGCATGCGATCCCTCCACGCGAGACTACGGCCTTGAGAGTACGGCACGAACTTGCCGACATCTGCCATTTTGTCTGCATGCACCCTGAACCGCCGAGAGACCACCTGTTCCTCGCCAGCAAAGGCGCTGGGGCTTTGAAGAAGACGTGCTACCAGATCAGCACGGTCCTCGACGCCAGAGGCATTCTCCTCCATATCGAGCCAAGTAACTTCGATTTCCTTGGCAGAAGCATCGTGTACAATCTTTGTTTTTGTGATGCGACTCAGCTCGTTGAGCACGTCGCTTCCGAGGAGAGCCCTCCGGATATGTTGAATGGAGATCTTTCGAGACTTGCGGGAGCTGATGGCTTGATCTATCACTGATAGCACTGCTCGCACCGAGGACTTACGAGCCATCAAACGAATGCTGCCGGACTGGGCGGTCAGCCCTTCGCCCGCTTCCAGCGTATTCACCCGCAGAATATCGATGACTCCCAGTGTAGGGTGCGTGATCAGGCTGTATGCCTCTGGCTTTAGCTCCACTAGGCACGATCCTAACTTGTCCACCTCTTCCTGGCGCTGAAGTCCCCATAGCTTGGTCATGATATCGTGGACAAGTCTTCGTTTAGGTGACTGGTGAGTGGTTCGGTCGCCCATGGGTGTCCAACGGCTGAGAGACTTCATCCAAGGAAACGAAACGTTGATGCTTCCGAAATCTGTCATTGACTCCTTGCGTGGAGTAATGTATCGCACTAGCTGCTCGGACAAGAACGCATCGTTGACCTTTTTCGCCAGAGCGTCGTACTCTCTAGAAGAGAGAACAGGCGAGTGCCGTGGTCGCATGGCTTCGATGTTTCGCGAAATGTCCTCGGCGTCCGCATCAGCTGGCGTCTCAGCTTCGAGAAGCTGATCCCAGTCGAGGGGCTCTTCAGGGGCGTCTTTCGGCATGACGATCGGTTCGAAAGGCCGTCGTAGTGTGTCGGGGTTGTTCATGATGATCGCACTGAGATCCTCCCCCAGTGCCTTCAGGCCCATGGATTCTTGATGTAGGTATTTCGTGCGGTACAGGTTCTTCGCGCCCTTCGACACGTGAGAGCGGTGCTTGGAGAGGGGATCCCACGAGATCGGCGGCTTCGATGGTTCGGGAGGTCTATCGTCGAGCTTTTCTGAGGATTGGGCCACCGGGGGCTCGGGTACCTCCTTGGGCGCTTCTGTTGACCCAGGCGAGAGGGCTTCAGGGGGGTCAGCGGTGCTGGTTGCTTCCTCCTCTGCCAGCTCCCATCCCGATGCCGTATCTGCAAAAGCTTGCCTCTTCCCTTTGCGTTGCGTGGTTTTGGGCGCCTGTTCTTCGCGCCTGGCGCTGAGCAGCGCTTCGAAGGCGTCGTTGCTGTTCCATCGTCTTGACAGGTCACCTGAAGCCAGGTGGCGCTGTATCTGTCGCTGTGCTATGCCGGGACAGCAAGATCGACATATGCGCTTCACGCATATTGAACGTGACAGCATGAGGAATAGTTCGGAGCGTTGCAGATGATGTTGCAGTTGGCTGCAAGGTCGAGCAATGCGCCTTGAATTTTTGGCGATGCGACACTTATCGATAAGCCTCGTAAGTAGGAAGGCGCGTCTCAACGCGTGCCCCTCGACCACGAGGCAAAGACTCGCATCCAAAGTCGATTCTCTACATTCACAAACACATTCAAAATGCCTTCTGGTAGGAGACGTGCGGTATGTGCCACGCTATCTCATTTGAGCCCTACTGACAACTGCAGCGCGACGAGTCCGACGACGACGAAACCCAGCCCACGCAGCGACGCCCACGCTACGACTCGGACGATGAGGGCGCCAACTCGGAGGCGAATGGCGACGCGCAGACCGCAGACGATCAGCTAGCCAAGAAGTTGGTCCGCCATGCCATCTCCTGCGAGTATTCCCGCACGCCAATACGACGTGACGGTATCAAGGAAAAGGTCCTTGGTACCCAAGGACGATCATTCAAGAGGATATTCGCATTGACACAGAAGCAATTGCGCCTAGTCTGGGGCATGGAGCTACGGGAATTACCAGTCAGAGAAAAGATGACATTGCACGAGAAGCGAAAAGGTATGGCAGATCTATTGCTATTAATAGATGTGGCTAACCATCCAGCCATGGCTTCCAACGCACAACCCAAGACCGGTAGCGGTTCCTATATCCTGGTGTCGGTGTTACCCACAGCGTACCGGACTGCCGCCATCGTCGCACCATCCCGAGCACCAGGTATCGAAGACGAAGCGACGTATGTAGCATTCTACACACTGATTGTGTCGACCATCTGGCTCAGCGGCGGCGAGCTCTCCGACCAGAAGCTCAAGCGTTTCCTGGAGCGTCTCAACTCGGATCGCAACGTATCCACCGAAAAGACCGAAATGGTTCTCAAGAAGATGGAGCGCCAGGGCTACGTTGTGAGACGGGTGGACCGACCGCCGGTTGGGCAAGACGGCGAGAGTGTGGTGACATGGCACGTCGGGACACGTGCCAAGGAAGAGATTGGTCTGGACGGTGTGCAGGGCATGGTGCGTGAGGTGTACGGCGACATGACCCCCGAGTTGGAGAAGAAGATGAAGGCAAGTCTCAGGGTCAAGGACCGGCCGCGAGCCGATGCCGAGGAGGAGCAGGGCGATGCGACGCAGATAGCAGATCAATCCGTCGCCGTAGATGACGAGGAATGAAGAACCGATAGTATTCCCCCCCCCCATCAAGTCCTACTCTTCCCTCGGCGGCGGCGGTCCGCAGGGCTGTATCATCTTCCGTATCAGCTGCGCGCGGACTTTTGTGACAGGCTCGTTCTCCGCGAGAGCAATGTAGGAGAGTAACGGCCGGTGGCCGACAATGGACGAGTACGTGTCGCGCTGAATGTTGGTGCGCCATTCCCAGCTCGTGGTGTCGGGGTGGCCGGTGCCGACGTACTTGGCCTGGAGGCGCTCGAGTTCCTGCTGGTTGCGGAGTTTGTCGGCCTGTCCATGTTAGCCTTGCGCAGGGTCGGAGCCATGTGCGTACATACCATTTTGAATGCGCTGGTGGATGTGTGGTGATGATTGTTCGTTCGCAAGGTGCCGTGCAAAGTTGTTGGGCGGAAGATCTTCGGGTGGGTCCAGAGTTGCCGAAGTCAAGTCAAGCCAAGTCAGTCAATCAATCGACCATCTCTCACATGACATTATATCTAAATTCCGTGCCACTCACTCGGAAAGAGGCTCTCTCATATCCAGCCATCACTGCAATATGAGCTGAAGACTAGACCATGGCTCCCATCGCAGCGCTGCCTGAGCAATGGACCGAGCTCATGACAGCTCGTGAACAGCGCGCTCACCTGGTCGCGGACATCACAGCCATCAAAACCGAATGTGACGCAAACCACGAAGCGCGCCACGTCAGCGAATGCACGACATGCTTTCCCAAGGTACTGGATCGCTTGTATGCGCGGTATAAGGACAGCACAGGCGGCCGCGAGTGGTTCTCGGAGCGCAGCATGGTCATCCCCGGGCTCGATACAGTCATCAGCGAAGCCAAGGCGGGCAAGGCCAAGCTCAGCGACATTGACGTGAACATTGCGTCGGAGAAGGAGGCGTGGTATCGTTGGGTTCTGCGCAGGCATCCCGAGTTCTTGGCCGTCGCCCGCACCGGCAAGGAGAAGCAGGTCAGGGATCTTTTGAATGACCCGGACACCACGCGCGACGAGCTGGTGAGGGCGGTGGGCGAGGCGGTGGGCATGCCAGAGCACTGGTCGGAGGATATTGACGGGTTTGTGGAGAAGTACCAGGCCCGCAGGGGAGACGAGAAGGCATTGAAGGAGCTCTACATCCAGCAGTTCTTCAAGGACCAGGCCACGGGTGAGACCCTGCCGCATGCCCAAAAATACCTAGACATGTATGAGGGCGATCTCAGCGTCAAGTTGGAGGATGTCATTGGCAAGATCATCGCCGCCAACAAGGACGACAGGAGCACGCAGACGAAGCGAGAAGAGCACAAGAAGCGACTCGACGAGCTGCGAAGGGCCAAGACGACATTCGAGCGGGACAGAGCCAAGGCTAAGAACCAGACCCAGGGGGCTCAAAAGTCAGGCATCGAGGAGAAGCTGGACCACCTCCCACCGTGTCGGACGTGCAGCCAGCAAGTCGACCCTGACGTGTACTGGCCATGTGCGCTTTGCATGACAATGGTGCAACTGGGGGGTGCAGGCGACTTGACGGTATACTGCTCGCAGGAGTGCGACGACAAAGGACGAGTGAGTGATTGTTTTTATCTTCTCTTGTCGCCCACTGGACTAACGTGAGAACAGCTCGACCACGAGACCGAAGCGCACCTCTGCCACGCCGGGGAGAGCTGCGTCTTCTTCACCGATCCGAAAACAAGCCAGCAGGGCGGCCCCGAGAGTGCCAAGATGTGTAACGAATGTCTGGATAAGAAAGAGGCTACTGTCTACTGCACGCTCACCTGCGCAGAGCGCCACCTGCCACGGCATCGCAGGAGCGTGCACGGCGCGGAGATGGAGGTGGACAGGATACAGGATCTGGTCTCGCCGTTGCACAAGGTCGTCGAGATGACTTTGTCGGGCGAGAAGGTGGGCGCGGATATCACGTTTACGTAAAGGGACTATGGCTGGGATACATGAGTACGCGGCGTACAGGTGGATCGTTTATGGCGTTGGGATTAGAGCGATGCTCGAGGGACTTGGAATTTCTGATAGACAGACGGAACCGGCATTTGGTTGGCATTGCTATGATTGACAATGAATGGGCCGTTTGACCATTGTTATATGGCGCCTTGGTGCCATTTTCACGACTTGTCGTTACATCCGAGCCTCTTCGGCATTTACGCCCAAGTCCATCCGCTGTCTCCACTTGTATTCTCACTCACCTCCATCACTCGCAAACATGACATGAAGCAAACACACTTTATCTTCTCTCAAAGTCCATCTCGCAGATCTTTCTACAGAATGGACCAGATGGAAGATTCTCATGACAATCCGTCGCGGCGGCACGTACAGCATGCCTGTGTTGCCTGTCGCGCCACCAAGATACGGTGTCAACCCAGTGAGCAGCCAGGCGTGTGTAGAAAGTGAGCTTCCATCCATTCGAAGCAGGCGAGCTGAAACTGACAATCTCAAGATGCCTCGAATCGAAGCGAGAATGCGTTGCGAGGACCGGACCGCGGACGCGTCGTCCCAAGCGCAGTAAGAAGTACGCATCTGAACCCGTTTGAGCACTGCATCGACAAGCTCATCGCGGACAGTTCACCAGAAGCCGGCCCAACTCATGAACCAGGTCCAAGCTCGACGCAAGCGCAGACTTTCACCATTGACTTTGCTGTCCCCGCGCCAGACGAGCAAGACGACTCCTTCTCGTCCCTCGCACAGACCCACGAACAAGCTCTCGCGGCCCTCTTCACAGAACACGAGGAAGAGCAAGACTTCATGTTACCTCTCTCGCCGCCCTCTTCATCGGCTACGCCAGCGTCTCATCCTGTCGAGTCTCTGACCGGTCAGCCTCAATTCAACCTCGCCTCGGCTTCCTCCCTTCTGGATATCTTCAGGACACACATGCTGCCCAACTTCCCCTGTGTCACTCTGTCAGAAACAGACACCGTGGCGGAGATGGCTACGCGGCAGCCGTTTGTCTTGCTTGCTATTCTGGCCTCAGTCTCGGCCTCGGGCAACATGCTCCAGGGTCATGGCCTCTACGATTCAGAGTTCCGGAAGGTCCTTGCCCTCAAGTTCGTCGCAGGCGGAGAGCGTACGCTAGAGATCCTTCAAGGCATTCTGATCTACTGTGCCTGGTAAGACTCTAGAAACCACCCCCTGTTGCTCTCTTAAGTTGACGAAGAGTCGTAGGTACCCTTTCCACCTACGACCGAAGAACAAGCAGGCGTATCACTATCTGCGCATGGCGTCTGATCTACTGCATGATCTGGAACTAGACAATGAGCCGGCTTTCTACCAACCGGAAGATTTTCTCCTCCAAGCTGGTGTCAGGGCGTACTTGAGCTACACTTATCTTGCCGCCTCGTGAGTACGTGTACACTGAGTGGCCAGCTCTTGTCTTACTTTTCAAGGTTCCTCATCGGTTGGCGGCGATACAAGGGGATCTACGCATCATTCGATACTTGGACAGAGAAAGCATGTTCTCTGCTCGAGACAAATACCCATGTATCGGGGGACAAAACCCTCGTGGCTCTCGTCAGACTGTCGTCCATCATCATATCAAGGATCGACGTGGACGGCAAGAAGTCCACGTACACCGAAGCAGACAAACACCTCCTGCTACTAGGCCTGGAAGCAAAACTCGACTCTCTTCACATCGCACACGAGACAACCACCAAGAGTCAGTACCCCTTTCTGCTCAACCACGCAGTGCCAACGCTAACAGGCAAGACGCACAAGACCCCGTCGTACTCACGCACCTCTTTGCCAAGATCTACCTCATCGCTGCCCCTTTTCTCACCCTACCCCCGACCCCAAAATCTCCCTCACCTCCGAACATGAGCTACATCATAGCGCCTCTCGCCACGGCCCTCACGACCCTCGCCAGTCTCTCCGACGAAGCCCTCCGGGCCTTCACCGCACCAGACTGGTTCCGTCTTATCGTATGCGTGATTGTCGCCTCCAAGCTCTCCTTCCCCTTGGCAAACGACCCATCCTGGGATGACGCATCCGCCAGAAGCGCTCTACGACTAGGCTCGTTCCTGGACAGCTTTTGTCAGGACGACAACGACGACGGCGACAAGGCCAAAACTAAGAACGACGTGCTGTCCGCGAGCCGCGTCGTCATGCGCATGGTGCGCGACAAGTTCAACCGCAAACTACATACAGCCGCCGGTGCAAAAAGGACAGCATCCCTTGGTTGCCCCATGCTCGACGGCAGTCTCGACAACTACATGCCCATGTGGGATCCGCCGCCGCTGCCGCTGCCCCCTCAGACATCCCAACAACAAAGCGGCCCCGTGTTCCACGACCTCTGGGCGACTATGACAATGTCCTGGTCCAACGGCCGAGGGCCTTGCCCCTGACTAACAGACAGTCACATGCTCTCTGGCGTCCAGTCCCAGGCCATGCATGCACGCATGCTGGCGCCCCCCGCGTGGGCACGCCACACGCAACCTCGGTGAGGTGTATGCATGATGGCCCGCACGACTCATTGGGAGAGATCCGCGGGAGAATACTGATGTGTCACTTTTCCTTTTTCTTTTTTGGCTCTGCGCGGTGAATGAAAGCAGTTGATGCATTACTCTATCCTGAAGAACCAAAACACCTGGACATGAGCGTATGCTTGTGTGCGCACGCAGAATGAGCCCTCCTCGTCCTACGCTTCGTTGATGTTATGGCCCCGCAGAAAATAACGCCCAGCAAAAGGTATCCGGCACAAGAAAACAAGAGAACGAAAAGTAAAAAAAACATTCCCACACGCGCCTTCGCGGAACCCACAAGTCGGTACAAAGGTAAAGCAACGTCGCTGGTGGATCCGACCCTAGACTCCTTCGCTATCGTTTGTTGGCCGTGGGTGTTTTGGTGAAATAAAGATGTGATGATCGCTGTCCCTGAAGAATACCCCGTATATAGCCCTCCTCCTGCGCGGCAGCGAGGTGTATGCGATGCAGTAATGCGATGCGCCCAACCCAGTGCTCTACCATGCTGTGCCCCCTTGGTATATGGTGCTCAACCGAGAGCGGTCGTCTTCCCAGAACCAAAAGACAAATAGAAGAAAGAAAGAGAGGGGAACTGAAAAAAAGAAATACGAAACAAAGAGACAACTCCTCCCGATGATGCTTTTTTCTCTCAAAATATTGCCCTGGTGCTCATCGCCCTACATCCCCATCATGTGTGGCGGCAGTGGTCCAGAACCATTCGTTCTGTAATGCCCGTTGGGTGTGTGCGTGCCTGGGGAATGGCCATTGCTGTAGCCATTTTGCATGGGGCTGTTCCATCCGTAGTTGGGCCCGTATCCTCCGTTCGCAGCGGCAGCGTTGTGGTTCATACGGGTTGGGCCCAGTCCGGGAGGTGCAGACAAGCCTGGCGGGGGTCCGTTGGCCGATGCGAAGGCATGCGCTGATCCGTTCATGTTGTTGTTCATGCCACCGTGGTGTGCATGTCCCGCTGCGTGGTGGTTGGGGCCGCGCACGCCAAGCGGGTTCTTGGAGAAGCTCAGCCGAATACCACCCTTGTTGCTGTTGGAGAGCAGATGCCCGTACAAATCGTGTAGTACTTTGGTCGCGAAAGTGGTGTCGTCAAACTCGACAAAGCACATTGGTCCATTTGTCTTGGTTCGGAAGCACAGCCTCTTGTAGCCCCGGCACTTGGAGAAGAGCTGCTTCAGCTCCTCTTCGTGCGTATCGAGGGGCAGGTTGCCAACGTACAGAGTGTTGCACGGTGGGTTCTGATCGGCCGGGTTGACGGGCGGCAGGTTTGGTCGGTGCGAGTGGTTGTTCATGGGGTAGTGATGCCCATAGGGATGCGCAGACATGGGATGGTTGTACGGCGATGTGACAGAAGGGGCTGTGTTGCCGACATTGGTGTTGATGGACATGTTGGCCATTTGCGATACGGGAAACTGGGGCGCCGTCATGCGACGCCCAGTAGGGCCACCGCCTCGCTCGGCAAAGGCCATGGGGTTGTTGATCAAATCGCTCGTCTCATCGTCGTTTGAATTGTTCTCGATAAAGTTCTTGCCAGAAACACCATTAACATCCTGCGGCTTCGTCCCGATGGGGGACGTGGGACTGAAAACGCCCCGAAATTGCGAGTAGCCGTTGGGCGTGTCGATGCTGTGAGGGTGCGTCGACATTCTGTCGAGTGATCCGAACGCGCTCGAGAAGCCCGACGACGACTGCGACGCCGTGTGCGCAGGACCAGGCATAGTGCTCACAGAAGCCGTCGCGAGCGCAGCGCCCGTGTTGGTTGGACTAGGGTCGCTAGGCACAGTCGAGGGACTGCTTCCCAATACGGTGACGATCATGTTGGCGTCGCCGGCTGAATTGGTCTTTCCGTCAAACATATTCTGTGCCTGGACAGCGCTGTCCATGGACTTGAAGCGAAGCTCGCCGGATAGGTAGCCCTCGTCGTCAGAGAGCGGTGGGGAGAGGACCTCCGCGCTGATGAGGTCCTTGGCCCAGAGGACCATGAGTCGCAAGTTTTCGTCGGTGGTGCCCAGGGGCAGGCGTCGCATGCGGACAGTGACGGCCGTCGGTGGGCTGAAGAAGGGCGTGCCAATCGGTCGCATCGCGGGCTTCTGGTGAAGCGAGGACATGTTGAAGGAGTTGCCAGGAGCTGCTGTCCGCAGGGACGTGGGGGGCAGGCCCGAGGTGGCCATGGCTCCCTCTGGTTGTGCGCGCGCGAGCGAGCGAGGGAGACGATGGCGGGTGGAATGCGCGGGACAGGCCAGCGAAAACGGTCGTCAGGGTTGTTTGTCGCGGTCGATCGGCGAGAAGAGTCGGCGCACGCCAAGGGATGCGACAGGCTGCGGCAGATTCGGATGAGCAACGCGCACGCGCCGAACAGTCTGGCTGGGACAATGCGAGCAAGTGAGCTGGCTGGCTGGCTGCTGGATAAGAAGACTGCTGGAGTGCGCGGCACCCGAGGCGGACGAGGTGAGGTATTAGGTGAGGACAAGGACGAGCGTGTGAACGGACGCGCGAGCGAGCAGGATGCGGACGGAAGTATGAATGAGGACGTATGGAGTGGGTGCGTGCGAGTGGGCAGAGTGTCGAGGTCGTGGGCTCCAGTCCAGTCGCTCGCTGACCAGGAATCCAGTCGAGGGAATGGTGTGGCAGTAGCAGCAAAGTGCAGTTTTGGGCAGGGGCAATCTGGCGAGGGAGGAAGGATGGTGGGGTGGCCTCAGTGATATGGTGCGCTTCCTAGCGCAACGAGCTCTGTGCCTGCTGAAGCTGAGGTGGGCTGCTGGGGTCGTTGAGTGACTGGTGGATCCTGCTTTCGAGGCTTCCGGCCAATGGGCCGCGTGCATCAAGGTATCGCGGAATCCCAGCAGCGAATCAGAATCAAGTTCTTCCAAGGGACGGCAACTGCGCAGGCGGCCACGGTCGCTTTATCGCGTGGGGAGGGCCTCGAGACCTGGCGCTCGAGGACTGGACTCTGCTCAGTGCTTGGTGATGGGCGTGTCGAGTCATCATCTCCACGTCGTTGCGCTCGTTATGCTTCGTTGACGACCAGTCCTCCAAAGACAGTCTACGCATTAACTCAAGGCCGTGGGCTCATAGCTATCCGGAAATACGACTTGGTGGGATGCTCTGGAAAATCTGAGTGGTCAGATAGCATCAGCCGGCCTGAACTCTATCGAGGCTAAGAGAATGCTAAACTGCTCTGGGCCCGAGTCGTGTGGTTGAGACTGGTGAGAGGCGCCAGTAGCGGGACCCGTCTTGATGGGCATGGCAACTGAGTGTGATCAAGATATGGAAGACTTGGGAGAAGCCCATGTTTCGTGAAGCACAACAGGCTTGAGGATATCTCGGTTGCGGCAGTGGCTTCCTACTAGTACTTGGACAAAGAGTCTGTCCAAGGGTACGGACGTATTGTAGTTGTTGTACGTACCATGCTCGACAGCCCACCACACTGCCACTTGAACAAAGCGTCACATTAAGCACAGATATCATCTTGCTAATCTGCCTGTACGCCCTCGAAACGTGCTGGCCAAAGGGTTCAAGAGAGACATGGCATGGGGGGGAAACATGGAGGTGGACCTCGAACAAAAGACGGGTTGTATCGCCCGACCGGTCTGCACGAATGACTGTACATCTGCGGTCGATATGCCGGGAGGTGATGACTGACCCTCCATGTGGTTCCAAACAGGTTGGCCCAATGTGTGGCCGCTGCCTTGCCTCGCCTTGCCGTGCCTCGGAGCGCAGACGGACGGGGTTGATTGATAGTAATAAGCTTGTGTACGCAGAACCTCGAGCCTCCTGTCGCTGTAACCACTCTTCTGTGATGAGGACTCATTCACGTCCTAGGACCCAGTGTCAGCACATGGCCGGCTGGCTGCCTGCCCTGTCGATGGTACCTGGCGCATTCCCAACACGAGACATGTCTCGCAGATGTCGGTCGCGCGCATCTCGTCGCCTTGCGCCCGAGATGAGGGGGAATCGCGCGCACATTGGGGGATCCTCGAACGCGTGTTGCGATGCGTCCCTCATTGACAGCAGCAGAGCGGAGCCCTGCCTGTCTGGCCTGGAGGCTGGGACCCGACAGACAGGGGGACGGGCCACCAGACAGGCTACAGCACCCTCATGCAGGTGCCGATCCACTCCCATTCTCTAGGATTGGAACGCGACTGCGCGCTTAGCTCATTCCGGCGTAGTTTTTCCTCCTCCTGCACCCGCGGTCGCGGCATCGTAGATGCAGGCGCGTCGGCCATGGTGTTCCTAGAGATACCGATGGTGTGATGGACTGCAGCCCAGGTCATATAATCTGCCGCGAGAAGGCCTTGGACAGGACGACTCGAGCAAGGCGGTTTAGTTCGGGACACTGGCAGATGCTTGCCCAAGCCTTTTGCGTGTGCGCGCGCGCACGCACACGAGGGGTCAAGAGGGGTCTGACGCTCGGATCATCCCAGGTGACGGGCGAGGGGTCAGATTGATTTCGGTCATGGAGATAATACGCACATGAGACACCACCTTTGCACTGGAGTGGAAGATTGCTGTCACTCTGCGGAGAGCGTGTTCGGTGTGTTATGTCCGTGAACATGACACTATTACCGTCATTTACCCACATGCCTGGACTTTGATACGACTGACTGCCCTACACATCGTGCAAGTATTTTATCCGGGCTACCCTGCAATGGGGACATCTGCCACCTCATTCGTCACTGCCCACCGCGCAATCACTGACACAAAGAGGACAAGATAATCAGGCTCGGTGTAGAGAGTGAGAAAGTTGGCTAACGCTTACATCACCTCGCTCGGCTTCCTCTCCGTATGGACAGAGTGTTGCACGTCTCGTGCCAACGTGATGCGAACACAAGAATCCCGCGGGGCGGTAATCGACGATCGTTGTGTTCAGTGACAGCGCCAGATCTCGAGCAGAAAATAGTCTAACATGCGACATGTTGTTTTGATATCTGTTCCGGACGTTAGCTGTGGGATGCAGTGCTTCCTGATCTATCGCCTCCTAACGAAAAATGTTCTTACTATATAGTATGTCATATTGCACCCATCTTCAGCACATCCGATATAGTCTAACGGTTAGGATGCGGCGCTTTCAGGTGTTCCGTTCAAGGAGCTACCAGAGATCCGCCGAGGCCGGGGTTCGATTCCCCGTATCGGAGACATTCTTTTGCTTTTGACTTTTCCTCTTATTGAAAGTTCCTTTTTTTTTTTTTTTTTTTGTTTCTGAACTTGACCCCTCTTCAGCCTTTGTCAGACATTTTTTTTGACCTTTTGCCATGTCACTTTGCCGCCGTGTTCTTCGCAGACATCGTTAGCTAACCAGTGTCACCTCGTGCGTCTGCCTACTGCCGGAAGCTGTCCCGCTCTGCAGGACGGCAGGCAGCAGACTGTTCTGGACCCTTTGTCTGCTGCAGAGGGGAAAGGATTGCTAGGATAACCATGCCTTTTATTGTGATCATTCCTAGAAGATTATTCAACTCATCACTTTCGCCTGATGGATCCCTTCCCATGGATGGCTCGTCTGCCACTGGAGGTTGATGACAGCCAAGTGACGCTGCAGAGGCGCTTCGTGGTGGTTGGCGGTCCGCATCTACGCACAATTCGCCGTTTCGCATGATGAAACACGTCCATCTACTGATAAGCATCCGTCGCTCACAAGCCTCAAACACGAATTATGCTGCCTGCCTATCCGTACTTACCCCAAGGTCGACCCCAGAATCGGCCCAGGCGGCCCCACCGCACCGGCCGGCAAGGCACGACAAGACGGACCGGGCGGAGCAATGCGATTTCCAAGTTCCGTGCGTAGTATCTTGTTTTGATCTATGTTCTGGGGGGTCTCATATGTAAAGTGTACATAGCACGAGGCAGTCTGCGCTCTGTCTATCGTGAAAGGAATACAAACTCGCTGTTGTTGTGCCTGGCATTCGCTAATCGTTCGTTACCCTGGATCGTGAGATCCGCGTCCGTCCTGTATGTTCCCAATCTCATGTCCCATCATGCTTTGTCGTCCTCAGAGCACGACGCATCGCTGCCCGTCGCGCAGCCGTCTCCTCCGCCTGCGCTTGTGAGAGTCGTACGCAGAATGCTCCGGCTTGTGGGTTGGCGAATCTTCCGCGCCGCCCTCGTCCTCCCGCCGAAGCATCTGCCGACAGAGGTCGATGAAGCACTCTTCAACATTGGCTGCCATTGTGTCAGTCAGGGGGCTTCCGCGCGCAGCATTGGATAGACTCACTCCTCGTCCTGGCACTCGACTCGTAGTACGGCGCCTCCCACCTTTGCGAAACGGAAAAGCCCCTCGCGCGAGGTACCTGTCGGTTCTCCTCCAGATCGGCCTTGTTGCCTACAATGACAATTGGCACGCTTTCGTCGTCCTTGATGCGAATGATCTCGTCTCGCAAGCTCGCAATCTCATCGAGGGACGCTTGTGATGTGATGCTGAACACAAGCAAGAACCCTTGCCCCGTTTTCATGTACAAGTCACGCATGGCCACAAACTGTTCTGTGCCTGCTGTGTCAAGGCTGGTCATCTGTGTTAGTTTTGGACCCCAAAGTGAGCATCTCAGTGTCAAGACTCACATCTCCAACACGACCTGGCGGCCCTATAGGTAACAAGTCAGCTCCTCTGTGTGAATGAACAAAGCAATAGCTTGGATGCTACTCACATCGACCTGTAGCTGGGTGCGGTACGAGTCCTCAATGGTAGGGTCATAACTTTCCACCCACTCATTATGGACGAATTGGGCAGTGAGGCAGCTCTTGCCGACACCGCCTGCTCCTAGCACCACAACGTGGAATTCGCGACTAGATACTTATGTTAGACCGGGGTGACTCAATGGGTAATTAGGCTCGCGACAAACCTCGGCTGGAGTCGTCGTGCAGGCATGTTCACCGCCCGTGTGGCCTTGCGATCAAGTGGTCAGGACAAGATTGCCTCCGGCCAAGTGCGTTGTTGATGAAGCCGCGCCGGGATGGCCAGCGTCATGCGGCAGCTGTTGGCGACCACGATGAGGGTGAAAGCCGTCAAAAGGGCTGATTTGCGCCCTTGTGATGAGTTATCGAGCGCGGCGAGGCCACTATAAGGTATTAGGCGGGCTGTGGTGAGTGTTCGCGAGCTTATTATATGCGGGGCACAAAAGCGAAGCGCAGCGAACCCCCTTTTCCCGCGTCTGAATCTGGATGGCGAAAGATGCGACGATCAGACCAACGCTATGTGGAGAATCCCAAGTTGTCCAAGAGCGGCCCCAAAACGGCAACCACAAACTGGGCCTGCAGCTTTGATGCGTCGAATGGGATCGGATGCTCCGAATTGCTCGGGGCAGACGGTGTCCACGTTGCCTGAAGGAGGAAGAGATGGCTGTGATGATGCTGCTGCTTCCTGGCTATACGTCCGGATTGGACCTGGGTGGGTGAGTTGAGTTGAGTTGAGTGACTTTTCAACAGCTCCCGGTCCGCTTCGCTGGGCAGGCTGTCCCTGAGCGATGAACGTGGACTGTCGGCGCGGGCGAGAAAAGAGCCGACAAGAGGGTTCTAGACAGCTGAGGCGGTGGCTTCATGCAACCAATGTGTCTCAGTAATACCGGTCAGTTGGTGCGGAATGTTTCGTCAAGAGACTGGAGGTTTCAACAGAAGAAAGGAAAAATTGAATGGCGGCGGCGGTTTGGAATGCGCGCCTACGGATACCTCAGCTTACCTGACCTGACCTGACGGTCCTGGCCTGAACTGACCTGTGCAGTGCAGCGCAGCGCAGCAGTTCCTGTTCCAGTCTGCTGCAGCAGCACCTATCCAGTTCAGTTGGCCACCCGCTGCAGCCGACTGGATGCGCCAGCCCTGCGGTCTGCGGAAGCGCTGCCCGGACGGGGCCTGCCTGGGGGCCCGCTAGCCCGCTATCATAGTCGCAATCCACAGGCGGTCCAGTCCCAGAGCCAGAGGCCAGCGCTCCGTGCTTGTACGCGCATGGGCGCCTTCCACTCATGTCTGTGTGATTCGAGCGCGACTGGACGCTGAAGGACAGACAGAGTGACAGACAACGCTCCAGTCGTACGCGCAAGACTTACATATCTCGACCACTCCAGTCCCTCGAAGCAACTGTGGATCAGCATCGACTGCTGAGCAATGGAGATGCTCCCCAAAACGGCTGAATACCCAGCGTTGCCCCCTTCGCCACGAGGCAATCCTTCCCGGGGTGTTTATTACCTTGCCAATAATTACTGGTCCTACGTAGTTAATAGGTGGCCAGGTCCAGTCGGGCAAATTGGCGGCCAAATCGAGCACGCACTGTCCCTCTCCGCTCAACTTGGAAAGCATGGCACGTCCATGATCCATCCCAGATTCCGGCTCAGAGCGTGCCTCCAAGTCGTCAGCTCCGAGATCATCGCCTAGGCCCGTACCGAAGTAAAACAAGCTTTCGGCCCTGCTTGATCGGCACGCACCTTTGCCAGCTGAGGCAGGCAGCCCATCTTGCCTCCTCGCTCTGCTCCGTCGCAAGTCCTGTTTGCTCATGACAGAAGAGATGTTGCAGACCGCCTGCCGGCTGCCGGCGTGGGCCGCTGTCACATGCATTTCGCGACCTCTTACTTAAGGTACTTTGTATTGCGTACGCTGAAGATCGCTTGACACATGCCCAGCAATACCAACTAGCTGAGTGAAGATATATCCTCAGCCCATCACTACGCAATCGTGAGACAACACGAGCGGAGTCCAGCCTGGATCCAGTCTCCAGAGCTCACTGAGTGAGACCCACGCTCGGAAGCCGCAAAGTTGCCTCGTGTGGCGCTGCCCAGATTCCCACGTGGCGGGCTGGCCTCGCGATCGACGGGCTCGATCTTCGGCCGGACTAACAAGTTAAGCCAGGCATATCCGGGCGTCATGTTGAAGCGAAACGCAGGAGAAATCGTAGGACGAGTGTGCAATTTTGAGCAGTCCTCCCAAAACAATATTGATTGCTGGCGCTCTGGTTGGGATTTTATCACATCCATTCCAAAGTCCTCGTCAACTCTGCCACCAGACTTCAACGACCATCTGTACTAGACATCCACGCCCACCCCAAGGCACGAGAGCTCACCACATCAGACTGTGCCCAACGGTCCATAGTCCCATACATGTGCTAGCCACATGGCCATCCGTATCACAATCCGCGCGAATCGCGTCCACCACGCAAGGTGAAGCAGGCCGCCCGTCCCACGCACATGGCCTTGACCATATAGAAAATACGGGGGCTCATCCGGTTGGATGTACGCAGCGAGAATGTACGCCGCACGGATGAAAGTAGGCGGGAGCAGACTCCTCACAAAGTCGACGTCGGTAGGCGAAAAGTTGGCACGGCCCTCGGTCTCGTCATCGGCGGAAGACTCAGCATCATCGCTGCCGTCGCTTGATGAGGGAGGACGGTCGTCTGTGGTGGCAGCGTTGTGCAGGTGACGAGCGTGCAGGTTCTCTGTATCGCGCAATGAACGTACAATGTCCGTATCATCGGGCCTCGCCTCGCCGAATATATTGCCCAGCCGGTTTGGGATGATGTCGTCGCCTCTCGCCTCGCCGAATATACTGTCCAGCCGATTTGGGGTGCTGTCTTCGTGGGTGGCCCTTCCGAATATGGTGAGCACACGAGTCACAAGTGAGGTTCCGCTGGTCGGCTCTGGCTGCTAGTCGTCTCCGGATGAGCTTGCCGCCTCGTCGTCGTGGTTGTGGTGCATGGTGAACGGAGGCTGAAAAGATGTGCGGCCCGTCTTTCGACGGAATGGTTCAAAAGAGTGATGAAGCTGGGAAGGATTGGGAGTGACTAGGCAGAAGACTTTGACGGAGCAGGTGTTACAAACAGAAAGAGGGCGGCCCTTAACGAGGCAGGTACGGAACACCGAGTCGCCGACAAGAAAGATGGTAAATTATGCTCGCCATGTAGAATCCCTTACGCTCCAAATGCCATGCTAGGCCTCAACTTATTGTCTCCGACGAATTAGTCTATATACAGTCCAAGCCATTCATTCCTGCGCCGAACCACGCTTTTCTCCATACACAGGTCCCCAAACAGAAAAGGTCTTCAAATTAGTACGGTGGTTTGGTGACATTGCCCAGGCTGCCCTCTCCAGATCGGCTGTCGATCCCCCTCAACAATGAATCCAGGTCCATGCTCTGGAGAGACTCCTCTTGTGCGCGCGGGTGCAAACTCCCACGGACGCTGTTTGCGGCCCGGCTGCTTGGTGTCCGTCGGGGCGCCTGGGCCTGGGGAGCATAGTCTTGATGAGCAATGTGCTCTGCAGTCGTCGGCGACATGGACATGGAGCTCTGCGAGTTGGGCAGTGGCGGCACAGGCGGTACGTCCTCGCCATCGTCCAAGGTCGGCGTGTTCTGCCCCGGCGGGTTCGACGACAGAGGACCGCGTCTGGTCATGGACCCGGATCGCCTGGGCGTCTCGGGCTCCGCAGGCGCGTGCGTGTGTGTAGCTGCCGGGTTGAAGCTCAGCTCCGATGGACTGTCGTAGCTCACCATGCTATCGCCGCTGTCGTCGTCATCATCGTCGCTTCGTGCCGCACCCAGCGTCGGCTTACTGCCGGAGAGGACCATCTTGAGCTGGTCGACTGACGCGATGCCCTTGTGTGACGAGCTGGGTGGGGAGACACCGCTCCTGACGCTGGACTTGCGTAGCTTGGTCACCGAACCGTAGCGCTCGCGGTCGGGGATGCGAGCAGAGTGCGGCCGCATGTTATGCGGGCTGCCGTAGGGCGACATGAACCCTCCATTGGCGCTGAGGCCATTGGTGTTGATGGTCAGGCGGTTCCTGTTGGTGCCAGTCGTCCCCGTCCGCGATCCGTTCAACGACTCGGGCTTGCCCTCTGTGGCCAGCGCAGCGACCACGGCATCCCTCGACCAGTCTGTCAGCATCTGCTCCCGGAACGCACTTGGGAAGTCGTTCTCGTCTTTAGCCGCCGGCGTCGGGCTCATTGTCGATCCCAGGATGGGGTGGTTGGCCATGCGGCCCGGTGACGCCGCGGGACTAGCAGGCGGTGACTGGGAAGACTCTTCATAGCTCGTGGCGATACACTCGACCATGGAGCTGCGGTCGTCAAAGGGTAGGAGCTCCTCCGTCTCGAGGGCTTTGGGGTCCCACGCAGGCTGAGACTCAATGTGGCCCGGCATGCCGACGTTCTTGAGGTGAGGCGGAGGAATGTTGATGCCCTCGATCCAGAACTTCTTGCTCCGCCGGCGGACGACTTCGTTGGTGATGGCACGCCCCACGGCCGAGCCGTCAAAGTCAAACTTCTCCGTGAGTGTCCAGAAGTATCCGTGGCACAAGGCCGCGATGCGCACCTTGTTGACTGGCTGCTCGATCTCCTGAATCTCCTCCTGCAGGCCATAGACCATGGGGATGCCGAAGCGAACGGCGTTCACGCCCAGTCGAAAGACGAGCTTGGTGAGCAGCACGTGCAGCACCACCAGGTCAGTTTCGTAATCCACGTACTGGAGGGCGTTGTCGTAAATGGCGAGATGGAGCAGGGGCAGGAACTGAGACCGTCGCGTGTTGCGTGTCGAACGCTCGCGATGGGTCCCGTTGGACACACCGCGCGACGCAGCTGCAGCCATCTCGCGGCTGTTCTTCATGGAACGGTTGCGGACCAGGCTCTCATCGCGCGCTCGAAGGTCGGCGGGGGTGGTCTCGCGGTCCAGCCAGGTCACAAGGGCATCTACGTAGGCCTTGCGAACCCGGCCGTCCGGGTCTCTGAGCAGCCACTGCGAGCCCTCCCACACATGCAGTGGTACCTTGTTCCTCGAAAGGTCCATGTTGCCACTGATCTTGGTCTTGGGGTTGGCGACCAGCAAGATCCCCCTGATAACCTTGAGGCCGCAGACGCGACCCTTGCTGTATGAGAAATAGGTGTCGGAGTTGGACTGGCTCTCAGACAGGTTAGTCAATGAGCCGCCCGGCGCAGCGTCATGATCCTCCGTCTTCTCCCCTTGCGGCGTTGAGTTTGTGCTCGCTGATGGTGCCGGTTTCAGGCGCGCCAGCACAGCCGCAATCATGTCGGTGATCTGGTCTGCGTAGTAGACGTGGGTCGCCAGGTCGCCAACGCATTGCTCGAGACGGTCCAGAAGCTGCCGCGACTGGGGAGAGGGTTCGCCAGCGCCCAGTTTCTCGTCCAACACTGTGTCCAAATGCTCGCCCTGCTGAAACAGCCTCTTCATCTGCTTGACCAACCCTAGCAACACATCCATAACGCTGAGCCCAATAAGATTGACATCGGAACGGAGCAGGGAGCCAACGATTGCTATCAGCGCCAAGTGGTGCTCCATCTTGTCTTCATGCAGCGGGGTCCGCACCAGAGCCTCCATGGTTGTGACCAGGATCACGTATCGATCCTGCACAGGCGTCCATCGGGAAATGAGGTTGTACATGATGAGGGCCCAGCCGCTGTCATTCTTGCCGGCCTCCGCAAGCTCGACGACTCTTTGCCCATGCTCAATCTTCTTCAAGATAAACGTGAGCAAGGCTGCCGTCGCAGTATGGATTTGCGCGCGATTCGGCCCAACGTAGATGCTCTTGAGGCACTGCATGGCAAGCACGCCAATGTCCTCCTCGACTAGTCTGTCGGCGTCTGTCGGGGATCCTGCAAACGGTTCGGGGTGCGGCTCGCCCGTGTCTGCCGTGCCCGCCGTAGCGATACTGGTCCTTCTCCGGAGCATCCTCTCGGAGTCGACCTTGTCCTCCACGTTCATACGCTGCAAGAGCGTGTCCAGTAATTGTTCGTCGGTCGTCCACAGGTTCTCCAAGATCAGGGGCACAATCACGTTGAGTTGCCGCCCTGTGACAGATGCCAACGGCTCCGACGTCGCCACGCTCCTGATGGCTTTGAGACCTGCTGTCCTCCATCGTGCCTGCACCGACCGGCTCAAGCCACCCTTGTTGGCGGGTGCTGTCGACGTCGCGAGGGTGGCGTAGTGCTGCACCACAGACTCGTACTGGCGCGAGTAGGCTTGGTCGGCGAAGAGGGAGGAGGCGTCGTGGTGCTCGCAAAAGGCGTCAAAGGCAGGTAGGGAGGACTCGATCATGGTGATGTCGTTGGATCGGAGGATCAGGTCGAGGATCTTGAGGACGCACGGGGCGATGAGGACGACATCCTTGGGGGACTTTTCGATGAGGGCGGCGAGGATGCCAAGGGTGACCTGGACGTTGCCGATGCGCATGCGCCAGACGTCGCTGGCGGTCTTCTTCTCGAGAAAGGCGCCAATCTTCTGAATCTTGGACTTCCTGCTCGTCGCGTAGAAGAGCAGGTAGCTCAGCTCGCTGCTGTTGGGCTTGACGTCGGTGGCGCCCTTTGTCGTCCGGGGGTAGCACTTGAGGATGAGCACCTGGTGCTTGGGGCGGCACTTTTGCTTGATGGCGTGCATGGCGCGGGCGATGGCTGAGCAAGACGGTGCTCAATCCGGGCGGGCGGGCTCTCTCTGCTGACTGTAAAGTCGGACGCGGAGTCTGCTCACGGGTGAGCCAGCAGCTCGAGAACCGTGGCGGGTGATAACGCGCGGGTCGGAGGGAGGATGGGCTTGTTGTTGGTTGGAGGCCACGAAGGAAAGGAGGGTTGAATAATGCCACCGGGGCCGGGACGTTGGAGTTGGAGTTGAGCAGCCACAGTCAGTACCTTAACTTGAGTTATTAGCAGCCAGCGCAATGACGCGGGACGGGACTGGACTGAACTCCTGGAGCTAATTAGCTGCAGGAATTCTGAGGGGACGGACTGAGCCACACGTGCGTCTCTGTGAGCAGCCACGGGTCAAGCCGCAATTTCCCCTTTTCTTTCTTCTCGTCTCAATCTCAATCTGATTAGGATCCCAGTAATATCGACGTGCTCACCGCGCTGCGACGAGAACTTCTTATGTTAATTGCGCGATTGCATGCTCAATCCAGCCTCGACATGGACGACGGGCAGCGACGGACCGAGGCTCTTTATCAACCTCCCTACTCAGAGCTTGAGGGTAACACGCTCGAGAGGGGACGTGAGGGGTGCAGGTGATAATCATCTTTGTGCTCGCAAGCTATCGCTACTTTGCGACAAGCTGTAGGTTAGTAACTTGGGTGGCACACGCGATGGTCATGGAGAGCACAACGGAGCAACTTGTTGATGCCCCCAACTGTGCAGACTGGCCTGTCCTAGCCCACACGTCACGTAATCCGCATGACTTTGCGATGGCGACCATGATGTCAACTGATGTGAGCCAATCCAAACAGAGGTCCGTGATGTTAATTTAGTGGCCCTGTTGAGTGTTGACGCACGGTTACATGTACGTACCACATCCACTCCAGCCCTGTGGCTTCACCCCAGGCCCCCAGCTAGTCTAGACGCTCCATTCTTGGGCTACATAGTAGTCTTGACTCTTGGACCATATCCTAGACTTGGACGGCAGCGCGACCTCCCACGATCCAGTTCTCACTCGACAATTCACCCTGCTACATGACCAAGCTCGTCTGGATACGAGAGCGTGCAATTTCACGATGACGACGCCGTGCTTACCGTGAGGCCTCGTCAAGTGGGCAGAGCCAAGCTCGCTAAGCCTTATTTGCCAAGAATCTGACATTGTCACTCCCTCTCGCTCGTCCTTTTTCACGGGGCTGCGTGAAGTTTGAACCATTCTTTTTCTTCTTATTTTTCTTCCTCTACTCGACGTTGAATCACTCTTTAATCTTGGTACCTCTCCTCGCGCAGCCCTGCCTGCATCACCGCCAGCCATGGAAACCCCAGGTCAATGTAAAGGCTCACCAACGTTCAACCTCGCCGTCACAGACTCGGCCTTTTCAGAATGGCCCGACAACCTTCCGGGTCTCGTCTGCAAGACGCCTCCCATGGGCTACTACCACGCCGCGCGCTTCGCAGAGTGCTGCTCGGGCACCGTCTACAACATCACGACGCCCACCTCGCCCGACGACCCAGCCTACCCAGTCACATGTGCGCTGCTCTGTCAGGTGGACCCGAAACTGGATGAGCACAACGACAGATATCCATACGGATTCAGTGAGCATTTTATGTGCCTCGCCGACGGCCGCGTCGGCTTGTCAGAGGAGGAGAGCAATCCCAGAGGCGCGCCAGGCGGCGAAGTCGTGTGCGCGACGTTGACGGTGCCTGGTGTCGAGATGCCCACGAGCTATCCCAACAGCTGGACGGGGGACTGGCAGACGAGAAGCTACTACAGACAGGACGCGGGTTACTTGTCATGGACATGGGTCGACAATGGGGAAAGCATCCCAACGAGCAGTTCGGCGTCAGGGGAAAAGACGCCAATATCATCCACTTCCGCTTCCACCGCTACCAGTACACCTGCAACCACATCAGAAGGCACATATACTGAGCAGTCACAAAGTACACCAACGATAGAAACGACGCTCTCCTCACCGACTGGGGACCGTGTGCAAGAGACTCCTGCAACGACGGAAACGGCTGGCGAGACCCAAGCGGAGACGACAGGCGATGACTCGGATGATGGGATGAGAATGCATTTCACGACCGGCGCGGTTCTTACTCTCGCGCTCCTGGCGACAATGTTCATAGCGTGATGAGGTTGAATCATCGAACCACTGTACAAATGTAACAATCATGTATATAGCACACACACTGGACGTGCAACAATCGAATTGGCGGCTGTCATGGCCCTATCCAAGGTCAGGCCTGGCGAAGCAACCACGCAGTAGGATGCACATAGATTCTGTGTTGGCTGGACCTGCATCACCAGCCCCCTCACTGCCACTTCTCTTCTCCATCCCACCACGCATCAGACGACAGCAAGCCAAACGCCAAGCATGTCCCGCTACGTCCTCACGTTCTTCACCCCGCCCCCCTCGCTCGCCGTCATCAAGCGCGCCCTCTTCGCCACAGGCGCGGGCCAGTACCCCAACTACGCCGACTGCTGCTTCGTCTCGCCCGGCACCGGCTCGTTCCGTCCCACGCAGGGCGCCCACCCGACGATAGGCACCGTCGGCACCGTGGAGCAGGTAGACGAGCTCAGGGTCGAGGTGGTCTGCAAGGGCGAAGTCATCAAGGCCGCGGTCGCCGCGCTGAAAGAGTACGTCTTGTTACCGCCCCCTCGTTCTAGGGTTGTGCGTCTGACGACACGCAGATCGCATCCGTACGAAGAGGTCGCCTACTACGTGACCAAGCTAGAGGATTTCTGAGAGACAGAGACGGAAGACATTGTATTTGTGCAAGAATTCAGGTAGTCATTACACCCCCTTCTACTTTTGCCCGCCACCTCCTGTTGCATCAGTATCCCACAACGCCTGCTGAATCTATTCATGCCACCGACGCAATCACCAGCGCCGCCACGTTCTCCTCCTCGCTTCGCACCGTGAGCTTTGTCGTCACGCCCGATTTGGAGGAAAAGGCCATCCGGACCGTGGCCACCACGCGGCCGCCGGACACGCTCTTGCCCAGCAATTTGAGCGTATGTGTGCTTGGGTTGACGGGCACGTCGGTCCCATCGACGGGCTGGAGGGAGAGTGTCTTTGCGAGTTGCTCCGTGGCATCTGTGATCCATCATGTTAGCATGGCCCGTGCCCATGTCGCCGCGCTGCTTACCTGCGATGCTCTTCATCCCACCGAGCTGCAAGGTCTCCTCGGCCTCCTCCCCTGACGCGCCAATCTGCTCCCACAGGTGACTAAAGTTGCTGGCAAACGTCGGGATAATGTAGTCGCTGCCGGTGAGGTCAAACTCGGAGATCTCGTACTCGTCGTCGTAGCCTTCCGCCTCGGGCTCGCCAGTCGAGGGGTCAATCTCCTTGCTGGTGAACTTGAGGACGTTGCTAAAGGTGCTGACGGGCAGAGCACCCTCGCCATTGATCTTTTGGAACGCAACGTATACCTTGCCAGGTTCGTCTGTCGCCAGACGCGCAGCCTCCATGATAAAGGCCTCCTCGAGCTCGTCCTCTTCCGAGGGCGTCGCCACCACCGAGACGTTCTCGAGCACCGTGTCCGGCAGGGTGTTCTTGACCTCGAATTGCAGCACAATGTGCTCCTTGAAAATGTGCTTGACGAGGTTGACGACGTACTCGGTCTCGGCCTCTGTGAGCTCGACAATCGGCGACGACTTGAGGACGGCGCCAAACTCTTGGATCTCTGGAATCTCGCTGAGCTCCTGAGCATACCGCTGAGCCTGGGCCGACGCCGACGCGGCCGCTTCGGCGCTGGAGGCAGACGACTTTGTGGGGCCGGCCTTGGGGGCCTTGAGCGTGGGCGCGGTGGCCGTGAGCTTCTTAGTGCGGTCCTCGGCGTCGGCCTGCTCGCGGGTGACGATGGGAATCTTGGAGATATCAAAGGGCGACTCGAACGCCGCCTGGTCGTCCGAGGTGACGTACATGACCAGCTGGTGCTCAAACGTGGGCAGCGAGAACATGGACTCGTTCTTTACAAAGTCAAGCGCCATGTCGTCGTCCTCTTCGCTCATCAACTTGAGGTTCAACGCGGCACGGTCGCGGACTTCGTCGTCGACGTCGTCGAGGCAGCGGGTCAGCAGGACCCGGACGCTGCTCTTGACGTCGGGATCCTTCTGTCCGACACCAAATTTGGCCAGGGCGGTGACGGCGGCCGCGCGCACGATGGCGTTCTCGAGAACGACACGGTTGTAGATGTACCTGATGTACTTTGTGGGGTTCGAGCACTTGGGCCCCTCCAACCCGATGAGGTGGAGGATGCGGACGGCAAGCTTGGTGAACTCGCAATCCTCGATGAACTCGCAGAGATGCGCCAGGGCGTCCTCCTTTGAATCGGGTACGAACTTGATCAAGTCGAACATGCTCTCCACGACAGCACGCTTGAAGTCGTAGCCACCCTCATCGCGCAGGATGCCGCTGAGGAATGTGAGCATGCCAGCCTGCTTGCTGGGGAACTTGAGACAGAGAGTGCGGATAGCCTCGACAATGGTGATCTTGAACTCGTCCGTGATCTCAGACATGAAGCCCGAGACCTGCTTCATCAAGCGGTCCACCGAGGCCTCGTTGCCAGTCTTGAGGAGCGTCGTGATAGCAAAGGTCGCGATCGATCGGTTGCTGTTCGAAATGAGGAGCTCAATGTCGGGGTTGCACACGTTGACGGCTTGTGGCTTGAACGAGGCGAAGTTGTGCAGGATGCGGAGGGCCGCAAACTTGGTGACGGCGCGTGGCGATGTCAGGAACAGCTGGAGGACATGAACGGCCTGGTTCACCTCGGCGTCCGTCACATCCCGCATGTCGCAGATGGCCTTGGCCGCCTCAAAGTTGACCATCTCGCTCTTGTGGCGCAACCAGCCGTCCAGCAGCTGCATCATGGGCTTCCGTAGCGAGGCATCCTCCTCGGCGAGCTGGGCGGCGAGGCGCACCAGCATGGTGAGAGCCGCGGGACTCTTCACCACGCCAGCGGCACCAAACTGCTGCACCATCTTGACGAGCGCCATGCGATCCGAGCTGCGCATCTGATACAGAAGTCCAATGGCGTGGTACTGCGTCATGGTCGAGTTGTTCATGGGCAGGTTGCCGGCGGACGAGGAGAAACCGAGCGAGTAACCGCCGCTCGAGGACTTGCTGGCAGCCGCCGCCTCCTGGGTCTCGCTTTGCCAGCGCTTGACAACATCCTTGGCGATGGGGAGGAGGTGATACGAGGAGACGAGCGCGGCCGACGAGACGGACGGGTTCTTGTCGACAATGGCGGTCTTCATGACACGTTCGATCGACTGGACGGTCGTGGCGTCGATGATGCGGCACAGGGCGCGAATGGCATTCGGTCGGAAGATGGCGTCGGTGCTGCCGCCAGTGTCCTTCATAATTGTACTGGTGACCATGATGATATCCTCGGCCGAATTGGCCAACTCCTTGATGACAAGGTGGACCATTTGGCGAAGGCTGGCATCCTTGTTCTGGAAGAGCTTCGAGATGCCAAAGAAGAGGGTCGTCGCTTCATTCTTGGGGAACTTCTCGCCGGTGTAGAGAAGCAGGGCAATCTTGGTCAGGAGGATTCGGCATCGTCGCGGCTGGATGGGCGAGCTGTTGAACAGGCGGGCTGTTTGTCTCGTTAGCTGGTGGGGTGTGAGGGCCTCCTGGGCACGGCGGTTCACCGACCTTCCTGGAAAACCTGCGTGCGGTCCACCTTGACCAAGCCCAGGTCGGCATCTTCGTCTTTCTTGCCGTAGCTCATGCTGGGCGACGGCGTGGAGGTTGTGGAGTATGGCGGTGGTTGAAGCTCGACGGAGCTGCTGCCAGATATCACCACGTTGCAAGGTGGTTCAGGGATGCGTCACGTGATTTGAGACTCGCGCGACTGGTTTTGGGGGATGCGGCGTTAAGTTTGGAGGAATGGTTCAGAGAGGCTGTTCGATCATTAGGGATGGTTATTTTCTCTCTATATTTGCACGCTTCACATAGTTCAGCCCCCAGCATGGCAAAGTGTTCCTGAATGCCTGACCGATGAAGCGCATCTGTCGACAAGATCGACGAAGGTCTATCATTCCAGCTTACCCTGTAATAATGCGCACCACTTGTGGGGCATCCTTAACAACACCACTCACTAAGATGCAGTATGACTGTTAGTACACGCTGCTTCATTTCCCCAGTTGATGTCACCTAGCAGTAGGACCTAAAATTTCCGAGGACTTTCAACTCAGCAGTACCATCTCAGCCGCCATTATGCATGCGCCGACGCGATTACTTGTTCGATCTGCAGTCCCTCGCCTCCGGCCGGCTCGCTCGCTGCACACGACAATACTCAGGACGGCCAATGTCGCGCCCGTTGTTGGCACCGGGCCGCCTCCAGAGGCACCACTCGCCGAGAATGCGAACAAGGCATACGAGCGGGTAGAGCGCAGGAAACGGCAGGCCGAGATGCTCAAGTCGGCGAAGCAGATACGGACGGTGGCGGAGGGGAAGAAGGGCGGCGTGCTCCAAAAGCGCTTCTGGCAAGACGTGACGGTACGGGAAGTTGATGGTGAGTCCAGGATCCTCCAGCCGCGCGACCAGTATGGGGATCGCTAACCAAGCAGGTGCTCTGCAAGTATTCCTGGACAGCCGCGCGCTACGACACCCCAATACCAAAGAGGTCATTCCCATACCCCTCTCCAAGCCGAACCTCGCCTCTGCGCTGGCCCTCGAATGGGACCAGCTCACATCGGCGCAGGAAGCTACGAGGTCACACCTTATTCCTCTGACCAGTCTCGTCTGCCGCGCTCTCGACATACAAGCCGACGACGCGGCAGCTTCATCCGTCGAGACAGCGCCGATTCGGACGTCAATCGTCAACACTGTGATGCGTTATCTCGACACGGACTCGATGCTGTGCTGGGCGCCGCCTGCGGGCCCGTACGACCTCAAGAACGATGCCGGGGAGTCACTCAGGGATGTCCAGACCGAGACCGCCAAGGAGACGCTGGCTTTCCTGACATCGAAAATCTGGCCGGGCGTTACCATCACGCCTGCCCTCGACGGACACTCCATCATGCCCCGGTCGCAGTCCCCGGAAACACAGGCCGTCGTGCGGAGCTGGATATCGCGCCTGGACGCCTTTGAGATTGCCGGTCTCGAGCGTGGCACATTGGCAGGCAAGTCTGTCCTGGCCTCGGCGAGGCTGGTAGCCGAGTGGAGCGAGGGATCAGCCAACACGGGAGATGCGTTGAGCGGTCAGCTCTTTGGCGCCGAGGAGGCTGTGCGGGCCACAAACCTCGAGGTCGACTGGCAAGCGATGCAGTGGGGAGAGGTCGAGGATACGTACGACGTGAATAAGGAGGATGTGACGCGGCAGCTGGCCAGTGTGATCCTGCTTGTGTCTGGGACAGGCAAAGCTTGAAAGGGCCAATGTAAGTAATATTGCATAGCATATAGACTGTATCATAGAAAACCGCATCGCAGACTGGTTGCTATTTGGGTACCACTCGATCAGCTCGCACATCTTCACCAGCCAGATTTGAACGGGGCAGCGTCGTTCGAGGCTTCAGTTGTCAAGGCGACACCTTGACAGTGTGCCACAGGACACTTGGAACTATTGGAGTCCTTTCTCATGGCTTACTTACTTACCATCCGTCACCGCCTCCAGAACTGCCGCCACCAAGAACTTTCTCTCAAAAAGCCAATCGCGTGGCCTTACCAGGAGCTACTCCGTAGACAGGCGTTCAAAGATGGTGGCGGATCGATGCTCCCGCCGGCAACAGGCATCCTACTCCTCCAACTCCTCCTCCACCGGCGCCTCGGTGGGCATGTCATAGGCGTCATGTCGAATTAACCGCACATTGCCTTGACAGCGTCGAAGCCAGACGGGGTGTGTGGAGATGGCACCAGACCACACCAGCATCGTCATTCCCCGCATGTCATAATTCTGGGGTTCCAAGGCTACCCACTGGCACCAATTGGCTCGGATCCGGCCTGGCCCCCCTGGAGGTTCAGTGGAGGAGGATGCTACCCTCGGCACGCGAACACCACCAGGAGGAGGGTTCGTGCATGCGTGCGTGTCCGTCCAAAGGGCTCGATCCACGGAGTTGCGGTACATAAGGAGCCATGACGGCTGCCCCTTCGTCCTCTCCAAGGGAATCTGACGACCCGTCGTCGATCGTGTGTCCTGTCCAGTCTCGGTCTTGCCATCCCTTCCTCTCGCCGCGTCGCGCTCTGCATGAACTCAAAGGAAGATGATCTTTTACCCGCCAGAGCGGCTTCCCAAGCTGCCTCACATCCCCGACTCCATCACTTTGGAGGAGTTTATGAGCAATGAGCAGTATGGCCGCTACCCGCTCGACCAGTCGCGCAGCCCGTACACCTGTGGCTTGACCGGTAAGACGTACTCGGCAGGCGAGGTGAAGCAGCGGGTAGACTTCTTGGCGAGAGGCATCGGCGAGAGATTGGGCTTCCACCCCCATCAGGACACGGCGTGGGACAGAGTCGTCGCCTTGTTTTCTCTCAACACGGTATGCTTGCCCCTATCGACTGCATCGTGAGTGACAGTGGACTAACAGAGCAGATCGACTACATCCCCTTCACCCACGCTGTACATCGACTCAATGGCATCGTTGCACCCGCCAGTGCGGCATACTCGGCGTCAGAGCTTGAACACCAGCTTCGGTCGTCCGGGGCCAAAGCTCTCTTCACATGTACGGCTCTCTTGGACACGGCGCGCAAGGCCGCCGAAGCAGCAGGTCTCTCTAAGGACAACATCTTGATCCTGTCCATGGCCGGCGACACAGGCAGTCTGCCGCACACTACAGTGGACGAGTTGATATCCCAAGGACAACAGCTGCCACCCACGGCACCGCTGCAATGGACCAAGGGCCAGGGCGCCCGCCAGGTGGCCTACCTGTGCTACTCCAGCGGCACGTCGGGCCTCCCCAAGGCCGTCATGATCTCGCACACAAATATCATCTCCAACATTCTCGCCGGTCGCGTGGGAGAAGGCCCGACGCGCGACGAGCTCGGCATCACTACCCAGGTCGCACTGGGCCTCCTGCCCCTCTCGCACATCTACGGGCTTACCGTCGTGGCGCTGGTGTCGCAGTACCGGGGAGACGAGGTGATTGTTCTGCCAAAGTTCGAGATTGACACCTTTCTGCAGGTGGTGGACCGGTTCAAGATTCGCAGGCTCAACATTGTCCCGCCGATCCTGATCAGCATGATGCAGAACGAGGACAAGTGCCGCCAGCACGACCTCAGCAGCGTCAAGTTTCTGTACAGCGGCGCAGCACCGTTGGGCAAGGAGCTCGTGCAGGATGCGCTCAAGCGCTATCCCCAGTGGAGGATAGGTCAAGGTTACGGTAAGGCTCGAGAAGACACCAGCGTGGAACGGTACTGACTGGACCTAGGCATGACGGAAGCAAGCCCTCTCGTCACGTCGACGGACGAGCTGGACATTGACATTGGCTCGTCGGGGTCCCTGGTCCCGGGCACGTGCGCAAAGATCGTCACCCCCGACGGGCAGGAGGTCACCGCCTACGACACGCCTGGCGAAATGCTGGTACAGGGACCGTCCGTCGTGCTGGGCTACCTCCACAGCGAGCGGGCAAACGCCGAGACCTTCATCTGGGACGAGGACGGGAGGTGGCTGAGGACCGGGGACGAGGTGGTCGTGAGGAAGAGCGCGCAGGGCAACGAGCACTGGTTCGTTGTCGACCGCATCAAGGAGCTGATCAAGGTCAAGGGCCACCAGGTGGCGCCAGCCGAGCTGGAGGCGCATCTGCTCACTCATCCCACCGTCTACGACTGTGCTGTGATCCCCGTCCAGGACCCGAGAGCGGGCGAGGTGCCCAAGGCCTATGTCGTCAAGGTGTCATCCGCCACGGCCGGCACTCCGGACAAGGAGATTGCACAAGCCCTTGAGAAGCATGTCCAGGACCACAAGGCCAACCACAAGTGGCTCAGGGGAGGCGTGGAATTTGTAGACGTGATACCCAAGAGTGCCAGTGGAAAGATACTGAGGAAGGACTTGAAGGAGCGTGAGAGACTGAGGCAGAGACAGGAGGGGGCCAAGCTGTAATAAGTAGCTGGGGGGACGATCCGTTGTTCCAGTCTTTGGTTTGCATCCAGCGACATTCAGAGTATCCATTCACATCACATCGGCAAGCAAGAAGCGAGAAGGTTTTCAGCAAGCACAGCCCTGATGGGCGAATTAATATTACAAAGACCAGTGGAGGAGGCAGCGCCGGGGGGGTATATGCGACTATCTTATCAACATGCCCTCGTATTTTTCTACCGCCGCCTTTCCTTTCAGACTCTGTCCAAATGCTGCACCATCCCCAACGTGGTCTCTCTGTCCACCAATGCCAATAGCATTTCGTAAGGATCGTAAGAACGGTATGATGTCATGCAAGAAAGCGTTGCATGCGTGTGGGTGTGTGTGTGTGCTATGTGTCTATGAAAGTGAGGAAATGTGCGCGCTTAGAGAGCGGCGGCAACGGCCATGACGACCAGGCCGAGACCCATGCCGGCGCGGACGTTGGAGGCAGCGCCGGGGATGGGGACATCGGAGGAGGGGCTGGGGATGGGGAGACCACCAGTGCCGGCAATGGGCTTGGTGGTGAGGAGGGTGCTGTAGATGCCGGTGGGCTCAGCAGGAACCTGAGGGGCGCCGGTCTCAGGGACCTGGGGAGCGCCAGTCTCGGGGACCTGAGGGACGGCGCCGGTCTCCGTGGCCACGGGCAGCTGGTTAGAGGCAGTGGGGCCGCGGGTGATGGTGGGCACCTCGACCTCGGGCACAGTGATCTCGGTGGAGATGGTCCTGACAGTGGAAGAGGAGGTGATGGTGACACCCTCCGAGACGCAGGGCTCAGTGACGGTGGTCTCGACGACAATGGTGGTGTAGGGGATCGAGGTGACGGTGGGGGTGCCGGTGACGGTGATGCACGAGGTGATGGCATCGGGACCAGTGACAATGGCAGGGTTCTTGGGGATGTAAGGAGCGCAGAAGCCCTGGAAGAACTGGACAGCCTCGGAGACAATGTCATCGGTCTCACCGTGGGCGTACAGGCACTGGTAGGTCTCCTCAACAAAGTCCTTATCGGGGCAGAAGCAGGCGGCGTCCAAGTTGTCCTTGCAGTCCTTGACCTTGTGGAGGAAGGTGTTCATGCACTTGGGGACAACGTCGGGGCAAGGAAGCTCGAGGTCGGGGAGATCAGGGGTCTGGTTGTCGCCTCCAGCGGGCGTGGTGGGCTTGGGGCTCTCGGGAAGCTCATCAGCGGCGGTGGTGGGCTTGTCGCCTCCGTTGACCTCCGTGACAGGGCAGACGGTGGTCGACACGGCAACAGTCTCGGTAACGAAAACGGGGCCGGTGGGAGTGCCGTCAGCAGGGCAGTTGGTAACCTCGGGTCCGCAGCTGGTGATGGTCTTGACGGTGGTGGTGAAGATGGTCGAGGTGGTCATCTCAGGGGTGGTAGAGACAGCGGGCGAGGAGACGGCCGAGGAGACAATGGCGCCGGGGGTAGTGGCGCTGGCACCGGGAGTAGTAGCACCGGGGGTGGTGGTACCGGAAGGCAGGGCGCTCGAGTCGTTGTTGACAGGAGTAGAGGCGGAAGGCACAGCGCTCGAGTCGGGGCTTCCAGGCGTGGGAGTGACCGTAGGGCTTCCAGGAGTCTCCGGGGTGTCAGGAGTCTCAGGAGTGTCGGGGGTGTCGGGGCAGTTGGAACCACCGGGGCACTCAGGCGTCTCGGGGGTGTCAGGGGTGTCGGGGCAGTCGGAGCCACCGGGGCACTCGGGAGTCTCAGGAGTATCGGGGGTGTCGGGGCAGTTGGAACCACCGGGGCACTCAGGAGTCTCGGGGGTGTCAGGGGTGTCGGGGCAGTCGGAGCCACCGGGGCACTCAGGCGTCTCGGGGGTGTCAGGGGTGTCGGGGCAGTTGGAACCACCGGGGCACTCGGGAGTCTCAGGAGTATCGGGGGTGTCGGGGCAGTTGGAACCACCGGGGCACTCAGGAGTCTCGGGGACAGTGGGGACGTCGGGGGTGTTGTCGTCGCAGTCAAAGTCGATCTTGGGGACCTTGATCTTGCAAGTGTCCTTGGGCTTGTTGGGCTGGTCGGGGAAGACAACCTTGACGTCCTTGGCACCACCGCACTGGGTGTTGGTGATCTTGTTCTTCTTGCCCTTGAAGCAGTCCGAGGAGTGCTTGCACTGCGAGCCGTCGGGCATGTCGTAGTGGAACTCGAGGCGGCAGTCGAACTCGACGTCGACCTCAAAGTCCTTCAGGGAGAACTTGTCGAGGCCCGACTTGGAGCCGCAGCCAAAGGAGGGGGCCGTGTTGCGGTCCTTGCCACACTCGCCGGAGATGACCTTGCCCCAGGTCTTGTCGTCCTCGCAGCCCCAGCCCTTGAAGTCGAGGCCAAGGTAGTGGTCGAACTTCTTGCCGGGCAGGAGGTCCTTCCAGTCGAAGCCACCCTTCCACTTGGAGTCGCACTTGTTGTCCGAGATGCCAGGCGAGGGGAACGTAGGGGCGTTGCAGAACTTCTTGCCGAAGCCAATGCCACCGCCGAGGTCAAGGCCGACACCGGCACCAATACCAGCACCGCCGCCGAGACCGAGATCAATACCGGCGCCAACATCGACGCCAGCACCGACACCAGCGCCGACGCCAACATCGACACCGGCACCGACGTCAGCACCTGCGTCGAGGCCGCCCTTGACGCCACCACTCAGGCCAGCGCCAACACCAAGGCCGAACTATATGCTGTCAGCGCCGAGGTCGACTGTCGAGGTATAAGACGGTAAACTTACTGTAGCGGCGGCCGGACCAGCGGCGGCCGCCATAATGGCAAGTGTGTTCCTCATCGTGATAGAGTTGTGTTGTTCTTGTTGTTGTAGTTATCGGTATGTGTGTACAGCGAGTGTGATGATATGTAAATAAAAAAAGATTATGGGATGAATTGCAAGTGGCCAAAGGAAACGAATGACTTTGGACCGAGAAGGATATTAGCGATTACTGATGATAGAACGAACAAGAAAAGACAGAGTGCGTGCTGTTGGAAAGAAAACCAGACAGAGAAGAGGACTCGTCTGCTTCTATATAGCAGAGCAGAGCCGTAGAGCAGACAGGTCGTCTGCACCAAGAAGCCGTGTTCCACCTTGGCCTGGGTCGTCCAGATGCTACCAGGCAGGGGTCGCCCCTGAGACGTTGGAACCAGCCCCATGCGGCGGACCAGCGGCTACCCCTGGTCACATCACGAGAGGAGAATATCGCGGCCATGCCCCTGGTCTTCCGGTGCTGGTGTTGGTGCTAGTATTGGACCATGTTGACCCCAAGTTCCGGTTCCGGTATACATCGTGAAGCCAGGCTTTGTTGTTTTCAAGGCCAATGGTTGTGTCTTGATCACGGACACTGCCTTGAAAACGAGTACTGGATGCTACAGCGTAGGAGCCTTGTGCTGTGCGGCCATGTTGACGCCCGCCCGGCAAGCGCCGAGGAAATACATAAGCTTGATGGTTTCAAACTTCTAGCATAACTGGGTAGCTTGGGGCGAGGCGAGGCAGTGCTGGCGCCCTGCGACGGTCCATTGAGCATTGGTGTGTCTCATGGTTGGGTGACAGAAGAACCAAAGGTCCAAAGCCCAGGGCCACCAAAGGCCAGTCGTCGAGCGTGCAGCCAGCTGCAGGGGTTTGTCGCATAAACCACCGGAGCCCACTTTAGACGTTGCGTGGGGCCAGGATCCAGTCACCGGCGCTTTTGGCCGCTTGGCGCCCAGTCTCCAGATCTGTCTCTGGGGATTATGTCCGGTGCGCAAATGAATGATATGATGATTGTTATGTGGCGGCTTGGCCGGCCATCAGCTTGGTATCCTCTCGGTTTTGCGTAGGATAGGCAGCCAGTCACTGTAGCTTCGCCCATCGATCACTTGGTGATGTTGCCGGTTGAGAACTTGAGTGTCGACATGTGGGCCGCTGAGCTCTATTCTGCGCCAGCCCAGCAACATGATCGTCCGCATGATACGCGCACTTGGACAGTGGACTGACTCCGAGTCGTGCCCATTCGAGGCGAATCAAACCGAGTCAGAACAACGTTGAACAAGCAGCTCACGAGCTGTGAAACAATGGCGCTAGTCAACAGTTTCCGTTTCAAACATTCTGTACGTACCAACTTTGGTAGCATTCGCACCTAGGCCAAACGCCCAAAGTGGTAATTCCTGCGCAGCTTAACCTGTTGCGAGGCTGGCCTTGGCTAGCAGCCGGCACTATTGGCGTCAGATGCGGTCTCTCATCTGCGGATCACGCCAATTACCCCACGTTGGGCATTGCAGCCTGCACAGAGTGTGAGAAGCCGTGGTGCAAAGATGGCATGTGTACGGAGTAGGTGCTGCTCGCTGGCCAAGAGCTCGTCCGTTGCAACCCTACGCACGCCCAGAATGGCAGAGCTGGTTGATCTTGCGTATTGCCGTGTCGGAATTCGAACTTGGAGAGAGTGCGGACTGTTTCCTTGGACTCCGCAGTCGGCGCACTACCGAGATCTGATCGTCGCTGACTGCATCTCCAAGCCGTGAGCCCTGATACATGACCCAGTGTTTTCCGTGCGGGTGTTCTATTTGCGGTAGCAGCTATCGACTGAATGCGGAATCGAAGACACGGCGCATGATAGAGCTCGGCTCAGCGTGGAAGAATTGGCGACCATCGTGGATGGTGAAACGCGACAAGTTGAGGGTCGATGTCTGATACGGTGGTGGGTGTCGACTGGCGAATTGCCTGGCCAGTTGAAAATCACCAGCCAGAGCGCGCGCTACTGCAGGAACGACACGCTCCCCCCACTTGCCTCTTCAGGCTGTCTAGTGCAGGGCTGTCCCTTCCTTGTCGAGCATTCTCCAAAGTTCAAACAGACACAAGTCCCATTCGTTGTCCATGGTCTTCGGTTCTCGGTTGCATCACCGCATTGTGAGACACATAACGCCCCGATCGTCGACCGGGGCTGTTGTGCTTCTTTTTCACTCTATCGGGTCACTGTATTTCCGTCTGCGTATTCACGTATTCCAGGGGCTCTATTAGCGCTATAGCCTAGAATAGGTAAACGGACATGTTAGTCGCACCGTTCTCCGTGCGTACCTACTCCTTCATCCACAACTACCGTCGATGCCATCATGCCTGGCCCAGCCGCCCAGTCCAGACCGGAGGTGGCCATCCACCCCTGGTCCATATGACCGTCCACTAACTCTAGCGGGAGCTGCAGGCTGCCGCATCCAACGAACAGGCGGCCAAAGCACGGATCGTTGCTTTTTGGTGGTGGTCTGTCTCGGTGTCTTTCCCCGTCACCTGTCATGTCACCTCAGTTCCCCGTGCAGTAGTGGTTATTAGGCGACAAGGTCCTCCTTAGGTGAGTTCCAATAGCTCAGTTGCTTATGATGACCTTGAGGTTTGACACTTGACAGCCACCGACATCACTTCCACTTTCAGCAGTAGTCCCGATGGTAATGGTAATTGCCACTTGATATTCATATGCTGGCACAACTGTGGCTGATGATCTGATCAACATGTCTCGACCTGACTCGACAGACGAAGCGCCACCGTTATGGTGTGGAGAGTGGCTTCCGCCAAGCCAGGGGCTGTCAACCTCGAGTTTCAGTGTCCGGTCTGTCAACACACCAACAACAACAAAGACTCGGAACCGATGAATGCAAGGATGAAATATTTTTGTGAGAGGCAGTCACGGTTCAGCGAATGCACAAAAGTCTCTTCAAGTTCGTCACTTTCCGTGCTGTGGTATCTGCCCATGCCACTGCTGCGCTCCTCTAATTACAGCTTGGCTTAATTTTGGGGGTCTCGAGCGACGTCCGCGCACATTCCCAAGGGTCCAGCAACAGGTGACCGAATTGGTCAGCCGCCGACTGGAGACAGGCTGCTCACTCGCGATTGGACCTGGGGTCACTCTGGTGCGCGACACACCAGCTCGCCTACCTGAATCTGTTGAATCCAGCCCGCATATTTGGTCTCTTGGCCAGCGGCAGATGCCCCTCGGGATCGGGCACATGTATGGCAGTCATCGGCAATAAATTTCCCTCCGCAATGCGATGCGTGTGTCTACTGCTTTCCTTACCGGACCACTTGCATTCAGCTGGCCATCTTGGCGACGGTGTTCATCAACTGCGTGCAGTTATTAATTACTGTACTCGTACCCTCGGATTCCAAGCCGGATCGGCGGTGGGTGCTATGAGTGACCCCGTCACCCCGATGACAGGGCCAGGCAATTCCAGAATAATTTCCGTAGCTCCACCGTCTTCTGCTGCCCTTGGCTGTCTCGGACCAAACAACGTGGGCATCTCAGTCCATGCCTGGCGCCGCCGACGTTGGCGAAATTACCCGTTCACTCGCGTGACAATTTTAGCAACTTTGGCCTTGGGTATGACTCAAGGTTGTCTCCCATGTGGTGAGCCTGACAGGAGGCTCAGCCCTAGACCAGAGACTCAAGAATCCTTCGCAATCAGACCGTTGGCGAGTCCTCGGCGGGAAGACCGTGAGCTTGTAAAAAGATGGCGACTCGAAGGCGATGTGCTACGTATTCAAACCATTGACGTATAGGCCATGGCGCTATCGCGGACATGTCGCGGATACTGCCGCTGCCCGTGGATAGACTGGAATGCAATTAGCTCCACAGCGTCGTCAATTTGGACGTCTTCTCCCAGGTTACCCTGCGCCATCCCGTGTAAAGACAACTGGAGCACTTACAGTAGGGATATGATCCGTATAATGAAAATCGGCAATTACTGTTGCTTTCGGTAGAGTAATTAGACTCGGAGTCAATTCTTTTGGATGGCATGATTTCTGCCTAGGAGCCAAGTACAACCGGCCTACCTGCGTGGTCTTCAAAGCCACCTGCATCGTTAGTGATAATATGGGAGACATGGCGATCAGCCTTTGGCCACGCTATACATGTCTCTACAGACACAGGGAGTCCAAAAGCAGATTATATCATGACATTGATAATTTCTAGCATTTGATTCAAGAGCATCTGTTATGAAGCTGCTCGATTCCACTATTCTGCGTGGGCATGTAGGTAGCCGCAACAACGTACAACCTCCGCCTCGAAAGCTCAAGTGCCTCCTTGCATCTTCTTCAACCTCGCCTCTGCCGCTCTGGCCCTTCGCTCACGCTCAAGACGCATCCTCATCTCCGGCGTCAGACCCCGAGACTCCTCCTCGCGACGTTCCTGGGGCGTCTTGGTCAGTCCAGCAGCGAGGGCGTTCGCCTTGGCCTTGGCGGCGTTGCGGTCAGCAGCTTCAGGCTCACGACGCAGCTTGTCCTCCTCCGCCTTGCGACGGTCTGCTTCCTTCTGGCTGGCTTCCTGCTTCTCACGCTCGTCCCGGCTGTCAGCTTCGGCCTTGGTCATGGCCGGAGGCACCTTGGCGTCGTCCCACGCCCAACTTGCTTCGCCCAACTCGGACCGAGCCACGCGGAAGGCATCTCTTGTCGCCCTGTCGCCAGCGAGCTCAAAGGGCATCTTGCCCTCTCGATTGCCCAGGCCTGGATTTGCCCCGCCACGGGTCAGGAGACCCAGCACCATGGCGGGTGAGTTCTGGGCCGCCGCAAGATGTAGAGGTCTCGGCGCATGGTGATTTTGCTCGGGGGGTTGCAGCTCAAAGTCAGCGCTGACATTGTTGTTCTTGAGGTACAGCAACAGAGCTGGCACTTTTGACCTCCGCACAAACGCTTGGATCTGCGAAGTATGCAACAGAGCCGTTTCCTCCTCCTCGCTGAGCTTGGGCTTTGAGGGTTTCTGCGCCTTTGTGCTCGCCGACGTCTCCTTCTCCGATGGCTCGACTTGCTTCGTGGGTTTAATCTCCTTGACCTTGAGTCGTGTCAGCTCGATGAAGGACCTCATAAGCTCATTCTGCGTCGCGCGCCTCGTGCTGAACGGGAACCCTCGCAGCCGTGTGTCATTGTGCTTCAGTACCTGCCCGTCATATGGCCCGAACAATGTACGTCGATTGGTCGACCCTGTCGCACGGATGAACAGCAGCTCGGATGTGTCAATGAGCCCTTTCCAGTCCTCAAGCAACGCCCGCACATCCTGGATCAGCGCCTGCTCATTGTATCGACGTATCCCCGCACCGGCCGAATGTGCGTTTCCCTTGGCGTTGTCGTTTGCCGACTGTGAACCACCCTGCTTGCGTCTCGTCGTGTACCTGTGAAACGTCTTGTGCGCAAGCACGGTGGCTTCACGGTTCATCGTAGTAGAGCCCTTGACCGGGCGAGGGGCGAGCGACACCACCATGGCAGCGAAGTGACCGCCACCTATCATGCAGAGGAAGATGTGCGGGCCTTTGTATGCCACCTCGGGCAGTGTGCCATCCTTGTTAGGCCTGGGTATCGCAACTGGTTCCACCTGTTTCTTCTTGATGACCTGGGTGAGATCATCCTGCTGTCGTAGTTCATCTCCGGTAAGAATCGCGCGGTACATGCCAAAGTACGTGTTCTTGGGCAGCAAGGGCGAACTGAACCACAGCAGAGGTGGTTTACTACGCCCAGGTTGGTTTGCCGTCACTGCTCCATCTTCATGTCCGTCCCCGGCGGCCCTGTCTGCTATTTTCGCCTGCCGTTTCAGCAGGGCTGTCAGAGTAGACTCGTGTTTGCCCTCTTCGCCGTCCTCTTCAGAGTCGTCCGAGTCGGAGCCAGACAATGATTCGTCAAGATTGCCAATAAGCTTCTCAAACTCTGTCTCAGACACCGACTTCTGGCCGCGCACCTTTTGCTTCAGGTTGTAGTTGTGGAGGTCGGATCGCTGGTGGCCGCGCTGATCAAGGACCGTTGCGAACGTGAGGCCGCAGAGGGAGCAGCTTTGTGAGCCGACTAGGTTTTCGGCCGATGCGCTGGGGCTGGGGCTTTGCGGTCGCGAGTCGTCGAGTGGCTCTGCAATCTCGTCGTCAGGCTTTGGCTCAAGCGTCTCGAGGACTTGTGGTGGCAGATCGTAGACTGATTGCGTCAGTGATGCGCATGATGATGCGGCGCGCTACCGTACCATGGAGTGGCCTCTTGAGCAGCTCTTCGCTGGGATTCGACATGCTGAAAATACCCTCAGTGTATGCTCGGCAATGGTAGAGAAAGACTGGCTGTAATCGGACCAGAAGCTGGCAGACTTGGATCGCCAGGGGTTTTGTAAGGTAGGTTGTCGCAAAAGCTTGAGGGTGGATAGTGTCGTCGCAATCGACTTTCCTGCGCTGAGTCAATCGGTCAGACAGTCATGGGTCCACTTTGAGGTCCCGGACAAGACTCATTCTGAGCCTTGCCAAGGGTTCACTCTGGAAACAAACTTGTCGTTAATTGCAAAAGAAGTGCTGCAAACTCGTTGTCCTTTTATTTTTCACAAAGTTCTGAGTATTCAAGCTAAATAAGTAGGTACGTAAGGTAGGTCAGATAACAAGAGCTGGCAGGGCTGTCCGCCTCTAGCGGCTCGCGTCACCTCCGCGATTGACGCAGATTGCAGCCACCACGAGGGCACTGTTGACCGAGAAACATGAAAAGTATGCCAACAAAGGTAATCAGTATTAAAGAGCTACTCGCAACGGGCACTTGCTATCGTCAGCTACCTCGAAACTTTTCCGAAGACGTTCGTACAGTGCTGCGGATCATCATCACCTTCTTGTGGTACCCCACCATCGGCAACGCGACGTCACTCTCCCCCACCATCCGTCCCTCCCTCTGCAGCGCCCACCTTCGGAACCTTAACCTGTTTGTTCCCAGTCCTACCTTATTGGTGAAAACGAATCAAGATACATCCCAGCCTAGCTGAAAGATGCATATACTTGGAGCTCGCGTGCTTGTTCGTCATGTCCAGTGCCTGCTTGTCTGTGCCTAGACCGTATAAGTAACGGGTCTAATCCTCCTCCCACCCACGTCCCTTTCCTTTCCTCCCATCTGCAAAAAGACCACAGAATCGATCACCACAAGCAACAATGGATTTCGTCAACAAGTTCACCGGCGGGGACTCTGGAAAGGACTCCAACAACCAGTCCGAGAACAAGGAGGGCCAGTCCTCTGGTGGGTTCATGGACAAGCTCAACGGCATGGCTGGTGGTGGTGAGAAGGGCGAGAAGAACGAGGATAGTCTCGACAAGGGTACGCTCCCCCAGTGACAGTGAATGCGATTTATGTTGACATGTCTAGCCGTCGACTTTGTTCAGGAGAACGTGCTCGGCCAAGGCCAGCAGTCCAACGAGAATGCCGCGGAGCAGGCCAAGGATGAGGCCATCTCGGACTACATCCGCGACCAGTACAAGAGCACCACGGGCACCGACTTCCCCATCGAGGACAAGGACAAGAAGTATGGCGTTTAAGGCATGCCGTACAGTGTCTGAATAGAATAATGAGAACACGAATCGACCACTGAAATGAATGTGTGGAGATGTCAATATTATGTCTATCGAGAAAAGGACGCCAGCATGCTAGTGTAATATGACAAGAAAAGCAAAAACAGCCCGACGAGTACCAACACAGTGAACTCCTCGGTGCCAAACTTGGCCCATGTGTACCTCGGAGCATCCATGATCCTCGACAAGCCCTTCTTCCTCATCTCACCGTCGCCCCACGGCTTGGGCAGCCTCAGGTCATCCAGAATCTGCTCGGCCGTGATCTTGGCGCCCGCCAGGACAATCGGCACACCGGTGCCGGGATGTGTGGAAGCGCCGACAAAGTACGTCCTCTCCAGCTCGGGCGCACGGGTCTTGGGTCGGAACCAAAGCACGTTGAAGAAGTTGTGGCTCAGGCCGAGGATGGCGCCCTTGTCGAGGTTGAACTTGTTCTCCCACGTCAGCGGGGTGTTGACAATCTCGTGCGCAATGCTGTCTTGCACAGCGGTGGTGCCGACGCGCTTCGCAATGATCGATAGCACCTCGGCACGGGCACGCTTGACAATGCCGTCCCAGCGCTGCTCGTCCGCGGGAAGACCGTCGTCCGAGTCGATACCCTTGGACCGCGTCAAGTGACCGACGGGCACGAGCACAATGATCGAGTCCTTGCCCTCAGGTGCAGCCGACGGGTCAACGCGGCTCGGCACGTTGACGTAGAAGCTGGGCTCGTTGGGCAGACCGTGCTTTTCAAAGATGGAGTCAAACGACTCTTGGTACTCCTCCGCTAGGAAGATGTTGTGGGTGGACAGCTCGGGAATCTTGCGGCTCATGCTCCAGTAGAAGGAGATGGAGCTGCATGAGGCGTCCTTCTTCTGGAGGCTGCGGCTGTGGCGCTCGATGCTCGGCGAACGGGGGAGGAGGTTGCTGTACGAGTAGACGAGGTCGGCGTTCAGGATGACAACGTCGGCCGAGAGCTCCTCGCCGCCCTCGAGGAGGACGCCGGTCGACCGCTTGCCGTCGGGCGACGTCAGAACCCGCGACACGGGCGTGTCGAGGCGGTACTGGACCCCCATCTTCTCGCCAATCTTGACCAGCGCATCCACCACCTGGTGGAAACCACCCTTGGGGTACCAGATACCCTCCGCGAACTCGGTGTATTGCAGCAGAGAGTACGTTGCAGGCGCATCGAACGGGCTCATGCCCATGTACATGGTCGCGAATGTGAAGACGCGTCGTAAGCGCTCGGTGTAAAAGTAGCGGCCCGCGCGTGTCCAGATGCTCTCAAAGGGGTGCATGTCCAGGATCTTGGCCAGGAAGCTCGGCCTCACCATATCGTAGATGTTCATAAAGTTCTTCTTGAGCACCTCGCGCACTGAGATCTCGTAGTGGCGGTGGCCCTCTTGCAACCAGCTCACCCAGCGCTCGAAGCCCTCGGGACCTTCCCAGCGCTCAATCTCGCGGCGCATGGCGGCCACGTCGGACGAGAGCTGGAAGCGCTCGCCATCGTGGAACCAGACATTGTAGTTTGTCTCGCAGCGCAGGAGGTCCACACCGGCCTCGGGCATGGTTGTGTCGAGATCGGCAAAGGTGTCGCGGAAGAGCTGAGGGAGGAGGAACAGGGAGGGACCCTGATCGAAGCGGTAGCCTTCATGGTGGATGAGAGAGCAACGACCGCCCGTGAACGAGTTCTTCTCCACGACGGTGACACGAAGCCCAGCTTTGGCCAAACGTGCAGCTAGGGCAACACCTCCAGCTCCGGCGCCTGTGGAGAGAGTGAGCATGTGCTTCTAAAGAGCGATCAACTCGACTTACCGACGATGACGGCTGACTTTGGCTTCTCACTCATTGTGTCGAGACTTCTTGGTGTGAGGTGATCAAAAATGATTGCCAGAGTAAAAAAAATGAAGAAGACCACGAGACGGGCGACCGAGAGTATGTAAGGTAAGGGAGAGAGCACAGAGCTGTCAGAGGCACATGTCAAACGTGGTCGAGAACTCGGATTGCACGAGCGGCAGTATGATCCATGACGGATGCACTATTCACCTATTCTTCTTCGCAATCGAGCTCCAGTCGCGTCCCGCTGGAAGACCGCCTGGCGAGATGCGCCGTCCTGCCCCTCTAGAGCAGCCCATCGCATCGCATTCGGAGCGCGTAGCATGGAGAATGTTTGTCAATCGCATCTATGACGATATGACTTTCCGCCATTTGGAGAATCGGCTAAGCACACGCCCCCCCTTAGCGTCAGGGCAGGCCAGCTTCGTGCCTGGCTGGCACGGATATCGCACATCTTGGCATGTCCGACGCGACGAGACTCAAGTCGCGGACAATTTTTAGAGCCGAATAAAGCTTGTCGCGCGATATCGTGCGCGCATAGTGGTTTTGGTGATCGTCATGGAGTGTGCAATCTCCAACTTCAGCTGTTGCTGTCAATTTGGAGCTGAACTTGGATGAGGGGCTGGCAGACGCTATCGATAAGCATGTCCAGGCAGGACGGAGCTGCCAGCAAAATACTTGTGAGCACTGTCAAATGTAGGCAATCAGGAAAAAACTATACGATTCTACCCAGAAGAAGTAAAGAGTAATCTTTGCTCGCCCATGCGCCAGTAACATGCTTTGACCTGCTCGTGTGCATCTGTCGTGACCGCTTCACCTCACGCCTTGACCAGCGTCTTCCAGACAACTCCAATCCTCCTCCACGCTGGCACAGTGGCCTTGCCTTCTACCCTCAGCCCGCCCTCAGCGAGCACGCGGCCAATCTCCATGTAGCTCTCCACCGCCACGACCATGGGCCCCTTGGCCTCGCCGGGGATCAAGTCCATCGAGCCCCGCGACGACCTGTACCTCTCAAAGGCCTTGCCCAGCAGCCTCTTGCGCATGCGCTCGACCTTGGGACCGGACGGTTGCGCGAGCACGTCGGCTGCCGTGAGGCCCTCCTCCTCTAGCCAGGTCTGGGGCAGGTAGACGCGTCCCATGGCAGCATCGACGGCCACGTCGCGCGCAATGTTGACGTACTGAAGCGCAATGCCCATCTCTTTGGCCGCGGTGTACAGCAAAGGTCGGTTGTCCTTGTGGCCCGTGTGGTGAAAGACAATGTCCAGGCACATCTCGCCGATCGTGCTGGCGACGCGGGCGGCGTAGAGCTGCAGGTCGCTCTCTTCCCGGATGGGACTCTCCCTCTCTGCTGTGAACTCGACGTCCGTTCGGAAACCTTCAAGCAGAGCGTACAATGGCTCGGCCGAGACAATGTGAGAGGGCAGCAGCTCCAGCGCAGAGTGGGCCGACGGTGGGAAGTTGGCGCGCACAAAGTCCTGGGCGTTGGCCGCCTTGGGGGCGCAGTAGACCGAGTCGAGGTGACCCTTGAGCTTGGAGATCCAGTCGAGCGCTTCTTTGGGGGACTCTGCATTGTCGATGAGGTCGTCGGCAAGGCGGCAGTACGAGTATCTGTCAACAGTCAGTACAAGTCAATTGACTCAGACGAGCGACGTACAGTAGAGTCAGGTCCATGCGGATACGACCTGGGAAGACAGAGCTTGCCAGGTAGAAGCTGCGGCTCTTCTTCCTCAGGCGCTCGACCGCCTCCTTGATGCCCGTGATGCGCTTCATGTCGTATTGCGAGGCGGGCAAAACGCGCGCCTCCAGCAACGACATGATCGGCAACGTGTCCGACGGCTGGGGGAATTTGTTGGGGAACGCGTCGCACACCGCGACAGCCTTGTCAAAGGCGGCAATGCCAAAGGCGACCAAGGTGTTGCTGATCAGGAAGAACAGCGCCTCCTCCAGATCCAGCTGGCCGAAAAGCTGGCTCTGCAGCTTGGTCTTGTCCTCAATGGTCCAGATGCCCTGGCTGAGAGACAGCTCGTCCACCACCCAGAGGTAAAAGGTCGGCGCGAGGATCGGGAGTAGGGTGCTTGTCCATGGCAGCGTGAGCAGAATCTCGCCTGTCATGCTCCAGGTGATCAGCAAGAACGGGCAAGCCCAGGTGAGGATCAATCCTGTGTATGTCCCGGCACCATTCTGCTTGATGAGGTAGCCCCCAAATGCTGTCGCGGCCACCAGCGCAATCTGGCCGGCCGTCTTCGCCCTCTGGACCCAGGCTTTCCTCGTGCTGGGCGTGTCAAGGTACTGGGCCAGCAAGACGGGCTTGTTGCAGAGGATGTACATGAGCGAGGTGATGTACGTCTGCACGACGAAGAAGAACAGCTCCTCCACGGGGATGTCAAAGAGGGACCATCCCAAGACGCCGTCAGGAGGATATGTCCACACGCCGGTGCGGATGAGATAGCTGTCCCATGGGATCGTCGCCGTCACGGCCACGACAACGAGGAAGGCGATGCGCACCAGATCGAGACTGGTGAGGAAGGGTTTCGCGGTGACAGTGAGGAAGCCCGCGAGGGGGATTGTGAACTTCACATGCCTTTCTGCTCATTAGTGAGGTTCAACGCAACAACAGCAGCTCAGACGCGCGGTGGACCTACACAAGTGCATAGTCGAGACCCATGGTGATGGATGGCAATCGTCCCGTGCTATCTGTCGGGGAGGTACTGTGCTTTCGTCAAGGTTCAAGGACAAACCTGCCAGGCGAAGCATGAATGTTAAGACGCAAAGGCCGGCAGCGGATGAGAGACATTGAAATCCATTGAATCACCATTCCATCAGCAAGAAAAAAGGCTTGGTACATGTACCTTCGCACTCGGCATCCAATAGCGCGCATCGAGTCGAGCCCCCAGGCGCGAGAGGGCGACGATGCTAGGGGCGTGCGAAAAGGCTGGCTTGGTATGACAATCGACAAGGGAGAATCTCCATTCCATCATTGACTTTCCGATGTAGCCGCCCCGCCAGCTGTAAGGCGTGAGAACCGGGAAGAGGGGCGTGTGGAAAAGTCTATGACGCTACCATCCGTATCCCTGGTACGTAAGTTGAATGTTCACACGTGATTGCAGCTGCGCGCGAGCATGAGGGGATCGGGCAGAACAATTCATTAATAGACTACTGGTGATGCTCATCGTCGGCGGACAAGAGGCGTCCATGTCGATGCTCACATCTGGCGCCAAGCCATGATCTATTCGTACATACATGGTCCCGAGTCTTACACGATTCACTCTTGACGATCTTGAACTTGAAGCCTCATAATCGTGTAATGATAAAGATGCCGATTCAGATGGTGAATTGTAATTCTAGATCGAAATTATCTAGCTCCAGACTGTTCCTACACCATAGGTCCCATGTGCTGCTGTTGGGGATAATAAGCAGGCTGTTCCTAGCCTCCATAGTCATAACCACGAGGTTGGTTGTAAGCTGCGTTGCCGCGCCACCCGCCTCGCCCTCGGTAGCCATTGGATCCTCGCCCTCTCATATTGCTGTTGTCGTTGAACCCGTTCCCATACCAAACATCGGGATACTGCGGCTGCTGTTGCGGGTACATGTGCCCCCCGTAGCCATTGTGGTTTGGCGGATGGGTGTAGCCTCCGTTAGGCGTGTGGGTGTTGTATTGAAATCGTTGTCCTCGACCGCGGAACGCCCCCTGCTGATGACCATTGCCATTATTGCCCCCAGGCCTGCCGTTCTGTTGGACCTTGGCGTTCCCGCCGCTGCCTCCTGAGTTCGACCCATCGGACCCCTGACCATTACTCCCACCGCCTCGACCGCCTCGACCTTGTCCACGTTTCCTGGGAAATGACTTTCGAGGTCCCTTGGGCTTGCGGTCGAGAGTAAAGTCAATCCTCTTGATCGGATCCGTCACCATCTTGTGCTCGGCGAGTCCAATCCTCTCCAGGTCGGCCTGCTTCGCGGTGCAGGGCTGGAAGATGTTCTCCAAGCTCTCCAGGTCCCGAACCTCGGGCACCCACGTCTTCACGTACACGCCTTCTTTATCATAGTCAAAGGCTTGCTTGACTGGATTGAAGATGCGCGCATCGCCGCGAGGATCATTGCCAACACCTGCGACGTACTGCCAGTTCGACCAGTTGGATGACACATCATAGTCGACCAGGTGCATCTCGTACCACTCGGCGCCATAGCGCCAGTCTATGCTCATGTGCTTAGCAAGGAAGCTGGCGACATTCTGGCGCGCCCGGTTCGACGTGTAGCCAGTGTGGAACAACTCGCGCTGCGAGGCATCGATCAGACCCTGGCCTGTAGTGCCCTCGAGAAAACGTTGAAGCACTCGATTGACCTCCTCCGGCGCTGGCGACTGGTCCTGGTGGGCTGCGTCCTTTCGGGGAGTCTTCCACTTCTTGTTATACGACTCGTCTTGTCGAAAGCCAGACAGTCGAAACAGGCGAGAGCCAAACTTGCGCGTACAGAGGCGCATATAATCGCGCCAGAGCAACTCGAAGCGCACGCCCTTGGTACCTTCGTTCTCGCCCTCGCCATAGCCATTTGCGGACGCGTAGTCGGGGTTGGTGCCATCTTCCAGATCCTTCAGCTCCTTGTGCACTTGCCGGGCAGATATGCACCCGAGTGCTAGATACGCGGACAATTTGGTACTAAACTCTACGCCGACAAGGCCATTGCGAGTCTCCTTGTACGAAGTCATGCCCCCGGATGTGATGAGATAGCGCAGACGGTCATGGGCGTTGGTCTCGCCCCCTTTTAGAGGATGTGCGGACTCGGCCCCCTCTGGATACGCGGGCGGCTCAGGAAGCATGGTGGTGAGTGGTGACAGTAAGCGCTGTTCGAGGTCGTCCAATCTGGTTGCTTCGACAAACGGATGTGGTTGTGGTGGTATTGATTCCGGCACGCCTGGCAGGACTCCCTTTTCTGGCAGCGGTAGCACAGGTCGAGGCCGCTCGCGTAAAGGCTCCTGGTTCTTCCGATACGACGTGAATACATCTGGCAGATCTGACGGTTTCTCCAGACCAGTGTCGCGACTGGAAGATGTTAGCATGGGTGTGATGAAGCAGAGGCAATACTGACTCGTCCACAAAGTACTTCTCGTCAGCCCACAGCTTGAAGCCTGTCCCGTTCTTTTTACACACGGCGTCCACTTCCTCCTCTTCTCTTAATTCCTCAAATGACTTCTCGGCAGTCATCCATACATCGCTGACCTGCTGGCCCTGCTCTCCAAAACTTTTGATGATATTGTCGAGGACATCGGCCGTTTTCCCTGCGCGGATGACTAGCGTGCTTCCCAGGCTCTCCAGAGTCTTCTTGACGTCCCACACAGATTCAGCAACGAACTTGGCTCGGTGCGGACCGCATCGCCAGAAGCCAGCTACCTGACTTAAAGCCTGGGGATAGGGTGACTGCTCTCCGTCCTTCAGCAACCCGCCAATTTCGATCTGATGGTGGGGAAAGACGTAGATTGGCAAGACGTGCGTGAAGCCATGGTCTTTCGTGGTTGCCAGGTGGTGGAAAATTGGATTATCGGATACTCTGAGGTCGCGTCGCAGTAGGTAGACGAGAAGCTTGCTGCCAGCCATGGCCCGGACGTAGCGCGAATCGCGTGGTACTTGGCTATGCGCTTTTGCAACAGCAGTTATACTATCGGGGGTATTATTTTGTCGAAGCGAAGCGGACCATGGACTCTATTGCAGAATGGTGTTTGATAGCGGACAGTAGCTGAAGTAAACCGATAAAAGGCAGAAGAGATCAAGCAGCGAGTGACTGTGGGAGGAACGCATCAAGAAAATGCACTGCGAGACAGCAGGCAAGGAGTGACCCGATGAAAGACAGCCTTGGGCTAGGGTGAGGCGAACTGGTCGACGATGATACATGGACTTGACCCAGTAATGAATGAGTGCCCGAGATGGCCAGGGACGATGCGCGATCTGGGCGACTTTGAGCCAAGGGTGCAAATCGAGAGGGCCGGTGTCGCACGCGGATGCTCGCGTTTCAAGACAGATGTGGCTAGGAAAAGGCTTGACATTGGTTCGGGCTTACTCTGTGTGAGATGTGATATTACCCCGGCAGCCTTATTCCTGCGTGAAGCCGGTCATTTTCCTCTGCGTGTCTAGAGCTCGCCTTTCGAACTCCCATGATGGACTGCGGCTATCCTTCCACGATGAGGGCGGATCGGATTGCAGCACAGAGCTCTCAGCAGGATGACAGGTGCATTTTAGGGCCTCGATGACGGCCTTTTAGGTGGGAAGAGGAACTGGAGGGCAGTGGAAGCATGGCAGCTAACGTTAGTGTCCCAAGTGGCAGGCAGATTCAGTTGCTGGAGGTTGCGTGAAGCGCGGATGGAGGGAGGACTGGAGGGAATGGATGACGATGTCGAGACCCCTACGCGTTACCCTCGGGATCGAACCATCTCAAAAAGGACTAGGCTGTCGAGCGCGAACCACACCTTACCCGATTGGGGATGATGCACAAGAAGGAAGGGTCCAGCGGGAAAAGACAATGACGCAGCGTAGAGTCGGTGTTTTCTCTCTTCGCGGCTCAGCTAATTAACCGCCCTGCAAAAAGCGATCACCATTCACCAGCAATCCGATGTCTTCTGCGCAGCAAGCTTATGTCTCATACCGAAGCACCAACATACGGCGACATGCAAAGCTGGCATTGATCAAGCCTCGTCCGCCATTGCCCAGTCTGCAGCCGCCGTCGCGTGGATCTTCGCGGTATCAAACACAGGGAGCCCAGCCTCCGAGCCACGAACGAGCAAGCCAATCTCAGTGCAGCCGAAAAGAAGACAGTCTGCACCCGCCTCTGCCAGCTCGCCTATGATCTTCTGATATGCCTGTCTCGACTGCTCCTTAACGATGCCGTTGCAGAGCTCGTCGTAGATGATCGAATGCACCGTGTCTCTGTCTGCCTCGTTTGGAATGAGCACGCGCAATCCGTATTTCTGAGTCAGGCGTCCTTTGTAGAACTCCTTCTCCATCGTGAAGCGCGTCCCCAGCAGACCGACTGATTGGTAGCCGGACGCCAGGATCTGCTCAGCGGTCGAGTCGACGATGTGGAGAAGCGGAAGCTGTGACGATTCCTCTATCCCGTGGGACACGAAATGCATGGTGTTGGTACAGAGTACAATGGCATCCGCCCCTGCCAGCCTCAGCTTGGTCGCCGCATCATTCAGAAGCAAGCCCGCCTCCGCCCACTTGCCATCGCGTTGGAGGTTGGCGATGTCTTCAAAATCAAAAGAGAATATTATGCAACGAGCGGAGTGAAGGCCGCCTTTGACATGCCGGACGCGCCGATTGATTTCCTGGTAGTACGTGGTGGTGGACTCCCAGCTCATGCCGCCCAGCAACCCTAGCGTCTTCATGGGGAGCGAGTCGTGCCAGTCGCGTGATGGCTGGAGTGACAAGAATTGTGAGTATCGCGGTGCGTCAGGCTGTCAAGTTCCATGGCAGAAACATAGAAATGGCTAGTACCCTGTCAAGGCCGGAGGAGTCGGACACTGGCTGGACTCAAAGCAGAGTGCGTCCGAGGGCTTAGTAACTGACATACGGACGCCCCAGGAACTCCATGTCCCGCTCCTGTGCTCGCTTGACGTCCAATTGCTGTATCCTTATTAGGTTTGCCATGATAAAAAGCATCATATCGCCTTGCGTATTTCCCCGCCTACTATTACTTCCTCGCCCGTATTACAGCACCAACAGCAGGCTGGGGACCGGGATGGGGTCGGCGACATGGAGGCTGGACTCAGTGGACTGGCCCGGGCTTCACAAGTGGATTCCACCTCCTCCAGCCTCCAGCCTCCAGGGCAGCCGGACCCAAATTCTAACCGAGGATAGCCTGCGGCATGCAGCGGCAAATCATACCCTGGCAATGGCTCTGGCGCTGGACCTGAGCGAGGCTACGATCCCAATGCCTTTTTGAGCCGACGAAAAAATGCCGAGTTGTTCAAGACCATAACTTTCCTCTCCTTCCCCAACCTTGCCCATCCAGCCAGTCAGTCCATTGACCATCCTTCAACATCTCCTCTCCTGCACGCAGAGAGACTGGACGCCGTTGAACATGTCTGCCGTCAATCGTAGCGTGCGAACCGTCAGCAAGCAATTGCGAAGTGCCCGCCTCACCACCGCCCCTCTGGCCAGCGCTGTCGCTCGCTCGAGTGCTTCGGCATCCTTCGGCCTTGCACCTCGCTCGACTCTCCCCTCCTCCCACAGCAACTTTTCCACCTCTGCCGCGAGAGCATCTGGTGCGCCCGTCATGTCTGGCCCACGAGAGTACGATCCCGAGATCAAGGACATTGCCGACTACGTCGCCAACAAGCCAATTGACTCGGACCTCGCTGTAAGTCCCTAATTCCCCAGGCCTCATCACCCCCGTTACCCCGCGTTGCCGCGAAAAAGACCATCTAGAGCCACGACTGACTGCTCAACTTCAGTACGACACTGCGCGATGGATCCTCCTCGACACAATCGGCTGCGGTCTTGAGGGCCTGAGGTTCAAGGAATGCAGCAAGCTGCTTGGACCCATTGTCCCCGGCACCAAGGTCCCCAACGGCACAAAGGTGCCCGGCACTGACTTTGAGCTCGACCCCGTCAATGGTGCCTTCAACATTGGCGCCATGATCCGATGGCTCGACTTCAACGACTGCTGGCTGGCTGCCGAGTGGGGTCACCCCTCGGACAACCTGGGTGCCATCCTCGCCGTGGCGGACTGGATCAACCGCACCAACAAGGCTGGCGGCAACCTCGCCAACGGCAAGGTCTTCACCGTCAAGGATGTCCTCGAGGCCATGATCAAGGCCCATGAGATCCAGGGCTGCTTGGCCCTGCTCAACTCCTACAACAAGGTCGGTCTCGACCACGTTGTCCTGGTCAAGGTCGCCTCCACAGCCGTCGTCGCCAAGATGCTCGGCCTCAGCGAGCAGGGCATCGCCGACGCTGTCAGCCAGGCCTGGGTTGACGGCCAGTCTCTGCGTACCTACCGCCACACCCCCAACACCATGTCCCGCAAGTCATGGGCTGCTGGTGATGCTTGCCAGCGTGCCGTCGGTCTGGCTCTCAAGGTCCTCAAGGGCGAGGGCGGTGTCCCCACCGTCCTGTCCGCCCCCGTCTGGGGTTTCTACGACGTCCTGTTCAAGGGCAAGAAGTTTGAGTTCCAGCGCCCCTACGGCAGCTACGTGATGGAGAACGTCCTCTTCAAGGTCTCCTACCCTGCCGAGTTCCACTCGCAGACCGCCGTCGAGGCTTCCGAGCGCATCCACCACCAGCTCAAGGCCATGGGCAAGTCGGCCGCGGACATCAAGGCCATCACCTGCCGCACGCACGAGGCCTGCATCCGCATCATCGACAAGCAGTTCAAGCCCATGGACAACTTTGCCGACCGCGACCACTGCATCCAGTACATGTGCGCCACCATGCTGGTCTTTGGCCGCCTCGAGGCCACTGACTACACTGACGGTGGTGAGGCCGCCACCTCGCCCCTGGTCGAGTCTCTGCGCCAGAAGATTGCCTGCGTCGAGGATCCCCAGTACACCCAGGACTACCACAACCCCGAGCTGCGCACCATCTCCAACGCGCTCACCGTGGAGCTCAACGACGGCACCATCCTGGATGAGGTCGCTGTCGAGGCGCCTCTGGGCCACCGCCTGCGTCGCGACGAGGCCAAGCCTGTCATTCTGGAGAAGTACAAGCGCCACCTCAAGCCTCACTTGAGCGAGTCGCGCGTCGACGAGTTGGTCAAGCTCAGCCAGGACTCTGGCAAGCTCGACAACATGACCGTGGATGAGTACGTTGACTTGTACGTTGTCAAGGACAGCAAGTTTGTTCAGTAGATTGGACTATAGAATAATACAGCGCTTCAATATGTCATTTCGTACACCAAATCATTGTACGTACGTACGTAGCATGCACGCCGAGACGGGCGCCGAGGATCTGGACCTGGGCGGCTGCCGAGAGAACGCGTGGACGGTCTTCGGGATTCAGTGGGGCAGCCGCAGCAGCCAAGGGTCGCAGTTAGTACGAACTGTATAAGCTCACTGCCCCAATGCTCCCCCCTCGACCGACATTCATCTTTCGTCGCCCGTGGTCATCCTCTACCTGGCCTTGATCCATCATTTCCCACTTGAAGTCGCTGCCTCGAATCACTGCGAAAATGGCTGCCGATCGCCAGACTATCATGGAGGCCAACCGGTCGCTCCGTAATATCAAGAATGTAAGAGCGCCTCCGCATTCGTGGGCTTTGTAGCTGACCATCAATAGGAGCTCGAGACCTTGCTCGAAAAGGGCGTCATCGACGAGTCCGTCTACGACTCGATACATTCCTCACTCCCGCAAGAATCACCACTGTCAGGGCCTCTCCGAACGACGACCAACAAGGGCGCGACCAGTGCCTCCCCAGCACCAAGCAACAATACCAGCAACAACATTCCCACCCCGTCGCTGGCCTCCCTGCACCTCAACGAAAAGTCGCCTTCGCCTGCGCCGCCGTCGTACGATCAGACACCAGCTCCCAGTCTCCCCACTCGCAACAACGCCAAGCCCATTGTCGCCTACGCCCGTGCGCTCTACCGCTACGATGCCTCCGACGCTCGCGACGTGTCCTTTGAGAAGGACGACAAGATCGTCGTGCACGAGTACATGAACCAGGACTGGTGGATGGGCCAGAACACGCGCACTGGTCGTGAGGGCATCTTCCCCCGCAACTACGTCCTCGTCGACCACTCGGAGAAGCAGCCTGTGCCACAGCACGGCTATCCAACACAGCCGCAGTACGCCGGTGGCCCTCCCGCCCAGCAGAACCCATACAACTCGCATGTGCCACCCATGGCGGTCGCAGAGGGCGGCCAGCCGTCGCACGATGAGAATGGTGAGCCGAACAAGGCGCAGCAGTATGGAAAGAAGTTTGGCAAGAAGCTGGGGAACGCGGCGATCTTTGGTGCTGGTGCGACGATAGGAGGAAACATTGTCAACTCCATCTTTTAAATCACTTGGGTCTTGGCGTTTGGAGAATTGAATTAGTAGCTGTGCTATTGATGACATGATATGGGTTCTTGGTTCACTTTTACTTGTCTAATACACTGAACATTGAATAGACTCGAGCCGAAATCTGCCTCCCATGCTGAAATCCGCCCATGTCTCGTGCACTGGTCTCCCCGCCGGGTCCCGCGCGTTTCGCACAGTGTGCAATGCCAAACCCGGCGTACTGTACATCTGAGAAAAAAAAGTTGGACTTTTGTTGGCGTCAAGGTCAACCTCGCCTTCTAATTCATCACCACGAGAATGTCCAACCCCAAGAAAAGATCGGCCGAGGACGGCCCTTCTTCTCAAAAAGCGAAGAAAAAGAAGAAGGCCAATGCTTCGGCTCACGATGATCTCTACAACACAGAGCTGGGCGTGAACACGCTCTTCGCGAAAATGGACAACCAGTTGTTGGCGGACTACCTCGCTCAAAAACTCACACGTTTCGGAAGCGATTTGAGCCCCGTCGAGATCTCTGATCTTACCCTACCAGGTTTGTACTCATTTACATGACTCTACGATGTCCACATAAACTGATATCTGTCAGCTGGATGCATCAAAGACACCAGTTCCTTTGAGAAGGATCGTGTCGCAGATAACCTGCCCGTGTTCATGGAGCAATTCACAGACAAGCCCGACAACTTGAGCAGGCCGCAAAGGAAGAAAGGTCTTCCTCATACTCTCATCGTGGCAGGGGCCGGCCTGAGGGCGGCAGATCTAACCCGTGCTGTGAAGAAGTTCCAGGGCAAGGACAATTTGGTGGCGAAGCTGGTGAGTGAAGTACTGATTGTCGAGACGACGGAAAGGTGGCTCACATTCCGCAGTTTGCCAAACACATCAAGATTGAGGAGCAGGTGAATTTCCTGAAGAACAAGAAGACGGGTATCGGAGTTGGCACACCAGCGCGGTTGGCCGATCTCATTGACAACGGTCCGTCGGCCTCAATTGTTTAAAGCTGTCTCGGCGGCAACGCTAATTCGTGGATAGGTGCCCTGTCTCTGGAGAATCTGCAACGTATCATTGTTGATGCATCGCACATTGATCAGAAGAAGCGTGGCGTCATTGATATGAAGGATACGATGATGCCACTGGCGCGTTTCTTGACAAAGGACCAGATCAAGAGCAGATATGGTGCGGAGGAAAAGCCGGTCGATTTACTCTTCTTTTAGATCAATACCCAAAGTCAGTGATGAAAGCCAAGACTTCAAGAGCACTGGGTGCCCTGTATGCGCACAAGTGCGCTGTCAGTGCGTGAGGCGGGTGCTGGTGAACGAAGCGAGAAAAGCCCGTCGTCTACAGGCTTCTTAGCTTGCAGCAGACTGCCCTACTAAAATACATCAATGGTTTTGGTTCATGCCATTGACAACTTGTGGCAGCTTCGATTGTGATGCAAGCTGAGGTGGGTTATGGTGGCTTCGACGACGTGGTTTTGTACTCCTTCTTCACGTTCGTGCTTTAATTTGGAGTCTCGCGAACCTAGCGCCTTCATTGGACATCATGAAATGTCTGGCATGGGACCAAATCAGTCTGTTGATGCGATGTATCTAGCATATTCGGGCTCACGTACGTCTGGATTAGAGTACCGTCTAAATAGACAATGTAGCATTCGAAGTAGTTCACAGACGACGTGGACCTTGCGCGCCAAGTAGAAGAGGAAGTGGCTTCCGGAGATGAAGTAACATAACCCAAAGGGACGAACGTGCTGCTGGTGTTAAATATCCCTAATGATCGAAGCTGAGAACTACTTTGACTTAGGTAAACTTCATGAAAGTAATCGCAAGAGACTGGATTTCGTTGTCTGGCCCCTCCCCCGCATGATAGTGGATATTAGTGGGGCCTTTTCAGGGACCACCAATGCTGCGACTCCAATTTTGGGCAAACTCTGCCGAGACAAACCAAAAAAAAAAAAGTGACTGACGTTCTCGCTTGGTATCTGCATCCCACCAAACCTCACCTTACTTGACCAACAACGCCCGCCAAAATGAGGACCAAGCGTGCGAACGAGGCCAAGGAGATTGACGAGAACTCTCCCGTGGAGGGAGTCGACGTTCCCGCGAAGAAGCGCAAGCGCACAGCGGAAGACGACTCTGCTGTGGACGGAACGGTGAAGAAGAGCAAGAAGGACAAGAAGGACAAGAAGGACAAAAAGTCCAAGAAGGGCTCCGAGAGCCGCAAGGAGAGGAAAGAGAAGCGCAAGGACTTGCAGGACCTCCCGGAACAAGATGACGAAGCCGAAGACGAGCAAGCCAACGAGAAGGTTGTCGCGACCGAGGCCGTAGTCGAAGACACGGACAAGGCCAAGGCCAAGGCCGAGAAGAAGGCGGCCAAGAAGGCTAAAAAGGAAAAGAAGGCGGAAAACAAGTCGAAGAAGGAAGCTGGCGCTGCCAACGGCGAGACGACCGCTACCAATGGAGACGAGGCCAAAGCTGCTGCTGCTGCTGCTGCTGGCAAGGATGCCATTGACCTTGACGCCAGCACTGCATCGAAAGCTGACCGACACATTGTCTTTGTGGGCAATCTTCCCTTCTCCGCCACCGCCGCTTCGATATCGGCTCATTTCTCCTCCCTGAGCCCTGTAGCAGTGCGCTGCTTGAAGAACAAGGGCGACGACAAGCCGTGCCGAGGCATCGCCTTTGTAGAATTCGGTTCCGGAGCGCACATGAGGACGTGCCTCGACAAGTTCCACCACTCCATGTTCGACGATGGCAAGAGCGCTCCCAGGCAGATCAACGTGGAATTGACGTAAGTGGGCTTTGCCGGCATGTCAGACCAGAACCCCAATGCTAACGTACCCGCAGCGCTGGAGGTGGCGGTAAGGGCCAGAACCGCAAGAACAAGATTGACGAGAAGAACGTCAAACTGGACGAAAACAGGGCCAAGAGGATCGAAAAGGAGCAGACTGCCAAGACGAACAAGGCCAATGGCACTACTAAGCCGGAGGAGAAGAAGCAGAAGCCGGAGGCGGACGATGGGATACACCCCAGCCGCAGAGGCCAGATGACCTGGAGGAAGTGAGGCGAAAGGTTGCGCACCCAATTGTGTTGGATATATCTTTGGCTGGCCTGTAGCATGCTATAATAGACTTGTACGGCGTTTCTTGATTTCGCGATGAGAATACAAAAGGCCAAATTCATTTCTGTTTATAGTCATGTCTTGCCATTGATGATAGACGCCACGACCAATGCATGTTACTCATGAGATCTTGGTATCAGGCCATCGGTAGTCTATACAGTAACCCTCAAAGCCGTGCCTGGGAGCTCTGGATGTTGACAACGCCGACTGGGCATTGCTTGCTCATTGCTCGAATCGGATATGTTCCTCCGCCAGCGCCAGCACGGCCAGACCACTCCGGTCTCGACATAGTCTCAAGTGATCACATCAACAACCTCAAAACGCTCTTCAAAACGCAAAATTCCATTACCTAGACGCCAGCGAAGCAGCAAACCCATGTGCAACTTGCGACCACCAAATAAAGAGTGTAAAACAGGTAAATGCCAGCAGATTATCAACAGTCCCTCCTCCCAACCTATCCTCGTCGCCCCTCCCTCCAAAAGCTCGCTCGCGCAAACAGTGTCTGGAAAAGAAGCACCTGTTGTTTCGAGGGATTGTCGTCTAGGGTATTTATGCGCTTCGTGTATGTCGGTACATGTCTTACGTCTCGTGTCCAAATGCTGCCAGGAACAGATCTACAAAATGGTGCACTTCTTCTTCTGCTTTTGCGTCGCCTGCGGGCGGGGATTCAGAACGGCGCTAGGTAGGGGGCCTGGTGTCAGCATTCGTGTAACATGGAGAGGTAGATCCTGACATACCGGATGGCTTCGTCGAACACGCTCTTGAGGTTCCTCTGTGTCAGGGCGGAGCACTCGAGGTACTTGTACGCCTTAATCTCCTTGGCACAAGCAAGCGCCTGCTCGTACGAGACGGGCTCCATGCGCTTCTGGCGAAGAGACTCGAGCGTAGCGGCCTCTTCTCGCAGATCGAGCTTGGTCCCGACGAGAATGATGGGAATGTTGGGCGCGTGGTGATCGATTTCTGGAAACCACTGTCCACAGTTAGCCGGCATGCCAACCCCCACGAGGCACAAATTGTCCCACCTTGGCCTTGACGTTATCGAACGACGGCGGGCTGACGATCGAGAAGCAGATGAGGAAGACGTCGGTCTGGGGATAGGACAGAGGGCGCAGACGGTCGTAGTCCTCCTGACCAGCGGTATCCCAGAGACCCAGGCTGATGGGCTTGCCGTCCACCATTACGCTCGCCGAGTAGTTGTCAAAGACTGTAGGAATATATTCGCCGGGGAAGGCGTTGGTCGTGTACGAAATGAGCAGACATGTCTTGCCGACCGCGCCGTCGCCTGTGACGACGCACTTGAGGGATTGGACGCCTGGCTGAGCCATGGTGGTGGTGGAGGTGGTTGTGTAGCTTGAGGGTCGCAGTGGTGGATCGAAGAAGTGCGGCGGGAGTTCGCCGGTGCGCGAAGGGACGGTGAAGCGATCGGTGGGGGATCTGTCAACGTGGTGTTCGACGGGCGATGAGGTTTTGGATGTGATGCAAAAAAGGAGAGCCAGAAGCCTTGCAATGATAAGGCGAGTTGCGGTCAGGACTGGAGTGGTATCGGGCCAAGCAGGGGGATCTCTGGCTTCGTGACGGAGGCTGGAAAGGCTGGCTAGAGGCTGCTGGCCTGCAGCGCTCAGTCGCCCTATTAGGCACAATTATCACCAGCCCCGAACTGGTGTGGCGAGTGGGTGGAGTGCACCTTCTTCTTGTTCTTCTTCAAAGATCAAAAGAGGTCTCGTACATGCATGGCCTGACTGCTTATGTTCCATAATACATCAATGTGATTGAAGACCTTGATGGGATTTGGCCCCTGCCTTTGTTCCATGCTCAAGCCCATCTCATGTTTCTTGGGGGCAACATGAGGGCATAGCGTAGGGCAACAGTACGCGCTTTGAATTGTGCATCCGATACCCATACGACGAACAAATATCGACTTCACCATCAGGCCACTACCCACCACCATCATCGCCAGCTCGATCCGTCCCGTAGGCGAGAACAGACTAGAAATTCCCGGTTGGCGCCTACGCCAACCAACCACCAGCTCATTCACACAGGAATCAGGATAGTCGCTGGGCGACTGGAGTCCCGAATTTCTGGCGTGGCTGGCTGGCTGTTGGCGCCAAGGAGGTGCTAGCGCCACCTACGGTGCTCTTTTGCCTTCGCACGCGCTGAAATGGGACGGGCTCACAGCGCAGAGCGTCATCCCGAGTCCGAGGCGAGATGGCTTCATTGTCGGGCGATTGATCAAGCGATGGCAGTGAACGACCTGCCTGTTACGAAGTGGCCTGTCTCAAGTGTGTCTCAAGATGACGACAAGCTTTCTAACAGCCCTCGCTGTCGTTCGAGATGGTAACCGGATCGAAATACTTCCGGACAGCAGACGCAAAGTCAGTGTTAGACCGGTGCCATCTTTGACAGATCCAGAATCCGAGGGAGGAGGACCACAGTGATCAGGCAGTAGAGCCTCAAGCTTATTTCTTCATCACAAGGCCTTCTGACACCAGCCGGAGTCGGAGCATTACTCGCACCTGGTACGTAGTACTCCGTAGAAGAGCACCCGCAGCGATCTTCGAGCTATGACGAAGCGGGGCGACCAGCTTGGCCGAGGCGTCCTGTTCAGGGACTGAACTCCAGGCCCACGAGGTTGATGAGCTGCTCTCGCGGCCACGGTCCCGTTGAGTAAGTACTGATGATACGTACGTATGCGTAGTGCAGCCGTCGAGGAGGAGAGCCAGTACTTGTAGTCATCAGAGGTCCCAGAGGTCTTGGTAACACCTGGATTGGTTGTGCCCCTCCCTCGGGCCCTCCCCTCTCTGTACCGAGCATCCCAACGCTCGGAACTCCGGTCCATTACACCATTCAAAAGTCTGCGAGCTCTCCACTTCGTCATCTTTCTCCTCCTGCTCCTTTTCAAATCGCAACCGTCATCAACAAACGAAGCAAACAAGAAGATCAAAAACCGTTACAATGGTCAAGGCTGGTATGTTCAAGAACCCCACAGTCACACTTGCACGAGACGCACGCCACACTTTATATGTACTTCCCCTAGTCGGCTGTCACACCATGGTGAGCTCGTTTGAGCGGGTTTCTTACGTCGCCATGGCGGCGGTCGCACCTTGATGGGCTGCCAGTCAGGGACTTCGCGGCATAGGCCCTTCGCATACAACGTGGCCAGGGCTATATTTGGTTGCATTGGCTAACGGGCGGTATTTTTTAGTCGCAATCCTCCGTGGAGACAAGAACGTCTCGGGCACCGTCTTCCTCGAGCAGGCCGACGAGTCGTCCCCCACGACCATCACCTGGGACATCACCGGCAACTCTCCCAACGCCGAGCGTGGCTTCCACATCCACACCTTTGGTGACAACACCAACGGCTGCACCTCTGCTGGTCCTCACTTCAACCCTCACAACCAGACTCACGGTGCTCCCTCTGACGAGAAGCGCCACGTCGGTGACCTCGGCAACGTCAAGACTGACGCTGACGGCAACGCCAAGGGCTCCGTGACCGACAAGCTCATCAAGCTGATCGGCCCCGAGAGCGTCGTTGGACGCACCGTTGTCATCCACGATGGCACTGATGATCTCGGTAAGGGAACTCACGCCGACTCTCTGAAGACTGGCAATGCTGGCGGCCGCCCCGCCTGCGGTGTCATTGGCATCGCCAACGTCTAAGTTCGTTTGAACGAGTTGGGTATCTTTGAAAGCTCCTTGGATACAAAAGGCTACGTATTATGAATGAAAAACGATACTTCCCTGTGGCATTGCGGCTCTGCTGTTGTGCAATCATTGACGATGTGACGTACGGACTCGACGGGTTGCCACTGTGAGGGGTCAGTGTCCCACGTAAAGCTCATGCGGGCAGCCGACGACATCTTTCCCTCAAAGCTCGACGCATGCTTCCAAACCCTCAAAACATGTACTAAATTAGTACAAATAAATGGCAAGATACAAAGCTCCCGTCACTTGCAATTGAGCGCCTCGCCGCCATGTTGCCCCAGATGAGTTGGACCCTTCGACCGCCAGCGGTTGCCCCGCGTACGCACGAGCCACCTCGCCCCTGGCTGAGTAGCTGGGAGGCTGAGACAGCCTACCTTAGCTTCGGCTCAATTCCATTAGAGGTCCCCATATTTTGCCTCTTCTTGGGGCCACCTTTCCCCAAGCTGAGTCTGGCCACACGACACGCAGATGGTTCTCCCTTCCACCGTGCAATCGATCTTAATTCTTCATCCATATCAGTATCCTCTTCTGGTTTTGCATTGGGGAGTCGTCTGATAGCTGGATTGCTGATTTCCTCTCTATATATATCTGGTACGTGCCAATTCGATACTGCGGTCCACGCCTCGGTGGAGGCGGTCACCAAGTCACCAAGCTTGAGGACACTGCTGGGACGAGCTCCCGGGCATCCAGCAGCAAGCTCCCACGCACTATCCATCAGCCATTGGACCCTCAGAAACTGACTCTCCGTCGTAGTGAATCGCCATCATGTCTAAGCCATTCTTCGGCAACGTCAAGAGTGTCCTCAGTGGCGACACACTCATCCTCACGAGCCCCAACAACCCGGCCGCCGAGCGAACATTCTGCCTCGCATACGTTTCCGCTCCTCATCTCCGCCGTGAAGGCGACGAGCCCTTTGCGTTCCAATCGAGAGAGTACTTGCGAAACCTCGTCGTCGGGAAGACTGTACAATGCACTGTCGCTTACACAATCCCTAACTCGGGTCGTGAATTCGGAACAGCCAAGTTGCAGGATGGCACCGACTTGCCTGATGTTCTTGTCAAGGCTGGATGGCTCAAGGTACGCGAGGATGCTGGCCGCAAGGACGAGAACGAGGAGGTTGTGGAAAGGCTGGAGAAGCTCCGCTCTCTCGAGAATGCTGCCAAGGCTGAGAACAAGGGCCTCCACGCTGGCTCCGGCGGCATCATTGAGGTACAGAATGACCTCGGTGGGCCCGAATTCATGAAGACCTGGAAGGGGAAAACTGTCGATGGTATCATCGAGCGAGTACTCAGTGGCGATAGGCTGCTCGTGAGGTTGCTGCTTTCGGAGAAGAAGCACGTGCAACCCATGACACTCCTCGCTGGTATCCGAACCCCCTCAACTGAGCGCAATAATCCCTCCACCGGCGGTGTGCAGCCTGCGGAAGAGTATGGCAACGAGGCGAAGCAATTTGTTGAGGCGAGGCTTCTCCAGCGCCTTGTAAAGGTCGAGATTGTCGGCGCCAGCCCTCAGGGTCAGCTGGTCGCCAACGTGATGCATCCTCGCGGCAACATCGCCGAGTTCCTTCTTCAGGACGGCTTGGCTCGCTGCAATGACTTCCACTCGACCATGCTTGGCGAGAAGATGGCTGCTTTGCGTGCCGCTGAGAAGCAGGCGCAAGAGAAGAAGTTGCGTCTCTTCAAGCACCATGTCGCCAAGGCGGACGGTGGCAACCAGGACATGATTGTGTCCAAGGTTCTCGCCAGCGACACGATTCTTGTCCGCAACAAGGCCGGTACCAACGAGAAGCGTATTAGCTTCAGCAGTGTCCGCGGCCCCCGCACCAATGAACCTTCCGAGGCGCCTTACCGGGACGAGGCCAAGGAGTTCCTGCGCCAGAAGATTATCGGCAAGCAGGTCAAGGTCAAGGTGGACGGCACCAAGCCTGCCAACGAAGGCTTCGAGGCCAAGGACGTCGCCACTGTCACCGAAAAGGGCACCAACATTGGTCTTGCTCTCGTGGAGGCAGGGTGGGCCTCTGTGGTGCGTCACCGCAACGATGACCCTGACAGGGCACCTAACTACGACGAGTTGCTCGCTGCTCAAGAGAAGGCCAAGGAGGAGAAGAAGGGCATCTGGTCCGGTAAACCCAACAAGGCCAAGCAATACCTAGACTTGGGCGACAACGCTCAAAAGGCCAAGATCATGCTAGCCACGCTGCAGAGGCAGAAGAAGGTCCCCGCCATCGTGGACTTTTGCAAAGCCGGATCCCGCTTCACCATTCTGATTCCCCGCGAGAATGTCAAGCTTACCATGGTGCTGGGCGGCATTCGCGCTCCTCGTGCTCCCCGTGCTGATGGCGAGGGCGGTGAGCCATGGGGCAAAGAGGCACTTGACTTGGCCAACCGTCGCTGCAACCAACGCGATTGCGAGGTTGACATTCACGACATGGACAAGGTGGGCGGCTTCATTGGCTCGCTCTACATTGGTCGCGAAAACTTTGCAAAGGTCCTTGTGGAGGAGGGCCTCGCGTCTGTGCACGCATTCTCTGCTGAAAAGTCCGGCAATGCCGCGGAGCTCTTTAACGCGGAGAAAAAGGCCAAGCAGGAGCGCAAGGGTCTGTGGACAAACTGGGATCCTTCGCAGGACGAGGAGCAGGAGGAGGTTGCCGAGGAGGAGGTTGATGAGTCGGCGGCCCCTGTCAACATGGAAAAGAAGCCGACCGATTACCGCGACGTTGTTATCACCAACATTGACGGCAACGGCAAGCTCAAGCTGCAAGAGGTCGGCAAGGGTACCGCTGCTCTGGAGACTTTGATGAATGAGTTCCGCAAGTTCCACCTCAACCCTGCGAACAAGCAGCCGCTGAAGGACGCGCCCAGGACCGGCGAATTTGTGTCCGCACAGTTCTCTGCTGACGGAGAGTGGTACCGCGCGCGCGTCCGCTCCAACGACCGCACTGCCAAGGTCGCCGAGGTTGTGTACGTGGACTATGGCAACAGCGAGAAGATCCCTTGGTCCAAGTTGCGCCCCATGGATCAGCCCCAATTCAGCGTGCAGAAGCTGAAGCCCCAGGCGATCGACGCGTCCCTGTCATTCGTGCAGCTGCCTACCGGCCAAGACTACTTTGCCGACGCCGTTGCCTTCATCGCAGAGCTCACCGAGGGCCGACGCCTGGTGGGTAGCTTCGACTTTGTCGATGCGAAGGAGAACATCAGCTACGTCACACTTTACGACCCCAAGACGGACAACAAGATGCCGGGCCTGAACGACTCGCTGAACAAGGAGGTTGTGCAACAAGGATACGGCATGGTGCCCAAGAAGCTTAAGGCCTGGGAGAGGAGCCGCGCGTTCGAAGACTACTTGAAGCACCTGACAAAGGTACAGGACGAGGCGAAGCGGGAGAGACTGGGCATGTGGGAATACGGCGACATCACAGAGGATTGAAAACGTTGTGCACGCAATGAGCACTGTCCGTAGACTGTATGAAGTTAGATTCGAAGCTTGAATGGATGCATAGCGGGGGACGGTGAATATGCTTGGGTTGGTTGATAATCGATAGGTTCGAGCACGCGTCTGACCGTCCCTATTGGACAATTACCATACCCCGGGTGAAGTGCTGAACTTTTGTCGGTCGCCCTTTCTTCCTTTATCTCTGCCTCCATGTCACTGTCCGAGGGGGACTTTTTGTCAATATGCACCTTCCCTGGCACGAGGACCAATCTCAATTAGGAAGCTCGATGCCTGCGATCCCCATGCGGTGAACATTGATAAAGATGGGCACTCTGCCCTTGACTGGCATCTTGACTGGCATCCTGCTCTCCCATCCCTAGCCTCCCACAACATCACAATGAAGCTCCTCGCCGTCACTGCAGCCCTCGGCCTCACCTCGACCGTGAGCGGTTGCTTGCTTGAGCGTGAGATCGCCGCTGAGCGCGAGTATGCACTGACTGGCAAGCGCTCGGAGTACCACGCGCCACCTTCGTCGCGTCAAGCATCGACCACATTCCCCATCGGCGAGGGCGACCGTTTCGCGGGCGGCTGCGTCACGCCCGTCGGTCTTGGCGTCAATGACCGCGATCTCGAATCCGTCCTGGCGGTCAAGGAGGTCGGGTCTGCTCTCAAGGGCCTGAGAAGGGGCTTCCCCGACAAGGTGCAGCTCTTTGAGCCTCCCTTTGAGACCTATGAAGGCCGCAAGTTCCCTGGTGCCATCGTCGGCGACAACCCAAGGGTGTTCATCATGAGTGGCATCCACGCGCGCGAGCGTGGTGGCCCCGATAATGTCATCTACTTCCTGGCCGATCTGCTGGCCGCGCAGAAGGCTGGCACGGGCGTGACATATGGCGACAAGAGCTACAGCGCCGAGGACGTTGAGAAGGCGCTGTCTGCCGGCGTCGTGATCCTCCCTCTGACCAACCCGGACGGCGTGGCATACGACCAGACCACCGACTCGTGCTGGCGCAAGAATCGCAACCCCGAGTCTGCCGTTGGCGCCGCCAACGGTCGCGACATTGGTATCGACCTGAACCGCAACTACGACTTTGTCTGGGACTACAACAAGCACTTCTACCCCGGCACTGACCCTGCCTCGGATGACCCTCGCAGTGAGGTTTTCTACGGCACTGGGCCGGCATCCGAGCCTGAGACCGAGGCTGTTGTCTGGACTGTCGACCAGTACCAGAACATCACCTGGTTCATGGACCTGCACTCCTACGGTCCCAGCCTCCTCTATGCTTGGGGAGATGATGAGACGTCCACTGAGAACCCAGACGAGAACTTTGTCAACCCCGAATTCGATGGCAAGCGTGGCCTCGTTGGCGGGCCCGACCCCCCTAACGCGACCTACAAGGAATACTTCCTCGAGTCGGACCTCGAGATCGAGACGGAGGTCACCAACGCCATGGTTGCGTCCATGCTCAAGTCCGGCGGCTCAGAGTACACAAACTACCCTGCCGTCGGTCTCTATCCCACCTCTGGGGCTAGCAACGATTATGCCATGGGCCGATTCTACGGAAACGTCAGCTGTGGTGCCAGCCGCATGTTCGGCCTGACCATGGAGTTTGGCGAGCCCAGTTCCAGCTTCGCCAGCTGCCCCTTCTACCCCGATGCCGACGAGTACCACCGCAATGTGAGGCAGGTCGGCGCGGGCTTCCTAGAGATGATGCTCCGCGCGGCTGGCGAGGCTGGCGATCCGTTGTACGCTGAGTGCTAGGCGGGGGATGACTGTTGCAGACCAGTATAAGTTATGTCCAAGCATCTAGACTAGATATGGTCAAACGCTGCCGACGAAGAATATGACTCAGCCTTTTCCGTGATGCAGGTGCGACATTTCTGTGAGCGCCGAGTCGAGTGCTCTGGCGAGTGCCAAGAGCAAGCACGCGTTAGTAAGTGTTGTTAGAGCCGCCACACCGCCGTCAACATTCTTTCAGTGTCTCAATGCTTCCATGCAGAGATGTTTCGGGTTGTTACAACTCATCGATCACTGGACGCAGACTTTGTACGGGATCATGCAGTATCAAATAGAGCCGTGTCGTCAGTGGGACGATCCAGAGTCCGTTTAACAATAAGTTTTGAGATGATCCCTGCTGCCCACGAAGTTACAACAGCCGATCATGCTGTGCTCCGTACGTCGGCCGGGTCGCATCAACGAGAAGACGGGTCGGTTTTGAGTTGCGGACTGGGGCCGCCGATTTAGGCGCCGTCTCCGGACAAATAGCATTCTGTTACCCGTGGCACCGTCAATTACGAGTGTGTGAACTCGCCATCATAAAGCTGCATCCATTACGGAAAGGGGACGAGAATGGCGTAGAAATTACATCCTCGATGAAGATGTAGGGTAGCTCAATGTCCAGACCGGACAGTACAGGGGAACATACGTACAAAGTACTACCAACTGATGCAGATCTCGTGTCAGACAAAATTCTCAGTAAATAAGGGAGGTATTATCACTGCCGGACGGCGAAGGCCTGAGATGATCAAATCGACATTGTCAGTGGACCGGCTAATACGCAACAGGCTGGAGTGCTGGCTGGTGTAGACGGCGGCTATACCTCGAACGCCTTATAGCACGTCTCCACCGGAACAACACCGTGACATTGCGTATGCGCTGGAGACGTGGGCTTTGTTGAAGAGATTGCAGCCAGTTCAGCATTGGCAGGTTCCATCATACGCAACTAAAAGCGCGGCGTCCAGCCGTTCATCATCCGCCAGGCGCAGGTGGCCCCGCAGGCGCCGGATCACTGTGCTCCATCCACCCAGGACCGTGACTGAGGCAGCTGCAGCAGGAGGGGCTCCTTCCCAACTTTGGAGGGTCCAGGTCTCCATTTTTTGCATCATCCAGCGTCACAACAAATATCCTCCCAAGCCCGCCGTCATCGTCAGTTTTTCTCCCTTTCTTTTCTTTTCAATTCCTCAGTCTCGCAATTCAAGATACCCATCAAACTCATTCACCATGTCTACCTCTCTCGATCAGCTCAAGGCCACCGGCACGGTACGTTCATCATCCCGACCTTTACTCGCTCGCTCGCTCCATACCCGTTGCCCCCCACTATGATGTCGCCGGGTGTTCTGCCCCTCTGTGACGTTGGAGGGGTCGCGACGAAGCTGCTGAAGTGAAGCTCCAAGCAAGCAATATTTCATTCAGCACTTCTGCGACGGTCTCAGGCTTGAGCACGGGGTTATTTGAGCAAGCTTATTTTCACAAATCTCAATGGCAAAGAATCATGGCTGACTTTATCCTTCTACCCGACAGGTCGTCGTGTCCGACTCTGGTAAATTCCCGCATCCCGCGCCTCCGACTTACCGGACAAGCTAACCCCGAGCTCCCTCTCAACAGGTGACTTTGCTTGTAAGCGCCGACATGTTTTCCCAAGGGAACCGCAGACACTGACAGCAGACAGCCATTGCCAAGTACAAGCCCCAGGATGCCACCACCAACCCCTCCCTGATCCTCGCTGCCTCCAAGAAGACCGAGTATGCTCAGCTCATGGACAACGCTATTGCCTACGGCAAGAAGCAGGGCGGTGACATTGACTCTCAGGTCGAGCACGCCCTTGACCGTCTCCTCGTCGAGTTCGGCCGTGAGATTCTCAAGATCGTCCCCGGCAAGGTCTCCACCGAGGTCGACGCCCGCTTCTCCTTCGACACCAAGGCCTCCGTCGAGAAGGCTCTCCACATCATCAACCTGTACAAGCAGGAGGGTGTCGAGAAGGAGCGCGTTCTCATCAAGATCGCCTCCACCTGGGAGGGTATCAAGGCCGCCGAGATCCTCCAGCGCGACCACGGCATCAACTGCAACCTGACCCTCATGTTCTCCCAGACTCAGGCGATCGCCGCCGCCGAGGCCAACGCCTACCTCATCTCCCCCTTCGTCGGCCGCATCCTTGACTGGTTCAAGGCTGCCAACAAGAAGGAGTACTCCAAGGAGGAGGACCCCGGTGTCGCCTCCGTCAAGTCCATCTTCAACTACTACAAGAAGTTCGGCTACAAGACCATTGTCATGGGTGCCTCTTTCCGCAGCACTGGCGAGATCACCGAGCTTGCTGGCTGTGACTACCTGACCATCTCTGTAAGCTCTCCCACATGTGAGCGTTGTGAAGCCGAAACTGACTCTGTGAACAGCCCAACCTGCTCGAGGACCTGTCCAACTCCTCCGAGGCTGTCCCCAAGAAGCTTGACGCCAGCCAGGCCTCGTCGCTCGACATTGCCAAGAAGTCGTACATCAACGACGAGGCTCTGTTCCGCTTCGACTTCAACGAGGACCAGATGGCCGTCGAGAAGCTCCGCGAGGGTATCTCCAAGTTCGCCGCCGACGCTGTCACCCTCAAGGGTATCCTCAAGGAGAAGCTGTCCTCATAGACGGCTTGGACACGACATCCACCCAAAATAAAAGAATAGTAATCAAGCTCATTTGTCACGACGGATAATGGGTCATGAACGAAAATGTTTATACGACGATAGACCCATGAATGCAAAACCAACTAAAGTTTGAACTCAGTTATTCCCAGTTGATATCCTCGTACCGCCCAACGCCGTACTAGTAGTAGTAATGTCCAATCCAGATTGCCCACCAAACGCCATTTTGCAGCCGTCTAGTCGGTCAGTATTACAAGTGTTTGTAGCCGTCGGTCATCGTCGCAAGGATCCCTATTCCTCACTGGTGCCCTCCGATTCGCGACATCGGACCTGCAACGTCTTGTGCTTGAAGCCCCCACCAGGGGCCGCCTCAACGATGAGGGCGGTCAGTGCCTCACCCTTGACGCACGCCGAGTCGAGGCCAAAGGTGTACTTTGACTCCTTGTAGCCAGTCTTGGCGTCGTGTCCATACACCACCGTCCGCCGCAGGCGACGGGGCAAGCGCCGCTGGTGGGTGTTCCAGGCATCAGTCCAGCGATCGCCCTTGTGACCGGCACTGGGCAAGGCAATGCGACGGTCAAAAGGAATGATCGAGGTATCCATGTCCTCATCCTCGTCATCCGGAGGAGACTGCGCATCCTCAGCCTCCTCCTCCTCCTCCCTCTTGTTGAGTCGAGGCGCTTCGCCCTCCTTCTTGCGGATTTCCTCCCGGGGATACGACAGCGTGCGCATGTTCATGACAGCCCAGGGATCCTGCTTCTCCAGCTCCACACCGGGCACGAGGCCGGCGTGGACAATGTACATGCCCAGTTGATCCACAGTGAGGATAGCGGGCAGCTCGCTGAGCCATTTGATGTGGTCCTTGCTAAGGTGTCGGGCTAGCACGAGATCTCGCAGCTCCCCCTCTGGCTCCTGATCGAGTTGGGTCTCGAGATCTTTGCTGACACCATATTGCGCCTCAATGGCATTGTGGGCGAGGAGGATCCTGTCTTCGTGGTTGCCACGCACGGCGCTGGCGTTCATGGACATGAGTCTTGACACGACGCCGGAGGAGTCGGGTCCTTTGTTGATCATGTCACCCACGGCAATAACGTGGTCATTCGTTCCGTTATAGGAGGCCTCTTCAAGGAGTGCTTGAAGCTCGGTGTCCATGCCGTGAATGTCGCCAATGATGATCAATCGCCGGCCATTTTCTGGCGTGGGAACGTACTGTTCGGGTAGGGCCTCGATGATTTTCAAGCCCTCGAACTCGGGTCGATTGAACTGGCCGTACGACATGGGTAGATCGGCCTTATTGAGTCGGATTTCCGGGCTCTTGTCTTCTTCGAGGTGGTCGTCTTGGGTGGTAGGTTGTGTCGCGTGCGCCATGTTTTCTCGTTCGAAGGACTGGACGGAGAGACGCGTGGCGCAGAGGTAGACGCTGAAGAGGATGAAGGCTGTTGCCGCCAGGACCAGTATTCTCCGGTGTGAGAGGTGCGAGATCATGCTGAGAGGGGTGGGCCGCCGCGGCCGTGGCCAGCGTGAGGATGGAGGAGGACTGCGAGAGAAGTACGCAAGGTGGGTGATCCCAACGTGGCGTGCAGATTGTTGAGGCGATGAATGCGTAACGCGGAAGCAGCAATTGCCTCCTTTTGAGAAGAGATGGAAGACAAGGAAGAAGGGAGAGATAGTGTGGTGATGATGGTGTAGATGAAAGAAGAACGAGAACAAACCGTGGAAATGTTGCCGAAGCGAAATGCGATGGTGAGACTGCGCAAGCTGTTTGGCGAAACAGGAAGGCCCCTGTAACCCCGGTTTTTGGGCTGCTGAAAGCCTGAAACTTGGCTACCGCGGACGGCACGCGGGCGGTTCCCTCCTGGAGGGCCGTGGACTGGAGCCTGGATCGGTCGCCGCGTGGCTGAGCTTCAGTCCAGGTTGAGCTCACAGTTGTCCAGCACGCGGAGATGACTACGTAACTTACGGAGGCATCTATATCCCCCCTTGCGATCAACATTGCCAAGCTAGTGTAAGTGGCCGGGCGCGTGTAACTACACTCTAGAGCACACCGCGGAATCGTGATCAAGTTCCGTGCAAGTTTCTGCCACGGCTTCCGCGTGTATAAGTGTCTGTACGGAATCATGACGTTGAAGTTTTACCGCTGTCGAACACGGGCAGAGAGTCGAGACACGCATGGACACAGCCGTTATCAACTTATCACCCATGCTAAGCACTTGTTAGCTCTATTCAGGTGGGTGGTCATCAGTAGATTCGCCATGTGCCTCTGTGTGGAACATTTCGGCGACCATGTTGCGGATCAGTACTACTGGTCATCAAGTTGAACCCAGCGTGGAGCAATCTTCGCATCGGATCGCAGCTCCTGAGTCTATATTTTGTTGAGATCTAGAGGTTTCTACCACTGACAGATTTCTTGATGTAGTGTCTTTCGAGCATCCAGCCCAAGCATATTGCTGGCAAAGGCTGTTAATGCTATCTTTCAGGCTCGCAGAGTTCTGAGTGAAGTCGCTGTGTAGCACTTCGTTCGTAAAGTCATAGTGTACAGCTTTATTTGTACAGATTACGCGTCCGGCACGACCGGCTGGCGATTTCCAGATGGCGTTGGTCTCTTGTTCAACCCTTGCCTCCGTGCACTTCCGTCCCGGGACCCAACACGCTCGTCGGTCGTGATGTTTTATGCGCCCTGGTCTTTCTTCATCTGGGCCTCCTTCTGCGCTGCCAGTTCTGCCCGGTACTTCTCGTTCTCGACCTCCCGCCAGTCCATGGGTATGGGCTCGTTTCCACTGGTCTCCTTGACGCCTCCCGCGAACGCTGCCTTGCCTGCGTATAGTTGGTATCCTTTGCCACCCTCGGCGCTCTCCATCGTGCGGTACGCAACGGGCATATTTCCGCGGAAACGCTTTCGCATGTCTACCATGCCGCGCTTACACTCGCCAAAGCCTTTCTTGAGTTGTCGGCACTGGAGAGGGAGGGTGTCGACGAGCGGTTCGCGGAGGCAGTCAGAGGCGCTGTTGCGCTGGACCATCACGCAGTCTGACTCCTGGAGACATTGCGCGAGAGCCTCGCCTGAAAATGTCAGTCCCATTGTCGAAATAGAGAGTAGATGAACTTACGGAGCTCTTTGCATGAAGACGGCATTGCTGTGAAATGAATTGAAGTAGACTTTCTGGTAGCAACGTGGGATCGTGGTATCATGCGATTTGATGTGGCTGGTGAAGGGTCTGGCATGTGGCGCAGGTGGCGTACGCTCTAGTGTCCTGGCCAAACTAAACTTGTACATCTGCCATCACGCATCGCCGCTATCATAATAAGACCACTGTCGCACATTTTGTTGGTCGGATACCTCCTGGTTGAGTTATCGGCGGCTACTGTTTGGGTGAGACATCCGCAGCCTGTTCGCCCGGGCATGTCGAAGATCAGCCCTACCATTTCCCCTTGAGGGCGTCTTCCTTCCGTGGTAAGTGGCGGTAAAGATCATGACATGGACCTTTGCATGTGACATCACGCCTCTCGCCTGGCGCCGATCCATCATTCGAAAATCCCGTCTTCGACATTGCCATCATCCTGTCGCCAGCCATGGCGCTTTCGTGCCAATTGCTGACTTTCACATAATACAGACGCAAAAATGCCCGTTCCATTTCTTGGGAGGTTGCACCTGTAGGTCTCCTTGTCTTCAGTACGGTGTATCGCGACACGCTAATGGTTCGGCTGCAGCACAGAGTACGTCGCTCTTGTCGGCTCGTTCTTATTTGTCGGGCTCGAGGCAATCATTCGAGTCCTGACTCTGGCCTTGCGTGAGTAGTTGCCCGCCAGCAGCCTGCCGAGACACGCATGAGACTGACTAGCTGCTCCCAGCGCCCTTCTTGGTCAACCTCTTCTACCGAGCGTCGCGTCGCATATTCCTCAAGTTCTCATCGCCAGCCCAAAATAAGGCCGACAACAGGAAGAAGTGTACGTTTCTCTCTCAGATAACGATTTCCGTTGTCTAACAAACCCAGCTATATCTACTTCTGTCCGCGATGCCGCCGATTTCGTTGAGCTCTGTCGGCTATGGGGCTACGAGGCTGAGGAGCACATTGTACAGACCAAGGATGGCTTCCTTCTCGGCGTTCACCGGCTGCAGTGGCGCAAAGGTGAGGAGGGACAACAGGTCAACAGTGGGCCGACAAGCATGAAGAAAAGAGTCGCCTATCTGCATCATGGGCTGCTCATGAACTCGGAGGTATGGGTCGCGCAGACAGATGAGCAGCGCTGTCTGGCGTTCGAGCTGGTAGAGAGAGGCTTCGATGTCTGGGTGAGACCCCCCGAAAGTGTTGATGTTGGGAGCAACCTGAAATGGCTAACTTTCCAGTTTGGCAACAATCGAGGCAACAAGTATTCAAAGAAGTCGATCCACTCGTCGCCCGATTCACTCAAATTCTGGGATTTCTCTATTGACGAGTTTGCCTTTCACGACATTCCCGATTCAATCGAGTACATCCTCGACACGACCGGCCAGAAGAGCCTGTCATACATTGGCTTTTCGCAAGGCACCGCGCAGGCTTTCGCGACCTTGGCGATCCATCCTAAGCTCAACAGCAAAGTCAATGTGTTCATTGCCCTTGCGCCTGCGATGGCGCCCGCTGGCCTGTCTAACGGAATCGTGGACTCTTTGGTAAAGGCTTCGCCTCAAGTACTGTTCCTCCTTTTCGGACGGCGGTCCATTCTCAGCTCAGCAACCATGTGGGAAACACTGCTCTACCCGCCCTTGTTCAGCCGGGTCATCGACATGGGTCTCGCATTCTTGTTCAACTGGCAAACCAAAAACATCTCAGCAAGCCAGAAACTGGCGGCGTACCCGCATCTATATTCCTTCACGAGCACCAAGTCGGTCGTTCACTGGTTCCAAATCATCCGCAACCGTTCCTTCCAGATGTACGACGACAACGTCCAGCAACCCATGAGCGTCACAAACTCCAACAAATTCTCAAAAGTTGCCAAATACCCTACACGAAACATCCGCACCCCCGTGGTCCTTGTGTATGGCGGCAGTGATTCCTTGGTCGATATTAAGGCAATGCTCAAGGAACTTCCTCCCCAGACCGTCGCCACCGAGATTCCGCATTACGAGCACCTCGACTTCCTCTGGGCGCGCGACGTCGACATTCAAGTCTTCCAGCACGTGTTTGATGCTCTGGACAGCTTCACCGATGCCGGTCACACCAAGGAAGAGTACGATCGGTACTTCACCGCCCGCCAGGAGAGTCTGATAGGATCAGGCTTCACGCCCGGGCACCACCCGCGCGGCAGTGAGAGCGAGGCATCGACGATCGCCACAGGGAACGACATGCCCGAACACATCCGTCATCGAGCCATCGAGCAACGTCCCAAGCCCAAGCTTGCCAACGGCTCGGATGAGGCCGGGTGGTCGACCTCGCCTGAGACGACAACGCCCACCAGAGCCACCCATTCTGTCGATGGCGAGTCTCCCTTCACTCGTCCCAACAGAAGCCACGCCCGTCACGGAAGCGGCACCAGCATCAGCCTCGACCGTAAAGGCATCAGCCTTGGTGCCAGCAAGACAGCCACCAGCGTGGTCACCACGTCAGTCGGTCTGTCTTCTCCGCAGGAAAGGAAGGCGAAGAAGAAGGAGTAATGGATGGTTTGAGATAGAGGAATATCTGAAGGATGTGAAATGTGGTAGCGAAGAAGACGATTAATGCTATGAATATCAGCAACTCGGGATTAGACGCGCGGAAGGATACATTTGTAGCCATGGTGTCAAAGGTGCAATGGAGGAACGCTTCGATTTGTGAAGATGGTTCGCTTTACGCATTGTACTAGAAGCTTCTATATACTTTTTGGTCGGGAAGTATAGAAAACTCCGGCCATAATAATTGGCCCCTTGCGACTGTGCACACGGACTTTCAACGCAAACACGGCGAGTCTTGATTGCGCGTCTGCTACGAGGATCGAAAAAGAGAAGAAAGTCATATTGTGCCAAACGCTAGCTATGCTCAAACGGCGAAAATGCAATGTGACATCGCCCGTTTAGATGGTGTCCTACAAGCCAGAGCCTGGCCGGCGGCCCAGCACACGGATATTCGATGTGCTAAGCCAACCTCGCTTCTTTCTCATCCATCTTTTGTTTCTCACTCAACGCGAGTGCTTGCGTTTACACCATGCAGTCGCAGAAGTTGCGATTGCGCCAATGAGCAGAGGCAGGCTTCTCCCAATGTGCAATGGGAGGCCCTTTGCAGCTCTGTGAGATCTGATCTCACCTCATCTCTACAGTCTCAAATACTAACGTCCCCTAACGGAAGGATCCTGTATGGATCTTTACGAAATTTGGCCCGAAAGTCGATGATGCTTTGCGCCGTGGCGTCAAAGTCTTTGATTTGACGAGTCTTCAGGTCGCCGAGGACCGCGCATAGCCCTTTGATGTAGTCTCGCCGCTCTTGTCCCTCAAAGTGTCTTGCGTCGCCGAGCTGCACCAGGATCTGGTCGTCTGCAGACCAGTCAGTATCCTCTGCGACACCGCAGCTGACCCCGTTGCTAGCTGACAAGTAGATTCGACGGATCTCCTCATGGCTCGGAAGACGTACCGGGAGTCTGCATCGAGGCCAGGTGCTGAAACTGGCACGCATCGCCACGCGGGCATGCTTGCCCTGCCAAGTCATCTGGGCAGAGCTCCTTGTTGACATCGATGTTGTTGCTGTAGGTTAGAGATCGAAGCCCACCGGGTACCGACTCGGCGAAGCTGGGATGTAAACGATACGCACGGAACTGTTTCAATGGCGACTCGTAAGGTATATAGCTCCTTTGTTGCGCAGGTGGTTGCTGCGCCTTAGCATCTGCGGATTTCTCGGGAATGATTACCTGTTGGCACGTTAGGAAAGGTTGATACTGACCAAGTGGAACCTTGTCTACTTCGCTCGGAGATGTTGGCACCGACAATGGCGCCCCTGATGATATAGGGTTTGTCACAGGTGATTTGACCGAAACTCCTTGTACTTCTTCCTCATCGCTTTCGTCAGAGGACTCTTCATCTTCGCCAGAAGAAGATTCGCCTGATGACGATGTTACCATGGGCTCGCCCTCTTGTTCTGGAAGAGGGTCGGAACCATGCATGAATGCATCTCCCTCAACTTGCGCCGACCCGATTGCCTCATTTAGCGACCCACTGGCTGCAGCAATAGTCTGAGCATTGGGGCTTGATTCAGACTCTTCAAGCGCCGGTTCACGAGGTCGAATACTGATTTCTTGTTGTGGGGTCGATGAAGCCTCGAGCACAGGAGCTGGTTCTGCATGTTTCTGGGAGTCAAGCTCAAGCCTTGACCCTGCCTCAGTTGTAGCCCTGGGGACTTCCTCCGATTGTGAAGCCTCTGTTGACAACATAGTGGGTGACTGAGGCCGATGTTCAGCGTCAGGCTGGCCCTCTGTAGCTAATGCATCGGGTTGCTCGCTGCGCAAACGTTCTTCCTCTTCCCTCTCCTGGTCAAGCTCCCTTTGTAGGCGTTTCATTTGGGATTCCAGGGCTTTGAGTCTCATTTCTTTCTCCAGAATGCGATCACTTGCTATCCTTGACTGACTCCGACTCTGTCGCAGACGATCATTTTCGCTGAAACTGGAAGCTTTTGGCAATGGTTGGGAACGCTGCTGTAGTTGCACCGGCGATATCGTAGGCGATAGACCATTCTCGCTGCACGGCAGGCTCGAGGCTCGCTGAGGACTGCCCATCGTCGCAGCGGCGGGAGACGCAGGTCTTGACTGTTTGGCCTTGCGCAGCGCTTCTCGCTCAGCAATGCTGCGCTTCATGGCTTCAATCTCCTTCATTTTATCTTGATAGCTTTGGACACCAGGCGTCGTAGCCGGCGGCGTGACTGCCGGGCTTCCCGCATGTGAACTAGGAGGCTGGTGCAAGCTTTTCAGCGCTGGAATCTTGAACGGCGAACTTGGACGGTCAATAGAGGCTGGTCGCATTTCTGGCGAGTCAAGATCCATGGCCTCGTCGTCGTCATCATCGCTCACATCAATGAGCAATGGTTGGGCTGGTCGGTGTTGGCCAAAGAGCCGCTTGGCTGGTACGTCAGGCTCGTTATCGAAATCCGAAGCCACAGGTCGTTTTGCGACAGGCACGGCAGCTTGGGGACGCTGCGTCGGTGTCGAACCAGCTGGGTTGGTCATTGATGGAAGACTTTCCGATACAGTCGCCGCCGCATGCGCCGGAACCTTGGGTGACGGGGCCACGGCTGTTGTCCCATTTTCGTCAGTTGCTGCTGTCTCTGGAGCACGGGCCTGCCTTTCGCGTCGCTTTTTCAAGGCCTCCATCTTCTGTCGTAGCAGCTCTGACTTTGCGGCTTGCGCTTGCGCAGCTGGAGATGGTGTCGTGGTTATAGCGGGCGTGGTTTCGGACACGGCCGATGATGACGGTGCGGCGGGCCCCGTCTTCGAGGTCTCGTCTGATGAAACATTCGCTGATTTGGTAGACCCCTTGGCTGCGAGAAGCCGTGCAATGCGGTCTTTCCGTGACTCAGCTGCGCTATCCGTGGGCACGATGGGTTTCGATGCTGGCAGCTGCTTTGGGGCGGTTTCGGTCGGAGGCGCAGCCTTTTCGACAGTCTCGGGCGGAGAATTGACCGGGAGGCCGCTGGCAGGCTTCGGTATGAAAGGTAGTCCCACCTCACGAAAGAGATCTTCCAGCATTTTGGGATCGATGCCTTCGTCGAGATAATGATGGGGTTCTACATTCAAGGCTTGAAGCTGGAGGATCGCGGCATGAACGCGGGAGTGGAGCTCATGGATTGAGGGGGCTTTGGTATCCGGGAGAGAAGTTACTGAGCGGAGTGTCAGCGATGCAAGAATGGTATTGAAAATTGAAGTTACCTTGTTCGTCGATTGGAGGTTCAGTCTGCTCAAGCTCGCGCGGCGAGAGGTGAGGAGAGTATGAACCACGGTCCGCAGCAGTGGTCGTCCCATCTGTTGTCTGCGCGTTTTCGGTCACTTCACCTGCCTGATCTTCTGATCCATAAATGTCGTCATTCTCACTTATTTCCCCTTCGTCCATATCGTCGTCGTCTGTCGTTGCATTAGGAGCCTTGGCAGCATCCGTTGTTGTCGGCTCTGCAGGGCGGGTCGGATGGAATCCCCTCCCTAACCCAGGGATCATATTGCGATTTGTATCGAAAGCGTTTTGACTCGGGTACGATGAAGAAGAACCGGGGTTGCCAGGTGGAAGAGGAGAAGCAGCATTGTAGACTGGGAACGGAAGGCCTGCATTCTGTTGCGGTGGCAAGCAGCCTCCCTGAAAGCTATACGAGTGACTGGAATAACTCATAATCGCCAGTTTGATGCCGAGTTCGAAGTGTGGTTTGAGACGTATTCTTGATCAAGCATCAACCACTTCACGCTGTTGGCGAGAAAAGGCAAGGTCGTAGTCGAGTCGAGGTCATGGGTTAATATAGGCTGTCCGATTCGACACATCAAGGCAATGGAGCACAAGCTGTTGGAAGGACACTAAAGAGCAGAAGATGTCGAGTCGGGACGATTTGACTCGGTCTCGCAGCGTGTATTCGTCGTTACGAGTCTGCGACAAATGCTGGTCGAAGACAAACGCGACAGACGAAAGGGTTAATCAGCGCGAATGATTATCACCACCTGGATTTCAATCACGTTCGGGCAGTGGATGGCCGCGAGAGCCAAGTAGGACTAGCGGCTTCTGGGGGGCTGCGCTAAAGTGGGCCCTGTAGCGCTTTTCCACATACGTCACGTGCGTTCGCATTGTTTACTTGCTCCCGCGTCAGCCCCTGGCAACCGCGACCGTCACGTAGTTGTTGTAGTGGGACACCGCCAGACTTCCACCACTGTAACACCGACAGAGCCCCGGGAATTGTACCGTCGCTCGATGTCATCTTCTGGACACTGAGCTCCAAGCAAGCTCACAAGCAAGCTCACGGTGCTTTTCTTTCTTTCCACGTTACATTCTGGCTCGTTGGCGAGCCTGGTCAGGAACCAGATCTTACGAACACATTAATTTTTGTTTACATACATGTCGAACCCTCCATCGATGATCCCAGATCATAATGTCCTTCAACAATGGACCCGGCTCGATGTCGAGACGTCATAATCCATTCGCTCGGGCCTCGCCCTCATCGCCTACTGCAGGACCGCCTGGAAGACCCAAATCGAGCCTCTTCTCATCGAACGCGCCGCCTACATCCCCATCGCACGCACGAAGTCAGTCGAGTACCTCACCGCCAACCCAATTAATAGCACCTTCGGCGAAGACGGCAGCTGGAAGCTCGATTGGACATACGCGGCACGCGTCCAAGAATGGATCTCTGTCCTCTGGGACATTCGCTCCGTCATTCATCAAGGCGGAGGAAGTGAAACGCGGACATGATGCGGTCGACAGCATTGAGGGCGAGAACGACTTTTCGGGCAAACGTTATGTCTGGCTTAAAGATCCAGAGAAGGCTTTCGTCAAGGGTTGGGTAGTGGAAGATTTGAGCGATGGCCACATTCGTGTGCAATGTGACAACGGAACTGTATGTGTCGCTTGTCGTGAAGGAAGTAGATCTGACTGACTGGCTTAGCAACGCGACGTCGAGGCCGAGGCCGTGGACAAGGTCAACCCCGCCAAGTTCGACAAGGCCAACGATATGGCCGAATTGACCCATCTGAACGAGGCGTCCGTAGTGCACAACCTGTACTCGAGGTATCAGGCCGACCTGATATACACATATTCGGGGCTTTTCTTGGTGACCGTTAATCCTTACTGCCCGCTACCGATATACACAAATGATTATATCAATATGTACAAGGGGCGGAGCAGGGAAGACACGAAGCCTCACATTTACGCCATGGCCGACGAAGCCTTTCGCAACCTAGTGGAGGAGGGGCGCAACCAGAGCATTCTTGTCACCGGAGAATCTGGTGCAGGCAAGACAGAAAACACGAAAAAGGTCATCCAGTACCTCGCAGCCGTCGCGCACCCTGAGTCGCTCTCCCGCAGCCGACCGCAACAGTCCAACCTCTCCCAGCAAATCCTACGGGCGAATCCCATTCTCGAAGCATTCGGCAACGCACAGACAGTGAGGAACAACAACTCGTCACGTTTTGGAAAGTTCATTCGCATCGAGTTCAACCGCAACGGGGCCATCACGGGTGCCTTTATCGATTGGTATCTCCTAGAAAAGTCGAGAGTTGTGCGTATCAATGCCCAAGAGCGCAACTACCACATCTTCTACCAACTTTTGAAGGGCGCCAGCCCACAGATGAAGAAAGACTTTTTGCTGGATGGTCTGACCGTCGAGGACTTTTCCTACACAAGAGGCGGCCATGATTCTATTGTGGGAGTCTCAGACAGCGATGAATGGGACTCACTGATGGAAGCTTTCGGTATCATGGGATTCTCCGACCACGACCAAAGCTCGATTCTACGAGCTATTGCGGCTGTCCTGCATCTTGGCAACATCGGCGTAGTCAAGGAAAGCCGGGCAGCTGACCAAGCACGTTTGGAATCAGGCGCACGAGAACAAGCTGCCAAGGTGTGCAAACTCCTGGGGTTGCCTCTTGAACCCTTCTTGAGTGGACTTCTGCATCCTCGGGTTAAAGCCGGGCGGGAATGGGTCGAAAAGGTCCAGACACCAGAGCAGGTCCGACTAGGTCTCGATGCCTTGTCAAAGGGTATATACGAGCGCAGCTTTGGTGATCTTGTTGGTCGCATTAACAAGCAGTTCGATCAGAGCGGCATGGGGATGGACGATTCCCACTTCATCGGCGTTCTCGATATCGCTGGCTTTGAGATCTTCGAGCAAAATAGCTTTGAGCAACTCTGCATCAATTACACCAACGAGAAGCTCCAGCAATTCTTCAATCACCATATGTTTGTGCTTGAACAAGAGGAGTACGCTAGAGAGCAGATTGAGTGGCAGTTCATCGACTTTGGCCGTGATCTACAGCCCACCATCGATCTCATCGAGCTACCGAATCCCATTGGCATCTTCTCCTGTCTTGACGAAGACTCCGTTATGCCCAAGGCAACAGACAAGACATTTACTGAAAAGCTGAACTCTCTATGGGAGAAGAAGTCAGGTAAATACCGCCCTTCGAGACTAGGCCAGGGTTTTATCTTGACCCATTACGCTGCTGATGTCGAGTACTCCACCGACGGCTGGCTAGAGAAGAACAAGGATCCGCTCAACGACAACATTACGCGCCTGTTGGCGGCGTCTTCTGACAAGCATGTTGCTGCACTCTTTGCAGACTGTGCGGAGGCAGATGATGACACGAGCGGCACGCGAAGTCGTGTCAAGAAGGGTCTGTTCCGAACAGTGGCTCAACGTCACAAGGAGCAGCTGCATAGCTTGATGACACAGCTGCACTCAACACATCCACACTTTGTGCGCTGTATCTTGCCGAATCACAAAAAGCGACCGAAGCAGTTTAACAATGTCCTGGTACTCGACCAATTACGATGCAATGGTGTTCTGGAAGGCATCCGAATCGCTCGAACCGGGTTTCCCAACCGCCTCCCGTTTGCAGAGTTTCGCTCGCGATACGAGGTCCTTTGCTCGAACATGCCGAGGGGCTATCTGGAAGGACAACAAGCCGCGTCCATCATCCTGGAGAAGCTTGGACTGGACAAGGCCATGTTCCGCGTGGGCTTGACCAAGGTGTTTTTCCGTGCTGGTGTATTGGCTGAGCTTGAGGAGAAGAGAGATGCTTTGATCACGGAAATCATGTCCCGCTTCCAGTCGGTCGCTCGCGGGTTCAACACTCGCCGAGCGGCTTCGAAACGGCTTTTCCGCACTGAGGCTACGAGAATCATCCAGCGGAATTTCCACGTTTACCTCAACCTGGTGGAGAACCCTTGGTGGCAGCTCATCCAGAACATGAAGCCGCTACTGGGTGCTACACGTAGCGCGAGCGAAGTCAAGAGGCGCGATGCCATGATCAAGGAACTGAACGATAAGATGCGACTTGAGACAGAAAACCGGCAGAAACTAGAGGAAGAGAGGCGCAATTGTCATGCTGAGATGATGCGTGTGCAGCAGACCTTGGAGAGCGAGCGTGCCTTGGCCTTGGACAAGGAGGAAATCTTCCGACGACTGCAAGAGCGAGAGGTTGAGCTCGAGGAGAAGCTGGCCGGAGCCATTGACGATCAAGAACGCCTCGAAGATCAAATGGATGGCCTGATGGAAGCCAAGAACCGTGCGGAAAGGGATGTTGAGCAATACCGAGGCCAACTTGACCAAGCTGCCGCCTTGATTGCCAAGCTCGAAGAGGAGAAAGGCGAACTTCTCAAGAAAGTCTCAGACTTGGATACATCCATTGCAGAGATCTCCCAGAAGCAATCTGAGCGCAGTGCGCAAGAAGAGAAGCTGGAGGGAGAAATCAAGATGCTAGAGAGTCAGCTAAACTTGAAGGATCGCAAAGCTCGTGATCTTGAGAGTAAGCTCTTGAAAATCGACCAGGATGCTGAGGTGAAACTCCACACGACACAAAAGGAACTGGAGTCGATCAAAAGCCGGGAATCGCGCCTGGCGCTTGAGAACAAGGAAGTACACGACCAACTTGCGCAACTTTCTAAAACCTCGACCGACTACGAGGACCTTGTACGGCAGAAGGAAAGTGAGCTCTCCGTGCTCCGCGACGAAAACAAGCGCTACCTCTCAGAGCGTCAAAGCCTGGAAAATCAGAAAAAGTCATTGAGTGCTGAGAGAGAAAAAGCTGTTGACAAGCTGCACCAGTCCCAAGCCGAGCTAGAGGTCATGAAGTCTAAGCAAGCTCAGCTGCAGCGAGAGGCTGAAGATGCCAACAACCTTCTCCAGGCACGGTTGTCTGAAGACGCCCAAGCTGACCAGAATCGCCAAGTGCTTGAGGCCCAGATCAAAGATCTCAAAGAAAGCCTGTACACGGCTCAAACCGAGCTGAGTAGGGAGCGGCAATCCCGCGACGATGTCCAGCTTTTGGGCGAGCACAAGTACCAGAGCCTGCAGGAAGAGTATGAGCACCTGAACCAATCGAAGATCACAATAGAGAAAGAGCTCTACGCCCAGCAAGATACTCTTCGGCGAACAATGGAAGCCCGCACCACAGCCGAAAAGGAACGCGACGAGGCCCGTCAGGAGATTCGCAAGTTGCGAGCAGCGAAGACAGAGGCAGAGGAGGCACGGCTCAGAGCCGAAGAGGCTGGCGAAAGGCAGGCCAGCCGAGCCGCTCGCGAACGTGAGGATAGCCTTCGCCGAGACCTCGATGCTGCCAATCAACGTCTGCAGTGGTTTGAGGAGGAGTGCGCGAAGCTCAACCATCAAGTGGAGGACCTCAACAAGCTCATCTTGTCATCTGGCGAATTCGGACTCAAGAATGATCAGGCCAAGGAAAGAATGGAGCGAGAGCTTACCACTGTCAAGAGCCGACTGGCAGCGTCAGAGAATGACAACCGGGCTCTGCTAAACAAATTGCAGCAAAAAGGACTAGAAATTGCGCGGTCGAGTTCCCGCGCGAGCGAAGCCTCACGTGGCCAGGTCATCTCGCTGCAACGCGAGAAGGCAAGGCTAGAGGAACAAAACGCCAAATTGAATAAGCAGCTTGGCGAGTCGCAGGTCAACGTTGCCTCTCTCGAGAAGAAGGCGGAGAAACTGCAGCTCAGTGTTGAAGACCTGAACCACGAACTGGCTCGCGAGGCCCAGTCGAGTAGGAACGCGGAAAAGGCATCTTCCAGTTCCAACGCGCAGTTGACGGAGGCGAATAGGACCATTGAGTCGGAGCGACAAATGAGGACACAGGCGCAGTCTACTGCACGCACCCTACAATCTTCCCTCGAAGCTCGGGATCGGGAGCTGGAGGAACTACGCGCCCAGATGCTCAGCGTCTTGAAGACCGTTGATCCCGAGGTGCACATTCCTCCCCAGCAGGACAACGACAAGGCCTTGGTTAAGAACTTTGGTCTCGTTCGCAAAGTGGAGGAATTGCACCAGACCTTGAGGGTGCAGACAGCTGCACGCACACATGCCGAGCAACAGCTGGCCGAATTGCGGGCAACCCGAAACGAGTCACCAAGCCGACCCAAGTTGGAGGAGATACACTACAATGAGGCTCCCTTTAGCAACGGCTCGCCGACCCAGAGGCGCACGACCAAGCTGGCGCACGAGCGCAAGTACTCGAATGCATCCACGCCTGCGCGTAAACTTCCTGAATACCCAGACGGCTCTGCTAGGTCTGATCGAACAGCGGACGTTCTTAGCTTCAACAACAAACAGGATCTCAAAGCAGAGGTTGAGGAGCTACAGAATCAGCTGCAACTAGCAAACATGCAGAACCGTCACTTGCAGAGTCAGCTTGAGCGTGGCACTCCAGTGCCTGAGAATGACCAGAGCCCCTCGCTGCGCCGCATGCAGAAGCTTGAGAAAGTCAACAGCCGTTTGCATGATATGCTAGACGACTCGGCCAAGAAGGTGTCAGCTCTCGAAAAGAGCATTCGCAGTGGCGAAATCTCTGTGCGCGACTTGCAGACCCGCTCTCACGAAGAGCTCCTTGATGTCTTCAATAGCCAGGAAGAATCCCGTCGTGCGCTCATGCACAGCCATAAGGATGTTGTCGCCGAGTTGACGGACATCAAGACTGGCTTTGAGCGACTACGCCATGACAAGGCTAAAGCCCAGGTTGAGCTTCGGGATGTGACTGCTGATCTACAAGAGATGACTACTGCAAGAGAACAAGAAGCACAGAGCAGAAACCAGCTTCTCAGCGAGTACTCGGACCTGCAGATCCGCCTGGATGCCGAGTCTTCCAAGCTGGCCGACGTTACAGCGAATCTCGACTTGTACAAGCGACGAGCTGATGAGTACTTTAGTAAATTAGAGCAGGCCGAAATAGCTGTCCTCAAGGCCAGTCGCGCCGAGCAATTTGCCAAGTCACAAGCGCGCGAAGCCGAAGACACGTATGCCGAAGTCATGGCTGAGCGACAGAAGATGGACAATATGATGGAGGACTTGCAACGCCACAACCAACGCCTCGAGGAGCGCCTCGAAGACATGTCGACCGACCTGGAAGGCGTCACGCAGGCCAAGAAAAGGCTGCAACACGAGCTGGAGGATTACCGCAACCAGCGTGCCATGGATATCGAGGACAAGGAGTCTAGCATGGAGCAAACCCGTAGGAAGTACCAGGCGGAGTTTGCCACTCTCACCAAAGAGTTGGACTTGGCGCGCGAAGAGAAACTGTACAAGCAGTCCGAAATCGCTCGCCTACGCGAGGAACTCGATGAGCTACGGTCCAAGTGGGACGACGAGGTGCTCAACAGCTCGACCTGGTCCAAGGAAAAGTCGCGCCTCGAATCTACCCTTGCCGACGTCGTCTCGTCGCGTGAGGAGGCGGTGAACGCACACAATGAAGCCCAAGGCAAAGTTGTCTCGCTGCTGTCCCAGGTCCGGACGCTCCGGTCGTCCGTCGACGAGGTCAGCGCCGAGCGTGATTCCCTGGCTCGCGAGAAGCGCAGCGTGGAGGCTCGCCTCGCTGAGGCGAAGGCTGGGCTAGACGACCTGACCAAGGGAGAGAGCCCCTCACTGCGAGACGCTGCTTCTACCGACAAGGAGATCCTCGATCTCAAGTCGAGTCTCGCGCAGCAGGAGGACATTGCGACTGCCGCTGTGGAGAAGATGCGCCGGGCGGAGTCTCTGGCTGCTGAGATGCAGAAGGACATTACAGCTGAACGCGAGGGCACGGCTGCCCTGGCCAAGCAGAAGGCCATGCTGGAGAAGAACCTCAACGAGGCGCAGCTGAAACTGGTCGACTTGGAGACCAAGGGCTATTCCAGCGCCAGCCAGGACATTAAGTTCCTGTACAAACGAATTCAGGAGGTGAGCTACTTCTGGCGAATATTCTGTCTATGATTGCTAACGATGCCTCTCAGCTCGAGACACAGCTGGAATCACAGGAGCACGAGCGCACCAAATCGCAGCGCTCGACGCGCAACGTGGATCGCATCGTCAAGGACCTCCAAGGACAGATTGACCGCAAGGATAAGCAAAACACGCAGCTGCTGGACGACGTAGCACGGATGCGGGACAAGGCAGACAAGCTGCTCAAGACGATCGACGAGCTTCAATCGTCAGAGTCGTCCAACCAGCTGACCGCACGTCGAGCAGAGCGCGAGCTGCGGGAAGAGAGGGAGAAGTCACTACGTCTCGAGCGTGAACTCGAGGGGTGGAAGGGTCTGCGAGTCGACAAGAGCGCCAGCGGCGTAACGGGCAGCATGCGCAATCGGCTGGGACCATGGCGGACGAGCATGGGAGGTGACCCCGTGGATGTTCCAGCGCGGAAGAGCAGCATTAGTAGGGCGCCAAGCATGACGAAGGGGTTCTTGTAGATGCAAAGCGGGACAAGGCGTTATCTGTTGTGGTAAAGCGATGTACGGCGTCAGAAAGGCTGGAAGAATTAATGAAAGGCATCTTTTTGGTTTCTTAAGTGAGCAGTATGTAACGCGTCTGTACCTTCAGCACCTGAGAGTGGAACGAAGCAGACGTCGGCCTCCAAGTTCCAGAGCATGTAATTATTTACAGTCGCAGGTCTGGATGTGTTCTGATGTATTACAACGCGACTTGAGATGTACTATTTGGATAAGGTAGAATGACATTGGGGTCTATCTACATGTAGTGATGTGAACAATCTGGCGCTCCTTGCCATAGTCAACTTGAATTTCAGTTAGGTTCAAGACCTATCAACAGATGCACGCTTAACTATTAGCTACTACATACGGATCACGTTGTTCTCTTAGTAATCCAAAATAGTGCACCGGGCTTATTATTTCACTCGTCATAATTCAACGTCTCAGGCGAACAGTCGAGCGCGTGTATATCGCTTTAGGGTAAGCTCGCGATGAAGTTTTGACGACTAGCGCTAGACACGCTTTACATACAGGTAGGCTCGCATAGGGCCACCTGCGTCACGAGACCCTGAATTCTCAGTCATCACGACGACTGCCAGTTACAAGTTGCATTGCACATTCGCCTAACATAATACAGGTTGTTGATTCTCATGTTTCCTATTCCGAATGTAATTGCAGCCTCGATGCGTGACTAACAGCAACCCCACTATCCTGCCGGCCGGGGCGGGCAGCCCCTGACAGGCTGACACAGAGCGCCCCACCCTAACCACCGCGGCGTCGGCCCACGCAGCACGTCCCGCCATCCAACCATCAACGCTCTGACTTTCGAGCCGCCCCTCCAATTCATTCATCCACTTTTGACGCAGCCAACATATACCGCAAAACTTGGCAGACCTTCCATCAATCAGAGCCTCCAATCGGCTCTACTACACGGTCTGGTGGTCTAGTGGTATGATTCGCGCTTAGGGAGTTCTTCTGAACTGTCAAACCCTGAGTTTCAAAGCTTGCGCGAGGTCCCGGGTTCAATCCCCGGCCAGACCCCAATTTTTGCATTTTTGCACAGTCTAATACCAAAGCAAGACAAATCGAGCAGAGGCAGGGAGGGAATAAACAATAAGTAAAAGATATATCGCAGGTTGCTTCGAGGTGATTGTATTTTTTTTTCGGATATGGGCTAAAAGGAATTGCTCTAAATTGCTCTGATTTAAGGCTTGGGTTATGAACTCTCTAATGAGTTATGCGACTACGTCCACTAGGAAACATTACCTATTACTTGCGTAGTAAGTCCGTCCGAGATCAAATTGTAGCATGAGCTTACTGCCTTTGTTAATAATGTCTTAGCATGCGGCCCATTTACTATTGGAGGCGACTGGCATAGCTACAGCAAGTCGGGACATCCAATTGCGAAGTTGGTTGTTGGCGGCCATGCCTCACTTGGGTGGACTGTCTGTAAGTCCATCATCGCCAGCTGCTGTGATAGATTCAAGGCACTCAACATATGTTGAGCAATTAGTTACAGAGGCAGGCGTTATATCCCAGCAAGGGCTAGTATGTCACAGTCACAGTCACATGGCACTTCAAACAAGACAGTCAATGGCGCTCCAATGAATCAATTACCGGCCACAACGCCTAGCCATCTTCATGCTGTCGTAATATTCATACAAATTTAGCGAGCCTTGCCCTGTCCCACGTTGTCACCCTCCTTGATGCCCTGGCTTTGGCCACCGGAAGCGGGCATGTCAGAGAGACCCTGGCCCTTCTCGCCCTCGGGGAGAGGGGCAGTCTTGTCGGCGCGGGCGACCTTGTCACCAATGTCCTTGTTCTGTGACGTTCAGTTAGTCGAGTACACACGAGACGGGGAGGAGGAGGGGTACGCACGCCTTCGGGGACGCCGTGGGCGACATTGTGAGTGGCCTCAATGGGGCCGTTGTCAGAAGAACCGTCTCCGTTGCGAGGCATTGTGATGGATTTTGGTTGTGTAGGGGGAATTCGGAAGTGTAGTAGTAGTTTGCGTATTGTGCTGGAGAGGAAAGAAGAAATGCTGAAGCGAGGGTATATAAATCTCGATACCAAGGTTACGTCATAAGCTTGATGTGTCGTCATGTCTTGAAGTTTGAAACGTGGGGCACGAAATATCACGATGCTAATTGACATAACGACAATGACGGAGGTTCTGCCCCGCGCTAATCATGTTCCTGATCGCTGTGGGGTTGTTGAACGGTACCTGAATGAAGCTTTGAGCCCTTGACGTTGGGTCGCGTGCGCATAGGACCGAGCAATGACACACTATACTAGTAAGCTACGTACAACTCCTCTCCTCGAGCAATGTAGATACGCGCTCGCCTGCGCTGTCCCAGATTAAAACGAAGTCGCAAATACTCCCTGCTCGCATATCTCAAGCCTTGCTGGCCTTCCCACGACGTCCCTTGGGCTTTGGGGCCGGCTTTTCCTCCTCCTCGCCCTTGACATCCTCATCTTCAGACTCCTTGAGCGTGGTAGAAATACCAGAGGAGCGACGGCTGCGACGGACAGGCTCACCATTGGCTTGCTCGGTGACAGCTTTGCGGCTTTTCTTGGGGGCAGGCTTCTCGTCCACATCGGTTTCCGATTTTAGAGACTTGCGATCACGCTTGGCAGGCGTGGGCTTCACATCTGCGGCCTCTTCTGCCTTGACAGATGAGCGACGTGCCTTGGTCGTAGAAGCAGGCTTCTCCTCTCCCTGTTCCTGCTTGAGCTCTTCAGCCTTGATAGACTTGCGGCCTCTTTTGGCTGCCACTGGCTTCTCTTCTTCTTCCCGCTCTTCTTCTCCCCCCTCCTCATGTTCTTCGGCCTTTACTGACGTACGCTGCCGTTTTGGAGCGGGAACCGTCTTCTCTTCCTCCGCTTCCTCCTGGGCTTCAGCCTTGACCTTGCCAGAAGAGCGACGGCTTGTGGGGGCTGCGAGCTCATCCTGTTCAGCAGTCTTGACCGACGTACGACGCCCCTTCTTAGCAGGAACAGGCTTCTCCTCGCCCTCCTCGCTCTTGACCTGTGTGGCGGCCTTGCGACCACGCTTAGCTGGAATGGGCTTCTCTTCCTCTGCATCTGCCTCATGTTCCTCCTCAGTCTTGATCGACTTGCGACTGCGCTTGGCCGGGGCAGGCTTCTCTTGCTCGTCGCCTTCCTCGGCCTTGACCGCCTTGCGACCCCTCTTAGCAGGCGCGGGTTTCTCTTCTTCGTCATGATCTTCGCGTGCCTCCTCGGTCTTGACCGCCTTGCGGGCCTTCTTGGCAGGTGCGGGCTTCTCCTCCTCTGCCTCTTCAGCCTTAACCTTGGACTTGCGCGCCTTCTTGGGTTTAGGCGCCTGCTCTTCATCATCGTCGGTTTCTTCCTTCTTGCGGCCTCGCTTGGGCTTCTTGGGCTCTTCAGCGTCCTTGGCCTGGGAGTGTCAGCATGGCAGGTCGCTGAAAGTAGAAGGGTCACCTACAGCCTCTTTCTCTTTCTTAGCGAGCTGGGCCTTGGTCAAGTGGATGCCCTTCTCCCCCAGTTTCAATTTCTCAGGGTCTCCCCGGAAGTCGGCAGCATCGACATGGCCTTGCTCAAAGGTGCGCCTGATCTTCTTTTGAACCTCGGGGTGGTCGTTGAGCTCATCGTAACCATCGATGCCGTCCCAATCGTAGTTTCCATTGCCATCGCTGATGGAGTCGCGTGCGTTGGCCACCATAAGACCTGAGACGCAACCCCAGTGGCGCCAGTGCCAGCCCTTGATGTTCGCGGATTCCACCTCCACCCAGGTGCCCCAGCGCAGCTCACCCTTTGCGATTTTGATGCCTTCCTTCTTGCAAACAGTGTCTTTGCAGCCGGCACGTCCAGTAGACGCGAGTTCTGGCGCTGTCAGTAGACGTTACGCGTGTGGACGTGTGCTTGCTCACCAATGCGATACGCCATGGTCGCGTTCAGATGACGTCGACGCGATGAGCGCTACAGTGAAGCTACAGGGCGCAGAACAGGTCGGTGACAGTATTAAATAATTGAATACCTACACGGAAGAGTGAAGTAAAAATCAGATACGAAACATGACAGTCAGGGTGAAAGGTGGAAAAGGCGTGTGCACACGAGGGCAGCCACCGAAAGTTGTAATTGCACTGACAGGACAGGTGCGCATCGGGTCAGTGCACGCGTCGCGGTTGTCCGCCTCAGGCCCCATTTTCTTCGACTTGCCAAACTTCATCATGTGGTTTATTTCCACCTGGTACTTAGACAAAGGGACTTATTTTGTTTTGATTTTATTGCATCATATAATTGTGAATTCAGCGACAAAACGTACCTTTTGTGTTTGGATTCCCGTGCATGTTATTCTGTATAGAAAGGAACAATGTGGCCGAGTCCCCGGTTCATGTCGACTCTCACCGTCAAATCACGATAACGCCTTATATGCTTCACAGAAACGGACACCACCCAATGTACATGGCAGTCAGGTTCCTGGGATCGACCGCCTGCTTAATCAGCTCCTCCACCTGCCCTTCCACACTAAGTGGGATGCTCTCGTTCGGCAATAAGCCCCTGACCTTCCTTTTGATGCTGTCCACCACACTCTGTGGCTGCAGTTTCACGCTCGTGTCGCCCTTTCGGTGGGCGCGCTTGTCTTTCTGTAGATCCAGGGTCGGATCGTAGATGAATGCCTCCAGGATCGACATCAGTGTCTCTTCCTGTTGACGGAGGATGCTCAGGGTCAGTTCCGATGACTTCCTAAACGGCCCTTCGTAGCCATAGATTCCCATGGCTGCCACCATGTTGTGCGTGAGTCGAAAGGGCACGCGCTCGGGCTTAGCAAAGGTGAGGCCCTTGTCGAACAGACAGTTGAAGTCGACATGGAACACTCCACCATTGCCCTCCTCGAGGTTGACGTTTTCTCCGTGACGGTCGCCCAAGCCCAGGATAGTGCCGACCATGGACATGACAGCGCACGATCGTGTGTACCTTAGACGGGCGGCGAACCACGCAGACGGATTGGGAAACTGGTGGATGAACCATGTTTGGAGCACAGGGGGGAATCGCCGCAGGACGTCGTTGGTGAATATTGGTAGCTTGCTCTCCGAAACAGACGCCTCCTCCATAAGTTGCTTGAGAGCCATGTAGTCCGGGTAGATTTTCCGCGCGGAGTACATGTTCAGCAAGATGTCGCGCATCGTCTTGATGCCAGGCACCCACTCGATGATGCCGCACTCCTCGTTGAGGGGAACAACCGCGTAGGTCCTTATGTAGAGCTGCCTGCGACTAGACTCTGCATCGCGCTTGAGTGATCGATTGATCATGCCGTTGAACTCCATTAGACGCTGGTCTGTACGCAGGTCATCCTTTGGTTTGATCAGCAGCATGTAGCTTTTGCCGTCGGTTCCACGCGCCGTGAGCCTTCTGGGTTTGGCGAGCGAGCTCAACACCAGAACATCGTCCAGGAAGCTGTCGATGGATACCACATCCCGCGAAAACGCCTTGTGCTTCTTGACGTGGTCCGAGACGGCAGGCAGCGTGGCGGTCAAGGATGACTCAACAGGCACCGCCAAGGGGCAAGGCGTGCATTTGTGGTTGAAGCGCAAGTCTCTGGTCAGACTCGCGTGTACAGTCTTGTTGCCTTGAAAGTCGCCGTTGTGACAGGCCATGAGAAGCTGCTCCGCAAGCCGCTCCCCCATGCGCAGCAACGACTTGAGATCATAATTGGTGCCGTCAACGCGTTTCGACGCGCTTTTCAAGGCCTGTACAATCTGCGTACCTCTGTTCTTGCGCTCCGAGGCCTGTCTCGTGGTCATGATGCCAATGATGCTCCACAAAGCTTGCCGAGGATGCGCCTCTGTCACCTTGACAATGATGCGTGACAAGCGCTCAAACACCTGGGGATGCGGGTGCGCTATGCGCGCCACAATCTGCGACAAGGCAGTGTAAAAGACGTAAGCAGGGAGTCTGGCAATGTACTTGTCTAGGAACTGATGAAGGCAGTCCAGTTGCTCGATGCGTCTGCGTCGAAGTTCTTTGGAGAGCGAGGCTTTGCCTTCCGGAGGCTTGTCAGTCTGGGCGCCCAAATCCAACCAGAGCGTCAGGACCCTGGGGAGTGTCTGGTAAAGGTACTTGGTTCCTGAATTGAGCGAGCGCACGTAATTCTCAATGACTAGGCGAGCAATCTCGCCTGTCACGTAGTTGTCTGTTTGATCATCCGCTGAGAGACCCTTTTCGGCTTCCAGGATTTTCTTGTAGTGACGGCCGAGATAGTAGTGCCCCTTTTCCCACGTCGCATATGTCTTGGGGGGCTGCTGGTATTTCTCTCGTAGAGCCGTAGCGTGCGTCTGCCCGGCCGCGTCCAGCCATTTTGCAAGCAGCAGCTGAGCGCGCGCAGTCAGCAGTTTTTGTTGCGAGTTGAGCCTGCTCGTACTGGACACACTGGCAGCAGTGCCTTCTGTCTGCGTCATGACCTTGTTGCGCTCAATGGCGCCTTGGAGCATTTGGATAGCTTTGCGATGATGGTTATCGCGCCACAGGAGCTTGGCATTCTCAATCGTCGCAGAGTCGTCGCCCAATTTTGAAGCGTGTAGTACCGCATTGAATGATTGCTGTAGAGAGTTGGACTTGCGGGCTAGCCGGGCACTCTGCAGCCACAGGCTTGAAACCTCTGTGCTGGTCTGCTTTGCACCGCAAATCTCCAAGGCTGCTCGCTGTACGCCAAGCAGATATTGCTTGTCGTCGTAGTATGCGCCGAGTATAGCGAGCCTGCCGTCCAAAAGATCCATGATTCTGCGTCGGCCTTCCTCCTCCTGATGATCTGCCTTGATGATCAAGGACAGGTCGGTCAAGACATGACACTTGAGCATGGACTCGTGCGCTGCCGCAAATGAATTTGTACTTGAGGTACTCATGGTTCCTGCAAGGCTTATTCGTACCATTTCCAGAGTGGATAGAGCGCGTGTCGAGTTCCCATCCTCACGCAGTGTATCGAATATCTTGGCAATCGAGATATTAAAGTCCTCCATCAGGTTGCCGTGGAACAAAGACGTATACTTGCGGAGACTTTCCCAGCGACTTGTCACCCAGGAAGCCTCCACAGCATAAGGCAGCACCTGATTCAATCTCTGCGGCTCAGTCTGCATGCCACTCACATGGTTGAGTAGGACATCGTGCTGCCCCGACCTTTTCAGGCAATTCAGCAGCTGCAATTGCACATCTGTGTTTTGGGGCTCCTCGGCGAGCTGCATCTCGTACCAGGTCTGGGCTGCTTTCCAGTGGCCAGCCTTCTTCTGGCTCATTATTTGTTGGTTGATATCAATAGCCGGTAGATGAGCCGAGATACCCTCAATGCCGTCGGGTTCGTCAATGTTGGCGTAAATATGCTGTAGTCCTTCCAGCAAATTGTTTCGCTCCGTCTCGTCATATGGGACTCCGGCTGGTGCTCCAAGTGATTGGCGATCCTGTGTGTATTGTTCGTGATAGAATAGTGCACGCGCATAATCATCGCTTTGCACAGCACGCTCGGACAGCATTCGCATTGGAACCTTTTGCACAAACGCAGACACAAAGTCCACACCCTCTTTGTCCGCAGAACTCAGTTTCATGGACCGCTTCTTCTGTTCCCAGGCCATGCAGTAGTCGAGTATGCGAAAGATGGCGTGGAAGTATCGCTTCTTGTCCTCTCTCTCCGCGTACGGGTCATGCGGGAGCCACGCATCCTGGCTCAGTACGGCCTTGATTTCCTGGAGCAAGGTCTCACTGTCCTTCTTGCTGCGCCTCGACCCGTGCAAATAGTGCAAGAAAAGATACGGCAGCAAGAATTCCGCAATTGACAGGTCCTTGACCCGAATGACACGTGTCAAAGGCTCGAATATGATGTCCGCACGAGGATTCTGCCCCTTGCGTAGCAGATCCATGACAAATGACCGCAGCCAGGTTGCGTATGGCTTGCCCGGGACGCAGATGGGATACGAGGTCGTAGTTGCTGGTAACGGTACTAGAAGGTATCGCGACGTAACAAAAGGCGTCAAAACGTCGCGCACTGCCTCCGGCATAGCGATCCATTTGCGGTAGATCTCGCTGCCTCCCAACATGCCTGTATTCTGCATGGCGCAGGCGGCCTTGATATCACTGCGGTCAAGAAGCTCTTGCATAGCGTAGGATAGGTACCCCTGGATGCGAGTATCGGTCGCAGACAGGAAAGCCGGAACAAGGACTTCCTGCAGAACAAACAGGCTGAAGTCGGTCACCTCCTCGGCATCCTCAAAGTTATTGAGAACTATGATCGTGCGTCGCTCTCTGACTGCTTCGACTTGGTTGGCGTCTAAACAGCCAATAAGCCCGAGGTCCTCAATGCAGAATCTGAGTATGTCAGGCTGAATGCCATTATACTTGTCGATGCAGTCGAGCAAGGCACGGACAAGGGATGCCAAGACGGAATCAGAACGCTGAACGATTGTGGACGCATGCAGCGATGCTTGGTTGTTGACAAGATACGTTCTCAACTCCGCCAGGCCGAGTTGGACGACACCAGAGATGTCATTGCGCAAACGTCTTGTGAAGGCCTCCAGGATTTCCTCTGCACTCATGACAGGACGAAGTTTGTCAAGTCGTGCACTGATATCAGCGAGCTCATCAAAGACCGAGATGAACGGAATTATAGCAATGTGCTTGACCAAAATGACTTCGTGGGAGTCCAGCAAGTAGCTGAGCATGTTTCGCACTGTCTCTTTGGAAGCCATGTCGAGCAGCGGCCACCAACGGTGGACGATGAAGAATGTAGTCTCCAGCAGAGCTTCAACATCTTCCTCCTCCATGTTAAGCACCATGGTCGACCAGCAAGCGAAACCGGCACTGCGAAGTGCATCTCGGGGAAGCGCTGACAATAAGCACGCCGAGATCTGCGGTCTTGCAACTCTCGCATGTGATTGCGACAATTTGAGCATCTCCTCGAGGGCTTGGATGCAGCGTCGCTGCTCAACGCTGGACGACGTGGATGCGTCGCTGATTACATCCGTAAAGCGCGCCATGAGACCTAACAAGTAAGGCTGCAGAAAGCGGCCAATAATGTTTCCTTTTTTTGACTTGCTTTCCTTGCCGTTCATGACAGCAAGTGCCATAGTTTGAAGAGCCTTACGCACAAGCGCTTTGCGCGACCGGTCTGAATCGCCGGCTGCTTTGAGAAGCTCCATCACAATTAGTACTGGTTCTGCTTGGAGAAGCTCTGACAGTGGTATGGGATGGAAGTGAGGCGATATATCACTGAGTCGCGATTTCACGAACGCCCCGAGATCATCCGTTTCCTGCATCAGCAACAACGAGAGCGTTGCAGCCAAGTTCGGGCTGTCCATCAGCGGTCGCCAATTTTCGTCCTCCTTACGAGCTTCAGCAATCTTTTGCACAATGTCTTTTCGCTTTTCCAAGACCAGCCATGGAAGCGCGTGTGTCTGTATGAGAAGTAAAAGCTCGCCCACAGACAGTTGAAGCAACTCTGCGACTGAACGACAAGTCTGTGGCCGGCGAGTCATGTCCTTTGTAGCAAGGTAGGCCAAACTCTTCCAGTATGGCTCAAAAAGACGACGCGGTGAGATCCGAAGGCTGTCGGCAAGTCGAACGAGCTCATTGAAGGCCAGAGCCGAGATGACATTGTTGCTGTCACCAAGATACTCCATGAGCTGTATCAAAACCAGATTAAGCTCTTCGTCTTTCGCAAACCGGCCGAGCAACCCCCATGCCATTATACAAGTCTCTGTGAGCGTCGAACGTTCCGCGCCCGACATTGACTTGAGAAGCGCAATGACATGCTGACGGTTCCGCTCAAAGACCTCGGGGGGAACGTCGCGTTGCCGTAGATTGGCAGGATTCGGGCCTACGAAGGCCATCAAAGTTCTGCCTGCCGCTATTCGAAGCTCGCGCACGGAGCTGTTCAGGGACTGGGCACACCACTGACCAGCTGCAGACGTCTCCAAGTTGAAGAAGTCACCTTGGCCGTAGTGGGCAGCAAACCTCCTCAAAGACTGCATGGCGACGACTCGTGGTCGCTTTGAGTCTAGGAAGCCGCTCTCCTTGGTTAGCTTCGCGAATGTGTCGACCCAAACATCCCACATGGATGTGTCAGGCTGCGCTTGTTGCGCCATGGCCAAGCCTTCGCATATAGAACACTGAGCAACTCGCAGCGGCGCGTCCTCGTCGATGTCCCAAGACGCAGTCCCATCAGTAACGCACATTGCGCCGGACATCATGTCAAGCGCGTGACACTGGGTCGATTCGTCCACTTGGGAAAAAGCATTTACGAAGGCCGCATCAAATCCAGACTCCATTGAAACTGAGGCATCCGCATTGAGGACCCCAAGGATCAGATCGTTGCAGCGCGAACAGTCCTGCTCGTAAGGGACCAGGCGAGGTTTCTTTGTTGGTGGCTCTGCGACCTCGATTGCACTGGCGACAACACCAAAGGCTTTGAGCTTCCTCTTCAGTTGCTCTGCCGAGAATTTGTCCGGCCGTACGGTATCGTCCAGGTTCGAGAGCGAGCCTCGTGCGATCACTTGGCGCAACAACTCCGTGCACCTCCAAACGTCTGAGCCCTCGCCAATGGCCGGATATTGCGTTGAAAGAAGGGACAACTCACTGACAAGCCTAGACTCAGAAAGGCGTGCCATTGGCCGTTCCTCGGGGATGATCTGGGCGATGGAGATGAGCGCTGTGCAAAGGCCGAGTCGTACTTTATCGCCAGATGCGTCGATGACGACAAGCGACCCTTGCGTGCTGATAATGTCGTTGCACAATATGATCATGTGTGTGTACGCCTTTCTCCGCGCCAGCTTGGCTACCGCTGACGAGTGGCTGGTGGCGTCTAGCAACGCCCCTAGCATTTCCAGTATCGCAAGTGGTTCACCTGTAGGACCGCCATCCCATCGTTTCTGTACCATGCGCAGGTCCATCAAGGCGTCCAAGAGCCAGTTCGTATTTTCCGCCCATGATGACAGGCACTGAAACGTTGGATCGAAAGATATCATCGGGTATGCAATGATTCTTGATAAGCTATTAGACTGTCGCAGAGCTTGCGAAGCTCGCAAGATAATGTAGGTAGTGTCGCGGCAATCGTGAAACCAACTAGAGCCGAGGATCTGCGCTTGAACCATTGGACTGGGGAGACAAATATTGACTGCCTTGTCGGATCGTGAGGGAATTTGCGAGCCATCTTGTAGGTAGTCGAGGATACTGGTCAGAGAGGATCGGAGGTAAAGGCCGAGATGGGGGACCACAGCTTTCAAGGTTTCGCTCCCAGCAACTACAAGAAGCATGTATTGTAAAAAGCCCTCGAGGGACCCCTCTAGCTCTAGACACTGGGGATGCCCAAGTAGGCGGAGCAACTGTGGGAGGAGCCATGTCCAAAGTGGTTCTTGTCCGCGATACAAGAAAGCACTGCTATCCGCGCAATAGGCCAACACGCTTGGAGTCTCTTTGATTGTGAAACGGAGAAAGTTGATGGCCTTCAAGACCTCTGTGCGTACGTGGGATCGATCGAGAAACGGGTCGTCAAGCTTTATCATTTCGAGAACAGCGCGGCAGTAGACGTAGATCAGCATGTGATTGTGCTCCACACGGTCTCCCAGAGTCTTGAGAAGCTGCGGATCGTCTTTGATTCTCTGGATCTTGGCAAAAAAGCCTTTGAGCTCGGCATTTTCGTCGGATCTTGTCGAGGACTTTGTCGATGGTGCAATATCCTCGACTAGTTGGGCAGCTAAAGTTGACGGAGGCGGTCCACCGTATGATTGGCCGTGATCAAGGCCCCGAGGACCTGAGGCGTGCGCCATTGTCGTCCAGGCATCATGCAGAATCGCTGCTGAAGCGGAGGTGGGATGTTGGTCTCGGTACGGGCGGCGCTGTATGAAGAAAGTGGAAGACGCGACAATTGGAGGGAGGGGCAAATAGGCAAACGCGGGACCACGTGACCTGGCGTGCACTTTCCATGACTTCAGTCTTCACCTTCCTACAGGCATGGACACAACTGCTTGCATGTGTACAGCCCAATTCTGGAGACTGGGCACAATGCTTTATTTATACTATCATCGCTCATATTTGACAGTCACCATGTCATGCGTGACACCTGGAACGTTAGGACGCGACCTTACGACGAGATGGGGTACTGAGTACTGACCTCCGAGCTTGACCGTGTACGTGATCTTTGCGGATTCGTACTTGGCCTCAATGGCGCCTTCGAGGGAGTAATATCGATGATACCCGAGCTGAGTGATCTCCGCAGCGCGCTTGACACCATTGGATATTCGACCCAAGTCCAGGGACAATGTGGCTACGCACCGCGAATAGTCGTCCAGATGCAGGGGTGGCTTTGCCTCGTCGTTGCAATAGATCTCAATCTCCGTCTGCGGTCTGTGGCCGTGTATGTCCACAGGGAGGTCGCACTGGTAGTCGATGATTGATGGCCGACCCTCTGGGTATGACTGGCCTTTGCGGATGAACCACAGCATCTCAGCAACCACCATTTCCTCCTCCTTCTCGGACCAGAATCTGCGTACATCAGCAACCGGGTGCAACAAACAATTCGTCCGTGGTACTTACGCTTCTCGGGCGTCATGCCTCATCATATCATACTTGGTGAGCAGGCACGTGCCGTAGGAGCGTCTCGCCACGCGTGAAGCCACCTCGACTGGAGCCATCGAAGGGCCATATTGGGCAAGACCATGGATAACGGCCCCCTTCACCACGGCAACCCAACCGCTCTCTGGCTGTAGTACTTGTGTCCCGGAAGCAATGGCATCACGAACACGCGCTCTGAGGTACTTGCTCTGACCGAAGCCGCCGACCAAGACTACTGCTGTCACTTCATCCTCGGCCATAGCGATCTGTTCCTTGATCAAGCAAACGATATCTTTCATGATAGGGTCGAAAATCTTCACTTTCATGTCCTCTTGTGGCATCGTGTATCGATTTCGACGCATGCCTAAACTCGCATCCACCTTGAGCGTGAGCGGCTCTGCCCTGGGGTTGAAGGTCTTTTTGAACTAACGTGTGTTAGTGGACATGAGCATGCAAAACTTTGTGTCACAAACCAGTTCGAACTCATTCATCGCCTGCACGAGACGATCATCTGTCCAATGCTTGTCGCCATGGGTCTGCTTGAGGTGCCTCCGGAACCGCTTGTTCAACATGGAAGATCCGCATTTGCCACCAGTACCTTCGGTGACTTCCTTGAGCTCGAGCTTGTCGACATGGGTCACCTCGTAGGTGATCAAGTCGACCGTTCCTCCACCAGCATCACACACCACGAATCGCTTACCTAGCTGCAAAGACGATGGATTCATGTTTTTGAGGGTGTAGAGTGCTGCAGCTTCCTGGATCTTGTCAACCAGTGGTCTAAGCCGCAGGAGGAAGAGTGAAACGCACCGGTTCGGATATCAAATGTATTCTCTGATTCCCGCAAAATCCAGCCATGGCTGCTGCCCGCTCTGTGGCTTCCTTGGCTGCGTTTGACCATATCGCAGGCACAGTCACTACAAAATCCATCGGCGTCGATCGGACCACACTTGGGGAAAGCCTCTTCTCCATGATGCTGATGAAGTGTGTATGGAGGCACGACAGGTACAGCCTGGTCAACTCTTCCGGCGTCTCGCCATCCTTGTTGGCTTTATGAGGCTCATCCAGTTTTCTGGAAAAGTCAGCGACATTCTCGAATAGAAACGCGACCACTAACAGCTTGAAGAATCTAACTCTTTTCGAAGATTCCGGTATTTGGAATCCCCATTGCCACCCGGAAGCGACTTTGCGCAGCTCTGTCGGCACTTTGGCACTATTAGTGAACGAGCTTGTCGATGGCCAGTCTGACACGACATGTTGGACATCGGGCTGCTATATCTTAGCTACGCACAGGAAACGCACTGCAAACAGCAGTCTTACCCGACTAGTTTCTGCCCATGCGACACCCGAATATGTTGTTCCAAAGTCAATCGACACAACGATTCTCCGTTCCTTCATTGTGTCTTGGGACGGCCGGCGAGTCGCACCTGAGAATCCCAAGGCTACCCTCGATTTATCGCGGGTGTTAAACATGGCTTTGACGATGCACTGACTAAGCCGCTTGGAGCAGATTCGGGCGAGACTGGGTTCACTCCCTGGCTTCGCATCTCGTACCTCAAATGCGGCAGTCGTGCGTTGATGGTGGACTCGACCAGCCACCACATACTCGGATAGTGACAGTATTGGGTCACGAGGGAAGTCACGCAAACATTACTGTCGGTTAGGCCTTCATGCAGAGTGGCATGCACCCACATTGCCGCTGGTGGAGCAGGGCCTGGCTGCTGACACCGCTCATTGACCGACTTTGCTGCAACGCCAGTAAGACCTGGCCGCGCATCTGAAAGTCCCAAACCCATTCGTCATTGACCAACCCTTGTGTGAGGCTGCGGCGTGGTGTTACGACCATGACCGGGTGGCAGGACGCCAATTGCACTTTTCGTTATTGAGGCCTTTCGTCGAACAGCGCCCAGGACCCCTCGAATCCACCATTTTCCCATGAAGACGCAGCCGAAATGAGTTCAGATATCAAGTCTGAAGTGATGGACGGGGCGATGGAGGTCCTCGAAGGCGATGGCAACCAGGCGCAATTGGCGCAACTGGCAGATTCTGTGGCCATGTTGGAAGGGAAATTGGCTGATGAGATACGTCTTCGCCGCTATACTGAGCAGGTACTCGACTCACGACAGCTGGAGTTAGAATCCCAACAGTCTGAGAAGCGACAAATGGCTTCTGAAATCGAAGGACTCAAAAGGGAACTTGCTGCGCTGCAGACCCAGGTTCATGAGGCTCGGGGCCAAACGAAAGCCCGCGACAAGCAATTAGCCGACGCCAAGGACCAGATATTCAAGTTACAGCCGACACGTAAAGATATCACGGAGGCGGATGCTGTGGAAGGATATCGATTGTTATGCGGCAATGTACAGCGATGGGTTGACAATCGCACCAGAGTCATTCTCGAGGACCTCGATCAAGGTCGTTTGAAGGGCAGGCCTGCGCCTCCTCAAAGTGCACGATTCGTGTCTTTCATGAAGGAAGCGGCCAAACGCGGCGTGGATCTGGATCAGTCGGATGGCTATCATGTCATTGCCATCATCATGAACTATCTCTGCTTGGTTTTCTTCACCAAATCGTTCTACAGCCCGTTGGACGACTACGAGGGTGATGCTACGTTGGCCTTCATCAATGATCTCGAATCCAGCATGTCCAAGTTGCCTCGAGGTGAGTGAATGTACGTTTTGAAATTGCAAGCTAACAAACTACACAGATGCCGCGCACTGCCGGCACTGGAGGACCGAGACACTGATCGCACTGACGAGCCAACAAGGTTTCAAGACCCGGCGCGCGAGATACATCAACCTTGTCTCCGAAGATCTTGCCTCACTTCTGTCGGTGGTTGCGCCCAAGGCTACGGCGTCCGACCTGCAGGGCTCACTACGGCGAAGCGTTGTCGAACCAGCTGCAGATCTAGCGCACCAACTGCACCTAGCCTCCAATGTGTTTTCCTTGAAATGGCCTGCCCGAGGAGCATGGTCGCGACTTGAATTGTACGAGTGCCTGAACCTCGCGACGGGAGGAGCCGTCGTGGACCTCAGCGGCACAGGTCCCGACTCGCCCGCTCGGCGAAAGGTATCCTACATGTTCGACGTGGCCCCCGGGCTGTTTGTGGAGAGAATCGACGGCGGCAAGAAGATGACATTGAAGGCCATTTGCCGGCCCGCCGTGTTGGTATATGGTGGGCAGACCGACCCGCCCCAACCGCCCCAGAAAGCGACTGTAATGCGATGGCTTTGGGATTCTTCAGGAGGACCTCCTGCGCGGGACGCAAGCACGAAAACGGCCAATCCGAGGAGTGAGCACTACATCCACCGCCAGCACAGAGCGTGACTGACAGAATGCAGAGTCTCAAACCACAATACCTCCGAATCGCAGGCGATGAGCGTTGTAACTATACGAGAGCCGGCATGTCAGAACACCGAACACGACGGCACAAACAACGCAAGATTGAATTTGTTCCTGGGACGTTTGTATTCAAATTGAAGAATGGCACCATCCTTAGGCTGAGTACGTCGAGTATGAGAACTCTTCAACAACAATGACGGGGACATCCGAGTATCGAACAACAGGTCGCGCTGAGGACGGTCGTGGAGGCAAGGGAGGGGGCCCGGAATTGGCCCTTCGTCTTGGGGCGGGACTTTGGGTTACCTGGCGAGATTGTTTTCCTGGGGAGCTTGGTGGATGACCGCGACGAGCCGGAGAAGGAATCCGCGGGGACGCTGTGCGCTTCTGACCCCGAGGTGCCGGGCTCAGTATATCCCGCTCCTCGGTTCCTTTGCCCCCTGGCGCTGGGATGGACGGGCGGATGCAGTTGCTGATGTAGTCTTGATCCATACCGAGGGCCTTTGCATCAGCCAGGCCAAGATTGATGCGGTTCACATATTCCTCCTTGGGCGCGCTGTCCTGGATATAGTTGAGGCTGATGTATACGAGAACATCCTGTACCCAGTGCTCCTGGTGCTCGGCGTACTTGTGGCCCTCCGACTTGGCCTTTCGAGCGATCTTGGCTGGACCACCCTGATTTACGATCCAGGAAACCGGGCGGCGGTACAACGTGCTTGGAGCGCGGTGCAGGTGAACCTTGAGGCTACGCTTCATGTAGGCGTTCTTGGATACGCCTTCGTTGATATCCAGCTTGGCTTCATCGACCGGGTTGATCTCATACACAAGCCCATCGACCCAGTGGCCATCCTCTTCAAGAACATTGGCATAGCCACGCTCGTTGATCTGCCAGCGATAGTTGATGAGACGGGCTCTCCCAATGTACTTGCTGTTCGGACACCGTCTCTTCATCTGCTTCAGATGGAGGTTGCTGCCGTAAGCAAAGTAGAAGGTGGTTGGTCCGCCTGCAGGCCGAGGCGCCTTGGAGATGGCTTGGGACGTCATTACGCCGAGGGATTAATTCGCTGATGCGGTGGTAAAGACACACTTGCGTGAGACATGCTCGACTGCTCTCAGGATTCGAATCGATTAAGGGCGAAGAACGTGATGGCGTCTAGGGAGTCGACCCGGATGTGGAGCATCTCCTGCATGAATTGGGCAGCGAAAAGGGCCGCCGATGCACTGGCCAACGACCAATCGCCATGGACCACGTCTGAAACGCTCGAGTCACGAGCTGGGCTGTGCGAGGCCCAGGCCCCCCAAGAAGTCAAGCATAGGTCGTGGCGAGTCTGGCGACCCAACCGAAAACCAGGGCGTCCCTGCTGGCTCTCGGATGGTCCCGCGACAGGTGGACAGGGGTATGGGTCTGGGACTGGAGGACCATCGGATTTTCTGCCCCTGGACACAACATGTCAAAAGCCCGGTGACCGCCTCACGAATGCGATGAGGCTTGCTCTGCATTGGTAAGTCGAGCCCGTGCATAGTCATGTGCTGCTGTGAACGTTGCGTTGGGAGAACAGCAATCTGATGCTGTATGTAAAGGCAAGCTATCACAACTTATTCACAAGTCGATGTCGTTTGGCCCACATTGAATCTCAGTGCCATCACTCATGCACTTTTCTTTTTCCATACCCGTCTAGTCGCCCTGCTGGCGAGTCACTGTTGTCATGGTCCGACACTACAATTTCGGCGTGGAGATCGAAGCTGTCGCCAAACCGTACGGCGGTGCCGAATCCTTCTCAAACGTCGACTGGTACCGCCAGCTGGCCCAGAAGCTTCGCAACCGGGGCATCCAGGCTGTTCACGACGACAACTCGCGATACAGTAAACATCCCGAGTACTACGGTGGCAAGTGGTTCGTAACCCGCGATGGATCCCTCAAGCGCGAGCGTCCACTAGGTACGTATACATGCGCCCTCTCCACATCGCAGTCGAGTGAGTCTCTCCCATGCTAATAGTGACGTGCCAGTATGCATGGAGGTCGTGTCTCCCAAATTGAACACGCAGATGCATCTCGCCACGACCCTCGCAGACTTCTGGGAAGCCATGCGCGTGCACTTCAACCCGCAAAAGGACGTATCTTGCGGTGGCCATGTCCACGTGACACCCATGTCGCTGAACTCCAAGTTCTCCTTCCGCTCCCTGCGGCGGATCGCCTTTGCGACCATTGTCTACCAGGACTACGTCGCGGCCATCCTCCCCCAGGCCCGGCGGGAGAACAAGTACTGCGTGCCAAACTCGCGAAGCCTGGACTCGGGATTGAACGACACCCTGGCCCTCTTTGGCGGACAGCTGTCGGGCGCGGCACTGCAAAAGATTGCGGCGGAGATCAAGAGCAAGACCAACGAGACGGAGCTGTGGTTCTACATGCAAGGGAACCGCTACGTCCTGTGGAATTTCCAGAACATCTTTCCCAATCCCAAGACAGGCCGCTGCACGGGGACCGTCGAGTTTCGCGGCGGGAACCAATTCCTCAACACCAAGGGCACGCTTGCGTGGGTCGCCTTTGTGCTTGGCTTCGTCACGCTGGCTTCGCAGGAAGATCTGTTGAATAAATTCACGGCCGGTGCCTATGTGGGTGCTGGTGATGAGAAGTTTGGGAAAAGCGTCGAGGAGTGGTGGAAGCGAATCCGACGGGCAGCGAGGAAAAGCAGGCTCAGCAGATATCTCCCCGAGGAGCACGCCAAGATGAAATCGAGGTAGGATGGTTGTAAGTAGCATCATTTTGGATTGGGATAAGGCATTTGGGGCGCACGGTTGGGCATATTACGCACACGGACTGGCCTTTCAGAACAGGGCACAGCAAAGAACAACAGGGCTCACAGGTAGAGCCAAGACGATATAGCAAATCTGCTTGACTTCTTGAATTTATCATTATACATCTAGTCGCTTGAAAAATGGCTGCTATGAATCTTTGGTTTCAGGCTCCTCCTCGAACATGACTAGCACGGTACCGGCTTTGCAGATGTCCTAGCAAAAGGTCAGTAAAACGAGTAGAGGGAAGCAATAAGGAGACTTACCCCTGCTTTGTGCGCCAACTTCTTGATGACGCCGTCTTGTGGCGATCGAATGACCGTCTCCATCTTCATCGACTCGATGCTGCCCTTGTTAGTCTCTGTCTGTCTGATTCGGATCATGGTGCTATGTCAACTTACACGACCAATGGCGCGCCTTTCTTGACCTTCTGCCCTTCCTCGACCTCATTCTTCAGCACCTTGCAAGGCATTGGCGCCGCGACCGACGCCGAGTCCTCCTTGAGACCCAACTCCTTCTCATACCACTTGGGCGGCAGCAGCATGAGGTCCGTCTTGATGCCGTGCTGGAAAATGGTGATTTTGACATCGTTCTCGAGCGACTGTGGGACGACAGAGGACTTGATCCTCTCTCCAGGGAAGAATGACTCGACACTGACGACGTCACCGTGGCTGTTGTATGAAGAGGTGATGTTGCTGAAAGCTTCCGGTTCTGTGCCTTTGCGGGTGACGGTGATGGTGAACGTAGAAGGGGCGGTCTGGGCAACCGAGGCCTCAACAATCTCGCCCTCCTCTTTGCTGTAACCGTCCATCACCTTGAAGGCGACTTTGCGCTCGCTCGTCGCACTTTGGCTGCCGAAGCCAAGCGATAGACCCTGAGGTGGAGCGCTCTGTAGTTGTTTACTGACGACGCCCAGGGCAGCTTGAGCAAACACTTCGTTCTTGATGTGTCGAGGCTTGAAAAGAGCGTCCCTCCACTTGTCGATGAAACCGGTCTCGACGTCTCCTTCAATGAAAGCAGGTGTCTGGCATAACCTCTTCAAGAACTCCACGTTTGTGCTGACTCCGACAACTTGGTACTTTCGGAGGACAGACTCCATCTTGGCAATGGCACGCTCGCGTGTTTCGCCTCGGACAATGAGCTTGGCGATCATGCCATCGTAGGCCTCGGAGATGGTGCTTCCAGACTTGAACCCCCAATCCAGGCGGACATCCGGGTCGGACTCGAATGAAGATGACAGGTAGGCGTGCACCAGCTTGCCAGAGTCAGGTAAGAAGCCCTTCTCGGGGTTCTCGGCGTAGATGCGTGCCTCAATGGCGGCGCCAAGCTGGCGCATGTTCTCTTCCACCTCAGCTTGCGTCAAGGGCAGCTTCTCGCCGGCTGCGACGCGGAATTGCCACTCCACAAGATCAAGCCCCGTGACCATCTCGGTGACAGGGTGCTCGACTTGCAGACGAGTGTTCATCTCCATAAAGTAGAACTTGTTGGTGTCCTTGTCGAGGATGAACTCGACCGTGCCGGCGCCCACGTAGCCCACGGCCGAAGCAGCCTGGCGGGCCTTGTTCCAGAGATCCTGGCGGACCTCCTCGTCCAGCTCCGGGGCCGGGGACTCCTCGAGGATCTTCTGGTGTCTCCTCTGCACACTGCAATCACGCTCGCCCAGGGCCACGGTGTTCCCCCACTTGTCGGCAAAGACCTGCACCTCGACGTGCCTGGGGCGGACAATGTACTTCTCCACGAGCATGACCTCGCCGCCCTCGCCAAAGGAAGCTCTCGCCTCGGCCATGGCGCTGTTGAGTTGGGGAATGAATTCCTCCTCTGTCATGACGATACGCATGCCCTTGCCGCCGCCACCCCTCACGCTCTTCAACAGCACAGGGAACTCAATTTCCCTGGCCTTCTCGAGCAGAAACTGCTCCCCCTGCTGAGCACCATGATATCCCGGCACACAAGGCACATTCGCCTCGGTCATGATCTCCTTGCTCCTCGCCTTATGGCCCATGTCCGCCATTGCACTGGCGGGAGGCCCCACAAAGACAATACCCTCCTGCTCGCACTTCTCGGCAAACTTGGGGTTCTCTGACAAGAAGCCATAGCCCGGATGTAATGCCTGAATGCCGTTCTTCTTAGCTAGAGCGATGATCTTGTCGCCATCAAGATAGGCATTGGAAGGGCCGAGGGCCAGGGACTGAAAGCCGGATGAGGCGTGCCATGACGCAGCATCGACATCGGTGTAAACAGTTGTTGCGCGGATGCCCATGCGCTCCGCCGTCTTGTTGATTCTGATGGCAATCTCACCACGATTGGCTATGAGAACAGAGCTCAGCGGTGTCTGCTTCGGTTGGGCGCCGCCTGTCGCGGCTGTGGCAGTCGAGAGGTAGCGAGCCCTCACGGGGAGGCGCTTGGTTCGAATGGACCGCATCTTGAGACACTGTCTGAGGGGGGACAGATGACGAGAACGCAGGAGGAATTGAGTATTGGGAGGGGAAAGCGTGCGAAAGGAAGAAGAGTCGAAGTGTCCCCTTCGTCAGGATTGTTCGGCAAATGACCTCGAGAGAATGTGCTTGCTTGGTGCTGTTCCCCGGATCGCTGAGCCGCCCGCGGGGAGCCGAGGCCGACAGTAACCGTACCGATGGCTGGGAAGGTGCGCTTTCCCAATCCGGTAGCCAGGTGAGAGCGAGGGCTCACCGAGGATCGCTGGCAAGGAGCTCCCCGCCTTAGTCAGCTGCGCCCCGCCCTAGTAGGTACGTACCCTTTGTAAAATGCCAGGTGCAAGCTCAAGCTCCGTTCTGACGACATTGACTCTGCTGATCAACGACCAAACCGCCAAGATGGACAAGATACCTCTCAACTACGAAGCCTCTGAAGGCGATACGCACAAGCAAATCACGGCCAGCCTTCCGACAGAGGTTGTGCAATGCCTCGAAAATGCCCGCTTTGTCAGTCACCACCACTTACTCGCCTTCATCCTCGTCTCCAGCATCACATTAGCTAACAAAGGGTAGCTTCATCTCGCTACATGTAGCGACAATGTTCCTCACGTCTCTCTCATGAACTACACTTACCTACCGTCGACCCCCTATACGTCCGCTCCTGTCATTGCGATGACCACCAACCCGTCCTCCCGCAAGACTACGTCGATCCGCGCGAATCCGTGCGTCTCTCTCCTGGTGCACGACTGGGTATCTCACCGCAATCCGACACACACGCGGCGCGCGTCCGGTGGCTCGCCCGTCCCAGAGCCCCCGTCCTCGTTAGCGTCGCTCCTCTTGAATTTGAACACCTCCCAGATGTCAAGCATAAGCGCGACCATAGGAGGCGCCGCACGGATTGCAACACCGGGGTCCGAGGAGGAAAAGTACTTTGTTGATCAGCACTTGGAGAACCATACCTACGAGGAGGGGGTCCAGCTGTTCCGTCAGGATACCAACGCCGAGGGCCAGGAGCAGCGGACGGCGCAGTTTGTCGCGGGCGCGGAAGTCAGCGTGATTGTGGTTGAAATCAAGGACGTCCGGATCAGCGACTGGAAGGGCACTGTGAGGGACTGGGCATTGCAGCCTGACGCTACAATGGTGAATGGGCATTGAAGGGTGTCGGACAGCGTATCGGGAGGGCTGATATGTATAATTATTAATGACTATATGATCGGAGGGTACCACAATTCAGCATGCTCAGCTGGTCTATGCGGTACTGGAATATTGTGCGCTTTTCAGAGCAAAAATAGTATGGTCGGAAAATTACTAGCGTTGAGCAATTTGAGCATATCTCAGCAAAACAACAACACAATTCCATTGATTGACGCTACGGTCCGTACATCCTGACAGAGAGTAGCATTCTTCCCAGCTAATCCAATCAGATCAGTGTCGAGAACTACTACTGTTGGCCACGCAGACAAGATCGTAGCGGCCCGGTGCCGTCAGTACCTATCACCGACAAGTAGATTGGGAGACAGCACAATTGGGACTGTTGGTTCAGACGACATACGGATTCATGCTCCTCAACACCAAATGCAGAAGTACTCAAGCTCATCGGGTTGTTTTAGCGGCCAATGCCTCTCCCACATGCAGCGGCCAAGTTGGTTGCAGGGTAATTAGTCCCACCACACATATCGTGGTCACACATCTGTTTCCTGCGCGAGCCAACCAGAAGCCATGGTTTGCCGCCCAACCTCCTTCGACTTCTGCACTCAAGCAGCTCTCGCACATTATTCGTCGTCAACAGGCCATTCGACGACCCGAAGCCGCCACCAACGGCCCCCAAATCTCTCGACATGGACCTTTTCCCTCGCTGCTCAGTGGCTGACCAGGACCGGCTGTGGTTGCTGCGGCCCAAGTTTGTCCCCGGATGATGGACCTGCGGTTGATGCAGGTCAAGCGACCAGGCAGATGCTGATCCTGCGGAGAATCTCAAGCCGTGTGTGCTGCGCTCACAGCATGATAGCAGCCTCGACCTTTGCCTATGTTCACGGCAAGCGATGTGACAAGCACACGGGAGAGGAGATCGAATTGCCCCCAACAAGCGACAGCCACCATCACATTAAGCGCCTATCATCAGCCTCATCTCCAGCCGTCACGATGGCTCCCGCGACTAGTGCCGGGGCTGCTCTCCAATAACCGTGCCGAGAGGCGAGCTTCATCCTGCATACCACCTCACCGTCTTCACACTGGACCCTGGTCTCCAACTGGCCAATATCAGAGGATCACCAGCCGCTGGACCAGAGTGACCCTGTTCTCGGCTGCAGCCGACCGACTTGGGGCTCACTATCTTATGGAACTGAGCACCCACTTCACGACGTTCATCTCATCACCCTCATTCTACAGACGACAAGACGACTACCGAGCGAAGGAGCTTACAGGCCTACTCATCGACGTCCATCTCACACACTCAGCGGCATCGCAGCACGCGCGAACCAATCCTCCAATTGGCGACTTGTCGACACCCAAGACCCAACACTGAACATAGTACGGCCGGGGCCTCCATTCCCATCGCACAACGACCGCATCTTCTGATTGCGCTCGAGGACGTCGCACTACACTACACGGCAGCATCGGCGCGCTGAGCCTCCCGACTGACGGCTCATACTTGTTGGGCGCCCACCTCCTGCCCCTGGTGCTACCTCGTGGAACACGGCCACAGGCCGTCCTTCGTCCTCATGCTCGCCTGAGCGTCAATTCCACACTGCGGCTGTACATCTTGAGAATCACAAACCGGAGCCTCGCTGGTCGACATGGCTCCTCAGCAACTCCGCAACGTGGCCGCGGGCTTCTCGAGGCTCTTCAAGCGCATCGAGATACCGCTCACGCCTACTTCACCCCCAGGGCTTGTCCAGGCCAATACTGTTGATCCCTGGATTGACTCGGGAAAATATGCGCTGGGATGGACATACTTTGCGCTCGCGCTCGTGGGGTGCGTTCTCATCGTCAGGGTATGGCATTTCTGGCAGGACAAAATTCGCCAGGCAATCTACAAGCAGGAAGTCGAGGAGCATTACCGAAATTTATACAACATCGACCCAGAATTCGCCCTAGCCGCGATGCGATCCGGACAAACGGCGCAGCATTTCTTTCCCGAGGGCGCAGAAGGGCAGGAAAAGTCATTCCGACCCAAGGCGCACGGCTCTTCTGTGGGCATCGTCAACGACGCCCTCGCTCTTTTCCGATGGGTGTTTTATAGACCCATTCCGGACCTGGTGTTGAGGAAACATCGGTTGGTGTTTTCTTCACTCGCAGTGCTGACCTGCGTGGTCATCGCCACCGCATTTGTCACCCTCTATACATTTCTGCAGCAGCCACTATATTGGGAGAGCATCCAATTCGGGTCGCCTCCTGTCGCGATTCGGTCGGGCATGTTGGCTGTTGCATTGACGCCCTGGATTATTGCGACAAGCATGAAGGCGAACATACTGTCCTATATCATCGGCATCGGACCGGAGCGACTCAACGTATTCCATCGATGGTTGGCATACATCTGTCTGTTCCTTTCATTGGTGCACACGATACCGTTTTACATCCAGCCTGTGTGGGACGACGGTGGTATGGAGGTCTTTCAGCGCCTTTTCAAAGGTGGAAGTGGACTGATCTACGGCACAGGCATTGCCTGTCTTGTGCCGTTAGTCTGGCTCTGCGTCGCGTCTCTGCCCTGGATCCGTCGCGTGGCCTACGAAGCCTTTGTCTTGCTGCACATCCCCGTAGCAGCAGTCTACATCGGACTTCTGTTCTGGCACACCAAGAACTATCTCATGTCTTGGGCCTACCTCTACACCAGCGCGGCCATTTGGGTTATATGCTACGCTATTCGCTTCTTCAAGCTCAACTGGACGAAACCGTGGCGCAGCATGGCTTTTATGGTGGGTGACGAGGCCGCTGTCACCCTCATGGCTGAGAACGCCATCAAAGTCACCGTTCCGACGCAGATGCGCTGGAAGCCGGGGCAGTTTGTCTACCTGCGCATGCCGGGCATTTCGTTCTTTGACAACCACCCGTTCACGATATCGTCTCTGTGCAGCGATGACTTCCCGTCGCAGTATGGCGAGCAGTACCGCGACTGCACCATCGTCTTCAAGCCGTATGGCGGATTTACCCGGCGCGTTCTCGAGACAGCTATTGAGAAGGGACCTTTCCACACGTACCGAGCCTTCCTTGATGGACCGTACGGCGGCATGCGCCGCGACCTTGCTGCCTTTGACACCTGCCTCCTCATTGCTGGCGGCAGTGGTATCACGGCGCTCATGAGTCAGCTGCTGAACCTGATCAAACGCATGCGCGACGGCAAGGCCATCACACGCAAGATTGTGGTGGTTTGGGCCATCAAGCGACTGGAAGCCATGGACTGGTTCCGCGAAGAGTTGCGCATTTGCCGCGAGTCTGCGCCCCCTGAGAGTGTGACCTGCAAGATCTTTGTCACGTCGGCCGTCAGGCAACGCCCGGGCCAGGAGATCAAATCCAACGTAGCGCATCACCGCGCTCTGACGCATGCGTTCCACGATAAGCTAGACGGCTTCGTCGCAGGTGTCGCGTCGAAGCGCAACTCGGCCATGATCCAGAGCGAAGCGCAAGGCAACCCAGACAGGGAACGGGAGCTGAGGGAGGAGAACGAGGACCGCATCACAGCCCTGCCGCAGCAGCAGTACATGCAACCTCACAACATCCCTCCTCCCCCACCTGGGCCACCGCCCAATAATAACAAACTAATATCACCCATTGAGGACAACAAGACTGCCCAACAATGGCAGGACTACCCGGAGGACAAGAAGAACCTCGAGGGCGAGTTCCACTTCCCTCCTATGAAAAACGAGCACCCACCTCACTTCAACTGCGCACCGAGCTCGCCGCGTCACCCACCACCTGAATTCACCCAAACACCGACGGAGGAGCAGTTCCCTGTGCGGGCACCAGAACTGGCTCACTTGAGGACGAACATTCCACCTGCAGGCGACCGCCAGCGTCCGACATCGACGTTTGGCCCACCGTCCGGCTTTGACTTTGGCTTTCCCGAAACGCCGACTGAATTCCAGAAGAACCTCATGCGGTTTGCTTTCCCCGTGCCGCACCAGATAGACGGCGGCTGGAGTGTGGAGTATGGCCGACCCGATCTAGGCTACATGCTCAAGGAATGGGCCGCCGGTGGCGCCGACGGACGGGGCATCCTGGGCAGGCGGACGGCCGTCTTTGTCTGCGGGCCGGCCGCGATGCGGACAGGTGTCGCCGAGACGGTCGCGAGGCTGCAAGCAGAGATTTGGGGGGATGATGAGTTGGAGGAGATCTTCCTGCATACGGAGAACTATGCGCTATAATTGGGTTTATTATATCACAGCGAGTCGCAGCATACAATGTATTCCTTTGATTTCTTTCAACTTCCTTACGTCCACAAAGATTGCGCAAGCCTCACTCGCCTCACTCGCGGGGTTTGTCATGTGCAGGGAAATGATGGTGATTCACGCCTCGACCCAAGTCAGTTGAGGTCAGGCAGCGGGGTGGTCAGTTGCCCCTCCAGATCCATCAGACGAACCTTGAACAGTATTTGCCAAGTTAAGGGGACCAATGCATGGCTCAGTCTCCACCGACTGACTGTTCCGTTGCGAATTTGCGATTACGCTGGATCGATCTGCGCATGACGAAGTGCTTGCCGTGGACCCTGATGGTCAGGGTCGGCCTTGCTTGGTTGAGGCACGCGCACCTTGAGAACGACAGGAGGAAGTTGTGATGCGGTCGTCGAAAAATAACGTAAAGGATGCCTCGATTCTCTTCTCTTCCTCTGCTTCTCTGCATCATTGCCATTGCACATTCAGCAGACTTAACCGTGGGCGCATTATAGTCCACAGCATCACTGCGCCGCGTCCATCAGCAACAACAGCCCATCGCCATACCCATCCGTATCGTTCCCAAGCACAAATCGACATAATTCGAAGCCATGGCAGGTGTGAATATGGAGGACATTGAGTTCCGCGAGACGAACCTCGATCGAATCGCTAAATCATGGTCCCTCGCTATGGGCTACTCGCATGAGCGCATACAGAAAGTACACGACTTGACAGACGAGGAAATGCGCCATGCCGCGAACGAGGGGCACGTTGTGCTCGAGACTGTCTGTCTCTTCATTCATTCCAGTATAAAGCGAGCCCAGTTCAAGCTGCCATGCGACTTTTGGAGTATACTGCTTCACGAGTTTGGAATAGTGGTGTACCCCAGTGCCATGACGGAGGCGGTGGATTTACACGGTGTCAACGTCGACAAGACCTTTACAGACTGCTACCATGGGCACATTGGTATATATGAATGAAAAAGATCTCTTAGCTGGCCGTGGACTGACAATGAATAGTTATGCTTGGCCGACGACGGAGTAATGGCCCACCGCCGTGTCCTTTCGAATACCTGCGGCAGCCACCGCCCGTATACAAGAAGAATACCTCTGACGAGGAGGGATCAGATACCGACGAGACAGACTCGGGGATAGGCTGCGAGAAGTGCTGCGATGGGTGTGCGCAGGACTGACTGGGAATGATGTGATGATGAATGGCAAGGACTGGGTGTCGACCGACTGTCCACACTGGAGCATATGCAGCGAGTATGAGATTAGTGAAACATTGAATTCTTTCCTCCACTTGTTCTTTACCTTCATTCTGTCACCTTGACACCCATCTTGCCATCGCGGTTAGCCCGCCACACGCCCTCTTCGCCAGTGAACTCCTCCCGCTTCCAGATCTCGACCCTATCCTTACACTCCTCGAGGGCCTGCTCGCCCGCACGCCAGGCAGCCTGTCTATGAGGACTGGACACGGCGATGAGTATAGACTCCTCGCCTATGGGCACGGGCCCAAGACGGTGGGTGATGGCGATGCCGGTGAGGCCGTGGGTGGCTTTGATGGATGTGGCGATGGAGAGGAGCGTGCGTAGGGCGAGGGGGTGATAGGATGTATAGGTCAACGAGTGCACAGGTTTACCGGCAAAGTTGTCGCGCGTGGTGCCTTGGACTTGGGTCAATACTTGTTCTCCATGCGCGAGGAATGTATGCGTAGAGTGAGTACCTGCGAATAGAACTATGGCGCCTGCCGAGGGGCTGCGGACGCGGTCCATGATTGTATTGACGTTTAGGTTGTCATGCGTCAATGAGACATGACAGCCCTCTTCTGACAACTCCCATTGTTGTTCTTGTTCTTGCGAGTCGGCCATGCTCGTATACTATGGGTGAGGCCTAAGGCTTGGGCGGTTTGCGGACGCGGGGATGAGCCGTCTTTGAGGAGCTGACAGTCTGGGCCAGGCCTATGAACTTCACTCAGAGGCAAGTACTAAATAAAACAGTGGTCGAGCTTGAGCTGGAGGAATACGAGTCAATGTAATTGTTCAGCTCCCAGAGCACCTGGGCAGGCGTCAGTGGTGACTTGGAGGGAGACACGTGAACTCGCCCCACCTGAACTTTAACTCTCGACAGACACTTGCGACGATACGATCCCTCCATCTTCACCTTGCACCACACGAATCTCCAGCTGTCCTTAACCCAAGGAACCACGATTTTCCTCATCTATCTCCTCTCCAACCTCTCGCCGCCTTCTAGCAAGGGCTTCGCGCCGATCGACAGCGTTATGCACGACCATCACCGGCCGCGATCACCCCATTACGGGCGAGACGCAGGACAGGACCACCACCGGCAGGGTAAACCACAACCTGGACGCACTGGGCAGCGGTCGCCATCAGTACTTGGAGGCATGCGATTGCGCGCGACTCGCTTGCATGAGCTGGGCATCGATCAACGTTCTCGAGTTTGATGGCTAACTTACCTACCGACCGACGGGGCTATTCCAGATCTCCCGACCACCACTACGAATCATCGAGGAGCACGTCAAGAGGCAGGATGCATTACGAGGACCGCGTCAAGGACCCGCAAGACTACAGTGGCATGTACGACGAGGGGCAAATTCCCGACGACCGTGGCGTAGGCCGTGGCTATCGCGACAGAGATGAACCTGGGTCCAGATCGCCTCCACGGGGCACAAGCCGTTCGCAGAGTCCTACAAGAGACGCGGGACGGCCGAGCGATACTGTGATTCTGGAGGAACTGCCTCACATGTTGACGGCGGGAGAGGTTCGTACCCTATACCAGGCGACAAGATGAAGAATCACCGCCCGGCGATGCGCCATGGGACTCGAATCCATGGCTGCAGTCAGTGGAAACGAAGCCATATTCATTTTCATGTTCAATCACTCCTCAAGATCTGGACGACTAATGTCACGGCGCACAGCTGCACGACAGCGTTCTTAGAAACTCCATCGCTTCCGAACTGCCCCCCATCGACGTGCGAATTGCACGAGGTACGTCGACGCCGCGTGCTTGTGTGCAAGCGTTACTGACCAGCCCGCAGGCGCCCATCGAGCCTTTGTCCAATTCGATTCGGTTGACAGCGCCATCGCCTTCACCCGAGAACACTTCCCGAAGCTGTATCTTGACTTGGCGCAACCGACTGATGAATTGCCAGGTGGCCGGTTTAGCGCGTACCTCCATTACGCACGCAGCAGGGACGATGTGGATGCCAAAACGATGGTAGGGCAGTGGCCTTGCTCTTTGGTATGTGATCCGCTTCTGATTGAACATCGTGCAAACTTGCTGACGTACAACAAGTGCGGGTTCTCCAACTACTCGACGAGAGTCAAATGCAAGCAGTGCAATACGCCCCATTCAGGTGCGTCAACGAATTCCTCCCTGAAAACAAACCGCGCTGATCTCCCTAGTCGAAGCAGACTGGCGACTGAGCCTGACGGGCCAGGCTGATGCGGGAGAGTCTGCGTCGCAGATACTCGTCATCTACCCCCTTCCCTCCTTCATCGACGAGGCTATGCTGGCAGCTGACGTGAAGCGCCTCGAGCTCGAGGCACCCGCTCCCAAGAGAGACGCCAACGGCGGTCCGAAGCTCAAGTCTACCGCGCCGACCAACAACACAGCCGGTGTCGGTGCTCGTCCAGGCTCATTACATCGCGTCTTCCTCATGAGGGAAGTGTTCAACAACGAGTCGTTCAAGTACGGCTTTGCCGAGTTTTGGACGGCCGAGGATGCTGCCAAGGCTGTCGCAAAATACCAAGCCTTGCGGTCATTCACCGTGGCAGCGTGCGAGGTGACCGTATCCACGATCCACATGGGCGTCTTCCTCCCCGAGGAGCGAGATGTCACCCCTGAGAATGAGATGATGTCCTTCCATCCGCTGTTCAACCCATCACTGCGCGTTCGATATCGGGACATAAGAGTATACCCGAATCAACTGCTGGTCACCGACGGCCCACCTGAAGGGGCTGCCGGCAAGGGGTCTGGTGACGATGGCGACGCCAAGAGATCCAAGAAGCGCAAGGCGGAGGCGTTAAAGGACGGCAACGCGAGCAAGAAACCCGTCGTGATGGCCGGGCAAATGGCCATGTGGCAGCGTAAACACGATGAATTGCACCAGGGCAAGGCGGGTCAAAACGGAAACAAGGTTGGTAGTCCAGAGACGGCAAAGCAAGACCCCGACGCGCCTATCAAGATCTCACTCGGTGGCGCTAGTATCGGTGGCTCTGCACCGAAGCGAACACCCAGTCCCGAGAAGCCGTCTGTTGAGCCTCCTCGGGAGGTCTCGTACGTCGACCGCGAAAGACTCATGTGCCTCATCTGCATGCGCAAGTACAAATCCGTCGACGAAGTCAACATTCACGAAAAGTCACGGAACCACAAGGCGGCGACGGAAAATAAAGACCAGGTCAAGGCGGCGTTGCCTCGTCTCGCTATACGCGACAAGCGCCTCGAGAAGACCAAATCGGAGCATTCGGCGGCGGACGTCCCCGCCCAGGAGACAACAGAGTCAACCGAGTACCGCGACAGGGCCAAGCAGCGTCGGCAGGCGTACAGCCAGCCCCGGAAGCCCGCGACCTCCCAAGCAGTCCAGGCGCCCAAAAGGGAGGCGCCGCCCCAGCCTGCACCATCCAAGGGCGCTGGCATGCTCGCCAAGATGGGCTGGACGGCTGGCAAGGGTCTAGGGGCCGCCGGCGAGGGCCGGACAGATGTCATTGCGCAGAACGCGTATCAGGAAGGCGTTGGCCTGGGCGCCGAGGGTAGCAACCTCGGCGACGCGGCGGCGCTGGCGGGGCGGAAGACCAAGGGTGACTACAAATCGTTTGTGGAGAACGTCAAGGACCAAGCGAGGGAGCGCTACAACAAGATGTGACAACTTTCTCTTCCAAGGACGGCTCACCAATATCACGCAGCAACGACGGCATCAGGAATGGGGATAGATCTCTTTTCTTCTCTACTATGTTCAATGAAGATCAGGAGGGGTATATCCATGTACACAAGAATCCAAAAGCATGCCACACACACAATGCAAAATCAAATCAAACAAAGACCATGGTATCCGTTATTCGTCAATGTTCCCCCCTCACAGGACAAGCATGAGTGCACTCAGGGCCCCTGCGGCCAAGAGGGAGGGGATAAGGCGTACGCCGGCATCATCGTTATCTTCTTTGTCTGTGCTGTCGTCAGCCTGATCGTCCCCGTTATCACCACCGTCCGTCTCCGTCGCGGTGGGTTCCTCTGTGGCAGTCATGGTGGTGGTAGCCTCCGTAGAGGTGGTGGAGGCAGACGGGGTAGGGGTGGGAGTAGACTGACTCTCAACGCCTGTGACATCGGGCAGGTCTCCCTCCTCAATGTCGACAATATCCGTGTCGGTGCTGTTCAGGTTGGCCTGGGCGATGCCCAGCTGCTCGTTGGCGAGGTCGTAGACGACGTAGGCGCTGCGGAGGAACGTGGCGCCCAGGAGGGTGAACTGGTCGTCGTCGATGCCAAAGTCGGAGGTGGAGCCGATGCCGAACATGCAGGCGCCGTCCCAGTCGCCAAAGTACTGGCGAAGCGTGGGGTCGCTCTTGAAGATGTCCTGCACGTCGCTGTAGGCGTCGATGACCATCTCGTCCATGGGCACGCTGATGGTCTTGCCGTCGAAGCGGAACTCGAACTTGTAGCCCTGGCCCTTGTCGCCGCGGTACGCGCAGTCGATAAAGGGCGCGAGGACGTCGATGAAGCTCAGCACGCCAAACTCATCCCACAGGTCCTGGACCTGGTCGTTGGGGAGGAGGGATATGGTGGAGCCAGAGTCGAGAATGGCGAGGGAGTCCAGGTTGGGGATGTTGACAGTCTTCTCGCCATCGGGAGACACCACGTCGAAGCCCTGGATCTCGACGTTGAAGGAGGTGATCTGGCTAGTGCCTGCCAGCGCGTCCGATTGCAGGGGGAGGGTCGCCAGGTTGCCGATGAACTTTTTCTGATCGATGCCGCCAAAGAGCAAGGCGCCGGCGTCGGTGTCGATGTCGTTGAGATACAACGAGTAGGCGCGGGTGTTGATGTGGCCCTGGTCGACCAAGTTGTCGATAATGGTGGGATACTCGCGTGTAGACGCGACGTTGACGGAGAGGCCAAGGCCCATGATGCCCGTGGGGCGGACGGATTGGAGGGCCAAGCCCATGCGCTGCCCCGTCACCTCGACATCGCCAAACGTGACCGTGTCTTTAAAGTACTCGCCTTGTATCCTGCGACTGTCGAGGTACTGGATGTCAAAGTCCTCCCCGTTCACGGTCTCGAACGTGCTGCTCTCATCGGGGTCGACTAGAAACAAGACATGTTAGACAGTGGGATTCGGATGTGAGGAGGGGGAGCGGGAAGTACTTGCACTGGGTTTGACAGAATCCGTTGTATGTCTGCAGTTCCTCGTCGTTGCACAGGTCTGCTTCGACGCTGTTGACCCAGGTGTCGGAGCTGCCCGTGTCGAGCAGGAAGCTGATCTGCTGAGGAGGAGTGCCTATCTCAAACTCGGAGTAGTAGCCACCGCCCGTGATGTTGTTGAGCGCCTCGAGGGCAAACGGCTCGGCGTCGTCCTGGCGCTTGCGCAGGGCAGCGCGACGGGCGTGGCCATTGTCAAAGGACTGGCGCGAGAATGGCACACTGAGATGACCGGCCGAGACGGCGCTGACCAGGGCGAGGAGGGCGACGGAGCGCATGGTCACTGATGTCTGCCCGTTTGTTGCGCGGGAGCCTGGATGTGTACGAGTAGGACAAGGACTGGAGCCTGGGGGGACGAAGGCGGCCAGGAGCTCTCTTGAGATGAGTGAGCACAAAGGTTCGAGAGCAAGCCAGCAAGCAAGATTTGTCAATCCCCGTGTCGGAGAATTAAAGGAAAAGGAGGATCGGCTCAAGCGTCGAAGCCATATTTAAGAGAAAGGCAGGCGGCGGCGACGACGGGGTTCGGACGAAGGACTGGAGGCTGGCTCACGGTTGGCGGTTGGCGCCGAATGCTGGTCCAGGTCCAGTCGTGCGCACATTGGCGGGGGCGCAGACCGGGATGGCGTCTTGGCGATGGGAAGCTGAAAGACCAGCATGACTGCAGTCTGCATGTGCAGGCGACGCCCGGTCCGGATGCTTGACGATCGTGGCTCCCGGCGGACAGGACCTGACGAATCGTGGAAGTCTAGTCTTGCCTCAATTGTGTTTACTGGCGCATACAATGAGACACATGGCGGCGCCTGTTGAGACAGTCTATGATAGTGCTTCATGCCCGTGTAGTAGTGAGCTAGCGTACGTCATTGAAGTGCCTGCAGGGCCTGAAAGCAGCCTGGGCGGAAGGTGACTTTCAGCCTTCCCAGGCCTGAGGTTAGGTCAGGTCACCAGGAGCCCCATGCTGCGCCTCCATGCCCACCTCCATGTCTTCAGTTCCTCTTCCTCCTCCTCATTCTCCAAGTGTCCATGTCCATGAGTCATTGCCGGTCACAATTGTCGTTGCCTGTCAAGTTGCGCTGGCCAGTGTAGTCGTAGGCTCAGCCGCCATTGGCGCGTGGCGCTGCAAAGTCAATTAAGCTTGTTTCCCGCCCTTTTGGCTTCTACTCTAATTCATCCTCAACCCTAATAAAGCCTGCGCCAACACAGACGGCTGTGTTGCGGGCACATATCCATGCCTTACCATAAAATCAGGCCCAGAATCCATCAGCTGATTTTTGACGCCTCTGCGACTGTTATAACTTCACTTTTCCTTGGCGTCAGATCGCCTCGCGCTATCAACCTCGGCCAAGTCCTCCACGCCTGGGCATCGTCACGAGCCACGACTCACGGTGCAACGAATAGTGGATATCCTTCATGTTCTTGGCAATGTTGCCAGTCTACCCGTCAGGCATTTATAATCGGGGCCTAGCCTGGATATACGTATGGACCTTGATGCTTCCGTCCAAAGTTGCAATATATACTAATCAGTATTTTCGTGGTCGTCACTCACATTGGCCTGTGTTCGTCTGTCTGTCGACCATGCGCTCTCACAATCATAGTGAGCCAAGCCCCCGCGACGACTCCATGTCGACTCGAGACACTCCTTCGGGCGTCAGCGTTACTAATGTCCTGTCACACAAACGCCGTGAACCACCCTACGTTTTGTGATTATCGGTCTTCATTCTCATCTATCGTAGTTGCATCACTGTTCCACATTGCCATCCTGGCAAAGCGTCCTTCTTCTGAGTCCTGGCCCTGACAAAATTCATGTTACGACCCTCACCCCAGCCGAACAACTTGCGACACCCCCTACACCAAGCAGTAGAGGAAAACCCCAAAGAAAAGAACTTACTTGCAATGCCACGTGATGCCGAACTTTTCAAATGTCTCGCGCAGCTTCTCTGCGTCGGTACGCTCGGGCTTGTCTTGACAAAGACGATAGGGTTCGCTCACAGTCGGTTTCAAGGGATGAAACTTGATGCCGAACTTTGCAAATGTCTTTCGCAGGCTCTCGACGTCGTGAGGCTTGGGCTCGTCTGGACAAGGACAATGGTTTTGGCTCATGGTTTCAGTCTCGATAAACGTGTCCTCGTTTCGAGCAAGGGGTCGAGACGATTCATGACCTCGACCAGTGTAGCTCGGCAGCAAAGAACGGTCATCTTGGCCCGGCGGGGACATGAAGACCGCGCCAATGCCAACAATATCGGCGGCCATGTCTTGGTCGTCGTCGTAGTTCTGGTCGCTATTAGTACCTGGCTTCTCCCACTCACCGTGTACGCCACTGTTCGTGTTGCAGGCACAGCACCACATGTCTGGCTTGTCCTTGTGCATGGCGCACTGGGAAGGGCCTTTGCTGGCAAACAGGGTCTTGCCGTACCACTGGGCAAACTGCGCGTGCACTTCGTCTCGACCATATGGGTCGTCTGGGTGGGTGTTTGGCTGCGCATCATCAGCATCATGCGGGTTGGGCAGGAGATCTGCTTCAGAGAGGCCCATCATGAACTGATGATGGAAGAAGTCAGGTCTGTGTTATGTTGTCTCTGTGGGTTGTTGTGTCAGTTGCAGGTAAGTTGAGCAGGTGCAAGATGAGGATAGAGTTGGCCGCGAGGAAAGTCTGATTATATGCCCTGAGAACAACAGCTCTGTTGTGGTGACATTGACTCGACCCTCTGGAAAGGGCTCTTTGACGCTGTTCACTTCGATCACTCACAGACGAACAGCCTCCGACACGGCGGTACAGTCTGTGGACAAAGAACGGTAGGTTGGACGAGTGATTGTCGCCTGTGTGCCCTCCCAAAAATGTGATTCTATTATCAATGAACATACCATGGCCGGCCCTTCTCCAATACATTACAAGGGGGAACAAGACATCTAATATGCGCGTCAGAATACAACATGTTGTCCAAACACCAGCGTCAACGATCCATCTAGAGCTTGGATTCCTTCTCCTCCCCGTCCTGCTTGAGCCTCACGACGCCCTGTTCACTCTGTTAGCACGACACCAAGAACTAGGAATCAGTACTACTCACCTCCTGCACACAACTCGCCAACAGCGTCCCATCCTGCGAGAAGATGCGCTGCATCACGACGCCCCTCTCCCCGCCGGCCCACGGACTCTCCATCTCGCTAAACATCCACTCGTCCGCGCGCACCTTGCTCGGCTCGTGGAAGTAGATGCTATGATCCAGGCTGACGAGCATGCCCACGCTCGGCCGGCCCTCCCACTCGCGCGCCACATCCTCGTCCGAGACGTCGATGCTCTCGTTCGCCAGCGCGCCCCGCACCTGCGACCGCAGCGGCTCCTCTAGGGAACCGACTTCGGAGGGCCGGAAGGGGAACCGCCACAGCCCGTGGATGCGCGACACGGTCCCGATAAAGTAGCTGTCCGACATGTACGCGAGCGCGTTGAGGTGGGCCTGTGTGCCGCCCTCGGGACTGATGCGGCCCCGCGCGCGCATCCAGGTACGGCACTTTTTCTCGTGCGGCTTGCGGTTCGGGTCGTTTCCATGGAGGACGTCGATGCGCGTGGCCTCAAAGGGGCCGGCACCGCGTCCTGATGATGATGACGAGGCGTTATCGCTTTTGTTGGTGTCTGAAGGAGGAGGCGGGATGTCGTCCGGCAGCGCGGCGGCGTGCTCAACCGTCTTCTTGCCCTCATTGTCCTCCTTGGCAAAGGAGATGGTGGTGGTGAAGATGCAGCGTCCGCGCTGCTTGGCCTGGACGGTCCTGGTGGCGAAGCTGCGGCCGTCGCGCACCCGCTCGACGTGGAAGAGGATGGGCAGGCCCGAGCTGCCGGCGAGGATGAAGTAGCAGTGGCACGAGTGCGGGAGGAAGCCCTGCGCGACGGTCCTCTGGGCGGCGGCCAGGCACTGCGCGATGACGCTGCCGCCGTAGATGCCACGCGCGCCCGGCGGCGTCCATTGCGGACGGGTGTTTGTGAAGATGTCCGGGCCCAGCACTGCGAGCTCTGTCACCGAGAGCGTCGTCTCGATGGGGGATTTGGTGGGATCCGGCGTGCGAGGACGGAGTAACGTCGTCCTCGGTTCTTCCGACATGGTGGCGGTGTTGGCGATAATGAGTGTGGCCTGGCTGAGTTCTGAGGTAAGATCTAGTGCGCAGGACGGAATCGATAGAACAAGCAATAGGTAACAATGAGATCAAGTGAGAATGAGAAGGGAGCAAGCGTGAGGTTGATGAAAATAGGATCCATCCATCCATCCCTACGGGCCGAGGTTCAACGTCGCCCTGGTCTAACTGGTGGACCCTGGCTCAGGGTGCTGTGGGGCGCATTGCGTCGCCTCTGCGAGTGCCGAGCTCGAGTCCTCGAGTGACATCAGGACGCGCAGCTGGGACTGTCATATGAACATGGCATTTGGAAATGACAATCATAAAGAATCGTGAATGTGATTTGAGAGAGAAAAGGCGGGTGCGCCACCCTATATGTACTTCTGCTACCTGTACTGACCGCCACCACCACCGCCATTACCCAAGAGAACTCTCATGATGCCATGCTCTTCTCGTCAAAGTCCTCAAAGATGGGCTCCAGACCTTCCCACGCATCAGGGTCCCCGGCCGGCCCGGCCCTCTCTCGCCGCTCCCAGTACTTCTTGTTGAACTGCCAGTACTCCTCCCCAGTCACATCGCATCGCGCCTTGCTGAACCACGCCGGCACAAACTCCTCGCCCGCCTCTTCGCGCGCTCGCCTGCGCGCACGCTGTCCTTCCTCGAGGCGGTTCTTCTCTGTCGCTGCCACGTCGTACTCTCCGTCTTCCATCGCGCGCTGGTCGGGCCGCAGGCGAGAGTCCGTCGGTGCGATCCACGGCCGGAGGTTGTCGTCGAGGTGGTTGAACGTCAAGGCAAACGGCGTCAGGTTGAACGGGATACCAGCCGGCCGTGGGTTCGCCTGCCACACGAGGTACGCCTGTGTCGGGTCCACCAGGCTGCCCCGATGCACCGGCCCATTATCCTTCTCCTTGGACGGTTCACCCACCGCAGCCTCGTATCCGGGCGTCAGCCGCGCGTAGATGCGCGAGTTCCATCGCCCACCCATGCTGACGCGGACGTTGCCATCCGAGTCCAAGACCTTGCCTGATAGAATGTAGGCGCTCGACGCTTTCCACCCGCGCGGCTTCATGTCCACAAGCGCCACCTCCCCAGTCGTGTGGTTCTTGATCTCCATGGTGCCGTAGTTGTCCACTGTCGGGTTGCCTGTGATGATGCCAATGACCGACGACGTGACCTTCTTCCACGAGTACAGCTCCTCCTGCCCGCCGGCCTTGGGGCGCAGCTTGAGGAACCACGTGCCCAGGTGGTGAATATCAAAGGCCTTGCCGTAAAACTTGGACTTGACGTTCATCTCACCCCAGTACTCCCATTGCGGCGCTTCCGCCCATGCAGCCCCAATAGGTGGGTGGTGGCTGACTTGCTCAATGAAGAATCGGTAGTTCTTGTCCGGTCGCACATACTCAAAGGTCTCGCCGAGGAGAGGGTTGAAGGGCTTGGCGATACGTCCCACGGTGGACGCATACTCACTCGACGCGAACGCAGCGACGTACACGAGGCGCTCGATCGAGTCCACGCGGTCGGCAGCCAGGTCCAATAGTTCGGCGTATTCCATGTCCTCGGCGCCACGGTACAGGAAGGACGTTGGCTCGTTGAAAGAGACGGGCAAGGTCATCTTTGTCATGTCCTTGCCAATCATGGACTTGAGAATTCCCTGATCAATTACGTTAGCAACAGGCTCCCACCGTACTGCCATGGGGAACATACCCAGAGCGAAACCTTCGGCCTGTCGTCAGCATCCAGCTTCAGCCTTGTCCGCACGCCACCCTCGTAACCCTTGAATGAGGGGCTGATGTCGTTGCCTCCAGAGATGACCACATCCTTCTCCTGCGCGGCTTCGCCAGGCGGCATGACAGTCACCTCAACCTCTCCAGCATCGACGGCGTCAAAGAACTCATCCTGGTCGTCAGACTCGTCATCCGAGAACTCGGCCATCTGCTCCAGCGCCGTCGGCTTTCTCGATATACTCTTGACTGGCACCTCCTGCTCCTTATCCTTCTCGGCCTGCTCCAACTTTGGCTCCGCCACCGGCGTCTCGGCACCACCGCCCACACCCACGCCACCTTCCATCACCTCGCGCAGCGCCTTCTTCGTTAGTCTACGCTTGGCCTCGGCTTCACCAAACTTGGCTTGCAGCTCTTCCTGCTCCTTGGCCACTTGCGCCATGCTCTCCTCCCACATCCGCCGCATGCCCGACTCGCGATCTAGACGGTACTGCCAGTACGCGTCGCGGTCCTTGGAGATGCGCAGCAGGTCGCCAATAAGACCCGTCAAGCTGCGGATGGCGCCGTCGTACGTCGACAAAGCCTGCGCTACCTTGGGATCCGAGATGGCCGTGGCTGGCCGGCTCGTCGATTCAGCCATCAGGGCGGCCTGGACATGCGTCAAAGTCTCCAGCTGAAGCTTGGCGGACTGGGCCGTTATATTGAGTGCGTCGCGCGTAGCCGATGGTTCGTCCCTGGCGCTCATATTGTCGTCGTAGTCGTCCTCCTCGTCGTGTTCGCCGGGGATCAAGGCACCGCCGGCGCCCGGCGACCGAGACATGTACCCATCGGTAGCCGCGTCCGCAAAGTCATCATCATCAAAACTGCCCACCGTGCTCGCGCCGGTCTGGTCGGGTCGCTGCACCGACACCTTGACGCTCGACGCAGCACGATGGGGGACGTGGGAGCTCTGCCGGCGCAGGTCGCTAACGCTGGCGGCGTCGCTGTGCGAGTCCTGGACAGACAGGCCGGTGCCAGTCTGCTCCGCCTTGGCTTGCTTCAACAGCTCCGCGCTCTTGGCAGCCTGCTTCTCCTCCTCGCGCAGCTGGTCCTTGGTCCACTGGATGGAGTTATTGAGCGACCAGTACCAGCGCTTCGCCTCAACCTCGTGATTCGCCTTAAGCGTGTACTTGACAGAGGACTTTCCGTGAATCTCAAACTTGGTCTTCTCGTCGGGGCTCATGTGCAGCTTGGCGATGCGCATGTTGATGGCGCCGCGGCAGGCGGACCCCGCGTCGTCCTGGTGCTTGTAGTAGCTCAGAACACCATCCTCGAGCACAAAGAAGCGCAGCTGATACCCCTTGCGATAGTTGGTCCATTTCTTCAGATAGCCCTTCATCTCACGAGACTCGCGGCCGGCCAGAGGGTCGCCGTTAGGCGCAGGCCCCACGCCTTGCGAGGCAGCGTGCCCCAGGACAGCCTTCTCCTGGATGGTCCGCTGTGCAGCGACGGCGGCAGGCGACTTTTTGAGGAAGGACTTCACATTGTCGTCGTTGGTAATGTTCTGAGGCAGCTTGCCCTTGCGGTCACGTCGGAACGGATCGGCACCGTGGAGCAATAGAGCCTGGATGAGGGCCGTGTTCTTCTTTCTCGCTGCTTCGTGGAGAAGGGTACCGCCAGACTGCACAGTCGTGGGTTCCGAGGCGAATTCGGGGCTGTTGATATCAATCACCGTCTTGAAGCGGGGTTCCTCCAAGACTTCCGCGAGGCTGTCGTAGTCCGCTCTGGCAATCAATTCTTGCACCTCGCGCACCTTGGCCTCGGTATACAAGGACCGCGATAGTTGCAGCTGCTGAAAAATCTCGGGGTTTCTGGCGAGGTCGATCGGGAGTTTGCCGTGTGCATTGGCCATTGCATCGTTGATGTCCTTCTGCTCGAGAAGGAGCTTGACCACGGGTGTGCGGCCCTGCGCGGCCGCCACATGTAGGGGTGTGTTGCCGTCCTTGTCACGGGCGTTGACGTCGAGACTGTTGAGACCGTCCGACAAGACATACTCGACCACGGGGAACTCGGCACATTGGATCGCCAAGTGGAGGATTGTGGTGTCCTCGAGGCCACTAGAACCGCCGGACAGGGACGACGTGCTCACTCGTGGGCCCCCTTCGCTCGTGTCGCGAATGGCCTTGGAGATGGAAGCAGTGTCACCACTACGCAGGGCCTCGACAATGCGGAACTTTTTGACAGACTGCTCCAGGCTGATGGCCTTGTCGTGGCTTTGCACTTGCTTCAGGGGTGTCGGGGGCGCAGCCGTGGCGGAAGGCGTCCTGCTCAATCCAGCCGTTGTCGTCGAGAGCTTGGCTCCATGGCCAAGAACGCTCGTCTGGCGCGACAAGCTCGAGGCGGCATTCGATGCGCGGCCATCCTCTGAGCCGGAATCGTCGTCGCCACCGCGGTTCTTATCTCGTCGCAGCAGATTGCGCGCAGCTGCCGACATGGAGCGCTTGTGCATGCTGGAGAGCGTAGAGTTAGCCGACAAGTCCTAATACGAGGTGCGTTGTGACGTGGCCTTGGCGGACAGCCGCTCGTTAAAACGTGGTTTGGACGGATGTCTGTCGCGATTGCAACGACGCCCTCCGCCAACAATCCCAGGGAATCGAGGGGTAGTGGAGTGTGTGAAGGAGTCTCGACCGGGGTTCTACCGCCCTTGGGCCACGTACCTCTCGCCAGCTTCCGACATTTTGGTCCTGCTTTGGGTTTTCGAGCCCTTCAGAATGGTCGCGTAGTGCAAGGCACGAGGTCCTGAACGTGGAAAGGAGGTCGAGTGTGGCCCCAGTAGCTCGGGGTCGAATCGGTCGAGAATCGGGAAGGATCGACGCCGGGGCCACCCTCTTCAACAAGTGCCGTTTGTGTGTACGTGTACACGACTACGTACGCGTCGAGGAAAATGACATAACAGCCGCCCAAAAGCAGCAGAAATGAACAGGTGAGGCCTCAGTTGATGCTGCGCGTCGAGGAACGGGAAGAGGGATACGGAAGAGGGCCTGGAGGTTGCCAAGGGAACTGGAACTGGGAGTGGAGGAGTAATGGTCGACCAGCAAAGGTGCCATGACGTTGTTTCGCCAGGCTGGATTGGCCCGAGACGGTTCGGTCAAGAATCGATTGCTGCAAGAGTCAAGACCCCCCCTTTGTTCCTTCCCGCCCCTCGTTCGTCGCCTGCTCCACTTGCTTAGTCAGGCAAATTGACGATTCAGGCGACGAGTAACCGACGATTCCATGACGCGATACGTAGTGCAACAATGAAGAAGTTTCCTCGGCCTCGCGCGACTTTTACCACCATGCGGTTTCGCACTTGAATCTTCCCAAAGTGGCCACTGTCGATGGCAGCACTAGTGGTGTCACCGCAGTATTTCCATTTCCGATCTCGTCATCCGTCGAAATGGTCAGTAATCCCACAACTTGGCCTGGAGGTCAATCGGCGTGCCCATGATCGTTGGAGAAGCAGCATGTCGCATCCCAATATACCACATGGCCACGTTGCTTCCCCCACATGTCACCACCCACTCCCGAGTTCTACCTCGCAGCGCAGGCCTGATTCCAGCTGATGCAGCCCTTGCTCGCCTCATCGTCAGGACGGGTCAAAGTCCCGGCCCTTCAAGTCGGAATCGATCGCGAAACCCCCGTTGGCCGAGGGATGGTACGGCAGACTTGCGAGAGATATGTTCTCGAACGTTTCGATCGGCTGGTAGTTGTCCCAGGCGCCGTACAGGTCTCCTGGATCCTCCCCTTCCTGTGGATCACGCGCAACAAGTGAACAGCCTTGGGCGAGAATCGAATCGCTGAGGTCAGGGGGGGTGACTCGATTCTGTCGTTCCTAAGCTCCTGAATAATCAAAAAAAGGGGTTGCGGTGATTGCTGCGTTGAACCCGTTAATCTCCAGGGCGGCAAGCCGTTCGTGGATTGGCAAACGGAGCTGCGTGAGCAGGAATACCAATGCCAATGAGAGGATAAAGAAGAGCTTCCTGACCATCGCGGATAGATGTGATACTGTTCAAAAGATAGCTGTGTGGCTGGGGGTGTTCCTTCGTGATATCGAGCGGGTTTAGACGCCACTGATGGTGGTGTCACGACTGTTTATCCGTCACAGAAAACCATGGCATTCAGTGCAGAACCCAGCTCCTCATAGCGATATTATGGCCGGTCGACTTCGATGTCTTTCCTTCGTGTGAGGTTTCCGATATGCCGCACCTAGATATCGTATCTTTCACAGGAGGGGCCTCTTACATCGACTATCGATGCTGCCGCCCAGCGATGCTAATGGCGGCCGAGAAGTCCTCGCGACACTTATCTATCTTCGCATGGTTAAGCATAAGCTACATGCAATAACAGATGCATGTGCTTCAGCGGCCTTCGAGGGTTCATGGCATTGCCATCATACGATTGTATGGCTAGAAGGAAGAAAAGCAAAGGCCGCTTTGCGCACTTACCGTGACCAGTTCTATAGTGTCTGTACCCTGCGTGTAATAGCTACTAGCCTTCATTGATAGTATTGTGTAAAATATTAGGCATCACGTAACACAAATCACGGGACAAAGTCAAGAGAAGTGGTTGAATATTGTCAGCCTGCCGCATGTGCATGTGTCCTTTATATCGCTAGGCTAGCCACATCACATCGCGGCAGGGCCCTGGCTGGCGCTCCTCGTGAGTCTCGTGGGAGACAAGCAAAGAGAAGCACTCAGGGGGTCAAAGATATACACAAAAATCGAATCCATTACAATCGTCCCATTCCCCTATGTCAGGATCGCCTCTTTTTATCCAAAAGAAATATACAAGTCGTCAGACCAGAGAAATTTACAGGACAAAGGCCTGGATGGCAACGACAGCCGCCAGGACACTCATGCCGACGCTGACACCGGAGGCGGCGCCGGGGACGATGGGAGCGGTGGGCTCCTCACCGTGGGGGAGTGTCGAGGTCCAGGTGGCAATGGGGCCGGGAGCGGTGCCGACGGGAGGGTGGGTGAAGGTAGCAATGGTTGTGGGAGAGCCGGGGCAGTTGGGGCCGGGGCACACGGGGTGCTCAGGCTGCTCAGGCTGCTCAGGGGTCTCAGGCTGCTCGGGGTGCTCAGGGGTTCCGGGGTGTTCAGGAGTCTCGGGGTTCTCAGGCTGCTCGGGGTTTCCGGGCTGCTCAGGCTGCTCAGGAGTCTCAGGAGTCTCAGGGCAGTGAGAGCCACCGGGGCATTCAGGCTCCTCAGAACCCTCCTCGCCCTCATCGGGGATGTCCTCGCAGTCCTCGTCGTCCTCATCACCGCCATCCTCATTGTCATCCTCACCACCCTCGTGGTCGTCGTCCTCACCATTGTCCTCGCCGTCGTCGTGGCCGGGGCAGTCACCCTCGCAAGGAACGCCGGTGGGAGTAGGCTCGACCTCGGTGACGGGGCAGACGGTGGTGTAGGCGGGGACAACGACGGTGGTCACGTAGCCGCCAGCAGGGCAGTCGACGACGTAAGGGGGGCAGTCGGTCACGGTGTAGGTCTTTGTGGTGAAGTGGGTGCTGGTGGTCATGGACACGTCGTCGGTGGCGGACGTGATGGTCGCGTCATGCGAGGTGGTGATGGTCGCGCCGTGCGAGGTGGTGGTGGAGTTGGACCATCCGGTGGTGAAGGTGTGGTGGCTCGTCGTGGTGCTGGTCACGCCGTTGGCAACGGATGAAGGGGAGGATGTGGTGATAGCGCTGGTGACCACATCGAGGGTGGAGCTTGCGCTGCTGCTGGCCGTTGTGACGGCAGCAGAGCTGGACGAAGACGCGCTGGCGGAGGGCGAGCTAGACGGCGACGAGCTGGCGGAGGGCGAGCTGGAGGGCGACGCGCTGGCGGAGGGTGAGCTAGAAGGCGACGAGCTGGGGGAAGAGGAGGAGCTCGAGGAAGAAGAGGACGACGACGAGGAGCTAGTGGTCGTTGTGGTCACAGCGGCCGAGGAAGTCGTGGTTGTGACAGCAGCCGTAGACGAGGCGGATGTCGTGGTCGTGGTGCTCAGAACAGACGTGGTTGTCGTGGTCGTGGGCTCTTCGCCACAGTTGCAGTCCAGGGCCTCGAGGACGTGCTCGTTAAAGCTGCGTCCGTCAAGCATGAAGTTGGAGGCGCCACGGGTGAGATCCCACAGGGAGATGCCGCCCCAGTTGGGGCTGTCACGGTGCTCGCAGATAATGTTCTCAATCTCAAAGGGGGTGACGTAGCCGCCGCCGGCGAGGATGCTGGCGGGCAGACCGACAAAGAGGCGGGTGTCCTGGTTGTACTCCGAGTCGGCGAGGATGGCCTCCCACTCCTCGTAGTTGAAGCCACTGCCGGCGGCGTTGCAGCGCGGGTTGTTGTAGAACTGGACAAAGAGGGCGTCAAAGTGCACGGCCTCAAAGAGCTCCTTCATGTAGAAGTAGCGGTCCTCGGGGGGGCACTGGGGGGCGCTGGAGAAGAAGAGGCTGGGGTCGTGCTCGCGGAGGCGCTCGACGAGGGCAATGTAGGGCTCGTTGTCAATGTCGTGCTCAATGTCCAGGTCGAAGCCGTCGACCGAGGTGTGGTTCTCCTCGTCGAGATCAAAGGGACGGGGGCCCTCCCAGTCAGGGTTGTAGGGGCCAAAGGCGCCGTACAAAAAGTCGGCAAACTCGACACCGTTCTCGACGGACGAGATCTCGTAGTTTGACGTCTCCTCGTTGAAGACACCGCCAATGGACAGCAGGACAGTGACGCCCCTCTCCTTGCAGTAGGGGATGCCCTCCTTGAGATTCTGGCACTCGCTCAGGAGGGCGCTGGGCTCACCGTTGGGGGCCTCGTAGACACCGCCACCGCAGTGGCCGGCAAAGTTCGTGCCCGGAAAGCCGTTGCCATGCTCCGGGGCGACGTTGACAAAGGCGAGGGAAACGTATTCGATGCCAGAGTCACAGTAGTCGGCCAGGGACTCAAAACCCCATTGACCCTGCTCATGTTAGCTGGGAACCTTCTTGGCCTCGGACTGGCCCGCCTTGCACGACAGGCTCTGAAAGGGTGAGACGTACCCAGTATCCGTTGAGAGCCATTTTGTGTGTTGTGTGGTATTAGTTAGTGAGTGAGTGACTTAGTGATTGTAAGTTGGCCGAGGCCTGCTGGTTCAAGTTTCCAGCTAAAAGAGAGTGTGGTATGCTGCGAACAGCAAAAGAAGGGACGCAGACAAGAACGTCTGCAAAAAGGAGGCCTGGTACCGAAGCCGTGAGTCTCTTGAGATTGTGAGAGTGAGGAGAGGAAAAGGGAAAAAAAAAGAGGACCCAAAGGGCGAAGAGATTGAGGCCATCTTTGACTACTATGGACGTTGGGGGCCAGGCTACGGAGTCGGAGCCCATCGCACCCACCGGCCACTCCATGCTCGGCGGTTACCCAGCTTGGACTGCGAAGCCACTCTCACGCATGGTACCTGCGTTGGCCAAATCTCCCCTGACGCTGTTGGTTGGCAGATGCTTTCACGCACCAGCTGGGCAAGCATGGACTGTCCGGGGTAATTAGCATTTAGCAGGGCTTTTTGACACTTCTTGGTGGAGGCAGGTAGCTGAGCACAACCGCTTGATCCTGGATGTAGACGAGCGGCGAGCCTAAAGAGGAGATACTGCGGTTGTGGCTGGCGATGGGCTTGCAAATGGAGAAGCTTGATTCCTCGGGACAAGACGTGGGAACTTGGCAGCGGCGAAAGGAGTCACCAACAAGATGCAAGGGGACTGGACGGACAAGCCTTCAATCCGCGATGCAGATGGTGGTGTTGGCTGTAGAAAGCATGAGCAGAGCTAGACTAGGGATAATGCTACGCAGACTAATTACCCCGTAGTCCCTCTGTCACTGGACGTGCGTGCGCCCTAAGCGAGCAGTCGACGTTGACTGTGGGCCACGGGGGGCAGAGGCAGCCAGGCACGCATAGCGCTATTGATCTTCCAGCCTCAAGGGTGTCACGACCGGGACATTGATTGGCCACACTGTCCGTGTGACGAGGATGTGGCTTATGAGACCAAGATGTACCCAAGATGAGCCCGCATGTCGCTGGCCCGACTGGCGCCGCTACTGTACCTTTGTACGCTTCTGCAGGTACGAGGGATCCAGTGATGAAGGAGGGCAGAGAGACATGTGAACGACAGTATCCAGGGAGCATTGGCGTCTTGTGGACAGCGAGATGGTGCCGAGGGACTTTACATTCACACAGACCCGCCAGGAAACCCCGCCAGGAAACCCGGACAGAAACCGGACATGTCGTCGACGACGGGCCAGCCCTTTCCTCTCGTAGCTAGCGCGGTATGCGTGACGAGTCGGAGAGCCCAGCGAGAACCGCCCATGAAGGACCACGGAATCAGAGTGGCACGTTGCTTCTGCGTTCTGATTTCTGAAGGATTGATTGGAGTTGCGACTAGCCCTGTCGGTCTGGATCCGAAAAGACAACATTGAACAAGGGACCGCCTGAATCTGGTACGCACGTCTGCAGCGAATCTCCCATTGCTGGGGTCTTTTGTTGATCCGGCCAGGCAGCCTAAAGAGCATGCGGGCCGCTGTTCCTGCTCCCCTCGCTTGCGCGCAGGGAGTAGCGAATCGAGGGCCTCTGTCATTCGACTCATTCTCCCTCCCCTGGCTCCCCATGGGTCCCATCCATCAGCCCTACGGCCTTGGGTCGGTGCAACTATCCCGCTCATCTCCAGTTTTCGCGAGGCGGCGCGGCCAATCGCGCAGCTTTCGTGCCTCGCGCCCAGCCTGTACCAGCCTGCACTGCTGCAGAATGAAAAAGACAAAAGTGCGCTGTCCACACAGACGGTGACGGATGATGTGGCGGTTGGCTGGCCCGACTGTGACTGTGGGTAAAAGAGTCACGCAGCGTGACATTGGACCTGAATAAGAAGCTCGGCGTCGCCCACTTTCTCTAGGCATTCATGTCGACAAGGACATGCAAAATTACTCCAAGTAATTACAGCAAGACACGACCAGTCGTCTCCTCTGTCCAGTCGCCCCGAGCGCTGTGGCCGTAGTCGAAGCGCTGCCTCTCGCTGCGCGTGCACCAGTCCAGTCCTCCCTCGCGCACCCACGTGGGCACCTCTTCTCGTCCTCATGGCCATGCCTCTGAAGAAACTGGCTGTTGGCCCTAATGACTAATGAGCGATCGTGAGCGTGAGCATGTTGGCCCTAAGGATAGACGGCAGGGTACCCCGGTCGTGGCCGCCTGGTGCCAAGCGTGCAGTAACGCCTTTCGGCTGCGATGGCCGAGTGTCCGAACTCCGACCCCTAACCCCTGTAATGTCGAGCGCGTAAGTTATACGCGCGAGCCTACCCTATACTCCCCAGGGCGTTGAATGGGATAAAGACGTCGATGTCGTCGCAAGTAAATTACTTCCCGAACAAAGTGAGGATAGCGTCCTTCTCCTAGAAGAATTGCTGTCGTCGATCAAGTGGCTACTTGATGCGTCAGCGACGGAGAAGACATTTGGATGGGAGTTGACGAGCTACGAGGAACCTATGGAGGGCTTGATGTCGCGATATGTATCATTGAGGAGCAACGAGATGCGCTCGAGCTAAAAATGATGTGCCAAACTCTAGTCCCTTATATAGGTTCGATATAGATGTGGCAAGATTGTGCATCATGCCGTGCTACACAATACGCTCAGGGTTTCTCACACAATCCCAACCCGCTTGTCTTACATCCTTTTCGTCGCCTGCCAGAACTGCGTGACTGCCCGTCCCATCAGCAGCTGCGCTCAAAGTCCATGTTCAAAAGTACCGAACTCACCATAGGTAAACTTGAGCAGCGTCTCTGGCTGCTCGGCATACAGGCTGTCGATGCTCTTCCTCGACGTATGGTCCACGTCGAAGCCGAGCAGATCGGCTAGCTGCAGCACTTCCTCTGTGGACAGTTGGAGCGCAGAGTGAGTGCCCCATTTCAGCGCTACAGAATTCAATTAAAAGTCATTCTTCATATGAGCAAGGAGGAAATCCACATACGTCCAAGATTGATCCACACCCCACCGGGCTTCAGCAGCCGGTGTATGTTGCTCAAAAAGTCAATCGTATTGTTTGCCATGTCGATGAAGAACAGCGTGACGACGGCGTCAAACTTACTGTCCTGAGGAAATATGTCCAGAAAGTCACCCTCGACCAGTTGGACGGCCTTGTTTGGCCAGTGGTCCGGCAATGTCAGGGTAGAGTAGCGTGACGACGGGTTGGCCTGGTGCGTCCACTTGGTGACAAAGGGCTGCAAACTGTGCTGGTGTAGTGATGTCGTATGGTTGGCTAGCAGGTGGTAGGTCAAGATGGAGCTGTAGTCCATCTCGTTGGCCGTCACGTCGTAGCCTACACCAATGTCAGTACTCCTTGAAGAGCTGGGCAGTGGTCCAGTAGACGAACCGAGGTCAGCAATGTCGCTTGCCAGCCTGCCCATACCGCTCCCAGGAACAAGTACCTTCTTGCTGTTCCCATTGACATTGAAATGACGGTTGAGGCCATCCAATATGGGCGGAAACACGGCCTGCCTCTCCCTTGTGCCCTGCGACGTCCAGTCCCGCGAGAGATGACCAAACGTCATGTCGACAAGGCCAAAGTCGGCGTCATCTGTGGCGCCCAGCGCTTGGGGGCCGGTGTGATACTTCTCCCTCGCAATTCGAGCCACTTTATTGGTGAATTGGGCATTCGTCTCGATACCCTCTCTGGCCTTCGTGAAGTGCTCTGCGTAGCCAAGCTTGTTGCTCAACGCCTTCTGCGCGGGCGTCTGCTTTGCAAATCGCCCATACTTCCGCTGAATTATTTGCTCTGCAAGAAAAGGGTACTGCTCGAAGGAGTTGATGCAGTGGGCCAGCCCATTTGGAAGAGAAGCATGTCTCTTTCTCCTGCTCTCGTTGGGTACGCGCACCGTTGAGGGCTCAGCACCCTCCGATATTGAGGAGAGAGTAAGGGCAATTTCGGACAGCAAGATATTGGAGCGAAGAGCGAGGTAGAGGGAAGGGACCGCGTATAGAAGGAGAGTGAGGAACCGACTGACGGTGAGGGTGCGCATCATTGTGCCTGTTGTGACTTGACGATGAACGTGTCGTCAATGGTAGCAAAAGGAAGGACGGGAGGTAAGAGAAGCCTTCATTGTAAGCAGAGGATAGAGTACGCGTCTCTCAGCGAGACGTAGTGAGACCAGATTACGACGTGGCATCAGGAGTGCTTTCGCAAGGTCCTGCATTAATGGTACAAGTAGTGGCCGATGACAAGCATGCTTACCAGGCGCCATCTTCCCTCATACACATCACACACGTGCAGTGCTTCCCGAGGACAGCCATCTGGATCTTATCGCCTCCCTAACCTTGCTGTTCTTCTCTTCTGGATCAAGAGATGGCCGTGGTTCATTCTGTTCTCCTCCTGTGGACACTCACTGTCCTCGTCGTCCTTCACAGCGTCCAGTTGTCCCGTGCCCAAGCGCACCATCGGAACTGGAACGAGGCACAACTTCCAAAGTGCAAGAAGCTGCTGACACGCAAAGAATGGCGAACATTGACGCAGAGTGAGAAGGCCGAGTGGGTCAAAGCGGTCAAGGTGCGTGTTGTTTCCCTCATATCCCTCCCCTCCACAGGATGCGGCTGATGCAGCTTCACAAAGTGCCTTGCGAGCATACGCCACGAACGGCTATCCTTTGCAAAAGACCATACCGTGCTTGAGGGGAAGAGGAGTCTGTACGACGACTTCTCTTACACGCATGCATTAGTGGAGCATAGTGCGCATAGAAATGCGTACTTTCTACCCTGGCGTACGTGCCGGATGCCGACCTTTTGTCCTTCGTCTTGTGATTCTTATCACCGGCGGCCCAACTGATGCGAGAACAGATCGATGGTTCACTCACCTCTTCGACACGTCTCTACGCGAGACGTGCGGGTACAGCGGCCCTACCCCATACTGGGACTGGTCACGCGATCACAAAGATCTGTTCCACTCGCCCATCTTTGAGGATTCGCACGAGTACGGGCTAGGTAGAAATGGAGATCCCGAGCTGGACTGCGCCGTCACCACCGGCGCTTTCGCGTCCTTTGAGCTCGCCTGGCCGATCCCCCACACGCTGCGGAGGAACTTGACGCTCCTCACCGGATGGTATCCCCATGAGTTGCCTCAAAACCGCACGCTGACACCGGAGTACGTGCGCAATGCGACGGAGCAGACCACGGGCGACTTCTTCCGCTTCCAGGGACACATGGCCCTCCTGCATAACCACGTCCACAACTTCGTCGGAGGCGACTTGGCGGGGTCCTGCCCCCAGGCCATACCAGAGGATCACTGCAACGGCATGGCGGATAGCTTCACGCCGAATGATCCGCTCTTCTGGCTGCATCATGCGCAGCTTGACCGGTTGTGGAATGAGGTATGGCCCGCATCGGGAGCTCCCACTACCACCCTGCGTCTTACTGACAGGAGACGTCGTACCAGTGGCAGCGCCGAGACCCGTCTAACTTCGCCGCCTTTTCGGGCATGCCGTTGGTCGCGCAGGACATGTCTGATCCAAGCTACGACGTCGACGCCAACGCAGATCATATGATGCCCTTTGATATACGCAGTGTGTCTGTGCCTCCGAAGGCGGTATTTGATACGGAGGCATGGCCGCTGTGTTATCGTTATGCGGATGAGGAGACACCGGTATTGGAGTAGACTCAACCGGCACGGCCCTTTAGACTTGTTTTTATCGGATTGCGAGCTACGCAGAAGGGATTCATGCAAAAGTACCGACTTTATATGTACTTTCGAAGACATGGCCATACGAACAGGGTTACCTAGACTATGTTTGCGAATGGCCTCTCAATTCCCATTGGACCTGTGCTCTGAATGGCACCTTTTCTGATCTCATGTCAGTCTAACTACTTTCCTTGATTCTCTCATACATGTCTGGCGTCCACGTCTCGTGATCCTTCTCCATCCAGTCATACACCTGTCTCCAGTCCCGGCAGGTATGCAAGACACCCACGCCCGTAGCGACCTTGTCCCCGTTCTTCGCTTCCATGATCACGCCCCCAGGCTCCAGGGTCGTATCAGCGGCGCAGAGAATGCCTTGACGCAGGTAGTGAAAGCAATGGGCCGTGTGATCCGACCCGTCATCGCCATAGAGAAGCGTCGAGCGGATGTGATTCAGGCAGTGCATCTGGTGCCACATGGACACGCCGAATGCCAAATGCTCCTCCCCTAGAAAGGTGAAGCCCTTGCCTGGGGGCCGGATGGCGTTCCACTCGGCCCAGGCTGGCATGCCGTCCAACCCGTAGTAGTCGGGGTCATCATGGAAGGCGGCTTGGATGGTCCGGACCTTGAGGGGGAGCTCCCGAGGTCGGTCTCCCTCGAGGTAGGCTCGAGTATGTTAGAGGGGAACGGAGGAAATATGAGAGGGCTATTGAAATACTGTAGGCCTGTGTTCCGCGCTGGAGGATGCCTATGGAGTAGACAAAAGCACCTAGATTCAGGAGGAGGCAGGCACCTAGCGCTGCAAGCAAGCCCATGTACAGGCCGCGCGATGGAGTTGCTGACATGTTTGAAAGCATCTTGAGAGTATAGTTGAGTCGTTTTCGGGGGCGGCAAAGTAGAAGAGGAGCAGGTCTATCACTCGGAGAGTCCAGAAGTGTTTTACACCTCTATAGTCGACCCTGCGGCATAACAGGCCTCAGACCTTCTCCGAACTCGGGTCAATCTTTCAATTTCGGGATCTCGTCTATCGAGGGAACTTCTGTCAGCCTCAGTTTCGGGGGGTCGTTGATGCAGGGAACTTCTGACGGCAGAGAGAAGCAGGCAACGTCTCAAATCTCATGCTTCATACAGACGCACGCATGCATCACGATGGCCAGGCAGAGTCTCGAAGCCATTAACTCGCCAATCAATAGGTGAACAAGACGCGGAGAAGGTTGCGTGATGGAATATCACGACCTCTTTCGGGACGTGTGAAGTGTAGTAAGCTGACTTGACGGAGCGCATATACCGCCGAGATTCAGATAGCGGCTTTGAGAACATGATGCTCTTCTTTCTACTACGGATACCCCCTTGATTGCAACTATTAAAGTGCTTCCGAGATCGTGAAGTTTGGTAGAGCGGCCAAAGCCACGCCAACACTCATAGTCTCTCAGTAGCAAGCCAACTCTTTGTCCAGCAGAACGAAAGTATTCACGCCATTCACGATGCATTACACGACCTTGATCAGTCTTCTCGGCCTTGGCCTGAACGTCCTCCCTGTTCAGTCCGCAGTGGTCCCCGTCGATCTAGCCCGCCGCGGCGATGACTCGATCGCCCAGTTCGAGAAGCGCCACGACTACGGCATTGATGCTGACGAGGTCGCTCACGAGAAGCGCCACGTCTATTACAACTCTGATGAGGACGAGGTCGCTCACGAGAAGCGCCACGTCTACTACAATTCGGACGAGGACGAGGCCTCCTAAATACAGAAGCAATAACAACAAGCACCTGCCTGTCGATTTATCGGATATAGCTGACCAGCGTCTATCTATATCTGGATCTGGAGCACCTTTTGCCTGACATTGCCGCAATTCACCAACTTCGACCCGTCATTCAGTGTACCCCCTCCTCATGTTCACCACGTTCATTACATTATCAGTAGCACACAGGTCTACAAACACAAAGAAAATACAATCATGCCTGCAGAGTCGCGTCCATATGTGCGCGTCTTGAACTACGTCTCTCTGAAAACTCTCTTGGGGCACGCTAGAATCCATCAAGTCAAATTGATCACAGATTCACAATTTCGATCAGCCACGAATTAATCTTCAAGACCTCGTGCCAGAGGTAAAAGATAAGGATTGCAAATACGAAATTTCCTCAAGTCTCCATCTACAGGAACTCATCCGGCATTGGGATGAGAGTCTCATTGTTGCCTGCACACATGGCTGGATGTTCCTCTGGAAGAGCCTCCATGTCAGTCATTTGAACGTCGGTACACTACATCTCATGTTAGCAAAGTCTACCGTGTTCTTCACTCTAGGTAGCGCACGTAGTACTCGGTTTTGCCAGTGCTCGGGTCTTTCGCCTCAAAGTACATGACTCCCATCTCATCCAGCTCGGTCCGGAACGGTATCGTCACGTTCAGACAGAGCTGGCCGGAGGGCTTGATGGGCACGTCCTGCAGAATGAGGTGGGAGAAATCATCTCTCTTCCTCGGCACCCTGTTCGTGGTGTAGAGGACAGTCACAATATCTCCAGGATGGCCAGAGAAAGAGAGGAAAGTACGAGTGTTGCGATCATACTTTTGGGGATTATGAATGATGTCCCCTTATGAAAATTAGCCTGCCATGCTGGGGGAGTAGAAGCTCGACGGGACAGATACATACCGCAAAAAGAGCTGTAGTCTTTTAGCTCAGGTCGGACCTTGGGATTGGGGCCACGAGACGACCACGGATACTGAACATGGAAGCCCGCGTGCGCCGCGGATGTGAGGTCGATGCTGTTGCCGATGGCCAGCACCAAGGTGACTGCGTTAGAAATTGATTGCATGAGTGACAGTTGAAAGCTTGAGTGCAGAGAGCAAAAGCAAAGCCAAGAAGTACGAACCGCTAGTGTGCCCAAGGCTCTAGACTCTAGACTCTACACCCCCCTCGGACCCTGCCAGATTGTAGTCGCTTTTCTTGTCCCGATGAGGCAAGTCGCAACTCGCGAGATCGGCAATGCGCAGACTCGGGAGTCGGAACCCGATGGACCTTGTGATGATAGAGATCTACCATGGGGGGGCATGCACATCAACGGCACGGGGCGGGGGCCGGTCACTGGTCCAGTCTGGTTGAGACTGGATGTGCAGCGTCAGCATGCGGGATGCCGATGTCAGCCTGTACATCGGCACAGCGGCTTGGCAGGGATCTTTTGTCACATCAACGGGAGACTAGAATATACAACTCCATCTACGCTGCTACGGAGTACAGGTGCGGGCATATGTGTGCCAGTCGAGGCCTAAAGTGACTGGCTATCAGCGGAGTCGAAGGTTGAGTTGTCGTGCGGTCCCGCTCCTGTTTGCGCGTTCTTCTTGCACATGTGACGAGCCGGCCTTTTTTCACAACTGCCACGGGCATCTCTATTCGCTCCCTGCTTTTGATCTTGCCTTTGGTGACAAAGAGTCTCCTCTATCCTCACTCTGCGCCATTCTGCCTTGCCCTCCCGTGGTATCTCGAAATGGCCTCTTCGAAAGCCAAGTCTAGCTCCTATGCGCCCCTTGGGCAGCATGATGATGACAAGGACTCTATCGCGACTCTGGAGGAGCATTCTGCGGCCTCGGAGAACGACCATTCTGCCCCATTGCTGGAGGCCCCGGACAGTCTGCCCTCCCTCACGCCATCCAAATCGTCCCATTTTCCCAAACTCATATTCTACTTCTCCCTGGCTCTCGTGCTCCTATCAACAGCAAATGTAGCTTTGCTTCCGGCAACGCTGTCCAAGTATCTCGCCTACCCGTTGACCGAGTCCCAGCTCGGGGATCTTCCCCTGGGCGATGCTCGGCTGGGACTGGACAGGGCAGCAAAGGCAATTCCTCCTCCCCAAACCTACGACCATAGTTGGCCCGATAAGATCGCACGAGTGAGCCGAAAGTTGAAGAAGGCCGTATGGGGCGACGGGACGCAAGTCTATATTACCGTTGAGGTCAGTATCCACTGTGGCCTGTGGTCAGTGGCCAGCTTCGCCAATACTTGCACTGGCTTTTCAAGCACCCTTCATGTCTCTGTTTTGTGTGTGCAGTGACTTAGACGAGACCAGGACTCCACAGTCATGCGCTTTACCATCCCGTCCAAGGGTGTCAACGCCTGCGCGCTCTTCTGGCGAGCGCCTCCAGAGCACTCTGCGCGTGCCAAGGACCTGGAGACCAAAGGTGAAATTTCCGAAATCGAGGTATGGAATCTCATCGTGTCCTCAGTGCCCTCAAAGTCTGCCAGTATAGGCAAGATCGACTTTGACACGTTGTCGTACTCCACACTTCCTGCGCGAGGGGAGCTGCTTGGGACGCTGGACCTGACAGCCGAGCCCAATAGCACAACAGTAGAATTTGCTTGCCCCAGCGACGCAGACAGCTTTACTGTGGAATTGCGGTGCCAGCGAGTGGCGTGCCATGTGAGCTTCATGCAGATTGCTATGGCGCCGAGATTTGGATTTGAGTTGGTGAGGAGGAGGGAATGATCGACTAGTATCGTTGCTTTCTGGAAATCAAACACGCTCAAGAAAGGGGGAACAAAACGTCTTGATTGTAAATATACAAAAGTTCCCTGATAACATTGTCAAGGTGTGAGCTGCGTGACTCATCTTTGTAACAGAAGACAAACATAAGAACCAACACAAGGATTCCTTGCCCAATAATCTAACTCTCCCCCACCATCATCACCTTGTCACTCCAACTGGCACATTCAAGCATCCCATGTCCAACACCCTTCACGCACATGATGTATACTCAAGCTGACGCCGCCGCAATCGCCCGCCTTTCTCTTCACGACCCCATCCATCTCGCCGTCCAGGAAGCTCAGACACTTCATCGCCTGGCGCTCCTGGAGGCGTGGAACATCGCCGCCGGATCGAAGATACTGGAATTAGGGTGTGGTCAGGGTGATTGCACCGCTGTCCTTGCCTCTGCTGTGGGCGAACAAGGCAGCGTCATAGCAGTCGATCCAGCGGACTTGAATTACGGTGCCCCCCATACCCTCGGTCAAGCACAGCATCATCTCTCTCAGGGCACTCTGGGCAAGCAGATTACTTGGGTCCAGCAATCGCCTCTTGACTACCTCTCTTCACTCTCTTCGCCATCTGGCACCCAAGACAACACCTTTGACGCGACGGTGCTCGCCCATTCCCTATGGTATTTTGCCTCGCCATCCCTCATTCTGTCCACGTTCCGCGCCATCAAGCAGCATAGCAAACGTCTCCTCCTGGCCGAGTGGTCGCTGGTCGCGACGCAGCCATCGGCACAGCCACACGTGTTGGCTGCTCTCACTCAGGCATCCTTAGAATGCCGGAAGGCGAGCAGCGCGTCAAACGTTCGTACCGTGCTGGGACCAAAGCGTCTTACCGAGCTGGCTCGGGCGGCCGGCTGGCAGCTGGAGGATGAGACCCTCGTACAGCCTGGCGACTGTCTGTTTGACGGACGATGGGAGGTGGCTGCCTGTCTTTCTTCGTCTTTCGAGAAGCAAATAGAGGAGCACGTGAGCGATGAGCGAGAACGGGCGGTGGTTGTTGCCTCCCGGGATGCCTGTGAAGCAAGCTTGAAGGGTGTCCAGGGTGGTCGAAAGGGAGTGAAGTCCATGGATGTTTGGGTGGCCTCCTTTATATGAACGTCAGTCAGCCTACGAACGTCAGCCAGTCTACGTAACCTTGGTTTACATGTTCCCTCAACTCTGATACGACAAAAGATACAAATGTACAGTGTACTCCATTCCATGCTATGTCTATCGTAATTACTCATGCCTCTCACTCCAAGAAAAATCAGTTGGCGCTGTCGAGAACAATCACCTCAGCCTCAGCCGAGCCAATGCTCTCGACCACCAGCTTGTCGCCCTGCGCGACGCCCTCGATAAAGGCCCCATCCCCCTCGCTGAGCTCGGCGTCCTCGCGGCCATCGAGACGAATCTTGGCCTTGCCGTTCTTGGTCATGGGCAGGTGCACAAAGACCTTCCTCTTGGTGGCCTCGGTCGCCTTGCCGCCCACGACCCACGTGAACTTGGCCTCGGGCGCAATCAGCCCGGCGCCCATGGTGAAGTCGGCATTGATGGGGATGGTGCCCTCGAGCGTGGGCTTGGGGTTCTTGTGCTGCTCAGGGGTCGCGTCGGGTCCGCCGACGAGGGGCGACAGGATGCTCACAAAGCCCGCGCGCTTGCGCTCGTCGTCAAAGTGCTGCGTGCTGTAGCGCGGCGCGAGGCCGTTCTTCCAGGGCAGGGCCCAGATCTGCAGAAAGTGGACGGGCTCCTTGTGGTTCTCGTTGAACTCGGAGTGCGCGATACCCGTGCCGCCCGTGGTGAACTGGACGTCGCCCCTTCGCATGCGGTAAAAGGCGTCCTTGTCCACGCCGGCCTCCTGGCCCTTTTTGATCATGCTGTCGCGGTGCGTCAGCTCGCCGCTGAGAATGTACGAGAAGATCTCGGCATTGCGGTGCGGGTGTGTGGGGAAACCGCTGTTGGGCGCGACGCGGTCCTCGTTGAGCACGCGCAGCGACCCGAACTGCTGGTAGTCGGGGTGGTACCAGTTGGCAAAGGAGAAGGAGTGGTATGTGTTGAGCCAGCCGTGGTCCGCGTGGCCGCGCGTGGCGGAGCGGTGAGGCTTGATTGAGGCGTGGCGGAGGGTGGACATGGCGCGGGCTGCGGTCATGGAGGTTTGACTGTCTGTTGTGGTGGTGGTGATGCTGCTGCTGATAAAGTTGGTGATGTAAGTAGGCTGTAGGGTGTACAGGAGTGCTGCGATGAAAGCTGCCAAAATTGCTGAACCGAGCGCGAAGCGGTTCATTTATATTGATTTCAATCGAAGATGGGAGAATGTCGAGGATGAGAACTTTGAAGGTGTTTGTTGAGGCATGACGAGATGCTGATGGATGATTATTTTTCATCACTTATACTGTTCGTTATGATGGCGGCCACTAAGAGTGACCCCTCGATTTGAAGCCGATTCCTCAGCTTCACATAAGCAACCGAATCGGGATTAGCGCGGGGCAATACGTAAGCACGCCTAGGTAATGATGAGTTGCCGATCAGTCAGCGCTCTCGTTCTCTAGGTTAGGCAATTCCGTGTGTTAAGTGGATGCGCAGTCCGAGGTAAGAAGTCGCCAAAGAATCCTGCCTTGGTCTGCCATTTCAAAGGAAGATCACGCAGCGATTGGACACATTGCTTTTCCCTCAATGTTTGTCTTCATCTTGTGGGAAAGCTTTGTTGGACATCAAGTATCTTTGACTGTTTGCACATACGTACAGCGCGCAGCCAAAGGCGACAATCATGTGATCTTGGGGTGAACAGCAACATATTTGTACAAATAATAGACGAAGCGGTCGCAGCTACCATGAAATCATGTCTTCTTATTTGGCAGACCATCAAATAAAAGTTCTCTCAGCTCTGAAACGTGATGGCATCACATTGGGCGCCATCACGGAGGCCATCGCGGCGGCCCGGGCCCCAGCCACCCGGATAAGTGGGTCACCAGCCACACATTTCGGAGCTGGCCCCGCCGCTCATCGCACATCTCATCTTCCCTCACCATCATCAGAACCACCCACCCAAGCTTTGCTTGCACCATAAAATACTATCCTTAGAGGTCGATATAGAAGAAATTGATAGAAAGACTAAACTCGATATTCAATGGCACATCTAAAACCACAGGAACGAGGGGAAAGTGCACCCAGGCAGGCCTCAAAGGCGGCCCGCGGCCCGCGTGGCTGGTTTAACTTACCGACCATCCATCCCAACCTCCCCAGCCTTCACCATTACGCTCTGCCAGACCACCTATACTCCAATCATACTTGATCCCCACAGGTCTCTCATCATGCACGCTTCCCCAGTCTCGCTTCTCTGCTGCATCTATCAGTGGCTGCCCATCGTCGTGCATATGCAGTGTGTGCCTGCATGACAACAAAGAGCCAGCCAGCCAGCTAGCACAGCATGAATTTCCAGAACATGAACTTTGACCATGTCGAACCTCCTCGTACGACTTCCCCTCTCTTCCTCTCTCCCTCACTTACATCTGTCTTGTGTCTGAACGCTGATTTCGTGTCTCACAGGGCAGTGGCCGCCACAGTCTCACCCATCCGAGACCTCACATCCGCATGATCGTCACCTTCGTGGGAACCACCAGCGGAACCACCATCACCATCGAGACGGCGAGGACGCCTCACCGGCCGATTCTCTCGCCCCAGCACCGTCGATAGCGCCAGCGGCGGCGCCAACACCTCCCTCGCCACCGTCCACGTCGACGGAAATCTACGGCCCAGACCGACACCAAAACTACGTCCTCCCCCCGAGGATCAAACCTCTGTCTCAGATGGTGCGTTTCGACGAGACAAATCTCGCCATGCTCGCTTCGCCACCTACCGGCGGTTCCTCCATCATGGGGCCCGCGCCCATGCAGGGGCTGAAAGACGCCCTGGCGTTGGCTGCTGGGAAAGTGACGCCAGGCGTGGACGACGCGCCGTATATCCAGTATGCGATCCAGGCCCTGACCAGACGGCGAGCGAATGAAAACGACGAAGATGACGATGAGTACTCGGACGGAGGATTCGAGGAGGAGATGGAGGGCATACCGACGCCTCCGGAAGAAGAGGATGGGTTATTGAGGAGGCCTGACAGCACGCACCGCAAGGGCTTGCAACGACAGTCTGCCAGCAGCACAAACAGACAATCATCACAACGACAACGCGAAGCGCAGCCCTTGATTCAGACACCCACAGGTCCATCACAACAATACCAGCGCGCAGACAGCCTTCGGAGTCAGTCCCTTTCGCAGCACGATGACTTTAGGACGTTATCGCCGGTGACATTGAGATCATACTCGCGCAACTCGGGGCTCGATTTCCCACCGACGCTCCCGCGCACCTCCGAGACACCGGCACCGCCGCTCTCTCAAACACCGCTTCCCCCTCTGCCGCCGAGCAACACGTGGGTGCCCGTCACCAAGGAGATGAGGGACAACTTCTACCCCAACGACAACACGTGCCCTCCACTCACGTTCAAGCCTCGCATCCTAAGGCTCTTTTCCCTGCTGCTCTTCACGGCCCTCTGTGCATTCATGGCAGCGGGTGCGGTCGCCTCGGCCGCGTACTCGAGTCAGCATGACGGTCTGGTCGACTACCCCGGGACCATCTACTCCGGCTCGTACTTCCTCTTCCGGATCCTACCGCAGCTGATCGGAGCCGGTATCCTGCTGTATGCGCAGAACATTGTCTCGACGTCTACGCGGATCCTCCCTCTGGCGACTATGGCCAGCGAAGACGCACGTGAGCGCTACCTCGCCCTGTTCCAGAAGCTCCACGTCCCGACGTTTCTATACCCATCCCTACAGGGTCCCTGGCAGATCCGGTTGTTCAATGTCGCGACATGGCTTTGTATCTTCACGGTGCCCCTGCTGAGCTCATTGTACACCTGCATCCTCGTCGACGGCGAGTGGACATGGGCCGCCGCCCAAGGAGTAGCCTACACCCTCCTGGCCCTCTACGCCATCCTCGGCCTGTCCGCCGTCGTCCTCATGACATTCTGGTTCCGACGCTGGACCGGTCTCATGTGGGACGTCCGCTCCATTGCAGATATCCTGCCGCTCCTGAACAGGTGCAACTCAGTCGACGGCTACCGTCGCGCTGCTGAGGCTGGCACGACCATGGCAGAGATCAAGGACGCCCTCGAGGATCACTACTTTGATCGCCTGGGATACTGGCGCACGGACACGAGTGGAGGCACGTGGTACGCCATGGGCTCCTCGGGCACGCCAGCCGACAAGCGCGCGGTGCAGAACATCATGGGGAGACGTCCTGCGTCGGCCACATCGCGCGACATGTCTATGCCGCAGCAGCAGCAGCCGTCCTTCATGTCGTCCGCCGTCATGTCCTACCTCCCGCTACCCCTCCGGACCTTTCCGCTGGTCGTGGCCGCGTCCGTTTCGGGTGTCCTCCTCCTGGCGTTGCTGATCGTCTCGTTCCTCCCGCAGACGCGCCTCGACCAGGGTTTTGAGCCCCTGCTGCCTGCACGACCTATCAACACGGCCTTCTCTGCCGCCAACTTCCTGTACAGCTTCCTACCCAGCTGCCTGGGTATGATCTTGTTTCTGCTGTTCCAGTCCCTCGACCACGCGCTGCGGACGGTGAAGCCCTGGGCTGAGATGAACGCACCCGACGGCGCCGTGGCGCGCAAGTCCATCCTCGCCGAGTACGCCGCCTCCAGCGCGTTTGGCGCCGTCTTCGGGGCGGCGAGGGTCGGTCACTGGCGCGTAGCCGTGACCAGCCTCACGAGTCTCTTGGCGCTAGGCATTCCCGTCCTCGCGGGCGGTCTGTTCATGGCGCTGACAGGCCAAGACGGGGACGTGAAAATGTTCCCGTCCATCCCCGTATACGGCGTCCTTCTGTCTCTGCTCTTCCTCACGCTGACGGCGCTCACGCTGGTCATTCCCCGACGGGCTGGCTTCCGGCTCCCGCACGAGGTGGACACGCTGGCGGGCATCATCACGCTCTGCGTGGCCAAAGACACGGTGGGCGACGAGGCGTTTCGCGCCGTGCGCTCGAGGGCGGACCTCGAAGGTCGCCTGGGCGCGGACAGGAAGAGTGATCCCCGACGGGAGAGTGTCTGGACGTTTGGACACGGTGTGCGGGATGATTTGGTGAGTGTCCGTCGGCTGAAGCGGTACACGGAGAAGGGGAAGATGATGACGATGATGAACTACGGTGTTTAATGTGGGCATGTGTACGATTTACGACGTTACTGACTTGGGGAGCGATGGGTGTTTTTGGATGGTGCTGAAAAGGCACCATGGCGTTTCACGAGCAATGAGGTTATGAGGATTCGGCGCGACGGAAAATGGCGTTATGGACTGGATTGGGTTATTGAGGGCATGGCTTGGATGATTAGATCTGATGGTAGAGAGCATGGTTTACGACTGAATGGTATATGGGACATCCAGCATGCCCTGGATACGATGCGTACTGGCACAACGACATGGCGTTTCCGATAACATGCCCTTCGTACAAGTGAGCCCATCCATTCATTATTCTTGCCCATGATTCGTTCGCTACTACGTGCAATGAATACGGACGCCACAGACTGTTGCCAAAGACAACGGCCACACATGCCCAAGCCTTCGTTCCATCCCTTCACCAGACAGGAATGCCCCCATTCACAAGAATGCATTTCTGAATAAATGTTTCATAATCGTACACATAAGATGTGCTATCGTGAGATCGTCCTGTGAAATGGTTCGTACGTAACCCCGTCTTCCCCGAGACATTACAGTCCGACCACTCTGTCTCAGGCCCCCCTTGAGGTTCACTCCAGTTCTCTCATATCCATTACTCCCCAAAGTACACAAGGAAAAGGAGAAGACAATACTGAAAGTGTTTTGCAGTAAGCGACTGAGACAAAACAAGGAATGTACGAAAAACGTCGGGCGGCTCCTCATTATCGTGGTGCTTCATGGTCCCATACCCAGCGTGCCAGCTGAATCCGATGCCCCCTCCCCCATCCCCCCCTCCGTTGCTATGCGATGCTTGGAACAAAGAGAGAAAAATACATCATAGTCGAGTGCATTGTTGATAAGATCGTCAAAGTAGAACTTCCGTAGTGGTGTCATGTAACGTGGTCGTGTGAAATAAACAGACGTAAATGCGAAAAGGCAAAGGGTGTGCGTGTGTGTGTGTGTGTACGCCGTGGTTGTCTCCCCAGGAAGCGCCGTCCATGAGTGTGAAGAATATGCTGCGCAAAAGATGGGTGTGATTTACCCTCCCATCAGCGACTTCGTCGCCCGAGCATCCGTCCAAAGACGTCTCTTTTCTTCTCGTTCGGAGGCTGCAGCCCACATGGGGTGTCAGGCAGACTGGGCGTCGGACTTGTGCGCCCTCTTCGTCTCCCCGTGACAACATCCGGGTCTCGGTCCTCTGTTCTCGACCCTGCGCCCTTTCTCAGATCGCTCGTGGAGCGCTTGTGGAACTTGAAGAAGGACGCGCGTGGCTCGTCGTCCTCGCCATCAGAGTCATCTTCGAAGACTGATATAGGTTCCGGGCGCTTGGGACGGTGGAATTTGATGGCGCGTTGTTGGGTGTATGGGTCTGGCATGGGAAACAGGGGTAAATCCGGGAAAAAGTCGACTTCCTCCGACTCGAACGGGGTCGGAGGCCGATCAGCCACAGAGCGCTTGGGCATTGTTGGTGAGCTAGGTCTAAGCGAGCGTGAAGACCGGTGCTTCTTTGGCACTGAAACTTTGGGCTGCTGGTGGCCGTGTGACGTCTTTGGACGCTCAAGCTCGTCGGATACAACAGGCCTGGCGGCCAGGGAAGAGATCCTTTGGCGTAGTGTGTGCTTTGAAGGAGGAGTGGTAGGCTCCACGCAAACTTTGGGGACTGGTGGGATCTTCTGGTCCCTCTCTTGCTCCTTGCGGAAATGCTCCGGGATGTGAAGAGTGTTGAAGAAGGCAGCAATGGGTGAGGTCTGCTGGATGCATGGAGTCAGGAGCCTGTCTGGTCTGGCAGGACGTGTTGGTGCCGCACGAGGCCTCGAGCTCTCCCACGATGGGCTAGCAGGTCTTGCCCTTGGAGGGAGAGCCACTGGCTTGGGGAAGGCTGAGTAGGTCGCTGCTGGCTGACGGGTTCTGGTCTGACGAGTAGGGCTGTTGGGTAGTGGCCAGCTCGGGCTGACACTTCTCTGGCTGTCCGCGGCGGGCTCTCGCTTCCTCTCTGGTGAAGGAATCAGGGCAGGATACTGTTTCCTTGGGTGACCGACGACACTGTCTCCTTTCTTCCCACCCTCAGGTCGCCAGTAAGACTCCCACCCTGCTGAGTCCCGATGCTGATAGTCATCATCGGCCGAGACCTCGGAATCAGACCTGTCGTCGATGAGCCTTGGCGTAGAGATATCCGAGCCGAGGGAGGTCCTGGGATCCCTCTGTGCCGATTCCTGACGTGCTGGGTATGAGTAGTTGGCAACAGGATAGTACTTTGACACGAGTGTCAGGTCTGCTAGCTTGCTGCGGCGGTCCATATCGAATGCCATTTCTCGACCCATGTCGAAGCAAATTGGAACAAGACGAGCATAAACTGGGTGACCGGATGAGATGTGCAGAGAGACACACGAGAGGGAGGGATTGCATGGCATGATATACAAATATATCGCGGGACAACAAGACCTCGCTCGATCGGATCATTGAGACAAGAGGTACGTAGTTGAGACACGCTCTCGGTCTCACACGCAGCGCCCCTTTTCGCTGAAATGGCCTGATGTTACCCCACATGAGTCCTTGCAGTTGTTGACCTAGCTGCGGCGCATTCCTGGTGCGCCGCAAGGTGGTGGTCTGGTGCATTTCGCAGACAGGCGGTGCTGGTATGTAAACAGGCGTCTGGCGCCGCAGTAAGGCCTGTCGGGTCAGCGGAGACCTGCTTCCAGCCCCTTGCTCGATTCACCTGATAGATGTCATGACCTCACCTCCGCGCAGCTTTCTGACGTGGTTTGAAGTTTTGGCAGTGGCGCCAGGTGTTTGTGGTGGTAGAGGTGGTGGTGGTGGCGGCGCTTGAACCCCGGATGACATAGGCAAGGGAGGATATAGGCCAGAAGTAAAGGCGTGCATGATGCGAGAAAACCCCCCACTGCCTGAGCGATGAACTCTGTACGTAAGTAGTCAGGCAAATGCGAGAATCCAGTCCCTTTCTTTCGATTCTAGGCTTGTAAAATCCTTCGTCGCTCTGCCTTTACGCGGCGCGGCGACCTCACCAAAATGCCCTGCGCACACAGCCAAGGCCATATGTGACAATATTGGACGCCTTCACAATCCAGACTCTTCGGGGAACTGTCGCCATCTCGTAGCCTGAGCGCACTCTGTGAGACAAGAAGCCCACAGGCCCAGTGTCACACCCACCCACCGAGCAATTCGCTGACGTCTGGTATGGTACCCTCAGCTCCCTACTGCTGGAAGCCCTGCAGCAACCCTGAGTTTGGTCCCCTTCAACTTCTGCTGAAGGTCTGTCTGATCGTCGCAACGACGGCCTGGTCGGGATTTTCTGGTGCCATGGCTTGCCGCAGGTTGCTTTTGCAATGCAGGAGGCAAGTCTTGTCAGTTCTCACAATCCTGCACTATGGGGGATCTTCGGACATTTTAGAGCCAGTGGTAAGCGATGAGGCACTGGATCCTGTATCCCGACCATCCTCTCGGAACACGCGAACACGCTGCATGGACGTGGCCGGCCTGGACTCAACGAGGCTGAGGCTTGGTATGTCTTCGAGGGGGGGCTTGCGCGGTGCTGCTGCCGTACCTCGGTTGCTAGAACAGGCAGTTCTTCTCGCTCTGAAGCCATTGCCTCCGAAGACTGTTATTTCCAGTCCGGGATAGATACCATTGGGCACGCGGCCCAGCTTTGGCCGGGCGAGGCTCACTTGACTGGCCATATTCGCAGCCCTCGTTCGTCCGGCCGTACCAGCACGAAACTGTATGCCGGCAGCTGAGGCTGCATAGAAACTCGTCTCGCATGCAAACTCTCATCATCCCCTGACTGAGAAGCTTGTGCCTGAGCGCTGGCAATCTCTTACAAGACCCAGCTAACCGGCGCTTGTGTCATCCTGTGCATGCAGTAGCTGCATCGTGGGCCTTGTTCATTTCATCGAATCGGATGCGTAGCTGGACGAGTGGCCTCGGGAACCCTGAGCAGAACATATGCAGGGTGCAGTCCATCTATTAAGAGAGGCGCGAACGTGGGGATCGCCCATCCTATTTGCAAAGTTTGCCATGTTTCGCTGCCCTGCATACGAGGCTCTAGGTTTTGCGTAATAGGTGGGACGCCGCGGGCAAGGGGTCTAGATCTTGACAGCTGTTTCGCACGGACATGTTTGAGATGAGATGCGAGGACAGACGCGAATAAGTCGCGTGTTGACGGCGACAAAGTGTGTGTTGTGATGGAACTGCTCTGTCGTAACGACGAGAAGCGCGACGAGACGAGACGTGTTTGGTGTTTTTGGTATCTATGGGGAAATGGCTACCCTGCGGCATGCCACCAGGTCGATAGAAACGGTGTTCTCCGCCATCATTGGGTTGCTAGTTGGTAAATGACCTCTTCTTGCCAATTTAGTACTTTCGTCTAATTGATTGACATTATGTCATGTGGTAGGTGATGGCCAGTTTGCCTGCTTGGCATGAACTCATGGCCAAAAGTAAGGGCCAATATTGAACATCAGTCGCGTTTCTACGTGTACTAATTTCCAGCAGTCAACAACCATTTCACCCCAGAATTAGTAGGTGGTAATCAGATACGAAGTCAGTCAGAATTTCCGCCAACAGCGCAGCCATGCATCAGACACTCTCTACGCCCTCATTAGATGCTTGTATTGCCTGTGGTTCCTCCGACCCGGTCCACGCAAAGGCTGCGCAAGATCCATTGCTCGGTGTGAGGTGTAAGCTTCGGCGTCCCATTGGACACGGCATTTGTGGACCTCATCGGAGCCTCCCGCGAAACCCGTCCCTCCAAAGCAGCAATATGGCGAGCAGCACGAAGCTTTTATCATCCGTCGAGTTCAATTTACGGTGCGAGAATCCGTCCATTGGAATCGACAACCAGTCTACAATGCGACTCGAGCTCAAACTCTGCCGACATTGACCATATGCGGGCGTTGGCGACCGACGTATTTCACCCTCGACGGGGCAGATGACGCAGGGCTGCCGCTTGATGCGCTGGCATTGACGGATCCAACGCCACGGCTCCATCGTCAAAAACCTTGGTCCTTGCTGGTGTCATCGACCAGGATCTCCTACCGCGCTGTACTGTAAAGTGAGGAGAAGTTGGCAATGGATATCACTTATGCGTGTGATAGCAAACCTAGCACCCGCCAGCGGAGATTATGTGTAAGGATGTTGGGTTACGAAAGGCGCCCAGGCTAGGCCAGCTTGGTACGCCAAATGTAAAGAAGCAACGTCGTTGTGCGACTCGCAAGGCCAAACGTAATAAATTTCCGTCAATAGCTATCATGTTTGGTAAAGAGGTCACCGGCTGAAGATGCAAACCAGGCATTCATACGGTGACCACGTGCTGGCGCCTGTACCACCTAATTTTCGGGTTGCTTTATTATTGCATACCAGGTTGGTACTAAGGAAGAGAAGCCTCACAGTGAGGCGGCGAGCGCAAGTGCGATCGGACATGGACATGGAGTCGGGCAGGTGCGATTGGTAGGCCTGCAACTTTTGTTAACGTTAGGCTCTCCGGCCGGTCCTCTAACCAGGTTCCGAGTCCAGTCAGCAGCAGCCGCTCCAGTTCGCTCCTGCTCCCATTGCCCTCATATCTGTCGCCCAATTCCTCCTCGTCTGCGCGCCCAGTTGTCAGACTCTGCTCTCTGAATGTGACGTGCAACGAGACATGATCTAATAAGCGCGACCTACCAGAGGCGACGTCAAGACTCAATTGGGCCTCGAGCGCCGCTGGCCCTCGTTTGCTGCCGGTGCCCGTCCTTACATTTCACTTGCGCGCCGCGCCAGGCACACAACTGGTTGTCTCAGTCTTGCAGCACAGACTCCCGAGTGCGCTCTACCAGGCACACAAGACGCACCAGACCAGCGACTGAAGCAGTCAATTGAAACACCGTCTGACGACCTGCTCAACGACCCCCAATTGCACGCTGGCGTCATATCCCCGGCGGTTGGTGGGCTTCATGAGCCCGCACGACAGTCACGAACCAGAACCATCCTCACACCACGGACTCCCTCTGGACTCTGGAAAACCAATAAACTCGAGCGCACGGAACTTGCAGCTTGCGCCAAACCGTCCAGTCACTGGCGACCGCCTTTTGAGGCCCTGGCCACGGTCAATTGCGCTCTGATTAGCTGTGGCGCTGTTCTTCGTTGTTACCGCCACCAGCCACCCCAATTTCCGCCCAGTGCCGTCGGTCGGCGAGCCTGCAGCATCAGCAGCTTCGCTTCCCTGCCACCACCTTTTTTGACATCACCCATATCAATTGACCCCAGCTCGTTGGTACCTTACCATAAGGACGTTGCGTGACCAGGCCGACTCAGTCCGCTGTCTTGGTTCTCCCTCTAAGATTTTCCCCCCGAGCATTGATTTGAGCACAGCATATCCGTTTTGTCTGCGACTTTCACTGAATTGGAACATCACTAGCCACGACTGTCGCCAACCAGCCAGCAGACAGATTCTGCGCCGCTGAGCAGCCGGCGCATTCCAACACACGTCTGATCGGCTATCCCCCACATCTGTACACCACCAGCTTCACGTCTGGTGGTGCGCAGCCGGAGACTCGAGGTGTACACGACTTCGCCCGGCAGAGTGCAGACCGCAGCCTTGTCTTCCCACCGCTCTTCGCATTCTAACGACCGTCACGACATTCACGAGACCACGACCTCGAACCCATACCAGCAACGCCAGCAGCAGCCCTCTCCTGCGCCATCCTCTCATCGTCTGCGACGCACGCCCAGATTCGAGGCAACCCCCAGTCCGGATCCCCAGGTTCACCTCGCGGCTGCTTCCGTCGGCTTCAACCCGAGATCACGCCACGGGCGCAATCTGTCCCAGGACTTCTCGGAGGACCCAGATGAGATTGCCTCGGAGCGCTCTCCACCTCGCGCGACAGACGTGCCCCCAGAGCCCGAACTTCCTCATCCCATCGTCCGGGTCTCCAGGCATACTCAAAGTGCCATTCTTTATGCTCTAGAGGTTTCTCGGCACCCCAACCCCTTCACGCCTGATCTTGTCGAAGAGACTGCAGAGATGGCGGATATCTCAGTCCCCCCAGAAGGACATGGTGGCGGCAACGGCAATGGCCTGGCAGCTCCGCGCCGACCTCCTCAGCCAACCGGATCTCCTTCGGGGATTCGGGGTCCTAGAATGATCATGGCGGAGCGTGCGGCAAGAGAAGCCCGCCAAAAGGCCGAAAAGGCTGAAGCAGAGAGGGCACGGCTGGAGCGCGCGCGAGCAGAACAGGAAGCTCGACTAGAAGAGGAAGCGCAGCGGAGAGTAGCAGAACAACGCGCTGCTGCTGCTGCTGGCGTTGCTACAGGCCAGGACCAGACTTCTGGCCAACGCCGTCCACAATACAATGAGCCTCAGCGTCCACCACATGTCGCTGAAGCCATGCAGTCTATCCCCGCTGCGCCCACTACACCGCAACCGACCACCCATCGACGTTCGAATTCGGCGGCCTACGGCCAGAACCAGCAAATTCCCTCCCAGGTCTACTCTGGACAGAACCAGCAGCAAACGTCGCAACCTCCGCTACAGCAAGCTTCTGTACCCCCTCAAACCGTCGAACCGCCTCCATTGACCGGTGCTTCGGGCAGCTCGAAGCCGCGCAACTCATTCCCGCACGCCTTTGAGCGTTGGGAGACTCTATCTGCACACTGGGAGGGTTTGACAAGCTACTGGATTCGCAAACTGGAGCAGAACAAGGAGGAACTCAACCGAGATCCGGTCAGCAGTCAACTGTCGCGGCAAGTCACCGACCTCTCTGCGGCCGGCGCCAATCTCTTCCACGCCGTAGTCGAGCTGCAAAGGCTACGGGCAAGCTCAGAGCGCAAGTTCCAACGGTGGTTCTTTGAGACGCGGCGTGAACTAGAGCAGGCGCATGAGCTCAACACGGTACTGAAGAATGCGCTCGAGCAAGAGCGACAGGGTCGAGAAGAAGCTGTCCGCGAAGCCCTTGAGAAGCATGAAGGCTCACCCCGCGACAGGGAGAGGGTCCTGGAAATGAAGAAAGAGTTGGCCATCTCCAAGGATGAGGCTCGACGCGCGTGGGAGGAGCTCGGTCGGCGCGAACAGATTGAAAGAGACCGCACACTTTCACTGCAAGCTGGCCACCCCACGATTGTGGGTGGCGTCCAGGTCGTCCCCATGACGCACGGGGCACCAGGGCGGCAGACGAGTGCGCGCGACCCCCAGCAGTATCAATATGCGTCCGAGCATCCCCCTTCCGGGCACGCCTCGCCTGACCCCGCGAGTCAACAGCAGCAGCATCAGCAGCAGCATCAGCAACAGCGTCAGCAACCTCCGCAGGGCGGCTACAGCGAAGGTGAGTTCGTGACCGACGTCCAAGGCCGGCCAGTCTACGACGACCGCGGGAACAGGATCCCCCTCGCTGCGCCGTCCAGTTGCTCGGGTTCTGATGCCGAACTAGAAGAATACGACACGCCGGCAACGACCAACCCACCGAGCGGGACATACGATTCGCCCGCTTCCGGGCCACCAGGGGGAGGCCAACAACAGCAGCAGCAGCAGCAGTGGTCGGGGAATTACTCGGAGCCACAAGACTACTCAGGACAGGCATATGGGGCGCCTAGTTGGAGTGAGCCCAGAGACGCGCCCCGGCACTACCATCCCACTCGTCTCAGCGACGTGATCGAAGAGGAGGACGAGAGGAGCCGCACGAGTGGGGGGCAGATGAGCCGCGGCTAACTAATGTTGGGAGTCGAAGTGGCATTTGCATACAGCGTCTGCATTCACATACTACTCTTCTATTCTCCTTTTTCATATTTCATTTTCCTTTGCCTGTTGTAATTTCAAGATGGGGCGTTGGGCCACGCACGATGAAAGGGACGGGGGTTGGACGGACGGACGGGATCTCTCATCAATCAAAAGGAGGCCGGCGTTGAGGGGCACGGATGGATGGATGGATATGTAGATATGGGAAGGGCATGCATTACATGGGTCCAACAAATGCATCCATCTATCGCTATGAACATGACACACGTACCTACTCAGACTTCCCCGTGCATCAGGACACTGCCGTCCTTGCCCTTTTGTCTCCTCACCTCCACCTCCTCAAAGGCCAGTCTGGGTCCGTCCTCCAGCACGCGCTCCCTATGCCACGGGCCGACAAACATGCCCTCCGGATCACACTCCCGTCTCACCCGTCTCCATTCCTCCAATCCTTTGCCAAACATGTTTTCGTTCTCGACCCGTGTTGTGGTGAAGTTCTTGGCCCAGTGTGGCCGTCCGCCCATTTCGCGCATCAGATACTCAAACCCAGCGTAGAAACGTTCCCGACACGGGGGATCCAGGTAGTACGGCCGGTAGAGTGTCGCATTGAGATACAGCGTGGGTCCGTCCTGCACGGTAGGGTCGAGGTACGGCCTGGGAGACGTGGTGATACTCGTGTCACTGACGCGGACCTCGAGCGGCGCATGCACGTAAAGGCCGTCGGCCGAGATGGGGATGTTGTGGGGGACGTAGTCGGGATCGTCCAGAGTCAGGTGGTTCAACCAGCTCGATAACCTGCGCAGGGCCTCTGGTCCACGGTGAAGAGGTAGCGCCCACTCGTTGACGTACTGCGAGTACAGGCAGTTCATCAGCAGCGCTTGACCGGACGTCTGCACGGCCGAGGCGCTGCTGCCGTTTCGGAACCCGTGCTGCATGCCCATGACAAAGTACTCAACGGCCGGGAGGATGGACGGGATGTAATGACTGAGCGCGAGGAGGTTATGAAAGATGTGGTAGCCAATGGCCCCGTCGAACCAGTTGTACCTGGGCGGCGACTCGGGCCTGTCTGTCTTGTCCGCCTGCCACACGACCGCTCTCCGGGAGTAGGGCATCCACCAGACGCGCACAAACTCGCTCTGTTTCCAGAGCTCGTCGTGCCAGGCCTCGAAGATTTTGTAGTCCGTATCAATGGTCTGCGTCCATTGGAGCTTGAAGGCGGGCGTCGCGCGTATGGTCACCTGCGTGATGATACCCAATGCGCCGAGCGAGAGAGTCGCCGCGCGGAACAGGTCAGGCCGTTCAGTGGCCGAGCAGGAGAGCGTCTCGCCCGAGGCGAGGGTGATCTTGAGTGCGACAATGTCCTCGGACATGAGGCCGTGGCGAGCACTGCTGCCGTGGGTGCCGGTCGAGATGGCGCCTGCAATGGACTGCTCGTTGATGCTGCCGAGGTTGGGCATGGCGAGTCCATGACGATCGAGCTCGGCGCATAGCGTGTAGAGCCGTATGCCGCTGTCCACGACCACGATGCCCGTCTCCTGATCTACTGCGTGTACCTCGTTGAAGTGGTCCAGGTTGACGAGCCAGCTCGAGGTGCAGGTCATGTTGGAGGGCGAGTGGCCGCAGCCCGTGACGGTCAGTCGTTTGCGGCATGTTCGGGCGAGGTCGACGACTTTCTCAATCTCGGCGAGTGTGCGAGGTTGGATGTAGAGCTCGGGGCGGGAGGAAAAGGTATGCGCCCAGGTGTGGTGGGTGTGATGGGCGCGGGCGCGAAAGGGCACGCCATCGCTGGCACGACGGTCCAGCGCAGCGACCACGAGCGGGTCCATGCTGTCCAGTCTTTGCGACGATGCTGGGGCGTCACAGGAGATTCTGCAGAGAGAAGAAGAAGGCTCAAGAGGATAAAGTGGTATTATAACAGAGGTGGGCGCAAACAGTAATAATAAGCTAGTAGAGCATGGCAGGCAAGCTTTGTCCCTGGCGCGGGTGGAGTCGCGAACGGGCTATTCCTGGTGGGTTGAAATAAGGAGGAACTTGCCAAAAAGGCTTCGGAGCCGAGTATCTAGGGGCACATTGCGCTATTTCTCTCTTGATAATGGGATTCCTGACGGCCGGTGGAATGTCGAGCTTCTAGAGTGGGATTTGTCAACGAGTTGGGAGGGGCAGTGAGCAGGGTTGACGCTGGGCGAAACTTCGCCATGTTGCCGATGCGGTTCACGAATTGGTCATGATGCGCCAATTCATACGTGAGTATCTTCGCCTCCTAGATAGATGTCTCCCAGGCTGGTCGATTGATACAGCCATCGTGTTGCAGCATCAGCGCATGCGAATCGCCTGGCTCGCAAGGACGAGAGACGTTCTTCCCGCGTCTCGACCAGCCAGGGTCTGAATGGTGTGTCATGGATGCTGTGCCTGATCCGACGGTTTCCGCGCTACGACGCCGGGCGGTGTAAGGGTCTATGGGTCAACGTCGTCATGACTCTGGGCTAAAATGGGCGATGCTGCGGGAGAAGACTAACCACCTGGATCATACTGATAGCAGTACAAATTATCGCGAGTCAGCTGAGATGTGTCACGCAATCGCCTACTGACCTGTAGGTATCTTCCCTTGCGTGCTAGTCTAGCAGGCAAATACTTGTCCATGCCTCCCCTGGCGTTTGCCGCGCAAGGTCCACCGTCCATGCCCGATTTCTTATCGGAAAGACGCGAATGATTGCCCGTGTTTAAGACGTGGCATCCTGTCGCTTCATAAGCGCTACTTTAGGCGCCATTCACATCAAGCAAGTGGCCCTCTTAGCTCAGAGGTAGAGCGCATCACTAGTAATGATGAGGTCGTTGGTTCAATTCCAGCAGTGGGCAAACACCTTGGGGTATGCTTTTTGTCGTGTGTTTCTTTTTTTTCTCTTGGCCAAACGACTCGCATTCCGCCGTACAATTTTATTCCAAGTATGAGCATCCGGGTAACCTCAATCATTATGCTCGACGAATGTATTGGCGTTCTACCTTGCCGTGGCCTTCGTACCATGGTAGACATGGCAGAAGTGGACTTGGCAGTACATGAGCACCACGCCAGGCTTGTGAACAGCGACCCTAATTGTCAATGAATCCATTGTTACATGACCCTATGCTAAAGCCAGGCAACCCGTCTCCTCATTCCTAGCAAACGACACGCGCCAACGCCGCCCCAATGCGATCCGCAGTAGCCGTGTATCCTGCCAGCGCGAGCCCGATATTGGTATCTAAAGAAATCTTCGCCCCCTTTGTCGTGTTTTGTACACATTATTTAGCCCATTCGACAGTCTCAAGGGCGAGCATTACAAGAATAAGGGTGGATGGTAGGATCCTACAGACGTTAGCATTGGTACCCCATACGGTATGTAATCTTTTACTCACCAAACGACGTAGCTCTGGAAGAGGATGCGGCCCATGGTCTTCTCGTATACAGCATTGATCTGGCAGATCTGTGCCAGCTGCAGCGCGCTGGGGGCGCCGGACAGCAAGAAGCACACAATCACAAAGATGGGATCGTCCAGGATGCTGACGGGGATATACTTGGCGGTGAGCGCGAGAATGGGCGCCATGATGACAGTCGGCAGGACCATGCGGCTGACGAGCGAGGCAATGAGCAGCTTCGTGCCGATCTTGTCATCCTCAGGGTCGTCCACAATATCGTCGCGGGCGCTCGTGTTGTTGGCCAGGTTGGCACCAAGAACCACCAAGATCAGAGGAACAGCAACGCCACCGCTGGAGCGGATGGCATCCGTAACACTGTTCTTGATGAATGAGCCCTCCTCAAAGAAGAGCTTCTGCAGCGTGGGGACGGATGCCACGAGGACAGCGATGAGCATGGCCCACAGGGGCGGGTTCATGAATTCCCAGAGGAACTTGTTTGTCTTTTGCAAACACGTGTTGAAAAATCCGAGAACTGCCTTGATCGGTTTCGGAAGACTGTCGTAGAAACTGGTCAGAGCTTGGCTAGTCTTCTTCTTTCCAGCCGAGACCCTGTTTCCAATGGCCTTCTTGAAGTTGTACCATTTTCTGGCGATGGCTCCCTTGGGTGCGTCCGTTTCATTGTCGCTGATGTGTGGGAAGGACAGCATATCAGAGTCGGGGCTATGACCGTTGAGGACGGGGTGGTTTCCACTAAGGGCCGTTGGGTGCTGCGACAGCTTCTTCTTGTTGGGCAAACCGTTGTCGCCCTCCGCCGCCTCTGCCGCGTCCACCAGAGACGCGGTCGATGCGTGTCCGACGGGCGTGCGACCCGCAGGTTCGTAGCCCTGCGAATCAGTCGTAGTGCTCATGGCGTCCTCGTCGTCCTCCATGCCGCCCATCAGTCGCTCCGCCTCGTGCTCGTCATGTGGCTCGTTGATGTGCTGGCCCTCCTCGGCCAGCTGGTCTTGGTACTCGGCATACTTTTCCTTCGGCGCGAGCAGTACATGGTATCCCCAGCTCCAGCGCACCAGCTGTCCTAGTTGCTGGAAGATGAGGAGGTACAGAATGCCTCTGGCGCCAACTTCGTCGTCGTTATCGCCGGGGATCTTGTCCCAGTGAAGGCCTTTGAGCGTCTGCGACAGCGAGATGACGAGAGAGATGGGTAGCGAGTTGGAATTGCCAAAGACGCCCATGGCCGTCACAAAGTTCGATGCGCGCGCATTGAAGCGGAACAGTCTGGCCACAATCTTGGCCACAACCCACGAGATCAAAGTCTGGACAACGAAGATAACGGGAATGATGGCGAGGTCGGAGAGCTTCTCGGCGCTAAGCTGCGAGGCGAGCTTGGTGAAGATCAAGCATGGTGTGAACAGTGTGACGTTCAGGTTGGCGAGGAACTTTTGCTTTTCTGCGTCGAACTGTCCCAGGCGTGCAACAATGTAGCCTGGCAGACTGACGCAGACTACTTCCAATACGGCCTCGAAAACGAGAAGAACGAGGTGGTCGATTGATGGATGCGACTCGTGCGTATTTTCGAAGGTGCGGAATGGATAGTCAACCGCCTGGCGAGCGACACTCGCCAGGCGAAACGACTGTGGCGCCGTCAGCGATGCATACTGATCCATCAATGATCAGTGTAGATGCGGTTGTTTTCTTTTTGCTGTGTTGTGATTCCCGATGCTGGTCGAGGATTGGTTCGGAACGTAGAGAATGAAGTTACGCCCAGTCGCGTCGGTGGCCGATGATGATGCGTGGCGCAGGGGAGGATTATGACGACCGCAAAGTTTGAAGGTGCGCAAGTTTACGGGGACGGCTCGCAGGCTCGCAGCGGCACGTGCGGAGATTATTGGAGTTGAAGTACTGAACAAGCAAAGAGAGCCTCAATGTTAGCTCAGATAGGACAAAGGGTTCAGTTTCTAATCAATCGTCAATGTGTGAATATTATAACCGGTTTGCGAAACAGATATGAATGTCGAAAGCGCCAAGGCAGAAGAGGGAGGCAGCCCACAAGCCAACCAACAACCTGCGAGCGCGCGCCAGCGCAACCCGAAAACCTGTTGACCTCACAAGGGGCTGTGTTTATCGGGACGATCTATCGTCTCAAGATTCGGATCGCGCGATGTCCGGCTACACAGTGCGCTCGAGCGCTGGTGGCTTGACCGCGATTTACTCGTACAATACTGCCGTGTATTATAGACATTGGCTGCTTCGTCAGACTGCATCCAGAAATGGTTCACTCTCCATGTCATTTACATGGCCGACCGACTTCTCACGCGCTTTCCTCTGCGCCGGGAATTGCGTCAATTTTCGTACGCCATCGCACTGAGGCAGGCAATGAGTGTCGCACAAGACCGGTGTGAGAGAGCCGTCATGTTGATGCTGCGGCGCAAGCAGGTCTTTGGGCAAGCCCATCAACACGTAGTTGGTCAGAGCGCCTGCAGCTCAATGTACAGGCGCCCCAAAAGGCGTTCTGCGTTGGCGCCTGCGGCGACATTCTTAGTGGTTTGTCTACTAGTACTACTTGAGGAAGTAGTAAGTACCCAAGGTAGCTTGCAAATGTTGGGCTTCAGGCGCTGCTGGGGTAGGTGGGACAAGCGCGACACATTGAAAGAACAAGATACGTAGCTCTGTTGGTGTTTTGGATCTTTGATCACATCTCATGTTGGGGCATCATGCAGATGTGCTGGTCCCTGAAGCCATGTTGTGCTGTCGGACGTTATGCTCCGGCGATGGATTTCATTGTGCAAAGGAAGATAAATAACCGCATCGTGTTCTCCATAATGCACACAGTGCATGTTCAGTGTCAACGCCGAGACGTAGCGTGCTGTTCATGAGTTTAATAACTTATAATTATTACGGCAGGACGAGGGACAGGCACCTCTTTGCTGCTCATTTCGACGGAGAGCCAGAAGCTGGGGTGGCCCAGCCACGCTTCAAGACAATTTGATACAAGCTAAAGCCAGGCAAAAGGAAGGAGTGTTCCATAATAAACTTTTCTAGATGATTCAGAAATTGTCGGCTAATTATCTCACTGCACCTAGGCTCTGATCATTCAGTTATCCTTTCTTATTTAATAATCGTACAAGCCAACCGACGAGTTTGTGGCCGTGTTACTACGTCATAAGCAGTATTTGAGACCATCGTCGTTTGACCCCACTACCTAACTTCCTAACTTACTAGTACCTTGCCAGAGCGTAGTATTTAGTACCTCCGTGGAGAAGATAGAATGGAATTTCCTTCAAAGTCAATTTCAAGACTGTTTCAAGTGATCGATGAGGTAAGTACCTATGAACGCGGTCATTGTCGATAGTGTTTATTCCTCCACTCAAACTGACCGTTCGCATCGTTCAGAAGACCTAGGTAAGTACGCATGGTGCGAAAAGGTGGCTCTGTCCAAGGCACCTCCTGCCCTAGTCGAATATCACAATCCTGATCTCTACACAAATCACGATCCCTGCGTTTGCGCCCATTGCTTCGCTGCAGCATGTACTCCGCAATTACCTTTGCCAGAAACTAATCAGTAACTATCCACTGTGAACGATTGAGAGGTAATTCCTGGTATTCTTTGCTCGTGTGTGCGCTCCACATTCCAAAGCTACTTACAATGTACTTCTGGTTTCATCGACGTTGCGACTTGTTATTACCGAATGAGAGCAGGTGAATGTTGGACTCCTGGGTTTAAGCATCAGAACGTCATGAACCTACAAATGCCATTTCGCAAACCGATGATCGCCATCATTACCATCATCATCGCATCATTTCATAGCACCACAGATGCCATTGCAGCCACTGACAGCGATTCTGCCTACCACTGACCCCTCCGTCCCTCCGTCCCTGGAACGGGCCCTGTACACAGCGCGACAACACCCAAATCGAACCCCGCATCCCGCCTACGTGTACTGTACCTCAAGAGTGGATCGGACCTGCCACTGTCTTCCCAGTGGCCGTTTGAACTTTGTTGATCACCTGCTGACGGAGGACTGGAGCTTACCCATACCCTGCCAACAATGTCTTGATTCTTGGTGTCTCTTTCTCCAGTCACCTTATCGTAATTTCTCCAAAAGACGTCAGCCTTCCATACACTTCCCTCGAGCTGTACGCATGTGAACATGCGAATGCCGACAAACAAACAACATATATCGATAACATTCGCTGATAGGCCTACGGCCAAAGCATTTCTGATCTTTGAACCAATACGGCCTGTTAGGTCACCGAGCCCTTCGCTACGACCCGTCAACCGTGCGTGTCACGCCCCCAAGTGAGCCACGACGTGATCACTCGATTGTCACTACTGCATGCTTCGCGATCTTACGAGCTTCGAAGCCATCCGCCATGAGCGGCAATACCTCACCACCGGTCACGCCGGACGAGTTGAACGATGCAACTACACCGGGCTCCGAGACCGCATCCGATCGTAGCACTCCTCTCGACGAGGGCATTCCAGATAGCCCCAGCGAATCTCACAAGCGGGTTCCTTCGCTTCCGCCATTGTCCGATCCACACAACATGAACCCCAACTCAACTGCGCTGGGGATATTGGGTGCCGCTAGGAAGCCCGTCATGAGGCAGCAGTCTTCGTTTGCCGGCGGCGCTGGCCTGGATAACAGCGCCATGGCCAAGGCAAGAGCATTGCACCAACAGCGCATGCAAAAGGGCTCTGCCGGCTCAGGGTCGCCGTCCGGTCCGTCGCCCACTGGGGGACCTAATGGGTTTCCTGGAAAGCTCCAGTTGCCTGGCGGCATAGCAGCAGGCGGCATGGCGGGAGGCATGTCACGACCAGGTCCTGCCGTAGGAGCACATCCCCAATCGGCCCCCGTCTTGCCAAAGACTTCGCTCGGGGACAGGAGAGCCAAAGCCATGGGTGGAGGCATGAAGTTGTCAGACATGGGTGGCGGCGGCGATGGTGGTGCCGGTGGCTCGCCATCCTCTGGTCGGATGCGCCGTCCCAACGCGCCATCATTATCAGGCATGGGCGGCGGTCCAGATCCAGCAGAGCAGACTAAGCAGACCTCCAAGTTGGACGATTTCAAAAAGTTCATCGACGCGGACAAGGGCTGGATCACCTTTGACGGCGCTGCCACCATTACCCGCGAAGGTGTGAACTTTGCCAGCGGACAAACGTTCAAGATATCTCTCGACGAGGTTGAAATTGTGAGCGAGCTTGGCAAGGGAAACTACGGAACGGTATATTTGGCACGGCACGCAAAGCCACGAGTGCCACGCTTCGGCCACGGTCTCTCAGGGGCGAAGCCCCCGATGCCGCACACCGTTTCCGACACCGTGATCCACCCAAAGGACGATGGGACAACTGGCCTACCCATGGCAATGAAGGAGACTCGGCTCGAGCTGGACGATGCAAAATTCACGACGATCCTCAAGGAACTGGTCATCCTGCACGAATGTGTGTCCCCCTACATTATCGACTTTTACGGCGCCTTCTTCCAGGACGGCGCTGTGTACATGTGTATCGAGTACATGGACGGAGGGTCTATCGACAAGCTGTACGCTGGCGGCGTACCGGAGAACATTCTGCGCAAGATCACGTATGCTACTGTCATGGGTCTCAAGTGCCTAAAGGATGAACACAACATCATTCACCGCGATGTGAAACCCACCAATATCCTGGCCAACACGCGCGGCCAGATCAAGATCTGCGACTTTGGTGTCAGTGGCAACCTCGTGGCCAGTATAGCCAAAACGAACATTGGATGTCAAAGTTACATGGCTCCCGAGCGCATTTCCGGGGGTGGCATGTCGGCGAGTGGAAACGCCGACGGGACATATAGCGTGCAAAGTGATGTCTGGAGTCTGGGCCTGTCCATCATCGAGTGCGCCACAGGACAATACCCGTACCCGCCCGAGGTATCCTCGACCATCTTCAGCCAGCTAAGCGTGACCACAGCCTCTCTTCACTTCCTTCTGTCGCTAATAAATGTAGGCCATCGTGGAAGGCGAGCCGCCATCGCTACCTGACCACTTCTCCGATGTAGCCAAGGACTTTGTCAAGGCCTGCCTGCACAAGGTTCCTAAGCAACGGCCCACATACGCCATGCTCTTGAAGCACCCTTGGCTTAAGGAGTTCAGTAAGCCCGAGACAATTGTCGAGGAAGCAGAAGAGGGCGACGAGGCAGAAGAAGCAGCTCAGGCCGTGAGCAAGTTGAACATGGGCTCAGGAACAGAAGACGAGGAAATCGCCACGTGGGTAAAGAACATTCTGACTGCGCAGGGGGACGGTAAGCAGGCGGCCTTTGCTGAGCGGCCAGCCTTGCACGCGGCGCCGCTTGATACCGTCAGCCCGATGGCCAGTCCACAGATTGGTGCTGGGCCTAGCGAGGCGTAAAATCGAGCTGGCTCGTTTTTCCCTTCTTTTCTTCATTTCTTTTCGAACATCAAGGTCACCGCATATTTCCTCCTGTACACGAAACGTTATCAGACCTTTTCTTACGCCCGGGGCTGTCATTGGGAAATTTGCTAGAGTGGGAAGCCATGAGGATGCGGCTTGGGCAAGCGGCTGGCATGTTGTGTTGGCCAGTCGATGTTGGGAGGCGGAGATTCTGTACATATTTACGTATCCGCTAGCAAGAAGAAAGAACGGGAGGAGGGCAACCAAACATGAAATACTCTTTGTATATTGTGCGACTTTGATCTTGAAGTGATTCGTGTAGATATTAAAGTATTAGATTGATGGATGTTCCCATAGCCGTCGTCGCCGGACCGACGCCTGCGTAACTTAAACGTAGTATCCCTCGTGAACGCCAAAAATAAAATGACCGTTTGGATATATCCTTCACCGATACCGACAATTACATCATCACGCATGTACCTGAGCTCTCTCAGCTCGCATTTCGTTCGTAGTCCCCTGCGCCTCACAGGGTCTCCCTCACTGTGTGACGGCCGGCCCACCTGGAGTGACATTGTTTGCATCCGCACTCTCCATTGTCGCCGTCGCCTTGGCCATTGTAGGTTGCGCGAGTTTCGCAAGAGTGCGTTTCTATGCGTACTCCTCCTTGACCCTGCGTCCGTCGTAGGAGCTGCTCCTCACGCTGCGGTTGCGGCCCCAGCGACGCTTGGTGTGGCCGTTTGTGGCTGTTGCGGTCGTGTCCTTGCGCGACTTGTTGGTCTTGATGCCGACGATGAAGAGGATGGTCGCGAGGAAGAGGGTGAACCAGGACGCCCACATGAAGCCAAAGGCATACGAGCCAACCTTGGCGCTGCGGTTATCTCTGTGGAAGGCATTGCGGGCCTGGACGAAAACGGCACTGGTTCCTGGTTAGTAGAGCACAAAGCACGTAAAGGGTTCGAGGGATCATACGTCATCATGGCGGTACCCAAGCTGTGGAAGAAGAGGGCCGTGAGGGCCATGAGGCTGGCAATGGCAGCACCCAGACGTCCACAGCAGGCGAGGAAGGCGGCGAACCAGGCGAGTGTCTCGAAGAAGAGGTTGATCAGGATGAAGACCCAGGCGAACCTCCACATGTAGTAGTAGTGGAAGGAAGTAGTACCGCCGCCGTGGGTGCCGATCAAGCTGCTCGGGGCCTGCGAAGCATCGCGATCCCACGCCTTGCCAAAGGCCGGCGCCGGGCGAGGGCTGCCGCAGTCCCTGTTGTCGGGGCCGCAGAAGTAGAAGTAGGTCCACTGGGTAACATCACGGGCGCCGCTGATGCCGGAAGTGTCGGCTTGCAGAAAGTAGGTATGCCTTAGGGGCGTCACGTGTGTCACGCCCGAGAGGATGACGAACCACAGGAGGAGGAGAGAGCCGGAGAGCAGGATGATGCCTGTCGCACCGAGCGCGGCGTCTGTGTGAAGTGGTCAGCACATTGTCAAGGTCATGCGATCAAAGGAAGAGGGCAGGACGCACTCTTGAGCATCGTGAGTGGCGGTGATGGTTAGGTAGGTAAAGAAAGTAGTCAGGTGTGTTTGTTTGTTGCAGTTGCGAAACGCCCAGGCGCCAGTGGTTGTCGACGAGGTAGGACCAAGGCAAGTGTTCGTAGCGGACGGAAGTGGATGAGATGATGGAGCGTGACGTGGCGGGGAGGGTGCTCGAGCTTTAATGTAGACGATTCCTGGTGGTGCCGAAGGTTTGATGATGGTGGTGCGTCACCCTGCGAGGCTTGAGGGGCCCGAAGCCGATAGTGCCACTGGAAGCAGGAAAATCCGGGCCTTGGGATTGGAACTTCGTCTGGGTTTCTGCTTGCGCGATGCTAGCCTCGGGCAGATTTGCTCTAGCGTTACTAGCTTAGCGTCGATGAGCTACCGGCAACTGGAATGTCTCACACCGATGCGCTTCAAGCTTGGAGCGATTGAGGTTCAAGTTAAATGAGGGTTTCTCTCTAGACCGAGCTAAACACAGGGTAATTATTTTAGTCGGTGACCGCGCGGAAAGTCTCGTGCCCCTCTCCATTTCGGTTCGACCTACGTACGACCCAAAAAAGCCAATTAATTGTCTGTATCCGTGTCATCAACAGCGCAAATTGCTGCACAATCAAGACCGGTATGTAATGCCAGCGCGTTCAATTACGTCGTCCGATGGCGCATTGCCTTTGGGGAAGCTACGGGCCCACGGTAGCTCGGCAGAGTGGGGACTTGCATCATGTGCATGACGACAGCATACCCCGGTCTGTTAGTGCACGCACAGGCTGCCCATATCAATATTAACAGAAGCTAGCAAAACCTTGTGCATCCGCCTAATGCCCGAAGCAGCTGGCATTGGTGATGTCATGAGCTGGCCATCATCACCAGTGACCAGATACCGAGAGATGCACAAGTCATGACAGCAGCTGGAAAAAGTAAGTTGGGCGAAAAGAGACTGAAGCGGCGATCGTGCTAACACGTAGCAGAAGAGCGGACGAAGAAGCCTTGGCGGGTAGCTTGACACAGGGTGAGATGTCGGTGTTGCTAATCGACGGGCGGGTGGTAGTGGCTGAGACAGACCACACGACACGCGGTTACTGGCGCAACTCTTTGTATCATAGCAGGAATTTGATTGAGCACTGAGCGCAGATGTGAATGTTCCATTGCTTCATGCGGGATCTAGAAATAGCCTCCCAAATCCCATGATGTGAAGGAAACTAGGTGCGGCGCACTTCCGATGCGATGGATCGTGCGTGCAGCGGCAATCAGGACCCTTGACAATTGGGGGGCCGAAATTGATACTAAACGCCGAAGAATCAAAACTCGGAAGACGCAAAACACGTCGCGACAGCACTGCGCTGGGCGTCCACGGTCGCTCTGAAGGACATCACGACACTCATTTGTTTATTAAAAATATGCCCAACCCGTCAATAGCTAGTATGCTTGCGCGGACGCGACCCATCGCGCGGTGCCTGCGATTGAGATACGTTTGCGCCCGGCAAGCCAGCTCCAAGGTCCCAGTCGAACCGCCTCTGCTCCAACACCAGCACGTCTCACGATCTGGACTCATTGGGTACAGCGATGCGAATGCAATCCAGAGTGCCTTTCAACACGGTTTTCTGCAGTGGAAGGACCGGGCTAAGCATGACGCCTCCCGCTCTACCATCGAACCCCCCCGGCCGAAACTTGTCTCGTTCGAATGCAAGCCCACGTTCACGATAGGACGGCGACAAGACGCGTCAATACTCGAGGAACAGCAGGCGACATTAACGCAACCCCTGCAAATCGATCTTCCCAATCGCAGAGAACCTACACAGCAAACCTTCACACCGCAGATCTGCAAGACGCAACGCGGTGGCTTGACGACATACCATGGACCAGGGCAACTAGTTTTATGGCCGGTCCTCGACATGCACTCGCCGCTCTACCCCAACTTTACGGTCAAGAGCTATGCTGGGCATCTTGAGGCAACCACGCAGCGCGTTCTCTATGACCTCTTTGGCATCACGACATATATTGATGACGCAGAGCCAGGCGTTTGGATCGCTGGCAGTAACGGCAGAGAAGATCGCAAAATTGCCGCGCTAGGCGTCCACCAGCGACGGTACGTCACCTCGCTAGGCCTGGCGCTCAACATCGACATTGCGGTAACAGGAGATACCAATGTCAACCCCTGGAAACGGTTTGTGCCTTGTGGAATCGAGGGCAAAGGCGTCACGTCTGTGGCGGCAGAGGCCGATAACCGTCACAAACCAGCGAGGTGGGATCTGGAAGATTTATCGAAACAATGGGCGAAGGTCTTCGAGAACGGCCTGTTTGATCCGTCACTCAGGACATTTACACATGGGAGATGACCGTGTCACGCAAACCAGGTCTCCGCGCGAAGTTGTAGCCCAATCTCCCATGCGATGATGTTCTACCCACGCCAAAGATCCCGCCCAGCCCTCACGAGCCTCCGAAGTCGCTTTCCGGGAGATGGGCTCTGCATGCATAGCAGACTTGGCCCGCGGGTCTGTGGAAATGGCTGAGCAGTATTGGAATACCGGATAAATTCGACACACAAGATATCGGAGCAACATGCGTGGGGGTGAACCATTGGCCGCGATGAAACGCAGCGCTGGTTTTGCCAAATCATCAGCAATGCTGTCACAACGATGCTCATCCAGCAAAGCCGAGACCGGACTGTGTCGAAGGCGTCCGGAATGGCCTCGTGCATGAGATTATCATCAGCCTTGTCAACCAGGCTTGACCAGTCGACTGATACTGCCGCATCTCACAGCCAACGTTCTTCCCCAATGGCAATGGGCAGTCCGTGTCGTCGACCACGTAACGACAATGTGTCAAGAGTGGGATGGTTAAGCTTAAAACGAAGTCCACTTCTACTGAGAGAGATTCCTATCCACGATTGATCCACGCAAAACGGGCGTTGATGGCTTACCATTACCCCATGCATGGATTCGCATCCGATGGACACTATCTTCCACTGCGGGATGCAACGTGCTCCGCTGATAGTGCACTATGCCTCAACTCAGAATCGGAGTTGTCTGCCAAATGTGGCCCGTGCGTCTCTGATAACGGACATTGACAATCGCGCGCTGATTGGCCGCGTCTCATTGCCGCGACATCATCCCCAGATGCCTTATCAGTACTCCATGGATTTCGCCATGCAGCCCGTCAGCGGCACTCGCAAGTCTATCACGCATATCGCGGATAGTCTTATCGGTTCGTGAGTGTCATGAAAAGACTGCTCGCCAAAGCTTCCACGTATATCGGGGACTTCCGACCAAAGACAGGAGCATGAGTAGAATCGAATGCCACGTCCGACATTGAAGTGCGCATATTCGCATGGCGCAAACGTAAGATGAACACTTGGGGGCCACAGTATCGGCTGGCTGATAGTGGCTTTCCTGATAAGATTGGAGACCTGGGGAGAGCCATCCCTCCAACTTCCAAGTTACCCCAGCTGGTCCCCGACTGTGGGACGGTATGATTACCTATGGTGTGGGCTCAAGGGTCTCGGACATTTCGTAACCGACTAATTACGTCCCGTTCAACAGCTCTTATCATTGATAGCGGCGGTTGTAACTTGTAGCTCGATGATCTCTATCTTCTCGGCATGCAGCGACATGCAACTGAGGGAACCATCTGCAGGGTGCTGCTGAACATGTATATCAAGGTGCCACCTGCAACCTCGTGGCATGGACAGCTCCCACGTTTTCATTCGAGATCACCTGCCCATTGAGATTCAACAGTTAAGATGCCGTCAGCTGCTGTTGGCCCAGCTCTGTCCCAGGGCGTCGGTTATGGCGTCGTCCTTGGCGTTGGAGCTGCCTTTGCTGTATTCATGATCACCCTTACATATATCCTCAAACGATTCAACAATGAAGTCCAGACTTCGGAGATGTTCACAACTGCGGGCCGATCGGTCAAGTCTGGTCTCGTCGCGGCAGCTGTCGTGTCATCGTGGACATGGGCTGCGACCTTGTTGCAAAGCACCGGTGTCTGCTACCGATATGGTGTTTCGGGACCCTTCTGGTGAGCATGTCTCTTGCATAGCCATGGAGGCCGCATACTCACAATCCGCAGGTATGCCTCTGGCGCAACCGTGCAGATCATCTTGTTTGCGACGCTCGCCATCACCCTCAAGAAGCGCGCCCCGAATGCGCATACTTTCTTGGAGGCCATCCGTGCTCGCTACGGCGCCCCTGCGCATTTCACCTTCATCTTCTTTGGCCTGGTCACCAATGTGCTCGTCTCCCTCATGCTCATCGCCGGAGGTGCTGCCACGATCAACGCCCTGACAGGGATGCACGGTGTAGCGGCCATTTTCCTCATGCCCATTCCCGTCGTGGCCTACACATTCATTGGTGGTATCAAGGCAACATTCATCACGGACTACATCCATGGTGCTGTTGTCTTGATCATCATCATCACGTTTGCTCTCACGGCCTACTCGACATCGGAGCATCTCGGCAGCCCTGGCGCTGTGTACGACCTCCTTGTCGAGGCCGCTACCAGGCACCCGGTGGAGGGAAACAAGGACGGAAGCTACTTGACCATGCGCTCGACTGGCGGCATCACCTTCTTTGTGATCAACATTGTTGGTAACTTTGGCACCGTCTTCCTGGATGCATCCTACTCTCAAAAGGCGATTGCTGCGCATCCGGTTCACGCTCTGCCTGGCTATATCATTGGTGGCTTGGCTTGGTTTGCCATTCCTTGGTTGACAGCGACCACTCTCGGTCTTTCGGCTCTGGCCCTCGAGTCGAATCCCATTTTCCCTACATACCCGGATCGCATGACGGACGCCGATGTGTCGGCTGGTCTGGCCCTCCCCTACGCCGCGGTGGCTCTGCTGGGCAAGGGCGGCGCCGGTGCCACCCTGATCATGGTCTACCTGGCTGTCACTTCGTCTTTCAACGCGGAACTCATCGCCGTCTCGTCGATTGCCACCTACGATGTCTATCGTGCGTACATCAATCCCAGCGCCACAGGCAAGAAGCTCGTGTGGATGTCGCACATGGCCATGGTCGCATACGCCGTCATCATATGCCTCATTTCCGTCGGACTCTGGTACAATGGCATCTCCATGGGCTACTTGTACCTTTTGATGGGTGTCCTGATCTCGGCGGCTGTCATCCCCGCCACACTGACACTGATGTGGAAGGGACAGAACAAGTGGGCTGCGACCCTCTCTCCTATCCTGGGGTTCATCTGCGCCATTATCGCCTGGCTCGTAACCGCCAGCAAGACCTGTGGGACCCTCGATGTCGCGTGCACCGGATCCAACGACCCAATGTTGGCGGGCAATGTCACTGCGCTGCTCTCGCCCCTCGTCTTTGTTCCGATCTTCACTCTTATTTTCGGACTGGACAAGTACGACTGGCAGTCCATGCTGGCCATTCGCCAATCAGATGACCACGACATCATCAAGAATGCAGGGCTGAGCCCCGAGGCTGTGCGCGAGTTGGAACGTGCCCAGGAGGCAGACTGGGTGGCAGAGAGGAAGAAGCTGACCAGAGCTCTCAAGATTGCGAGCGTGACAACAGTCCTCTTGTAAGTTCTCCATGGTCCTGGACTATTCAATGCTCAAGCTGACTAACAATTGTAGGGCGATATCATTCCTGGTTCTGTGGCCCATGCCACTCTATGGCTCGGGATACATCTTCAGCAAGAAGTTCTTCACTGGATGGGTGATTGTTGGCGTCATCTGGATCTTCTGCACCTTCATTGCCATTGTCATCTACCCTCTGCGGGAGAGCCGTGTGACGCTGACCAAGGTGACGAGGACAATGCTCGGCATGAAGAGCAAGGACACTCCGGTGGTCGAGGGCGAGCCCGCTCTCAGTGGCACAGCGACGCCTACCACCAAGGAGGGTGTCATGAAGGGCGAGGAGAAGATGGATGATGAGAAGGTCTAGATGGAAGTGATACCCGTGTCGACGACGCTACCAACAATTGAATACTCAAAATGCCCTCGTTGAATATTCCATGTTTTATTTGATGAAGACCACATGTACCCTGCGCGTTGCATGTGCGCCAGGAGAAAGTTCTGAGCGGATGAACCAAGAACCCCTGAGTTCAGAGACGCCCACGGCCCACCAGCAGCGGCGCCCCGCACCACCAAAACTTGTCGACAAATTTTATGGTCAGGCTTATAAGCTGCATAATGAGCGAATTATCCAGCGAATCCGGTGGCAAATCACCATCAGATATTCACTTGGCCCTCTTAGCTCAGAGGTAGAGCGCATCACTAGTAATGATGAGGTCGTTGGTTCAATTCCAGCAGTGGGCATTCATTTTGCTGATTTCATAGTCTTGTTGATTACTGTCCATGAGGACAATCGTGGACGTGGTGCTTGCTTTTTGCCTGCTTCATCAGTGGCAGAGAATGTTCCCGTGCCTAACACTGAAGAGCATTTCTCTAAGGGGCCAAAGTTTTGTAAGATACGGAAGATTTCACATATTCACCTCGCAAATGTAAATTATGTACCTACCTTTGCTAGCTATCCACATGTAGGGTATTCAATTCAAACTATTTTTTGGAGTCTCGTTGGAAATTCAGGTGCACCTTTCCCATGGTACTTCACAGGGTCGATTTAGTTGAGCTGAAATTTAGAGCTCTGCATGAATGTAAAAGCGTGAAACTTGAGCGAGATTCAGGGCAGACACTCTACTCTCAACTTCAAGGACGTCAAGTCTTCGATTGCATTTTGGATCATCAGCCTTACATGCCCCGCTCCACCTGATTGGTGCCACTCGATCGCGAGGCTGCACCATCACTTTTTCTCCAAGTGCAACTGAGTTTGCTCTGGACTCAACCACGCCTTCTGTAACGCAATCATAATGGCTCCCGCCGTCGGTCTCTCAAGAAACACTTTTGCCAAAGTCTCCCCCCATCCTTATTTGCTCGCCAACCTCGACCCTCCCGTGGGGACTGCCCACGCTCCTTCTCGCAGCAATGGGCGCTCGCCAAACCAAGTCCGCACACCATCCGTCAACCTCGCCAGCTTGAGCCATGCCCACGGCAGCGCTGTCGTACGCATGGGGGATACCACAGTGATCTGTGGTGTGCGAGGCGAGACCATTCTCACGTCGCAAATCCCCAACTATCGCGCCGACAACACCGAAACCGAGCTCAAGGACTATGACCTACTCGTGCCCAACATCGAGCTCGCTACAGGATCAGCACCCCAATTCATGCCTGGCGGCCCTCCGACAACTCTTGCACAGACACTGAGCACACGCGTGTACTCCCTCTTGCACAGCTCCAAAATTCTGAACCCAGATGATCTACGGATATGGTACGACAGACCGAGCGATGCGATCCCAGTCGACAACGATGCCATGGAGCAGGATCAACCGACGGAGCGGGTAGTCGTGGCATACTGGGTGCTGTACATTGACATTTACTTCATCTCGTTCGACGGAAACCCGTTTGACGCGGCATGGGCGGCTGCACTGGCTGCACTGAAAGACACCAAGATCCCGCAGGCGCGCTTCGACCCAGACAAGGAGGCCGTCGTCTGCTCAAGGCCGAGCCCGAGGCCACTGAGCATCAAAGGCAACCCAATTGCCTGCACAGCGGTGGTTTTTACTGGAAAGGAAACAGATCGACCCACAGAGGGACGGTATTGGCTGTTGGTTGACCCTGATGCCTCGGAGGAGGTATTGTGCGATGAGAGTTTGACCATTGTGGTGGACTGCACAGATGGTGTCACCAAGTTCGTCACAATGTCGAAGCATGGTGGGACCAATCTGTCTAGCAAGATTCTCACCTCAAAGGACATGCTACAGTGGACGTCGGCAAGGTGGAAGGGCTTCGCAGACGCCATAGCAGCAGGGCAGCCGTAGGCCCAGAATGAAATGATACCCCAATCGATGCCGTATCTGATGTGATACAAGCGGGATTCCGCGTCTGTGAACTAGCTACCTCACTAAAGAACAGACGCGCACTGGCAATAATAGTACAGTACATTCAAACGTGGACTTAGCAGCGCAGTAGACACGGGACGCGACGTTTGTGTGGCACAGAAATGTGTCAAGCCATTCGAACCACCCTTTCAAATCGTGAAATCTAGGGCAGTAGATACCGGCAGACAATACTTCATCTCCCGCCCATTTGTATCATCCAGAACTGAATCCGAATGATACGCGTCGTGCCAACAATTGGACATTTCGCGTTGTGATGGGCGGTTGGTGAGGGTAGAAATTTGGTGGCCGGTGCGACGTGAGATGAAGGTACGGGCGCACAGACCACCAAGCTCACGTGCCCAGATGCACCTCCCCACTTCGAAATTCTCCAAGAGCATACCTGACTATCGGCGTGTTTTTCCTTCCCTTCGGTTTCTACCCTTATACCACACAACATGGAATCCCTCGCAGAAACGGAGTGGGATGTAGTCATCAGCGGCACTGGGCTTCAACAATCCCTTCTCGCCCTGTAAGCTCACCCATTTCCAAAAGTCCCTCAATGCTTGCTAGTCATACTTTTGAGCGGACGCGCGATGTGGTGCAAATCTGACTGACGCGCAGCTGAAAGAGCCCTCTCCCGCTCGGGGAAGAACATTCTGCACGTGGATGCCAACACCTACTACGGTGGCAATGAAGCCGCCTTCTCGCTGCAAGAAGTCGATGAATGGGCCGCCGCGACGGGGAATGTTGAGGTGACAAAGGCCGAGGGCGGGCTCTCGTTCCCGCGCGCGTACAGCATTGCTCTGGCGCCGCAGATTATTCACACCAAGAGCGAGCTGTTGAGTCAGCTCGTCTCGTCCAAGGCGTTTCGGCAGATCGAGTTCCTCGCTGTAGGCTCCTTCTACATCTACGAGCCCGACAACGCGTCGCTCAACAGGATACCGTCCACACGAGAAGATGTCTTCTCCAACACCAGCATCCCCGCCAAGTCGAAGCGGTCCTTGATGAAGTTTCTCAAGTTCGTTCTCGACTACGATGCCCCGCCTCACCGCGAGACCTGGACGCCCCATGCCGACCTTCCGCTGCGCACGTTCCTGGCGCAAGAGTTCAAGCTTGATGAACGCCTGCAGGCAGACATTATCACATTGACTCTGAGCCTCGATGGGAATATCACAGTGAAGGATGGGCTGCGGAGCATTCATCAGCACATGTCATCCATGGGTCTCTTTGGTGCTGGGTTTGCGGCTGTCGTCCCAAAGTGGGGTGGGCTGAGTGAGGTTGCGCAAGTTGGCTGTCGAGCTCTCGCGGTGGGAGGCGCCGTGTACATGCTCGGTACAGGCATCAAGTCTGCTCGCGCGAGTGAGCAGCGGATTGACGTGAGTTTGTCGAATGACATTGATGTCAAGACTAGGTTCCTCGTGAAAGAGACCGACGTCGATACACCTACCATGTCGCTTGCCAGACTCACAGCTGTTGTCCACTCTGACCTCTCATCGCTGTTCGACGCCACTGTCGAAGGTGCCCCATCACCAGTCGTCGCGGTGGTTGCATTCCCTGCCGGCTACGCGAAAACACCTGACGGCACGGCTTCGGAGTACCCTATTTACGCCATGGTTCACTCCAGTGAGACGGGCGAATGCCCCAAAGGACAATGTGAGTACCATCTAATTCCCTTGTCTCTTCCTGCATCCCGTGTTATGATGATTCAAATGAATACGAATACTTATCTACATTGTCTGATCCCAATGACGATTAACACTCTGACAACCTGATACACACCCTCATCTCTCATTCAAGCTGCATCATCCCCTGAGCGAGCCGCAAGCTAACGAGATACAGGCGTCATCTACCTCAGCACTATGCCACAGCCAAATGCGAAGTCCCTGCTCGACAACGCGCTGTCCTCGCTTCTTGGAGCCGTAGGCGAGGCGCAAGTGCCCGAAATACTGTATCGACTGTCATATACCCACCATCAACGCGTGTCTCGCCCCTCAGATTCCAATGTTGTGACGCTGCCAACGCTACCTCTCGATCTCGCCTTTAATGATGCCGCTTTGGCAAGTGTCAAGGCAGCATGGGAGACTTGCACGGCAGATGATGACGGAGAGAAAGAGTACATGGTGTTTGAGGACCGCGAGGGCGCAGATAATGATGACTACGAATAGCTTACTTAATAATGACTGATGATAGCTACTGCTCCCGTTCATGACGTGCCACGCCCACTGTCCCCCCTGAATTATCAGACCCTGGTTGACGTCCCACGTAATGGCGTCCTCTTTCGCACTGACCCCAAGCCAAATCTCGAAATATCCCCGAACTGTACGTGTCCTGTTACCATGACCCAAATAACGCAACCAAATGAAACAAGATCAAAAACGCCAGAATTCACAAACACCATAAGAAGCCTGATCCCAGATTCACTCATCAACCCATCGCGACACCAACGCGAATAGCGCCAAACGGCTCCATTTCTTCCACACCTTCCTGCTGCAGCACGATCTTCGCCCGCGTGGCCAACGTCAGGATGTTGAGGAACGCCTGGGCCGCCACCTGCTTGGACCCCTGCTTCTGGGAGTTGATGGCGTTTTCGAAATCGAACCATTGGCGACCACGCGAATCGGGCGTGTGCGCGGCGGCCGTGGTCTTGACCCAGTCGAGCACATCGGCATCGACAAACTTGGCCGGCTGAGACTCCCCGTTGAGCTCAATGTCTTCATGGGGGTCGGAGAACGCAGCTGGCAGAGAACCAAAGCCGCCAAAGTCGTCGCTTGGCAGGTGAAGATCAGAGTGGCGCTCAATGGGCGCAATGGCGCTGCCTGTGCGGCTGACGGGACGACTCAGAAGTCCCTTCTGTGCTGAGCCGCGGATGCTCGAGCCTGGGGGCACGGCGGAGCCAGGACGAGACCAGGGCGCCACCATGGAGGAGTGCTGATCGCCCATGGAAGGAGGATGTTCCATACCCTTCTCAATGGCGTCTTGGTTGCGGGGATGCTCTGTCTCAAAGTCATCGTCGTCTTGGGTGTTCTGGCGCACGTTTCGGGGAGACTCCTACTCTCCTGGAAAGGCGTCCTCGTGGCGACGCTTGGACGAGTTTTTGGCAGCACGATGCTCGGCTCTCTCGACGGCCTTTTCTCCGTAGCACAGCGCTTTCAGAGCTCGACCGGAGAACATGTCTGCCAGTGGACCTCGCACGCCGTTTGGCCCGTCGAGTTCAGGATGCAGGGGCGCACCGCAGTCAAACAGGCCGCGGCCCCAGACGAGGTGCTCCGCGTATGCTTTGGACTGTGCCGCGGTCGGTCCGCGACGCAGACGCTTGATTTCTTCTTCTGCACGCTCAGCTTCCATGCGGGCGAGGTAGTCCGTCTGCCAGGACTTGAGGTCGATGCGCGAGATCTGCGTCTCGTCGTCCCACAGAGTAGGCATTTTCTTGGATCTCTTGGCGCGGCGGCGTTTGTTAGGTGCAGCGTTGGATAGACGGTCAAGTTCCGAACTGGGAGGGAGAGCAGAGTTGGGACGCTTGTTCGATTTGGTGGCCGCCGGAAAGCCTTCCGCATCTGATGGGAGAGGCTGCTCTCCCATGATGAGCACATTGGGCTCGCCTCGATCCTTTGTCATCTGAAAGTCTGCGCCGGCATCGAGGAGCTGATGGTGCATGGTATTTGCTTCGTCTTCCCCCATCAGGTGGAGAGGTGGCAGCTCAGCGCGAGTGTTTTCGATGAAGCCAAGAACGTTGCCGTTCTCATCAATCTCGAGTCCAGAGCCGCCAAAGGGATCGAGGTCTTCGTCGATGCGATGCGAGGGCAAGTGTGCACCGTTGAGTGGAGTATCGAAGCCGAGATCAGGTGGAAGGAGATAACTGCCCGAGTGAGATGAAGCAGGCAGCCTGAAGCTCATGTCCTGGCTTCCCAAGGGCGTCACGTTGGACAGCTTCTGAGTATCATCCTGAGTCCCGAAGATCTGGTCTGCATCCCAAAATAATTTCATGTCGAATTGGAGAATGGACGCAACGGGGTCAAAGTTTGGATCGTCGGCCAAGACAATGTTCTGGCGCCTTTTGTCCGTTAATAGGCTGCCTTTGTTCGACAAGAAAAAAGGGGGGCAATTCGACTCACTTTGTTTGACCCGCTTTGGGGTCAAGCTCACTCTGGTTCATTGCTCCGAGATAGGACAACATCTCTGTCTGAGTCCTCTCGCAGTCCGAGAGGACATAGCCGCACTGCTGCGAGAAGACGCGGGACACGCCATAGAGGAGGTTGCCCTGCAGACGCAGAGCAAGGGGCACTCCGGGGTTGATGATTGTCTCGCAGGCTTTGGGGACGTTGACCTCTTGAATGGACTTGCGGTTGACCTTGCTGCTGCGAGAGTTGAACTTGCCCACCGTGGCTACCATCCTGGACGTGGTCAGTGCTGTGGACAAAGCGGTACGCCACAATGGGGGCACGAACCAGATAGTGGACACGCCATAAAGGGGGTTCGTGAGTACTATGCAGGCGCGTCAGTAAAAAGATGGAAACGATTCGAGGCGCGTGAGTGGTTCATACTCTCATGGCTGTAGAACATATTGAAGGCGGAACACAAATGTCGACGCGTGAGAGCTGAACGTAGGAGGTCAAAGAATAGTGGCGAATTGCAGTTGAAGATAATGAAGAGAAGAATAGAAAGCTCTCAGAGGAACTACGTGATCGATCCCTGATTTGGCAGCAATCGATCGAAGCTGAGGATGTGAAGATGTGAAGAGGAAAGGTCGCGTTGGCCCTCGGATCGGGCCTGGTAAGCGCGTCAACGGAGCACAGTGCTAACTACGCGCACAGTTTCAAATTGCAGAAATTCGCGGTACTCTGGATGGTGACTCAGGTCAAGAAGATGGGATCGATGATGGTGAGATGAAGCTGAGATAGGGTGAGCCGTGCCTGAGCTCTTGCTGGCTGGATAAGGTAGATCAAGTCCAAGTGCACGTGCCGTGACGTCGCCATTTCAGCACGCAGAAACTATTCCTCGTACGCAGCGAAATTATGGAGATGAACCTGTGCTTCTATTCCCAACAAGTTGCTACACTAATGAGATAGTGGTTGGTGCCTTTTTGCATGCTCAGGGGCTACAGAGTTTAGCTCCTTTGTTTGGTGAGCATGACTGCGGATCGAACGTTCCCGAGTAAGCATTTGAGCACACCATAGATCACTTGTGCTACTCTGGGCTTAAACGTAATCACTCACACGTTACTGAAACTTCCTATTCTTCAATGAGGCAGTCGTCGTGGGAGATGCGAGCATAAAGCACGTCAAGTTACCTCGAAGCCCGTTAGAATGACATTGTTCAACCCGGGCGTTCAGCCCGGATGCGTTAATATAAAGTACGCTCATGTCAAGCAGGGAAAGATTCTCTCAATACACTGATGTGGGCTTTTCAGTGCTGTGTCAATTATATGCATGAGGCAAACTCAAGGTGAGCAAGTTTCGTTCGATCTACAGCGACCCCGCAGAACTCACCGTTTACCCAGATTACTGGACACTTACTAACATGAAGCATCACTGGCTTTTTTGTTTGTCTCGATTCACGCTTTTCTGATTCTCTTACGCCTTTCGCTTCTCAATGACCATGCTCGATCCTCTGTTGTCCCTACGCGGTGGGACGACAGTCGCAAGCCTGAACCGCCCATGGCGTTTCGCTCCCAAGCAAACATACGATCCCCAAACAAACCCAGAGGGACTCATATCCTTTGGCACGGCCGAGAATGTAAGCGTTGGCAACGTTGACTGCTGAACTGGCTGACAATCATAGCACCTTGTTACCGACGAGCTGGTTGAGTTCGCTCAGAAGAATGTCGATAACTGTCGCTCGCAGAAGCAAGCACAAACACTGACAGGAAAAGGTTCACACCCACAAGACAGATTTCCTGTACCGTGGAGCAACTGCTGGCGGCCCGGACTTCCCCCAAGCTCTGGTAGCCCACCTCAACGAGTATCTGAAGCCCTACAAACCCATCCATGTCCAGGATGTCCAGATCTCCAACTCGGCTTCGGCTATGCATGACGCCCTGGCATGGGCACTGGCCGACAAGGGCAACGCATTCCTCACCAGCAGACCTGTGTACGGACGATTCGATCTCGATTTCTTCAACAAGAGTGGCGTCAAGGTGGAATATGCCGACACAACGGCACAGGACTGCTTTGATGACACCGTGGTCGAGAAGTTTGCGGAGGCTCTCCAGTCTTGTGAAGCGCGAGGGGTGAAAGTCAAGGCGATATTCATTGTCAACCCTAATAACCCGCTTGGTGAGTGAGCACTGTAATGAGATCTGATGAAGACGGCTGCACTGACGAGACAAGGTAAATGCTATCCCAGAGAAACGCTCGTGGAGATTATGAAGTTCTGCAATCAGCATCGCCTTCACCTCTTTAGCGACGAAATCTACGCTTGCTCTGTCTTTGACTCCGGCGAGCCGACGGCAGTACCATTTACTTCTGTCTTGTCCCTCGACACAGACAAATACATCGATCGGTGCTTGCTACACGTCACATGGGGGCTCAGCAAGGATTTTGGCGCAGCTGGCCTGCGCATTGGCGCTCTCATCTCGCGCAGCCCAAGCGTGATCAAAGCCGTGGAATCTGTAGCGCGCTTTCACAACGCTTCTGCCCCGAGTCTCTCCATTGGTGCGGCCATGTTGTCTGACCGGGAATGGTGTCGAGGCTTTGTAAACACTTCTCGGCACAGATTGGCTGCTGCGTACAGACATGTCACCAGAGGTCTTGACGAGATGGGCATTGAGTACTTGCGTGGAACGAATGCTGGGTTCTTTGTGTGGATCAACCTCTCGCCATATCTATCGGAGCAGGAACGATTTCCGGAATTTGCACTGGCGACGAAGCTGCAGAGATGCGGCGTCTTTTTGCATCCCAAGGAGGAGCACTCGCTGGAAACAGGGTGGTTTCGCCTGGTATACGTGCAGGACTCTGAGACGGTGACTGAGGGATTGAAGAGGTGAGTTTGGGAAGTCTGTGTTTCGCAAGTTGACAATTGTGCTCATGAATACAGGATCAGCAAAGCAATTAGAGATCAATAGAGTGAGAAGGGGCGAAAACAAATAGGGGAAGAAAAGGGGCTGCAAGTAAGGAAACGTCTAGACGTCTGGCAGGCAAACTCCCTCATCGAGGATCCTACGATATATTCAGCCTCACTGTGGGTATACTCCGTCTTTCCCTCACCAGCAAGAATTTGTTGATCTATGCTACCCACCTTGGGTCATTGCTACTGGTCCCGTTGGACATTGCGATCGCCTCGTTCCTCTGGGCTTCCTCGTACTTGACATTTACATTCGTAGTCCTCAGTATCCCATTATACGTCATGATTTCTTCCTCTGATCCAGACGGCGAGATATCCCGAATCTCTGTCTGTGTTTTATTCCGAGAGCCGTGAATGTCCTTGAGCATGAAGCCTTTGGTCGCCCCCGATCGATCGCGAGGCTGGTGACTACCACCCATGGATGAGCCGCCGTATGTCACGTTGCCGAGTGAATTTGAGTAGGGAGATTCTTCAGCTTTGGCGCCGCCGCTGCCGAAGGAACGTGGCCAGAGACGACTAAAGAGTGGGCGAAGGGCGGGCATGCAGCAGGCCATGATGGCAGTGTGGCACTCGACTGGGGTCCACACGTAGGCGATGTTGTAATGCTTTGACCTCTCATTGAGGTAGAGGAGACGGTATATATTGACGAGGCGCACAATGGCCACAATGGGAACGCTATTTGTCGTGGTCAGCTCCAATCAAGGCGAGGAGGAATGCCCGGCAAGACAGGAGAAACTTACACAGCGCCGATGACGAAGACGAAGAGCACCGCCCACTTTTGCGCACGAGGCATCCGCAAACCAAGGAAGATCCAGAATGGGAGAGCCAATATGAAAATATCCGTCGTAATGGCAATCGCTGACTGAATAATGTGGAAGCTGTTGTCGATGCAGAACGTGCTTGGATCAGCTCGCAGCTCAGGGTTCCAGTTTGTCTTGATCGGCACGCACTGGAACAGGGCCCCAAAGAAGGCAGCGACGGCATGGCATATGTTGACGATCATGAGAGTCCAGATGGCCTTGAACATGGTATTGTGGTGCCCGCCCAGACGTAGAAGGAAGACGAGAACCGAGGCCTTGACGAGGGCGAGGACGGGGTTGTAGCAGAGCTGCTCGAAAAAGTTCCACCACAGGCCGGGACTTGGATCGAAGTCGGGCACCTCTGCATCTGGCCAGCCGTAGTAGTTGAGCTTGAAGACTGAAAACAGTTTGTCAGCTATGTCGGGTGTGGTGAGATTGGATGATGGCCACGGCCACTTACACATGTATAGTGTTGTCGACACCAAAATGCCCGAGACAAGTGCCAATCCGCAAAGATAGTCATCTGCGGCATTATGTTAGTATTTTGAACTTCCACGTACATGAATGCACAGCAAAGCTTACCAATGCCGACTGTCCGAGTGGTGACCCTCGTGTACACGCGCAGACCGAATATGACTGTCGCGAGTGCTGGAAGGGCAAACATGATGGCCACGGCGGTCATTTGCAGAGGCGGCGTGGGGATCTTCGTGACATCGGGATAGGGACCAGGCTCAATGTCATCGGCTGCTCGTGATGAGAGCATCGTCGAGGCGTCCATGGCAGCCCTCGCTCGTGATTTCGAGGACTGGGCCTTCCACAAAGGCGCCAGGCACAGAGGAGTTCAGAATCAGATCACAAATGTGTCAGAGACCCAAAAGACGGGAAGAACACTGGAGGAGACTGGAAATGGAGATGTGAACTTTTGATTAAGACAGGACACGGTCCAAACGAGCACCGGCCTGATGACAAGCGGGCCTAGGAGGAACCCCTGCGAGCTTCGTACGAAACCAGAAAAGAACGAGACGGATGACAAGGCAGTTTCTTCAGCGGAAAATATGAAGGTCGTCCCGTCCCAGACTCTCAGTTCTGGTCCCTGGAAGCCGGGCTCGGACGTCCCCCGACTCCTGTGCAACTTAACCTTTTTCCCACCATGCCTATCAAGTACTTGTAAACTGTAGATCCCCGACATTGAGTTCAGCTCACGAGATTGAGTGGAAGTATCCGTATGCGAGAATAGCGCCAGCATAGCAAGATGTTATGCTGGGCCGATCAATCCTAATTTGGTACAATGTGCTGTGTCATGCCGTCTCTTCACCTTTTCTACCCAGGGAATATGGAATATCCGCATCCCCACGAGAACATCGCAGATAATACGAAGCTAATTTCTTCAGCGGAAGCTTATTCCAACTCTCTTGGACCCGGGAGTATCCTCCAGGCTCCAAGTCCAGCGCACCGTCGATCACTGCCGAGTGCATCGTCAGCGACATGTGCCGCACATTTAGCTTATGTTCTAATGTTAATTTATGCTTGCCGATCACTTACCCCGGTCCTCGGGCCTCGACAAATTGTACGCAGGTTTTAGCCCATTATTTTAAATATTTCCCTGCTCACAGGTGACGGAATGCGCAACTTGAGCGTCTCGCGCGCGGACAGTCCGCTCTTGTCCCGGCAATTCCCACACCCAGTCCCCCGGTTCACGATCCTTCGCGACAGGGCTGTGCTTTTTGCGTGTACTGGTCATCTTCCGCGGATTCTGTAAGATGAAACGCTAAAAGGGACATCTTCCTTAGCAGCTGCTGATGATGATACCTTCTTCAAATGTCCCGCGAAGCCGCTTCGTTGAGGCGATGAGCTGGAGGGTATGATGAACTGGCGGTCAATTCACCAACGTTTTGACTAGTAGATCAACACGAAAAGTTGTCGAGCGTGAAACTTGGAAGCGCGCGCGCCAACCACGGCTGTTGAATTAAGCTTTCAAGGTACCTCGTTCCCGTCAATAGTCTTAGCAATACCCGTGACAGGCGAAAGCTGCCGACATACGGACTCCACGAAGAAGAAACACTTGCCGGATCATGCCTGCTGAGGCCCGAACCTATTGGAAGTTTGGAACAAGGGACCTGCCGGGGCAAGATGATTTGTTGACCCGGGCAAATCTCCCACATGCAGCCTGCGTGCGTCCCGACTCCTGAGTCCTGACTCAAGTCGCTCGAACTCACGAAAACAGACAAGATTGGCATAAAAGAGGCCCCTCGGGAAAGGATGGAGAATCGCTCGCGCATGGCACCATTTTCGGGGGATGGCTTCGAGGATCGGGCAATGACCTTTGGGGCACAGTTCCGACCTGCCTGGCTGTAGCTGCTATTACCGCACCGACGCGGGATATCAGCCCAGTCCCCTTGTTCTGTGATGGAGAGCACTGCTCGTCGCAAGACGGATTGTACTTTGTTTTCTTTGCGACCGACAGCCTGGTGATACGCTGGAAACATTCTTCCTCTGTGTCCCTCAAAATGCCTGCCCAGCGAACGAGATGGACGCTCGTGGCGACTCTGTCGCTCCTTGCTTCTACTTCCTGCGCCCAGACCATTGTTGTCGACGGCAAAACTGTTTGTGAGTCCAGCCACATTTTTCCCACGTTTTGTCTCAGTTGGCCACCGCTTGTTTCCCACGTCGGGACTCTCCCTGTTTGCTTGTTGTACCCCTATGAACCATGAGCCTCTCCAAACCAGACTTGCATCCGTCAACTTGAATGTACCCACGCAACATAGCGAACAAACACTGACTTGCCATCTCAGCCGCCGACTATGATACCGTTGCGCCTGCTGTGGACAGCATCTCATCAAACGCTCGCCTACTGCCCGGCTTTGAGAACCTGCAGTTGACCGACAATGTGCTCGCCAACTTGACCAACCTGCAACTGAGCAACATTTCTCTCTTCCATTTCGATGACAACAAGAACCTTGACTCTACCCCCAAATGTAAGAGTCTGCCCGGGGATCTGCTATATCCTGGGAAGATTGAGTGGAAGGTCTTTGACCTCCTCACTGGCGGTGCCCTGATCAAGACGGTTCCTCTCGGGGCTGCTTGCTACGACGGGGAGCACTACGATGCCGCCGTGTGCGACTACCTCCTCGCCAACTGGAGCATCACGGAGACGCACGTCAACGACCCCTCGTCACTCATGTCGCCTCTCTTTGCTGGCGCTACCTGTCAGCCCCAGAATGGCGCGCTTGGCGAGGAGTGTACTCTTGGCGGGTTTCCCGAATACTCGGTTAACGTCACTACCGTGGCCCAGATTCAGCTGGCCGTCAACTTTGCGCGCAGTAGGAACATCCGACTCGTTGTTCGCAACACTGGCCATGATTTCCTCGGCAGGAACACGGGCAAGGGTGCACTCTCCCTGTGGACACACCATCTGAACGACATCGAGGTGATGGATGAGTACGAGTCTGCCGATGGCAGCTACAAGGGACCTGCATTCAAGATGGGCGCTGGCGTTCTTGTGCACGAGATGTACGAGGTTGCCGAGAAGCACGGCTACACTGGCGTTGGCGGCGAGTGCCGCACAGTCGGCGTCACAGGCGGCTACACGCCCGGCGGTGGTCACTCCCCTGTCTCCTCGCTGTATGGCATGGCTGCCGATCAGGTCCTCAGTGTTGACATTGTGACACCCGATGGCCGTTTCATCACCGCCGACGATACGCAGAACACCGATCTCTTCTGGGCTATCCGTGGAGGAGGCGCGGCTACCTGGGGCGTTGTCACCTCCATGACCGTCCGCGTTCACGAGAAGATCGCCGTGGCGGGCATGGCCTGGGACACAACCACTACGGACATGGGCATCGACGACGAGACCTTTTGGAAGGCCATTGAGGCCTACTGGTCGCGTTACCCCGAGTACGCCGAGTACCCTACCTATGGCTACTGCCGAATGTCTGGCCTGCCCGACGGCGGCTACGCCTGGAGGGGCAAGCCCTTTATGATCCCCGGCATGACGCTCAGAGACTTCAAGAAGCTGGTCCAGCCTCTTCTCGACGAGTGGGAGGCCCTCGGTGTTGACCCCAAGCTCGAATTCTTCGAGTACGACAACCTCTACTCTGCCTGGAAGAAACACTTCCCCACCGTGCCCGTCGGTGGTACCACTGCCCGTACCGCCAATCGATTACTGCCCAGGAAGAACTGGGAAGACGCTGAGCTTCTCAACAAGACGATCAAGACCGTACGGAGCATCGTCGAGGACGGCGCGTTCCTGGTGCACTACAACATCAACGGCCCCAAGCCCGAGGGTGTCTCCGACAACGCCGTTAACCCTGCCTGGCGTGACACCATGATGTTCAACATCATCGGCGTTATGTGGGACGCCAACGCGACCGAGGAGGAGATTGCAGCCGCCAACAAGAAGCTCACGGGTGATCTGTCTCAGCGTCTCAAGGACATCAGCCCCGGTGCGGGTGCCTACAACAATGAGGGGGACCTGATGGATCCCGAGTGGCAGGAGTCCTTTTACGGCCAGAACTATGACCGGCTTTTGGAAATCAAGAAGAAGATTGACCCCCGGGATCTCTTCTGGGCGCCCACGGCTGTCGGCAGTGAGGGCTGGGCCATTGTGAACCAGGAGAATGACCCCTTTATCTCACAGGACGGTCGTCTGTGCCGCGTGAGCGCGTAGGGGACTAGAGGTGTGATCAGAAGAATGTGAAATAATCCGCTGTTGAAGATCTTCTTCAAGTGTACATAGCAGGCGCATGAGGGAAGTTCATGGCCTGTCTCGATATCTATAGCTCAAAGTCCAGGCCAACCCCTTCTGTCCCCTGGAAATATTGGTCGAGTAAGGCCTGTTAAGGAAAGTCAATGTCAATCGAACAGACGGGCGGGTCACTTTTACACGTACCCAGTCAATGACCTCGTTTCCATCAATCATTTGCGCCATGGTGCCAGCATAAGGCAGTGACAAGTCGTCTGTTGTGTCAGGCGTCGCGATACTCGCAAAGGAGGAGGAAAGATAGCTTGCGCCACTGCCATGCTCTTTTTCGGCGACCTTTTTCACCATGACGTTGATAGCCTCGGCTGCTATCTGCACATCCGGGGACTGTGAGCCCTGCAACTGCCAGATGCGAGCCGAGCTCTCGAGGGCACGACGTGATCGCTCTGCAAGATCTGACTCGGGGTAAGATGTCTGCGCCCGGTTGCTTAGATACACTGAGACATGCATGCACAAGACCATGGCGGCAAGCAGGTAGTCATGGTTTGGAATCGCGTCAAACATCCATCCGTCCTCATACAGTCTCCCTCCTGGCTGGCAGGCTGCATCAATGTCGGCATGTCGGGCCAGGATGTCCAGAGCAGCCTCGACACATGCCCGACGCGATTTCTCATATGTGGCATCGCTTTGCATGTCATAGGTGATGAACCTTCTCAACAGGACGATGATGCCTTTGAGGTAGAGGATCTCAATCGTGCTCCTCTCGAGTATGACGCCCGACGAGTCCATGAACGACTGACTGACGTTACATCTCTGGTACAGTACAGGCACATTGCTGTAAGCCAGGCGCATCTCCCGTTCAAGTTCAAGGGTAGCCTCGTACGCGGGGACAGAGGGCAACTGCGTATGGGACACAATCTTCTTGAACACAGCCATGATCCCAGACTTGACGATGGTGTACGTCACAGGCGTCCGCTCCTTGAGTGGTCTGGAAGGGGGTAATGCCTCCATGCCTGGACGCAGATCGGAGTGCTCCAGGTTTCGCGGCACGGCAGTATCGCAGAACTGGGCGGGTATCATGCTCGGCAGTCCCATTTGGAATGACAGCAGCGCGTCAATCTGGACAATGTTCAGCCATAGACGTCGGCGCATTTCGCCGGCAAACGGCGAGATGCCAGTCAGACTGCCGGGGTCGCGGTGGCAGCCCATGCGGAAAGCGAGTCGTATTACAGTACCCATTTCAAACCAGAGCCCCATGGAAGGCTTTCCCCCTTGAGTCACGAAGTAGCTCTGCATGTGGAGGATGAAGGCCTCCAGGGCGTGCTCATTTGCAGTCGCATAATTACCCAGAATCAGACACTGCTTCGCAGCTCCTTGCAGAATGCTCGGATCAGGTAAGCCGCCTGCTCGGAATCCTTGCGCGTCAATTCTGAGGCGCAGTGCAGCCATGAAGCTCAGTATTGCAAAGAGTAACGCGATCCACAAGGGCGAGGACGTCCCAGGCGAGTCCCAGAAGGCTTTGTATTCTCCTTGGAACTTTTCAGGATGAATGATCCCGAGGACCATGAACTGCATGCCAAAATACCCGGACACCAGCTTGTCACAGATGGGTTGTGGGGGCAGTGTTGCCAAGATAGCTTCGAGGCTGCCAGGCGCGGATGCTCCGAGGTATAGAGCCGGATCGTCACCGGAGCTGGTGTGCATGTTTCCATTTGATTGTAGACTGGAGCCAGAGTTCTTCACCTGACCAGGTGACAAATGCTCTCGAACCTCTCGGATATCTTCCAGTATAGATTGCCAATGGCTGGGATCGATGTAGCTGACATTACCGTCCTCGGACTGTTGGAGGTGAGGTGTTTCGGGGGTCAGTCTGTTTGCACTTGGGGCAGCGCTCTCTGGCGATTGGATTCTTTCAGAATCATGAGTCTTTGGGGGACGAGCTCCAGGGACTAGGCTCGACAACAGGGTTTCCAGATCATCCAACCTGTCCACCATGTTTCTGGGCTTGCCAGCATTACGCTTCGTTGTCGAGCGAATCGCGTTTGGCGCATAGTGGCAAGAAGCAGCCTTGTCCCGCTTTGAACATGATTCACATGGCAGCGAACGGTCGCACTTTAGTCTGCGCGTTGTCAGCGACTCGCAATCCCGAGTTTTGAGTGTGTACATGTACGCTTACCTCCGCGTTCGACATGGCTCGCACGACACTGGCGGCCTATTCCGCTTCTCGACCTTGCGCAGGGTGTCCATGAGGGGAGTTTTCCGTCAAATATGATGAGCAGCGCTCAGCTTCGTGAATCCTGAAGGTCTCTCGTGCCTCGAACTTGGAAGCGCACAAGATAATTGACAATGCATGGAATCGGAGAGCGAAGAAACACGGCACAGGTGGATGGGCGGAGATATTATCTCCGCCCGCGGATCCTTCACTCGGGCCCCACACCGAATTGCCTAATCGGGCACTCCCTCTCCGGGAGCTACAGCCATGGACTTTATACCTCCGGCTCGTCGTGGACGGGCTTTAGGAGCAGGAGAAGAAACCCAACATATAAAATAACTATGAGTCCCGAGCCTGACCTGATAAATTAGCATCAATCAGATTTGATTCAAAACACATCAACACAGCAATCTAATTGTTCTACCTCTGATATCTCCCTATTCGATACCTGCCTCTCGAGCCTCACACTCTCACTCCCGAGTCCCACTCCAAGCCAACAATGGCTACACTTTCGGCAGTCCGTGGCACAGCCCACGCCATCTACTCAAACCTATTTGTCACTTTGCCCCAACCGAAGAAGAACACTGACCTCTCCGGGAAAATATTCATCGTCACGGGCGCAAACACCGGTTTGGGTTACGAGTCCTGCGTCTGGCTGTCCCGCCTTGGGGCTGAGAAGATCATCATGGCTGTCCGCACTGAATCCAAAGGGCTCCAGGCCAAGGCAAAGCTTCTCGCAGAGACTGGTCGTCTCGACACGTCAATTGAAGTCTGGCACCTCGATATGGATAGCTACGACTCCGTCAAACGTTTCGCCAACCGTGCTCAAGGTCTGGAGCGCCTGGACGGAGTCCTCGCCAACGCCGGTATCATGACGCGCAACTGGAGGCTCAGCGAGGGCATTGAGTCTTCCTTGAATGTCAACGTCGTCAGCACGTTTCTTTTGTACTTCTTGCTGGCACCCAAGATGCGTGCGTCTGGCAAGAGCACTGGGAATTTATGTCGCTTCGTCATCCCAAACAGTGCGTTGCACTTTCTCGCGCCTCTCGCAGAGCTTCAGTCCACGCGAGGTACAATTATGGAACGTCTCAATGACGAGACAAACAGTGTCATGGGTACTCGCTACAACCTGACCAAGTTGCTGGTCATCTATGCTGTGCGCGAGCTGGCAACAATGAGCAATGGCTCGATCATCATCAACACACCCAACCCCAGCTGGTGCAAGTCTGGCCTTGCGCATGAGATGATGGCTGCCGATCCGGGAGCCAAGCATGCCGAGGCGCTCTTGGCGAGGTCTACTGAGGAAGGCAGCCGAGCTCTTGTGCATGGGTTGCTGAGTGGTGAGGACACTAATGGACAGTTTCTCTCCAACTGTCAAGTACACAGGTATGTTTTGAGAATGCTTCTTGTGACATGGAGCTAACAGATTTAACAGCCCATCTTGTCAAGTCACAGGCAGCTGGGGTCAGCAGATTCAGAAGGACTTTTTCCGCGAGCTGGTGGAGAAGCTTGAGACGATACAGACAGGCATCAAGGAAAACATATAGTTGAGAATGAGCGTGTGTGCTGTATTCTTCTGGTGGTGTGCAATTACATTGACGTGCTGTTCTCTTCAGCGCTAGTCGGTTGATACTTGATGCACGTTGCTTCTCGTTGTTACACGCAGCTATGCCAAATTGAGAGGAGATGGCATGAAATAATGTTATTGTGTTTTTCATTGTTGGCATTGACTCCAGCTGCTCATGTGTGGGACTCAAGTCCGAGGTGTTCAATGAACCACAAAGTGAAGCGAAAGTAACACACTACACAGCATCGAGAGGAAGCTCACAGTAGATTCTTGAGGATCAGGGTAGCATGAATGCCATCTTTGTCCAAATCCAAATAAGAAAAGCTACATGGGAAATTCAGGGGCTGCATGTAGGGTAGTTCAATTGGTAGTTTGGACGAAGTGTCCGAAGTCGACGAGAGGCAGCTGATACTTGTAAGTCGATGACTTGAACAAGCTGCCAGTCACAAGACATGACTAATTGAGACCAGCCCCCAATTTGCCAAATTGACAGTACAACGGCTAAGAGAAACCTTTACAAGAAATCAATAGCAAATCATGGCCTTTATTTTCCCCAGTGGACGGTGGCTGGGTTGCTCGTCGCAGGCCTACCCTTGGGCGAAAAGGCGCGCAAGGGACTGGAGCCCGGTGGTTGGGCAGCTGCATAATTGCGTCAACAGTCAAAACTTGGCAGCCTGATGGAACTTGGATGCACGCATTTTCTTCACCATGGCCAGCATACGAACCAGGAGAGAGGATACCCCGCTTGCCTACCGAAGAAGCGACATGACCGGACCATCAAGTGGGCGATGTGCTGAGGCTGGTTGTATGCCATCATCGTCATTGTTCTGCGATCCGCCGACGTGAGGCAGACAAAGACCCCAGACTCCCCTCGAGACGTCTATTTCGAGGCGTTTCTTGTGTCCGTGATTTTGACCATTGTCCCTTGTTATTTCTCAGGTTTCCACCCCCTGTTCCCGCGACTGGTTAAAGAATCGCCTGTGGCCTGTCGCTTGGACGTCGCTGGACGCGCGCTGAGTTCTCTCTCCATCGACAGTAGTCATATCGCCTCAAGCAACGTCTGGAACACTCGCACTCGTCACATGCGAGTACTTGCGAACTGGGAGTCGAGTCGAGTACTACTACGTACTGAGAAAGAGGCAGCAACCCCGGCGCACTGATCACGTTGGGCTGCCCTCAGCTGCCGCCGTCCCCACCTGACATCAGAGCCGACTGGCCCTCGACTTGGTCAGCCCTTGCTGCGCCCAATCTCACCCTCACCGTTATAGATGGGTGCATCGTCGTCCAGCGCCTGCATTCCGTGTTTGACATAGATCCTTTTCGACAGCGACTTGCCCTGCCCTTTACTCAGCACACACGCCGTACCAACACAGCAGCAACAGCATTGCTACCGCACTCAGCTACCCCGCCGTCATCCCACTCGACAGCTGAACACCACCGCCATCATGGCAGGTCGCGGCCCTAGAATGACAGAGTTCGAGGAGCGCGACTACTACTCCGCGCCTGGACGACGGTCCGAGGTCGACTTTGCCGAGTTTGACCGTCGAGACAGGGTCATGACCCGAAGCCCGCCGCCCATGCGCGAACCCCGCACCCCAGCCTTTCTTCGCGATGAGCCTCGCCGTGCAGAGGCAGGTCCAATGGTTCTGCGGCAGCGCGATGTTGAGACCTTTGACAGACATCACCGCAGCCCCAGTCCCGTCCGCGTGAGGGAGCAGAGGCTGGTGCGGAGGCCGAGGAGTGTCAGTCCACCTCGGCATCATCACCACCACGACGTGGACGAGCGCACGAGGTCACGAACAAGATACATTGAGAGAGAGAGAGAACGCGAAAGGCGAAGGAGTCCATCTGTGGAGAGGAAAAGGTCGCCGAGCCCTTTGCCGATCCGGTATGTTGACCGACCTCGAAGCCCTTCCCCTGAGAGGGAAAGACAGCGCATTAGGACGAGGATCGTGGACAGACAGCGCGAGTCGTCGTCGTCTTCGTCATCGTCGGAGGAAGAACAGCCCCCTCAGAGGATTAGGGGACCTACCATAGAGCGTGAGGTCATCACGCACTATCGGGACATTGATCATGGTATGTTCCCGAATGATAGCACGGGGAACCGTATTGACTTAGACTCATAGGCACCATCAAGGCCAAACCTCCCACCCCACCGCCAGCGCCCCGTCCCCGCCAACGTGAGCGCGTCAATGAGCGCGAGACAGACATTGACATATCGCTCTCGAAGAATCGCACCGAAGTGGACATTTATCGTAGCTCTGGTGGGCGTGCTCGCTCTAGGAGCCGCGTGCGCAACGACGATTCCCTTGTGGTGCATTCTGACTCCCGCCGACGTGCCCACTCGGCTGCGCCAGTCTACTCCCCGGGCCTCGATGACGAAGGCCAGGAATACATCTCCAGGATCGATGCTCGGGGCCGCATGGGCGAAGCGTGGCACGGAGCAACTCGCGACTGGGAGATTGTTGATGTGCCCCCCGGCACGGAGCGCGTGCGTATGGATGGCGTTGGCGGTGGCAGCACCGAGACACAGTGGTCCAAGTACAGTGGCGTACGCCGCACCAAGTTCATCCCAGAGAGAGATGCGATGCCAGCTCCAGCACCTGCCCCGCGCGCCCCTTCCAGAGAGCCACGCAAATCGAGCAACAGCCTACAACTGTGGGATCGCGAGCGAGAGATTGAGATTGACATTGACCGTACTGTCGACAGACGGTATGCTGAGCCTCCGCCGCCACCTGCTCCTGCCAAGGACATGTGGACTGAGATCAGTAAGGACCTGGTCGTCAAGGAGGCCATACAGCAGATGGGCTATGAGTTCGAGGAGACGCCCATGTTTTTCTACGTCATGAGCTACCTGAAATACGTAAGTCTGACACACAAGTAACATGCAAGGGTACACGAAGCTAACAAACGTCCAGGACGATGTACTTCAACTGGTCGAGCTGACTGAAGACATTAAGCGATTCCGCAAGGACCGAGTTCGCGAGATTGCGTGGGAGCGCGATTGGAAGGATGACTGGGACAGACGGCATCGTCACCAACACCACCACCACCCCCATCACCACCATCCTTGGGACAATGAAAGAGTGAGGGAAAGGGAAGTCATCTACGACAACCGCAGGTCGAGGCACTACTGAGGACGTCTCGAGGCATCATGATCAACGACATTATGACAGACTACACGTGATCGATTTTGGGATCTTGGATTATATGTGTTCTGATTTGACGAGTTATGATAGCTTTCATAGCGAACGATTCCGTGAAACAACTCAAGACGAGCCTGTCCATGATTCAGGGGCTCACCCTGCCCACGTCGAAGGATCGTCACTGGGAGAGCCACGTCATCGGTTAGCTTACACGGGCCCTGGTTCCACCTTTACGAGTTATACGTAGCATTGATGTCCAAAGTTAGAAATCGCGTGCGCGCGTGCTAGATCCGACGCCCCTGATACAGTTTGGAACACCTACGTATCTCGTCTATCCTTTGTTGGCTCATTCGCGACGTGCGTGCTCGGAGCGCGTTGCTGTGGCGGATGGTGGGGTAGTGGAAATGCAATATTTACTTTCCGCGAAATGAAGCGCCAAACAATAACAACAAGATATGCCGCTTCTGGGCAACTGCACGGTCGCCAGTGAACCATTGAATGCGTATGGTACGGAATCAATAGGTGTCAGCACGGACGCATATGCCCTCCAAGACAAGACCCCTTTTACTCTCCAATGCGTATGCCAGGCACCTGGGACAAAGAAAGTTTGAGTCTATGCCTTCAGCACAATGCGTCATCTGCCCTGAAGCTGAGCAGCAGGGGAAGCGGGGCGTTAAGCGAAGATGATCCGGGCCACGAGGCCTGTGCATGATTGGGTGAGCCGGAGAAATATGGGGAAATTTGGCTGCCTGTACACCCTCCGGAAGCGGTGGTGCTGCAAATAACCAGGCATTCATTAGAGCGTTATCACGTGCATGGCATTCTCCAAGGTCGAGTATCAGTGGATGATGAATGCTCACCGCCAAGATCAGATGTCAGTGATTCCTAAAGTCGATTGAAAATACACTTATCAATTTGTGCGGTTCTTGTTAGCCATAGCAGCTCCTTCGAGGCGGGATCTATTCTGGTCGCTGCCCTTGAGTGGTAACCTTACACCGGGACCCCAGTGGGCTAGGGTGTGCTAGTCAGTCAGTGCACAGGCAAACTTAGACCCCCAGATCCAAACTGCCCGTCTTTTCCTCTCCCCTCGTTGCCCACGAACGCCTCGGTGCGACTTCATTCCATTCACAACCTGATAGACACTTTCCCTGTATTTACGGGCCATAACTCTTCACTTCTCATCCCACCCTCGTTACAGGATCACTGCTCTGTGCCCCCCCAGGTACCTTTCACGAGCCAGCAGCTGCGATTTGGGAACCCCACCTATCCAATCCAGCTCCTCCCTGACCGGTGAACCTTTTTTCCCACTTACCCAACTCTACCAGCAAGTACGTGGACATCGAGTCTCGAGGATTTCGACGACGACGCCTTGCCCGCCGCATGACGAGACGTCCCACGTAAACCGCCATCATGTCGAGCTCCGAGATCAACCAGGTGCTCGCCAACTCGCTGTCTCCGGGTATGTTGACTCCTTCCCGCCACGCGCAGCCCCGTGAGGGCGCAGCCCCTCTGGCCCGGATGCACGACCACAGCGGCTACGATATCATCAGACCTTCCGATGGCTAACCTTTGTGGCTAGACGCGAACTTGCGAAACCCCGCCGAGCAGCAGCTCACACAGGCTGCTGAGAGCAACTTTGTAAGCTCCCCCACCCCCCTGGATCGTCGCCATGCCTTGGGATGTCCCATAACTGACCGCTCTTCCTCCCACAGCCCCTATATCTCGCCACTCTCGTGCAAGAGCTGGCCAACGAAAATGCCGACGCCTCCATTCGAGCCGCTGCCGGTGTTGCCTTGAAGAACGCTTTCACAACCCGCGATTTCGCGCGCCAACAAGATCTGCAAGCAAAGTGGCTACAGCAAACCGATGAGGAAACGAAAAACAAGGTCAAGGAGCTGACCCTGGCGACTCTGGGTTCTAGCAACAGCCAGGTCGGCAACGCCGCTGCCTTGGTCATTTCCTCCATTGCGATTATTGAAATCGCCAAGGGCCAGTGGAACGAGCTGCTACCTGCGTTGGTTAAGAACGTCAGCGAAGGCACCGAACACCAGAAGCAAGCCTCACTGACCACAATTGGCTACATTTGCGAGAGCCCCGAGAACGAGCTGCGCCTCAAACTCGTCCAGCACTCTAACGCCATCCTTACAGCGGTTGTCCAGGGTGCTCGGAAGGAGGAGACCAACAGCGAGGTCCGCTTGGCTGCTATCACTGCGCTTGGCGACTCCCTCGAGTTCGTCGGTAGCAACTTTAAGCATGAGGGAGAGCGCAACTACATTATGCAGGTCATCTGCGAGGCCACCCAGGCCGACGACTCCCGCATTCAGCAGGGTGCCTACGGCTGCCTCAACAGGGTCATGAATCTCTACTATGAGACCATGCGCTTCTACATGGAGAAGGCCTTGTTCGGCCTCACCATCATGGGCATGAAGTCCGAAGACGAAGACGTTGCCAAGTTGGCGGTCGAGTTTTGGAGCACGGTCTGTGAAGAGGAGATCACCATCGAGGACGACAACCTCAACGTGGAAAGCTCGGACCAGATGCGCCCATTCTACAACTTTGCCCGCGTGGCGGCAGGAGAGGTTGTTCCCGTGCTGTTGCAGCTCCTGACCAAGCAGGATGAGGATGCTGCTGACGACGAGTATAACGTGGCGCGCGCCGCCTACCAGTGCCTGCAGCTGTACGCCGGTGCCGTTGGTGCCGCCATTATCACACCCGTCCTCACTTTTGTGGAAGCCAACCTGCGCGAGGAGGATTGGCACCAGAGAGACGCCGCAGTATCCGCCTTCGGTGCCATTATGGAGGGCCCCGATGAGAAGGTCCTGGAGCCCATCGTGAAGCAGGCCCTTCCTGTTCTCATCACCATGATGGACGACTCGTCTCTGCAAGTCCGTGACTCGACCGCCTATACCCTTGGCCGTGTCAGCGAGTCCGTTGCCGAGGCCATCGAGCCCGAAACCCACCTCACCCCGCTCATCGAAGCCTTGTTCAAGGGTCTGCTCAGCAGCCCCAAGATGGCCCCGTCATGCTGCTGGGCCCTGATGAACTTGGCCGAGCGCTTCGCTGGAGACTATGGCGCCGAGTCCAACCCCTTGACACCTCACTTCAACAACGCCGTCGCGACTCTCCTTGATGTCACGGCCCGTCAAGAGACCGAGACTTCAGTTCGCACTGCGGCATACGAGGTTCTCAACACCTTCGTGCAGAACTCTGCTCAGGGAAGCTTGCAGTCCCTTGGCTCCCTCTCCGATGTCGTCATCAAGCGACTGGAGGAAACCATTCCTCTGCAGAGCCAGGTAGTCTCCGTGGAGGACCGCCTCACTCTCGAGGAGATGCAGAACAGCCTGTGCAGCGTGATGCAGGGCATCGTCACCCGCGTGGACAAGGAGATCACCCCACAAGGCGACCGTATCATGCAGATCCTTCTCCAGCTCCTTAGCACAGTCAACGGCAAGTCTAGTGTCCCGGAGGCTGTCTTTGCTACCGTCAGTTCTCTCGCCAACGCCATGGAGGAAGAGTTTGCCAAGTACATGGACCACTTCTCTCCCTTCTTGTACAACGCGCTCGGCAACCAGGAGGAGCCTGCCCTTTGCTCCATGGCCATTGGTCTCGTTAGCGACATTACCAGGTCCGTGGGCGAGCGCAGCCAGCCGTACTGCGACACTTTCATGAACCACCTGCTCAACAACTTGAGGGTAAGCTTTCACCCAAAGTAGCTGAGTCTATTGCCACTAACCATCTGTAGAGCAACGCGTTGTCGAATCAGTTCAAGCCTGCTATTCTGCAGTGCTTTGGTGACATTGCTGGTGCCATCACTGGCCACTTTGAGACGTACCTGTCTGTTGTTGGTGAGGTGCTGCAACACGCATCTACCGTCACCACTTCTCCTGAAGACCCCTACGAGCAGTACGACTATGTGGTTTCCCTGCGTGAGGGTATCATGGACGCATGGGGCGGCATCATCGGTGCCATGAAGACTAGTGGCAAGAGTAAGTTCGACCTCCTACTATGGACGCTCGCATTGCTGACTTGACGTAGCCCCAGTGCTTCAGCCATACGTGCCCAGCATTTTCAACATGCTCAAGGTTGTTTCTGGCGACATGAACCGCAGTGAGGCTTTGATGCGTGCGGCCATGGGCGTCATTGGTGACCTGGCCGAGGCCTACCCCCAGGGCGAGTTCGCCAACGAGTTCCGGGAGGATTGGCTCACGGCCATGATCAAGCAGGTCAAGACCAACGACGGCTTCATGCCGCGCACCATTGAAACTGCCCGATGGGCCCGCGAGCAAGTCAAGCGCCAGGTCGGCGGGACGCAGACCGTCATGTCATAAACAAACAACTTTCAGCATTGCGAGCAACAAAATCTTCCCCACGTCCTTCCCCGAACCCCCCAGCAGCACATTACACCACACCACACCACGACACAGCACGGCACGGCGCGACGAATCATCCCATGATCCCCATGGTGGCACTCCATGTGTATATAGAGCCACTATACCAATTCCATCACACATAATTCACAATACCCCCTTTACTTTTATGAACACCATACACACACACGCAAAGCCCCCATCATTCTTCCCATTTCTCAGCCGCGACGGAATACGATGTCATGTACGCCCCAGCTCCGTTTCTGGAGTGGAAGGGTTAATCAAAAGTCATGTAGAAGGAAAGGACAGGTGGAGCACAAGGGAAAACGACGACCGGGGAGTTTTCACACATGAAGCGCGGGTGGGATCATTGCCCTTTTTGTTTTCTTTCTTTCTGTCGAGTTTATACACACACCTTCAAGTGAACGGGAGTCTATAAGTTCGGATACACACACCATGGACGGCGCAGTGGAGACGGCGGAGAGAGAGCAGGCGGCCATGGAATTTCTGTCATGTTTTCAGGGTTTAGAACTGGGAGGCAAGGCGCATTAGAGTAGATAGGTCAAGTGACCGGTCCATTAATGCGACAAACAAATGTGCTTGTTCAAGAAACCATTCAATACGCTACGCCTCGCTATGTGGCAAGATTTTTCTCCTTTTTTCCCGAGCAGCAGCCTGATAAGATGAATGGGAGTAGTCGTACTATTGTTGAGAATTGACCCATACAGAGAGCGGGTGCTGTGCGTCAGTCCAGTCGGTGGACATGCCCTTGATATAGGACGCCAGCTGCTGGTCAAAGCCATCTGAAACGGGCTCCAGCTGATGATATGCCGTGTGGGCATGCTGTTGTTGATGTTGATGCTCCGGGAAATACGGCACTTCACCCGTGGCAGCAGCTACGGCGGACGCCGTGGCCATGTCGTAGGGAGGCACGTAATCGTGAAAGTGTGTTTGTGGTGCCATTACGAACGGTGACCGCGGCGGCGGCTGCTGCTGCTGCTGCTGCGGACGGACAGGGTGGCCTTGTGTTGGTGATTGTGAAGCCTGTGCGAGCATGTTGAGGCCATTGTGCTGCTGCTGCTGCTGCTGCTGCTGCTGCTCCTGTGGCGACTGGGGTGCGAAGTACGGCTGCAGAACACCCGGGTCGTGCTGCAGCGGAAAGGTACCTGGAGGATAGGTGACCAGCGGTCCCGCGTTGAAGAATGGCGAGTAGCCTGCTGTAGAGCCGGAGAAGGACGAGGCGACGTCTTCTTGCGATGCCTGGAGTTGGGAGGGTTGAGATACCAGGGGGGCTGTGCTCTCGGTGGTCGACATGGCGGCCTCGCTGCCCGGGACGCACGGCTCGGGTTTAATCTCCTTGGCTATGGGATGACCTTCTGCGGCTGACGGGTCTTGAGCAGCGGCGTCGAGGGAGGCTGCCCACTGTTTTGCAAACGGCCAGATGGGCTCGCACTCCTGCAAGATGGACCGAGTGTACGCCAGCATCAAGGGTGCGCGTCCGACGGCTGCGCGGTCCGAGTAGACTGCGGTATGTAGTCAGCGAGAGTAGAACTCAGAAGAGGTAGTGCTTGTGTCATACGCTGATGGTACTTGCATATGTAGGCTATGTGCAGGCCACATAGATACACGCAAAAGCCGGCCATGTGGTGGCCAACCTTCTCGTCGGCTCGACGGCCAGTAAACAGGGCCTCGACCTGACCGTAGAGGTCAAACACATTGTCAAAGAGCTCGTCCACACGCGTTTGACAGTAGACCTGGACAGCCTGCGACTGCGGAGTATAATGGTGGACCACGCTGGATGTGGTGTCAGTCTGATGATGTGAAGCGAGAGGGAGGAGAACGAGTACCTTTGAAGAAACGATCTTCGAATAACGATATTGCAGACGCGGACCATCATGGTCACGCCAATATATGCCTAGTCGTCTGCGTCAGCTGTGCTATACCCCTGGGCAACCGCATCTGTAGACCTACAAGATCCAACCTCTCTGCCTTCATCTGACGGTAGATCTGCGCGTCCCATTTGTGCTGAGGTGGGAGACGTAGTTCCCAGTCCGCCAGCTGGCTTATCATCTTGGCAGTCTCGCCCTCTGACGCCGATGCCAGGGAGTATGTTGTCGCCCTTCGCCTGACCTTGCCCCACCAATGGTAGACTTGGATCTGCGTTGCGAAGAGCGATCGATTGGGATTGTTCACGAGCGACTTGTTACAGCCCGGGACTGTATCCTGAAGCGCGGCGCGAGTTTCGGGAATCTTTCCCGCCAAGAAGGACGCCTCGTCGCCAGGCAGCAGTGCCGTAATGTCGATCTCGCAGAATGATTTGGGCGAATCTTGGCCGGAATGAAGGCTGTCTTGGCTGTGCAGCATCCACTTGTTTGTTGTTAGGACTGAGGGGCGTGCATTGTGTTCAGGGGGTCACATACAAAGGTCCGTCGAGCTGATTCCTTGCGCATAACATCACTTGGCGCGGCGTCGGGAGGTAAACTCAGATGCTCTTCTCGATGAAGACGTAAGCCTGTGGCCTTGTGAATGGCGAGGCCCAAATTGCGCTAGATCATGTGTTAGATGGAGAGCATGTAAGCATGTGGCAACGTACATGGCTGTCGTTTTGTTCGCCATCGCCATGCTGGGCGATGCTCAGGAGGTAGAAAGCCTGGCAATCCTCCAAGCTATTGTGCTTGTACCTCGCATCCGCCATCTTGGCCGCCTTCTCTTTGAAGAACTCCACGGCACCGTCTCCGGTCCCATAGCGCCTGGTCAGTGCCGGACTCAGCCGCGCCGAAACGCTGAGGATGCTGAGTAGGAGAAAAAGATGCTCTGGGCCTCGCTGCTTGCCGATGCTTCGCGGATACTGGTCCTTGTGGGTGAATCCGAGCTGGAAATAATGAGTTGTGAATTTGTGGATGGCATCAACCATGTCCTCCACGGGCGGCAGCAACTGCCAGATGTCGTCTGCGCTGAGCCAAGTGTTTACAGCTTGGTCGTACTCCCAGTTGGACCGGCGTCGCTGGGCGGTATTGCGCTTGTTGCCAGGCTTGGTTGCGCGGTCACGAGGTCGAGGATGGCGCTCGTTCCTGGCGTTGCTATGCTGTCCCTTTGCGAGAAAGATGCTGTTGTTTCGTCTGTCAGTGAGTGCTGCAATGTTGCTTTGGACTGGACGAGGTTCATCCACATCGATCAAGCCTACCATTCTCTGTCATTGTGCATGCAAGATGCACATGGTATCTGCCCCGGAGGACCACACTTCATTCTTGATGCACGACAACTAAAGACATTGATTAGCTCTGAATCTCATCACAACGGGATCGCACGGGAGCAATTCTTACGCTTCACAAGCTCGGGGCGCTCTCTTGTGCTTTGCTTCAGGGGTAGGCAGCCTTGACGAGGCGTGCTCGGCACCCTGTGGCATGTCCAAGTCGAGATCATGGCGAGGCAGTGTGCCGGGGTATCGAGCAAGCGGAATCGAATCGCTGCTGTAGTCGTGGATATCATGAGCGTCGCGCTGAGGGTGTTGAAAATGTTGTTGCTGTTGATGAAGGGGGTTTGCGCTGAGGTTGAGGGCGGCCATCACATGGGGCTCCATGATTTAGACGGCCCTACAAACGTAATATCCACACCACGACCCAGGATACTGGAGTCGAGACATGGAGCATAGCACAGCACCACCACGCACGCACGCACGCGGGCGATGGATCTGATGATCGGAACTGTCGGTCCGACCCAGCCTGGTGCCAGCGATGCGGGTGCTACTTAGTTAGTGGTCTGCCTGCCGGCGGAATGATAGAGTCAGTACACGGGACTCGGAGCCTCAGATTCGTCAACTAGGCGCGGAAGCGTTGGCAGATGATACAGCGGCTTGGTAATGTGGTTTCGCAATTCGGAGGAGGCGACGAGCAATGAGGCCGACCATGAAGCGGGAATGGGAGATGCCTTTCGACATATATGACGACTGCGCAAATGAACGATTAGAAAAAGCGACGTCTGGGAAGGGCAAAGCCGTCCAATCCGAAGCTGATCAGCCACCACCACCACCATTACCACTAACTTACCACTACCGGCCATCCACTGGGGTGGTAGGCTTTGATTAAGCCTTACAGTACCTTATGTAAATCTTGATCTTGGCTTTGTCTCGCCTGACTCACCCTGGCCTATACGTTGCTATGGCGCAGCGAACGTGAATACTCGAGCCTCGAGGGGGTCAGCGCTCAGTAGCTCGAGAATGCAGGCGATGAGCAGAATGAAACGGCACACATGCAAGAGGCCCACGTCATGGATGCGGACGACTGCTCGGAGGGCGAAGACCTGTCTACATGTACCTTATATTACGTCTGCCTGTCTTTCCTGCCCGTTCGCTCGTCACTGTTCCATGCATCCTCGCGAAGCGGAGTAGTGCAGGCTCGGCGAATACAATGAGATGCCTGGTTGGTTGCCCGCAACTCAGACTGGAAATAGTAGGTGCCCAGTTTCAGCTGGCTCCTCTCGAACCGTTCTCGATGCGGGTAGAGTTGTGGCCTCACATGTATCCGTAGGTCGTGTACATGTATGCTGGTAACCTGACTGTAGCATGGAGAGATGGTGCGGCTGAAGGTCACGTGAGCGAGGTCGCCGACTACCTACCTACCTACGGAGTACCGACTACCGTATGCAAGAAATTCATCAGCCCGTCAGCTCGACTCTTAGGGCCCAGGACGCGTTGGATCAACAATCAATGAACTCATTCGTTATCCACTCGCCCGAGAAAAAGCAATGTGAGATTCTTGAAAATCTGGAAGCACCAGATTAGACCCGTCGACCAACGTCGCCCCAGTCAACCTGCAGCAGCTTAATGCATGTAGCTCACCCTTCCTGGCCATTTTCCTTCTGCTCGCCAGGGGTCATCGCCCTTCCATGCAGATTGCTCATGTGGCCCTCGAGCGAATCGCGTTGGTAGGCGCGTAGTACGGGGTGTCGTTCATGTTCCCTCTTCCTCGAGACCTGTGCTGTCTGTTCTGGGCTGCTGCCGCCGCCTCTTCCTCAGTGAGCGACTCTGGCTCAAGATTCAATTCACCTCGCAGACTTGAACCTAAACCAGCCTGTCTGCCCGGGCATGTAAAGTGTGCACCTGTGTGGAGATGATCGCGACTCAAACACAGAGTATCATACATGTATGTAGATGTACGTACTCGAGGCGCGATCTTCCTTCTTCCGCGCAACTTGCCGAATGTATTCGGTCGTGCATCTTCGGATCCCTGTATCCAGGACACCGTTTCATCTCACTCCATCAATCTAATGCAGCAAGCTCCCCAAGCCGCCCGACTACGTACAGATACAAAACCCCAGGTCTGCTCCTTCGTCCCTCCCAATTGGTCGCCATGCCAGGTCACCGCCTCAAACGCCGAAATTGGGGAGCGAGGATGCTCCCAGTGACAAGTGCTCATCATTGCCTGACGCGGCAGATGGAAGCTGCACGTGAAGCACACGGGCATCGTGGCATCCGTCATGTCCATCCGATCGTAATGCCCACCGCGGGGAAGCGGCCCCTGGCCGTGTCTTGAGTCTTGGCTCGCTCTTCCAGAAAAGCGCCCTGCGAGGGATCTGCCTACGCAGTCCAGATCCCTGGATCCAAGATCCAAGATCCAAGATCCAGCCCACCCTCTGTACGGTGGAGTAGTCGCAGCCGCGTCGGTTCCCAGCCTCGTTTGTACGCCAAAGGTCGCCAGACGGCAGGCGGCCCATCTGACCGGTCGGCTAGATCTTCGCCTTCTTCTAACCAATCGGCCAAAGGTCGCCTCGGGGCAGTGGCAACGCGGCTTGATGTGACCGCTCAAGGGGCGGGAAGCCATCGACAACGGTGTCGTTTTGCGTATTGTTGAGAAGCGCGTTACGTCGGAAGATTACTCATGATTCATGAACGTAAATCTTGGACGGTATGAGTGAGGGCTCACTGAAGACAACACCAGCCGGTGGCACCATCCTGTAACCGGGGTGGGCCTTCTTCCTCTTCATGATGTATAGTATTGACTATCACAGAACAGAATACTTGTAGGAGGTTCAACTTAGTATCCAAAATCCAGCTTGGTACTTTTCGACCCATGAGCCCAAGCAGCACGCATAAATCACGCCAACCCACGCTTCGTGTCCTTCGCAATGAGACCCGTCAAGCTCTTCTCAGGCTTGGGGTACGCCGGTCGGGCGCTGAGGGCATCGACAACATCGCGCACTTCAAGCCAGTGCGCGACCTTTGGCCTGCGGTTCGGCCAATCGGTGCCCGTCTCCTCCAGTTGCTTGACAGAACTAAAAACAATCTCCGATCCCTGGATGCCAATGACCGTGGCACTAGACGGATCTGTCTTGACGCGGTTGTGTGCGTTGCGCCCGAAACTCTCCAGGTGCTGGATGCATTTGATGGCAAGACGCACAGCACGACACCTGTCCATGCCGGAAGGATTGTTGCCTTGGACGACATGCCCTGGCACCGACTAAATCATCGTATCAGTCTCTGACGCGCCCCACCTAGTTCACTTCACTGTACTCACCTCTCTGCTCTCGAAGCGATCGTGGGCTTCTTCACGGATGATGCTCGCAATGAGCTTTGCATCGTACACCTTGCTAGCCTTTTCGTTGACGAGAATGAGGCGACCTGCACGCGACTGGCCCTTATCCGCGTTGAACACTTCCTTGAGGTGGTTGACATCGGCGTGCAACATGCTTAGGCTGATACCCTCCTCAGGGATGTACACTGCCGAGGCGCCTACGGACAATCCGGCCAACACAGTCGTGTAGCCACATCGTCCACCCTGGCATTCGATAACAAAGACGCGGCGGCGAGTGGCGGAAGCAGACTGCTTGATCTTGTCACAGTAGCCCACCAACTCGTTCAGGCAAGTATCTGAGCCAAGTGAGTATCTAGCTTTGAGTTAGCTTCGTCGTCAATCATAAAACAACCAATCTGGAAAACGTACTCGCTTCCGGGAACATTCACCGAGATCGTAGCGGGCAGCAGCGTCATCGGAATGCACAAGGAAGGGAACTGGTCCCGAGCTCGACGCAGTTGCGCCACAGAGTGGAAGGCCTCGAAGCCTCCGATGAGGAAGAGAGCATCGAACTGATACTTCTCAATCAGGTTGGCAATCAACTCCATGCCTGATTCCTCGGGCAGCTCTCGGTTGGTTCCAATCTCCGAGCCTCCTTTGCTAGCCCAGCTGTCGACTTCAAGCCAGTTGAAAGGACGGACCGCACCCAGCGGTTTGTCGTCATGGTGGCGAGCAAACCCAGCGAACCCGTTGTGGATGGCCACAGGCTCGTGCCCGCGCGAAATGCAGTAGGCGACGGCAGCTCGAACAGCGGCATTCATGCCACCGGCGGGAGCTCCAACATTGATCATCCCGATGCGCATCCTCTGGAAAGAATTAGTTCATGAAAAGCAATACAATGTGTGCGGTATTTGACTGACCTTATCCGTTGGCAGTTTGTCGTCATCTACTGTGACGTTTGTGGTTATATGGTACGATTTGAGTGAATCGGCAAACTCTCTGTCGCGCAGTTGCAGGGCACGCGTAAAGTCTTTGGATTCCACGGCCTTTGCCAGTTCCTGCGTCTCTTGCACGGCGCGTATAAGGGGCTTGCGGACAATCTTGTTTTCCTCGAGAGCGATGAAGCACGTTTCGGTGCCGGGAGTTGCTTCAAGCACAGCCTTGACAGCCTCCACGCCTTGGAGCGTGGCCAACATCCGATCCATGTGTACGGGGCTGCCACCGCGCTGGACATGGCCTAAGACAGATCGTCAGCACATTGCGCTGTCCTCATGACGCATCTCCATGGCTTACCTAGTGTGGTAATACGGGTATCCAGTGCGAGACCATTCTCGCTGGTGTCTGAGAGAAGGTCCTTGATTTCGGTGGGTGTGATCTTTTGGCCCTCCTTGTCGCGCGCGCCTTCGGCCACAATGACAATCGTCTTGCGCTTGCCCATTTCACGATGCTACGCAGCGGTTAGTGGTGGTTCATTAGAGCCACTCAAGCTGGACTTGCCTTGCGCACTACGAGAGACATCTTCTCTTTCCAGTCATGCTCTTCAGGTCTCTCTGGAATCAGGACGAAATCGGCGCCTGTGGCTGTCCCGGCATTAACCGCCAACCAGCCGGATGCCCTTCCCATGACTACCGATGATTAGTTGTTTGGAGTCTTCATTTGGCCTTTAGACACGTACCTTCAACAACAAATGCCCTCGAGTGCGACGACGCCGTGGCCTCAATGTAGTCAACCATTTCGCAAATGCGCGCCAGGGCTGAGTAGCAACCGATCGTGGCGTCTGTACCAGACAAATCATTGTCAATGGACCCGACGAGCCCGACAATGTTCAAATGACGGTAGGGCGTGACCTGGTCTTCCGTGAAATCGCCGTTGGCTACCAGCTCATCCACCAGTGATGGCCACTCCTGACGGAACTTATCAGCGCCGGTCAGGGAGCCATCACCACCGCAGATGATCAGGGCATCAATGCCGTTGGCGACCATGTTCTTCGCGCCCAGCAGCCGCCCTGGACGCTGGTAGAAGGCCTTGCAACGCGCCGTGCCAATGAGTGTGCCGCCTTCCGACAGCCAGCCACGCACATCTTCCCAGTGCATCTGCCGGATAAGGTCCCCACCCCGTACGAGACCTTCGTAGCCTTCGTAGATACAGTAGGCGTCGCAGCCCATGTTGATCGCGGTGCGCACAACCGCTCTGACGGCGGCGTTCATGCCTGGGGAGTCACCTCCCGAGGTCATGACGGCCACCTTCTTTCTGGGTGCCATGGCGAATTTGGCGCGCCTCGTGGGTGGGTTCGAGCGTGGGGTCGGTTGACAACTCGAGGAAGGGCGATAGCTCGGATCAGATCCAGAAGTTGTTGATACAAGAAAGGAAGTTTGGGATTCGAGGGATTATTGGAGTTTATTAGGTATGAAGCAGATAGGTGTAAGTATTATATCGCTCGGACGCAGTCGTTGGTGGCTCGAGGGATTTAACACGTCGAATGGGAGGAGGAGACTTGAAAGTGCGTCAGTTTGTCCCACCTTCGAAGACAGGCCAAGCTGCCAGATAAACCAGCCACTTGTGAAAAAGCCACGTAGTTGGATGATGAATACAGTATGTCAAAGCAAGTACAATAAATGCTCGTCGAGCACGAGAAACAAGGTTTGGCGTTAGGAATGCCCAGGATTGGAGACCACGAATGCGACAGAACGAAGCTTGTTTGGTGGGTTGTTGAGAGTGTCAGGAGGGGAGCTCCTTATCGCTTATCGACTGGCGCGGGGCATCTTAAGACACAAGGCTTTGGGCACACCGAACCCAAGGGGACTGACTGCCTGGCTCATTGAAGATGCTTCGGCCATTTTGTGCAGTAGATTTCTTTTCGTGGGAGCGAATAATCATTGTTGACCTTTCTGGTGCTGGCCGCGCTGCCTACTAGGTAAGGTACGCGCCGTCTGTTCCTCATGGACGGGCTACCCTGAAATAGTACGTCATTGCAACAGGTCGCGATCCGAGCTCAGAGAAGTCAAGTTCACGATGGATGCGAGAGAGCAATTCCACAAGTGATATTCTCCTGCGTCTTCTCTGTTTCATTTTTCACTTGTCGGCTATGCAATGGGCGGGCACAATTATTGGTGACCTGAACAATTGATCGGTCCTATAAATTCTGGTTGTGCTTGTCACGAGCTATGTACGCCAGCTTGTTGCGCTAATCCTATTCCGACCAAGGTTGGGGACCCTTGTGGCCGCCATCGCAGCGCACTTTCACGCAGCCTCGCCGTAAACGCGACAAGGCTCCGTTCTCAATTTCATGAACGACTCTACCGCCAGCTTTGTCTTGACCACGCAATCGACCGCTCGACAACATATATGATAACTCTCCTTCCAAACCACCACTGATGGCTGGCGACGCGACGTCTTTGTCTTTGCGCCCATTTCCTGTGGCTGACAAGAAGCCCAAGACCATCTCCGACTTCATCGGCCGTATCAACACGCAGTCGGGTGGATTTCGCGATGTCACAGAAGCAAAGATCCATGACGAAATAGCACGACAAGCCCAAGCTGGCGCCCCGAACGAAGATGCCGACATGTCCGATGGAGAGGAGGAGGATGAGGAGGAAGAGGGCGCCGATGAAGAAGAGATTGATCCTTTGCAAGCACGGGAGCAGGTGCTAAGAGAAATCGAGTTCGTTTTAATCTTCTGCTTTCCTGACAATGCGCCATGGCTCACCGTCTTGAAGCATAGCAACCTATCATGCCGATGCGACCCTCAACACCGTGTCTCTCCTCCTATCCAAGCAGAACCCGACGACCGCTAGTCTGACGCTCAACAAACAACTCCGCGAGACCGTCGGCATTGGCACACTCGGCGCAGATCGACTCGAGCGGCCCAAGGATGACATTGCCAAGGCGGAGGACCAGCGTCGGATTGCTGTCGGGTGGACTCTCATGGACATCAACAACACGAGGAACTCAGCAGAGGCGGCGTGCGCATTTCTGCAAAAAGAGGTCGATGCCGAGAACAAATACTGGGAAGATGTCGCCGGCGTGCAGGGTAGCGGCTGGTCAATATGCAGAATGCCTCAAGAGAGGACAACTCTCGGGGTGCGGTTTGGGTTCTCAGAGTGTACGTGCACACCTTGTCTTGAGATATCCTGCCATGGTACTGACTTTCGCAGCTGCTGCCGAATTCAAAGCCAATGGTCTCGCGCCTATGCGAAGGAATGATGATGGGTCGGTCCAGCTAGATCTCGGACGCCTAGGTGGCGTCTCCGAACGACTTCTCGTCACATACGAACGCGACGGCAACGTCGTAGGGCGTTCGACGATTGGTTCGCAGCCATCCGCAGATGCGCCTCTCGAAGACCGTGTCCTCGAGGCACGCAACACACTGCTCGCCCAGGAGCTTTGGTTCGAGCTGGGCCGGGAGGCGCGCACCTTGACGGCCTTGGGCGTTCAGCTCCAAGGGTCAACGATTACCTTCAACATGGGCCGCAAATCAAGAATCATCCTAGAGCTTGTGTCGCTCGACTCAGCGCCGTCGCCGGACTCGTCACTGCCGGAAAATGAGACCGCAGAGGGCCTGTCACTAGCCCTGCATATACTTCTGAGCTACACGCATCGCAACAACGAACAGATGCGTACTCGACCACTACCGCCGCAAGTAACACGCTCCAGGGGCCAACAGCCATATGCCCTCTTGCGACCCCTCATCGGGCGGACGACATATCTACGCAACTTATCCGCAGCAACCAAGCGCATAGGTGCCCTGACCCATACGCTCCAAGCCGCAGGTCTCCCCTCAACCTTCACTGTTGTGACAACTACACCCGCCGTGCCAGATACATCACCCGCGACTCAGGCGCCCAACACCTCGTCCGCAGCGCACACGCTTGTGCGAAACGCGTTCCAGCCGCCCGAGTTTACAATAACGCTTACCCTTCTTGATGACGTGACACTCACGGTTCGCGGGCGTACGTTCCTGCACCCCTTTATATCGACTTACTATTTCGTGGTTGTACCACCGTCATCTCCATTGGCGACGCTCTGCCCCCCTCACAAAGATGGATACATAGATATTCCATCCCTGATAGCCTATCTCCGCATCGCCTGCGTCAAGTCTATCACGCACAACATGTTCTCGCGCTATGGAGAGAAGCATTGGATCCTTGGTGTGACGGGGACGGCCATTCAAAATCAAGAGGGGACATTGGAACTGCGATTCGACCTCAAGAAAGAGCAAGGCGAACCGGCGATCTCTCTTGTCCATGTGACGCATAGAGGACAGCCAGAACTAAAAGAGTATGTCTGGAAAGACAACAAGCAGGAATCGTTGGAGGGAACCCTGCCGCAAAAGGTTGGCCAAATTGTTGACGAGGGGAAAAGATAGAAAGGATATAGATGAGATACCCGACATACCAACGAATCCGCGTCTTTAATGATCTGAATCTGTCCATCTAATCTAAGCAATGTAGCTACTTTGGCCAGTAATATCTCATCAGGGTACTTATCTCCCGTGCCATGTTAATTATTCATCTCCCCAAACGCCTTACAAACAATCATAACCACATCGTAGGCAAAAATGACGCTCTCCGCCTGTCGTACAAGCGCATTGCTGCTCCTCATGCTCAATTCCTTGAACCAGTAAACAGGTACTTGAGTTCCGCGTGCGAGAGTCTACCAATCTTCTTGCTCTCATCCTCGTCTAGGGCGGCCTCGACGACTTCTTTCTTCTTCGTCTGCAGTTCGACAATCCTATCCTCCACTGTCTCTTGCGTGAGGATACGGTACACCTTGACCTCTTTCTTCTGGCCAATTCGATACGCCCGATCGACAGCCTGCATTTCAATGTATGGGTTCCAGAAAGGATCCATGATGATCACACGTGACGCAGCAGTCAAGTTGAGGCCAGCGTTGCCAGCTCGAAGGGAGACGAGGATAACTTTGATGTCCGGTTTCCGCTCAAAGTTGAGTGCTGCCTCGTTGCGCTGCCCAGAGGACATGCCGCCGTCGTATCGTACCAGCTTGCCGGGAAGTTCCTCGCGCCCAATGGCGACCTCGAGAAGATCGAGAAGGAGTGTCCATTGTGAGAAAATGATCGTTTTCGCGCCGTCCGTGTCCTCAAAGCTGCGCAGCAGCTTCATGCATTCGGTAACCTTGGCCGATGGCAACCAGGTCTTGCGCAAGTAAGCCATGTATTTCTTGTACAAGTGCTGGTTCTTCCGGCCGTCTTTCCGTAGCTGTGCCAGCATCGTGGGCTTCACGTCCGTGGTATCATCCTCTTCAGCCTTTGCCTTGCCCTTATCCTTCGATGGCTTCTTCTTTCTGCGATAGCGCTTTTTGGGTGGCTCGTCCGCCCTAGCCTTGCCTTTGTCATCTTCGTCACTGCTCGAGAAACTGTCATCGACAATGAAATCCTTCAAGTTGCCCTTGCCGTCAACCTCATCTTCGGCTCCAACGTCAGTGTCAGTTTCCCATTCGGTCTCCGACTTGTCTTCGTCCTTTACGCCAGAGGCTTCGGCCTTTGTAGGGTCAGGCATGTGGACTTCCTTGAAGGTCTCAAAATTGAAACACATCTTTGGGTTGAAGTGCGTGCGGCACTCCGGACATTTGCAGAATGCGCCGTTGCCCTCATCTCCTCCCAATCCATCGGTCAGCGCCTTGTCAATCAGCTGCGCCAGGCATTCCGAGCAGCTGTCATGCCCGCAGGGCACGAAGAAGGATGGGTTCGGAACAGCGTCGTAGCAGATAGGACACTCAAATGCCTCTGTCGCCTTGATACGTTCAACGGTGCTAGGGTCAAGCTCTCTCAGAGCTTTGTCTGAGGCTGCCACCGTGGAGCCTGGCGACGACCCCGACTCGTCCAGGTCGATGTTCAAATGGGGATGGCAGCACGCTTGTCTGAGCCGCAGCAGCAATACCAGGATGTTAGAGTAATTTTTGCCGACCGTACCCTCGCGGAGGTACTTGTTGAAGATGACCTGCGACTTGGTTTCCAGTGTCTTGTAGTATGAACTCTCGTCCTCTGAAAATTTAACATGAATCTCGTCCTCTGTCTTGGGCGGGAGTTGCAAGATGGGCTTTCCATCGAGCAGAGAGTCCTTCTTGCGCCTGAGCATGATAGCCTTCAGTAGGATGCGAAGCTGTTTCATGGCATGCGCTTGTGGTGCTCCATTGAGTCCAAAAAGCCGGCCAAAGGTCTTCTTGAATTCCTCGAATTCACAATAAGGTTTGATTCGGAGGAATTGTATGAGAGAAAAGAGCTCTCGAACTCCATTCATCATGGGGGTGCCCGTCAGACACCAGCGATACTCCGATTGCAGCTCGTGGGCGGCCTTGGCCGCCCATGTTTTCACATTCTTGATGGATTGTGCCTCATCCAGCATGATGCGGTAAAACTTTGTTTTTGGATGTAGTAGGGGGAATTTGAGGTCGTTGGTACGATCCTCCCAGTCGATGGTGCGCTTCTCGTCCTTCATCTTGGCCATGCGGCTCATTTCGGAGCCGAGAGTGCCATATGTAGTCAATACAACGTCGTATTTCATCAATTCTTGTCGACTTGCTTTCTTGCTACTATGATGTATGAAAGTCGACATGCGGTGTGAAGAACGGATCTTTGATTTGACTTCGGCCTCCCACTGTCGCGTGAGGGCTACCGGGCCAACGACCAAGTTCGTTTTCGGGCGGCCATCCGCTTTTCTTTCGAGCATGAGCGAGATCATGGAGATGGTTTTGCCAAGGCCCATGTCATCGGCTAGGATGCCTCCTTTGTTGGTGCCCTCTTCCATTTGCTTCAACCATGTCAAGGCAACCTCTTGATGAGGGTAGAGTGTCCCATCGAGACCCGCTGGGGTGCTGCCACGGTTGCCTTCGGGTATGTCCATATCGGGCCGAATGTTTTTGAAGAGATCCTCCAGTTCTTTTTCAGAGACTCGAGAATCTTGCATCATGTCGGCAAGTCGGCTGTGCCGTTCGCTCAAGGGGTTCCCCATTGGATCGAGCATATTGACATAGTCGAAGTCGGCTGTCCTGTTGATGATACCTTGGAGACCATTGCCAACTTGACGCATGCCATCTCCTAGCACTCCTCTGGCAACGTTCATAAATCCCGGGATCCCTGGTTGTGTTGGATGATACAGCGGCTGAACGGGTTGTGAGGGAATGGGGGGGCCGTTGATCACAAACCCCCTTGGAGGTCCACCTCGGTTCTGCGCGGGGCTGGGGTTGAATGGGGCATATTCGATATCATTCAAAAACGACCATGGGTCATTGCTATTCTCCGCTGTGGATGTTCGACGAGGGGCGGGGGCACCGTTGCCTTCCACCGGCCACTGTCCGGGCATACTTTGGCCTACGTAATGAGGGTGAGCCGGAGCAGCAGGACGATAGGTATGTATCGGGACACTTGGTGTGGCAGATGAACGAGCTTCTTGCAGTCCGTTTCGGTGGGCATCCCTCCACCTCCTATGGTGATCTGAACGAGCCCTTTGATACGCACTTTCGCCATCGTCCTCGTCATCAAACCCAGTTAGATCGATGAAATCGAAATCGTCCATAGACCCCACTTCGTTGCGACTCGAGGCAGGAGGTGCAGGACCGCGGGCTGGCGCTGGCGTCGGTGTCGACCTTCGCGACTTTGGTTGAGGTTCAGCGTTGGTGATCGTCGAGCTGCGCTCGCGCTTCCTGCTCGGGAGATTCGCCGAGCGTGGCTGTGTCTGCGGCATAGCGCTTGGAGGTGTACGAGGGCGAGGCGCCCAGGTCTCCTGGAGAGTCTGCTGGCTAAGTAGACTTTCTGGTAGAACGTGACTCGTCAGCAATGATCATGGAAAGATTGAACAGCGCCGCTCTATTTCATGAGAAATGAGAAACAAGTAGGCCAAAACACTGGGCAGTCTTTGCATCCAGCTCTAGCCCTCTCAGGCTGTACTTTATACCACAGTGCTGAGATGCAGCTGGGCTTTGCGATGAGGCGAAGTAGCCTCGCAAACAAAGCGCAGGAACCAGCAATTCTCGAGCCTCGTGCAGGAGGCCCACGATAGCACGTGAATGCAGCCAGCACAGACTGGCGGCAAAGAACCAAATGAGGATGTATGTCTCAAATATTTGCACTCACCGTTTGAAGGCCCAGGCGTCGCTGCTCTTGGAGGGCTAGGTCTCGCTTGAACAGAAGTCAGTGCCATCCTGGTATAAGGTAGTGGCAACAATAACGACTTACAGTTGGGAAACGAAAAGTCCACTTCGTTATCATTGTCCTCGACGGCCAGCTCGCCTCGCTCTGCCTTTGCGATCAATCTGTCAAAGCGGGCAATATCCGCTCTCTGTGCAGCGCGCTCCTCTTCAGCGCCGGGGTAGTCGGTGTCGATTAGGGACTCTAGCATCACTGTCGCCAGCTCTCGCTCGTCCCGGAGCTGCTGAATCTCACTCTCTTCCATCGTAAGTGTCGACTGAGAAGCGACATGTGTAGGGCGGTTTGTGCTGGGAGAAAGAAATGTGACTCGGTGGTCAATCAAACAGCGATTGCAGTAAGTAAGGTAATAGTGAAAACTTGAAGGAACGAATGGGATCAAGGTGAGGGCTTGCGGGAAATTGTCGGGCGCAAGTCAGAGGAAGGTGACACACAGTAAGGAAAGTACCTGTACCGATGGCAGTTGACAGTTGTTGAGGACTGGAACTGGGCAAGTGCCATGGTGATTCGCGATGATAACTAACGTTAATGGCGCCGTCCATGTCGCGACTGCGCAAAGGCGCGTTGCACGGCATTGCCAGATGTGGGCGGGCCCCCTTCCCTTCTGGGCCTAGCCGGAGCCTTGAGTTGGCCAACTTGGCCCCAATTCTGGGCCACAGAACCTCGGAGCACGTAAAGTACAAGCCACACGGGTGACGGGCCACGCCTAACTTCAAGCTACCAGGTACGTATTAGCACCGTAATTGAGAGATTGTCAATGACAATCAAGACATTAAACGCACCTCCAAATTGTATAGAGAAAACATTTGGAATTCAGGCTTTTCAGTTGGAATACATCCAGAAGTCGCTCAAGGGACGGAAGTGTAGATGGTAAGAACATATGAGATGATCCGTCTCCATGCTTTTACCGTGTACATGCTGTGGTATTGGCTCTGTCAGAAACAAGACGAAACCTATGGACGAGGACGTGGCATGATCCAGGCAGGATCAACCATTGCGGCCAGGTCCTGAAGATCTACAAGCTGAGATGGCGCAGCCCCAAACGTAAAATGCATTGTTCTTTCTCCAAGAAATCAAATAGATATTAAGTGTAGCCGGTTTATAATACTCCAAACTCCGTGCTGAGGAAAAATGATTCATGCGGACACGTGCGAACCTCCCAAGGCACCTATGACCCGGTGATGGAGTCCCAGACGTCGCCCACCGTATCAGTGAACCAGTGCCAGAGGCCCTTGATCCCATCCTCTCCCTTCTCATCACCGCCCGTGTCCTTATCTTGATCGTTATTCGTGTCGCCATCTTTGCTGTCCGTCTTATCCCCGCCTTCTTCCTCTTCATGTCCTCCCTCTTCACCCCCTTCCTGATCAGATGGGCCGGGGGAGGGCGATGCTTCTCCAGGCAGGGTAGGTCGTGACTCTTCGGTCGCCTCGGCAGCTGTAGGCGTCTGCGGGACAGGGTCCTCGGGCACCTCGGGCGTATCTTCGGGCTTGTGCGTGCCAACCGGCTTCAGGGGCAAGCGCAGTGTTCCATTATTTGGCCTCGGTTCCATACCGACTGAGTCGCACAGCATATTGTACACTTCAATGTTCTCTGCAGAAGACCGTCAGACTCCTGTTCTCACGGAAAGAATGGGGTAGAACTTACGGAAGACCTCAATTTCGCTGTTCGCTGGATGAGGAAACGCTGGGCCACGTGCGACAAAGATGGCTCGCATCAAGGGGTGCTCGTGGTCGTAGCCGTGTAGACCACGGGGATGGTATACGGTACCGTCGGCCTTGGCCTTTTCGACGTCAAACTCCTCCTTTGTCACGATCGCCCAGCCAGTCTTGGGCACAATCCACAATGGAGCAATGCGGTCGTTCTTGGAGAAATGATACCTCTCGGGCATGTTCTCGTCGCGAAGGTAGACTTCGTAGTTCTCGTTCGACTTTGCCTTCTCGACGAGTTGGTCATACAGTGGTTTCAAGTCTTCCGATTTGTACGGTCGCAAGCCATACAATGGCCAGCCATCAATATGCTCAATCTTTGAAGTGTCGATGAGGTCCTCTAGCTGAATCAGGCGTGATGTGTCAGTAGTGGCCATCCCGTGGTCAGACACCACGATAACATTGACAATATCCGTCAGATTGCGATCTTCCAGACCGTGAAAGATCTGCTCGAGCATCGTATCGGCCTTGCTAATAGTCTCCATAATCTCGGTGCTGTTGGGGCCGTATTTATGACCGTGTGAATCGACGTTGGGGACGTAGGCTGCAACAACCTGTGGTCGCATCTCCGCAACCATTGCTGCTTTGTCTTCCTTGCCAGGTTTGTCCAGGAACTCCAGGATGCGCGACACCTTGTTCTCGAGAGGCTCCTTGCCGTTGAACTTGTCGAGAAAGCTTGGCGCGACGTCGAGAATGCCAGCTTCGCTGCCGGGCCACATGTGCACAGCTGTGCGGATGCCTTGCCTCTCAGCAGTCACCCAGAAGGGCTCGCCGCCCCACCACTTGGGATCGAGGCTGCGCTCCGGGTCGGTGTAGTAGAATTCGGCGGACAGCTCGGGGTCCCAGAATGTGTTGCCCACCACACCATGGCTCTCGGGGTAGAGACCTGTTGCCAATGTGTAGTGGTTCGGGAAGGTAACCGATGGGAAAGATGGAAGCATGTACTTTGGCGACACGCCCTCCTTGATGAAAGCGTTTAATCTGGGCGTAATGTCCCGCTGTAGGAAATCCGCCCTGAAACCGTCCAGGCTGATGATGATGGTCGTGGGCGCAAACAGCGCCGTTCCATTGCTCACAAAGTCCTGCTTTGCGAGGCTCTTCCTGTTCCTTGACAGCTTCCAGGCCATAAGCACCAGAATCGCGAAACCAATGGCGATCAAGCTGTGGATGAACAGCCACCGCCGCCAACTACGGCCCTTTCTTGCTCTGGCATCTGCGACTAGGCCCATTCGCCGTCGATCGATTTGGTCGCTATCCTCGCGCTCGCTGCTGTCGCCTGTCGAGCTGCCCTCCTTCACTCCACCCTCTTCCATCTCGTACATGAGCTCGCCGTCCTCTCCATGCTGTGCGCTCTCCATCAGCCTTGCCTTCTTTTGCTTGCGCCGGGCTCGTCGGGTCTGCCGCTTGACGTCGTTGAGGTCCTCAGCCGAGCTGTTGATCGAAGCGTTGCTCCCTCGGCGCTGTATCATCTTGAGTGGGTTTGGGACGTTAAGCCCTGAGCCTCTCCGGGAGCGCTCTTGTTTCTTCCGAGTATCCGTGACCAAGCCTTCTATCTCTTCGTCTTCCATGAGCACCATTCTATCTCGGGCGCGTAGCTCGCGACTATTCCGCGCGCGTGCTTGTAGTTGATCGTCATCGCTATCGGTGTCTTGCTCGCTTCGGGAGTGGACGGAAGAGGCATCATCGTCGTAACCGTTAGGAGAGAGAAGGGACCCGCCATCCTCATTCGCACGGGGAACATTCGTGTGCAGCCGTGACAATGACATGTTTGCGGGGGTTTTCCCAGCTCCGGATGAATGAGCGAAGAAGCTCGGAATTCCCAGCTTGTCTGCGATGGTTTGGTTGCAGAATCGTGGGGCTGTTGTATTGAACTGCACGTTGGCAATCGTACCCTGAGACTTGACCATTAAATCCTTATCTAATCGGGCCAACACGTAGCAGGGGCAGGCGCCTACCCGGGACTACTAGTATGGCCAATATGAACAACGCCGACACATAATTGGGACTGGACTAGAGATTCTTGTTTTCTACAAAGATAGAAATAAGATTATATTTAGAGATCATAGCGCAGAAGGTACAATACATTTCGTGTGGGATCAACGTAAACATTGGCCTTTTCCGCAGTAGAGCATCAAGATCGCGGTCCAAAACTAGCAGCGTAACAAATCAGTGTTGAGGGCCTGCAGAATAATCATAAGCATGGGCAGAACGAGCTTCTTACTTTTCAGAGGGCATTCACGCCAAATCTTCCAGCTCTATTGTGCCGCGAGCCCGTCGCAGGCTACCCCATTCATGGGACCTAACCATACGGGCGCCAGTCACACTTGACGTGCTCTCACATCCGCAGCAAGAAAATGCCCAGATCCAAGCGACCAGTCAAGAACAGGTTCATCAGAAGAAACACCCATGCTGTGTCTTCCCCAACGGACAGCCCGCCCACAGGTCACCTCCCTTACTGGCGAACCAGCCCTCGGCCTCATCCACGCCCAGGACACTCGTCAGAATCACCCGCCCAAAGAAATCCACATCCTCCGCCGCCGCCTCCCTGACAATCACATCAATACCCCCGTCCCTGATCACAAAGTGACCCGTCCTCTCCCACTGCTTTGCGAAATCGACAGCCGACTCAGCGTGCCACAGGGGCGCGGACAGCGTGAAGGAGTGACTCAGCCCCAGCTTGCCGTCGCACGGTGCCACCGGGAGACCGGCCAGGATCCGGTAGGCCTGGAGGAGGAACATGGTGAAGAGCAGCGTCCGTCTCGCTGACTCGCTGAAGATCCACGACTTCCAAAATGCTATCGTCGGTGCCATGGGGAACAGCCGCAGACGGGTCTCTTTCCCGGCCAAGGGATCGACGTGGTCGACGTGGGCCACCAGGTTCAACGCCGAGTCCTCCAGCGCATTCTGTGTGCGCTCGGCTTCTGCCCTGGAAGAAATATCGCCGTCGAATATTCGTATGATGTGGTACAGCAGGAGTGCTTGTGTATGGGCCAAGGAAGCCAATGGCGTGGTGGGATCAGGCTGTGCCAGGAGCTCGTTGACCTTGGCGTCAATGTTGCGAAGTATGAGCGGGGTGTTGACCCTGTTCTTGGACAGATACATGGCACAGCATGAGTATGCATCTGCGATGATTAGGGGCTTGGTCTTCAGAGCGTGCTTGCTGATGGGCATCGACGAAGTTCAGGAGACACACACCTTGCATTGCCCGTGGCATCTCGTCCTCATACACCTTTGGGTGACACCAAGGCGTCTGAAGTTCTTCCACCATCATCCTCGGGACCGTCTTGACCAGCTCAATGGGGTACTGAAGCTTTCGCCTCGCGCCCTCCGGAAGGGGACCCAACTCCCTTCTCGTGGGCGCGGTGAGCGTGGAGGGCTGATAGACGAGGTCCTGTGTACCTATGTTCGTGCTTTCCGGGGAAATACCAAACGTAGCTGGGAGGAAATCGGGAAATAAATCTGCCGCAGATGTACAAGGCAGTGTATCGAAAAACAATGATTCACTCGCGCAGCTATACTCGGGCATGCTGGCTCGTGGGCTAGCGATTGGGCTGGGTGGGACGATGCTTGCCCCCATCCTTCGAGCTGGACGGCTGCGTGAGGGCATCTCACACGGGATGCCTCGTTGGACGCACTTTGTAGTCAGTCAGTGATTAATGCGAACTGTGTAAGAAAGGGTACGTACTCGAGCGCACGCCGGAGTACCGGCGTCGCAGCGTCGCTTGGCCTTGATGCATGCCGCGCAGGACTTTTGCCTGGCCGGCGGATTTCCGCGCTCCCTGGCTGTCATGGACATGACCGCTGCCAGCCGGGTATGGTAAGATGTGATCGTGACACAGATTCGGAGGACATGTTGCTGAGATGGGTGAGATTATGGATTCGGGGACTTGAATCTCAAAGAGTCAAGGAGAGGTGGGCCAGGCGGAGTTCCGCCCAGAGACTGCCAAATTAAAGCAGTCATTGCGATGGCTCCTGATATACTGATTTTGGTGGCGCCGGGGCGGGCTATTTATGTCCGCTTCAAGTCTTTCCCAAACAGGCAAACGTATGTGTATAAGCGCTAATGATGCTTCGAGGTCTTGTCTATCGACGGAACTCCGCGAAGGCATGTTAGTAAACGAATGGGGTACGCAGGGGAGACTCGAGAAGTTGTATAAAAACAAGGATCTTCAAGCGAGCTGATGGTAGTTTCTTTCAACCTCCCAACAACATCAAAACCACCCCTATCTAAGCAGCATCTAACAAGACACCACCTACCATCCACCATGCCAACCTTCTTCCTCAACAACATCACGGGCCTGCAGGGCTCTGCCACAGCCCGGTATCTCCTCGACCAGCCCACGCCTCCCACCATCGTTGCCCTCTGCCGCGATCCCACGTCCCCCAAGGCTCAAGCCTTTCAAAAGCAAGGCGTCACCCTGATCAAAGGCGACTGGGACAACGCGGCCGCCATCGAGGAGGGCGTCAAGGGCTCTGATGCCGTCTTTATGAACTTTATGCCTGACTTCAACGACTGGAGCGCCAACCTCCGCTCCGCCAACACGACACTCGCCCATTGCAAGACGCACGCGGTCCCCCACGTCGTCCTCTCCAGTGGCGTCTACGTCGACAACCTGGCCGCCCTGGGCGTCCAGCAAGACAGCATGCTGGGCAAGATCCTCACCACCAAGGCCGACTTGGAGAAGGCTGTGAAGGAGAGCGGCCTCAACTACACCATCTTGCGCCCTGCCAACTTCATGGCCAATTACATTGACCCCTTTGCCCAACGGCAGGTCCTTGGCCTGGCGGAAACAGGTGTGTGGAAGACGGCGCTGCGGGAGGATGACAAGCTGCCTCTCATCTCGACACAGACCATTGGACGTGTCGCCGCCAGGGCTCTGCAGGAGCCGGTGTCCCTTGGCCAGAAGACACTCACGTATGCAGACGAGACGCTCACTCTCAAGGAGATGTTCGCTGTGTTGTCGAGCAAGGCAGGCCGGGAGCTCAGGATGGAGTCACTGTCTGAGGAGGAGGTCGAGGCCACCAAGGCGAGCAACCCTTTCGTGGCAGGACAGCAGGCGATGCGCAACATGGCGCAGCTTGTCAACGTCGACAAGGCGAGGAAAAGGATGGCTGAGTGGGGCATGGAGCCCGTCAGTTTCGAGGAGTATCTGGACAGTGAGGCCGAGGGCGTCAAAGCGACGTATGGCCGTCAGTGAGGAAGCATCTGGCTGCCCAAGATAAGAAAAGGAAAACGCCTTGCGTTTTTATTTCTCCTATTAGAAGAATGTCCATATACCAATGCCATTTCAGTCAAATATGCGCCCCAACGCCTGTGAGATAGCCAAGTCTCTATGAGCTCCCAGCAAATCGCAATATGCACCCATCCCTTGTTGCTGTACATGTTCGCAGAACCAGCCGTCCGCCTCAATGGGCCGGAGCTGCTGGTCGAATCTCATCGTCGTCTGTCCCCCTCGTTGACTCTCTCGATGACGATTGCCCGCTGTGTCCCGGCTCGGCAACGCTCCACCGGATCGAAGGGTTGTGAGGCCAGCCGAGAGGCATATTAGACGCTCTTCGGGAATGCCTCGCGACACTCGACCTCTTCACCTCTGCGGGTGCAGCGACCCCGGGCACAGGCTCTTCCACCGGCGTCGTACCAGCCTCAGCGGCCGTCTGAACCCCGGGGCCTTTTTCGGACATGAACTGCGACTCTCGAGAAGACGATGCCGCGCCCGCGATCGGCACCATGGCAGCAGCCGCAGCGGCACTGGACGGCAGACCACGGATCTGGTCCAGAGGTCCCTTGTCCGACGTCTCGTCCAGCCACAGCCAGAAGATGCCCAGCAGAAGAAGTCCAATGACGATAGTGGTAAGGATCGCCGCGCCAGCTCGTTGGCCCGCCGTCATGGGCGGGTAGTCCTTCTTGGGCGGCTCGCCATTGCGACTCCGTCCGATCTCACTCCCGCCCGCGCCAGGATCGCCCTCGCTCGTGCCGCCCGTGTCGCTCGTCAAGATGGGGTCGCGCTTCGTGATCATGCACGACAGCGTGATCTCCATGGCGGACATTTGCTGGCCGATCCCCTCACTCCCGTCGTTCTTCTGAGTGCTCCATTTCGAACCGCACATTCGTTTGTTCGCGCCGCCGGTGCACTGCGCGGCCGCGGCCACAGCAGAGGCCCGGAGCAGGGGCGAGAGGCGATCGTACGAGTCGGGATACCACTGTATCGTGGCGGCCATCCATCGGGCTAGATATGCCTTGAAGGACTTTTGGTCGACGTTGCAGCGATCGACAGGCTCGCAGGCAACCTCCTGCATGATATCGTTATTCGGACCGCGGAAGAAGACCTTGGCGCCCTCGAGAAGCCCGTCCAAGCGCCCCTTCCACTCGTCCGACTCGGTGTAATTGTACATGGCCGCCGCGCCCAGGATAAAGGCACCAGAGTTGTACGTGAACTGCCACGGCACAATCTCTGTGCAGTTGTTCGGGATGTGTGCGCCGTCGTAGACATACCACCACTTGTCGATGAACTCCAGATCGATCATCCAGTCCCACGTCTTGGTGGCCCAGTCGGCATACGTGTCGTTGCCAGTGTAGAGGGCGAGGCGGGCGGCCAGCGAGAAGAATGTGCCCTGCGAGATGGAGTTCTTGTAGTCCCAGCCCTTGTTCCAGTTGTAGATCTGCCATCGGAGGCCACCGCCGCAATGGGCGTCGTCCCATCGAGCGGCTTGTGTGTTGAATACCGCTTGGGCCAAGCCGAGCCACGACGGCTGGTCATCTCTGCCCTCGGGAAAGTTGTACTCGGCTGCGCTCATCACCGCGGCGGCCCAGAAGCCTTGATCGTCGTTGCCCTCTGTGAGGGTCTGATTGTCAGGCATGTAGTCGTCGTATTTGCCGACTTGGAAGAGGAGTCCCCTTTTGGTGGTCTCGACGTATGAATCGTCCTTGGTGTAGTACCAATATTCTACCAAGGCACCCATCATGGCACCGCCCATCCACCAGAAGTAAGGATCTGGTGGCAGCCCTGGTGTTTGCCCTGGTTCGTCGCCCTTGTAGAATGAAAGCAGGTCGTCCGCCATGTTTTTAGCGATAGACGTCACGGACTCTGGGAATGGTCATCAGCTTGTCAACCATAGAGCGAGGTTCTTCGCGGGGAGGGCTCACCTGTCGAGTTGGGGTCCAAGTCGTACGCCACTGCCAGACGTGCTGGTCCAGCTACAGCCAGCAGCGCTGTGAGCGTGCGCCACGGCCCTGCGAAGGGACGCATCATGAATGAAGAGATTCTGTGCAGAGAAGAGAAGCCATGGGTCAATGTCGACAGGCGGCGTCGTGACTCGTGGGTGAGGTCCTTGTCGTCGTGAAGTCGGTTTATCCTTGTGACGTGCGTAGGTACGCAGCTTGGCAACGAGCGGATGGGTGTGTCTAAAATGGACGAGAGCAGGCAATTGGATGAGATATGTCGACAGATGCCAGAGCACAGCCCGAGTATCAATGAAAGTAAGCAATAGGGCGAGGTAAGGTACGATTACGCGCAAGGTGGACGGGTCGAAGCTGAACCTTGCGTGATGCCGATCCGATTCGCATTACTGGGGGAATCAAGCTGCGAATTCAGTTCACCACTGCGCGGGTCCAACAAAGATTACTCAACGGGGCGACGTTATTTCAAGAGAAGTTGCAAAGGAAAGGGTGGAATTGGGGCCCATCCAGCTCATCACGATGGCCTTGGTCCGGGCTGCGAGTAATTACGAGGTCCGGTCAGCCAGCTTCCAAGACTTTTCTCGTTTTCGGTGCTCGGCATGGTCCAGTAGGGGATTCTGGGGGGGCCCTTTTGCGTGTTGGATGCGCCACTGTTCGTTATTACGGGTAATTTTAAGGCTACCATCGCAATTCGCATGTCATCATTGATCCTGGGTTCAGAGAACTCCTGTACCTTCGGTTTCAAGGCGGCTGGCTCAGGATCTTCGAGATCGCTGCAAAATCAGTGAGATGTTTCCATTCCGCACTGCAAATCGCATCAAGTTTCAACACCCTTCATAATTCATGCTTCCGTGGACCGTGAGCAACGTTTGACTCCATTTTACCAAGTCTTGGCATGTCATCATACCATGGACGTACTACGTACCTGCAATTGATCCAATGTTCCCCGCACGGAATCACCAACATGTCTGATCGTGTCTCACCAACAAGTCTGACTCGCAATCCACATGGCACTCGACTCAGCGCGGGGGAGTTGGATGCCACCCTTTAAGGCTAACGTTAAATGCAATTGACCGCAAGGTAGGCGGCTGTTCCTGTTGGATGAGCTGATCGACGCTATTTGCTGGGCCGCTGATCGCGTTGTCGATAATACGAGGTTTGTTCCCGCTCCACTCCAGTCCTCACGACATGGCACTTTCGGCTGCTCAGTAAAGGCCAACATGATCGCAGTTCAGCAACCAGTGTGATGGCATTCTGGTCATCCCGGGAACCAATTTGTCTCCCCCGAAGCATCAAAGGGTGCCGTGGCCAGGAACGGATTGTCCACCACACCGAATGAGCTATCGAACAACTGGTCATACCACATCATCGACTCTTGGGCCCCATCACCGGGTGCCGCATCAATGTTGTCAACTCCCAGACCATCCATCGGCCCCAGGGTCGATGGCCACGAAGGTCTCGGTGGTGGGATCGGCTGCTGTGCATGAGGGTAAGAAGAAGCGCGGTTTGAGCTTGCCGGTGCGCGATCTGATCGTCGACGATAGTACGCGTCCTGGTCCAGAGACGAGCCGGGAGGATTGTGAGCGCCTACCGACGAGATCACAACTGGTGGCGCCGTCGGGCGACTCATTGCGGCGTGTGCGTGTCCTCGATCAACAGTTGAGCCTGTTGTAGGCGTATCGACTTGGCCATCCTCGCCGTGAGCGGTTTGACTCCTCGAGGCACGGCCGGTCCCATGCGATTCTAGCACTGCTGAGTAGACTGTGCTCCGAGGGAAACTCTCCCTCGATGTCTGGGAGAGCTCCTCAACGGCCGATGTCAACTCGTCGATGGCGGACAGGCAATACTCCGGCCATGACGTGTTTCTTGCCGCGAGATGTCGCAAAACCTCTTTGCTGGACTCAATGTGTCTACGATTTGTGAGAAAATGACAGTATCTGCAAACAGACGACTCACCTCAGCGCACTCTCCATGGGCATTTGTTGCTCAAAAGCTGCAAAGGCAAGTACAAACGCGCTGATCCACGCGGCCCAGATGTAAGCAGGCCAGAGCATCGGCACTGTCAACCTATTGCCCTCGGCCTGGTGTTGATGGAGATGGCGCTTCATTGTGATGCATATGCTCTTCGCTGCCGATATACAGGACTGCATCGCCGCGCCCCAATGAGGCGTCGATGGGTCGGAAGCCATCATTGGCCGGTTGAGAGAGATCGTCGACTCGTACTTGGACAGAAGGAGGATCAAGCGATGTCCAGAGGATATGTGTGACGACAATGATATAGATGCAGAATCTGGGTCGTCCATAGTATCGCCTGCCTCGACGGTATCCTGAATTTCATTCGCCCATTTCGCGAGTTCTGTCTGCACAGCTATCGACCGCTCAGGCGTGTCGTGTCGGACAGGTATCGACTTGTTCCTCAGCTCCAGGATCAGACCACGGATGCGAGCGTGCTTTGACATGTACGCCAAAAGCCGCAGACGCTGGTCCCCGTCGTCGCTCGCCGTACTCACGCCGTGATGTTCCTCACCTGGGTAGCAAACGTCGACATCATCGTCTCGTATATCCAGAGGCAAGCCGAGCGACTGTGAGAGGAACCTCTCGCAACAGTATAAGCACCAGAACACTCTTCGTCGCCTGGCCGCCTCTTCTGCAGTGAAGAAGGGATATCGTGTCGGACATCGATGTAGTCCCAGGTGAAAAGCCATCTTGACCAGCAAGCCACCGAGCCTAGATGCGGCGTTGAGGCAGAGAAATGAGATCAAAAAGAGCTGGACGCTCAGTGCTGCCTGCGTCGCTCGTATGGATGCGGGCTGCTGGAGCGCAAACTGAGAGCACATCACTGCATGGTCCACAGACTTGTATACTAGTTCTCGGGGTATCTTGTCCTGAAAGGGCGCGCTCTGGCGACTGTCTGCCAGCGAGATGGAAAAGATGGACCGGAGGATTACACCGTCATACCTGTCCAGCGACGAGAGGCCAGACTCACTGACAGCCTCGAAGATTCTCAGAACATCAGGCCCATGTAAGAATGGCAGTATCGGATGCCATGTCTCAAAGTAGCTTTTTGACCAATGCACAAGTTGATCAAAACTTGCTCCTTTTTCCGAGTCTGCGACCTCGCTCTCTGTCCACAGAGAAGTGCTGCCTTGGGCGTCCCTCTGCCTCAATTGGTCGTCCTCCCCAGGAACCATCTCCCTCAAAGGCCTCGCGCTCGACGTCTGGGCATTCTTCCGCGCGATCCTCATGTGCACATTCCGAATGAAGTGAATGCCGCTGCTGGACCCGACGAAGCGCGCTGTGTCGTGCTCGCCCGTATCACGCATGAACCCATACTCACGGGTCGTCGGCCCAGCAGGAGAGGATCGCTTGCGCTTGCGAGAGGCCGCAGAGGCCGCGAAGGGACTCGGCTCAGGGGTTGATTCTGCCGAGTTTTCAGGGATGGACATAGCTGTGGTGGGCTGTGTCGTGACGACGGGCGATGATGCGGTTCATAAAGTTGCGGGCTGATCCAAGGACATGAGCCGTCGTGGGTTCACTCAATCACAAGGAACCGACAGACAATACGATGCAAATTTCGTCCAGACTGTTGTTGAGCTGAGATTTCTCAATAGCATGCAGCTGTTCATACATGTACTCGTGACGCCGATGTCGTCTGCGACAGCAAGTGCCGAAAGCAGCCGGACAAGGAAAACTCCGCACACTGAACGTTCACACTAAGTTAGCAGCCCAATCTTCAGCAGCATCACAACTGTCTTTTGTATCATTTCATGACATACTTGTTGTAATCAGATCGTATATCATCTTTGGTCTTCTCAAAGTACTGCCTTATAATGTCTGATAGATCACGCAAGAGAAGTCGGCGTGGCTCGACGCCGTCGCACAACTCCATCGCTTGCGAAAGCTGCAGAACAAAGAAACGACGCGTGAGTCTCAGTTTTGAATTTGCACTTTAATTGGCGAGACGAGACTGATGCCAAACATGAAGTGCGACAGAAGCATGTGAGCCTCCCCTGTTGATGAATGATCAGTTGCGGCCCTGACACGAGATAGCCCTGTATGCAATCAATGTCATCATGATCCCTCACAATGCCACTATCCAGAGCAGAACAAGAGGTCACTATCGCGGGATAAGGCGACCGCGTTGCGACTGAAGGCTGACATTCTCCAGGGGATTGCCGCTTGGATACGTCAACAAACTAGAAGCTCGCCTCGCCGAGACAGAAGCTGCCCTGGTGCACATCATCGACAGGAGACATGCCACGGACACCTGGTTCACACCCAACGTTGCACTCCATCCGCAAGACTACACTGGTAGCATGAGCAAAGCAGACAGAGCAAAGGAATGGGATGCTTGGCCACTCCATGATGCCAGCTCGATAGGCGCATGGCACTTCAGGAAATCTAAGCAAGTGAACCAACAGACAAATAACGTGGCCGCCAACGATTCCGCGATAATAGGTGGATCAAACAACAAGCCTTCGAGAAACCCTACAAAGAGACGTCGACAATCGGACTTGGACAGTGGTGCGTCGCAAGAAGGCAGAAACAGATCAGACCATGTCAATGGAGGGTTGTTGGTTGGCGATGTGTTGGCGGCAGACCATGAGCCATCAAGCAGAGCTCAGAGACTCTGTCAGGCGCAGCCAGATATGTACTTCTGATGAACAATCAATGAATTCAAGTTCACAGAGCGTGCGTGTCAGGCCGCCGCCCGGCGTTGGAACTTGTACCAAGTGTTGCACCGCCACGATGCTATTTGTGGAACGTCACTAAGCCACACGAGTGCATCATGCTTGTCGCGTGGCAGCAGCAGCACGTTTCAGACGACCCAAGTGAGCAGCATGGCAATCTTGCGTAGAAGTTGAGCCAGAGCAATGAAGGCGAAGATTCTGTGACTTTGGCAAATGCAAAATGCCATCTCACACTGGAATACCTGAGCATTAAGGTGCTACTAGTCAGAACCACCAGCCACAGTGGAGTGGAGTGCCTCTCTGGCATGTGAGCGACGGGCAAGCAGTGCTTTCGTCACCCTTCGCGGCGCCTCGTTCAGGCCCCAGCCGCCCCCCGGCTGCTTGGTACGCTCCATGTCACCTCAGCGAATGGCTGGTTTGGCCGTTCCCCCCCAACCAGAAGGGTCCATTTCCACCTTTGTCCTTCATTCCGTTCATCGTCTGACCATCATCCAAATCCCGAATACTTTTCCTCATCACAGCCGACCCGATCCCCCTTCCAAACGACCCGTACACGAAGCGCAGATACCCTTTTAGCTCTCCCCTACTACCAGATACACCGCGACGATGCCCGAGCAGCAGGACGCCCCCTATGACCCTTATATCCCCAGCGGCCAGGCTGCGCCTCAGCAGCAGCAGCAGGGCACTGGCGGGAATGCGAGAACACAAGCTTTGCAGGCGGTAAGTTGGATCGCCACGAGGAGAGAACGCTGTCGATGGTTGTCTGCCGTGGACGGCGAGGCGAGGCAAGGCGACCGATGCCTCCGCGCACCGAGCACCATGCCAAGGAGAGGCCACGCAGCGGGATCAGCGTGCAGGCAATATGCGTCGCGACTCATATGCTGACTTTGACAGCAAATTGACGATACCGTCGGCGTGATGCGCGACAACATCAACAAGGTCTCCCAGCGTGGTGAGCGCCTGGATGCTCTCCAGGATAAGACCGACAACTTGGCCATTTCGGCGCAGGGGTTCCGCCGCGGCGCCAACCGCGTTCGCAAGCAGATGTGGTGGAAGGACATGAAGATGCGCGTGTGCCTGATTGTTGGTGTCATCATTCTGCTACTCGTTATCATCGTGCCAATTGGTGAGCACAGCCCAAACGGAAACCGGAGTGTCACAGGAGAACTAACCGTGTTCCCAGTTGTCACCAAAGGCTAGAGCGCCATCTTCGACCTCGGGGCTGCAGATGCGGCAGCCTGGACTTGACTACGACCATCGCAGGCTACGACACATGGAGATTATACATTAGCGAGGCATTTGGGGGATTCTCCTCTGGGTGCCGAGGAGTTTGTTCATGTTGGCCACGGTTCTTATTACGACACACGGGAGAAGCTGCGACGGCTGTTGCCGCCGCCGTTGTTGTTGTTGGCGGGTGAAGGAAGACTTGTCCGACTTACATGTATGACTGAGGGCTGGGCGTTCTCTACTGCGACTAATCGAGACTTTGCTACGCACGTCTTTGCACTCGTTGCTGTGCACTTTCAAAGTATGCTTGGACCCTGCTAAGATGTGAAGACCAGCCAGACGTCAGTAAGTGCTGTGTAACATGCAGGTATGCTGCGTGAAGTGAGACCTCCGTGCTCTGTAGATTGAGATCATGCAGAGAACTCAAATGCATCGAACATCCCAACGAAGATCTTATCAGATAACAACGTAACTCGCACCCAAACTACGCGAGTGGGTTCTCGTCCGCTTATCAGCAAAGAATGGAAGCTTCAACTAGTGTGCTGTTGCTGGGCCGGTGAGAGCAATGCGAGCGATCTCGGCACAAAAAACCACCTTACCTGACCTGTACCGAAGAATCATTAGCGCCGTCACCGGCACTGTCAGTGCTCAAACTGACGCATTTGTTGGCCCACCGGCTCCAGACCGCATATCGAGAACCACCTCACAAAGCTCAGACAACCTCCTCCTCTATTTATTATCTGCTCCGCTCCCGCCGTCTCAGAACCAGAACCGCTCCGAACCCATCAATTGGGCTACGCTCCCGCGCCAAGATGCTGTCCGCCATTCCCACGACCTTGCGCGCGGGCGCTCGTCGAGCCGTGGCTCGTGGGCCTGCGTCAATTGCCGTTTCGACCGCTCCGAAATCATCCCGATGCCTGCAACAGCAGCAGCAGAGGTCGTTCACCTCGTCGCGATCCACGCTCGCCCGCGGCCCGACGCGCGACCGCACCCGCGAGATTGTTGCCCAGACTGTCAGCAGCATTGGCAGCAAGCGTGAGGGCCAGCAATACCTCAAGCTCTTCACCTCCGTCTCGTCGCAAAAGTTCGCCGTCATCAAGGTCGGCGGAGCCATCCTCACCGAGCACCTTGACGAACTATGCCGCAGCTTGCTGTTCCTGTACGAGCTTGGCCTGTACCCGGTTATTGTCCACGGTGGTGGCCCCCAGCTGAATCAGCTTCTGCTTGACGCTGGTGTCGAGCCTCAGTTCGAGGAGGGCATCCGCGTGACTGACGCCAAGACCCTGGGCATTGCTCGCAAGCTGTTCCTGGAGGAGAACCTCAAGCTGACCGACCGACTCGACGAGCTGGGCGTAGCCACGCGATCCCTCAGTGGTGTCTTTATGGCTGATTACCTTGACAAGGAGAAGTGGCAGTATGTGGGCAAGATCACAAAGGTCAACACGGCGGCCATTGAGAAGTCGATTGAGGCTGGCTACGTGCCCATCATGACATCCATGGCGGAGTCTGAGGATGGTAGGCTGCTGAACGTTAATGCCGACGTCGCCGCTGCCGAGCTGTCCCGTGCCATTGAGCCCCTCAAGGTCGTCTACCTGTCAGAGAAGGGCGGTCTGTTTGGCGGCGACCACGAAAAGATCAGCCACATCAACCTGGACGAGGAGTTCGACCATCTCATGTCCCAGGAATGGTGCAGGTACGGCACTCGTCTCAAGATCAAGGAGATCAAGGAACTCTTGGACACTCTGCCTCGCAGCTCCAGCGTGGCCATTATCCACCCCAGTGACCTGCAGAAGGAGCTCTTCACCGACTCAGGTGCGGGCACTCTGATCCGCCGCGGCGACAAGATTCAGAAGGCTTCCTCCGTGTCCGAGTTTGAGGATCTTGATAAGATCAAGGCCACGCTCGTCAGGGATCGCGAGGGCCTTGATGCCGAAGCTACCGTCGATCGCTTCGTCGAGTCGTTGAAGGGGAATCCCTTCACTGCGTACTACGACGACGCTATGCAGTGCTTGGCCGTTGTTCTGCCCCCGACTGAGGAGCGCCCCATGGCTACCCTGGCCACCTTGAACATCACCAAGGCCGGATGGCTCAGCAACGTGGCCGAGAACGTCTTTGCCGCTATCAAGAAGGACAACCCCAGTCTGTTCTGGACGGTGAGCGAGGCTGACGAGAACTTGACATGGTTCTTTGAGAAGGCCGACGGCAGCTTCAACCACAATGGCAACGTGCTCTTCTACTACGGCGTGGATCTGAGCTCCGACGCCCTTGTGCCCATCTACAACGAGTTTGTCTCCCACGGAAGGGCTTTGCTCGGCGACAACAACCTCGAATCCCGCCTGCGCCGCGCCGCGCAAATCGCTAGCCAGTCACTGAACCGCAACCATACCCAGCAACTATCCCGCGGATAAACTGCGCTTGCCTTGCAGCAGTCCCCTCGTACTGAGCAATACTTGACAAATTCCGCCAGCGTCGGCTCAACGTGGTGGGGCTGTTGAAGCTTATCAGCGAGGCGTGAGTGGATGTGAATCTTAATGAGCACAATGCAGGTATTGGTGGGTGGGTGGTCCACAGCGATGTGCGAGGGCGGTGGTCTGTGTCGGCATGGACGAGATGCTGAAATGTGCCACAACGCAGTGCATGCGTGAGCTAGGCCTTGACTCCTGCGTGACTGTCATGTGTCCCACAGGGTCCGGAAAGCAAAGGCCGAAAGGTGCCGAAAGCGTGACCGTGGGTATATGTATAGCAGGGAGTGGAGCGTATCGGCTCGTGCTTGAGATGCAATATTTTTCCTTTGGACATGGAGTTTTGGTTGATCAAGTAAGGGCTCGTCCGTCCTTTCTTGCAAATGCTTTCTGTTCAATGTAGGGGGTTTCAATGAGGGGTCCTGGGCGGTCACGTACATAGATTATTTTTACTATCTTTCCCTCGACCAACGGTCAATGTTGCCGACCAACAAACAAGCGCGGACCAACATGCGCGCGGACCAACATGACTATCAACCAACATGGCTGCCCGTCGCTTCGCTACGCGCCTCGATGGCCAGTAGCAATCGAGATGATGCGTGATCACTTGCAAGCTGAACAGTGCATTCCTGATTCAGTAGCCAAGGACCGACATCTCACGGTATCGGTGATTGCCCCAAGCAAGGCCCCCAGTTCTTCATACAAGGAAGATCAGCTAGCCGAGTGCGGCACGCGCCGCTTCTAGTGTTGGTGCCTCACAGACACATACATAGTCACTGTGCCACGGCCAACTGCATGTGAGATCAGCCACCGCGATCACATCACGGCTGACTGCTTGCCACTGTCTCCGTAACGTCAGCTTGTCAAGTATTGATTGTTCTACTCCTACGATGCGTCACTCTTGGGGGCTGGGCCTTGGCCCGGGCGACAGTGATTCAGCCTCGACAGCCGATATAAGGACCTCGTCAGTGCTCGAGCATGGTCCTTTGTGCCGGGAAATCTCACTGTCTTTGAATTCCGGAAGCAACTCGACAGAATGTTGACTGAAGCTGCTCACTTGGTCGCCCTGGCCCTCTCCGGGGCATACACTATTCTTGCCTTCTACGCTGTCTTGCCAAGATGGCCGCTGCCTCTCATACTCGGCTTGGGGCTCTGGTGCTACCGGCAACAGTACTGGCTACGCAATGACCGCATTCACAACACCCTCCCTGCGAAAAGCTATCCCCATACTGACGTGCTCCTCGGCATGGACTGGTTCTTCACTATGCTCCATGCCCTGAAGACGCATGCTGTTCTTGAGATGTGGAACGAGATGTTCACTTCCATCGGGCAGACTTTCTGGAATCAGAGTATTGGCCAGTGGGTGCTGTTGACGAATGAGCCCGAAAACGTAAAGGCGATGCTGAGCACAAACTTTGAAGACTGGGAGTTGGGATCTTCCCGGAAGAAGTTGACACAGATGGCGATTGGAGAAGAAAACCTCTTTGCCTTGAACGGAGACGAATGGAAGAGGGCACGCCATGATGTCAAGGGCATATTTCGCCGAGGCGAGATCAGAGATCTGCAGGGTGTCGAGGGCCATGTCGAGAACCTCCTGACAAGAGTCGCAATGGAGGGGGACAAGGTCGACATGCAGAAGCTGATGTACCTGTTTGGCATGGATGCCAGCACGGAGTTCATGTAAGTGGGCAGAGTTGAATGCACAACCCTTGACTGACTGTGATAGGTTTGGATACTCTACCGACACGCTCCTCCACTCTACCGCGTCAACAGATGAGTTTGCCAGAAGCTTGGATTACTCCCTCGAAGCAGCTGCGTTTCGCGCACGGCTTGGCTCGATCGCCTTTCTCAAGCCCGATCCTCAATTCGATGAGGCTGTGAAAACGACACGCGCCTTTGCAGATGACTTTATCAACCGCGCGATGCTTAATAGACACTCGCATTACGAGGTAGAGAAAGACCAAATGTTTCTGCAAGACCTTTTGGAGAATGGCAAGTCTAGAAGCTATGCCCGGGACCAGATGCTGAGCATGATCATTGCTGGGAGAGACACCACAGCCAGTGTTGGGAGCAGTTTGCTCTGGAAGCTTGCGAGGAGACCCGATGTCGTGTCCAAGATCCGAGCTGAGATGATGGCCCTGCAAGGGAGGAAGCCAAGCTGGGAAGACCTCAAGGGGCTGCGCTACTTGAATATGGTGATCAAAGAAGGTGAGTTGCATGAGCCACAGAGACTGTAGTGGAACTGACTGGTTTAGCATTGCGACTTTGGCCTCCTCTTACAACGAATATGCGCACAGCTGTGCGTGATACTGTCCTGCCCAGAGGTGGTGGCCCAGATGGACTGGCGCCATTGTTCATTCCGAAGGACACCCCCGTCCGTTGGTCGTCGTACAGCCTTCACAGGCGAAAGGACGTCTATGGCGAAGATGCCGACGAGTTCCGACCAGAGAGATGGGAAGGGTCATTGAGACCACTGTCAGTGCCCACGCTCAGAGTACTAAAGTCGGAGGCTAACATCATGGTGTAGGTGGAGCTATGTCCCTTTCAGTGGTGGTCCAAGATTCTGTCCTGGCCAACAACTCGCCCTGACGCAGCTGTCTTATCTCCTCGTCCGGCTTTTCCAGACATTTGAGAGCATCGAGCCGTGTGATGCACTGCCAATGAGGCTGAAAATAGGCACCGGTTCGAGCCTAGTAGATGGATGCTGGGTAAGTCTCAAGCCCGTGGACATGGTCTAAGTTGTTGTGGTCGGGAGGTGTGGCATAGGAAGCCTTGAAGAGCTATGAAGTGCATGTCTGAGAATTGCGTTGAAGTGAGCCATTGCTCCACGGACGCTGCCGCCGCACAGGCTCATGAGCACGAGATGAAATGGTGGAATAGGTTGAGACTGTTTCGAAAAGCTCGGCGAACGCAGCGAACTGAGTCGAGCACCAAGGATCGCAAAGAGCGACATGGAGCTCAGCAATCGCTCTAGGTTATTTGATTTCGAACATGGCCAGCAAACCTTATAAGTTCGCCGGCCAGCGCAATGAATCTGGAATGTCGTCACTCCTCACGTGATCTCCCGTTGCCGTTTGCGCGTGAAACTTTGGGAAAGAGCCTCCCGCAATGCCACTCGGAGCAATCGCACGTTAAACTGACAAAGAAGAGCCAATTGAAACTATCTTCCCACGCCTCTTCTACATATACTCCGCCAGCGCGTCCACGCGATCGTTGCAATACCGAAGCATGCGCTCCCGTTCACCTTCGCGCGGCCGAGATCGCTCGCGCACGCGATCTCCCACGCCGCGCTCTGCCTATTCGCGTTCCCCGTCTCTCTCACGCTCACGATCACGATCAAGAACCCGCTCGCCTCCTCGGAGACGGCGCAGTGACTCTCGCTCATTGTCGCTGTCGCCACGCCGCAATGGGCGCTTCAGATCCGACAGCCGCAGCCTGAGTCGAGGGCGCGATGGCAGGGCGGGCAGCGAAGATCCTTTGGCTGGCAATACCAAGGTAGGCAGCGCTTCCATCTAAAAGAGAACCCGGCTGATATTTGCAGATTGTCGTAGAACGTCTTTCCAAAACTATCAACGAGGATCATTTGTACGAAATCTTTGGAACCTATGGTCGCATTACGGACCTGGATCTCCCGATTAACCGTTCTTGTAAGGATTTATCGCGCGACATGCAATCATGTGCTAACGTCTTTCTAGCAAATACCAACCGCGGCACGGCCTATATCCTGTTCGAGCGTGTGGAAGACGCCGAGTCCGCTGTTGCGCACCTTCATGAAGCCCAGGTAGACGGTGCGACCATCAATGTTTCTATCGTAATCCCACGCCGCAAGCTTTCGCCCGCACCACCCACCGCTCGCCGCGGAGCGAACATCGACCCTCGAGTGCCCTTTGGAGGTGGGCGTGGCGGTGGCCCTGCAGGACGTGGTGGAGCTGCTCGTCGGCGCCCTTCCCCTGGTGGTGGTCGCTTCGGCGGTCGTGGAGACGCTTATCGACCAGGCACGCATTCGCCTTCCAGGTCAAGCATTGTCGGTGGAGGGCACCGGTATCGAAGTATCTCCCGAGGCTCTGTAGACTCCCGCTCCAGGTCACGTTCTCCTCGAAGACGCGGCGGCGGCGGCGATCGCTTTGACGAGCGCGACAGAAAGCGCCGGACGCGTAGCCGAAGCTACAGTATGGATAGCCGCGAACGATCAATGAGTGCTGGCCGCGGCTGAAGAATGTGTCTTCGTGTCGTTGGCGGCCGCACAAAACTGCGCCTTATTTGCACAGCGTCAATGGCGGCGTGGCACAGAAGTACGAACTTTGCCCGCTGTTGTTCGGGAGTTTCAACCAACATTGCTCAGCATGCCGCACTAACTTGGCATCTTTAATACCAGAACAGCCCATGATCGTCTTTTGCGAGTCTTATTTGGTTCTGGTCGGGCCTGGATAACTGACCTGAGTGCCCGAGTCGCCGAATGTCTAGCCAGCCGTGCGTCGATGTGCCTCATCATCGCATGGGAACAAAGATCTTAGCAGCTGGAGTTTCGCCGGGAGCTTAGCTGGCACTCTAAAGTCACCACCACAAAAGTCGAACCTGTCGTGAGCCAGCGAAGTGCTCAATCAGTGGCAATGCTAGCTAAAAGCCAGCACTTCAGCAGCAGCAGAAGCTGCAGGTTCATGCGAAATGTCGAGAACAAGGCGACTGAAGCAAATCAGGCCCAAGCTTTTGTCACAGTAGGCAAGAGTTCTCGATGGCTTTAGTCTTTCACCTTGATCGTTTCCTGGGCGTTTCGATATGGACTGAAATAGAGAAAAGCAAAACCACAATGCGATCCTGACCGCCCGAGGTCTTTTGACAACGTCTACTCCCGTTGTTGGCTCCCTAATCTATATTAAATCGATCCACGACATTTCGCCTGTTCTACTTTCGACGTGCCAGGCCCAAGCCCAGGTCCATCTGTATTACATGTCTACCTCTTGTCCTCCCTTGCTTCCTGACGGCTCACCTGGGCCATGGGCACCTGGAGGTGATGCGCCCTCGGCACAGTCTCCAGTGCGAGATATTTATTTTCTTACGAACGAATCTTTTGGCATCTTGTCTTGCCCAGAAATAGAAACATGCTGCCCCAACTGCATATATCAACCGCAGCGAGCATGAGAGATAGGGCACGGTTGTGTGTTGTGTCGATGGGGTGAGATGTATATGCTGGGAGGCCTGCATGAAGCACGAATCAACATCAACATCAGTTTCCCTCGCGTACGTTTTGTTAGCACTCAAATACAAGGTATAGGTTTCCGGGCTAATGGCGCATAGAAGTTTCCTTATCACACTTTTGTTTGGTAGAATGGATCAGGATGGCCATGGTATAGTTTATGCTTGAATGGGAGAACGCACGATGTATGATCCTGTAAACTGTGATGTCTGAAGTTCCAATGGAGCAAACGAGAGCTGATAAGACTAACCATGAGTCGAAAGAGTGGCGCTTACAACAATGTCGGACTATATGTATCCATACTCGCTGGTGCTAACGCCAGACGATCAACGTGCTATCCTGGCTGCAGATCCCACACAGCGTTGCTTTTGAATTTATTATTGAGGCACTGTTAGGGCAATCAAAATCAGTCTATCATCTCAGCTGGTTCTTGTGGCCTTCATTCAATGTTGAGCCGGTTGACGTTGTTCGTCGCGCCGCAACAGACGGCCCATGTGTGATACAGGGACCGGCTGAAATGCGATGGAACCCGAACCGCTCTGCAGACTTCATCGCTGCGCAACGTGAGGGCAGTCGGAAGCGGCCGACGCACATTGAGATTCGATCATGGGAGCTCACCTACGGTGATTGCTACACAAAAAACTCCAAAATGTTTGCCTCCATCGTGGCTCTCTTGGCTTGCAGTGGCCTTTTGTGGTCGTTCAAGCCTCACCTGTCCAAAAGAGGCATGTCGGATCGCCCGCCAGTCGAAGTCAAATCGCCCAAACAATAGAATCCACATTCCGCGGGACTTGGAGATAGAACCCACGTTTTCTACCAAGCATGCGAGCGAGCCGCATTCCAGTCAGCGATTTGGCATGACCTCACTCAGGATCAAGGTAAAGGGCGAGGAGATATTGATCCACGTGCGGCCGTTTTGGCTGGTGAATTATCACTCGCCGGCTTCCATGTCTTGGCTCCGTGTCGTCGCAAATAATAAGAGGTCACCGTTGCACGTTCAGGTCGTCAGTCAGTAAGGTAGGGGCTAGGACGGATCTTTTGGCGGAGGGCGTGGCGCTAGCATTCCGGGAGAACAGGGGACCTGCAGGAACAACGGAGAAGGCAGGGCGCCTCCGCACCCGCTGCTTCAAGCAGCCGTGAATCTTCAAGAGTCAACAGTCAAGGCCAAGCTTGAGCCAACAATCGCAAAGACAAAATTACTCACGTCATGACGCTGCCCGACTGGCTCGTCAATAGTTTGTAGCGAGCTGAGATAGCAAGGATTTCCGCCTTCTCGGATGCACGCATTGAAGCCATAGCCTTGGCCATGCGGACGGAAGATTGGGAAGCACCCAGGATGCCTGCAGGGATGGTGATTGTTCCCGATGGCCGAGTTGCATACAGTGCGCGCTACCCATACATGACACTGTCCACTCGTGGATGTACGTCGAGGTCGCAGCCAGTCGCTGTTGTCGCGACCTCGCGATTGAATGAAACTTGACCTTGTCCTGCTTCAACATCTATTTCTTTCGAAAGCCGTATCTCACGAAAGCCACCTATTCGGGTTGTTTATACAATTCCCCTCCCGACTGTTACCTTACCCGGCGCACATCCTGCCCAGCTGCTACTGGACCATCATCCGCAAGCGCCATGGAGGAATCCTCCTACAACAACCACGCCGGCTACTATGGTCGGCCGGCAGCTCCTCACCCTTCAGCAAACACATCGGCCGACATTACACCAATTCGTGGCGGAACACCCAACACAGACGGCATCGCCAATCCGTTCAATGACACAGTATCCTCGCGACATAACCCATTTGCCAGCCCAAGCGTCTCCCGGCCAGGCTCGTCCTATACCACATCCAACGGCGGATATAGCAGCCGCCACAATGGCCAACGATTCTTCCATTCAAGACGAATTCCAAAGGGAGTCGAAAGTGAGAAACCTTGGCTCGGCAAGAAGGACAGCAAGGAGAAGTGGGTGACCATATTCCCCATCCTGGGTATCCTAGCCGGGTTGGGAATATCTGCTTTCCTGGTCTGGGACGGCATCAACAGTGTTGTGCAACATAATTATTGTCCCGTCATGGATGAGGACTTCTCAGGTGGCCTGGACAGCTCCATCTGGACAAAGGAAGTTGAAGTCGGCGGTTTTGGGTATGTGCCCTGCATGCGCCTGCGCTATCCGGTGATACTGACCAAAGAAGCAATGGCGAGTTCTGCCAAACTACAGGTGGTGACGACAATGTCTTTCTCGAGAATGGTGTGCTCACGATTCGTGCGAGTCTGCAGGATGAAGACAAGGTGGAAAAGGACACTTTGATCGACCTTTTGAAGGACGGGACTTGCACTTCTGACAAATTCTCGGCTTGCGTTGCCAGAACCAATACCACAGCTGGCAATGCTAGCATCGTTCCGCCGACAAGGTCAGGGCGAATCAACACCAAGAAGGGCGCCACCATCAAGTACGGCCGTGTCGAGGTGACAGCCAAGTTGCCCAAGGGCGACTGGCTATGGCCGGCCATCTGGATGATGCCTGTCAAAGACACGTACGGTGCGTGGCCCGCATCTGGTGAGATTGACATTATGGAGAGTCGAGGCAACAACTACACTTACGCGCAGGGCGGCAACAACATCATCTCCTCCGCCCTCCACTGGGGGCCCGACCCGGCAAACGACGCATGGTGGCGGACCAACAACAAGAACCAGATTCTGCGTGGCGCATATTCCGATGACTTCAACACGTTTGGTCTCGAGTGGTCACAAAAGTATCTCTTCACCTATGTCAACTCGCGCCTCTTGCAAGTCATGTACACGAACTTCAAGAAACCCATGTGGGAGCGCGGAGACTTTCCTCCCGCACGGATGAACGGAACGAGGGTAGAGGACATTTGGTCCCAGACCGGCAACAGCAACACGCCCTTTGACCAGGAGTTCTACTTGATCCTCAACCTGGCTGTGGGTGGCACAAATGGCTGGTTCGAGGACGGCAAGAGCGGCAAGCCGTGGATGAACGAGAGCCCCAACGCCCGGAAAGATTTCTGGAATGCTAGGGGACAGTGGCTGGAGACGTGGGAGCGGCCACAGATGGAGGTCAAGAAAGTGGTCATGCTGCAGCAATGCGACGGAAACGAGGAGCTCTAACCAGTAACTCCCGCATATCTATCTTGTTTTTTCTGTATCTTTGAGCATGGCAATTGGACATGGCGTTATCTGGTCGAAACGACTGGCTCATAAGTAATTATGCTCTCGGGACGCAATTATCGCCAAGTAAACAGCCGTACATATACGACGGGCCTTATTTCCTGGCCTCAGCAAGTCCAGCGAGAATTCTTCGAGGTTACGTCTTGGCCCGAGCCTTAAGGTGCTGACCAAACGCAGATACGACACGTAGATCCGATCGCCTGCATCGATTATCAAGGATATGGTGGGATTGATCCCAAGGATGTGTGCCATCATCCTTGGTTCAGTGTGCGCTACCCGCTGTGATGGAGTGGGACTGCCAAGTTGACAACCTTTGGATTCTGACGGAAAATGTCACCACCAGCTTCAGTGGAAGCGCGCAAGATATGGAGCTTGTTCCTGATGCTCGCTTCGCGGAGCTGCATGAGTCGATCTTGGAAGCAAGCGAGGATCCATACAATTCATCAGTGGAACACTGTGGACAGTGCGGGTATATCAGACATGATCATCATCCCGCCCACGTGCAATGGTGGTGCTACTATTTCTAGAGAAATCTCCCTCCAAAACAGCCCTTCGGCCTTCGGCACGAAGAGACGAAGATACGGTTTTCATTAGCTTTGTGTGCTAATAATTAGACTTATGGGAATTGAGGGGCCAAGCGCCTGCCAGGCTCAGCCTCGGCCGCCTGCAGATACGAACAAGAACGCATCAGGTCCGCGCAGCGCTTTGTCCGATGTTCTGTCCAGTCCACGCAGTCCAGTATTACCTTATCTCGCCCCTCAAGATTGCTACCTGACGACCTCCCGCAGTGGGCAAAGCCTGACCGGATTTCACTCACAGCCAACAAAGTGAAAGGGGCCCGGACATTTAGGTGAAGAAAGGGTGGAGAATCTTTAGCGCTCGGAGTGGCGCTGTCTCAAGAGTTAAGGGACCGGGCGGGCTGCCACAGAGGGGACTACCAGGAACTGGTGCCGCTTTTACGCCCAAGAAGGAAGGAACGACGACGGAACTTTGCACGCTTCCTTCCGCAATGCCTGCTCATTGCCAGGCACAATGTGCAGCGCCTGATACAGGAAAGAACGATCTGATGGACCTTCCTTTGAGATATAATCAAACTCCAATCCTCATATGATCCTTAACTCACGATACCTTCATCTACCACTAGTAGACAGACAGGCAGACCGCCAAAGTCCCTCCAACCGCGCGCATCGTTGCGAGAACCGTCTGGCGCTTCCACGGACGGGCGCTTCTCCAGTTCAACTTTTAGCCTGGATGGAAAACACCGGTGGCTTGGCCTGGCAGGCGCCCAGCCGCTGCCGCTCCCCGCCATGCGCCTCCTCCGTACTACTTGTAAGTCCAGTCTGTGCGACTTTTGAGTGCAGCAAAGTATTGGCACTTGCCGAACGCCACGGCCGAAGAATATGTCTGCCGGGAACCAAGCATACACGTTCGGAAGCCTTCTCGTATCTCTCAGAGACTAACCTTTGCACCAGTCTCTGCCTTACACGTCCAACTTTACAAACCGCAATACATAATTAGAGACCATGCAGATTCGACCGGTTGAATTGGTCCTCTTTGGCTGTGGACCGGTAAAAACGTGGACTGACAGGGATGTCTACGGCGACAATATCACCACGCCCCTGATACCCAGCAAAAAAGGTCCTTGGCGAGCATGCTGCCACCTCTTTGCTTCCAAGGATCCCTCCTCTTCGCGCTCACACGGTGCGCCGTTCGGTTCGATCCAGAGGGAAGTTGATGGGCTGGGGCCAATGCTATCGCGGAACTGTGTGACCTGTTGCTTCCTACCCACCACTATCCTACCCTTGTTCGTTGCTTTATGATCGTCGAGTCCGGCCGGGTAGGAAAAGGCCCATTGTCCTGCCACCATCGCGCGCACCTCCATCCCGTGCACCCAAAGCTTCTTCTATTTCCTCCCATTCTTTGTCGAGCGTGTAAGCCCTTGTGTTTGCTCGTCGCAAGATTCCTCTCTCTTTTTACGACTGAGAATCCTCTGCCAGGGCTTGCTGCTTCCTTGACCTCCGCCCGCTGAGGCGCCGCTCGTTACCTGCGATCACACCACTCTTTACAAGATCGCGCCAGACACCACGACACTCGCTTCACCATGGTTCTGGGAGGCTATTTCAAGGCTGATAGGCCTGAAATGACACCCTCTCCCACCCAAGCTCCCTCATATGCCCCGCGAAACCGCAACTCGCCATCGTCAGAAAATCGCCCGTCGATCATGGGTACTGACATGGAGCTCCAACCACCCTCACCACGCAACTTCTCCCGCCCCGGGTCGATCTCTGGTCGCTCCGTCAGATCCAATGGTAGCTCAATGTTCATCGACGACATCAAACACGAGGTCATGGTGAACTACCTGTACCAGCAGCAGTGCTCGCAACTTTGGGTGAGTGATGGCTCCGGGGAGGTCGAGGGCGTGCTCTTGCGAAAAGCCAGAGGTCACTACATGGCATGTCCGCCGCAACTGGGTAGTTCTGCCTTTGCCCTGGCTTGTGCGGCGATCAACGTGCAATGCGCCATGACCGTGAACTCGAGAGTCATCAAGACTTTTCTGCAATGGAGCCCTGACGCAGTCGACGTTCCATTGATGAACGGCCTCCGGATCCAAATCATCCCTACCATGGAGGACCTCACCCGAGCGAGGAAACACCAGTTCGCCGCGTTCATTGCGTCCGAGGGGCTGCTGGTAGTGTGGGACGACGATGCGCTGCATCTGGTACAAAGGGCCAAGGCCATTGAATCGGAACTCATGGAACTGGTGTGGAAATCGGGCAACGATGCCCACGATGATGACCATGACGAGAAGAAGAGCGCACGCGTGCACACAGCAGAGGTCGACGAGGAGGCGGGTGACATCAAGCCCGACAGAAGGCCCATCCACCTCCAGAACAGTGTCCTCGTTGCCTTGACCATGGTGCTCGTCTTCCTTGCCATGGGAGCTGCCTGGCGGCAGTTAGCCATTCAGATCTCAGTCGACGGTGATTACACGCGTCTCGGCCTGCTGGCACTGTTTCCCGTGCAGATCTTCTTCACCCTCTTTTTCGCCCAGGTCATCATCGGTTGCCTCGCCCAGATCTTCGGTCCCGTTCGTCAACTCACTGTCAACTCCAAGTTCTACTCGGCCCGCCCACCCAAGCGCTTGCAAACGGACACGCTGCCTCATGTCACCATCCAGTGCCCCGTGTACAAGGAGGGTCTCCAGGGCGTCATCATTCCGACGGTCAAGTCCATCAAGCAGGCCATGTCGACCTATGAACTCCAAGGAGGTTCCGCCAACATGTTTGTCAATGACGACGGCCTGCAACTGCTCTCTGAGGAGGAGCGCCGTGAACGTATCGACTTTTATGCCGACAACAGCATCGGCTGGGTGGCCCGGCCGAAGCATGGTGAAGACGGGTTCCAGCGCAGGGGCAAGTTCAAGAAGGCCTCCAACATGAACTACGCCCTCATGATCTCGAACAAGGTTGAGGAGAAGCTGCAGGCCATCTCCCGACCTGCTGAGTGGTCCCAGCACGACGAGGCGCAGGCCTATGAGCAGGCCCTCAAGGATGTCCTTGAGCAAGATGGCCGTGCCTGGGCCGATGGCAACATTCGTGTTGGCGACTACATCCTTCTCATCGACTCCGACACGCGCGTTCCCGCCGACTGTTTCTTCGACGCTGTCTCCGAGATGGAACAGGCCCCTGACGTTGGCATCCTGCAATTCTCATCCGGCGTCATGCAGGTCGTCCACACGTACTTTGAGAATGCCATTACCTTCTTCACCCACCTCATTTACACGGCGATTCGGTACACCGTCTCCAACGGCGATGTGGCGCCCTTTGTCGGGCACAATGCATTCCTTCGCTGGTCGGCCGTGCAGAATGTGGCGTACCAGGACGACGATGGCTACGACAAGTACTGGTCCGAGTCGCACGTGTCTGAGGACTTTGACATGTCTCTCCGCCTGCAATGCGCTGGTTATATCATCCGCATGGCCGCCTGGGCCGGCGACGGCTTCAAAGAGGGCGTGTCCCTCACCGTGTACGACGAGCTTGCCCGGTGGGAGAAGTACGCCTACGGCTGCAACGAGCTCCTCTTCCACCCTATTCGCACATGGCTGTGGCGCGGTCCCTTCACGCCGCTGTTCCGCCGGTTCCTGTTCTCCAACATTCGCTTCACCTCCAAGATCACCATCATCTCGTACATTGGCACGTACTATGCCATCGGCGCCGCGTGGATCATGACGGCTGCCAATTACTTCCTGATGGGCTGGTACAATGGGTACCTTGACAAGTACTATATTGATTCCTGGAAGGTCTGGTTCTCCATCATTATCATCTTCAATGGTCTCGGCAATGTGGCCCTCGCCATCATGCGGTATCGTATCGGGGAGCGCAGTCTGCTCCACTCGCTTTTCGAGAACTTCAAGTGGACGCTCATGCTGGCTGTCTTCCTGGGCGGTCTGAGTCTGCACGTCTCGCAGGCTCTGTTGTCGCACATGTTCGAGATCAACATGACCTGGGGGTCGACGAGTAAGGAGGCCGAGTTTTCGAACTTCTTCATCGAGGTGCCAAAAGTTTTGAAGAAGGTAAGTTCTTCTATCCTTTCCCCGATCTCTACCTGCTCTGGGGCGCGCGTTCCTTTTATGTGTCCAAATCTGCGATGCAGCACACAAGGCCTGGACTGCATTGGAAGCAATAGTCGCGGCGCCACAATGCCCGTCTCAGCTACTGGCCGAGCAGCTGAGCAGCTGAACAGCCATCTTCATTCTAAAATAGTCACATTCTATGAGCCCTCGCTGACAACATGATTAGTTCAAATTCTCCATCCTGTTTGCGCTCATCTCCATCGTGGGCATGATCATCCTTGCCGTCGCGCCCTTTGTCCCACACGACTGGCGCATCAAGGACTTTGTGGCTATCCTTCCGATGGCGACGGTGGCCGCCAGTCACTTCCTGTTGCCATTTGCGCTGAACCCGGCGCTAATGACATTCTCTTGGTAAAGGAAAAACATTTCACTTTCTCCCTTTGTGGGAGTCACTGTATATAGATATCACGACGTTACGACCAAAATAATCACATCACGGTAGATAGCGCGCTCACCACGGCGAAACACAGACACACACACGTATTCACTTGGACTTTAAAATATATGATCAAGTCAATTTCATACGAAAACTTCGTAACCGTCTACCGGAACGCCTCTATACCGTGAATACCCAAAGGTGACAGATTCTCTATCACGCATCGTCATGACATGCAAACCCTTGCTTTTCCACCCATTAAATACTCCAACAGTGTCAGGTGGCAGCTCGCTTTCTTCCTCCTATGCCAATGCACATTGCGCAACGCTCAACTCACTTAGGCCTCGTCGTCCGTGTCAACGGGGTGGGGTGTGCCCTTGGGGCTGTTGAGCCACTCAATGTGCCTCAACCGCCTCCGCACCTCACGCTCCTTGAGCTCCTTCTTGGTCATCTTCTTCTTCTTCCTCGCCTTGAACTTGAGCTCGCCATTATCCTCGGCGCCCGAGTTGACGGCCGACGAGGCCGCCGTGCTGGGCACGGTGCTGGCAGCCGTCGACGTGACGCCCGAGCCGGGGCGCGAGTCCTCGAAGCGATCGAGGGCAATGGCCGCGTTGCCGCGCTGAGCGACACGACCGTCGTTGACGTGCCACTGCTCCGAGCACAGCGCACCCACAAACTCTTCGTTATGGGAAATCAGGATGACACCACCCTTGAACTCGCGGATGGCCACGGCCAGACCACCGAGGGAGTCACGATCCAAGAAATTGGTGGGCTCGTCGAGGACAAGCAAATGGGGGTTGTTCCACATGGCACCGGCGATGACGACCTTGACCTTTTGGCCACCGGAGAGCGAGCCAATCTCGTTGTGGTTGGCAATCTCCGGGTCGAGACCGAGATCCTCGAAATGCTTGGAGATGACGGTGGGCGCGAGTTCACGGTACCCGAGACCCTCGCGCGACGCCTCATGATCATCGAACTCCTGGACGAGCTTGTCGAAGCCCCACTCGGCGAGTGTCTCGCGGGAGACGTGGGAGTTGAACTTGGGCAGGTAACCGCGCCATTTCCTGCATAAATTAGTACAATGCAATAAAGCAGAAAGATGTGAGTGACTTACACTTCGTATTGGAAAGTCTTCTTGTACTTGGACCGACCGACCAGGGACTCGATCTGGCGGAGAGACTTGCCGTCGCCCAGGTCGATCATCTTGTCCATCTGCTCGCGGTCCTTCTCGGACAGCGCACGCGTCTGCTTCATGTGGACCTCACGATCGTCACCATGCTGGTAGCGCCACTGGAGGTATTGGTTGGGCGTCTTCTCGAGATGCATCTCAACGTGCTCCAGCGCGTGCTGCTTGATGTAGCCGATACGGAGATTGGGGTGCTTCTCAACCTTGCCGGTGGTGGGGATGGTTTCACCCGTGAGGAGCTTGATGAGGGTCGATTTGCCGGCACCATTGGGTCCGATGATAGCCACACGCGAGGACAGGGTGAGCTGGCAGGATACATCGCTCAGAGACGGCTTGGCCGCGCCGGGGTATGTGAAGTTGACGTTGGACATGCGGATGATGGCGCGTGTCATCGACTTGACACCCGTCAAGATGCCCGGGGGCGGGAACTTGAATTGGACATTGGAGGCGGACAGGGTGTAGTAGGACTTGGCCTCGGGACGGATCTCGACAAACTTGGACAGGTTGCCCTTGTAGCACGCAAGCTTCTTGTTGGGCTCGTAGTGGTAGATGTCGGTGGTGACATTGTCCAGGAAACCAGAGTCGTGAGACACGATCAGACTGGTAATGTCGGTGTGCTTCTTCAGGTACTGCTCCAACCAAGCGACGTTGGCGACGTCCAAGTGATTGGTAGGTTCGTCCAGCAGCAACACATCGGCACGCTGCAACATGGCACGCGCCAAAGCCAGCTTCATCTTCCAACCTCCGGACAGGGAGCCGACCTTCTGTGCCTGTCGGCCATCGGGCCCGTCGGTGAAACCGAACTCGACCAAGACCTCTGAGATGCGCTCGCGGCCCTCAGAGGCAATGGTGGGGTCCTTCAGCATGAACTCCAGGATGCTGATATCAGCGTCCTCGCCCTGGTTGTGCTCGACGTAGCATGTCCTCAACACGTCTTGGGGCGGGAAGCCCTCCAGCTTGCCATTAGCAATAGAGCGCATGAGAGTCGACTTGCCGGCACCGTTGCGACCGCAGAGACCGTAACGGTGACCCTTGAGCAGACGCAGATTGGTGTGTGAGAGGAGCAGCATACCACCGTATGCCAAAGAGAAGTCAGCGTTGACGATCTCGGTCTCTCCGTCATCCTCCTTCTCGGGAACACCATATTTGCGCTCGTCCTCGCCCACCCAGTACGTCTTGACGCCCTCGGCGATGGCCGCAGCAGCCTCAGGCTGGGTCAAGCATGACATGTAAGGGGTCACGCGGTCGGCGATGCGCTGCACGTAGCGGAAGTTGACATCAATGGCCACCTGCTCGCCCACGTACTCGCGGACAAGCTTGTAGGTGTCCTGGTCGGTGACGGGGCCGTTCTTCTTGACCTGCTCATCGAGGGTCTTGGCAATGTCGTCTGCCGTGACGCGGGCGACAACATCCTTGTCGTCACCCATGGCCTTCTGCATGGTGGCCAGAGCGCGCTCGGCGAGCTCACGGACCTCGGGGAGCGAAGCGCGATCGCAGACACCTTTAACGCCAGGAATCAGCTTGGGCAGGAATGTTCTGGCCTCGATGGGATCGTGGACAAGCTTGGTCAAGTTCTCGACGATGACGACGGTTTGGCGGAGAACCTCCTGGGCGGTGGTGGGCGAGTTGAGTGAGCGCTCAACGAAGGGCGTGAGCAGAGCCAGGACAGGCGACGTGACAATGGCAACGAATGTGGTCTGTGACAGGGCATGGATCGCCTTCTGGAGGCTCTGTGTGGAGGGCTTCTGCATGGTGTCGATAAGCAGCGGGATGCGAGGGGCGACATCGTCGTTCGACAGGAGTGCGGTGAGCGAGGTCATGGTCTGGACGGCTTGCTTCTCGACCTCCGTCTTGAGGTCGTGCATGCCGTTCTCGACGAGAGGAATAAGACCAGCCAGCTTTGATCCCAGCGACTCGCGGAGCAGGTCCTTCGCAGACGCCTCCTCCTTGGAGGCGCCAATGGACATTTGAGACTTGTCGGCCATCTTCTGCAGGAGCTTGAGCGCGCCGACAGTGCTCTGCCACTTGTTGGCCTTGCGGCCAATGTACTCGACCAAGGTAGGCAGGAGCCCAGCGACTAGCGCCTCCGCGCTCAAAGCACCAAACAAGGCATCGATGCCGTACTGTGCCGACTCGCGAATAACAGCACTCTTGTCGGCCAGGGCATCCAAAGCGCAAGCCAGCATGCCGCCATCCTGTGCCAAGAGAATGATCTCGGCGACGGGTTGCCTAGGGGGGAAACGCTCAAAGATGGCGCCCAAGAGGTTCTGTGCGCATTCTCTGCGGAGGTTGCTCTTCTTATCGGCGGCAGCCTTCTTGACCTCGGTGAGGATGTTGTACTGCTGGAGGCCAGCGTAGCCGACCGAGTTGAGGAGGAGCTCACACAGCCCGTAGGCAGCATCGACGCTCGCAGAGGAGGTCTGCGCCGTGAAGATAGTATTGAGCAGGTCAGAGACCACCTCCTGCGAGGGAGGCGGCCCAGCGTCCTTGGACGGCGGGGTCACAGAGTGCGGCATGGTTGCGACTGCGATCGGTCCGGGTTTCGTCTGTTTGGTTTGAATGCACTCCTGTAGATGGAGGCGGTGCGCAGGCCGGGCGCAAAAGATCTGGATTCGGCCTCAAGAAAGTAGATGTGGGATGGGCCAGAGTTGCAAGACAAAGAGATTGAATGAAGGGTAGAATTAATATGGTGGGGGAATTTCTTTTTGGCACTACGGCATGGGAAACTTCAAAGGCGCCCCTCCTTGGCGGGAAATTTCTGAGAAAATCTCTTATCGGGCCCGCGGTACGTACCTTATCGGCTGGTCCCTTGATCCCGCCTCCACTGGCAGCCGCGCATTTGTCAACGTGCGGGCGGTACGGACCTCAGGGGAACACGTAAGGCGAGCAGCAAGTGCTTACCCTACAGATACAGAGTGCCAGTGGTATGGCGAGGGCGCCGTCTTGAAATCGGTGCTATACATATTTCTTTGATGAACATGCCCTTCATGTCGATTTTGCGTCTCACAGCCAATCCCTCTTAAGATTATACAAGTTCTCTATCAAGCATCGCCAGGAGGCCACTGCTGATGAGGATAGCTCTAAAACAGGGAGAGTCAAGACCAGTGCAGGTAAAAGCACGCGGACATCACAGCACGGTACTGTCAACGTGGCTTCTTGAGACTGTTACCTTGACACGGATTCCAATGACGCTGACGAGCCAGGGCGGTCAGAATGTAGCGGGAGCAGGGTAGACGTTGCAAGTTAGATAGACGTGAGCGTCAAGTAAGCTGCCATGTTCGTATGTAAGAAAGTGAGATATCGAGTCCGCTATATACAGATGATACGCCTGGGATCTGTCCTTTCCAGGGGTATATTACGTGCAAAAGAAAACATTAGGTATGGTCCCCAAACAGTAGAAATATGTCGTAGCAAGCCAGCCGCTAAAGGATAAAAAGAGAAACTTCCCGCGTTCAACGTCGATTGGCTTCGTGGAAAGCCTGCTCGCTCTGGAATTGCGGTGGTGCCAGCGTAACGTTCTGCATCTCCATGCCCTGTGCATCCACCTTTGGTCTAAGGCTCTTGTGCACTCCCAGCCGTTGGTCTCCGGCTTGGTACTTGGATTTGAAGCGGTAATATGTTGGGGTCCGGGGCCGACAGAGCACGGCGATGATGTTCTTCAGGGCGCTCCCTTGAGAGTATGCTCTAAACCGCTCGTTCTTAGCGAACTTGTGAGAGTTCATATACTCACGCGTCGTCTCGCCGCGAGCCATGAGAAACACGTGGTAGCCCATCAAGGCCGCAGGATAGCAGAAGAGAAGAACGCCCAGAATGAGGAGAGCAAAGGGAACCGGAAAGTGGTTGATGGCTTTGCCAAAGCTCACGTTCTCACGGCTGCGGTATACCAGTAACTGGACCAAAGAGGTCGCGATGACGTAGAGGGCAAGGATGGTGCCCGATGTGACAAAGGCAAAGAAGTACCGATAGTTGCGCTTGCCGACACAGTTGTTGAGCCAAACGCAGTGGTGATCGTGCGTCTCGATGCAGTTGTCGCAGAGGCGGCAATGGTGAGCGCGGGGTGGACGCCAGATGTTGCATGTCCGACAGTGTTTGACAGGAACCTCCATGGCAGCGGTGGCAGATTCGGCTGACTTTATGAGCGTCCAGTCATTTGTTGGTGGGCCCAATCGCAAAGGATCATCGTTCTCGCCTAGCGGGGGAAAATGATGTAGATTTCGCGGCAAGATCTAACATAGTCAGTAAGGCCGGAGCTTGAGACGTGGGAAGTAAACTTACGCCAGGATCTGACACGGAAGCGTGCACGAACGACGACATGCAAATGAATGCCACGTAGGCAAAGGTGACGGGGATAGCCGGTGAGATGTTGTGCCAAAGCCAAGGCGCCGAAAAGACGAAGAACAAGACGCAAGGCAGCACAATGAAGAACCCCGTGGCCAGGTTGATCGGCCTTCCTCGCGTGTTCTGCCATCTCCCACCAAGGCAAAACCTAGTATTGCCTTCAAAGTAATCAAAGACTCGGCCGGCTGTAGGGACCCCAGGTTGCGCTTGCTGTGCCGGCGCCTGTCTCGCCTGCCCTCTCGAATCGATTGGCGCCATCTTGGGAGAAGACGCGCCACTAGATAGCTTCTCGGCCCCCTCAGTGCTCCTATTTCGGTTCGAGTCCCTTCCCGTACGCATAAAGTTGGAGCGAAACGATCGTGGAGATGCGAGGGGGCTGGGCCCTGGCTTGCCAGCACCCTGGAAGCTCTTTTCCACGTTCACTGTCAAGCCGCGTGGATTAGCTGCGGGCTCGTTGCTCTTGTGTAGCGGTCTGACGCTATCGCTCAGGCTACCCGTGGGGTAATGTCCGTTGGTCGTAGGGCTGGTGTTTGCTGTTACACGATCTTGGTCGGTAAATTCCGTCCCCCTGGAAGGCGGAGGCCGCAGATCCTCGAGTCCTGATGCATGGTGGGCAACACTGCCCCCAATGTCTGTTGCCCCATCATCCAAATCTAAATTCTGTGGTTGCAGATTCTGCGCTTGCGCAAATTGCTGGTCCATTGGAATCGGTCGCGAGCTTTGTCTATGAGCTTGCAGCTTCTGAGAGCTCATGGGCCGGAAGAAGGCATTCGACGTTAATGAGGGAACATGACTTCGGCTGGCTCTGTTTCGTGGGTCGCGCGCCGAGGCTTCGCCCGAACTGAGCAGCGACTCGCGTTTGGCAGCTATACCAGACTTCCTCTTCTCTTTCCCTCGGCTCATGGGCTTTGATGCGTCTGTGCCAATCGTTTGTCTGGTGTCGGGTCGGGTCGCACTCCGTTTACTCGTCCCGGACTTGGGTCGCACATAGACTTCTCCACTGAGGCGCGAGGAGTGTACGCTTGGTGCTCTATCGGCCGGGCCTTCTTGCGTTTTAGGGACGCCAGACCCCTCGGCTGCCGATGAATCCCGCGCGTCCTCCATTTTGTCCTGGGCTGTACTTTGGATTTCTGCAGTCAAGCTCGTATCATGATGCGCCTCGCTCGGGATTGCGCACGGTCACTCGTTGTGAATTGATCGCCTTTCTTTAGTATGTATTATTCGAGTTTCGGAGCGGGTGGTTGGATTCGCGCGATTGTGAAAAGTTGTCGTCACCGTGGAGTATTCAGGTACAAAGGAATTGGGAGGCTGGTTATGGGGGTGTGTGCTGAAACCCAAGCGTGTTCTTGTGAAGGGAAAAGAAGTATACGTAGGGCGCCACAGAGCGCGGTGGTAGGGAGAGTCGAAGAAGAAAGGTAGGGAGCGGACGGCCGAATGCGATGTGCCTGACGAGGAGAAGTTGGCAGGATGATTGACGACGTTGGTCAGCTCTGCTCTGTAGGATGATGTTCCTTTTTCCTGCATGATGGCTCTTCCTCGAAGCACGGGGGCATACTAAGCCTCGTGGGGACTAGCGCGCCGGCATTGTCAAATGCAATTGGCGCACGGGCCATCCAATTACCTGGCACCGCAAGGACCAGGCTGACGATGTGCTCGACGCCACGATAAGATAAATTATTGATTAATCGTTACAATGCATAGATTACAAGAGCCGTGCCACTACAACTCTCAGGGTTTGTGATCCAACTTGAACAATAACAAATATTCTCTTGCCGAGGCTAGTGCCACCATGGGTCAATGTGTCCTGGTTGTCACTTGGGATCTTGGGATCTTGGGATCTTGGGATCTTGGTGACAATGCAACTCCAACAAGGCGGCATATGACAAGATCAGATTGTCAGATCCACACTCATCCGAAATGCTCAAGTTGCATTATTATGCATGCGCGCTTGGCCTGTGGAGCCTCAATCTTTCTCTCTTGGGGTTTCCTTGTTAGAAGCTATGTTAATGGGCTTGATATAGCTCGGTGCCACTCATGACCACGGCGCACTAGTTGAATACCTGAGCAACGTCAGGATCACGCAAAGTTTGCTAGTGAGTAATCATTAGTGTCTTGTCGTGAATGGAAGCTCGTCCGAGTCTGCTTTCACACGGGGCTGGTCGGTGAACCTGGCGTGTGCATTAACCTCGATGTGAATGGATTCGAGATGATCAGGTTAGTTGGTCCTCAAGATCAGATGATTTGTGGCATTTCGCAACAATATTGCGCCGTAGGTGTATTTTCGTTCTGTATCCCTAATTAGAAGCGCATTTTGTCAACGCTATGAGCAGAGTTACAAAGACATGTCGGAAACGAGCCGTACTTGAAACAAACACGTCGGCTAGATCCGACAGCAACATGAACACACTGCCCCTAATCAATGCGCAAATCTTGAGTTTGGAGATGATCGGAATAAGAATGTGTTCCCGTCTGGAGAATTGATTCCAAGCCCTCTTGTTCTTTCAACTGTGACCGACATCGACGCAGGATCTGGATATAGGGTAGCCAGACTGGGCTGGATGCTGTCCGACCGCCTGGGCCACCCATATTTTACGGGGCGACGGTCACGGTATCAGCGAACCGGGTCCAATCGGCTCAAGCCCAATTAATCCCGATTTTCTGATTGCTAAAGCGCATCTCGCCTCCGGCTCCCCTACCCTGAGAATCGAAGCGTCAGTCTTCATTCTTTGTTCACTCGTTGCCAAAAACATATCTGCATCACCCACGATGGCATCAATAGCTACGTCGATGCAGCGCGCTCAGGTACCTGTTCGCCGCGCTCTCTCGTGCTCGACTCACGCGATCCGGACACTCGCCACCATCCCTGATGCCCCTCCGAGCGCCAAACCGAAACGAAAGACGTACTTCAAAGATGCAAACATTGCTTCGTTCAATGATTTTGTCGGCGCAGCTGATGAGCCTCTCTCGCAGTCGGATGCCTTTGCACTGCGCACCGCCCAAGTCGGTCCCGAGGGCAAGAAGAAGACCATCACCCGCCTCCCCGAGTGGCTCAAGACGCCCATACCAGCCGGAAACGACAACTTCAAAGCGATCAAGAAAGACCTCAGGGGACTAGGCCTGCACACGGTCTGTGAAGAGGCCAAATGCCCCAACATCTCCGAGTGCTGGGGTGGTAGCGACAAGAGCGCCGCGACGGCGACGATCATGTTGATGGGCGACACATGCACACGAGGCTGCCGCTTCTGCAGCGTCAAGACTTCGCGGGCACCGCCACCACTCGACCCGCACGAGCCAGAGCACACGGCTGAGGCGCTGGCACGATGGGGACTGGGGTACGTTGTGTTGACGAGCGTTGACCGAGACGACCTGGTCGACGGAGGATCGCGACATTTCGCCGAGACAATCCGCAAGATCAAGCAGAAGAAACCGAGTCTTCTTGTCGAAGCGTTGACGGGCGATTTCCGGGGAGATCTGGATCAGGTGGCGGTCATGGCGGAGAGTGGATTGGACGTCTATGCACACAACGTCGAAACGGTGGAGGCGCTGACTCCCTACGTCAGAGACCGCAGGGCAACATTCAGGCAGAGTCTGGATGTGCTTCGGCATGCGAAGGAGGTCAGGGGTCAGGAGGGCATCATCACCAAGACCAGTCTGATGCTGGGCTTGGGAGAACAAGAAAAGGAAATCATGGACGCGCTGACTGGTGAGTAGCCTCATATGCCTGCACACGAGGATGAAGCTGACAAGGATAGAACTACGCAAAGCCAACGTCGACGTTGTCACGTTTGGCCAGTACATGAGGCCGACGAAGCGCCACCTCAAAGTGGAGAAGTACGTTACGCCGGATGAGTTTGAGATGTGGCGCCAACGAGCCATCGACATGGGTTTCCTCTACTGCGCCAGTGGCCCTCTTGTCCGCTCCTCATACAAGGCTGGCGAAGCGTTCATTGAGAACGTGCTCAAGCAGAGGGCCGGCAACAAGGCCCCTTCAGGGACCACTATCAACCACGCACAGGCGGCCGATAGCATCTCTGCGCCCTGAGCTTTGGTTAGACGGCATGGTCTTGTACATAAGGAAACACTGCATGGACTGGCGTTGGCGGGATGGCGTGATTCAACTTTTCCTGGATAGACAGCCTTCAACAACGGCTGGGCAATATATTTTAATACTCCAACTCCAAACACCGCTGTGAAATAGGCACATAATTAGCTGCTGTCCCAAATTCCTCGCAATGTCGTCAACCCGATCAGCAGGGCCTCTTCTGTCCGTATCGTTCTGCTGCCCTGGTTTGGCAAGATATTGACCCAATGATCGAAGAGCTCCTTCGTCTTGGCCCCCTGCACGCCCATCTCCTTCAGTTTGTCGTCGTTCATGGAAGCGTACTCAAGTCCCCTCGGCCCACCAAACACCACTAACAAGTGCTTGAACGGAGCGACCCGCTTCCCGGCCGGGAAGACCTTGGAGGCTGGGTCTCCGCGCTCCGAAGTACCGATGCTGAGATCATAACCGTCCTCAAAGGGGCTCTCCTCGAAGATTGCTGAGAGCGAGGCGCATTTCCTCACTTGATAGCCCCAGTAGTATCCACCCTCTGTCCTCGGTGCTTCAGGATGAATGCATTGGGGAGCCGCATTCTCGTCCTCAGGGAACTGCAGTGTTACTCTGGTTTTCGGGGGAATTTGTTCAGCGATTTCCACAGGCTCCTCGAGGCCTACTTCCACCAACGTGCCCCCATTTGGTGCTCGTCCCGCAACTGTCACGCCTTCCCTATACTGTATCCATTCCTTCGGGTTGGGGTGATGGGGCATGTCGAGACTCGGTAGCAGCGCCGTCTTCTGGAGATTGGGATGCAGTGGGAACAGGGTCTTCCTCATGAATGGCGGTGCCTCGATGTAGGATAGGATGTGGGCGATGAAGTGGCAAGGGTCTGTATCGCCAGTGTATGAGTTGGGGTCGACATTGCGAAGGCGCGAAGCGGGCGGTGAGTCGTCAAAGATAATAACTTCGTCGACGGAGAACACTGCTAGCGCACGTGCGATTCGCCCTGGTAGGGTGAGGCGCTGATCCGCGGTAACAAGACTATCTGGGTCAGAAATGACAAGCATTAAGTATCTTAAGAATCTACATACTTGGCAAGAACACTGCTCGGCACAGCGACAGATATCGTCCAATCGCGACCGCCTTCAAGAGGGTTGAAGATGGCGGATGGCTTGAAGGAGGAGCGGTCTTGGGAGGGGTTAGCCCGACCATTATGGCCAATCTTGCGCTTCTGTATGATTGTCAGAAGCTGATTCCCTGAGTAGCGAGATGAGAGCTCACCTTGGCGTTGCGCTCGTGGAATGACATGGTGATTTGCGTTTTGTTGTATTAGCGACTTTCGCAGTCTGGCTGCCATCTACAAAAAGTTGGACTTGGGTGGGTAGGGAAGGTGGCAGAATCCCCAAACTGCTCCACCGCCTACCAAATGCAGCAGCAGCCCACTTCTAGTGCCCAACAAAGGTGCCAGCTGGTCTAGGAACTGTCGCATCGCATCATTGCTCACCTTCGCTGATCACGCCTATCTAATAGACCGTTGCAAGATACTTGATAATCTCTTGAACAACCTACAGAATGAGCGGCCCCGTGAGCATCGGTTCAACAGCCGAGTGGCAGACCCTGCTGGACTCCACGACGGTTGTCATCGCAGACTGTACGGATACTGCCCCTCGTCGCAGTGTTGCTGAGCTTCACTAACACAAGTCCAGTCTATGCCGACTGGTGCGGCCCATGCAAGCAAATCGCGCCTCATTTTGAACGTCTCGCCAAGGAGCACTCTCGGCCCAAGAAAGTCGCCTTTGCCAAAGTCAACGTCGACTCGCAGTCCACCATCGCCCGCACGCAGGGCGTCGCCGCGATGCCCACCTTCAAGATCTTCCACAACGGCGCCTGTGTAGAGACGATCAAGGGCGCCAACCCCTCGGCCTTGACGGAAGCGATCAGCAAAGCTGTGAGCTTGGCGAACACGCCGGGTGGCAACCCTGGCGAAATCTTCAAGACGCCTGGCCGGACCCTGGGCGGTGGACAGACTGCGGGTGGCGGCATCGATTTCGGCAAGCTCATCAACATACTGATCATGTTCGTGGGGCTGTACTTTGTCTCACTCCTTTCGGCACGTAACAAAAAGGAAGAGTAGACAGGGACTATGCTGACTGTGACGCACAGTTTGACGGGTACAAGGCGGCGGAGAGCTCGAGGTTCAACAAGCATCAGACGCCAGCTCCAGTCAAGAAGGGCCCCGCGAGTGCTGGGACCAGGGGTGCCGAGGCGAAAGCTTCTGGGAGTGCGAGGCCAGCGCAGAAGCCTGCGTTCAGGACGCTGGCGGACCTGGGGGGTGATTGATGAGGATGGCTTGGTCTTGTGTAATTGTTCAGCGTTGCGATTGAGCGTCATTTGTCATTCAGATTCGATTTAAAGACACTTTCCATCGGTCAACTGCTCTACTGATGACCTCGAGTGCGAATCATGCTTCTCCATCCACAGAGCCTACGCTATTACAGGCACAAATTGTCACTGCATTCTCCAGCATCAAAGATATTTGAATGATCTGGATCCCGAGACCTGGGGAACCGAGATCTGGACCCCCTTTTCGAACCTATAACAACCTGCTTATTCCCGCCAACGGTCACGTGCTTTCGCGTCCCGCCAAAAAGTCCATGATCGGTGTTCTCGCTCTCAGTCAGAGCACCTGCATCCACGATCTTTTGTACAATATTGTATTTTACACCCATCATGCTGTCGGCGCGGGGCATCAGGTATGCCTGCACTCGGCCGAACCAATTTGCGACAAGGCGCAGTCCATGGATTTCTGCATCCTCTGTATATATCCGACGTTCTCGTCAACCGATACAGCCCCAAACTACGAAATCATATCTCTCCACCTCGAAAATCTTGCGGCAGGAAGATCAGACGATAGAAGATGCCGAGAAAGTTGTGCGGGATGCGAAACAGCGCTTTCGTGACACTTTGCCAAAGGATTACCTCTCCCCCACCGAGTACGCCCTCTACGTTCGACTGTTTGGCCCGCCCCTGCGAGAAACAAGCCCCGAAGATGTCGGCATCGACACGCACGCCGACATGGCTGGTGCGTCATACAAAGGTTCCGACGAGGGCACCGTGCTCAAGGAGCTGAAGGGCGGAGAATTTGAAGAGATCACGTACAAAATCGCACCGAAAGAGGCCCCACTCGAGCCAGACTTGGAGGACCTGGATAGCGAAGCGCGAGCCGAAGACTTGATCACAGAGGAGCAAGAGAGGGATCGGGCCTTGGAAGAGCAGCTGCAAGAGGAGGCCGAGGCTGAGGCCGAGGCGGAAGACGAAGCATGGAGTTTCTCTGAGGAGGAGATCGAGACGATTGCAAATGAGCAAGGCCTTAGTGTGGAAGAAGTTCGTCAACTCGCTGCTACGAAGCCCACTCCAGAACAGCTGGCTGCTCTGGAGGAGCACTTTGGGCCGTCAGAGGAGACCGAAGGGCCGAGCGAAGAAGAGTCCGCTGCTATTCAGGACATGCTCATGCAGGCTTCGCAGCTGAAGGCGCCCAATCTTCCAATGCGAGAGGAGCCAGCGTCCCTCACGCCCCAAGACTACATTGATGCTGTGGCCAGGAATCCCCGAGAGGCCAAGGCCATGAGGGCGTTGGCAGATGACTTTGCGAGGACACAGAAGGAGCAGCAGGAAGCCGAGGAACGAATGGAGGCGGAGAAAGAAGAGGGCGAGGTGGTGGAAAGTCAAGAGGAGGCCAGCGCCAAGTCATGGCCGGAGGAATTCCCGCTGAAAATTGCTACCGGCGAGCTGGACGAAGGATTCACCCGTTTCCATCCCTACACCGTTGACGGCAGCTTTCATGGCAAGTCGATGGAAATCGCCCTGCCCAATGCAGAGCTCGTGCAGCCGATATCAGAGCTTTTGCGCCGGTCGCACATCCGACACGTGCGAGAAGCGGCGGAAGCCAGCTTTGGCGGTTCAGGGCTGCCCCTGTCTCCGGAGACTGTCTACGGACTGAGGTCAGGGAGCATGGGTGGAGTAGGGCTATCGGCAACTCAGCGCCACATGACCGAAGTGGAGGCTGATGCCTTCCTGGCCGGCTTCATGCCCGCTGCGTATGCCTCTGTGTACTCTATTGTGCGCGAGGTGCGGAGGCGTCTCGGCAGCGAGTGGATCCAATCAAAGCTGAAGAGCGGCGGAGGCCTCAGTGTGTTGGACGTCGGTACTGGCGGCGCTGGCATCATTGCCTGGGAGCAGATCTTGAATGCGGAGTGGCGGCTGCTGAAGGAAAAGGGGGAGGTCGAGGGGGACAAGATTCCGGGGCGCAAGACGGTCATTGTAGCGTCAGATCGCCTCCGGAACCGCGTCAAGTCGTTTCTGGACAACACGACCTTCTTGCCGCGACTGCCTGACTACGAGCACTCTGGCGAGATGAAGGGCGAGCGGTTGGATGGCGGCGGCAAGGAACAGCCTCGCAAGTCGTACGACGTTATCATCTCATCTCACATGCTCCTCCGCGAAAAAGAGACACACCGACGCCAGGCAATCTTGAACAACCTGTGGAATCTGCTGCGCAAGGACGGTGGCGTTCTGGTCATGCAGGAGAAGGCTCACCCGCGAGGCTTCGAAGCCATAGCACACGCGCGTCACAATGTGCTCTACAATTTCCTGCTTCCCCCGTCAGGCGAGCCGCGCATCAGTCCAGAGGAGTTCAACCCGGCTTTCCACCGCGAACCCGAGCCGGGACATGTTGTTGCTCCCTGTACGAACCAGGGTCTATGCCCCATGTACGTGGAGCCCGGGCAGGGCATTGGACGCAAAGACTTTTGCCACTTTAGCCAACGGTTCATCCGGCCAAATTTCTACGTCAAAATGCTTCGGAAGCAGACGGATAATCAGGGTGACGTGCAATTCAGCTACTTTGCCGTGCAGCGGGGCGTTCCCATTGGCGCCGATCAGCCAACAGGCAAGAGGGCCACCGAGCTTGCAAAAGAAGGCTACGAAAACGCAGAAGAGAAGCCAAACATGCTGACGCTACCGCGTCTGGTCAATCCTGCTCTAAAGCGAAAAGGCCATGTGACCATGGACGTCTGCACCCCGGCCGGCAAGATCGAACGATGGACTGTGCCCAAGAGCTTCAGCAAGCTTGCGTATCACGACGCACGCAAGACGCGCTGGGGAGATTTGTGGGCGCTTGGGGCCAAGACCACCGCCGAGCGCCCGCCCCGGAACGGCAAGCCAGTCGCAAAGGCCAAGCTGAAGCAAGACTCGAAGAAGAAGGGGCGCAAGTCCGTGATGGGCGACGAGGCAGACCAGCAGCAAAGGAGGAAGCTGACCAAGGAGGAGAGGCAGAAGGCCAAACTGGAGCAAATGGAGGCGCTGGAGCGGGAGCATGACGAGGCTGTTGACGAGATGGTGGATGCGGACATTGGCCTGGACGAGGACATTAGGAGGGAGATGGAACGTGAAGGCAAGAGGTGATGATGGCGACTGGAGGGGAGGTTGTACACTGTGTATCATATGTATTGCATATCTGGCGTTGGCTAGGGATACCCATCTATCTAGTATGTGTCTTGCTCAGTCGCAAGGGTTCGCTTGGTCCGTGATCATCATGTCCTGTTGGATTGTGCATCTCCTATCTGTGATAAACTGAGCTCATCACACAGCGATAAGTTGGTGGAGTGGATAGAGTGTCTGGCGCATCTCCGGATGCTGAATCAGTCAAATGCCGCCGCTCTGATTGGACGCGGTTCTCGGCTCGGGGCATGGCGTCAATGGCGATGGGGGGATGGCAACCCGATTGCGGATACTTTTAGCGTGCATCCATCTTTTTTCGTTAGGATGGGGGTTTGTAATTGGCATCCCAAGGTTATCCAGCCTGGTGCGCAGTCTAATAATTGACAATCTCTCTCTTTTGCTTCTAGCTGTCGCTTGTGTATGCCGCTTCACGTTCTTTTCACGCAAGCTCCATTCCAGGCAACACCAAGACGGGAGATTCCCTCAGGCAGTCTCCCCTTCTCGACAAACCCGTCCTTGGAGGGGCACCTTTACTCAGTAGAGGGGCAATCAAGGGTCCAGCTACACATCTCACCATGTCTGCCATTCTTCCCTCCAACGACGAGCCACAACCGCTCCCTGCCCCAGCGCCAATCTCCCTCCTCACAGCTCAAACCTGCACCGATCACGTCCATCTGATCCTCGGCACAAACCCACTGGCCTCGTCGCGAGTGTCGCACTCCATATCCTCTGGCGCAAAACCCGTCGTTGTCGCGCCGCACGACTCCGAGATCCACTACGCGCTTCAACGGCGAATCGACGAGGGTGACGTGCAATGGCATCAGAAGGAGTTCCAAGAAGACGACCTCTTCAACCTTGGGCGTCATGAGGTGGGCAAGGTCGTAGACGCTGTCTTCATCACCTTTGCCCCCCGTGATGCGAAACGTACGTGCTGCCCTAGGCCAGAGAAAACAAAGGGGAACACCCCCATTTGGTCTGCCTCATGCTGACCAGAAACAGATGTAAAGATAGCAGAGATTTGCAAACGAAACCGCATACCGATCAATGTCATTGACGCGCCCGACTTGTGCACCTTCACGCTCCTCAGCGTCCACTCCGACGGCCCTCTTCAAATAGGTGTCACTACCAACGGCCACGGCTGCAAGCTCTCCTCTCGCATCCGACGCGAGATCGCCTCTTCCTTACCTCCCTCGCTCGGCAATGCAGTCACCCAGATCGGGCGGATACGGAAACTCGTGCAGCAGGGCGATGCCGCCATTGGCGACATGGACGACTCCATCGGCCAGGGAAGCTCGTTCAACAAACTGATCAAGGAAGGATCCGATGAGGAAGCCAAGACGAGACGAATGAGGTGGCTGAGCCAGGTCTGCGAATATTGGCCTCTGCGAAAGCTTGCCACACTCACCGAGGAAGACGTCGAGAAGGTGTTTGCATCCTACACATCCTCTCCCTCAACAAAGCCGCCGCCTTCACCGCCAGGGTCATCGTTGGGGAGGATCATCCTCGCTGGCTCAGGACCCGGTCATCCTGATCTACTCACCCAGGCAACCCACAAGGCCATTCAGGCCGCTGACATCATTCTGGCGGATAAGCTCGTACCGTCTGGTGTGCTGGACCTGATCCCCCGGAGGACGCCCGTGAGCATCGCCAGGAAATTCCCCGGAAACGCGGACACGGCGCAGCAAGAACTCCTCGACGCAGGGCTCGCGGCCTGCCTCTCGGGACGCACCGTGTTGCGCCTAAAGCAAGGCGACCCGTACATCTACGGTCGCGGAGGCGAGGAGTACGCCTTCTTCAGGGCGCATGGTGTCCCGGACGAGAAGATTGTTGTCTTGCCCGGCATCACGAGCGCCCTGAGCGCGCCCCTGTTCGCGAGCGTACCTAGCACGCAGCGCGACGTTGCCGACCAGGTGCTCATCTGCACAGGGACGGGCAAGAAGGGCAAGCCACCAAAGCCACCACCATATGTCGCTTCACAGACTGTCGTCTTCCTCATGGCGTTGCATCGTATAGGGGGATTGGTCGCTGAGCTGACGCGTCTTCTGCCTGCCACAGAGGCCTCAGAGGAGGAGAAGCCTGGCCGAGAACTCTGGCCGCTTTCTACGCCCTGTACTGTCATTGAGAGGGCGAGTTGCCCGGATCAGCGCGTCATCCGCACCACTCTGCGACACGTGGTTGAGGCGATTGACGTGGAGGGCTCCCGTCCACCGGGTCTACTGGTTGTTGGAAGGGCATGTGAGGTGCTGCACAAGAATGAGGACAGAGGCCGTGCATGGATCGTAGAGGAAGGCTTCAGGGGACTGGATGTGGGGGACACGAGTGCCCTGGCTGACCTGAAAGAGTTGACGGCCTTAGCCTCGTGATCCGGGGATTGGAGCAAAGGGACGGGAGCGTCATGACGAACTTGCATGGGGAGGAGTTTTGTTGACTTTGGAGTAGCATACCCGGGCATGGTGATCATCAGCGTATCCAAAAAGAGCACATTCAGTACGGCAGTCGTTGTTTTTGAAGCTTGTATTTGCATCCATGATATATACAGAAGAAGCCGAAGACGATCCATGTCAGATGCTATGCTATGTTATGCTACGCATGAGGTGGCCACACTGCGCCCAGTAATTACCCTTTATATAACCAAAATATTAGACTTCCGTCGCACGATCTGCATCTTCCTTGCGAGTCTAGATGCCCGTGCTCACCACGTGAACGACTCTTCAAAGAAGTCACAGACCGTCTCTCCCTGCACCGCAATCGCTGCACTTCGCACATCATCAGCCAGGGCGCCGGGCCCGCAGACCGTCACGCACATGGCGCCCACCTGCTCCTGCATCTCCTTGGCCAGGAGCAGCGGGATGTTGGGCCGTCCGGGGAACAGCCTCACCGTCTCGCTAGGCGGCGACATGTCCCTCGCGTTGTTCGGACGGGTGATGAAGACGTTGATGCGGAGAATGTCCCTGCGGTGCGGGATGCGCAGGATTTCGGTCATCCACTCACGAACCCACTCCAAAGAGTCGTACTCGCGAATGACCCATACCAAGGTCACGCGCCGAGTGGCAATGGTGCCCTCATTGTATCCCTTCAGGAGATGCCTGATGTAGGACATTTGGTGCGTGATGCCCGTCGACCCTGCAAAGAGAACGGCGTGGCCGTACGAATCGAGGGAGTGGTGGCCTGCGTACGGGCCTTCCATGGCGGCTTTCATGAAGACCGCCGGTGAGCCAAACCGCTTGCTGTGGGCGACGGTGGTGTCGTACAGCTTCCGAGTGAAGCCTGTTTGGGCAGCGATGAGGAAGGAAACTGATGTCCTGGTCCGGGAGCAGTCGATGCCTGTCAGGGGCTCCTTCTCAGACACCGGGAGGCCAGAGTCGTGAGAGGCATGGTGGTCGACCCAGGCGATGGAGAAGGGGTGGCATTCCCAGCGGTTGACGCCCCAAAAGCGCAGGTAGGCGTGGGTGCCAGGCTTGATATCGACGTGGCGCGGCAGGGTCAAAGTCACGCGAGTAACGTCATGGGGCATCGCCTGGCATCTGGCTGTGGTGAAACCAGCACGTGTCCAGTTGCAGTAGGCGAGGCGGGCGAACCGAGCGAAGCGATCAAGACCCCATAGGGACAAGATGGCAATAATCCACGGCAGTTGAGGCAGACCACCCTGAGCCGAGGCGCAATGGATGAGGGTGCCGCCGAAGATGAGGAAGGCCAAGGCGATGTGCGAGTTGAGGAACGTCTCGTAGAAAGCATGGCGCACCGGGCTCAGAGAGCCGATCAAGAGCATGACCATGGAAATTGATGCGATCCAGCCTGAGCCGTAGAACCAGCTGGTAACGGACGCCTCTGCGGCGCCCGACCACTCGAGGTCGGCAACTGCTGGGATGCTCCACGCAATAGTATGAATGACAGCTTCGATGATAACCACGCGGCCCATCCAGCGGTGCAGCAGGTTGTAGGTGTCGAAGCTGATGTGAAGTAGCCATATCAACGGGTTGTTGCGTCCGGCCAGGATGATCAAGGGGACCATGTTGACCATGGACAGTGTGCCAGAACGTCCACGGATCTCGGCACACAGGGCGTACTTGTTTTCTTGGTTCCAATCCACCCAGAACATATAAATCGTGTTCGCGGTGAGGAACACTCCAACCACAATGGTGTGGAAACGCGACGGCAGGGTTCCCATGTGGCCGGCGATGGAGAGGCGGATCTCACGGTTGTGGCGCTTCTTTCCCAGAGGCGCATACAGGACATACTTCTTGATCCAAGGCATCCACTCGTGCTGTGAGTACTTCCAGTAACCCTGCTTCTCCCGCGGTTGGGTCATGGCGGCGACTTGCCGCAGCTGCGCCCAGAGCAGCTGCGAGATGCGAATACCCAGCACGAGCAGTGCTGCGATTCCCAGCATCCACCATATGCCTCGCTTAAAGGCCATGTTCATGGGCTGATTCACACCATGGAGGTCGTTGTAGTAAGGGGCGATGGTAGAGGTCGGCTCGGCGTCCTCAGATACGGCATCAGCAGCACGCTCGATGATTCGTGAGGGAGTCATGAGGTCTGATGGAGCGACGTTGGCGATCCGGCGCCGGACAGTGTCGTATAGTTGATCCATCTTTGCGTGCGCGCCGCGGTGGATCATTTGTGTGTCTGGTTTTATTTTGTTTTCGAAGGATGAAGAGTCCTTGTCGTGCGTTATGCTGCCTTGGCTCGAACGAACAATGAAAAGCTGGCAAGATGGAATTCTCAAATCTAGGGAGAGATAGCAAAGCTCGAGAACGCTAAGTGTTCGTGTTGAATCGCATGGCTGGATGAAGTTCAGGTGCGATACGTGTGTGTTGAGGTGTGTGGTCGCGGTTGTTCGTATACGAGATGTTCGACCTAGATGGCGAAACGTGTACGACCCAGTGACTGGCGACAGAAGGATCGAAGGTGCTGAGAAGCGAAAACGCCCTTTGCCTGAGCCGTGACGGTCACCGGCTGGTAAGATATAACCGATTGCCGTGACGCAACGACAGGCAGAGAGAGAGGATGAGTAGGCGATACCAGTCGCTGATGTCTGCGGTGATGCAATGCGTGTCTAAAGATGCAATGAAAAGTCTAGCATGTGGCGGGTGATGTTGAACAATGGACACTGAAAGGGAAAACACGTGAGAAAGCTGGGGAAGGGGAGAAGTGAAGGGAGAGAAGGGAAGTTGACGACGATCATAGCCCAGGTGAGATGAAGAGAAGCCTGGGAGCAGTGGGCTTTTAGCGTCGTACCTCCCCTGAGGCTCAGCGAAAGCTTGGCCTGACGGGTCCTGACCGCATTCCTTGGCGAATTCTGGGCTGCCAGGATGCGACATGATGTCTAGGATGGGATTTTTCAGGTCGTCGTCGCTGGCAGCAGCTTACGATTCGGATTGCGCAGCACAGTCTTCTTTCGCGTCCATACCTGAGACACCTTGAATGGATGTCGCCTTGCCACGATGCCGGGCAACAATGGCAAAGAATACAGTGTCTTCTAGAGCAACAAGTACTAGCAGTACGGACAGAGCTCGACAACGTCCACTCCAGTCGTTTTGATGCTGTTATCGCCAGCAACGCCGGCATCCGACCTCCATTGCCTTCAGTGGCTGGCGACCCCTGCACTACTAGTGGAGACGCCAGCTACTAAGGTACAAGCCATGATCTGGAATTAGGGACGCCACCATGAGCTACTGGGTTTTACCCGTCAACGGCTATGTACTGCTCGCGTGTCAGTTCACAATGAACGCGCTCCAGTGAGATGAATACACGACGCATTGAGCAGTCGTTCACAAACATCTCTGACAGTGTAACATCGCGGTGAATAAGGCGTTCCCTCTCGTTTCTATCCACTAGCATCGAGCGAAACGCCCAGCGGCACGTGTTAGCCTGTCCTCGAATCCCACAGCTGCGTTTCGCAGATCGACCCCACCTCATCGCTGCGAGGGGAGGACGACTGGGCCCTAGCTTCAGATTCCGGTGCAGGCAGGAGCGACACGCCCTGTCATTGGCCTGTTTTGCGCCTGAAACCAACCTCTCGGCGCACCACCAAGGTGCAGCTCCCGGCCCTGAACAAACGCTTCCTCACCAATCATCGCCCCGCGTATCCTATTACGACGAAACTTCTTCCACTGGTGGCGCTCGTGATGTTTGTACCGCTGCGAGGAGCGTAATCTGAATCGCCAGACGACCTACCAGGGCGGCCCCTCCCGGCAAGGGCAAGCTGTCAGCCTGTCAATGTTCTAGCGCTGCTACTCTTCGCTCGGCATCTTCCGCCATCATACTTGATCACCGTCACATGGACGGGCCTCGTTCGTATTCCCAGAACGTACCGGCTAGACAATCGACGTCTCGCGGCGTCATATTCCGCCGTCCTCGAACCAGGCTTGGTGGCTCTTTGGCTTCATCCACCCAGCGAGCCCCCTACCATGACCCGAGCTCAGGTGATGATGCCAGCGACATGTGGTTCTCCGTCACCACCGTATTGCCTCAGGCGACAGTATGTTGATTAATTACCCCTCACCAGAACGTTCATCCCATGCTCTGTGACTGTTCCAGCCTCCAAGTGCAGTTCTAGCCCGACTAGCTTGTCGCAAGTTGATGAGCGACACAGGGTTGGCCATGCTCGTCCACGCCTGATAGCGCATGAACGGCTAGCATCTCCTTCACGGATGGCTACATCCCGGCCATTTACAAGGATAAAAACTCTATTCACGGGATCCCAGCTCTTGGGAGTCAGAAGCGACCTACGCACCTTTCTGAACCCAGCGGTTCGCCCGTCAGATGCCAAGTATTCGCAATTTGTATGTGACGGCCAAGGAAATGAAGTCTCAACGCTGCATGATGGGATGATTGCAAAGGCCCCCTTGGACAGGTGAATCTGTTATCAAGGAGCATGCTACAAACGTGGAAATGAGTAATACCTGACAATCAGCTAATTTGGGTCCTACGTATGTAGGTAGTACTACGTAGGTTTTCGAAATGCTCTGCTGGCTAGGTAGTGTGTTAATACCAATGAACTGGCACGTGTCATGCCTGTACGTATAAGCATCTTGTTATGAACTGCGGTCTGGAACATGTTTATTACAGGGGGTTGCTACCACATGTCCTTGTCCAAGATGTGTCGGAATGAACCGAGCCATGGATCTGAAAGGAAACTTGTGCTGCAGCTTTATCATTGCTCTATTGTGATGTGATGATCGGGGGCAACTGCGTGCAGTCCTGTCTCCTGAGTATCGTTCACCTCGTCCACAAAGTGTTCATGGGTCTGTCGATACTGTGTACTGAATCTTTCTCTGGGGGGCCAACAATATTGCAAACTTCGTACGTACATCCCTATTTCTTTTTACCTTTAATGCTGTCATTTGCAAAAATCCTTTCAGATGGTTTCTCTTTAGAATTGTGGCCGCTCTGAGTCCTGCATCAACATGCTGCACAAAAAAGAGACTTGGGGCCCTTGGAAGGCGATAGCCGATGATCTTGCAATCTCCTCGAGTGTGTATCACTTAATGTGCGACATCAGCCTGCTTCCTTAAGTGATGGATGGCCACTATCTGTTTGTCGCCAGACCTACGTACCGAAAAGGCAAAGACGTCGCCTGCTGCCACAGTGAGCTCGATGCTCGTGCTCGCACCACCCAGCGGCGACAGACCGAGGAGATACGTCCCACTACCTCTCAAGACTACGTAGTGTTCGCGTGTGGTCGAGTAATAGTGCGGAGTCGCCGCCTTGGGTACTCCTGCGATAACCTAACAGCCGCCTTTGATCCCCAGAGCTTTCCAAGGCGGACAATGAGCCCTGCATTGTTCTATCAACGATGCATCAGAGTAATAAAGCACAAGTAGCAATGCGTTCGGATGAGCCGTGGGTGGCATCGACACTACCTCTGGGCCGATCTTGATGAAGGACTGGACATGGTGAGGTTAGGCGATATATTTAGCAAAACCACATGCATGTTTTTTGTCATTTCCTTTGGACATGTTTATACTGTACTGACGTCTCCATCATGGGAACTACCAACATTAGCCTTATGCCTCCGCATCGCCAATGCGGTAGACCATAGTCGACCATGAGCACCATCGTCAGCCTGAACGCCCGGAAAGGGGGTTCCTGATGTGGCGCGTAGTGTACCGGAGCTTCCCATTCCCCTCATCAGTGAAGCAAGCTTCCGGCGTGTTCGTTATCTGGGTGCGTCCGAGAGCTGTGAGTAAGGGAAGGCAAGGGTATTAGGAAGCAGTACGGCTTTCATGATGACTCGTGCCTGAGCAGCCATTTCGGTGAGGCGTGTTGTCATTGATTATTACGCTCAGTCCCTCGACAAGTTTACCGGTCTTTATAGCAATTGCTTGCAGACGGCTTGAACACTTGCAGAGTAGGGTGGGTATCAGCCATAACAGCTGGGCAATAGTTTTTTGAGCGACATGATGGAAAACATCTTTCGAATTGGGCAAGATCCGCCGAGAAGAACATGGTGATGAGCTGCTTAGGGTAACCAGGAACCATCACGGGGCCTGCTACCCACCTTACTAAGCAGCATCGGCAAGGCGTCAACGTCCAACGGGAAAAGTCGCATCGCGCGTTGCATCACTGCGAACCGGCAAGCTCCTTAGCCACAGCCATTGAGTCTCAGCATCATGGGCGCCAACGAGTCAAAGCCGTCTCCGGCACACGTGTTCAAGGCGTACGCATTATCCGACCCAATACACTCGATACAGGACAAGAACTGACGCTTGACAGCTCTGGGCCGAGTTCGGTGTCACAGGACCTGGTCGATTCGCTGCAATCAAACCATGAGGTGGGAAAGATGCATTCTTTGAATTGGGGATGACGTCGCTGACAGAAGAAAGACTGATGCTTCTCGCACCCGCCTCGTGGAGGCCCAGATCCAGGCTCGCGTCGCCGCCGAGCTCCAGAAGCACCTCTCACAACAATCAGATGCCCTGCGCCGCGCACACGAGGGCATCGCGTCCGCCGAGGACAAGAACGCCGATGACAGCAAGACAACTCCGGCTGTGAACAAGCAAATCGAAGGCCTGCGTCGTCGCCTCGAGGAGCGGAAGCAGGTACGCCCTTTGCCCGACAGCGTAGATGGCGCGCGGGGAGAGCTGGTGCGGTGCCTGACCGAGAACGACCGCCGACCACTGGACTGCTGGGCCGAGGTGGAGAAGTTCAAGACCGAGGTCAAGAAGCTGGAGCAAGAGTGGGTGAACAAGGTGACGTCGTAGGAGACGGCATGTTTGGTATGACTAGGTATGGAGACGGGTATAGAAGGAGAAGACATATGTTGTACATTACGGCATTGACAAAAGAGCATAGACCATGAAGAGAGCGCGAATTCAAAGAGGTAATGAGTCTGTTGCGACGGGCTCGTCTGTGTCTTCTATGGGAGAAGGCTTGTCTTTCTGCATTTCGGCTTTGCGACGGAGTCCTTCGGCGCGTTTACGCTCACGTCTGGCGGCGGCGTCTTCCCAGGCTTGCCCTTCTGCATTCTTTTTCACGGGCGGTGGCTGCGTTGCGGCACTCAATGCCTGCTGGAAGCGAGCTATGCGCTTAGTGTTCTCAAAGAAGCGCTCGTTCGCAACGCTCATTAGGGTCCGCAAGTGCTGCACAGACACTAGCTGTTGTCGATCCTCACCCACCTGCTGTCCGATGAGTGATTCGAGGGTGAGACCCATGGACCGCACGGCAACCATGGGCATAACGGGCTCGTCACGAGAGGCTATCAGGTTGACGGCGCCCGATTCCCTGAACCCAGCTTGAAGGGCACAGCCTAGGACAAGCTGTGCATGACTAGGCGAGGCCGTGAGAATATGTAGGATCTGGACAATGAGTTTAAGCCATCCTGTAGGTAAAGAAACTCACCATTGGTTCAAATTTGAAGTGTATTAGCCGCCTCCCAGCCGACCCAGCCGACACATTCGCTTCGTCCGCGAACTCTAGTCCTCGGATCCAGACATCATTCTCCTCCACAGGATCGTGCGAGACGAATAACCAATTGCCTCCTCCTCCTTTGCCGCCCACGCCAGCGAGTTGGGCTTCGCCTCCTTCGTCAGACCCGGCAGTCTTGCGCCCCTCGACGAACACGCTCACCCGCCCAGCGCAGCTGCTCGTTGTCACAAGCCCTTCGACAGCATTGATCTCAGCGATGAGGTGTCTAATTCCTTCATCTACCGAGCCCTTGGGCGATAAGTCCGTGTATGTGGCGTCGGGAACGGCCAGCTGTGACAGAATCTTGGACTTTTTGACCGCAAAGCCAGTCGGAGGGCTAGGAAGACCCTGCATCACGGCCAAATGCTGCAGATGTGATGCACCGGTAGCTTGGGGAAAGTTTTGAGGGCTGATCGGAGAAATTGCCGGAGGGTGCTAGACTGACATCGCGCAGAAATGGCAAAAATGCGTGGAAGAAGATAGTGGGATATCAGACGCTATTCTCCTTATGCGGGGTATCACGCGTACGGGGAGGTTCACCTGGTGACCCCAAAGACCGATGACGCTCCGGCGAGGCAGACGAAACTCATCTCACTTCTGCATTGTTGGAAAGAGTCATTGATGGTATGTTTGATCATCATTCTATCCTTCTTTTGTCTACAGAGTCTTCATCGCTGTCTACAGCCGTCAATCAGTGAGCGCCGCACTGTTGGTATATATTCCTTCGATCCATCCATCCGACCAATTTTCATTCCAAAATCAAGAGCCCCAACGCCAACGCAAATGCCCGCCAGTCATGCTATCATGAGAAGACACAAAGGAGAAGATCGCCCAGCAAAGGGAGACTAAGCCACCGGCTGGATCACCGACGACTTGCCCTCCAACGCCGCGTATCTCGACTTTTTGTTGTGGATGCCGCACTCGGTCTTCTGCTGTCCCTTCCAGCGGCCGGCGCGCTCATCCTCCCCCTCGGCGACGGGCACAGTCGAGTGCCAGTCCCCGACGCTTTTGTACCCCTGGTCGAGGAGAGCATTGTAGGGAACGTTGTTCTCCTTGATGTAGTCGTTGACCTGCTTGAAGGACCAGGCAGCCATGGGGTTGATCTTGACAATGTTGCGCTCCTCGTCGAGCTCGATGATGGGGATCGATCCGCGGGCAGCACCCTGAGAGCGTCGACGGCCATTGAGGACGGCAGCGACCTTGAGCTCATCGTACGCACGCTGCAGCGGCTCGACCTTGACGATCCAGTCGTATAGCTCCGACGCGGTGTTGTACAGCTCGGGGCCGTACATGTTCTCGAGCTCCTGTGCCGTGTTGACGCCATCGGGCTTGAAGATGTGCACGGGCACGTTGGGGTACCGCGCCTTGACCTTGTCGATGAGGTCGTATGTCTCCTGGAAGTGGTAGAGTGTGTCGAGGAAGATGAGGTCCACGGTGCGGGACTCTGGGTTCTCCTCCTGGATCTTGGAGAGCATGTCCATGGTGGCGAGGCCGGTGAGACCAAAGGCCGTGGACTGGTAGAGGTTGGGGAACATGATCTTGCAGAAGCGGAGAATGTCCATGGGGTGCATGTGCTCCAGCTGGTCGTTGAGGTGCGAGATGTGGGCTTTGGTGAGAGACATGAGGGGCAGGTTGGTCGTCGATGACGAGGGCGAGTAGTCGGACTGGCCAGAGGTGTACCCTGAGTCGATACCGCTGGTGTCGACCTTGGCGTCCGTCATGGACGACTGTCGCGATGTGCTGATGGAGGCCATCGTGTGAGGTGTCGAGGGACTGATTGATGAGGCAAGAGTCGTCTGCGGTGTTGTGAGAGCCAGACGTGAGGCACCAACGAGTCACGGGCGGTCGTCGGCGGGTTCTTCAACTATGATGAGACTTGTCGATGAGACTGGAGTGTGGATGACGGCTCGGTGGTATATGCTGGAAAGAAGCAAGAGGTGATGATGTGTGTTGCAAGTCAGGGTATATCAATACTTCCGAGAGGAGAGGTCCGGTCCAGGTCAAGAGGGGGTAGGTATTATTACGACTCGGAAGGTTGCAAAAGCCCTTACTAATTACAGATCAACTACGGAATATTGGGCTCATCCGGGCAGCAGCAACCATCGATCTGCTTTGTGAGCCTGATTCCACGCTGGACGACTCGGCATTGCGCAATCGCCGCAGTGGAAAAGCTCTCCTGGTGGAGGAAGACGTTTCTGTCAGGAGTTGATCACGACATCGACGCTATGCCTGTCGCGATGGCCGTCCGGCGTGTGAGCTGATTGGCCCTCCGGAGCGTCGGCCAGTCTCTGGGGCGAGCAGAAAGACTTTTGTCTTTGCCCACGCCACCCGCAAACACGGAGGTATCTGCTACGTACATGTGCTGCTTGGTCAGCTGTGGCTCTCGGACCGTGGGAGGGTCTTGATGCAGGTGGAAATTCTTTTTTGGCCTTCTGGATCTCGGACGGGAATTATCAACACGGGCAATGCATCCTCGGCCGAAAGCGTGTGAGTCGAACTGGATGAGCAAAGACCATCCTGGGCTCCCACTGGCGTGCTCAACTTGGCTTCACAAGCCCGGGTGATGTCTGGGCACGATCCTACATAACAACCATTTTCGACATTGCTAGTACAGCCAGTTACGTAGTAGAATTCGGTAGCGGGCAGTCTCTCGGAACGTCGTGATTCAAGTGACAGATGTTGCCATCGCCAAGCATCACGGCGGTAGCCGGGAGCGGTCTTTGCAGGTCTGGAATGAGTGGGTCTCCGGTTTGGAACTCGCGGGTCGTCGGCCGTCATGTCATTCGGGCGTCGGGTCAACCGACTTCCTCCATGTGCCTTGTGCTTCGCCATAACAAAGATCTTTTCTTAATAATCCAGGCACGCGAGCGATCGGGCTTCTGGAAGCTCGTCACCCTTGATCAGCGCTGATCCAGGCGCGTCATCGTTGAACCTGGGGAAGTTACGTACGTAGTCGGGCGCAAGACATCGAGGCTGTAATATGTGTGCTCTGGCCCAGGGCCCCAATTACGCCAACGTTCGGCTGTTATGCACGGCTTGAGGCCTTAACCCCATACTGCCGTGGATAGAGTCTCAGACAACATTAGCCTCTCGACCTTTGAACTTGGAACTTTCCGATCACGCAAGATGTATTTTGTGAGGCGCAACTTGGCTCACCTTCAGTCAACGTTCAATGACACCATGATAAGTCAGCAGCTGGTCAGTCTAAGGCAAGAGCCGCCCTGCAACGCCGCGTTAGTCGCGGAAAGACAACCAATGACACGACCCGGACCAAACCAGGCGCCGCTGTCAGTGCCCTCGGCGACTTCCCTGTGATTGGGCACATTTCTCGACTGCTTGGCGGGGTAATCAGGGTCGACTCATGCCACTCGCCCACCAGTGACCACGAGGATCAGCTCAGGATTGATGCGGTAGCCATCAGCCTCATCCCCGCCCTCTCTCGTTGCGCGCGCCATAGCAGCATGCTCACTGAAGACCACTGTCGATGACCGCTTCAGTTTGACCTGTCTCTTCCACTCTTCGTCTCCGTCACGCCGACCGTACGTTCCCTACAGCGGCCATCATGGCAGATAACGCGACCTCGCCGAGACAAGATGCTGCACGGCCGCAATTGTCCAGCTCAATGAGGAGCAGCTCCTACCTCAATGATCACCAGCAGTACCGCCCACCCCGTCAAGTAGACACGCATTATGGAATAGACACTGTGGTCGAGGACATGAGCACCTCTGCTTCGCCGAAACCCACCCTGCCTTTCCGTGGTATTCCCTCAGAGGACAACCCGCCGACCGTGGTCGACTCTGGGGTGACACACTCGTATTCGCATCCCAACTGTGCACCTCCTTCCGGCACAAATACCGATCGTCTCATTGCGACTCTCATCTACAAGCAAAGAAGCAGCACAGCTGGTGCTGGGGGCTCGCGGTCGTCGCTCAAGGGCGTCAAGTCGGAGAGCAATGAGTCGCTCCCGGCGAACATGGCACCTACGACGGATATGGACGCCTTTCCACTCGAGCCTCCGACCCAGGAAAGCGAAAAGCTGGATTACATCTACGGCTCGTACATTTCACCGCTGTGCATCACCTCATTCCTGCACTTGATGTCGGATTTCCCCATGCCCGATGATTCAGATGAGCTGCACTCGTCCCACCGCTGCTTGGATAACCAGGAGACGCCTCGCGTTGTGGAGCTCACTCTCTCCCCGGCGCCATCACCGAAATATTTATCGCTGAAAGATCTCCGGAAACATGAGATGATCTATCGTTTCGAGCAGGAGTGGAATGTGGACGTCAACCTGCAGCGCGAGTCCGTGTGGAGGAGACACCCGAGGCTGGTGGTCTTTGACATGGACAGCACGTTGATCACGCAAGAGGTCATTGATCTTCTGGCCGCGACTGTCAAGGACCCTCCTGATCTGGCAGAGAAGGTGGCCGATATCACCCACCGGGCCATGTCCGGCGAGCTGGAGTTCGACGCGTCATTCCGGGAGCGCGTGGCCCTCTTGACTGGGCTACCGGCAACCATTTTCGAAGATCTTCGATCGGTCCTGAACGTCACGCCCGGCGTGCCGAAACTGATCAAGGCTCTCAAGAGGCTGGGCGTCAAGACTGCCGTCTTGTCGGGCGGATTCCTCCCGTTGACCAGCTGGCTCGCGAAAGAGCTCGGTATTGACCATGCCCATGCCAATGAGGTTGTCATTGTCGATGGCAAGCTCACTGGTGAAGTGCAAGGCACAGTTGTGGGTAAGGAGCGCAAGCGTGATCTCCTCGTGCAGATTGCCGAGCAGGAGGGCATCGATCTGTCCCAGGTGGTGGCTGTAGGCGACGGGGCCAACGACCTCTTTATGCTGGACAAGGCCGGGCTAGGTGTAGCGTGGAATGCCAAGCCGCGGGTGCAAATGGAGGCCGATGCGCGGTTGAATGGCGAGAGCTTAGCAGACTTGCTGTATCTGTTTGGGTTGACCGCCGAGGAGGTTGAGCAATTGGCGCAATGAGAGTAGGTGTCTGCGGGCGTTTTCTTTGGGAACCGAACCCCCAAGTCGGGAAGCTCTGCTGGGACAAATCACCCGAGTCGGGAAGGTCATGTTTTTGCAAACCATGACTGGAGATCATGGGCTGCGGAGTATGCACCTATGGCACGTAGAGAGACGGCTTGAGCCTGTGTGGTCACCATCTCAACGAGTCATTCTTCCTCGCTCTGAAACCGACAATATTTGATGTTACAAATGGAAGAGTTCTCAGAATTCGACGCCTGATGCCCAAGCCTTACGAGTCTAGAAAACAATGATGTCTTGTCAAGCCCGCCACAATTGCTCTGTCTACCTTACATTTCCCAAATCTCCCTCGCCTTTCAATATAAACCCGCCTTTTCCTTGTTCGCAAGCTTAGGGGTAGCCGTCCTTACCCCACTTGTTGAACTTGTCGTGCAATTCCCTGGGCAGGGTCACGTTGGGGACAACCACGGTGTTGAGGGCGGAGGGCGCGTCGCGGGGAGGCTGGGTGGCATCACCACCGGGGTGGTACTGGTATTTGCCGGTGCCGTTGCCCTCCCAGGGCATGCCGCCCTTGGCGATAGAGACGGGGGTCTCGGAAGTCGAAGTCGTGGGCGAGCGGCCTGGAGCTGGTTGTTAGCATCCTATTCTCTTCCGTGCCGACGGATCTGCCGCAACGTCTGGATGCGGTTCTACGCACCAAAGTAGAAACCAGCGCCGCCCAGAGCAGCGACCATGACAGCACCGAGGACCTATTCATCCAATATCAGCTTCCATTCCTTCGGTCGTGGTGCCTCTCTCCGTGTGGGAGGGCATATGGTGATTATGACGCACGAGGGTCTCGGGGTTGCGCTTGGAGTCCTTCTTGAGCTCCTGCTTGGAGTGCTCCTGGAAGGCACGAGCAGTCGTCGAGAGGAAGCGACGGGAGGCGATACGGGAGGCCATTGTGTCGGTTTCGGTATGGATCGGTGGTGTGGTAGTTGGAGGTACAAAGGTCAGTTCGACTGCTGAGGTTGGAGCTTTCGAGACGGTCCGTGGTGCAGTTCTCGTATGATCTCAACGAATGGCGTGTGATTGGTCAATGCGGGCCGGCACTGTGACTCTGCGCATGTCACGTGCAACGAGGTAAGCAAACGTCATGGCCAAATGATCTACGCTACCCTGCACCACCTACCCGCCACACTCGGCCTCGGTCTCAGCCTCCAGCCAGACATCACCAACGTGCACAACGCAATGTGAGGGCACGTAACAGCCAGGCAATGGGCCCGACCAGATTCTGGTCATCCGCGCTGTTTGAGAACGAAAAAGCCTGGGGAGACAGTCCTTTGCCCGTCATGCTTGGGCCACCAAAGCTTCACAGACGGAAAAGGGGGCACCCCTTTCAACAAACTCTCGTGGACCGATCATCCGGGTGACAGCGTTACCAACACCAGAATGTTCAAAATAAAGTTCACCGGCCTTGAACTATTTTTGTCATGTGCGTACATCCTCTGCACATCTGCTCGTTGGGCAACTTCTTTCTTCTCATTTTGACACGACACATCTCAACTACGAAAACGGCACAGATCTCACAATCACTGCAACAATCGACCTTCAGGGATCAGTCGCAGAGCCCGGATTCTACATCTTATCAGAACTTCCGCTTCACAAACTGCTGAGTCACCACTTCCCTGATACCAGAATGTCTTCTGATGGGCCTGGCGTCCGCGAGTTGGTTTGCGCCCTCGTCGTGGCGTTCGGCTGCTGGGTCATCGTCGGCGCTATGGCTTACAAAAACTCGCGTGGCGAGGAACCCACTGCGCTGAGCGAAGATGAATGTCTGTCGTTGGCTCTCTTAACATTAACTTGGGTGCTTACGCTCGCCCTCGCCGTTTTGGTGGTTGGCCGTGTCAACCCCCGTGCCAGCTGCCCTGCCGTCTTCATTGCGGCGATGTTGGGAATGCTGAGTGCAATTGCGTTCTGCATCTTCACGGCCTCTTGGCGGAGAGGCGCTGAACACGTGTTCTGGGTCATGGGAAGCGTATGGGTTACGTCTGCCATCGAGTTGGCCACAGGGCTGGTCGGAAGGGTTCTGCGCTGGCTGGAGGGGCTTCCGAAGGCCCAGGATTTCGAACAGCAGCACTAACATTTTCGAGAGAAAAGAAGCTGCGGGGAGCATAATGGATGCTTCAAATGTCACTCGAGCACACCAAGGCGAGCGCAGGTGTAGTTCAACATGCGACAGTCGACCGAAAGCCCCAGACCGAGGGAACGGGGTGTCCCAACCTATCTGACTGGCCCTACACAAATGGGACAAAACCACAGCCGAAAGCTTCCTCATGTATAGGAAGGCACTTGATGCAAGTTCAAGTTCAATAATACCAATGTTGCGATTCAATCCAAGCCTGCTTCCGTGTTTGGGCCCTGATTCCTCCCCGACAAGAAACCGCCTGAACTAGGATACAAAGATACCAGAGAACCCAATATTCCCCGCTGTGTGGCGTGTTGCGTTTGTCTTCCACATCCTCTCGGCGAATGAGTTTCCTATGCCCTGCTAAGGCGGACCTTGCACCCATCTCCGCTTGTCAACGCCATCGCAAACTGTCCCACAAACACATCGCCACCGATAGGCTCGATGCTGGGAAATGTCTGCACCAGCCGAGCGGTCGTATACGCCACTTCGAGCAGCGCCAGTTGCTGACCGAGACACAGCCGTGGTCCGCCACCAAAGGGTATGTATTCCCAGCTATGGAGTGTTAGCATGGTGCGGCAACAGCGTGAGAGTGAGTACGGGGACCTACGTCGAGGGTCTCTTTGTGTCCCATCTATCCGGGTTGAGGATGCCGGCATCTTCGCCAAAGATGTCCCTTCTCCTATGCATTGCCAAGGAGCTGAATACAACAGTCTCGCCCTTGGCAATGAAGATTGGTGACATGCCATCTTCACCTCCTCCTCGAGGGAGTATTGTATCGACACGGGCGGTCCTTGAGTTGATCGGATTGATAGGGTAGAGACGTAGGACTGTCCTCGAATTAGCCATTCGTTGTCCTTCGAGCTCGAGAGGGACCGCTGGAAGTACACGCACCTTCGTTGACAGCCTTTTCCAAGTATTTCAGGTCCTTCATTGCTTTCGCATCAGGAGGGCTCCCTCCCAGAGATGCAACCTCCTCGCGAATTCTGCTGAGAATGTCGGGTCTGCGAGGGAGGTGCCACCACAGGATGCCGAGGAGGGAGGCAGTTGTGTCGCGACCTGCAACCATTGTGCTCAGCATCTCACCACGCAGTGCCTCAGCAGACTCTCCGTCGGTGGCTATCTCGTCAAGAAAGCAGTGTTTTCTCTTCCCAGGATGCGATTCGTGGTCAATAACGTTCCTGCCACCAGCACGGCGCTTCAGCGCCCCATCAATAAAGTAGTCGGCAAACTCATAGACAAACTTGACGGCCCTTTTGAGCTTGAAGTCGGGAAGCATGGCAAGAAGTGGTGCAGATAGCCGCATAGACATTCTCTGCATAATGTAGTTGAAGAAGGAAGCGAACTTCTGGCCTTCTTCCGCCTTGGATGGGTCGAGACAGCCTGTTGTCTCCCCAAAGAGCATGTCCGTCACGATATCCATGGTGAACATAGGAAACAAGTCGGTCAAGTCAAAGACCTCGTTTTCGGGAATCCGCTTGACGAGACTGAGAAAGTGGTTTTCGATCAGCTCAATGTCCTGAATCTGGCTGCGTCCAAACGCTGGACGGAGCAAGGCGCGGGAGTGTTTCCACTGGTGACCATCAGCGCCAAAGATGCCACCGCCCCAGCACTGATTGAAGGCGGTCACCCGAGCTGCAGGAAGTTGCCAGTCGGAAAAGTTGGCGGAGAGAATGGTCTTCACGTTCTCTGGATCCCTCGTCCAGTATGATTTTTTGCCAAGGACGTGATGAGCGATAGTGTGCACACCTTGACCGGCGTCATCAAACACGGAGGAGAAGACATTCGGCAGCCGTCGCTGTTTCTTGGCTTGGATGATCTTGCGGATCTGAAAGAGTCCCAGACGACCAGTTGGATCAGGACTGGATGGAGGTGGACAGCATCCGTTCGAGTGGGCTTTCCGGCGGTAGGAGTAACTGAGTACCAAACGGCGCAGTATAAGAACGAGAACCAAAACAAGTGCTGGGAAGACCCACGGACGTTGCGAAAGCCCCTGGCTGGGCAACGTCACGAACATGCTGAAAGTAGTGGACGGAAGGTTGCAACTCACAACCACAGCTTGGATCAAAGGGGTGATATAATTATATGCCCACAGGCACATGTTCTCGGCAAAGCGGCATATCGTCTCGAACATTAGCTCCGGGTGCCCATGTTTTGACTTGTTACTATGTACACGACTGGACACTACAACATCAGCCTCGGGCTGAAGGCTTGGCTGCAGAATGCAGAATGCAGATAGATAACGCCAAACTACGGATCAGTATCCGCATGTGGTTTGCGATGAACCGCTTCGGCCGAACCGGCTGATTCCGAGCCTGCTCATGCTTCAGGGGTGTAATCGATACTCGTTGGTTGACCATTTTTTTCAAAACGCAATAGGCCGGACTGGGGATACCGATGTATGAGTCGTCTGCAGCTCAGCAATCTTTCGTGCAGCTGACATGCATGTCCTTTGGAGGCCCGGACCATTGTGGATTTGATAGATTATATTCGGGGAATTATTAGGCGTATCAACGACCCTCATCGCGCCTCAATCCCGACTTACACAGATAACTAGTTCGGCGAATTTCCTGTATTTCCATGGATCATGTTAGTGTGAGGGAAGACAGAAATTGCGACAGCATTTCAGCTCTCAAACACATGTGCAAGAGACTCATATTCCCGACCTCAAAGACACTCATCGACTATCTTCGGCAGCAATCTGAGTTCATGTTGAACATGGCCACTCGACCGGTCTTCCATCCCTGGAACAAGTCCCAAACCATCCATGGATCCGATGTTATTTCACGCCCCTTGGCCACGGGCGAGTTCGTGCTCGCAATGCTCAATGAGCATGCGCAAGGCCACAACTGTCCATACTTGGGTGCCAAAGTTTCCATCGAACATCTGGATGAGACTTGCACCACTGTCGATGAGCTGAAATCCAGTGTCCAACAAGCATTCGCTGCTACGCGATGGTGCCATCCTACCGTGGCAGCGCAAGTCCACAACGGCAAGGAGCTAGTCTACCCAGTCGAGGACGCCAATCAAGTCTCACAATGGCTCGAAAGGACGGTTCACCTCGTCCAGAGCTCTGAAGGTTGGATCGGCCAGCACGACAAGCTGAGCCGCGATGTTGTCTTGCCCACAGCAACGGGCGACTATGCCTTGCTTTACCTGATCGTACATCCTGACCAGGTGGCCATTGACAACATTGTCAGCTTCGACTTGCTCCTTCACGTGCATCACACCCTGGTAGACGGAGCTGGCCTGCGGACATTGCTCAACTTGATATTGCAAAGTCTCGTTAAGCCAACCTCGGAGTCGTACCATTGGGGGGAGGAGACTCAGCGCCTAGCTCCTTCGGCGCTAGACGCAGCAATCATCTCCGACGAGGTTGTAGAACAGTTGAACAATATGCCCAAGGAGGTATGTTGCTCAAATAGCCCCTGGAATCTTCTTGAACAGCGTTTAATTGATAGATTCCTCTCCCACCCCTGGGTGGAAACGCCACATCGCGGCATGGAACCGGTGTTGTCATGCATACGTTTGAGAAGGACAACTTCCTCCAGAGCTTGAAATATATTGCGCGGAAGCACGGCGTCAAACTCACTGGGATCGTGCAGGCAGCCCTTCTTCAAACCGTGTACAGCAAGGCACAGCCTTGCGAAGAAGACGCTTTGACAGTAATCTCGGGTTACGATCTTCGAGCGCGGAATCTGCAGAAGCCCTGGTCTGATCGCAACCAGTTCGTGGGCGCTGCGGTTGGCCTGGAGATGATGAAGCTGCCAGTGACACAGCTTGCCGCGGATGGTTCTGGCAAGGAGTCCCTTTGGAGCGCTGCTAAGCATATTCAGCAGAATTGGGCGTCGTTGGCCGAACGAAAAGACGTCGCTGCTGGGGCCGAGATGCGCCGGCAAGCCACGGGGTTCATTCTGCAAATGGCCATGTGAGTCTCGTGTCTACGACACTATGAACCTTGTTAACTCCTAATAGGGCAGAAGTCAACAAGGAGCCCTCCAAGCTTGGATTGAGCTTGAACTATGTGTCTGATCCACCAGGCAGTAATCAGTTAGATGGCACATACCAACAGAACGGTCGCCGAACCTTCAAATTAGAGGAGTATCAACTTGTGACGGATGAGAGCACCCCAAAGCTGTGAGAAACGGAACATCCCATTCAGAAGCATCCGACTGACGGCTGCGCAACAGGTCTTGTCGATCACACTCATGGAAGGACCAGTTAACTCTGGAAATTTCATTCAGCTACAAGCATTATACAAAGGAATTTGTGGCAGGCGTTTTGGAAGCATGGGCACAACAGCTAGTGTCACGCCTTCAGGAGGAGTACTAGGCTCTTCACCAGCAGACCAAGTGTGCTGTGAAAACTCCACGCATAATCTAACATTTCTTGATGGCGTGGTCCTCCAATCATTCCACCGGCGTTCATTGCTCAGTCAATCGTATAAATCGACCGAGGGCCTCGGACGCTAATCGGATGCTAATCGGATGCTTCTGACCCAAGTGAATCGTCAGCATGTATGGGCATACACAGACTCGAGATGCTTATATCAGATCCCTACGTGTAACTAGGATCATGGACAACGAATGTCAGCGAGCAGCGTTATCCTGACTGTAGCTCATGTATCATCCTGCACGGCTTGTGACGAAGAGCATTATACAGTAGTTCCTATTCGCCTGCTGTTTCCACAGAGCAGGGGTACACTGTAACTGTACATGTAGCCTGCATGTGGCATGAAGCCATACGCCATTCATACATAAATCTACCCGCATAGTGGACTCTACTATCGAGCCAAATAGTCGCTACCATAACCTGGTTGTCGTGGATGCATACGGGGGTCAATCATCAGGGGTCTAAATCCCCTGAGTAGGTGCCAAGTGCCAACCCCAGCCACGATGACGGGTATCGCTCGGACTGCCGAATCGGACTTATGAAGCCACCAGACAAATACAAGTCACTCTGGCAATACGAAGTCACTTTGCTTCTCCACGACGCATGCAACTCGTTACCGCAGATGATTCAGCGGTCCCCTCTTTAGGAGCTTTCTAAGCTTGGCACCGTTCTATGTTTTGGAACCATAGCCCCTGGAATGCTGATCCTCCATCCTCGCAGCGTCGAAGGAAGGCCCAATCATGGGAGTTTGATCGGTGACCACATCACACAAGTCCTGGAAGTACTTGATCTACAACTCAAACTCTCCGAATGACTCCTTGGTCGTTTCATCGAATGATCCTGTCGGCGCTTTCATGACAATGTGACGTTGAGGAGACTAGTTCTGGGATGCGGCAAGACGACCATGCGATTCCCAGGAACATATATGCCTGCGTGAGAACCACAGGTCTATTTCAAGGTGCCGAGCAAGCATCACCCATCTTCGAATATTGCACACAATTCCTCAGAAGAATCAATAATTTTCGTCTCATTCACCAAGCCCACCTGCCTTTCATCATGTCTTCCGACGACGGGTTCAGCCTTCACGTCACCGTGTTCATCGAGCCTGAGAATGTGCTCAAGCTCCTTGAGGCTCTGGAGTCCGTGTACGACATGGTGACCGAGGAGGAGGAAAACTGCACCGTCTTTGAAGTGTACCAGTCGTTTGAGAACCCTGGCGAGATCCGCTTGGTGCAGACCTGGAACAACGACATTTACTGGATGAAGGCGGTTCGTGCATACCCACCTCCCCGACCGAAGCCGTTGGGATTGAGTGGCAATGACCGATCATACAATTTCATGACCAAGTGTTACCATAAGACTTACTTTGCGGCTACGGAGGCTTTACACAGTAAGCCCCGCGAGTTCAAGATCTTCAACCGCCCGGCCATGGAATACAAATACTCTGCTGGGGCGCATTAAGAAGAGAGAACGACCAAGTACTTGTTTCTTAAGGGTTAGGAATCCTCCTCGTGAGTATGATTTGCTTGTGATGTTGGTTCGGAAACAGGTGAAGTTGTCTGGGCCAAATATCAAGAATTAACCCACCATGTGCATCAAACCCTTGGAGTGCAGAGACGTCAATCTAGCATCGCGCCATTAAGCCAGTTGATCTTAGAGAAGCTGAGATCAAACAAGACCTTGGGTCGTCGGTTGCTCTTGTTGCAGTGTAATCGCAAGTGCCGAAACAACTGGTATTGTTTTGGTGTGGAAGTGACAAGAGAATAGTTGAAGGCCCCCAAAGTTGGAACATCCTATCGCAGAGCCGGTTCAGGGTTAGCAGAAACAGTTTTTGCCCTTAGTCATATATCCGGACCGTCGCGTCTGATCCACATCTGCACGTGATTGGCTCATTCTCATCATCATCATCCTCACCTGATCAATTTCGCCATTGATGGTGCACACATGAAAGTCACCACATCTCGCACAGCCATGCCGCCGTCATCGATCCGACTACCAACGCATCAAATACGGTCAAAGGTCTTCCATCAGTTCCCTCGTACAGCGTACCGCCCGGCGTACGATCAACATCCCAGGGCGCGCATGATCCTGCGGCCTCGCAGGCCAGAGCAACCAGAATGGCAAGGCGGTTATGACATCAGGACAGAGCTTCCAGAGGGATGGATTGAAAAGCCCGAGGTCAAGGAGGAGATTCCAATGTCAGAGGCGGAGAGGGTCAAAGCACAGATCCAAGCCATTGGCACCGAGCCGAGTGCTACCGAAAGCTATGAGCAACAGCTCGAACAATGGAAAAGCAAGACCGAAAAATGGGACCGACTGGCGAAAACCCTTGATATTGGCGCGCTCAGAGTCTTTCCGAAAGACTTTCAGGGGCGACGGGAGATTTGGGAGGAGAAGAATGGTTGGTTGAACCTGCGCGTACGGAGGATGTTGAAAGGCCACAACTGATCGTCGACAGTGCCAAACGGGTTGAGCATGTTCATGGATGACTTGCACTTCCAGAGGATGATGCTTCATGGGTACAAACGAAAGCCCCCAGGCCTAGTATACAAGATTGATGAAGGTACTTCGCGCGGGCTCAGTTTCTTAAGGTACCGTGACACGAGACACGATGCTGACGACGCAGGAACGCCTGTGCCAAAAGGTCTATGGCTAGTCCGCGGCGGGTTCCACTGGGGCCATTTCTCCTTGCAGCCTGCTGTTCCCATGACACTGGGAGGTAGGCATCACCCGGATGGCGAGAGAGCGTCCCTCGGCTGACCCTTTGACCAGAGCTCGAGGATAAAATCACAGATTTCTTCAACGAACATGCCATCTGCATACCTATCAAAGCATGGCACCGCATACACAGCTTACGACTGCAAGGCCAAAATCGGCCGATACCGAAAAACTGGCATCTACCATCCCTGGATGAGCTCTGCCGAAGGCACAGAGTGCGACTGAACGAGGACGAAGGCGTGTACACCATCAAGAGCCGCAGAGGCTTCTTCTATTCACCAGACTATGTGTGGAGCCAATTTGCGAAGCGCATCGAAACCCAGCGGACGGAGTAAAGCAGTCGGCACGTTACCGACATATCGAGCATAGCGGGCGCTTTTTCAGGATTTCGAGATTCATAGACGATGCCTTCTCATAACACAGCATGCGGCACATGCGAAAACTGTACAAATGTATCATCAAGCTTGTAACTAATGATGACACGATATCACCCGAGAGCATACAGTGAGATGGCAAGCATGTGTGTACTGGATTACTCGCGCAAGTATCTACCCAAGCCAGCTCCAGCGCTCTAAAAGCCCATCATGAAAACGCCCATCATGAAAACATATCGCACACTGAATGCAAGTGCAGAGCCCGCAGAACGGGGGCCCTGGCGAACCTGCCGGTCAACCCGCCCCCGCTGGTCGGGAGAGTCGAGCGGCAGGGTAATCCGGACTCTCTCCGTGAGCCAAAAAGGGGGTATCGTATGAAGTGAAGAGGAAATAAGTAGAATCAACATGTATCGAAGAAGACATCGTCCCCGCCTCCTGGTCTTCCACTGATCAAATGAAAGAGGAGGTGTTTGTCCTAAAAGCTATAAAGAGCCAGCCAAAGCCCGAGAGGATGATGCGCATCTCCAAGACGGGACCGCAGCTCGCCAAAGATGAAAACCTGAAGACGCCCCCTAGAGGCGTGAAGGATGTGTGTATGCTAAGTATGTTGAAGATGAAAAGAACAGGTTCTTTGGCGAGCTGGCAGTCCGTCTACCCTCGTGCTGATCTGAAAGCTGGAAGGTCGAATAAGACAAGACATTACGCGGGGCGTAACGTTGTCGGCTGTGTGTATGCAGCCCCACAGAAGGTATTATAATCTCGATATCGTCGTAGTGTATCGTTCAACAGCCGGCTCCCTTTGCGAGGTCGTCAAATGTCGTCTGTTGTCGTTGCCGTCGTTATCGTGCGCCAAGAAAGAACAAGTAAAATCGCCGTCGACCCTAGGTCGAGCCATGGCCCCCCTATGCCCACTGCAAAGCAGTAGACAGCTTTACATCATACCAACAACAACCATGCCCATGACACCGGCCAGGATGACCTTGCCGGCGGACACAGCGCCGGAAGCGCCAGAATCGTCAGTCACGGTGGCTGGTTCCTCGCCAGAGCTCGTGCTTGTCTCCACGGGAAGGCTGGTGAGATCGGAAGATGACACCATCGTGTAAGAGGAGGAAGTAGGCGTGGAGATGGGCGTAGTGCTGTTCACCGCGACGGAAGAGGTGACGGTGTGCGCGGACGAGAGAGTCAAAGTCTTGGTGAGGGTGGTAGTCGAGGTGCAGGTTGAGGTGCTGGGACCCTCGCTGGCAAGAGCCAGAGCTGGCAGGATGGCCAGGAACAAGTTAGAGAACTGCATTTTGACTTGGTCTTTTCGCGTATAAGGATGGAAGGTATTGTCGCGACACAGGTAACGAAAGTGAGGGATAATCGATATCCGAGAATGAGTGAGTGTGAGTGAGTGCCTGTAAGAGAGAGAGAGAGAGAGAAAGCAGAGGGGCCGCTAGCGGTCAAGTAGCAGAGCACTTTGAGACTTTGCCAACGAAGTCTGGTATCACAACGGACGTACGAGGTGAAGAGTGAGAAGGGGTGTGAAACGCGAGGAGAAGGAGTCGCAACCTCTTGAGTGTCGTGGGCCGGTGCGGTGGGCTGCCCCCAGCCAGACGGCCGAAATTGACTGTCTGAGCTGGCGTCTGACTCTGCGCTGGCGGCTGGGCGGGCAGCCTCCAATTCACTTCCCCTTCTGTCCACTCGTTGTTCCTAGTGGCCACTTGACTCATGTCTCCTCAAGCCTATTCGTCGTGATCCCTGCCCTATGCACCGCTGGAAGCGAGCGTGGTTGTCCAAGTGACAAGCAGAGTGGGCATTGGCTTCCCACATTCCGTTGGTGGAGGTCAAACTCTGGGGGATCCACGCATGCTTGTCTCGGTAATTACTTCAGAAGTGCGCGTATCCGTATTCTGTGTCGTTACGGGCGATGTCGCGCTATGTGCCTACTAATTAGGGATACTCAATAGTGAGCTCTGTCTGAATTCGTTGTGCGTTACTGAGCACTTGTTTGGCCTTGATGAGCACTCATTGATTACTATGCGCCTGCGTCTCTCTCCCTTGACCAGCGAGAGAGCCCAGCACGAACAAGCCTGCCGCCTGCGTCTCAAAATTGCGATGAAATACCTAATAGATCAGTCTCCCGTCTTGGCGCATCCACGGTCCTCCCCCCCTCAATCCAGATCCAGTCACGTGGATTTTTCGCGGCCAGCGGCGATGCGACGCGCGCGCTTTCCAACGCAAGGGGGCCGGGTCTTGAATTTTACGACCTGCTCCGCGTGCGCGCGCCTCGAGCGAGCAGAGCGTCTTGTCGAAGCAATCGCCGCAGAGACGAACCGACTCGACGAAATGAGGCCAAGACGTGGCCGTCTAATTAGCTCGAGGAATCAAGATCCGCGAAAGGAAGGCAGGCCATCCTGCAGCCCGAAGCGCCTCAAGGTCTGCACAATTTCAGCTGGGAGGATGCGACGCTATCTGATTGGGTGGCGGCAGATCTAGTGCAGATTGTTCCTGCGTCACGCGATGCAGGGGCAATTTAATGAAATGATTTTTTTTTCTTCTTCTATGACACTGACAGCAGGCGCGACGGGAAACAGCCCCTCCATATTGGTGGCTTGATTTTTCCTCAGTTCATGTCGATGTTCAACTCCCGTCAATTCTGGGGAAGGAAGGGAAAGGAGGAAGGATGCATCCCGCCGGGCCGGTGCTCATGCACGTGCGCGTTGGGTCACCCACATCATCACATATTTCCGAGTCGAAGAACATTGTCAATAGATCTTCAGTATTACTACGCAACTACCAGACGGTTTCCTCGTTTCAGTGCACTCCACGCTCAGTTATCTCCTCAGGTGGTGAAACGCGATGTGCTACATGCGACCGCGAAGCAGACCATGACCAGCCCGACTAAACACAAGCCTCGCAGTCTCAGCCGGCCTGACCTGAGCCTCCCCTGACCAAAGGCTGTTCGACAGCCACGTAATTACACGGTACAGTCGTGATCAACACAATGAAGCAGCAGTAGCAAGTAGTCGCGCCGATTATGCTACGTCATTTCAGGTCGCCGCGAGCCAGTGCCTCTGCGTGAGAACGTGTCGAGCAGCGTGTAGCGCCGAGAGCAAATTCCAGTGATTGGGCTTGGCGACCATGTTGATCAAACAGCCTACGACCAGTGCTGAGCCTACTCCTCACAGAGTGCCAACATGTTTTTCACAAGCTCCCAATGCTTATACGACCACTCAAGGCTACTATGGCAGTTTCACAAGCATTCGTGTTTCGCGCGGCACAAGAAAAGGGGTTCGGGAGCGCTTCAAAGTACAACATCTGGGTATCTGATTCACATGTAGAGTATGTTTCGAGCGTGCACCATTCATCCTTGCCGTCCAGCTTAAGCAATCCAGTACCAGACCCTCTGCACCCAGTTCTTGGCGACGGGCACAATGTCGGTCGCAGCCATCTCGTCCATCTCCCTCTTGCCCGATACACAGTCGATCTCGCTTGCAGGAATGAAGAACGGCGTGCGGGTGAACGCCTTGTGACCGAGGTATAGCACCAGGAAGATGGGAATGGTAATGTAGGCCGCCAGGAAGTTCTGCACGTCCCAGTTGCGGGGTATGAAAATCTGGAAGCCGTTTGTGAGGGTGAGCAGGGAGATGAGGAAGAGGACGAAGCAGGCCAGGTAGGGCTGGGCGGGCGTCTTGAACGGCAGCTGCTCCCACATGCCCTGGAGGCGCATGGCCTTGCGGAAGCGGAGGTAGGTGATGAGGACGACAATCCAGGCAATGTAGCCGGAGATGGTGGAGATGTTCATGAACCAGTTGAAGACGGTGGCTCCTGAGCTCGAGACGTTGAGGAACGCGAGGAGACCGATGCACCAGGTGGCCAGGACGGCCAAGTAAGGCACGCCGTTGCGGTTGGTGCGTCTGAAGAACGCGGGCGCCTGGCCCTTGAGGGCGAGGGAGTAGAGGACACGCGAACCCGAGTACAGGAAGGAGTTGCCAGCCGACCAAGCCGACGTGAGGATAGCGGCGTTGATGATGTGGTTCAACACGGGGATGCCGACACCCTGGATGCCCAGGACGAAAGGCGAGGCGCTGGCATTGCTCTGCGCGTCGGTCGAGTTGCCGAGCAGCTGGGGGTGAGTGAAGGGCACCATGACGCCGATGAGGAAGGATCCGAGGCCGTAGAAGACGGCAAGACGCCAGACGAAGCGGCGAGCAGCCTTTGGGATGTTGCGTCGGGGGGCGACGGTCTCGCCAGCAGCAGTGGCGATGAGCTCGGGGGAGGTGATGAAGGCGAAACCGGCGGAGGCAAAGGCATGCCAGTAGGCGAGGAAGTTGCCTGCGCTACCTGTGGCCTGGTATGGATTAAATGCGCCTGGATTATCGTAGTACGTAAAGCCGCGGACCTTTGTCTGGTCCGGCGCGCCACCAAAGAAGATGACCCAGCCGACGATGATCAAGCCCATGATGGTGATGAACTTGATGCTGGCGAACCAGAACTCTGCTTCACCAAAGAGGCCCACCGCAAACATGTTGAGTCCCAGCATGACGACCAGGACGATGGTAATCCATACGGCAATGTGCACGGGCGGCTGCCAGTAGTCGATGACGAGCCCGGCAGCGACAGACTCGGCGCCGACGAGCATGGCGTAGGCATACCAGTAGTTCCACCCGGCGGCGAAGGCAAGCGAAGGGTCGACGAAGCGGTTGACGAAGTAAGGCACGGTAATGCCCCGCATGGGCAAATAGGTGACCATCTCAGCGAGGACGTTCATGACACACCAGACGACCAGCATCATGGAGAGGTAGCCCATGAACAGGGGAGCTGGGCCGGTGTCTGCGAGAATGCGGCCGGAACCGATGAAGAGACCGGTGCCAATGGCACCACCTGAGATATTATGTTAGACGGGGCTTCCTTGCCATGGGCCTTGAGCGGCCACTCACCGAGTGCCAGGAACTGGATGTGTCGACTCTTGAGGCCACGCTCCAGCTGTTGGCCTTGCACGGCCAGGTTGAACTCGGTGGACGCCTCAGCAACCGGCGACTCGAGGTCGCGGCCATCCTTGCTGTCCCCCTCGAATTCCTTGGAGCCCATGATGCCTTTGTGTGTTTGTGAACCGATGTCTGTGTCTGAGGCCTTGTCTCACTTGGGACCTGCACACCTGACTTGGGAGGCAGAATGAAGATGGGAGACGGGTAGAATGGGGCATGGCACAAGGCAAGAGGATCCTCAACTTTATAGCACAAGGTGACCCCAAGCACACATGCACTACGTGTAGACTAAAAGGACGTATTGGGCAGAAGATAAGCGGCAAGCGCAGTAGTTGAGACTACATACATGAATATCCACCGGCGGCCTCTCCACATGGCTCGCCCACAAACAACGATTACTCCGAGCTCGGTGAACGCTGGCATCAACTTTTCGAACCTTAACGTAATACTAAATGCGAATGATTGGCCCGAACTCCCGTCATCCAAGTCGCGCGGGTGGAGCGTCTCCATGGCCTTCGCTGTCCCCAGGTCGTGTCCATAACACTAACCCCAGGTGCGGGGGAATTCAAGACGGGAATGAATTTCAAGACCGAGAGACTCGCCTGACGATGAAGTGTTGGTTTTGGTCGTTCGAAGTCGTATAGCACGTTCAATGTCACCGGCGTCGTAAAGGGCCTGTCAACCGTGCGTTTTTTCCAAGCCGGCAGCCGGCTGATGCCGTCTTGGACATGCAGCGCTGCCGTGACGGGGATAGTGATAAGGGCGATCCACTTACCCCAATGTGGTTAAGTTTATGTGGGGTTTTCGATAACAGCCTTTACAAACGTCTTTGCGCACTGTGCCCTCCCACACAATGTCGTGGTGCTTCCAGGCTGCGCCGCCTCTGAACACAGTCAAAAAGACCGTCATCAGAATCACCGACATGCCTCTGCGGTTTGCGAGTCTTTGAAATGTCAGTTATCCACGTGCAGAGAGCGTAAGGGGCTGCTGCGCTGCGAGTCAGCACCGTGCATGACAGCATCAATCGGTTACGAGGTGCCGATGCAAGCCGCGTTCTTGGCGTATGCTAGCGCTGCTTGGAACACTTCGAGAAGACGTGTGGTTCGCGGTCAGGAGTCAGGACTCGGGACCCAGAACCCTTGGGAAGACTTCGAGAAGGGAACCAGCCCTAGCCTGAGAACCCGCCAGTCGGATGTCCCGTTGTGATCGTCAGGCAAAGGCCTGGGTGCGGCTTAATGCCGCAATGAACACGCTACCCTGGCATGAGGCTGAGCTTTCCAATGTCCTTCAGCGTCAGAGTCTGGTTGTTTGATGACATGACGTGAATCGTAGTGTAGACCATCGCCAACATTGCTTACCGGGCACGTACTTGTCAAAGACTTGCACCCAACAATTGCTGATTAATAGCACGTAGTACTACGAGCGTACGTGGGTATTCACCGGGGTTCGTTCTGCCGCCTGACAATCCGTCCATCCCACCCATCCATCCATCCACACACAAACATGGCGCACCCGGGGACAAGGCTGGTCTTATCTCCTGTTTGCATCTGCTATTGGGTAGTAGATGAGGTGCTGCGTATAGTTCTGACGCGCTATTTGCCGTGTGACACAAGTGTGTGTGTCGGGCCCACGAGCCGGCCGGGAGCCCAGGCCGATGCTCCTTCCGTGCCGATGCCGGTGAGGTCGGCGAGGGCCCTCAGGCTCAGCCTCCAGATATCGTGCCGAAATCCCCAGAAACACGAATCGCGAGTGACCCCTACGCCGCTCGACGTGACGAGCAGGCGCCAATCGCTTCAACTTTGTTTGTGTTGTTGACGTATGATCCAAGCGAGCGGCATCTTGTCTCTCCCCGCATGAACGACGCTGGCCTATGAGAACAAGCATATCGTTGACTCGTCCATCAAACATGAACCTTGGCGTTCTCGCGATATTACCCCAAAAAACGTCTAGTAGACCACCTTTGCGCGACTTGGAATCCTGGTCGCGGGGCTTCAGTGGCGGGCATTCGGGTCGGTTTTCGTGAGACAGTGAGAGATAGAGAACAAGCACCTGATAGAAAGGTCAGTCACTGAGCTGCTCACAAGCAATCATAACCTACAAGCTCTCAAAGGCAACTTCTGCAGTATCCCTGTCTGGAGTCTCTGGACGTCAGCGGCGGAAGACGGGACGGGTGTATCAGCCTTCACGCACGAAGGACCAGTAATGCATGGTCGTGTCGTTCTAGTGCTTCTCCTGTAAAACATTGGTACTGTGGCATCTAATCCGATGTGAGGCCACTGACGTTCAAGTCGACATCAGCACTCCCTACTACGTACACCACAGGTGCCCCGGTCACTTCGCTGCAGTCATCGCGAATGTGAGAATGCCATCACACTGCCTTGCCAGCATCCCTCATCGCCCCAGAAGCAAAGTCGCCGTGTTCTCCTTTGAGCAGAGGAGCAATCGTGCTGTGTCATGAGGTGGTCTTTGGAGGTAGGGCGTGATGGGTCGATCAAAAAGATAGCTTGCTGAAAATAACGCCTGTAAGAAACTTCAGAGATATTGGGAGCAAGATCTAAAGGCAAAGATGCCAAGAGCATCTTGGTTGTCGTGATATGTAAGTGTTTTCAAAAAGCTTGGAGCGCTCTCGTTTTCAATGAAGTGTCAGCCTCCGAGGGAAATACAGCGCTCCCAGTACAACGATACTGAAGTCGAACGAATGCACGTACCGTCCACAGATTTCTAGGCATCTTTCATGAACACAGTCGTCTGGAAGTGCCTTCATATCTTGATAGCCGTGGGATGTCGGTTTTTCGAAGTGACTAGGGTAGTCATAATGCTCTAAATCATGTGAACGACAAACAGATCAGCCATCCGTGTATCATATCCTTCCTGACTACCCTGTGGTTGGTGTTCCCAAGCATTGTCGATGCTCAGTGCGCTGTGTCGCAGGCACGGCTTGTGAACAATCAGATAATACTTCGAGTCGCCACGGGCTCATGTGCGAAGGCTTGAAACCAGATCGCCATGTCAGTCTTGATGCTGCGACTAGGCAGACGGCAACAAACCAGTCAAAGCAAAACCAGATCGATCTTGTAAGCATCAACCTGGCTTCGCACGACTGTGTAGATCTGCAGGCTTGCGTCCAATGATAAGTATTCCTCCTGCGAATATCTTTCTGATCGACGTGGTGGAGTCAGAGCTTTCCCATTTCTCGGGAATGCACGTCTCCGTTGAAGGCAGTCCTGAGGCTGAGGGGGTCGAGACTAGTGGTTCTTGGCCTAGACACCCAATTTTGACGTTACGTGTACTGACCAGTGTTGAGAGCCTTCGACTAATAAGCACAGGGGTCTCGCGAAGCTTGTAATGCTATTGGAATTAGGTTGATGGTGTACACATGCATTGTGCGCATGCACGTCAACAATGATTTTACTTTTAGGTACAATACAGTCTGCCTTACCCACTTGATTGCTTGGGTCAGAGCCCAGACAGCGATTTGGAAACCTTCGATCTGGAGATGCAAGATTTCTCCAGTCTCGACTCTCGATCGCCCTGACACCGGGAAACGGGCCATGGCATATCCCGCTAAAGGCCGTGAGGGGTCGAGCCCAAGGGGCAGAACATACGGGCTAAGGCTAGAAGCTCGGGAGGGACCTTGGTGGGATGGACCCCGGGCTCGACTCATTTCAATCATTTTTACCCCTTTTCACTTTTTCAAGATGCTCGCTTATTGCATCTTGTTTTCATCTCTGATGACCTCAGGTTTGTGTCATGGTGACACGCCTGCCCCAAAGCGACAGGTGTCCCCGAGTCCATGGCAGTCGTTTGTTGTGGGGGATGCGGTCTTTATCCTCCGCGAGCCATGTGATAGGGCGATCGTAGCTCTGATTGACGCTGTTGCTTCGGTTGGGGCACAGGCGGGCGGACATAGGACCACGCTCCGCATTTCTGGTGTAGGATCGACGGTGAGGCGCAACTCACCACGACGACCATCGTCCACCAGATTTATTGGCGACAGGAACAAAACTCCGACGATTTGTACGTGACAAAGGGGCCATACGGGGCCCAGCTGCGATGCTAAAGAACCGACGACGTGCCATGACCGGCTTTTGGGGATCTTTCAACTAACCGAAAAGAGGAGACGTCCCGCTTTGTCGTACATGATCGTGGAGCATTTGCTCCGGATCAGCTGTCGTTGACGGCCCCAATCCTCGTAAAACCACTCAACGTCCACCCATCAACCCACATATCGTTCACAGCCTGTGGGCTGTAAGCCTGGAACTGGAAGGGGAAAATAAGAACCGGGAGATCCACAGCGTATCGTAGGTGTGGCTTGTCCGTTGTATTATGGCCACTTCTCTGCACGCGCCTGGAACGCCTGCCATGCTTTTCTCTGATTTTTCGATCTGCCACCTCTGCTCAACGTTTGGCGACGTTGCCCTGGATCAGGGTACTCGTGCTGGCAGGCGGTGGCGACTGTCAACGTCGGACTGACACGTTTTCGCTTGCCTTGTGGTACTCGGCATAAGCTTTCCATCTCGCCCAACGTGGTAAGCAGTATTCCATGACCCTCTCGTCACACAAGAAGCCCGACCACGCTCGCATTGGAGAGTACATCGCCACGTTCTGTCGAGGCTCAACGAACTAGAGAGTTCGTATTCTGGCTGCAACGCCCTTGTCCCTCATGGTCTATTCATCATCGAGGCCATTGAGAAGGCAGGAGTGAAGAGGCTCTCTACGTCTCTGCGGTAGATGTGCACGCAGCACAGAGCTCACTGCATCGTCTGCGGGAAGGAATACCTCATCTTTGTTGCGTTCTGTCAAGCTTGTCCGACGACTACACGCATCTGTCCAACCGATTTCGTGGTGATGCGAGACGAAATGCGAGAGGGTCGATGTCCGAGTCCAGTTTGTCCCAACAGCATGAGAGGCGGCTGCTGCCTTATGTGATTCTTTCTCGCATGGCAAACCACCACCCCCACGACCCCCCAGTGCGGATTCGAGAGGCAGGAGCACGATTTTCTCAGAGCTTCTGTCCACTGGGCGGAACTTCCACGACCTGGTCCATGCCCTGGTACTCAGGCATCTCAAAGTCGTACTTCTTGGCAATGTATGGAGGCACAAAGCTTTTCCAGGTCAGCATGAGGACTGTTGGTCATGGCGGAGAGTCAAGGTGCGTACCGCCCACCAACAAAGTGGCGTCCTGTGAAATGTTTAACTAGTGGTTTGGGAGCCGTCAGGCTGACCAGTGTGGCAGGCATAAAGGTACTACCCAAGCCAGAATTGGGAGGGCCATTATCAATGTCCCATGAAGACGGAGCATCAACCGATGTGACTGGCAAGTCCGTCTCTTCGAGCGACTTGATGACCTGAGGGAAAGGCTCGCGAACTTCACCCGAAAAGCTGAACCCTGCATCAAGTTAGAGACGGTCACGGATACGCGTTAAAAAGGTGTGAAAGGAACCGAAAATTGCATCGACAATGTGGTCTGTCGACTTTAAAGCGGAAGGGAAATCATCAACAAAAGGGACCTCCAGATCCTCGAGCTGCTTAGCGAGACGCTGTCAAAGTCAGTAGACAATTAATGATATCAACAAGAATTTGAAACTCGCCTGATACAGCTCGTTCTTGCTCCGCTTGGGATAGAAGACGCTGGGCTTATAGCCGTAGAAGAAAAGATGGCGGGCTGCTACGAGACCATCGCCACCGTTGTTGCCGGGACCACAGGCTACCAACACGCGGCGCCCCTGGTGCAACGGTTGGACGCGATATACTGATTCAAGTCAGTGGTCGAGGTTCTCAAGCCACTTTCAACTCGGATCTCATACCAGCCTGAGATACCGAAAGCCCAGCCAGCTCCATTAGTTGGTCGATTGAGAATGCGCAAGTGCTCATCAACTCTTGATCCAACGCTGCTGCAGCCTTAGGTCCGAGTGTCTAGAGTAAACATTTTTAGCATGGATCGCCCTGATATGCATAAGAAGTTACCTTGAGAGCCATTTTGACGAGTACTGCCAAAATAGAAAAAACGAATGAGAGAACAATGATCGACAATTCACACACAGACAGGTGTGACGATATTATTTGTACGACGCATGAATGCTCACTGACATCATTCGCACATGTGCATGTAAGTGGCTTCAGCCACATGAATGAGATCCTCGGGGGGTGTGGCGTCGGCTAAGCCACGGTTCAACCCAAAAATTGTCCACGCTTCAACTTCGCGACGGTCCATCACAGCCAAGCAAGCACCCGTGTTCATCAGTCCAAGCATAACGCATCATGGTTGTCAAGATTCGTCTGGCGCGCTTCGGCAAGCGCAATTGGCCACATTACAACATTGTCGTCGCGCAAGCACGGTATGCGCGCCCCTTCAACGTGGCATTTCAGGACTGACAAAGGCTTGTAGCACGGCACGCAACTCCAAGCCCCTCGAGGTTCTGGGCACATACGATCCCGTTCCCAAAGCCGACCCCTACGGTGCGCCCGATAAACTGCACAAAGACATCGAGATGGATGTATCGCGAGCCAAGTACTGGATTGGTGTTGGGGCGCAGCCGACCGACCGCATGTGGAAGATCCTGAGCATGGCTGGCATTCTGCCCCCCAAGAAATTTGAGCCTCCGACAGCAAAGGGGCAACCACCTGTGGAGGTCGACAAGGTGCGGATCCGTTGAGGCAGAGCATGCGTTGTATCGATATCGTGTATCAGCATGGGCAGGCGTTCTTCATGAAGCCTACGGGCAGTTTCGGGTTCAATCTATTGTTGTACAATAACTACGTGTATGAAAGGTTTACGTCAAATAATGTATCATTCTTTGCGTACATTGCGATGTGAGATTGTCCAAACACTCTATAACGCCCTGCCTCTAAGCGAGCAACGTCGATCGCTATCAAAACTCCGCTCATGCCATGCCAATACAGTAGAAATAAAAGGAAAAAGAAACTCGTGAATATGTACAATATGCGTGCGGTAAAGCCGGATGAGAGGTTCGGGTTTCGTAGAAAACTGTATGGTTGTCTCAATGACCGGCTTGCATGAAAATGTTCATAATCAAACACACGGCCATGACCACGATGCCATAGAAGGCTATTCCAAGACTAAGCTTGCGCAGCAGGCCGTGTTCGATGTGATCAAAGTCCCACCGCCATTTGCGGCGCCATCGCCATGTTGCTGGCGAAGCACTGCTTCCAGAAGCATTGCTGTGCAGGCTGTGGGTGCTCTGGGCAAGAGTGCCTGCATCTTCCACGTCCGAAGTGCCGTTGTCGTCCATGTCGTCGTCTTCCTTCATCAAGCTCTGGTGGTGGATGCTGTCCGGATCACTAATCTTGTAATAGAAAAGCCCAGGGAGGATGAAGCTGATGGAGGTGGACCCAGTGCTGCCGACAAAAGCCAGCATGCGATCCAAACTGTTCACAGACAAAGCAGTGATGTACGCCAAGGTCAGAATGATGGCGGTCAGCAGCGCGAACCGACCATCAGACATGGCTGCCGGCCCCCCAAGATCATTCCTGGGAGCACCCGATGCAGTGAGCATTGGAGAGCCTGCCCTCGCGTTCGTCTGAGCGTTGCGGCTGTTCCTGTTGGGTCGCCACTTAAGGACCGCATCGAGAGACGCCCGGCATGGGTGGACCTGGAGTGGAATAGAGAAAAGCACTAGAACGACGATGGCCGCCTTGCCTATGGTGGAGGCTACGCCAGTTGGATCTTGCATCGTCAGTCTTGTCCGCGATCGGACGCATGTACCTGAAGACTTACACATGGACACTATGTTCGCCACAACATCATTTCCAAAGGTAAGGTACCCTGTGATGGAGACAACAATGTAGATGATACCAGCAAGCCCAATGCTGGATCCGATGACCCTGATGATACTGGGCTGAGAGTTGTCCTTGATCTCATTCATGATCGAGAACATCTGCCACATATTAGCAATGCCGTTCTATGCAAGGGTGGAATTCTGTGACTCACATTCTGGTGACAGGTGTATGCAAATACGACCACGGGCAATGCGCTCAGCGTCTCAACAGCACCAGCCCATTGAATTACGCGAACGTTCTCAGGCGCAGCATGTGGGTCCACATGGAAGTGGTAAATGACCAAAACAATGAGATAGCCGATGGAAATCAACGCCACGATGCTGGTGTACTTGAGCGAGTCGAGACGCTTCAAGAAGCTCAAAGGGATGACCAAGAGCATGAATGCGGTGATCCAAAAATGCCTATCAACCAGGTATGGCGATTTCTCGGCGTTATCAATGAACCCCATTACGACACCAGGCATCAGATCGCCAATGATGATCATGTAGGAGACGCCGACGCCGAAGCACTTGACTGCAATGGCCATATCAAAGATGACCGCCGCGTTGGGATAGGTGATCTGCGAAAGCGCAAAGAAAGACGACGTGCCTCGTTCGAGGTACCGCGCGCATTTGGACTGTAGGTAGAGGCCGAAGGCGGCGCATAATCCTGACCAAATGATAAGGAAAATGCCTAGCATAATTCCCGTGTGGGACAAGACAGAGGGCATGGCCAAAGTACCGGCACCGACGACTACAGACTGTCAGTTGCTTCGTTTGCCAGTTCAGGTCCAGGTACGTACTTGTGTTCAGCAGATTGACGACACTGCTCGCCATGGACGCCTGTCCACCACCAGGACGAGCATCTTTGCCGCCTCGCCGTCTAGCTCTGCGCCTCAATTAGCCAGTGCTCTTCAATCAATGCATTTTCCCAATGTACCTCGCCATATCGCCTCGATCTCCGCCGGCAGAGTTCCCATTCGAGATTGTAGAATACGTCGGCATAGCACACGGTCGCAGAACGAGGGTGGTTGGCGTTCGCTGTCACAGATCTCGCTCGGCCGATTGCTCCGCGGGTCGATCGCTGTAGTAGCGAAGGGCTCAGGCAGTGACCGTTGCTCATGCGCCGCCACTGAAGCTGTCTGTCGTCCGACGTGGTCGACTTGCGGCGCACCTGGCCAAAGGGACAATGATGCGGAGCAGCACCGCGCGCGGTCGCAAAATCGAGTTGTGATCCGAATCGTCTTGACGTCCTTGATCAATGTGTCGATGCGTGTACCACGCAAAGCTGATACAGTCACTGTAGCTTTTTGAGGCCACGAATCCCACGATATAAGAATATTACGAAGCATGGGAGGGAGATGTAGGCGTTCGTCACTGGGGCACGCGGGCCAATCAAGCTGCTCCACTAAATTAGGCCCGCCATTACGTCTCCCTTCCGAAGCAAGGCGCGCGCTGTGCCTTGTCGGCTGCCGTCTGGACTTTGATGGCAACAAAGACGGAGAGACGCGGAAGTTTTGTACGCTGAGGCTGACCGAGACAAGGAGCTGGTCTCTTGTCCTACAGGTGCGAAAGGTGTTCTGCGACTCTCCTCCTTCAACGAATCCGACGACGCCAGTCAATTATGGCTACCGACGTTGACGAGACGACTCTCACGACGCTAAATCTGCTGGAAGCGCGACTGTTACGAATCGAACATGTTCTTCATGGCCATTCTGGATCGCCAGCCGTTCCGCAAAACGAATCGGCGGCTATGAGGCTGGCTAGTCTTGAGAGGCGATTTAATGGCATCCTATCGAAAATACCAGTTTACCATGCTCTACTGCAAATCTGTATGCGAACCCTGCAGTGGCTGAGGCCATGGCTAACCCCTTTAGATAACAAGCAACCAGACTTGTTTCACGCAGCATCACCTTCCGAGCCGCCGTCGAAACTTGACATCGATACGATCTGCGCTATTGTGCTGGCCGCAGCACCTCAATACCAGTCGACGCTCTCTTTGCTCACCTCCGTCAAAGATACGCCCATCCCAGATCCCACTCAGAGTGCAGCTCTGATCGCGACGAGAGACCGCTTGAAGGCACTGGAGGCAACGCAAATAGGCCAGGCTGCCGAAGCTGCCGAGTTGAGGTCCCGTAGCGAGGCTGTGGTTCGAGCCTGGTACGAAGGCTCCGTGCTGCGGAAATCCCAGTTTATGTCTGACTTGGAAGGGAGGGTTGAGCTCGTGGAGAGGGCTGTGAGAAGAGCAGAGCGAGAGCGGAAAGTTGCTCAAGAGATATAGGCCACGCTTTCTCAATGCATCCCATGTGGCAGACATGCCATGCTGCGACGCGGATCACAGCCATGCGCAGCTTTACGCAAGATGACTAGGGGCAACGGCATGGTGCACTCTAGTTCGGGCTGCCCGCGACGGGCCAGACAATGGGTTCCAGAGCTCAAATGGGCGTATCAATTGCGACTTACAGCCTGGCAGATGCAGCGCTGGTCATCTGCGCGCCTGGCATCTGGAAACAGAGCCGCAGCCTAGCTGACTGCTGCCCGCATGGATACCACGGAAGCTAGGCACTAGTTACTTGGGATCGACCACTATTCTGGGTTTGCAGTGAATGTAAGAACAATAGAGGTCAACTTCGAGTAGCTCAGATAGTGCTTCCCTGGTGGCGCTGCATTCCACGGAGTTGAAGTTGGAGCGCTGTCTGTAGACAGCGCTGCTCCTCGACACATATAATGCAACGACATTCTCACAGCAGACAGGAGGTATCTAGGTCAGCTGCTCGTAGTTTTTACCATGTCTCTCGCAGTCATTCACGGGTATTGATCCTGCGAAAGATGCCTTCAATCTGATGCAGTCGGCTACAACTCAGTGACACACTAACACGAAATGACACTTCGTTCTACAGATTATGCGTACAGGCCTAAAATGTCGTCTGAAATTACTACGATTGTACCTGACAGTGCCCTTGACTGTCCAGTCATTAAATTGACTTCATACAAAGAGAATGTGCTCTCGCCAGGCGACTGTCGATAGGTGTCGCAGGGTAAGTGATTATGGGCGTGGTTCCAACGCCAGCCATCCGTCACCCACACACCCACTCGGATGGACGCGGGCCCGGCATGGCTGGCTTGGGGGAACTCAACAATTGGGGAGTGACTGGTACTCAGCATCATGAACGGGCGTTGCGTGCAAGATCTTGGATGTAATCACGTCGCTCAAAAGTTGGAACACCGAATTGATGTTACAGGCGGCACGAGGGACTCATTGCCAATGCTGAGCCGTTTTGTGTACATGTTGTAAGCGTGGTGCGAAAATCGAACGATGGAGTGAACATTCGGGGGGTGCAAGAAAGGCTGGAGCTGCACGTTGGGGTGGGATTGCCGGTCAGGGGTTTGGATCAACCCAGCTTTGCCTCATAGGGGTCTTCAAGCGTACCTTACCTGCAGTCTGCAAACTTGTAGTCTTCACCTCGCACTTTTAGTGTCCAGCAAAGTCGTAGTAATCTGCATAGTGAGAGGGAAAGGCCTTATTGCACGGTCATTGTGATCAAGCGCCCAGCAAGCCCATGAACAAAGTAATAGCCGAGGCCTCGAAATGCACCGAAGAACCGAAGACCGGTGGAAGAATGTCGGTGGTTATCGATAAACACTAACAACGACGTCAGATACCCCAACAGCTCCTGCCATTGGTCAATCAACCTACAGATGGAGGTGGGTGGAGGGGATGATCTAGTGTTGGAGTTCTACAGAAATTGTCCCACGTCCTCTTGCTAGGTAGGTACGTATTGATCATCCAATGCATGCGTGCGTCCACCCATCCAGACGAGATCATCGGAGAAAAGTGATGCACGGTTTTGTTGAAGGTGGTGATGAAAATCGCGTTGCGATGGCTGTTGTGGTGGCTGTCTCAAGCTGGCCCGGCTTGAGTTTGGATGGCGGCAAGTTTCATAGTTCAAAGCCGAAAACAGTGACGGACATGATGTTGTTCGCAACACGTTAACGTGGGCAGCTTTGTACCAGCAGCTCGATTGACAACAGTGCAGAGAGCTCTGGGGACCTGCGGCCCGATGCCAATGAGAACCAGCCGAGCTGCTGTGGGTGCGCATGGGCAATGGCAGTGGACGTACTCTCAGCTAGGAGATCGTGTAGCTGCTTTCTGTGTACCTGTATCCAAGCCCCAATTTACAGCTCCCCATCTTGGGGATTCGGATAACGCCCCATGACGAAGGACCAAGCAGCACGGCAGGTGCTTCATGTCAAGCAATCCAACTCTTGTACAGGTATGGTCACTCTTGGTACTTGGAAGGTGAGACTGGAGCTCCAGCTGCAGCAGTCCGCCCGCCCTCGCACAGACCGCCTGGACCCCTGATAAACGACGCTAAAGGGGCACTTGGTCTCCCAACAGATTGATCTTCTTTTTGGCCTCCATCCAACCCGACGGACCCAGGAAGATTTTCCTTTACCTTCACTCGGAGACGACTCTTTTGTTCCCGTCCCTTTCCCCTCCTTCTCCTGTCTTCCTCCACAAATTCTTTACCTCTAACCTCTCCTCATCCTCACCGTCGCAATCCACGAGACGGGCCCTCCTAATACCTTGCCGCTGTCCTAATAGTCTTGTTGCGCTTGTTGTTTACATCCGAGAGCGAGTAACGTCGCATCTGTCTTATATATATGTCACAAGAGCGACCTGACATTGCTCCGACCATCTCTCTGGAACCATCAAGTCCTCCGTTGTAATCGACATACCAACACACAGCCATGGCCACTCAAACAGGGTCTAATGGCGCGGCCAACGGCAACGTCTCGTACGCCGAGAAGCACAACCTCGCGGACCACTTCATTGGAGGCAACCGCTTGGAAAACGCCCCAGCGAGTAAAGTCAAGGACTTTGTTGCCCAAAATGATGGCCACACAGTCATCACCAACGTGAGTTACCTACCCGCTTGTCCGTGGTGCGGGGAGCGAAAATCTCTAGCGCATGTCTAGAGCGGCATACTGAATCGAGCTTGCAGGTCCTGATTGCAAACAACGGTATCGCAGCCGTCAAAGAAATTCGATCGGTACGAAAATGGGCATACGAGACGTTTGGCGACGAAAGGGCTATTCACTTCACCGTGATGGCGACCCCTGATGATCTCCAAGCCAACGCCGACTATATCCGCATGGCGGACCACTACGTCGAGGTCCCCGGCGGCACCAACAACCACAACTACGCCAACGTCGAGCTGATTGTCGACATTGCGGAGCGCATGGACGTCCACGCAGTGTGGGCAGGATGGGGACACGCTTCGGAAAACCCGAAACTGCCAGAGTCGCTCGCTGCCTCGCCCAAGAAGATTGTCTTCATTGGACCCCCAGGTTCTGCAATGCGCTCCTTGGGTGACAAGATCTCCTCCACAATTGTCGCTCAGCACGCCTCTGTTCCCTGCATCCCGTGGTCTGGCACCGGCGTTGACGAGGTCGAAGTCGACGACAACGACATTGTGACCGTGCCGGACGAGGTCTACGCCAAGGGATGTGTCGAGTCCTGGCAAGAGGGTCTCGAGAAGGCCAGGGAAATCGGCTTTCCAGTCATGATCAAAGCCTCCGAGGGTGGTGGTGGCAAGGGCATCCGCAAAGCTGTAGACGAGGAAGACTTTGAGGCTCTTTACAAGGCTGCTGCAAGCGAAATTCCCGGCTCTCCCATTTTCATCATGAAATTGGCTGGAAATGCCCGCCACTTGGAGGTGCAGCTGCTTGCTGATCAATACGGCCACAACATTTCTCTCTTCGGCCGCGATTGCTCCGTTCAGCGTCGTCACCAAAAGATTATCGAGGAGGCACCTGTCACAATCGCCAAGCCCGACACGTTCAAGCTCATGGAGCAGGCGGCCGTGCGCCTGGGAAAGCTTGTCGGTTACGTATCTGCTGGTACTGTGGAGTATCTGTACTCGCATGCCGACGACAAGTTCTACTTCCTCGAGCTCAACCCTCGTCTGCAAGTCGAGCATCCCACCACTGAGATGGTCAGTGGCGTCAACCTGCCTGCAGCGCAGCTCCAGATTGCCATGGGTCTGCCGCTTCACCGCATTCGCGATATCAGGCTACTCTACGGTGTCGATCCCAAGACCTCGAGTGAGATCGATTTCGAGTTCAGCACTGCCGGCACTTCCCAGACGCAGCGCCGCCCCACCCCCAAGGGCCATACCACAGCCTGCCGTATCACATCAGAAGATCCCGGAGAAGGTTTCAAGCCATCCAACGGTGTGATGCACGAGCTCAACTTCAGGAGTAGTTCCAACGTCTGGGGCTACTTCTCGGTTGGTAACCAGGGAGGTATCCACAGTTACTCCGACTCGCAATTTGGTCACATTTTCGCTTATGGCGAGAACCGTGCGGCATCTCGGAAGCACATGGTTATTGCGCTCAAGGAGTTGAGCATCCGCGGTGACTTCAAGACCACAGTGGAGTACTTGATCAAGCTGCTCGAAACCGAAGATTTTGAGGAGAACACCATCTCCACCGGTTGGCTGGACGAGCTGATCTCCAAGCGTCTGACTGCCGAGCGTCCGGACACGATGCTTGCCGTCGTGTGTGGTGCCATTACCAAGGGTCATATTGCGAGCGAGGAATGCTTTGCAACCTACCGCGCTGGTCTGGAAAAGGGTCAGGTACCTCCTAGCCATATTTTGAAGACGGTGTTCACCATCGACTTCATTTACGATGGATTCCGGTACAAGTTCACTGTCACTCGTTCGAGCGCCGACAGTTACCACTTGTTCATCAACGGCTCCAAGTGCTCCGTCGGCGTCCGCGCTCTCCGCGACGGTGGCTTGCTGATCTTGTTGGACGGCCATTCCCACAACGTGTACTGGAAGGAAGAAGTCGGCGCCACCCGTCTGTCCGTCGACTCCAAGACTTGCCTGCTGGAGCAGGAGAACGACCCTACCCAGCTTCGTACCCCTAGCCCCGGTAAGCTAGTGAAGTATTCAGTGGAGAATGGTGCCCACGTCCGTGCCGGCCAGACTTTCGCGGAAGTTGAGGTCATGAAGATGCACATGCCTCTCATCACGCAGGAGGATGGTGTTGTTCAGCTCATCAAGCAGCCTGGAGCGTCTCTCGAGGCTGGCGACATCCTTGGTATTCTTGCCTTGGATGACCCATCTCGCGTCAAGCAGGCCCAGCCCTTCCTGGGCAAGTTGCCTGCATATGGCGACCCAGTGGTTGTTGGTACAAAGCCCGCACAGCGCTTCTCTGTGCTCTACAACACCATGCTGCATATCCTGCAAGGTTACGACAACTCAGTCATCATGGCCGCTACGCTTAAGGAGCTGGTTGAGGTCATGCGCAACCCCGAGCTGCCCTACAGCGAGTGGAATGCCCAGTTCTCTGCGCTGCATTCTCGCATGCCCCAGAAGCTTGATGCTCAATTCACTCAGGTGGTGGAGCGAGCCAAGTCGAGGCAGTCCGAGTTCCCAGCCAAGACCTTGTCGCGGACTTTCTCCAAGTTCCTGGAGGATCATGTTGCCGCCGCCGATGTTCCTGCCCTCAAGACCACTCTCCAGCCGCTGACCGATGTCATCAATGAGTACGCCGAGGGACCCAAGGTTCGCGAGCTCAACACCATCAAGTCGATCCTTGACGCCTACTGGGAGGTTGAACAGTTGTTCATGAACCAGCCCCAGGAGGAGACTGTCGTTCTCAAGCTCCGCGATCAGCACAAGGACGACATCCCCAAGGTTGTCCAGACTGTTCTTTCGCACAGCCGTGTCAGCTCCAAGAGCTCCCTGATTCTTGCCATTCTTGACGAATACAGGCCTAATAAGCCCAACGTCGGCAACGTGGCCAAGTACCTGCGCGATTCTCTGCGCCACCTTACGGAGCTGCAGCAGTCTAGATCCACGTCCAAGGTCTCCCTCAAGGCCCGTGAGATCATGATCCAATGCTCTCTTCCGTCCCTCGAGGAACGCTCTTCTCAGATGGAACATATTCTGCGATCTTCCGTTGTGGAATCTCGCTACGGCGAGTCAGGCTGGGATCACCGTGAGCCCAGTCTCGACATTATCAAGGAGGTGGTCGATTCCAAGTACACGGTCTTCGATGTCCTCACACTTTTCTTCGCCTACGAGGACCCCTGGGTTGGCTTGGCTGCTCTCGAGGTGTACATTCGCCGTGCCTACCGCGCGTATGTCCTTAAGAAGATCGAGTACCACACCCATGATGCCGACTCGCCTCACTTCCTGTCCTGGGACTTCAACCTGCGCAAGGTGGGCCACTCAGAGTTCGGCCTCCCTCTACAGTCGCCGGCCGCTTCCGCTCCCCAGACCCCGGGCGAGTTGAGCGAGGTTGACGGTGCTCTCGGTAGCCGCATCCGCTCTGTGAGTGACATGTCCTATGTGTCTGCCAGGATGGACGAGGAGCCGAACCGCAGGGGTGTCATTGTCCCCTGCAAGTACATTGACGACGCTGATGAGCTACTCTCGAAAGCTCTCGATGGTCTTCTCCCTCCTGGAGAGCGAAGGAGTGATGACGAATCTGGTCCTACACTCAGGAGCGATCTCAGCCGCCAGCGCAACCCTACCGCGAGCGCACGACCCAGGCGTCAGCACACAGGCGAGTTGTCTGCCGTCATCAACATTGCTGTTCGCGATGCCGAGAGTGACAACGACGACGATCTCCTCGAACGCCTGAACACAATTGTCGAGCAGTTCAAGGAAGACCTGCTCGCGCGTGGCGTGCGCCGCCTGACATTCATCTGCGGTCACCGCGATGGCTCGTATCCTCGCTACTTCACCTTCCGTGGCCCCGAGTACCACGAAGATGCCAGTATCCGTCACAGTGAGCCTGCCACTGCTTTCCAGCTTGAGCTCGCTCGTCTCTCCAAGTTCCACATCAAGCCTGTCTTCACCGAGAACAAGAACATTCACGTGTACGAGGCTCTTGGCAAGAACGTCGATACTGACAAGCGCTACTTCACCCGCGCTGTCATCAGGCCGGGCCGTCTTCGTGATGAGATTCCCACCGCGGACTACCTCATCTCTGAGGCAGACCGTGTCATCAACGACATCTTTGACGCTCTTGAGATCACCGGCAACAACAACTCCGATCTCAACCACATCTTCATGAACTTCACACCCGTCTTCCAGTTGCATCCTCGCGAGGTCGAGCAAAGCCTTCAGGGCTTCCTGGACCGCTTCGGTGTCCGTGCCTGGAGGCTGCGTGTGTCCCAAGTTGAGATCCGCATTATTTGCACCGATCCCAAGACAGGTCTCCCGTACCCCCTCCGTGTCATCATCACCAACACCTCGGGCTTCATTGTCGATGTCGACATGTACGCTGAGCGCAAGTCGGAGAAGGGCGAATGGGTCTTCCACAGCGTCGGTGGCACGAACGAGAAGGGTCCTATGCATCTCATGTCCGTCTCCACACCTTATGCGACCAAGAACTGGCTCCAGCCCAAGCGTTACAAGGCTCACCTCATGGGCACTCAGTACGTCTACGATTTCCCTGAGCTTTTCCGCCAGGCTATCCAGAACTCGTGGGTCGCTGCGGTGAAGAAGCAGCCAGCTCTCTCGGGCCAACAACCGAAGACTGGCGACTGCCTACACTTCACCGAGCTTGTGCTTGACGACACCGACAGCCTCGAGGAGGTCAACCGCGAGCCTGGCACCAACACCTGTGGCATGGTTGGATGGGTCTTCCGTGCGCGCACACCCGAATATCCCCAGGGTCGCCGCTTCATTGTTGTCGCCAACGACATCACCTACAAGATCGGCTCATTCGGCCCCAAGGAGGATAACTTCTTCCACAAGTGCACCGAGCTGGCGCGCAAGCTGGGCATCCCCCGCATTTATCTCTCGGCCAACTCTGGCGCTCGCCTTGGCCTTGCTGAGGAGCTGATGCCCCATTTCCGCGTTGCCTGGAACGATGTGAACAAGCCCGATGCTGGCTTCAGGTACCTGTACCTCGATGACGAGACCCTGGAGCGCTTCAAGGACTCTGTCCAAGTCGAGACCATCTCGGAGGGCGGCCAGAAGAGGCACGTGATCACGACCGTGGTTGGCAAGGAGGACGGCCTTGGTGTCGAGTGCCTCCGCGGCTCGGGACTGATTGCTGGTGCTACAAGCCGCGCCTACAACGACATTTTCACAGTGACGTTGGTGACGTGCCGTTCCGTCGGTATTGGCGCTTACCTTGTCCGTCTTGGCCAGCGTGTCGTCCAAATCGAGGGTCAGCCCATTATCCTGACTGGTGCGCCGGCACTGAACAACCTTCTTGGTCGGGAGGTGTACACTTCCAACTTGCAGCTTGGTGGCACCCAGATCATGTACCGTAATGGTGTGTCGCACATGACTGCCAACGACGACTTTGCCGGTGTCTCGCGCATTGTCGAATGGCTGTCCTTTGTGCCTGAGAAGCGCAATAGTCCTGTTGCACTCAGCCCCATGATCGACACCTGGGACCGTGACGTTGAATACTTCCCTCCGGCCGAGAAGCAGCCATACGACGTGCGCTGGATGATTGGTGGCAAGACAGAGGACGATGGCACCTTCTTGGGCGGCCTGTTCGACAAGGACTCCTTCGTGGAGACACTTGGCGGCTGGGCCCAGACGGTTGTCGTTGGTCGCGCTCGTCTTGGCGGCATCCCCATGGGTGTGATTGCCGTCGAGACCCGGTCTGTCGAAAATGTCACGCCCGCCGACCCTGCCAACCCCGACTCCATAGAGCAAGTTGGCAACGAGGCTGGTGGTGTCTGGTACCCCAACTCTGCCTTCAAGACCGCCCAGGCCATCAATGACTTTAACTATGGTGAGCAGCTGCCGCTGATGATCATGGCCAACTGGCGTGGTTTCTCGGGTGGCCAGCGCGACATGTTCAACGAGGTGCTCAAGTACGGTTCGTTCATCGTTGACGCCCTCACCAAGTTTGAGCAGCCCATCTTCATCTACATTCCTCCCTTTGGCGAGCTGCGTGGTGGATCCTGGGTCGTTGTCGACCCCACCATTGCCCCCGACACGATGGAGATGTACGCCGACAAGGAAGCCCGCGGTGGTGTGCTCGAGCCAGAGGGTATCATCGGCATCAAGTACCGCAAGGACAAGCAGTTGGCCACCATGACCCGCTTGGACGCTACCTACGCCGATCTCAAGAAGCAGCTTGATGACAAGAGCCTGTCCAAGGAAGCCTTGGACGAGGTGAAGGCCAAGATGACTGCCCGCGAGAAGCAGCTCTTGCCCGTGTACTCTCAGATTGCCGCTCAATATGCCGACCTGCATGACCGCTCTGGTCGCATGAAGGCCAAGGGTGTCATTCGCGACGAGCTTTCGTGGACTGAGGCGCGCCGTTTCTTCTACTGGCGCCTCCGCCGCAGACTCAATGAGGAGTACATCCTCAAGCGTATGGCTTCGTCTGCCCTGGCCTCGACGCACCCAAGCACGGCCAAGATCAGCGAGGCCCGTGCGCACAACCAGCACCTGCTCAAGAGCTGGTCTGGCATCGTGGACTGGGACAAGAATGACCGTGAGGTGACGGAGTGGTACGAGGAGGAGAGGAAGAGCATTGGCGAGAAGGTTGACGCGCTCAAGTCGGACAAGCTCTCGGGCGAGGTCGCCGGCCTTGTGCGCAACAACATGAAGTCTGGTTTCAAGGGTGTTCGCGAAGTCCTACGCATGATGCCTGTTGAGGAAAGGGAGCAGCTGCTCAAGTACCTGAAGGAATAAGGGATGGATGGCATGATGAGTGATTCGAAAGGCGTTTCTATCTGGCATTGCGCTTGGTGCCTTTTGGTGGTTGGTTGATTGTAGTATATTACTGGCGTTAGGCTGAAATGAGTATTGTTATAGATTCGTCCAAGTTCTCTATCCAATGGCCTCATATTATTGTCATGTGCAACATCTGAATCCGTGGGTATAGTGCTCTAATCCGTCCATGTAGCATTTCCCTTGCTTTCCAAGCTTTTTATACACGTATTGTACACATCGCCATACTCATCGTCGTGAGTACAGCTTTCTAATAACATCGAAGAGCAGTGATACATGCCATGCCTGCGTACTCTGTCCAAGGCAGCCAAATGCACGCTTCACAGTCCGACTCTTCGTCAACGAACCCTTCAGGAATGAGGACTCAAGCGTCTTCGGGAACGCTCGTTCGGATCTGGACGCCGTGCCACTCCTTGACCCGATCGCCCAAGGCTTTGGTGACCAGACGCTGCTGCGCCAACAGGCCCTTTCCCTTGAACTGTGCGCTCGCGACGTCAATGGCGTACATGCTGCCACATCCGCCTGAGACATCCTTCACAAGCACGGAGGATATCGGCCTGAGGGCGTCGTGGCTACTGAGGGAGCTCGCGATCTCGGATTCGGTGGGGGACATGGAGGACTCGGCGTCCGAGGAGTAGAATCTTCGCATGGCGCGCGGCTGGTAGGATGGGCGGGCGAGTGCCGAGGGTGCCAGTGGCCGCAGAAGGGTTGGTCTGAGTAGGCGCGACATTGCGGTGGCTATGTCGTGGTGAGATGTGAAACGTTGATGGGCTGGCAGAACTTTGAATTTCGGGATTCAAGCAGCGCGTGCGGCTGAATAATTACAGTTGCGCTTCGGTGCTACGGTGATTGGCTGATTACTGAGCCGACATCGGCTCTGCCTGCTTGATATCTCAGCCAGTGCGCACGATGATCTCAAGTACGATCACACCAGACATCATGTCCATTTAGCTTGAGCGCTTGATGAGGAACAGAATGCAAGCACGCCGTAGCACGATCCACCGGCCAACTGAGGGTTTAGGGGAGAATTGTGTTCGACTTGGGCGCAACTGAGCTCTGTCCACATGTTGCGACCGCACGTCTACCGAGGCATTGTCGAAAAGTTCGAGTTATAACATGTGGATGGAATCACATTCAATTCTGATTGCAGTGGCTCATTTGATGCGTACATGCACAGCTACCTTTGGGATGCTAGCCGCTCGACCTGATCTCACTTGAACGACTGTTCAGACTTGAGAACTTCAGACTTCCTTCAGGAGAGGAGCATAACCAAGTCGAATGCCACCCAGGCGTTTTGATTCAACCCTGCACCACAGCTGATCAGCCAAAGGCAGCCTGATCGACTGATGAGGTGTGTACATGTACAGATGAATATCCACGCTCTTCACTATATGTACTTAGCGGAAGCTCCCAGTGGCTTCCATTTCCCGACGGTCAACTGCCACGCCAAGGGCCAGGAAGAATCACACAAGGGGAGCATAAAACCCAAAGCGGTTGCTGGGATCCCATTTCTTCTTCAGCGTTGTGAGCTTCTCCATCCTGCAAGCCTCGTGACCATACGTCTCCTTGACTGGTTCACCGCCCGAGGCATAGTTGACATACGTGTGAGGCTGGAAGTCCTTTGGACGGATGGCTTCTTGAATCTGCTTGCCGACTTTGAGAGCCGTCTCTGCATCCTTCTCGCTGTTGCCTTTCCACCAGAGCATGGGGGATGTCAACAGGTGGCGACGACGCTCCTCTGGCGCCACGGCGGTTGTCCCCTCTGGTATAGACTGCGGTCCTGCACGTCCGTACGATTCCAGGAGCCAAGCAGACGTTGTGAAGGGTTCCCTAGACGTCAACTCGGAGAAGATGTTGAATCCTCGCCTGATCGTTGCGCCGTCCCATTGCGGGAACGAGTTGGGGTAGCCCAGAAGGTTTTCGTTTTTGCGACAGACTGGACTTGACAGCCCTAAGCCGCCGACGTCGTAGATGTCGCCGTATGGGACGTTGATTGTGTTTGATTCAGCAAGAGGCGACAGCTCACGGAAGGCTGCAACGTAGGCGTCGACGGACGTTGGTGCATCGTCGTGGAAGATCTGAAGATTGATGACAGGCTGACAATGTTAGACACCCCAAATCACTGCACGGTCCTCGGGTGCAGGCGAGACTTACATGTTCCCTATCAATTGACGGATCACGGGCTATTACGCCATTGAGAACAAGCATGCCCGGATCCTCATGCTCGACTTCGAGCTGATTCCACGTGTCAAAGAACTCCTCCAGCCTGTCCTGACTGAAGGTGAAAGTCACCATCGTCCATCCCCCCTCGGCCACATTGGTCGTCTTAACCTCGAAGCTCGTGACAATACCAAAGTTGTGGCCTGCCCCTCGCAAGGCCCAGAAGAGATCGGCGTTCTCAGACTCGGACGCCGTCACTACGGAGCCATCTGCGAGCACAACTCGGGCGGAGAGAATGTTATCGGCTGCGAAACCGTATTTGGCTTGCAGCAGACTGTGACCACCACCAAGCAGAGGCCCTACAGCCGATACGCACTCGCAAAGGCCAACGACTACGCCGTGTCAAACCAGAGAATGTCAAAAGCAACAGAGGGCATACAGTACCGGCTTGCTTCCCGTGTTCTGCCAAAGCTGCAACGATTTCATGCTGCATGATGCCGCCACCGACTGTTGCGCTTTCGCCGTCCTCATGAAGAGTTGACGAGTTTAGCTTGCGCATGTTGATCTGAATCCCATGCTTGAGCTTTTCCATGGCCGTCGTCCAACTGTGAGTGCCAGTGACGGCCAGGAAAGGTAAATTGAGCTTGTTGGCAACCTTGATCTGGAGGAGATCAGGTTAGTCTCGCCTAGGCTGGCAGGGAGCGCTGCATACCGTCTGCTGAACGTCTTCCTCTGTAGCAACTTCAACAACGGCGAGAAAGCCGGGAGCCACGCGAGGCGTCGAAGCCCTCTCGACCAGTCCGTCCCAGTCCGGAGAGGAAGGAAAGGTGATTACCGCATCTTCAGACAGAAGAGGTGCGAGTTGACTTTGCACATTGACCTCGTGGCTACCTCGTGGGAAGTAAGACGCGGCCTGAGCACCAGCCGTGAGGCAGTGCAATAATGTTGCTGCGATTTTCATGGGTGCTTCTGGTCCTGCGACGTGATGTGTGGTCGAAGGATGGATAGGGGAAGGGGACATGTAGAGTTGCGGCCCTGACCAGATATGGTCTTTCCATATTTATAATAAATCCTCGTACGCAGTTCGGTGTCCCAACTGAGAGCCGGTACCGACGGTTGGCCCTCTGGCCTGCAAGATTTGAGCTTGTGCTGCATCGTGCTGGCTGCAGGATCTGCATTGGTGTATCTGAACTTTCCTGGGGGCATTGCTCCGTCGTTGTGGAGGGGGTTGGACGCGAAGCGAGCAGAATGTTCCGATTGATGCACTTATATCTCGTACAAGTCACGGCAGGTGTCCCAAGCAAGGGCTCAGGTGGCGGTAGTGGACCGTGGTCACGGACTCGTAGTCTCGATAGCGGACATGACTTCCATGACGCTGGTTGTACTGGGTAGTGTAAGAATCCGTACTCATGCGTCGTCACAGACGCAAACATCGGCCATGGGCTGGCGGCTGATTACTTGCATGTTCCGCCCCAGGATGGGAGGGGATAATGACCTATCGTATGCGCATACTGCGCCTAGGTTCCTGTGATTCAGCAAGGGCTCGAGCAATCACCAACACATTGTCGAACTTGCCTTGCGTATTAACTGAGTCTTGTGACTCGGAGTGCCTGTAGGTAGCTACAGTCAGCATCTAAAAGAAAACCCAGTGCATGTATCCGTATATATCGAGTGGTTGTCGTGGGTGTTAGCTCTTGCTTGAAGCAAACAAAGCAATTGATTGGAGTTCTCCCTAGATCTTGTCTAAGACCCAACGCATCTCTGTACATTGCAAATGATGATGTGAGGTACGGATACAGAGAGGGGATGGCCTGGGAGCATCCTTGCATTTATTTGGGGCATTTGACGCTGGGGAACAGATCCTTGATCCTTGACCGGCGACGGCTCCCTGTCCCTGCTCGACATTTGAGCTAGCATGCTGAAAGGTAGATTCACTCAAACTCACCTGCGGTCAACTTGCTCCAAACGATATTGAAGCTCCGCGCAGAAATGTAGAAGACGATACGCGTTGTTCAGAGATCAAGAAATAAGCCATCAAGCCTGACATCTGTACACAACACCCACGATCCCAGCACGTCTTTCCAGATACATCACATTCATTCCATCCAAGTCCCATCCCTCCGGGAAAAATGAATTTGGTCCTCGCGATGACCTTGGGTCGCCATGGGTGCCGTGGGTCCTTACAATAAGTCACTGTTGGTGACACATGCAAGATCTTGCATATGGCCGTGTCAGGTACGTACACAGTGGACAATTTCCTCTCCAGAGCACGACCCAGGTTTTAAGCAACCGATGAGATCGCCGAGAGCCTCCTGGATGCTGAACTCAGGTCGGGGACAGGCAACGAGGGACCAGTTGGCAGTCACTCGATTAGTTTGCCCAACATTGGACTTCGATAATTTCTCTCGCGTCAAACAACGGGCAAAATCCTTCATGCAAAGCTATTAGTGTCATGCGATCGAGGCGATAGTGTATGGTCGTTTCCGCACATGCACATGTCAGACTGTACAATCGCCTTGCTCCGCTACAGGAACCGCTTGTCGCATTCACTATGGAGCTGTCATACTTCGCACTCGAGGTCTGGATCAAATATGGGATTGCGGTTCCGACCATGCTCGCACGTTTTGCGTTGCGACTGCACACACCAGGCTGGCGCGGTTTGGACGGCACGGACATCTGGTGTGCTCTCTCAACGGTCAGTCTTGCCTTCTTCTTGGCTGAGCCATCATCTAACCAACGACCAGATACTCTATACTATCGTGACGACATGCGACTACTTAATGAGCACACGTGCGTTCCCCCTACGCTCAAGAGGAGCTATCGCTGACGATCAGAAAGCCGACTTCCCCACAATCATCCCCCTGAACGCGGAGACAGCTCTTGAGGTGCCCAAGAGCGAGTACGCTGCCTTGAAAAGGGGGTCCACGCTCGCTCACTTCTCGTGGACAATGTACCTGTGTATGATCTTTGCGTTTAAGGGGGTGATGCTATCGTTACTTCGACGCGTCACGTAAGTCAGCACTAGCCACCGACTCGGACGAGACACTCGATGGGCACAGGAAAGACGTCGACAGCCAGCAGAGGATTGTGTTCTGGATAATCGTTGGCACGGTTATTGCTTGCATTACTTCGGTGCTGGTCCATCTGCTCGCGTGCGTGCCTGTCCACAGAGTGTGGCAGGTCGCCCCCTTTCCGGGACGTATGCGTGCTCCTGTAACTTCCATTCAGTCATCGAGGTAGCTAACCGACTATAGCGGGCTGCACCACGCGGCCTCTCAATTACTATATCGGAGGCACTCTCAATATGCTGTGAGTCGGTTCCTTTGATGCAGCTGAGAAATGCAGGCTGATGAGTGTGCCAGGACCGACGCTGCTATTATTGCTGTCCCGATGCCAATGCTGTGGAATCCCCGTATCACGCTTCGAAGAAAACTTGCGCTCGGATGCCTCTTCAGCTCTGGTCTTTTGGTCATTGTGTGCACCATTTTGCGAACGTACTACGTCTTTGGCGACGCGGCGAACCAGCACTTGGCACAGCTCTGGGCCAGCCGTGAAGGGTTCATCTCCATGATCGTCGTCTCAGCGCCTGGACTCTGGCCCTTTGTCCACAAGGTCGGTATCTTTGGCTCCACATACAAGAATACGCACGATGGTTCGGGAAGCGCAAGAGTGGGAGGGTCATCAAATCCCTGGGGGCAGCCTCGCGCTCGCCGTGGGCACCGCAACAGTGGTTTTGCCGAGTATGATGATGATGATGACGTTTATGCAATGGCTTCCCAATCGAATGATAATGGCTCAGGGTTGCAAGGGAATGGAAGCGAGGAACACATTGTTGATGCGTCTGATGGGACTGTAAAGGTCAAGGCCGGGGCTCGCAAGCTGCCAATATCGGTGACGAGGGAGTACCGGGTCGAAATAGACGAGAGGCCGCCAGATGAAGGGACTGTAAGGGAAAGAATCTGTCCACAGAGTATTGTTCATAGTTAATGCACTCGGGGCTGGATGCTTCTCTCGTCTGCCAGAAGGTAAAACCTGATCATTAGTGCAATCACCTGGCCCCCAACACATGCAGCCTCAATTCTTCCCCGAACTCCTTCAGGTGAAGGGACTTTTTGATAAGGGACGGCAAGCCTGTGACCTGACAGTGGCGTCAGAAGAAGTGGAAATATGAGAACATGAGCATTCAATGTTCAAGTTGGCAACACAGAAAGCGGCATTGGGAAAGACCACGACCCGCCTGAAAGTCACTGGACGTCACGTGCGCCCCCCACACTAAACATTCAATTCTCACTCACGAATCACGATTCGGGCACTTATAGCGACGTCCCTTTTCACAAGAATTTGCTGAGCACCGACAGCCCGCAATCACGATGGTGTACTACTACAGCTCCAGCGTAGTTGAGCCGTCTGGCTTCATTTACGTCGGCAAAGACAAGTACGAAAGTACGGTATCTTGAGCACCTTGATGGGGTCCACGATGCTTACGCCAGACAGATGAGGACCTCATCAAGTACGGCTGGGAAGAGGACGTCTGGTGAGTAGACCCATTTCATTTATTCCTCAAATAGAAGTGGAATGCTGATATCTGTGGCAGGGTAAGCCAGAGCCCGAAGTGATTTTACAGAATGACCTCGGTGCTTATGTGTCGCCTGTCTAGTTTCACGTCGACAAACTCTCAAGCGCCCATATCTACCTCCGCATGAAGGAAGGCGAGACATGGGACAACCTCCCACAGGATCTGCTTGTTGATCTCGCCCAGCTCACCAAGGCGAATTCCATAGAAGGTAAGTCGCTCCGCTTGTGCGTATGTGTGTGACGCGTCGCGTTCTGGACTGACATCGACCCTGCTAGGCAACAAGAAGGACAACATCACCATCATCTACACACCATGGTCCAACCTCAAGAAGGATGGCTCCATGGATGTGGGGCAGGTAAGCTTCAAGGACCAGCGCAAGGTCAAGCGTATCCTCGTCCCGCAGCGGGAGAACCACATCGTCAACCGCCTCAACAAGACCAAGGTGGAGAAGAAGCCCGATCTTCTGCAGGAGCGGGAGGACCGTCTCAAGGAGATTCGCAGGCGCGATCAGGCCGCATACCAGGCACGCGTAAGCCATCCCTCGCCTGCACAGCGTCATTCACGTGCTTTGCGTCTACAGAGAGATACTGAAACGAAATTCAGAAGAAAGATGAGGCCAAGCAGGCAAAGGAGTGGCAGGAGAAGAAATACCAAAAGGATCATGCGTACGATGAACTGTTCACAGAGGAGAATATGGAGGCGACGAGTAACCAGAACAGAACCGAGGACTGGGAGGATGATTTTATGTGAGAACGTTCGCGAGTGCGTGCATCGCATGAGATATTCACATGTCGTTGTAGAAGGTTTATATGTCTAACAAATAAAGGGTATACAAAAAGCCGCACGTGTAATATCAAACACCAACGCCGATACCTCTGTCCATTCCTAAGTCGTGGAAACTCCGGTTGAGGGCCGCAAACCTGCTCGGAGGACTCTGTGATCGAGTGGCACCATCGCTGCCGATCCTGAGGTTCTGAAAACTGGCACTCACGCTGGGTCCCCCGCCGTGACTAGCCGAGCTGATACCCTTGGAGCTGCCGCCCAGCCCACTGCTGCCTGAGACGGAAGTCGGCGTCGAGCTGGTCTGGCTCTGGGGCGCGGACATTGTCTGCGGCGACGCTGCGGCGGGGGAGGACGCTGCGGCACTGGTAGGTTCCACGAGGGGCAGCCCGCCAGGAAGCCTGATGTCGGTAGCCTCCAATGTGTCGGCAATGTCTTTGATCAAAACGTCCATCGGGCAGATGTATGCCACGCGATTGCGCTGGCTCCAGGCTAACACATGTCCACACAACTGTCCATTGCTGCGGTCCACAATCCAGGCACCACTGTCACCAGGTATGCCGATCGGCGCGCAGCTGCTGGAGGCGTCCACATTGGGCACACGCATGCTGGACACCTGGTACGTCTGGCTGAGCGAGGCGCGTCCGTAGATTTTGACGCTCGTCATGGCCGGGAGGATATGCCCATTCTGCAGGCCACTGGTGCGCGCTGTGCACTGCACGTCGCGTCTCGCGAGGCTTGCGGATGACGCCACAGTCATCGGACGTAGCTGTGATTGAGTGCCTTTGCTCACGATGCAGTTATCATCGGGGAGTCTATCGGAGGAGAACTCGAACAAGGCCCAGTCAACTTCATGAACGAGTCCTCCAGAAGTCTTTCGACGAATGCCACTGGATGCATAGACTTCACCGAGGCTATATGAATCCAAGTGGTCCTCGTCTTCCGTCTCGGGCGACGGGTAGAAGCCTTCTTCCACGTCGTCCAGGGCAGGCTGCGTCACAACGTAGCCATCGCCACACCCAGGCTCGATGCCCGGGATGTCTCCAGGTTCGAACTCGTCCTCCTCCTCTTCTTCTTCCTCGTCCCAATCACTGGTGATATCGGAGTCGGAGTAGAGCTCTGATTCAGTGTCCGAAATGTCAAAACCCATATCATCGTCACCAGCCAGACTGGCCGATGCTGCCGAGTCCACGTCCGCGGAAGTTCGAAGTGCGAACGCCCATTCGCGACCCGGGAGCGCGCTGCTTCGAGCCGTCTCGACGCGGCCAAAGTCGCGATCGGGATCGTCGAGCATATGGTGCACTGTCATGCCATAGATCTTGTCATCGATGGAGAGAAGGCCGCCGAAGCTCACGGGGGGCAGGTGCCTGTCGCCAATCCAAGCGCCGATGCTCGCTCCGTTCTTGGGGCGTTCCTGGTATTCTGGGTTGATGGCGTCGGCTTCTGCGTGAGCACCGCAGCTTCGGCCAGCCATCGACCTCCTGATGTCTTCATGCCACTTCCGTGATCGGACCATTTCGCCTTTGCACACCTTCAGACCAAAGCCAGTAGACTCGCCAAACAGTTCCCCCACGCGTTTCTTGAGGATAGCGCGGACCTTGCCGACGCTCGTGCACACCACAATTACGGTGGGCTTGGTATTGGCGGGAGAAGGACCAACGGGGAAGATGGAAATCTCCAAAGACTCGGGATACTTGCGGCAAAATTGACGGAGAGCATGGTTGACCTGGGGCATCAAGATGTTGTTCCACTTCTCGACGACTTCGGGCGAGAGCGGAATGTTGGGGTACACCTTGCTCTTCTCCGCCTCAAACGCGTCATCCATCGAGAGTCCGGGCAGCCCGATTGCCTGGCCCTTTTCCGAAGTTGAACTGACTACCGTGGCCGCCTTGACGTCTCGATGTGCGTCGGTTGATGTACCAGTCGCCGTTGCAGCTGCTGAAGGTGTTTCCGTCTTTGCTATAGCGCTGACGGCGGGCGCTGGGTCGTGCAGGTCGTCGTGCGGACGTCCCTCGAGGCCATTGACGCCGTCGAGAATGCAGCATGTTTCCAGGAATCGGCTCACCCGAGACTGCACAGCTTCCAACAAGGCCTCGCCCGTGCACGAGCCAGACCTCTCATTGTCAATAGCCGACCAGCAGGCGTGGACAGCTTTCATGTATAGGGTCCCGCACTTCTGCGCCAACCGCTGCAGCAGAGCATCTGACACAGTATCGGCCATGAGGTCGTCAGCGAGGTCCTGCAAGGGGCACCAAAGACCAATGGAAAGCAGCATCACGCCGAGCGAGTAAAGTTCTAGCACTCGCCGGTCCGTATCCTTGGGCAAGGCGGAGCTGGAGCCGTTCTGGGGGTCCAAGGGGTGGCGCCACAAGCTGCGCTCTGTGGTGGTCGGCTCCTCCGTAAAAACGTCAAAGGAGGACAATAGGGGTCGGCGTACATCAGCATCGGCGCACGCGAGAGCTGACCCGGCGCTTGCAGCGTCGCAGAAAGACACGTTGCCCGCCTCCAACCTGCCGTGAGGGATGTTACGGCCGTGCATATCAAAGACCGTGTTTGCCAGATTATGAGCAAGGCGGAATTTGGCCTCCAGCCGTGGTTCTGAAGCAGGTTGAGACAGTATGTCCTCGAGGGTTGGCAACGTCCACTCCGTCTCACCAGTAGTGGCATTGCGGGACACGGAGTTGAAGGTCTTTGGGAAACGATAGACGAGGCCGAATCTTGAGTGTTCCATGTCCTCGAAATACCCGAGTAGACGTGGCAGGCCGGTCCACACACCCGGGGCTCGCAGGGAGTCTTGCTGGAGCCCAGCCGAGAGCTTTTCGAACCGAGACATTGGGGGCATGATTCCTGTCACCGTGTAAATCGGGTCGAAGGACGCGTATTCCAGTAGCAGAGCTGACCATGGCTCGTGGCTGCCGGTTTCCTGGGATAGCTTCGAGTATGTCGATTTGCTCATGTAGACTACCGCACGGGAAGGCGTTTCGACAGTAGGGCCTCGGCAAGGCAAAGGTATCAATGATGCCGGATCCACCAGTTGAGGCGTCTGTACTCTTGTCGACTCGTAGCCTCTAGGTTCGTCCGACAAGGCAGTTTTGAAAGGGGACTTGGATGACCTGCGTTGCCCTGCGGCCATGGAGCGCGTGCGGGAGAGATCATAGAGCGTGTCGATGGAAGCTGTGAGATCGTTGATGAGGTCCTGGAACCTTGTCTTGTCCCATTGCACCAGGGGCTTCTTTTGGTCAGCAGAGGGTCGCGTTCCCTGGGCGAGGTGTTTTGAGCTCAACCAGAGGGGTTCCGCCTCGGCGAGGGTATCCTTGATGGTCGACATGATGCTACCAACAACCTCGCCCAGCCCAGCCTTGGAGAGCGACTCATCAATCTCGGCGGTCTGGTTGGGGTCCGACCAGTCCATGCCCCATGAGACGAGCCGGTCCTTTTGGATGCGCAACTTGCGATGCAGCGCCTTCACTTCCGGGTCCTCCTCGCTTCTGGGTGGCTCCTGGACGAAGTCTGTTGACTTCTTGGTGTCATTGTAAAGTCGACTAAGGCGCTTCTGAAACGGCAGCTGGAAGCCGCTCAACGGGGCGAAGGATGCCATGATGGCAGTCGGTTAACAGATGTCGCGCGCGATTGATATTAGACGAGCAGCGAAAGGGCTGGCGATGTCTACTTGATGCTGCGCACCTCGATCCCTTGGTTGGCCAGTTGCAGATCAGCGTCGCACAGCAGCGACGCTTTCATAGCCTGGCTAGGTGCTGGCAAACACCCTCACTGTTGCTGGCCGTGTCGATGAACAGATGAATGAGGGTACGTCCCTCAAACCTGCGTAGGGATGTCTCAGCTGGCTGCGTAGGCCGTGATACGGATTCTTGTTGCGTGCCTCCACGCTGAGAGACGGAACAGGTCAGGTCATTGACTGGAGGAGACAAGATGGTAGAATTACAGAAGAGTACACGCAGAAGATAATGAAGATGAGTTATCTCGGTGCCTGAAGGCCGCAGTGATATGGAAACGGCGTGATCGCGGCTGTACTCACTGCCTGCCTGCCTGCCTGACCCAATTGCCGACGTCGCTTCCATTCTCCCCTTCTGAAATGCTGCTGCCTGGCGGAGCTGATCGCCAGACGGCGCAGATGATGCATCAGGCAGTTGATTGGTCAGCAAGGGTCCTTTGCGGGGCATTGAGTTCGCCCCTCTTTTTGGACTGCGGGCTGAGACGAAGGTTGCAACGTCACGTGACCTGCGGGCCGCCCGCCCACTGTTGCTGTTTGGCTACCCTGCACTAAAGTTTAATAGACTCAAGTTGTACAGTGAGCCCAGCGGAGTTCTAACTTCATGTTGAGACATTGTTCAAAGTGCTGGCATGTGGGGCTTTCATTTGATTTGATTCGCTTTATCTAGTCAATTAAGTAGTGAATGAGATGGAGTTAAGTTGAAAGTGAATTCACTCGTGCTTCCAGCGATAAGTTCTCCATAGTCGAAAGAAATGTGAAGATTATACCCAAAGCGTCGAACAGAAACAAGGAATCAAGAAGCCATTCACGACTTAGATGTAGACAGCATACTTAACAGCGCCGAGAGAATGCACAAGGAAATATGTTCCAACGACGGCCACGAATTCAGTAAGAACACTGAAACCTCAACTAGTCTATTTTCGCAATGAACGACGTGGAATCTCAAGCGAGTTGATATTATAACGAATCTGACGCTCCAGGGAATTCGGGGCGTTTTCATAGATAACAGCCTACCCTAAGCTAAGTACATTTTCGTGGCGGGCCTCTCATGTCTCTCATATTGCCTAGCGTGATTGCTCACAATCTTCGATTTTGTTGGTCAATAATCTCGATTCTTCTATCATGTTGACAGCCCGCAAAGCGTAGTTCATTCAGTCTACTGAAATACCTTCAAATGAGCGTCAATCCATCATCGACTGAGAGCGCTGAGCTGAACTCCAATAGGTACTTTCCAGCGAGCATGAAAATCGCCCCACGCTCTGTGTTCAGACGTCAGCTGTGGTATTCTGGTAGACTATTGTTATCACAGATTACGGATACACGTTCTACTCTATTACAGTCAATTGAAAGCCTTATACGGCGTTCTTGAGTGCTACCAGGGGGCTGATTTTGCGCCCGAACCCCTGGACAGACTAGAATTCCCAAATCCTTGCCTGTCAAACGGGCGAAAACACACGCTGCCAGTGCCAGCTGCCCATGAGCTCTGGCCCGCCAGCCTGCCCGCCAGCCTGCCCGCCCGACGGTGCCTGCCGGCCTACTCGCCTACTCTACGGATAGTCCAGTCTCCAGTCGCCCTAACTTACCTAGTGCTGTCCCCCATGCCGACTTCCTCCACATGACCTCCCGCGCATCCATCTCGTTGGCTTGTTGAGCTTGCATTCCGCACTCACAAATCGCGACAAACAACGTGGCACGGTGGACGACAGGTGACAGTTTCTCACACTTGATTCAACGACACAAGGTTCGACATCGCAACCGACTGGAGTGTCTCACATGGTCGCATGAGACGTCGGTCGCTGCCGCGGATTGAGCGGGGAAGGTGGACTTGGGAAAGCTAACGACGACGGGCCACAAAACCAACGACAGGCAACAAACGACGCCTTGACTCGACGTGCGTGCTGCTGCAGGAACTGCGACTCTGCGCCGCCGGTCGCGGCGGTTGCGCTGCCCATCATGGCGCCTCGCAACCAAAGTGACGATGAAGTTACGAGGTGAGTACCGAACACTCTTTTCTTCAAGCGCAGTCAACACTTTTGCCTGCACCGTCCCACAGCCTACAGGACTGGATTGGCGCATCGATCGTCGGGCGGCCCGCGGTGGATTGTCCCAGGCTATGCAAGCTGAAGCTCCATGTGCGCGGAATGTAGCCTTGAAGGACAACCACGCGAGGCGGCGATGGTGTCTCACCTGTCACACACTGGCGGTTATCTCATGTTGATTGGAATGCACTGCATACTCACATGTCATCGGCAGCATCATCCACGACTGTCATGCGTCTGCTACGCATGCTCACTCGACACATGAGGCGACCGAGTCGATGCCACCACCGCGCAAGGTCAACTTCAACGCCAACATTGAAGCAAAGTAAGCCGCAACGCCAGTGCCCCCCACTCACTTGCACGGATCAAACTAACCCTTTGACCTCTAGGATCCGCAATCCCCTTGTGGGAATCCCAAGGAGACGGCTTCTTGCTGACATTGACGACTTCTGCCGGGCCAAGGGGCTAGAGAAGCACAGGGGCATTATCCGAAAGGGCGCGCTTGTCGCGCAGGACCCATATGGGTGTGAGGACATTACGGGACCCGATGCGCTGTCGCAAGATGAAGTCTCAGCCCTCCATCACGAGATCATCCACAAGTGGAGGATACCTCTCGCCTTGTTGAGGACGATCCTCGTCTGTTCAATTGGCGCGGCTGTCCAGGGCTGGGATCAGACTGGTTCTAATGGTGCAACGCTCGAATTTCCAAAGGCGCTGGGTATTGGAGGGAGCTCCATGCACGACAAACTTATCGTGGGCCTGATCAACGCTGGGCCGTACATTGGGACGGCCGTGGTGGGCTGCTGGATGTCCGACCCTATCAACAATCTCCTTGGCCGCCGCGGTACTGTCTTCGTGGCGTCGCAATTCTGTCTCTGGCCGGTTGTTGCCAGTGCCTTTTGCAGTGACTGGCAGTCCTTGCTCGGCTGCCGTCTGCTCCTAGGGGTCGGTATGGGCGCCAAGGCTGCGACTGTGCCCATATACGCTGCCGAGGTCACCCCTGCCCCTATCCGTGGCGCCCTGGTCATGAGCTGGCAGCTCTGGGTGTCCTTTGGCATATTTCTTGGAACGTTGGCCAACCTCGTGTGTGCGAAAGCTTTTGTCGAGCCATGGAGATATCAGCTTGGATGCGCCTTTCTCCCCGCCGTGCCCTTGGCCTTGCTCATCTACTCGTGCCCCGAGTCGCCTCGTTGGTATATCAAAAAGAACCGCTACGTCGATGCGATGAACTCATTGTTACGGCTGCGGAACCATCCAGTGCAAGCAGGGCGTGATCTGTATTACATTCACGTTCAACTGCAGGTCGAGCGCGAATACGTTGGCCACGGAAACTACCTCAAGCGGATCGTGGAGCTCTTCACCGTCCCTCGAATACGAAGGGCGACATTGGCGTCGTGGGTTGTGATGATTGCACAGCAAATGTGTGGCATCAACATCATCGCATTCTACTCGACTAGCGTCTTTGCGCAAGCTGGCTCGACCAATTCCCAGGCATACCTGTCAACAATGGGCTTCGGACTGATCAACTTTGTTTTTGCTTTTCCAGCGATTTGGACAATCGACACGTTTGGTCGACGATCTTTGCTGCTGTTTACATTCCCGCAAATGGCGTGGACGTTGCTAGCGGCAGGTCTTTGCACGCTCATCCCGCCATCTACGGGCTTACATACAGTCTTTGTGGCGGTTTTCGTATATCTCTTTGCCGCCTTTTACTCGCCTGGCGAGGGACCAGTGCCGTATCCCTACTCGGCAGAGGTCTTCCCATTGTCACACCGTGAAGTCGGCATGGCCTGGGCCGTTGCGACGTGTCTTTTCTGGGCTGCTATCTTGTCCATCACATTTCCACTCATGCTGGACCGGCTTGGCGTACTGAACTCGTTCGTCTTATACGGCTGCTTTAATCTCATCGCGCTGGTCATGATCTTCCTCTGGCTTCCCGAGACGAAACAACGCACACTCGAGGAACTCGATTATATTTTCGCCGTGCCTACACGCGTATTCATGCGGTATCAGGTCACGAAGACCCTGCCCTGGTGGTTCAAGAGATGGGTCCTCTTTCGGAAGAATGCGCCCCTCGAGCCCTTATACCACCTCGACTTTGAATATCACAGGGAAGAGGACGATGAAGAGGAAGGTGGCAGCGGGTCGGGCACGTACGAGACAGACAAGTCGAGGGTCGAGATGAAGGATGCCCTTGGGCTTGGGTTCACGACCGGAAGAACGATTGGAATCTGATATGATGATATGGTATATTTGGTTTATAATTGCACATAGCGGAGAATCACTCCGACATAATGCCAAAGTAGCAACATTTTTGCTCAACAGGATGGAGCTTAATTGCGCTCAGCTATAGTGGAAGGTTGGGGTCACTGGTCGGCTGTGAGGCCACATCCAGCATGACGCGGCGCACGACATTGCTCACTTTTCACAAGCACCAACAACAACAAATACCACAGTTGGACACCAAAAAGATGATTAGAAGCTCTGCTTTCGACAGTTACAGCCCCGAGCACGTTTCTCCGCAAACGTACACATGCATCTTATCTGCCCCCATGCTTCCAAATCCTGGCACTGCCATCATCCTGCATGCAACGTTGCCCAGTGCTCACCCCAAACCAGTGGCTTCCAGGCTGTCCCTTTTTGAAGATATGATCTTGCTGCTGACTTTTTGTTTAGAATTATGCTTAAAATCTTTAAAGTCTTGAATTCATAATGTCGTCAATTCCATTCACAAAGGTCATATCATGGGACGAGTACATGCAGCATCGCCCGCCCTACCCAGATTCCATGTGGAAGCTGTGGTTTGACTACCACAAAGGCCCTCTGGAAACAGTCCATGATGTCGGCGCCGGGGGCGGCGTGGCGTCTCACGACATTGCGAGAAGAACAGATGTGAAGCGGATCTACGTCTCGGACCCAGGCAAGGAACATCTTGCCTTTGCCGAGGAAATGCTCCGTGCCCACCACGACACGGTCGACTTTATATTCAGGAATACCATTGCCGAACAGACGCTGCTTGATGATAGTTCCGTGGATCTAGTGTGCTGCTGCGAGGCTCTGCATTGGGTCGACGTGTCCAAGGGCATGCCTGTCATGGCCAAGAGTCTCCGTGCGGGTGGCACATTTGCAGCCGTCTACTATCTGCCATTTCCGCAGATAAGAAACAGCGCGAAAGCGCAGGCGGCGCAGACGAAGCTCCTGGACGACTTTGGCAAGAACACACCCGACTCGGCGGTGCAGCATCCCGCCTGGAGGCGTGGCTTCTCACAGAGCAACGTCGGACTGGACTTTGTGCCCTTTGACGAGGAAACGTGGCAAGACTTGCGGAGGATTGAGATCAATATCAGCAACGAGGGCTGGCCATCTTCTTCCTTAATTGCGGGGCGCTTTGGACGGGTACACGACTATGCCGAGGGCTTTGCGAAGGAGAGGTGGGAGGATGACGAGTGGAAGAAGACAATGTCGGCGGAAGAGCTCAGACAGCTTCTCAAGAAGTTTCTCGGTGCGCCTGATATTCTGTGGGAATCCGAAGAATGGAAGACTGTCCTGCAGGGGGCTGAGGAGGTTGACGATAGGCTTGAGGTTGCTTTCCAGGCTGCGATAGTACTGGCCAGGAAGAAGTAGGCACACGAAAGAGAGAAATGGACGGGGCAAAACTTGAATACACGCGAAAGATTTCATGTATTAACATGCTTAGGCTAAGCTACTATCATCTTCCTCCTGCGAACGCGTAGCTCCGAAGCCATGGGCGGCAATTTGGCCACGCCAATGTAGATATCCGCCGGCCGTTTGTACAGCATTTCGATATCATAGTTCATAATCAGGTAGCCAAGCACCAGCTTCATCTGAGCCACGGCAAAGAAACGCCCCGGACAGGCATGCCTTCCGTGTCCAAACGGCAAATAATCCGCCGTGGTGGTAGCAGCAGCCGCCTTGGCCTTCTTGACAGGCACTGTCTCGCTTTTCCCTGTATTCTCAACGAACCGAAACGGTTTGTATGTCTCCGCCTCAGCGAAGAAAACGTCGTCTCTGGCGATATTCTTGCCCGGTACCGCTATGACATTGCCCTTGGGTATGTGGATGCCAGATTGCGTGGCGAAACCGTCCTTGCCCACAACCAGGCGAGGTACGCCAAACGTGCTGGCCATGTTGAGACGGAGGCTCTCGCGAACCACAGAGTCGAGTTTCTCCATCCGTGCGAGAGACTTTCTACACCACTCGCCGCCATGCTCACTGAGCACGCTCAATATCTCCTTTCGCAGAGCATCCACGTGGTCTTGGGACGAGCTGAAGAGGTCGAACAATGCGTGTGTCAATGTGAAAGAGGTTGTGTGAATGGCACCAAAGTTAAGCATCAGCACTCGCCCGGCCAGCGTAGCTGGTTCAGCCATAGCAGGGTTTGGATGGGCCTTGGCCTGCGGAATGGACCATTCGAGGAAGTCGTTTCGGTTCAGATTTCCGCCAGTCGATTTCGATGCCCCTTGCTCATATTCATGCAGCCTCTGATCGATTTCTGGCTTGAGAAGCCGATAAAATGTCTGCGTGTGCTCCCACGTCTTCTTTGTAAAGAAGGGCGCAACGAGAGGCTTCAGAAACGATGGATACATTCTAATCTTGCCGGCCTCTTGGGGCAGAGCCGCAGCATAGGAGGTACCGGCGTCCACGAGCGCCGGATCTCTTCCTACAGGGAGACCGACAAAAACACGATTGCTGATCCGTCCGACGATGCGTCTCATGGTCTCAAAGACGACGACCTCTCGATACTCGGGAGCATCTGCGTCCCACAGCTCGTCCAGGCCCAGTTGTGCTTCCGTGGCCATGTCTGGTATCAAGTTGCCCAGTTGGTGCGTCAGATTGCTAGACACAATCTTCAGGTGTAGGGGCTCTTCATAGACGATCCGGTTGTGAACGGTGTATCTCCATTGAAGACCTTGGATCATTGGTTGCGGCATGTTGAGCACGGCATCGGATTGATCAACAATATGCTGTGTCTCGGATGCAGGAAGAAGCACGATTGTTTCGCTCCCGCCCACGGGGACCAGGCATGGCTTGTCTTTGTAGATTGTGTTGATCTCGCTCGCAACAGCGCCGTAGTTAGTCGAGTTCCTCCATCGTGCCTGGAACAGAGGGAGCCAGTCAGTTCGCTTCGACCCGACTACAGGCAGATTTGGCAAGCTCCGTGGTGAAACTGCTTCCCACACGAGGTATACGACGTAGCAGATGAAGAGCGTTGTGGGAGCTAGAACTGCTGCTCGTGGCAGATGGTCGAACATTTTGAAGTGCCGTACTGCTCTGGGAAGCTTCGTGAGTAATAGAACCAGACAGCCCGCTGTCAGACATCGAAGTCATCGTGAGTCCACCATCGCGCCAGGCCTGTACTCTCTTCCCTCTTGATCGTCCATGTCTTGATAACGACCCGCGAGTCACATCATGTACCTCCCACCGTCACCCGCAAGTACCTCGTATACCGAGACATTGCCCCATCTGACAACCTGGTCAGCAATCCTAATCCTTCTGGTAACGTTTGCACATCATTCACTCATCAGCGAATGCCGTGTGAGAGGGGGGTCAGATTTGCCCCCTTTCCCCTCTCTCCGGCTGTCGCGGCCGTTCTGGCATGAGGACTGGACGGGAACCTGCAATGCAACGTGGGGGACAAGCCAGACAGATTATGCCGAGCTAGCAGGGTTAATACTCGTAGATACTGTACTAGTCTGGAGATGGCCGAATTTAGTCCAGGTAGTTGATAAGCTTGGGGTAAAGTGGAGGTCGTGAATGACGGACCCGAACAGTGAAGCTGCGATGGACGGCAATCGTTCATGATCGTTACGGAACTCAAGCTTGTTGGAACGTTGCCACTCTACTACATGTGAGCTGAGGAACGGCCTAGCGATACCAACACTCCACCTGATTGATGCGTTGTAACACGAAGCGACCCTGCAGGAGACCCGTCATGACAGCGATCCGTTCGACAAAGAATCAAGGATGTAGGGAGAGCTCGAGAGTCAGCAGCGCCAATGCTAGATTGCCTGCCTCTCTCATCTGCGGGCTCATCACCTCACATGCCGGCTAGGACTTGTATTATGATACAAGAGCTTGCTAGACGGAATACAAACGTGGCCGATGAGATTGACTCTAAACATTCCTGATCTCTCAATCTCATCATCTTCATGTCATCATAATGGGTGACGATATAACCCCCGTCCAGGACAGAGCTGCTGTGCTGAATGATATAAACAACCACAGCGGTACAAATGGCCATCAGTCCACAGAATTCTTTGTCAATGACCCCCTCGTACAACAGCCCGCCGGAGAGACCTCGACGAAAGGGCAGACCACAGCAACCAGCGGCCTACATGATTCACGCTCGAAGAATGTCACTCCGATAGCCATCGTTGGCATGTCCTGCCGCCTCTCTGGCAAAGTCAGCAGCGCAGAGGACCTATGGCAAATGTGCTCTCGAGCACGCAGTGGCTGGTCGGCCATCCCCAAGGACAGATGGAGCCAGCAGGGCTACTTCCACCCCAACGCGTCAAGAACGGGAACATACAACGTCGAGGGAGGTCACTTTATCGAAGAAGACGTTGGGCTATTCGATGCCCCCTTCTTCAACATCTCTGCACAAGAGGCAAAGTCCATCGACCCGCAACAAAGACTGCTGCTGGAATGCACGTACGAGGCGTTTGAAAACGCCGGTGTTCCGAAGGAGACGGTGATTGGGAAGAATGTGGGAGTCTTCGTGGGCGGATCGTTCTCCGACTACAGTCTGTTCTGTCTCCGCGATGTCGAGGTTGCACCTCCGTATGAGGCTACGGGTACCGCTCAATCGGTCTTGTCGAATCGGCTGTCATATTATTTCGATCTCAAAGGCCCCAGTGTCACGATAGACACAGCTTGCTCCTCAACTCTGGCGGCACTGCATCTTGCGTGCCAAAGCCTACGATCGGGCGAGTCGAGCCAAGCTATCGTGGGAGGCAGTCACCTCAACCTGGTCCCCGAAATATTCGTGTCCATGTCGAACCTGAGGCTACTATCACAAGAAGGCAAATCTCGGTCCTTTGACAACTCAGCAGCTGGATTTGGTCGTGGCGAAGGTATCGGCTGCATTATTCTAAAAACCTTGGACGATGCAATCCGAGATGGCGATCGTATTCGAGCGGTCATCAGGAATTCCGGTATGAATCAAGATGGCAGAACTCAAGGCCTGTCCATGCCCAACGGTGCCGCGCAAGCTGAATTGATTCGCTCCGTGTACGACTCAGCGGGTCTGGATCCCCGAGAGACAGGGTACGTCGAGGCACACGGTACTGGTACCAAGGTCGGCGATCCGATCGAAGCCTCGGCTCTACACTCAGTCTTTGGCGAAGGAAGAACACCCAAGGAGCCGCTCTACGTCGGCTCAGTCAAGTCCAACGTTGGCCATGCTGAGGGATCGAGTGGTATCTTGGCCGTCATCAAGACGGCTATGATGCTAGAAAAGGGGTTCATCCTGCCGAACATCCACTTCAAGAAGGCCAACGAGGCAATACCTCTTGCGGAATGGAATATCAAGGTCCCCAAAACACAACTGCCCTGGCCCAGGAAGAAACGCTTTGCCAGCATCAACAACTTCGGCTTCGGAGGCACAAACTGCCATGTCGTGCTGGAAGGACCTCCAAAGCCATCAAAAGCAGCGAGGGCGAACGCGCAGAAGCCGAATGGTACCTCTGGCATGCTGGAAGGCCTCAGTTCCAGCCAAGTGACAGCATCCAAGCTGGGCATCGCCAGCCACAAGATCAGGTTCTTGTTCATGCTGTCAGCACACAGCGATAAGTCTGTCAAGTCACAGATGAAGGAACTGCAGATGTACTTGGAACAGCGACCCGAGACACTAGAGCTGTCGTTCATGGGGAAACTTGCGTACACTCTTTGCCAGAAGCGATCATTCTTGCCCTGCAAGGTAGCCCTTTCGGCAACGACATCGTCGGAACTCATCCAGAAGCTCTCTAACCCTGATCTCAAGCCTATATCGTCTTTCCACACCCCGAAGCTGGCGTTTGTCTTTACCGGACAGGGTGCACAGTGGTACGCCATGGGGCGGGAACTGATTGAGATTTACCCGGTATATGCGTCGATCATTGAGGCAGCAGATTCATACCTGAGGAGCCTGGGTGCATCTTGGTCTCTCAAGGATGAGCTACTGAAGGACAAGGAATCGTCTTTGGTCGGCCAGGCATACATCAGTCAGCCAGTGTGCACAGCTGTACAGGTTGCTCTTGTGCAGCTATTGTCAACATGGGGCATCCATCCAGCTGCAGTTGTTGGCCATTCAAGCGGCGAGATAGCTGCGGCGTTTGCCGCTGGCATTTTGTCCCTAGAGTCTTGCCTTCAGATTGCATACTATCGCGGTCTGGCTACCATTAACTTCAAATCGCAGTATCCTCACTTGCGAGGATCGATGATGGCCATTGGGGCTGGACCTGACGAAGTTCAACCTTTGATAAAACGGATACAATCTGGTCGCGTTGTTGTAGCATGTATCAACAGCCCCTCCAGTGTCACAGCGGCGGGCGACGAAGATGCTATCAACGAACTGGCTACTCTTGTGGAAGAGCAGCGGATCTTTAACCGGAAGTTGCGCGTCGACATGGCGTACCATTCACACCACATGGAGCTTGTGGCTGATGAGTATCTCTCCTCTCTGAAAGAGATCAAGCCCCGAGAGTCTTCAAATGTTGAATTCTTTTCATCGGTGACTGGCTCACGGATCGATTGTTCTGAGCTTGGGGCCACGTACTGGGCCAGGAACCTCACAAGCCCAGTTCGGTTCGGCGAAGCCTTGCGAACAATGTGTATCTCGCTCAAGGAAAATATTTCATCTCAGCAGGAGAACGTTGTATTGGTCGAGGTTGGACCTCACGGAGCGCTTGAAGGCCCCGTGAAGCAGACACTCAAAGCAGCCGGCGTGGCAGTGACTGGCATCGACTACAGCCCAAGTCTGGTTCGCGATGTAGATGCAGTGGAAGCCATGCATCAACTTGCGGCCAATCTCACGGCAAGAGGGAAGAAACTTGAATACGAGGCTATTAATTTTCCACGAGGACGCGACAAAACTGTCAGCTTGTTGACGGATCTGCCGAGGTATCCTTGGCAGCACAACACTCGGTACTGGCACCAGTCGCGCATTGGAGACAATCACTGCTTTGGAAGAAACTTCCCTCGCAACGATATCCTCGGAGCACTGGCTGACGATTCCAATGATCTGGAGCCAAGGTGGCGAAACATCATCCGACTCGAGGATATGCCTTGGCTGCGGGACCATCAAATCCAATCGAATATTGTCTTCCCAATGGCCGGCTACGTGACCATGGCTATGGAGGCGGCATATCAACGTGCAATGGCCCGAAACGTCAAATTTGACCGATATGAGTTCCGGGAGATTTCAGCAAATCGGGCCCTGCTGATTGACGAGTCCACCGATGTTGAAACGATGATCACGCTGCGGCCTTACAACGAGGGCACGAAGAAGTCCACCGATTCATGGGACGAGTTCCGAATCTTGGCCTGGACTGCCGACAAGGGGTGGGTTGAGCATTGCCGCGGGCTAGTCGGCGTTCAAAAGGACCCTGCCATCAATGCTGTCGACGGCGAGAGACACGCTTCCGCAACCAAGCACGCCCTAGAAAGGCGAAAGTCCATGATGGAAACCAGATGCGATGAGAATGTGGACATCTCACTGCTTGCCTCCAACCTGAAAAACTTGGGCGTGTACTATGGCCCAGCTTTCCAGAGCTTCGTCGAGTGTCGAACAACGGAGCAGCTTGCCGTGGCAGAAGTTGAGCTGGCGGACACGGCCATCATGATGCCACACAAGTTTGAGCCTGAGCTCATTATGCATCCTGCGCATCTGGATCTTGTGATTCAAATCCTGTGGCCGTTGTTGGGTGCGGGCCGCAAGGGCTGGGACAAGATCTACATGCCTTCAGGTTTCAAAAGGTTGAGCATTTCTCCCAATGTGGTCAAGGCACCTGGAAGCCGTCTGCGCGTGTATGGGTCATCACCCAAGATCTCGCCTACAGCTGTGAAGCCTGTAGAGTTGGATGTGTTTGCGACCCAGGAATCGAACCCAAGCGAAGCATGCGTTGTGCTTGAAGGCTACACCATCACGCCCGTGTACCATGATACGAGTGATGTGGGCAGCAACAACAAGAGGAACCTCTGCTACAAGATGGATTGGGAGACCACCGAGTCGAACATACTCGTTCCATCGCAGCTACCAGACACTGAGGTTGTCATCATTCGGGATGATCGCCCTCTTTTCCCAACCTCGCAACTGGAAGCTTCGATACATGAGCTGACAGGCAAACCACCCCAAGTCCGCACCTTAAACGATGCGAAGCCCGAGCCTAAGACTTACATCTTTGTCCAAGAACTTGACAAGTCCCGGCTTGACAAGATGATCCCGGCGGAATTTGGCCGGCTACAAGAGATCCTCCTGAGCGCCAAGGGTGTTCTATGGGTGGTCCGAGGAGCATACCAAGACAGCACGTCGCCGAATGGAAACATGGCAATTGGCCTGGCACGAACTGTCCGAGCAGAGACAGGACTAAAGTTTGCCACTCTGGACCTTGATCACCCTCGAGACGACTCGGCTTCCATCTCTCACAAAGCCATCGTGGATACGTTTGTCTCAGTGTTTGGTCCCGATGTTGTGGACGGTGAAGTAGACATGGAGTATGCGGAGCGGAGCGGCACTTTGTATGTTCCTCGCGTCAATAACGATGACTCGATGAACAAGTTTGTCCACCAGCAGCTTCGAGCGTCTGATCCGGAGCCACAGCCATTCTATCAAGAAGGCAGGCCGTTGAAATTGACCATCAGCAACCCTGGCCTACTCGACACACTGCATTTCATCGACGACTACACCTTGTCTGGCCCTCTGGAGGAGAAATACGTCGAAATCGAGGTCAAAGCTGTTGGGCTCAACTTTAAGGACGTCATGATTGCCATGGGTCATTTGGCCAATGAGCACATTGGTATTGAGTGCAGTGGTGTGGTGACCAAAGTCGGCTCAGGGGTCCAAGATCTGCAGCCCGGGGATCGTGTCTGTGCAATCGCAGAAGGCTCTTTCGCCAGTCTCATCCGCTGCAGAGCCACGAGTGTCGCCAAGCTCAACGACTCTATACCTTTCCAGGAGGCTTGCACAATACCCGTCATCTGGAGCACAGCTTACTACTCGCTCGTTCGCGTCGCGCGTCTTGAAAAGGGAGAGAAAGTTCTCATCCATGCTGCTGCCGGTGGCGTCGGGCAGGCAGCAATCATCCTTGCCCAAATGATTCAGGCCGAGATCTTCGTCACGGTGAGCAGTGCGGAGAAGAAGCAGTACCTCATCAACCAGTACAGCATACCCGAGGACCACATCTTCTTCAGCCGTGACACGACTTTTGCTAGCCAGATCCAGAAGGCTACGGACGGCCAAGGTGTGGACGTTGTGCTGAACTCACTGGCCGGCGACGCCTTGTTGGCCACTTGGCAATGTCTTGCCTCGTTCGGCCGCTTTGTCGAGATTGGGAAGCGCGACATTGTGACAAACACGAGGTTGGAGATGGCTCCATTCGCAAAGAACGTCACTTTCAGCTCCGTCGACCTTGTGGTCGTGCTGGCGGAACGACCGCTCCTGATGAAGTCGATTCTCAACGATGTTTTTGACTTGCACAGCAGAGGAGTCGTGAAACCTATCACGCCGCTTTCCGTGTATCCAGTGTCGCAGATAGAGGCCGGCTTCCGTTCGTTGCAGAGTGGCAAGAACCTGGGGAAGATTGCAATCACCTTTGGAGCCGACGATGTTGTTCAGGTAAGTGCAAAGCTGTTGATTCGTGATGGAGATACCTGACGCCCTTAGGCCGTACCCGCCAAATCTTCGGACACATTGCTGCGTGCTGATGCTTCGTATCTCATCATTGGTGGCACCGGTGGTCTCGGTCGAAGTATGACCAGGTGGATGTCGCGAAAAGGGGCAAAGCGCATTGTCCTTGCTTCCAGGTCGCCAAGGGTCTCCAAAGATGTCCAAACTTTGATTGACGAACTGGATCCGGAAGGGACTGAAGTGGCCGTCCAACAATGTGATGTTTCCAACTCCGCGGACGTGGAAAAGCTCGTTGCGGATAATCAGGATAAAGCTCCCATCAGGGGGGTCATCCACAGCGCCATGGTTCTTCATGTGAGTCCATGGTCCTTTTCCGCGAGCTGTGAATTATTTCTGACATGACTACTAGGACATCCTGTTCGAAAAAATGACCTTTGATGACTACAACACCGTCATCCAGCCCAAGGTTTCTGGCGCTTGGAATCTGCACAGCAGTCTCCTACAGCATGAACTGGACTTCTTCATCATGCTGTCCTCTGCAGCTGGTACGATTGGCAACAAAGGTCAAGCCGCGTACTCAGCTGGCAACACGTTTATGAATGCATTCGCTCAGTACAGACTGCGAAAACGTCTCCCAGCCACTTCCATTGATTTGGCTGCTGTGAGTGACGTTGGGTACTTGGCTGAAAATGCTGAGAAGAAGGACCTCGTCATGAGCTCCATCGGCAGCGGAGCTGTCAGTGAGCTCGAGCTTCACGCACTCCTGGCGGCAGCCATCAGCAACAAGATGGCAACAAGCTGTAGCAATCATTGCATTACCGGACTGGATCTTGTGCCAGGAGCAGCACCGCCGTCATGGATTTCCGATGCAAAGTTCATCCCTATTCGACCCCTGGTCGATGTCAACGCAAAGACGACGGCCTTGGTCTCGTTACGCGAGTCGCTCAAGAAGGCCGCGAGCTTGGAAGAAGCAGAATCACTCGTGTTCGAGGGACTTGTGAACAAGGTCTCTGCGATTTTGATGATCGAGAAGGATGACATTGATGGTCGGCAACCGATTGCCGCGTATGGTTTGGACTCACTCGTTGCTGTGGAAATCAGGAACTGGGTGACGAAGCAGACTGATGCCAATCTCCAGGTATTGGAGTTGCTGTCCAGTGGCTCTTTGATCTCACTGTCGCAGAATATTGTCAAGAAGTCTGCGCTGTTGGATGCGAAGTTGTTGCAGGGCAACGCTGACTAGATCAGTGCCTGAGAGATGAAATGGAGGATGCGGTCACGGGATAGTAGATTCTTCATGTTTACATCAGTCAAAATTTTCTGACCTAACATCTTTAAGCCGTGTACAAGCGCCACTCCTCGTCTTCCATGAAATAACCCAGTTGATCTTCTTCCAGTGTTACTGTCACTTCCCAGCTGCCATCCTCCAATGCAGGGAGTATGATCGACATGCCTTCACCAGTGACACCAGAAGCCAATCTCATTGTCCTATACTTGCCAATCAACGGATCCCAATCCCCGTGGTAGAAGCTCTTGTACGAAGTAGATCCAAACGCTGTGTGCCGATCTTCAAGTTTGAGATTAATCACCATCTGCCCGGGCTTCACCTGCGAATTAGCCACGGATATGAAGTTCTTGACGTATTCTTGGTCCACATCCTTGACGCCTTCCCGTATGGACTGTGCGGCGTACGCCAGGCCGGAGTTTCCGAGTAGATCCTTCACCTTGATCCCAGTTTTGGTCATGAGCACCGCGTTCCCAGTGAACTCGGGTGAAAGAGGTGGTTCAACTAGCTTCCTGAATTCTACTGGGAAAGCGAATCGAGCCAAGTCGGTGGCTGAAATCAACCCAGCCCTGTGTCTCGCTTTGGCTTGAGTTCTCCAGCAAAGCGCATTCACGGCATCGTGGGTTGTGATCCACCCTTCGCAGGGAGAAGCGTCTGTCTTTAACTTTTCAAGACGTTCCTTGGAAATTTTGAATGTGGTGGTAACAACTGGCTGAGATGTTGGCCCAATATTGGGACGTTCACTGACAAAGCTGTATGCTCTCAAGCTCTTAATGTCTCCATTTTGTTCGGTGACTGGCATAAATGCTCGATCCCATCGTACGGGGGTAGTTTCAATGTTGGGCAATCCATCCAAGCGTGAATAGCGCGCTAGTGACTGAATGACCTTTGCGATCCCATAGCCGTCCATGATAGTGTGGTGAACAGAGACGACGAGTAGAAGGCCATGCGTCACAAAGTTGGCTTGCAGCCTGCAGACATGCCATTCTTCTCGAGGTGTCGCAAAGGTGGGCAGATCAGACACAAGATCCGCAGGGAAATTCGATTCAGCAAAATTGCTCTCCTCCAGTTGAGCAAAGTCCAGATCCAATTCACGCACTCGCAATCGAGCGTGGCCTTTCGTTACTGACCACCCAGATGCTGTCAAGCCTAATCGACCAGCAAGCACGGGGTATTCATTGACTGCGCCTTGCAAGCCATGCTTGAGAGCTTTCACGCCTTGGTCTTGATCTTGTTGTGGATTTGAAAAGATCAGTATTCTTCTCGAGTAGATAGGTGGTGTGACCTGGTCGACAGGTGATAGCTGGCACTCAAAGTTGGGGCCAGAAATGTAGTGGTCAATGGGGTTCGCCATGATGCCTGCCTGGATTTGGTGAGTCGGAGGTGCTCTCAAAACAAAAATGCCCAACCTAGGTATCTCTGAATAATTAGGCTGTCACTAATTGGAGGCGATAATATTCATTCGAGGCCGCTCGGTCCCGGGCCAAATCAGCATTGCCGGTTCAAACCATGCAGGGAAATCCACAAACCTGCAGCCGACTCGCTGGCTTACAGATCTCCATATCACGAGGGGCTTATTTAGGGGGCTCACGCTTACACAGGGCTGGTGGCATGGATTGATAAGAAGGCGGGTTTGGTACATGTAGAGATGTCGACGCATCCGTGCATTTGATTGTGATATGCAACGTAACATGCCATCCGAAAGAAACACGAACTAAAATCTGACATTGCGCATTCTAGATATCACGTATTCTCTATACGAGTTGTAGGAGCTACTCGTTGGTATCCAACTCCTCCCAGAAGCTCCGTAATCGATCCGACAGCTCCTTCACCGTGACTGCATCACGGGGAACCATGTGTCCCTTGCCATGGTCAAACATTTCCGCTGACTCGCTGTCGCAGACACTGAAGAGCGCCATGGATCCCACCAAGTACGGATCAGAGGCTCCGATCATGTGAAACGTCGGAATGGTGATGATCTCTCCCACTTCGTCCGAGAGGAGTAAGGTCTCCTCGCCTTGAGTAGCGAGTGGTGGCCAGCCGTGCAGAAAGACGGCGCATTTGAAGGAGCTTCCCTCAAGCCCCAGCTTCTTGCGTTTGCGCAAGTCGTCGACTATGAGTGTCGCTGCCACCGTAGCACCCTCTGAATATCCAATGAGTCCATCGAACGGACCCTGCTCGTCTACTGTGCGATAAAGATCATTCAGCATCCTCTCAATGTCTGGCCGCAGAGGGGCACTGTCGTTGCCGAGAAACTCGCGCATTGCCTCTTCAGGTGACCCATCGTGCTCAAAGTCACGAAGTCCATTCAAGATTGACAAGGGCTCGACACCGGCCTCGTACTTGAAGAATCGCAGATGCGGCGGGTTGCCAAACCAATAGGCAATATCTGCTGGTGGCGTTTCTTCAATCGTGCCCTGAGTGAAGTGGAAGCTCGCAGTCTTGTCCGAGCTCAGTTCGTTGATTAGTGGACCTTCCAGTCGTCAGTAATGAATCCGCATATTTTGATATACCAATTACCAAGTTGTACTCCCAAGGTCTAGGCTGAGTGTCAGTTTTGTTCGATGAAGCGTATAAAGGACATTCTTTACCTGGGCGTTCGTCAACGCTCCTGGCAGGCAGAGGAACTTCCTCATTGTAGTACAGTTAATGAGACAGGAGAACAATGGTATGAATAGATTGCACGTTGCTTCAACCTTGAAATGACGCTTTGGCCGCTGTAATAGTAAGATAGAACATGGTTTGTCTACCACCTGAAGGGTACCAAGACAGCATCACTTGTCGGGGTCTGCCGATGCCACGGTCGTTCATGTGACAAGTAAGCGTGGAGAGAACCGTGAAGTACCGTTTGTATATCTCAATGTACTCCTAAGTACCATGTCGGCTGTTCAATGTTTCGCATTAGGGGTGCAACGTTGATAGCGTCGATCCTTGCCGGCGGACTAATGCAGGGTACCTTTGTGGCTTGTAGCTGCAGCTTATTACTTGGAATCAGACTCGGGTAGCATTTTCAAGTCAACTGAGAAGACCCGTCACCCCGTTCATGTAGATTTCCTTGATATTGAGACGTGGATGAGAGAGAGGACTGCTCCGGGATCCGGCATGTGGTCTTTGCAATACGGTTGAGTGTATCAGGCTACCCGGCAGTTCAGGGGCTACCAGTTCTGTCACGACATCGACAACAGTGAACTTGTTTGAAGAATCTTTATCAACTGAGCCAGGGGCTGTGAACTGATTCACCTCTTTTGTTGTAAAAAGATATGAACATTGCGGCGGACAGCATACCGTCGATTTCTGCCAATTCTTCAACACGTCTCATTGCTTTTTGCAGCAAACTTCTCGTTTCGTCGGTTTGCTACGCCCAGAGAGCCTAAGAAAACCTCACTCGATTGCCAGAGATCATGGATGCCTACAAAAGAGACCATACCTCCGGGGAGGATCAATATTTCTTTACAGACACCACTGATCTGAAGAGGATTCCATCGTCGCGGCTCGATGCAAGATCTGACGAGGAAATCATCGCGTCCTTGCTCCAGTATCAGCCAATCACCTCGGAAAAGAACATATGGACTTTCTGGGATACCGGGTTCTGGCAGATGCGCCCCTATGTGAGGCGCAATGTCATCGGCTGGGTGCGACGTCTGGGACCCGAGTGGACGGTTCGGGTCGTGGACCACGTGGATGGCTCCCCAACCAACATCAATGCGTACCTGTCGGAGAGCGAGTTCCCTAGCGCCTTCAATCGCGGCAACATGACGGGACCATATGCCGGAGTACATAAGGGCGATCTTGTGCGCTTGCCGCTGTTGTACCATTATGGTGGTGTGTGGATGGACGCGGGGACGACGTTGTTCAGACACATGAACGATATCTGTTGGAAGGCGCTGGAAGACCCTAAAACCCCCTACGAGGTGGCAGGCTTTGCTCCTGGCACTGAGACGGGCAACGATGTGATCATGAACGGATTCATTGCCGCCAAGAAAGGAAATGGGTTCGTCCGGCGCTGGCATGATGTGTTTCTCGAGATCTGGAAAGACCGAACGGACTGCATAGGTCTTCAGGACCATCCTCTTTTGCGACAGGTCAAGAAGGTCGAGGTTCCCAAAGACATGCAGATCAAATTCGGTATCGACAATTCACTGATGAACGACTACGTGGCACACGTCTTGTCTTTCAAGCGTGTGCGCATGCTTCAAGACCCAGACGATGGTTTCAACGGCCCAGAATACTGGGAGAAGCATGCATATGTTCTGCCCGTGGAGGAGACTTTCCTGGCGCAGATTATATGCGCATTCGATGGTCAAAGGCAATTTGATCTACTTTCTCTGCCCAGAGACGAGGTTAATGCCGAATTGGCTGAGGACAAGAAGGCAGCTGAGCACCTAGTGCAAAGCCTGTTGGCCAAGGCATCCACGATGAAGCTCTCACACGGTTTAAAAAACAACAAGCTGGTCCACCTATCTAAGCTATGGGATCTCCCCGAGAATGCAGATGCAGATATCAAGCCAGGCAGCTTTGGGGCTTTCCTGAGATGGGGAAGTGTACATTTGGATCAAACGAGGAGTTTGGCCCCCTTGACCGTTCGGTGTGCTGGCGGCGTGCTTAGAGCCGGTCTGCTGGAGATTGTCGGAGAAGATGGGCAATGAGTCCGAGTACAGTGACAGATTGAATCAAAGCAGGCCTTCCAAAGACTGTGTCCCAATAAACGCCATTGACAGATGTACGAAGGGCTGTGTGGCCGTCTACACGACGCGCCGCAGTAAGAACGTAGCAATCAATCTGCACGTTGATCCTTCGCGAGAACCGTTCAACTCTGTGCTCCATCCACACCACTACACACCACTATCTCGGCTACGTTACCTCGACCCCGCACTTCTTCATGTAAGTGACACTTTCGTGAGTCAATTTGGTAAACCCCAGCGAGATCCAGCTCACTCCGGCAGGTTGGCGTGGGGTCTGGAATGGGCAATGCTGTTAGTCGCATTGCGATGGCCCTCCATCTTCTGCTTGGCCATATACCACGGAATTGTGAAACAATTAGTACTTTCATTCTGTAATTCAGGGCCAAGAAGAATTGCTGGGAACAGACTACTTACACTATCTTAAAGGCTCTTCAGTATTTCTGCTTCACTGAAGCTCACAATGTCTGACGAGAGGTACCTCCTGAATCGCGATGCAAAAGAGTCAGCACGGTAAGCGGCTGAAATACATTGTTATGCTCATGTCTAATTCTCACAGCCTGATTGCTCAGCACGACTGGCTACAGACCTTGACAGGCTGCGATATCCATCCTTGCATCAAGCTCGAGGGCCCCAACCTTCGGATCGCGGATGTGGCTACTGGGACGGGCATCTGGCTGCTCGATCTGGCCAAGAAGTTGCCTGAAACAACCCAATTCTATGGCTTTGATATTTCTGAAGAACAATTTCCGGCCACCGACAAGCGCCCTGGAAACGTGTCTCTTCACAAGCAAAACGTGCTGCAAGACTTCCCTGAGGAGTACCACGGATCATTTGACCTCGTAGCTGTGAGACTTATCACGGCTGGTTTGAGACCGGAAAATTGGAGCACTGCAGTCGAGAATGTGACCAAGCTCTTGAGTACGTTTGTATGACCTCTTGTATGCCATCTGCTGACTGGTGCTTGAGAGCCTGGCGGTTATCTGCAATGGATAGAACCTCTCCATGGCAATTTCAGGCTTTACAATCTCAAGCCCGGGGCACCGAATGCTGCGGCACGGACAGCCGTAGGCCATTTCCTCACTGGATATAACAATGCCATCCCTCCCGGACCCGAGACTCTGCCGCAGCTGTGCGACAAGCACCAGCTAGAGGACCTCGCCCTCGAAGTATACCCAACGGATCACTATCACGACCACGAAAAGGTCAAGACGCAAAGCAAAGACTTTCTTCGTGGCGCTTGCACCGCCATGATGCCGCTCATGGTTGGTGACGAGTCAGAAGGTCGGACCAAAGAACAAATCGAAGAGGCCTTTGAGAGAGCAGCGCATGAGTTGGATGGAGATATCTACATTCACTCAGAGATGCAGTTCATAGTCAGGCGCAAACGTACATAGAATCCCTCGCGTCGCCTCAAGCATTACGCACGAAATGTAACTTCAGTTCTCATCTTAAACTGTACTAAAGTCTTCTACTACTTGTAATCAGCGGCCGCGTAACAGATGTCGTATGTTCTGCGCTCAAACTCAGCAAAGAGAGCCAGGCATTTCGGATCTCCCGCAGGAAACACCTGGCTCCCATAAATACCACAGAAACCGTTTGTGCGGTCCATCCAGAAAAAGACATTGAGCAGTCCGCCCCAATGCAGCGCACCTTTCGGTCTCCGCCCTGGCAGGTCCTCCAGAACGACCATGCCGCCAATGGCATACGCCACCTGCGTACCCTTGGGAAGACCGCCGTAAATGTTGTTTCTGTTCTCGTCTTCCAGCGCCTTCATAACGGCTTGGCGGACGACTGGGTCCATGTTCGGTCGGAACAGTTCTTCTGCCATGTCGCTATGGAGAAGGACACCGTCGTTGGCTGTGATAGAGTGAAGGACTTTGTGGAAGTCGGCAATTGTTGCATATGCCCCCGAGCCGCCGCTGTCGCCCTCAGTGTCAAGGGGCCAGATCGTAGCCGGCGTCCACTCCACGGGGCCAGCCTTGTCCTTGCGAATGCTGACGTCGGCAAGTTTCTCGCGGAGGGCGGGATAGTCCGCTGGTCTGAAGCAAATCGATTTGATGCCGAGAGGCTCCCCAATGTTCTTGCGTAGATAGGCTTCAAGCGTGAGCCCGCTGACTCGCTCGACCATGAAACCAGCAAAGTCTACGCCAGCTTTAAAATGTTAGATCGAAACGTGCATCGATCTGGATGATGCTCAACTAACTGCCGTATATGAAACCCTCACCGGGCTCAAAGTTCAGAGGGCTAAGACAACGATCAATGAGTGGCAAAGTCAGGTCGCCAAATTTTGTATAGCTGAGACCCGATGTATGGGTGAGAAGATGTCTTTTCTCCAGTCAGTAATCTTGCGGATGTTTTCAACATGACTTCCTTTTACCTGAGGGTAATGATCTTGGTAGTCTTTGAAAACTTGGGCTCGCTGGCCCCGTCCTGAGGAGGCTGTCGAACCTGAATGTCTTTGAGCTCTGGCAACAGTCTGGTGACATCTTCGTCGAGTGTGAAGTGCCTTTTCTGAACGCATTGCAATGCTGCGATGACCGTCAGAAGTTTTGTGCAAGACCCCAGCCAGAACAGAGTGTCAGGTGTCATGGATCTGTCAGTGCCATCATCAGTCCGGAGAGTCGAAAAGCCGAAAGTCTTCAAGAACTTGTGAGAACCTATTTCAGCTATTAACAAAGTCCCGTTTCTGCTGGTTTGTGCCTGTTTTGAGCTCACCACCAGTGTTGCTGGCCGCGAGAACAGCACCCGGAATATCTTTGTTTGTTACTGCATTATTAAACGTTGAGTCAATAGAGGAGGCCATCTTGACGGTCGAAATATGTGGAATTAGCACGGTACACGCAGGCAGTTGAGGCGTAGTGTATTTGTAAAGACCAAGTTGAAAGGAGCCAAAGACCCCGCGCACCCAAAGTGCCGTGGGCTAGCTTACAAGCAGGGTGCATTATCTCCTTCATGTGCTTTCTGCACAGTAAACGTTGCACCGCAACTTCCTTCCTGGGCAAAGTTGTCCACGTCTTCGCGGAGTCATCATCAACTCTCAGTAGCAGAATGCTGCGCAAAGAGTGGAATACCAGACTTCAAAGGGCCAGGACAGCAAGGGATTGATTGGCCTTGGCGACTCCCCATGTCCATCACATTTTACCACACTGAAATAGAATATCCCGTTTGGCCCATCAGTAGCAAATGATATATTTGAGAATAAGCTCACAGAACAGGAATCGGGTTGTCAACCCTAGCGATGCCGGTCTCTACGTTGGCTTGTTTGCCTTGCCATCTTTCACCGGGGCAAAAGACGCAATGAGCCACATCGTTCACGGTGCACAAGTGAGTAGTCGTGCACCACGCACGCTCAGTGACATCCTCTCATCCATGAATCACAAGCTGAAACTGATATATTGTCTTATAGTCATACTAGCACATGCGGTAATCACAGGAATCCCCAAGGTACCCTGTCATGACCGGATTTTCATGAAAGACCACGCTCTGTTTGCAAAAAGCATATCAACTACTCCAGTGCTTATGGATGTGGGAAGATCACAAGCCCAAGCTTGGTGAGCATAATTCTGCAGATAAACTGCTTTGCGCCCAAAACTTCGCGATGCACCCTAAATGGATCGCGCCTATCGTACTCCTAGCTTTCGGATTTGTGCTGGGACCATGTCTTTGTGCTTACGCCGCTGCACTGGAACGTCGACGCGGGAGGGGGCAAACTGAGCAGGGGCACGAACTGCGCCGAATTCCGGGCACCCGTGTCTGAGGATAAATCGTGGCCGTGGACGTCAGGGGTGAGAAGAGGTCAAGTGAAAGGACGAATGCGTGTGTTGTTGTTGATGACTGGAACTTTGGTTTCTCATCCGAGCTTCAGGAGATAGGGTGGAGTACAGGGTAGCCCAATGGCACAGCTTCGAAAGGGTCCCAGAAAAGAGGAGCCCCCGCCCAATGACCTCATGAGCCGCCGCCAACCGAAAGCGGATCCTGTCAAGAGTTCCTCGCGTTTCTTCCAGTCGCTGGTGAGCTTCCCCTTTTGAAGCTGCCACGACGAACTGCCCCGCACCATCCCACCATTCCGGAGCCTCGAGAGCTTTCCATTTGCTCTCCAGCAGACTATCAGTGGATGGCTACGCCAAGATGCGTGCAGCTGGCGGCGGGGCGGCGGCTGGCGGGGTCCTCCAAGTTGTTGCTTGAAACTTCGCCTTTAGGTCGTGCCTGGACGCGAGCCGCGGTGCTTTCACAAAGACCTTTCACATCAGCAAACGCACCACAGTTGGCACTTCGGACGTCAACTCGCAAACAGATCCCAAGAACTTGCTTGACCTGCCACCGGCCCCTATCGACAACCTCACGAGCCGCCAAAATGGTCGCCGAAGACTTCGAGTCCGTCCTCAAGGGCAAGTACCCAGCCAAGGCCCATGCGAAACGCACCGTCGAGCTCCTCCCCTCGAAGCCCTCTGAGGGCCTGATCTACCTCGAGGCTACGCACACCAAGCTTCAGGAAGACAACGACTCGCCCGAGCACTTTCGCCAGCGCCGATACTTCTTTTACCTGACCGGCTGCAACATTGCGGACAGCTACTACACCTACGACATCAAGACGCAGAAGTCGACGCTGTTCATTCCGGCCATTGACCCAGATGATGTGATCTGGTCTGGTCTGCCGCTGACAGCGGAGGACGCTGCCAAGAAGTACGACGTGGACGAGGTGAAATACTCGGACGAGGTCAATGACGTTCTGTCCTCGTTTGCCTCTGCCAATGCGTCTGCGACAGTCTATGCGATCGAGAACCAGATCGACGCCTCAGTCAAGATTGATGTCTTCAAGAGCAAAAATCTCAAGGAGGTCAAGAAGGCTATTGAGGAAGCTCGTGTGATCAAGGATGAGTACGAGATTGCCATGATCCGCAAAGCCAACCAGATCTCCGGCTGGGCACACAAGGCCGTCACCAAGAGGGCCAAGACGGCCAAGAACGAGAGCGAGCTCCAGGCTGCCTTTATGGAAGTGTGCATCGCCAACAACGCAAAGGAGATGGCGTACCACCCAATCATGGCAGCTGGACGGGCAGCGGCTACGCTCCACTACGTCGACAACAGCCAGCCATTTGGGGACAAGTTGAACCTGCTCATCGACGCCGGTGCCGAGTGGGAGAACTACGCATCCGACATTGTAAGTTGCTAGCCAGAGCTCGCGCGCACAGAACAGAACAGAAGCTGATGGACGCAGACCCGCACATTCCCCCTGAATGGCAAATTCACCCCCGACTCGCGTGCCTTGTATGATGTCGTCCTGCGCATGCAGGAAGAGACAACTGCCATGATCAAGGCCAACGTGCACTGGGACGACATCCACCTGCACGCCCACAAGGTGGCCGTCGATGGCCTCATCAAGATCGGCATCCTCAAGGGCGACCCCCAGGCCATCCTCGAGGCGCGCACCAGTGCTGCCTTTTTCCCCCACGGCCTGGGCCATTACCTCGGTCTTGACACGCACGACGTGGGCGGCAACCCCAACAGCAAGGACAAGGACATTATGTTCCGCTACCTGCGCCTGCGCAACAAGATCCCCGCTGGTAGTGTCGTCACCGTCGAGCCGGGGCTGTACTTTTGCGAATTCATCATCAAGCCCTTCCTGGAGGATGAGAAGCACAAGCAGTTCATTGATGAGAGTGTCCTGAACCGCTTCTGGGATGTGGGCGGCGTGCGCATTGAGGACAACGTGCTTGTCACCGAGAATGGCAGTGAGAATCTGACGGACGCTATCAAGGCAGCCGACGAGATTGAGGCTCTCTTCAAATAGCGAGGACGATATGCCTGAAATGGAATGAAAAGTCCTGATGAATTGAATGATTGTTTAACGACGGTGCTACTACGTACGTGAAGTTTCGTCGCGTGGCCACTGTCCAAGTCCCTCCTGCTGCTCGCTACAGTTGGCCTACTGCAGCAGATATTCTTTTAGTTCACACAGCACAGATTATTTTACCGCCCAGGCAATCTTCCTGCGTGAAATGACATCTGGAAACGTCGACAAGCATTACGCCACCCGTGGCAATCGCAGATTGCTGGCGTAAATATCATTTGCTTGCTCGCGTTGGTTCATCAAGGAACGTACCGTGTGCCAAGCCGCGTCCCCTGAGACAGCACTGTGGCAATTTCCAAACTCAGGACGCGAGGCCTCAGTCTCGACTTGAGACCCTTCAACATCTGTCGCGACCAGCTCTTTAGCATCTGACTGTATTTCTACTTGCTCATGGTTTAACAAAAGCGCTTCTTCTCTTCCGTTCCTGTTTTTCTAGCGCGCTTGTTTTGCTCTGCATCATCAATATTAACCTCGGTGAAAGACGGTGTGCTTTGGAGATGCGGAAATGGACCCACGAATTCGACGAAGACCAATTCCTACCAGGGCTCAAACTTCACATGGCCAGTCGCATGCGCCGATCCAACAACCGTTCGTCCTCGACAGAGTGCACTCGACACCTCCACCGCCATACTCTGAATTCCCAGCGTCTTTGCCGCACCCACAGCATGGCTCTGGCTCGGGAGCGCACGTGCCGCCCATGCCATCACCGCCTCATGAGGAAGCATGGGCTGAACGCGGGCCATCAAGAGCCAATCTGAATCACCAGAACTCTTCATCTTTGGAGAGACCCTTGACGGCAAACTCAATCCACCCACTATGCCTCAGTGTGCCTCAGCCATCCTCATTCAGAAACCCGACATCCCCGGCTTCACCATCCCCTCCCTCATCGTCCTTCCATGAACCCAATCATCCTCCTCTGAGATTCACCCGGTCAGCAACAAACCTTCGTGCTTCCCACGATGGTCCGCGAACAGATGTACCAGACCCCAAAGGACAGCTGCCTGTCGATTTCGTCGTCGACTCGCTCCCCATTCCAGATGAGCCACCCGTGCCTCGACAGGTGCGACGCGTCAAATCGTCCTCGGCCCTGACAAACAATAAAGTGGCCCCCGATAGCAATGCAGCCAACGCCAAGTGGAAATCAGCTTTGGGCGAGGCGCAGTATTTCGCTGGCGGTCTCATTGCCCGTCCCGCCGAGTCGACACGGCACTACAGCATCATCAGACATTCGCATGCCCTGATTTGGTATCGTGGGCCGTCTACATCCCTCATGATTACGATTCTGAGTGATACCGATATTCCCAGTAATCGAACGCTTTGGCTACAGCGTAAGGGATACTCTGGTAACGTCGGCATGACCCTCAAGGCCATGGTTGGTGGGAAAGGCGACTGGATCGACGTCACACCTGCGAACCGCGCCGAGATCCAGGACGTGTCGGAGATGGATGAGCGAGGCATGCAACGGGATCTCAAGAGGTTCAAGAAGAAAGCCTCGGGAAAACAGAAAGCGCACGTGCCCCGCGAGACGCATGTCGTGAGGATCCCTGCCCACGCAGAAGACGGCTACTTTCGACTGGTGTTGTGCGCGGGCGAAAACAGCAAAAAGATCCTCTGCGGCTGCCCTGTCTTCCGGATCGCGAGTACCAGCACGGACATTAGCGTCGTACGGGGTGCTGGGATCCGCACGATGCCGCTCGAGGTCGGTGTCAAGGTTGGCACTACTGTGGCGCAGCAGTTTGCGAAGCGATATACCGGGCCTGCGACGGCTGTTGTGCAGAGTCGAGCAGGCAAGGCAATGGGCAATCAGGTTGTGAAGCGCACCGTGAATGTCGGATCAAAAGTGGTTGGCACGGGGCGATTCGTTGCGAAACAAACAGGCGTGGAGGACCACGTCGTCGAGGGGTGGAAGCGTGGTAAAGACGGTCGATATGCTGCTGTGGTCCATGCGAGATCTCTCGAAGATGGCGATGAAGAGTGTCAAGAACCGGAAGCACAGTTTCCGGTCAGTCTGGAAGGCAAAGTGGTGCGAGGGACAGGGCGGATGTGGTCTGAGCTGGGCATCCCGACAGCTAACCTCTCTGGCGTGAGGGATGAGATCAAGATGCGCTGGCGGGGCGTGTATGCTGCCTGGGCATCTGTCGTGACGCAGAGAACGGACGATGAGCTCTCGCACGACTGGCACGAGGCCATTGTGACGGTCGGACCTCTGCGGCACTCGCCACCTGAAGTTGTCGCGAAGAACCGGGTCACGGTGCATATCTTGCACGACTTTGACGAAGCGACCTTTTTCGACCACAGGGTCCGCGTCGTACTGATGGGCTATCTGCACCCGTCTCCGGAGAAGGACGAAGACCCTGACGAGTTGGCCCGGCAGCACGACGAAGACACGATGACCGTGATGGCAAGTCTTGCTCGCGATGGGTGGAGCATCGAAGATGCGCTGAGGAGAGATCGCACTTTGGCCGAACGGTTGGACGGGGTGACGGGCATGGTGCAGAACACGATGGACAGGATCCCGTTACATTGGGTTGGGGCGAGGTCCGAGGGAAGCAGCATGAGGGACAAGGTGTATGGCACAGGAGGTCTCTGGATACCCAGGTAATAATATGGGGACGTTTTAATCTCAGAGGACCTCAGAGACTCGTCATTGTGGGAAGTCTACTTGTAGAGATACCCTCCTACCAACTTCAGCTTGTGTTTCACGGCAGTAGCACCCATGTCCATCCTCATCTTCGCCGCAGCTTCGCCATTCTCATGCACATCAAGATGGTATTTCTCTGACTCGTAGGCCTCTAGAGCACCGTACCAGCCATCATCCTCAAGGTCCTTGAAGATGGCGTGGATGAACGTACCCGGCTCTTGCTCCTTGGCGGCATCGGTGACACGTTTTGCCTGGTGCGTGCCAGTGGCGAGGGGCGATGGAGAGGACTCCTCCGACTTGGGCACTTCGGTATAGATAGCATGGGGATCTTTGTGGTGAGCGATGTCGGGTCGAGTGAGTTCTGCATCAGGGAGATGAGACAAATTCCTTAGCACGGGCAGGTTGGACTGATTGAAGATGGGTACGGTGTTGAACCACTGGTTAATATCCGTCACCTCCTGGGAGGCCATATGAGTGTCGTAGGCTTTCTGGTCGGTGTATCTTTCTATGTCAGCTTAATTCATTTGCCATTAGTCGGAAGCCGTACTCCTCGATAACCCACGCGGTTCTTCCATCGTCCTCCCTGGGGATGAGTATGGCATATTTCAAGGTTCCAGGTTCATTGTCGCGCGCATGCTCAGAGATATCTAGCAAGCGCTCAAAAAGCTACGCTGATCAGGCTCGTGGCAGTCTCTGGTCCTATCGGGGGCATACCTCGTTGCGCAGGTGCGTGTCGGTTGTTGGCAGCTTGACCACAACAAGGATCTTAGACGATGCCATGATGGCACGGCGTTCTGTCGCGAGGTGCACTGCTCTCAGTGATGAGGTCTACCCTGTGCGACAGTATAAACACACCAATTGTTACTTGTTAGTCCGATTCAAGATTTGACGAAGATAGATTGAGGTATGAAAACCTTTGTTCAATTGACATGCGGAGATTCCGGGACTAATGAGACCCACGTCTGTGGAAAGGATAACGACATCCCGACAGCAGCAGAAGGGCATTGGGCAGGATAATAAACCCAAACATGAGATGCGTAGCTGACGTATTGTCAGTCTGTATATCCCTTGACATACGCAATGCCTTTGTCGTGTACTTTGAAGATTGTCAGCCAACATCAAAAGACAATGCAGAACTAATCAACATTTGGTACAAACAACAGCGCTTTACAAAAAACGTTCAGGGCTTGTCTTCAGGATAACATTGAACAAATCAGTGTGAGGTTACATATACATAAGCAACTAATCCAGGCATTTTGGATTTATTAGTTGGTGAGCTGATGTGGCGTTTAGATGACTGCTACGTTGGGATACGCGCTATAGGGTAAGCTATACAGGCAGGCCGATGTGACGGAAATCGGCCGCCCCGGAATGACCCATCACTCCACAATCCGCACCCTCGACCTGGGGTACGCAGCCCGTCACTGTCGGCTACAGGCGGATGGACGGACATTCTCCAAGGCACTTACACATCAACGGCATATGCACGTGATATCAGCATAATAGCAAGCATATATGTACATGTATACGTAGTACTGCCAGGCCAGTGCTGACGTGGCTCATCACCGTCAGCAAAGGCTTCTCCCCTCATTATCGTATCTAGCAATGTCGGACTACACTCTATACAGCTACTTTCGCTCCTCGTGCACGGCACGTGTCCGAATCGCCCTGTATCTCAAGGGCGTGACATGCGATGACATTCCCATCAATCTCCTCAAAAACGAACACGCGTCGTCCAAGCACAAGGAGCTCAACCCGTCTGGCACGGTCCCTCTCCTCGTGAACAACAGCAGCGGCTTCAAAATCGGACAGTCCGTCGCCGCCTTAGAGTACCTCGAAGAGACGCACCCCGAGCACAGTCTGCTGCCCAAGGACGCACAGGCCAGAGCCACCATTCGACAGCTGGTCAACATCATCGCCTGTGACATTCAGCCCGTCACAAACCTGCGAATCATGCGTCAGGTCAGGTCTCTGGGAGGCGTGGCGGAGAACTGGAATCTGGCCCTCACGACGGACGGTTTACAGGCATACGAGGCTGTCGCGCAAGGTTGCGCAGGGAAATACTCCTTTGCGGATGAGGTTAGTTTGGCGGACTGTGTCTTGGTCCCTGCTGTCTGGAACGCGCAGCGTTTTGGTGTGGACATGAGCAAGTTCCCTGTTATCCAAGGCATCATGAAGAATATGGAGGAGTTGGACGCTGTAAAGAGGGCTCGCTACATGGTGCAGTCAGACACGCCCGAAGATCTTAAGCAGAGCAAGTGATCTCAATATGATGAAGGATTGATTCTATTATGCTTGTCCTGTTCCATTTTGCAGAGGATTCTTATTTCTTCCCCAAGTCCAGAGGGGCGAGGATCTGGCCCCCGACCTCGCCGAATCCGATTCTTTCGCCGTCCTTGCCGGCCCAACCCCTGATGACGATAGAATCTCCGTCCAGCAGGAACTTGCGCTCCTCGTCCTCCACATTGACGACCATCTTACCACCCTTGGTCTGCTCCAACAGGGATCCCTCGGTTCCGGTCTCGGTGCCCGAGATGGTGCCTGAGCCGAACAAGTCACCGGGCTGTAGGTTGCAGCCCGTGATGGTATGGTGCGCAATCATCTGGGGCCACGACCAGAGAAGGTTCTTGGACGAGGTCTTTGTAATAGTCTTCTTCTTGCCATTGGCAGCTGCACATGATTAGCTTGAGTCTCTCTCTGATCGGAAGTGTGCACTCACTAATGAGGTCCACCTCAAGCGAAATATCTAGCATATTGGCCTTCTTGCCTTCTTGCAGATACGAGGCGAGCTGGTTCTCGTTCGGAAGTCCCTCGGTGCGCGGGATAGCCGCGTCAGCAAGGACAACCCACGGCGAGATACTCGTGCCCAGGTTCTTGCTAGTGAACGGACCCAGTGGCACGTACTCCCAGGCCTGGATGTCACGCGCGCTCCAGTCGTTCATCAGGACATAGCCAAAGATGTGCTCCTCGGCGCTCTGGACATCGACCGGCTCGCCGAGGTTGTTTGGCGTGCAGATAAACATGCCCATCTCCAGCTCGAGATCGAGACGCTTGCAGGGCGTGAATGTGGGGACCTTGGGCTCGGCCTTGGGGTCCAGGAGGATTTGGCCCCATGGGCGGCGGATTGGTGTGCCTGACACGACCACTGATGACGCACGACCGTGATAGGCGACAGGGAGGTGCTTGTAGTTAGGCTGCAAGGCATTGTCCGGGCCACGGAAAAGCACGCCAATGTTGTACGCGTGGTTTGTCGAGGCGTAAAAGTCTGTGTAGTCGCCAATCTTGAGAGGCAGGTGGTTGGTCACCTCGGCGAGGGGGATGAGGCACTTGCTGACCGCATCCTTGTTGGAGGCATCCTTGAGCACGGTCTGCAGGTATTCGCGCACTTCTCGGTGGAACGGACGGCCGAGAGAGGCAAACGTGTTGAGGGTAGGCTGCGAGAAGGCCTCCCAGTGCTGCTTGACCTTTGCGGGGGCGGATGCGGGCGAGAAAGTCGAGAGGTCAAAGGCATAGGTGCCAACGGCAACGGCGGCGCGAGGCGTCGAGTTTCCCGAGGTGCTGATGATGCCAAAGGGCAGGTTGGCCAGCGAGAAGGGGCTGTCGGGGGCAATGTCAAGCCAAGACATGGTTTATACAGTCGCGGGTCTTTTTTTTCTTCGTGTTCGTTCTTCGTATTCTTCTTTGCTCAGCTTCGAGAGAAAACAAGGTACGATGATTCTGACAGCTGTGCAGGAGCGCCGTGATTGATGGGTATGTAGGTGGTGTTTTGTTGCGACAGCTATGAGTGCGCGAGCTCGAGGCCGCCGCAAGCCGAGCGGGTATAGGAGGGTGTGACGGCCCCCACCATTGCCGACGGCGGAATTTGCGCCGCGCTGAGGGGCAGACCGGCTGATTACGCAAATGCTCACGTATATATGCGGAAGTACTGTCATCCTATCACTGCAACTCTCTTGGCGGCAGACATTTTTCCTGTGCGAGGAGCGATGCCTCTAGCCATGATGACAAACTGTTCCGGGGGATGCCGCATACTGACGGACCCGAAGCCGGAGCCGGATCGGGGCCGGAGAGGTGGATCTTTACGAGACCCGCCCGGAGCCCGGACACGGAGCACGGGTGCTCCGGTGTATATGTCAGTGTGTTCATCTCAACCTCACTCCTGAGAGTTACCGAGTGCCAGAATGTAGACATGTCTTCTCCTACAAATTATCTTCTAGATCCGGGCGCATATACGTTCCGAGACGCTATGCAGTCGCCGTTCCTGCTTGCAGCTGCCACAGGCTCGCTCGCTGCCGAAATCAAAAGCAGGCAATAGAAAGCACCAAGCAGCGGCAAATCCCAGACGATGCAGCATCACATCGAGAACACGAAAAGCACGATCCTGGAACTTTCAAGATCTGAAGATAGTCGACGTTGACCAGTTCCAATACCCATGGATTAACCCGCTTCATAGCTCATACTTCTCGTCATCCTTGACCTCCCAAGCACGCTGGGCCCGGAACGCCTTGGGGAACCATTCCGGCGCCTCACCCACAGTCATCATGTCGACAAGCGCTTCAGCACTACGGTACGCCCACGCCATACCATGGCCATTCATGCAAACAATGGCCCACAAACCATCATCACCAGGCACGTCCCCAACGACCGGCAGGCCATCCTGGGTATCGCATGTGATACCCGCCCAGTCTTGGATGACCGTTGTCGACTCACCCCAGTTCTTGTATCCATACGCGACACGAGCGGCGCCGTGTAGCACGGTTGCAATCTGCTCATTCACAATCGAGTCGTCGGTGGTATTGGCCTCCTTGGTGGGCGAGATGCCCGAGCTGCCACCAATCACAATGTCACCCGCACCCTTTGATCCGGGTGGCCGCGCAACGATGTAGTTGTTGCCACTGTGAAGATCCGGGTATGAGTTGCTGCGCTGGAACACCACGCTGTGGGCCGACGTGTCCGCCTCAGGGTGCACGGCTGCGACCTGGCTTCTCCCAGGCACGAGGAAGTTGGTGCTAGCGAAGCCAGGGTGCAGCGCGTTGGTAAACCCGTTGGTGGCGAGGACGACCTGCTTGCTTCTGACAGTCCCTCGGTTTGTCTTCACTGACCACCCGGCCCCGTCCTCGGACTTTGCCGTGAGCTGTGTGAGGCTGAGTGCCATGGTGTTGGTCTGCAGGTTGAGACCCTTGGCGAGGCCAATCTCCAGCATGGCGCACACGGTGTGATACGGGTTCTGCGTGTGCGCCGTGAACGTTACAGCGCCGACAATCTCAGGCCACTGCCAGTAGTCTCTCGCCTCCTGGCCCTTGTACACTGTTCGCTTGTTCTTGGGTACGTCGTCGGGTCGACGCGCCTCGAGCTCGCGCTGGTACTCGACGACTTCGAGGGCCGCCTCGAATGCCTCTCGCGTCCAGTATACGTCGGAGCTCTCCACGTCGGTGAAGTCGCTCGACACGTTTTGTGCATGAACAAAGTCACGTATGTCGTTGACGCAGTCCTGCTCCATCCGACCGATGCGGAGGCCCTCGTCCTCGCCGTAGGCATCGACCCATATCTTGATGCTCTTCCACGAGCCGGGGCGGCAATGACCGCCGTTGCGTCCGGTAGCACCTGAGGCCGCCGTCCGTGCCTCGAGCATCAGGATCGACAAGCTCGGGTCGCGCGTCAGCAGCTTTTGCGCCGTGGCAGCGCCAGAGATACCAGAGCCGATGATGACATAGTCAAAGGTCTCTGACGTTGGGAGCTCAGCCGTGGTACGGTGGTTGGCGATGCGGTGAGGAGGATTCTGCCAGTAGGCTTCTGTGGGGTTGGGCACGGGAAAGCCAGGGATGAGCAACTTGGGCTCATCAGGTTCTTCAGTCCTCGCAGAATGGCGGGCTTGAGGTCCGATGGCGAAGGACGAGACGATTGGCGTCAGAGACAAGCCAATCGCCAGGGTACCAAGCAAAGATGCCGACCACATTGTGAAGCTGAAGACGACGAGGATGACAAGCTGCGTGTGTGCGTTGGGAAAATCGGGGGTACATGTTATATAGCCGACATCGCGAAGGATTTAGCCCTTCAACGTCATGCTTGACTAGATACTATTGGCCTGGAGGTGAAGACATTCGCTGATCCCAACGAACAACGTACATACTACATGGCCGGTCAGTGAAGCGAGCCTCCATTGTGCTGTTTTGATGACGGTCGGGATGATCCTGATGCTCGGACTCCACCTCAATACACTTGATCAGGAAGGTCAATGGACTCTCCGCACGGACATTGCGGGGTTCGACGCCGATGCCGGCTGGAGAATTGTCTATATTGTGATTACTGGGATGTAGATAAGATTCGTCCTTTCACAGGTATGTTGCACGGCAGTTGTCGACATCCCGTGCTGGTCAACGCCCGCCCATTCTCGATCATGGCCTTGCCCACGATGGCTTCATGTTCTTCACAGTTTCCAATGATTGCACATGAGGTTGGGGTGTAATTTGGCCGCCGTCAGAGTGGGATCACAGGTGTACACTCGGACCTTAAGAGGTGGTGCTCAATATTTCAGTGCCATGAAGAGCAAATCATACTATGCTTAATATTTTGCCAGTATTAACATTATACAAGCACCTACCAAACGAAATCCGAGAAAGTACATGCAGTGGTCGAGTGATCTCACGATGCTTGCCATGATCTACCATTTCCCCCAACTACAAAGCCGTACACACCTGCACGGTCTCACTAAACCAAGACTAAGACTAAGGGAAGTACGAGCCCAATAGATCCGGACCATTACCCCGGGTCACTACTGTCGAGATGATTCCTGATCAGAACAAGCTCCCCCTTAGAATAGTACCGAGTCGCCCAAGCCGAGCCCTCTCAGACCAAGCGGGGAACACGGAAATGCACTACCGACCTCCTTGGGGATGGATATAAGCAATCCAGTCTCCGAAGTCCAGCAGGCGCAACACGTATAATCATTGACCGCAATGTCATTCTCCGATCAATTCAAGGGAAAAGTCATCGCCATCACCGGCGCAGCCCAGGGGATCGGCTACACGACCGCCCTTGTCCTGGCGTCCCGCGGTGCATCGCTCTCTCTCGCTGATATCCAGTCGTCAACGCTTGACAAGGCCAGAGATACTATTTTATCCCAGTGCACGTCAATCAAAGTTTTCTCCCAAGTCGTCGATGTTCGCTCAGCGGAGCAGGTCGAGTCATGGATCAAAGCCACCGTCTCGCACTTTGGACGTCTGGATGGTGCCGCCAATATCGCCGGCATTGTCCCCAGGTCAATAGGCAGTGATGCCGGTCTGGTAGAGAACATATCACCGGATGAGTGGGATTCGTGCCTCGGCGTCAACCTCACAGGGGTGATGCACTGCATGAAGTATCAGCTGCGCGTCATGGCGGAGGACAGCGCCATTGTCAACGCAAGTTCCATCGCAGGCCTGGTTGGGCGAGAAAAGGACAGTATCTATACAGCCACCAAGCACGGTGTCATTGGATTGACGAGATCGGCTGCCAAGGAAGTTGGCGGGCGAGGCGTACGAGTGAACGCGATTTGCCCGTAAGTGACATAATGTACGCTGGATAACGCTTGGACTAATGGATCAGGGGACGAATCGAGACAGCAATGTCTAAATTGGCACAGGAGGCATTTTCTAAGGCTGGCGCAGCAGACGAATATACCAGAGAGACGCTATCCGATGTCGCAATGAGACGCAAGGGTCAACCCGAGGAGGTTGCGAAACTGATTGCCTTCCTTTTGAGCGAAGAGTCTTCTTATATCACTGGTAACGCAATCAGCATTGACGGAGGATGGAACTGCTAGCCAGTTTACAAGTACAGCGTTTACGACCCTTCATGGCCTCCACATGGTCCATCGGCTGTCTTCTTGAGGCAACGAGTGCTATATCTGTGTCACATTTATAAACGAAGAACATCGATATGTCGTGGCCACTTTGACCACCACAGCCATTGTGTGATTCGTTTGCAAAGCTCCCAATCAATGAGCTGGGTTTACAGCGGTATATGATGTATCGTATCCAACGCTGTCACTGTTGAGTGCGCAAATACTCGCTCAAGTGCGAACCTGAGTCTCCTGGCGACTCGCAACACTCAAATAAGCATAGCCCAGATGCTAATTCTAGATCTGTGTCCAATTATTATTTCGGCGCTTGCTCCTTGGCATGACCCTTGGCATGACACTCACTGCGAGTGGCGACTGTCACTGGCCCCTGTCGCGATCCTACAGTCGCTGCTGACTGCCTCTCATCACACAAACTTCAAAATTCATCTCCCTCATCCACACGCCATGTCCTGACATCCAAATCCTCGCGCCATGTTTCTGCCAATCTGCGCAGCGTTGGCCGCGCTGGCAACAGCGGCGCACGCCTCCCTCGGAACCTCCGACAAGTCGTGCCGACTGCCCGCCCCCTCGGATGTCGATGGCTCTCTGGGCTTCAACTACACCGACGATTGCGCGCCCTCGACCGGCACGCTCTCGTCGTACATGATCTACGTCGACTTCCCCGACGCCAAGGCCAACGACACCACAGAGTCCCTCTACGACGTCTTCTTCCCCGACGCCATCGACTGGTTCGAGACGGCCAGCTATGGCAAGCTCCAGCTCGAGGTCGACACGGCGCTCGAGGGGGGCTTTGCGCGCATGCCGCAGGCCGCCGACAGCTATCACTTCCAGAGGGGCATGTCCGGCTGGGATCTGGTGACCTACGTCCAGGACGCCATTGACGCGCACTTTGACCAGGTTGGCATGATTCCCGTGGTCGACGTGCTCTACATCGTGGCCACGCGGCGCGCGACGAGCATCACGTACTCGCCGTCGTTGGGCTATCCCTTTACAGATCCCTCCGGTTCGCTTCTCACCAACAAGATTGCTGCTTTCGGGTTTGACTCGTATGACTATTACGGGTCCAAGGTCCTCAACCACGAGACGGGCCATGCGCTGTGCCTCCCCGATCTCTATCCTCTCGCCGGCGGCGAGACGGGGGAGTACGTCGGCACATGGGACATGATGGGGACCATCGTGGGCCCGAGCCCAGACTTCTTTGCTTGGAGCAAGTACCGACTTGGCTGGATCGGAGAAGACGAGGTAGACTGCGTCGAGGACTATGGCACAACACGGCATGAGCTTATACCCGTCTCTTCGGACAAGGCAGGCGTCAAGGCAGTTATCATTCGACACAGTGACACCAAGGTCCTCGTCGCCGAGGCGAGGTCGGACACAGGTGTAGACGAGAACGCCTGCCGGTCAAGGGTTCTAGTGTATAGCGTCGATACTAAAGTCCAGACGGGGCAAGGTGGCATCATCGTCTACGATGGCAACCCCAAGACAGGGTCTCCCCTGTGCGTGGGCCAGGGCGACGTCAAGAGCGATGCGGCACTCTCGTTGGAAGATGGGGAGCAGGAGATCTACGTAGAGGACTTTGGCGTCAAGGTCAAGATCATCGAGAGCGATGGACCAGGCTTCCAAATCGAGGTCCGCAAGGGGGAAGAGGCCGTCGAGGAGGACGAGGATGATGAGAGCGCGGCAACCAGGCTCTCTATTTTGTTTTCAGGCTCCCTATTCCGATAGAGACAGGATCAATGGTAGTTTCACAGATACAAACAAAGAGCACGGAGTAGTCATAGTTGAAGGATTTGAGATGAATGCGCCCGTAGGCTTGCATTGTACAGATGTAGCCGTCGCCCTTTTCGTGTATATCCGCCTAGAGGGCCCTTTTATTCTCAACCATGCGTGCGCCACCATGTCCGCTTCCCGAGGACTGCTCCTGACTGTCGTTGTTGGGCCTGCCATAGCAGCCACCCACACGACCAGAGAAGCAGCCCCGGGTTGACTTGACCAAAGCTGCGAAAGAAAAGCAGAAAGGCCGAAACAGCAAATATTAAATGATTTTCGTCCAGCCGAACTGTGCAGTCGTTACCGTAATGGTCGTGACAGACAAAGTGAAGCTCCCAGACATAGAAAAGCGAAACAACCCCAACTCCTCTGATTGATGCACCGTGCCAGGTCTTCCCGCAACCAGGCCAACTGGGATATTCCAAAAAAAAGCAAGTTGAGCTTCCCATAAACGCCTTGCATCGAAAATGCACGCAGATGATTTTTTTTATTGTTGCCAAGTAAGGAAACTTGGAGTATTAACGCGTGACGGCCTGATAAGATCGGGCCGAACAGTGGACGGCACTGTCGAATGCACATTATGTGCATTGCGGTCCTATCCTCGGATCGCAGGTATCGAGTGGGTGTCGCCTCGCCAGGCGAATCGCTCCGTGAGTTTTGGCTGACCACCAGTGGCGCCGTTCACCTGAGTGAGTTGCGTCGATTCAGGCACACCGTACCCAGCCGAGGCTTTGTTAGCCTCGGCGACCGCGAGGTAGTTCGCTGAGGGTGAAGTCGACGGTGACGTGTTGTTTGAATTGTTGTTTGAATTGTGCAGGAAAAAGGTAGCCGACCCGTTAGGCGACAGGTCTCTCCGGGGCGCGGACGCCATGTCCTTGGAAGCACCGTCGAACAGTACGGCAGGTTTTTCCTCTTGTTTGGAAGGGGGCGAAACTTTTGTCGAACCAAACTGAAACCAGGTGTTAGCAACAGCGCTTTACGTAGGTGGGCAAATCGACATGCGTGGCGTCCGGGATGCGGGACCAGGGAGTATGTCGTCCAGAGGAACCAGGAAGCTCAAAGGGACTGGGGAGTGCCGGCCGTGGCTGTGGCAGGGGAACGTACAAAACAATACTTGTTCACAAGCTCCTCGTACGATGCGCTAGGCAGGCTCGGAAGAGGGGAGTCACTGCCGCCAGGCACAGCGACGGGGCTGAACAGCGGGGGTGAGTGACTGTCTTGCATGGTGTCGGCAATATAGCGAGTGCCTCGGGCGTTGTCCTTCATGTAAAGGGTATCCTTCTCCTTCTCCTTGCCCATCGAGTCCTTGGCAGCTTGCACAGCAGCGCTGAGCGAAGCACCAAAGTCGTACCGGTTGGCAAAGGCCACACCGCGTGGGGACGTAAGATCTTTAGCAATGTTATCGCTAGCAATGTTGCTGCAAGACTTGGTCTTGAGACGGAGCCCAGTGGGTCCGGAGCTCGGTTCGCCAAGGTACTCGTGGAGCGATTGGTCGAATTTGAACTGGGAATCATTGCTGCCAAAGTCCTGCACCGAGATGGGCATCGACTTGGGCCGCGCCACACCACTGTTCGAGTTCTGTCGACGGTTGCTGCGCGGCAGTGCATTCCGGGATCGACCGATGGCGCCCTGGAAGTTGTTCTTCCCATTCTGCGGCAAATGCTTCTTTCTAAAGTCAACCTGGAAGTTGGCGCCGCCGTTGTTGTCCCAAAATTCTTGGCCATTAACCAAGTATCGAACGCAGAAGAACAACGTCTTCGACTCAAGGTTGGCTGTATCACTCAACTTGATGTTGAAGTTGAACCGATCGTAGCCAAACGGACCCTCGTGAGGACGAATGTCGTGAGCGTACTCGGCAGTCACCTCTGACGTGGTTTTCCAGTAATCCAGGGTGAAGCGGCAGGTGATTTGCTTCCGGAAAGCCAGGTTGGCAACGGCCACAGATCCAAGCATGGACTTTTGGTCCGCCGACAGCCAGACCTTTTCCAAACGGACTGGGAGTGTCTTCCTCGCCGCACCATCATCATGAGGGAAGTTGGGTGTAAGTATCTCCCACTCGTACGGAGGCGTCCTCGACGTCGGACGGGCCTCGGTAGGGAAGGGGTACTCAGTGTCGCTCTCATAGTTATCCGCGGGCGACGACCCGGCACTCACGGCCAAGGGACGGTCGACCTGCAGGAAGTGGCGGACGTGTTCGAGGTGGGAGTCGAAATGCACCGCTTTTGAGAAGACAGGCGTACCAGGCATGCTCGATGGGCGGCGTCGCGAAGAAGGCCGTAGGGCAGGACGAACCAGCTCACCAGACTTCTTGCGAACCATTTGAGGTTTTGTCATAAGATCCTCATCTGTATCCTCTTCCGAGACGGTGACGGATACGGCACTGTCGGTTGAAAGCAAAGGTTGAGCGTTTGGTTCTGTAGCCGAGCGCACATGGCTAACTTTACGCGAGGGGTTTTGGCGTTGGTCGAGAGCACTGGTGCTGAAGCTCATGTGCATCGCTCGCGGGGTCTTGTCTTCGGGCGCGCTAGGGTCAGAGTTGGCCTCGCCGATGGCAAACCTGGCACCAGGAGGCGAAGGTGTCCTCGTCTGGGGTATTTGATTGACAGCCTCCCTCAACTCCTTGAACTTGTCCAGCTTTCGCCCTCGAATTTCCGGTGTCCTTTCGTCATCGCTGCCAGAAGATGCAGAGTCTGGAGGAGAGATGACTGCACCCTTGGGCATACCGTTCTCGTCGGTTCGCGGGGGCGGTGATTGCCGGATAGAAGGGGAAATATGGTTGCCCGCTTCAACCGCCAACGCTGGCAAATCCTCCGCCGTGCCCTGAGGCGTCAAAGAGCCTATTGATCCATCCACCACCGAGGGCGCACGACGGTGCTTGCTCAAGTATGAAGCGGATCTGGGCAGAGAAGGACGGCTACCAGACAGGATTGAAGATCGACGGCTGACATCCGGGGAGGCTGAAGCTGACGAAGCTGGTGATCTGTGGGAAGGGGGCGTGTAAGGCATCACAGCGACACGAGCGTCCGACTGTGGTGGTGAGGAAGTGAGAGAACGACCAATAGGGGAGAGCGCAAGTCGAGTCGACGGGTTGCGAGAAACGGTCGTCGATATCCTATCGAATCATGCGCGCAAACTGGGTATCTCAAAGTATTCCGGGGGGTGGATGTACACAACGTCTGTTCGTTGAAGCTGCTGAACGGGGTCTACAGCGTGACCGAGAGGTCAAGTCAGCATTGAGTCCGTAAGTCTCGCCGATAAGCTATACAAGCGGGACGCTATGAGAGCAGCAAGAGAGATTGCCGCTCAGTGTTGTGGGGGGTGGAAAGGGCAGATAACTCTACTCTAGGAGCGAGGGGGAGAGGTGGTCGATGGCAAGTCTGACGAAACAAACGACGATCTCTGCGATGCGCAATATTCGACAGACAGGCCACGAGGCTCTGGCCACAGGCAGGACGTGAGGTAGTTCGTTGCAGCAAAAAGGACCGATGGACGTACCAGAGCAATCTCAACGAAAGAGCGATGCTTGAGCAGCGAGAAGCCGAAGCAAGCGTGCCTGAACAAGAGTACCTGGGCAATATTCCAGCAACCAGGCGAGGCAAGTTCAGACAGAGCAGCGACAGTTGTCAGCTGGCTCTTGTGGTCGACTCGATTCGAGCAAGCCAAGAAAGCGAGCAAGAAGGAGCGACGCGGTGTCGCGAGGCGTCGAGGGGGGGATATCGCAGCAAGGTGACCGTGGGTGGTGGTGAAGGAAACAGGAAAGGAAGAGGCGCCGCAAGGAGAGAGACTGGAGAGGATGTCGCTCAGTCGCTCCTAGTGTTGGGGTTCCAGGATGCTGGGAGGGCCAGGGCCGCCAGGATCGGGGGAGGAGTTTTCAGTGGCTGAGGCCTGCTGTGGCTGCCGTGCTCTGTAGAGGGAAGGAAGGAGCGAAACAGGGCCCTGCGCGAACGACGACGTCACTTGAAAACGACCAATGGTCTCACACTGTCCTCGTGGTCTCACACTTTTTGTTGTTTGCACCACGCGATATTCAGGTCGATCGGTCAACGAAGAATGAAGATATCGCCAACGACTCAGGCAGCGGCCGTGTCGATGAAGAAATAAAGAGTGGCAGGCCCAACAAGAGATGCCTTTCTGCTCTGCTCGACTACTCCGTACCGGGGATGGCAATGCAGGCTTGTGTAGTGGGTGGTGTGGGTGGGATGATAATAGTGGAAGGGGGGAGTGGGCTACGGGTGAGCAGGGGCTTGCGACTCTTTTTGTTCAATTAATTTGCAGGCCAGCAGGCTCGTATTGTACAGGCAGGTTCTCTGAGGAATAAGGATGCTCTCTTGAGCTCAGTGAGCGACAATCAGTGGAACGCTCGGAGTTGGACGAGCAGGGGGGGTGGCGTCTAGGCTAGAGTGCTTCGAGTCTTGGAAGCACGTTTAGCGTGATCGAGGCCCTGGGCACTGTCGTGTCGTCCCTCATTTACCCTGACACACTCTTCTCTCCGTCGCTATCTCTGCTGTGTCTTATCAAGATGGGGGTGGCTAAGCCGCAGTGGTGGTGTCGCGGGAACTTGAGGATTGGCGCGAGCGACAAGGTATGAACATGGAGGCGAATATACACTGCAGGCGCGCATACATGTATGATTTTGTTGAGATGGAGGAGGCGCACAAAAGGAGGGGATCAAATTGTTACTGCCAACAGCGGCCCGCGCACTGTTGAGATAATACCAATGCTACGTACTTGTCCGGGGGAATCCTAGGTCAACGCGAAGACTGGAGGACAGACTCTTGCCCAGGAATTCTTGTACGGGAAGTAAATGGAGTCCAGGCGTTGTACGCCTGAGCCACCACACGCCACCACACCACACCATCAGGAGCCGCTGCAGCGACGGTACAGCAACGGGAGCGGCCAAGGCGGCGAGGTCCTCGAAGTTGGAAGAATGAGCTGTGTTGAGGCCAAACAAGCCCATCAGCGTCTGCCAACATCCCCCCCTGACTTGTAATAGAAATTTGCGTTTCAACGCCGGCATCAAGATTTGGAGATCGAAATCGAAGCTTCAACCCTCGAATCCGCCAGTCACAAAGCCCGGACGACCGATTAGTCCAAGCGCCATGCGACCGCCGGGGTGGGGAGCGGAACTAGAGTGGGGTCGCTTACCCCTGCGATCGCTGCAATGCTGCTGCGCTTGTCTGCAGTGCTGCACTCAATCCCTGTTGCTGCACAGTGCAGGCCTGCAGCCCCATTGACGAATCGCATGATTGCGCGATGCGCCATGCTTCAGTCTGCCAGGAAACCACCACATCGCTTTGTGAAGATGAACGGACGTCTTGTCGATGCCGCGTGTCAGCGGCTCACCGGTTTGTCCCCGTGACCAGTGAGCAGCAGCACGCACAAGTACCAGTATGCAACGGGAGTCGGACCACTATTCGACCCCGGGGACGAGCAATCCCCGGTGCGGGAAAGGTCTGCTGCGCACGGTGCGACACTGCGGGCAGTTGGTGGGCGAACACTGTCTAATTAGCACAATGACAGACTGTGCCGCGATCTGCATTTCCTGCCCGCAGCGTCTTCTCCGGCGTTTTTACTGGCCTTTTTCATCATTGTATCACGAATGACGTCGGACACAATGCCACGACCAAGGTAATGACCATGAACGGGGTACCGACTGCTATCCACACCCTGTAAAGATCCTATTTGACTGTACAAGTAATTCTCACCATGGGATTGTCTCCAAATAGCAGGCAAGATGCCAAAGGCGTGCCTTCTGGCAGTTTCTGCCGTTCCTGGGCCACTCTCCCGCACCTCCGGACCCGAGTGGCCAAAGCTAAGCAGGCGCCCGCACCAAAGTGTAAAATATTCTCCATCCACAAAAAGTCTTTGCCTCGCCCACGATCAATCACCTTCTCCCTCACGGACTCTCCTGACAGCACCACATTTGTTGCATCACCATTGACCCATGGGGAATCTAACCTGCAGCAATAGTCGCCTCCACATGAAGCCTCTCGTTTCAGCAACCGCAGAGCTGAATGAACTGTTCTGATTTCATCTTGCGCATGCATTCGCCCCCCCCATCCACATCACGAACACCACAACTGCTGGATGGCGAAAGTGGCCTGCAGCCTCTCTCTCTGCCTGCTCCGAGGCGTCCTGCATGCCTGCCCTCCGAGCCCGGAGAGGATGATCATTTCGCAACCCGCGAGGGCTTTGTCAGACTTTTCATTCCATGATCAACGAGACCAAGGACATGCAATCATGTCGGTACCCGCGTCGTTAAGCGCCGTCGTCTCTTATGGAGGGTATATTTGAGGCTGATAGGACCCTTCCTCTCTTGCATCAATGTGCCCTACTTGCATACGCTCCAACATCCTTCGCCTCCAAGCCACGGCAACCAAGAGCCTAGAGGCGAGGGACGCGAGGCATCTTTGCACAGACCATCAAAAAGGTCGTGCAAGCGAACCACAAAGGTGAGCGCCGCATGGATCCGGGAAGGGTCGTACTTGGCTGCAGAAGATGAGCCCTTCAGTGTTACCTAAAGGTATTGGCCGCTCTGGGTGAAAACTCTGTTGGCGATAATTGTCGCATCAACACGTTGCAATACTGGCGTTTGTGGCTTGCGGCCATATCTACCAATATGAGGCTTTCGCCTCCGCCAGGGCTGCCACCCATCCGTGCTTCACGATTCGTGTTATTCATCTCATTCACTAACTGAACCTGATGCGAGTCCCTAGCGGCTAAGGCGCTGAGCTTTCAACTGGACTGAGGCTCTGGAGTGAAGCCGGACCCGCTGAACCGCGCCGCCCGTCTTGTCCCCACCACATTCCGTCAAAGCCCAGTCCTCCCGCGACCCGCACGGAGGACGACTGGACCCGCCTGGCCTCTCTCGCTTGCGGCTTGCTGCGATAAGAGATTTTCACCGTGGGACCCAGGCGACGGAGCTCCCCGCTAATACCAACAATGAGTACGTATACAAGCAACAATTGTGCATTTGCTCGATATCAAAGGCGCCGCACAAAGGCCTCGATGGCTCGACTACAGATGTCTACGCTCAGATACCTGTGGTTGAACCGCAGTCGACCTGAAAGTCCATCAAGTCTAGACTACGACAGGAATGGTTCAGCTGTTGTCGATCATTCGAGATTCCAATAAAGCTCGCCTGTTTAGCAAAGCTTCACAATCAACCTGGAGAAGCTGTTGCTATAGAGCACAGCCTCAGTGACATTTTGCTCTACGTATCTCCGGGGCATACGCTCCAGTGCAGCCCCGGGCCCCCGAGGGGTAAGACCGCCAGCCTCATATCAGCGTCGTTCGAGGGCATCCCCACGGGCGCCTCCAGGCCTAACAAGCAAACTCTAAAATAACGATGCTCGTCGGCCGAGAGATCTCCCCGTAGCTGGAATGCTACAAAGTATTCCTTTACCGGGTAGGCAATTTCCCGTGCCTTAAAGCCCCTGACAAGGTCCCCTTCTCTTGTACGTACATGGGATTCTTGGAGGGTTGCTTGCATGCTCACCACGTTCCCTGCCGCCCAGACATGGAAAGTTCCTACATACGGAGTGCATCGTGTCGATATCACGGCGGCAAATGCGCGCGAATGGTTATTCCCTCAGTGTATTGCTTCATGGCCAAAGGATGTCCGATCCGGGCATCAATCGTTCCATCAGCTGTCTGTGTCATAACATAGATGGCCATGTCTCGAACGTCCAGCGACAACTGCCTTCATTGGTTCCGCAAGGTTCTTCCAGTCTGCTCCCGCAAGAGTCGCGCACCGCGCTAAAGCATGAACTGGGTTAGGGGTTCTCCACCACCGGCAGGGTAGCCACAGCCAGCCCACCTTGAACCTTGAAGACAAAGCCATCGCCCCTCTCTTCTCTGTGAGTGTGTGTCGACAAAACCATCTTCAGCCATGGCATTCTTCGAGCTCTTTGGCAAAAGTTTCCGTGCGACCCTGGATGATGTGCCGGGTGTGAGCGCTCTAATCACTACACAGCAGCCTACGACGGTGGGAGGGTGGGACCCCTATCTCAAGCTCACGTACGTACGTGGGTAGAGAGATTGATGATCTCCATGTCCTTCACGAATTCTGTTGCCTCCCGGCAGGCCGATGTCGTTGCGCTATTGCGCGGGACAGGACACCGCTTGGTGATCAGAGACGTTCGTTCCTCTGGTGAGACAACCCGCACAGCCTTTACGAGGATGGGCCTCCAGTCCTTTCGCGAGGCGGTGTGAAAGCGTGCAGCGGCACGCACACCTTCTGTCTTTGCGAGCATAGGTCGC